GTCTTTCTTCGGTCCCATGTTCACGATGTCGAACACCACTTGGGTGGTTTTTCCTTCCACCTCAATGTCGAGTGGTTCTGTCTCTCGTCGTACCCATTGTGTGTCGAATGGTCCTTTGACGACGTGTGGTTGTTTCTTGATCCTCCATGGGATTCTGAGTTGATTCACAAATGTGGGCGCAATGAGGTCCATCTGCGCTCCTCCGTCCACTAACGCGAGGGCTTCGAATTTCCCCCATCGCGCTGTGATCCAGAGTCTGTTGTCTGGTTTGGTGCTTCGTACAGCAGCTACTTCGTGTTCGTCTGCTGGGAGGTCGTTGTAAGGCTTCTGCTTGCGCCAGTTCTTCCTGTACTGCGCAGCCTGTCTCCGTTGTTGTGGAGTTAGAGGTTTCCGGGCCCCTCGGAGGGCCCTGAGCCGTTTCCCAAGCTCTCGTGGTGTTTCAAGGCGTCCCTGTCCGCACCTTGGCTTGCGGCGTCAATCGTCTGGTGTTCTTGGAGCCATTGGGCCGCCCATGCCTCAACTGGGCGCCTCTCGTTCCTTCGGGACGCTCTCGTCCTCTGGTGTGGCTTCCTCTGGGATTGCTGTTCCATGTATCCCCAGATTTTCTCGTCGGCGTGTGGTAGGCAGTCTGCGCTTCGGCATTCGTTGACTCCTACGCCCGCCATACAGCGTCGGGGCCAGGCTGCCTTGGGTCTAACCCTCAGCCTGCCCTCGTGAGTGCGTTGGGTGTCCCACAACATGCCTGCGGGAGCGTCGCCGCTGTCGTATACCCATCTGATGGGTAGGGGTTGCATTCCTTTTTCTTCCCTCGTGGGCCAGAAACTGTTGCGAAATTTGTCCTGGAAGTGGTACCGACATTCGTGCGCGATGCACTGGAACCAGGGCAGGTAGATGTGACTTTCTTTTCGTGGGTTCACCCGCTCGTGGTCTTCTGGCAACAACTGGAATCCCTCCGTGTTGTTCTCGCCCCGGAAACCCCACCATTCAAGGTCGGAGGTTTGTCGCCCGGTGCGCACGATGTGCTGATGTCGAGTCCAGTATTCTTCCCAGTTCTGTTGTTTCCTTCCTTTCGCCGCATTCTGCTCCTGTGCGTAGTCGAAAAGTTGCTCGGGATATCGCACTCCGTTTTCGTATTCCTCCGCCTCTTCGGTGGGTCCATCCCACGGTGTGTGATGCGGAAGTGCCTGGCGGATGTCGTCCTGCAAGGCCTGTGCCTCTCTTAATGTCTTTTCGACGTGATCCCCGGCCCTGTTGTTGGCCTCGGTGATCTCTTGGACTCGTTCTCTGGCGAAATCGAGTTCCGCGCAAAGTTGTCCATACTGGTCGTTCCTTGCTTGGAGAAGCTGCTCGAGTTCTTCTTTCTCTCTCGACAACTCCTCGATCCTTTGCCGTTGGCTTAGGACCCTCTGCTGTAGGAAGGTGAGGTTCGGGCTGACTCCTCCTTCACCCTCGTGGGTTCGCCATTGCCCGTCCTCTTGCTGAACCAGGGTGATGCCCCAGTCCTCAGCGACTTGTCGGATGTACCGCGGGGGAGCCAGTTCTCCCTCGTCATCCGTTTCGATGAAAGCGTGATGGGCGGTGTCATTTCCCTCCTGGTGGTTGCTGCTCCTCAAGTCTTCTTGATCCGAGTCGGTGAGTTCATCGTCCTGCTCGATGACTCGGTCAATGTCGATTTCGAGGTCGTCCTGCGTGTAGCTGGCGGCTGCGACCTCCAGAAACCGGGTTCTTCTTCCGACCGTGTCTTGGTCGATGGTGGCAGCTTCCTTCCCTGGAACCGGTCTCCACTCTTTCTTGCTGCGGCAGTCACGTTTGAAGTGACCCTTCCTTCCGCAGTTGTAACAGGTGATGCCTGATTTGTCCTTGGCACCATCTCTCTTTCCTGCCCACTGTGCCTGGGCAGCGCTGACGTCCATGGGTCCCGAGTGCGTGCCGTATGACGTGCTCTGGTGCTGGCGTTTCTTTTTGTCGTTGGGCTTGTGGTAGCCTGGGGATCGCTGAATCTCGCTGCCCTTCTTCTGTTGTTTGCGGGCGAACTGTCGGTCGTCAATCTTGACAGCCATGGCGATGTACTCGTCGAGCGTGTCGGGTCGGCTCTCCTTGTAGAGCTCGTCCTTGACCTCCTCCTTCAGCCCTCCGTAGAACAGGTGCATCAGCCCCTCGTCGTCTATCTCTGCCTTCATGGAGTCTTGTCGGAAAATCGTGGCGTAGGCGGTGGCTGACCTAGTCTGCTTCAGCCGTCCTAGCCGTTCCTGGGCGTGCAACTTCTCGTCCTTGTCGCCGAACACCTTCTGAATCTCGTTCTCGAACTCGGAGTAGTTCTCGAAGACCTTTTTGGTGAAGGGTTTGTGGATTGCTCCGCCGAGGAAATCACTCAGTGTTCCCGTGAACCACTTGAGTGCCTTGTCCTTGAGTCGGGTGGCGGCGTATCTGGTCTTGGACTCCTCGGTGGCGAACTGGTGCGAGTTGTGGTCGAGGTAGTTCCGCATCGCCGTGATCCAACCTGGCAAGGCTTCCTGGTCGCCCCCGTACTTCTCGGGTTGCTCCAATTTGACCTTCGTCTTGGCCGGGTCCTTGGTGTGGACCTCGGTCGCCGCAAGTCGGGCTGCCAATGCCGCGTTGCTGGCCTTGGTCTTCGCAAGCTCTTCTTCAGTTTCATCGAGTCGTTCGGTGACTCTCTGAAGCGCGGCCGTGATCTGGCCCGGCGTCGGTTGAGTCGCCATATCGTTTTACCTTCGAGCCTGAACTGTAACAGATCAAAGGGAGTTAGCAACGTGTGACGAACCTGTCTCTGGACCCGTCCTGTTAGGGTTCAGTATCGGTCGAAGGTATTCTCTCAAGGGTGCTTAGGTTCGGTGCAGCCAAAAGGTGCACAACAAAGACTTGTCTCAACAGTAGGCTCTCGATCTTGTAGCGAACTGTAGTTGTGATTGCTAACTGGAGAACTCCCAGAGCTCTCCAGAACGAGTGACTATATACTATCTAAGTCCATAGGTACCTTCGTACTTTTCCCTAGGAACATAGGGAACGGTAGCCGTTCCCTTCGTTCCTTATGGCACCTGAGGAACGGTAGTCGTTCCCTCCGTTCCTCTGCTGATTGGCCGGAGGCCCATTCTTAATGATTGGCTTGGGGCGCTTCCCGCGCAGCCCCCACATAGCCCTGCATGCGACCATGACCGTGACAATCTTCTATATTAATAAAAACGTTATCCTCTATATTAAACGTAAATAGGATAAGTAAACTATAATAACAGTCGCTACTACTATAATTACAATAAGCTAGTAATAACCATCCGCTAAACTACCTACCGAACTAAATAAAGATAATAATATTAAGTTTAACGATAAGGATAACTATATTATAGAAAGGATTAACTAGATAGCGGTATAGAGTAAGGAGGTTAGCCTAGTTCTAGAGACTGTTAAATACTTATATATAGGCTTATATAAGCTCTAGGTTCATATACTATATATATATATAGTTAGCAATTTCAATATTATATAGGAATAACTTCAAACCTTCTTTACTACTTAACCTATAATTATCCAATATCTAAAGGATACTTATCTCCTAGTTATTAAAGACTAAATAGCTTACTATACTAGTTATAACCTTAACTTTAGCTACTATACTATATCGCTAGTTAAGTCTATAAATCGGTATCTTAAGAACTTCCTTATTAAAGGAAGTAGTACTATTTAATAGGTTATTTAATAGTTGCTTAAAATAGTTAAAGAAATAGAGGTTAAGATTCAAAAGGCCTGTTAATACTAGAAGAACTATATATAATATAAATATCTTAGAAGAGATTAGTTTAGCAATACTTCTATTATCGTTATAGAATATACCCTTACCTTTATTAATAGGGAGCATCGTTATATAGAGGCCGCTTTACTGTTAGTAAGAGAGGCTAACCCCCCTCCTTTCATACCCTATACCGGCCAATTTACTATATAGTTCGGTATCCCCTATCGGTATAACCTACTTAAATAATAATAGACTAAGAGTTTAGTACTTTAGAAAGTAGATTTCCATCTATACTAATAGCTAGATAGATCTCTAGTTAACAAAAACTACTATCTATAGTATTACAAGTTTAACTAGGTTATATAGTTATATAATAGACTACGGTATTCTTAGCTATTTACCCTTAACCTAAACACCCTACAATTAATAGCCCCTATTTCTATACAGGGTATACAAGGTATACAGAGTACTACCCCTACTATTCTAGGTTCCTAGCCTATAGGGGTAACAGGATTATAGCTATCTATATACCGTAATACATCGTAATAGGAGAGTATCAACCTCGAGGAGCTAGATACCAACAAAGTTATCCCTAACAGTTAGCCAGTACGCAGGGCCGTACGCGGGGGCCGGGGAGGCCGGGCAGGTAGGGCAGGTAGGGCCACTATACGCGGGGCCGTATATAGAGGTGTACGCGGAGGCCGAGGGAGCCGGGGGGGCAGGGCCACCACACGCAGGGCCGCCCGCGGGGGCCGGGCCGGTAGGGGGGCGCGCGTAGGGCAGGGTATAGGGTAGGGCGCAGGGCAGGGTACCTAGGAGGAGGGTTAGGTGAGGTTACGTGGCCGAAAAAAAACAAGATTCTGTAGATCTCGATTTTATTGCGTTTTTGAGCGATTCAGCGGCTCCGAGATTGATAGATTTGACTGCGTTGTTGGGCGAGTTCAATTGAATTGATGGATCTGATTGAGAAAAAGGCGGCGCGCGGGCCAGGGTTGGGGTTATGTATGGGAGAAATCACGTGTCATAGTCCCGCACGTCAAAACCACATAGTCCCAAACGGCAGGCTCTTATATATACTCCCTCAAAAGGCTCTCCAAGAAGGTTGAATATTCCACAAAGAACCACCCAAATCCACCAAACTGAATGTATGTACACAAGAACTTGAAGGTCAACACCGTCTAATATCTTCCGCCGCCGCCACCACCGCACGCTCACCACCATCCCCACCAGTAGCTGGTTGACAATCCGGTCAAGCTTAGTTCTTGAGGTGGATGTAGTTGAAAGAGCCCTTGGAGACGGTGCGCTTGCCGTAGCCCTCGCGCTTGGCCCAGTTGTACTCCTCGATGGTGACCTTGTTGCCGTTGACAGCAGTGACCCAGGCAACGTGACCGTAGCCGCCAGCGTTGGATTGGGCGATGCAGCCGGGCTTGGGGGTGTTGTTGACCTTGACACCGGTACGACGGGCCGCGTCGTCCCAGGTGTTGGCGTTGCCCCAGTTGGTGCCCTTGTACTGGTTGTGGAACTTGATGCCCAGGCGCTTGTTGACGCGCCACGCGACGAAGGAGGTGCACTCTGAGAGGGGGTTAGTCGGGGGTCAAACACGAAAGCAGCCAAAGGGCGCAAGGGGAAGCACTCACGGCACTTGTAGTAGTTCCAGGGGTCGACGCCGCCGCAGCTGGACTTGTACGGGTAGTCGTTCTTGACGGGGCCGGGGACGCTGCCGCCGCCGCCACCGCCACCGCCGCTGCACTTCTTGGTCACGTAGCCGTTGGTGCCGGTCTTGACGTAGTAGTCGGCGACGTAGCAGCCATCCTGGGTCTTGTCCCAGATGTTGTTGCCGTTGACAGAGGTGCCGCTGGTCTGGCAGCTGATCTTGACGTCGGCGCCCTTCTTGTACGACTTCTTGACGGAGTAGCCAGTGCCGGGACCGGAGCGGCAGTTGACAACGCTGCCGGTAATGGGGTAGGCGGCGGCGAACGAGACGGCCACGGCCTCGAACACAGCGGCGAAGAGAACGAACTTCATGGTGACTGAATGTCTGCTGAAGAGAACGGAGAGAATCGAAGGGCTGATTATGAAGTGAAGGTGTTGGGGGTGTGTGAGGATGATGGGTTAGAAGTCGATCGGTCGGGGATTTGGCCGCTTCTTTATACACGCTTGTAACTTGTCTGTTGATACTTCTTAAAAATGAATGAATATCGTCGGCCTCGCTCAGCTCCCTCAATTCCTCCTCCCGGACACACGCGAAAACTGACGCGGTCTATTCCCGGACATAGTGGTCAGTCAAGAGTAAGACGGCCTAACACGGACCCCTTTCCGTTATTTGCGGAATCTGCAATCGGGAAATTACAGCTGGGGTCACTGGCCCTGTGGTGCGAGATTCGCCTGCGGCCACAAAAAGCGGGTGAATCCGCCCTGCCTGACCCCCCCCTGGCCTGACCCCCCTGCTTCCAGCCCCAGCTCCGCAGCCAACACTGGCTGACCCGCGCTGTCACTTATTTTAGCTGCAACGCTGGATCGGTTGAGACCATGACACAATGGGTGGGCCAGACCTCAGCCCTCGAGCTCCACTGACCAACAACTTGACAAGTGATAACCCTCCGACACAGATATCTTTTTACAGCGTCTTACCTATCTTGCAAGTTTGATTCTGGAGCAGGGGAGGAAGGTACCGAGGCAGTCCGAGGCCACCATACTTAGCACAACAAGGATCAAGAAACCAACTAAAGCATCGTCTGACGATCTGGTGACCCTTTCAAGTTGCCTCGGTCTGTTCGTTCAAGGAAAAACAAGTAAATCAGGTTTCAACGGCAGCTTGTTGGGCTCAACAAACTCCGAGAATCACCGACAGATCAGAGGTCACAACCGCATGCAGGGAGGCAAGACAACGACCTCATGTGTGGCGAGAGAACGACGTCAAGCGCGGCATCATCCTCTCGTCGGTGAACCTTTTGTGTTAAACAGCTTCCGTTTCTGGTCCAGAGCACATCAAGCGAGACTCAATAATTCGGCTAGCCGGCCAAGAAGATGGGGGGAAGACCTAGCCGGGAAGGTATCGAGAGGATCAGCCGAGGAGTCAACTCACAGAGTGATTGTTATCAGAAGACTTGGTGTTGTCTGTTGTTAACGTTACTTGGGAGACTTGCCATCGCGGCCCGTCCGTGTTTACCGGCCTGTTACCGTTGACCGGGCAGTCTTCAATCGCAAACAATCCCTCACCGTTCATCACCAACGAGCGTGGTAGATGCAATAATAATAGTTCGCTCTCGAAAATGACACCATGACGCCCCCGGCCTCTCGGGGTTGAAGCAAAAGATGTGCCGTGCTCACCACAACTATCGAACGATATCCCCGTGCCGCTCCGGCGTGGTCAAGCTCCAGGGCGTCCAGGCTGTTCTCAGTTGGGTAACCGTTACATTAGCCGCTCCTCGCATGATTATTCCAATAAATGACCCCCATGTTTGGCCGTGTCCGAGTGCACCGAGCAAGATGACTTGGCCTTCACATGCCCGCCCCAAACCCTCAACACATTCAAACATGTTGGTGTAAGTGAACGCTTGGCTGATGCCCAGGAGTCTTTGGTGTTCTCGAATGCGCGTCCTACCCGGATTCGATGCGAACAAACGAGATACAGGGTAGCATCAAACCCGTCGTTCGGATGTGTGGGGGACAGGGGGATCCCGGTGTCTTGTTCCGGAAGGAGGAAATCTGGTGTAACGCTGATGAGCCGTCTGATTCGCCAAAAGAGATCTATTTCAAGTGTTTTGTCCCCACTCTCCCTGACGATTTTCACCCATCTGGGCAAGCAGTGTGCCAGTGCCGGCCGCAGCACGCACCACCCTCCAATCTCTCGAGCCCTGGTTCGTCCAGGGGCGCAGGTCCGGGGACGAGAAACCTCCCTGATGGGGGAACTGAGGAACTTCGCGCTTGTCCGTCCAGCTCGACTTGTGCCGAGGCACTCCACAAAAAGAATCGATCAACATTCCAAGTCCCCGCCAGGATGGAACTCTAAGCTGCCCTACAGCGAGTAAGACGCCCCACTGCCGGCATCAGAAACGGATCGTCCCGGGTCTTCTCCCCAGAAACCAACACTAACCAGGAATCACTCGCATCGTGGACCCCTGAACCGTGTCGCTTGCAGCGGACGAAAACAGCACTGGGCAGACCTCCAGAAATAACATCGCGAGTCTCGAGGTAAGACGGCATGCCATAGCGCCGAGAGAGGCCAACACCGACGATCGCGACGCGGATCATGTATATATAGAGGGCGCGTTGGCGACGATACCATCTACATCAACAGCTCACTCTCACTCACCACCCAACCACTACAACATCATTTTCCGTTCTCACTAGACACTTCTAATAAGCCGTCGCTTCTTCCACTCTTTGAGATATTAATATCTTCCTTCAACCATCAAAATGAAGTTCCTCGTCTTTACTACCCTTGCCGCCTCGGCCATTGCCTACCCCATCACCGGCAGCGTCGTCAACTGCCGCTCTGGCCCGGGCACCAACTACGCCGTCAAGAAGTCGTATAACAAGGGCGCCGATGTCAAGATCAGCTGCCAGACCACCGGCACCTCGGTCAACGGCAACAGCATCTGGGATAAGACCCAGGATGGCTGCTACGTCGCCGACTACTACGTCAAGACTGGCACCAACGGCTATGTCACCAAGAAGTGCGGCGGTGGCTCGACCTGCAAGGCGCCCAAGTCCAACTCGGCCACTGTCGACCTGATCGGCAAGTCTGAGGGCTTCAGCTCCAAAGTTTGTACGTGGACTTCTTCACCCCTTCCTTCCTTCCGAGCAATCCGGCTAACTCCCGAGTCCAGACAACGACCCTGCGGGCTACCCCACCGTCGGCTACGGCCATCTCTGCACCAAGGCCAAGTGCGCCGAGATCAAGTACAAGATCCCGCTGTCGGTCTCCGACGGCAAGAAGCTGCTGGCCGATGACATGAAGGTACGGCCCCCCCCCCCCCCCCCCCCCCCCTTTACTCCGTAACTTCCCGGACGACCACCACCACCACCAAAGCAACAACCCACTAACACCCGCCCCTTTCCAGAAATTCGAAAAGTGCATCACGGCCATGCTCACCAGCAAGGCGGTCCTCAACCTGAACCAGTACGGCGCGCTGGTCAGCTGGTCCTTCAACGTCGGCTGCGGCGCCGCGCAGGGCTCCTCGCTCATCAAGCGCCTCAACAAGGGCGAGAACGTCAACAAGGTGCTCAGCAACGAGCTCCCCAAGTGGGTCCACGCCGGCGGCAAGAAGCTGCCCGGCCTCGTCACCCGCCGCAACCGCGAGATTGCCTTGGCTAAGAAGTCCGGCTCTGGCAAGGCCCTGCCTGTCAAGTGCTAAGCGCGCTTTGACTGAGTGGTGGTGGTGGTAATGTGATGATGGGTGGGTGGTTTGGGTGTGGGCGCTGGAGGGGTTCTGCTAAGGGGTGGATGGTTGAATGAACGGGGAGGGGATTATGGATAGATAGGTGGTTTTTTGGGACACTTCTTGGGTTCGATTCTGTATAAAGCTTTTTGAGATGTGAGTGTGTATAAAAGGGGTTTTAGTTCATATTACTTTCAACCAGTATTTGGTACAAAACCCGAATTCATGCTCTTGAACTGGCACGGCACCGAACACCACCAAGCCCCGAAGAGAACTCAAAACAAGAACTGGGCGACCCTCCGACCCGTGCGAACCCGCCCCACATCGCTATCTTATCAGCCCCTTATCTTATCACGCCCCTGTACCATAACGCAGCGCCTTCGACGACTCGGCCAACCCTCGAGTTTGAGTTCCAAACTGACCCAAACCTCGACCCTTCTCACCCCCATAAGTCACCCAGCGGCGCCGCGCAAGTCCCCCAGGTATAACTCCCTCAAATCCGTAAAGTCTGCCACGAACCGTATCCGCTCTGTATGCAATCCGTCAGTTTCAACATCAAACCACTTGACCACACCACCTTACCCATCTCACCACCTCCAACCCCCCCCCCCCCTTCCCCCCACCCAAAAACAACAACAGCCAGAGCCAAAAAAAGGAAAAAGAAAGAAAAGAACGTACCCTCAACCCCCCCAAACCCCAAAACCACCTTCTTCAACCTCTTCACCCGCGCCATCCCCTCCCCCTGATACCTCCCCGCCCCCGCCAGATTCCACGCCTCCCCTCCCCCCGATCCCGATCCCGATCCCGATCCCGATCCCGACCTTGAGCCCGCCCTGGTAGTGGCGACGGCAGCAGTCTCCCGCGCCGTAATCCCCGACGCGCCGCCGCAGATTTCTAGGACGACCTTTTTGCATCGCTGCTGCTGCTGCTGCTGCGCGGGACGGGTTGGGGCGGGGTCGGGGTCGAATTGCTGTTGTTGGGATTGGGTGCTGCCGCTGCCGCGGCGGAGCGTGCCGTCGTCGTGCTGGCAATCGCAGAGGGTGGGGTTGATGCGGATGTGTTGGTCGACTGTTGCGTGGGCGGGGGATGGTTTAGTGGGTGGGTGGTTTGGTTTGGTTTGGGATGCGAGGGACTGGGGTGGTGTTCTTGGGGGGGGACTTACTCTCGATTGCTAGTAAGGACGGCCCTGAACCGGCGCCGGCGGGGAGGAAAATGACTAGGCGGGGAGGGTCTGGGTGGTCGAGAATGCAGCCCATGTTTCCGCGCCTGTCGACTTGGATTAGGTTTGTTGGGCGCCTGGTGATTCCGACTAGAGACGAGTTGGACGAGCGGGATGTGGATGAAGTGACGGTCGAAGTGCGCGTTAGTGAAGGGACTGTCTGCTGTTCGAGGATAACGCTCCCGGTCGATGAGCTACGGGTTCGGTGGAGCGATAGGCTGAGTTGCGAGAAGGACGCGAGAGGATTCAGGACAGGTGCGTAAGGCGATGTCGCGCGTGGTTCAGTGCCGCGGCGGGTTTTGCTTGGGTGCTCCGGTTCTTGGAGTTCCTCTGGTAGTTGGGACCCAGCCGACAGTCGGGACGAGGACCAGAGCTGGACTCGGCCTGTGCTACTCCTTCGCTCGCCCCCAAGCACCATGTTTGCGAGCTGAGAGGTTACGACGGTGCGAGGGCTAGGATCAAGTTAGCAGTGACCGCCAACTGTGATTCAAAGATGGAGCAGGTGTGACTAACTAGTCGTCCACCACTTTGTATCCTGTCATCCATTCCTGAAACTCGAAAACATCTGCGGTCGCTGTTAGTTGATGGGTCTGATTTCGGCTGACTAGGACATGCTGTTGGATAGGTACCTTCTTCGCCCTGAAATGGCAAATTGAACCCGCCCTGGTTACGACTTCTGATTGGGTTCAAGGTGACCGAATAGGGCCCGCAACTTTGGCTCACGGCTTCGATGGACGGGGCCAGATGTACACAGCTCAAGTCGACTTGGTGTCTGGAACAGTCAGCTGCCACGCCTCTTTCACTACCCCCGTCTATAACTTACACTCGATCCGCACGGCCAGGGCCGCATGTTATGACGGTAAGATGCTCCTGGTCTCCAGCTTGCCGATATATCTCTAGTGATTGCTCCGTCAACGCGTTTGTACCTCGCAGGCGACTTGTGTGAATTTTCAAATTAGCGGTGTCAGTTCTGGGGTGCCTCTTCGTCTACTCACCAGGTTGCCACTCTTTCCCCACGCCTCGGATCGTCGTCTTTGGCTTGTAGGGGCTTCCACACCTCGTGCTTTTGCCAAGCATTATTGTCTTGCTTGAGAATTTCTAAGAGTCGATTCGGTGAAGGCGTGCCGTCTGCTGATCGGGCCAACTGGTCATGGGCTTCGACGACTTTCTAACTCGTTTGGTTAAAAACACCCTGTATAGTCTCCGGGCCAGTGAGACCTACCTCCTCTAGCTTGCTGAAGAATCGGGACGCTGTCATGCCTAGGCGGGGAAGGTCATGCTCTAGCTGGGCGACCGATATCGTGGTGGAAGCAGCCTGATACTCGTCACTCGCTCTCGTAGCCTGTAGAAGCCAGTAGGCCCTGAAGACATTTGCCCACTTGAATGCTTGAGCTCGTGTTGACTGCCGCCGCACATGCCATTGCGTCGCCCTATCCAGGTAGAAGACAGCCTCGTCGACGCCCTGACCCATTGGGATTGTGGTCAGGCTACCATATCTCGCCTTGGTGATGAACTCGAGAAACTCCCCTAGTGGCTCGGGGACATAGAGACGTTGCGGTGGCTCCACTGGCGGAGCCTCCTCTCCAAGAGCTCTCGCGATTCTGGAATCCAACAATCCTATTCTTTTGAGAACCAAGTCGGTCAAGTCCAGCATCAGGTTGGCCTGGCCATCTCTTGACTCACTGTTCTTGTGGTCAGCATTAGACTCGCGGCAGGGTCATTGGGGTCCCGGCATACATTTCAAGCGATTGCAGCGCCAGGGATAATTTCGTGTGGAGCACCGCAATGCGGTCTCGGAGCATGTCGACCTCATCCTTAACCAGCATATACCATTGAATATTAGACAATGGGCCTTGCGAAGTATTGTGGCGCTGTTGGCTCTCAAGAAGCTGTCGACAGGCCTCGAGGGTTTCTTTGAAGTTGTGAAAGATTTGGTTCAGTTGTCCTCTGGGAGCTAGCCGAACCCTCGTTCTAGTTCGGCTGAGTTGGATGGTAAGCTGGAGACTCTCGAGCTGTTCTTTGAGACCCTCGATGTCCTGTTTGAAGTCAAGGTACTGCTGGTCTAAAGCCAACAAGTTAGTGGATATGCTCACGGTCAGCCCGGGACATTGGGGGTTATCCTACGCGCATTGTGGACGTTGCTCCAACCGATCTCTATCACCTTGTACGCAAGCTCAAGGGCGCCATGTATCTCTCCAATCTCGAACGGAAGGAACATCGCTTAGTCTGTCTCGCGGCGGTACATTCGCACTAGTATACCGACTAACTTGAAGAGGCTGCCGTTGCCTGTCAAAACCCGATGATGGCCAAGAGACTGTCAGGCACGGCGTGGAGCGGCCATGATGGGACCGTGATAGTAGGGGGAACGGGATGCTGGAGTAAGATGAGGAGGGTGCAAGCTGTGATACAACGGCGGCGTTCCAGTGAAAAGAAAGTGAGGAGGGGTTGTGGCGTTTACCACCGACGGCTGCTCACCTCCCAGGATTGCACAGCCCGTTGGGCGCGAATCTGAACGGATTGGTCGACTCTCGGGGTGGTGTGCAACGTGACCTGGCACTTAAAACGTGCTAGCCCCCACTCCCTCGTGCTGCAATGCGAGGCATAATCCAGGGCGGAAAGCGAAATCCGTGTCCATGATTGGCAAAGATAGCCTTGTGGCTTGAGAAAGATTCCAAGTGAACTTGGGACTGCATGTGAGGCTTGAATATTTAGCCAATTGTCGGGCAATGACCTGCAGCCGCGTCGTTAGCGTCCCGAGAAATGCTGGGAAGGCTCTGCCGTGATCGAACAGCTGAACACCCCTTTGGGAGGAGGGGGAGGAGGCTGTGCTCTTCTCGAATGCCCCCCCCGGTTGCCCACCCTTGTGGTCAAATCTCTCCGTCTCTGACAGTTCCAAAACACTCAACATCTGTCTGGCCTCGGCCATCACGATACTCTATCATGGATCAAGACCAGCGTTCCGTGACCAGCGATGCCGAGCCGGGCGGGTTACAGGCGCCAACTACTGGCAATGGAGTCAGATGGCGCCGAGGACTCGACCCTCGGGATGTCGACCGTCTAAACCAGGCGAGAGAGGACCAGGCCGCCATCGTTGAGGAAATTCCGGTCGACAAAGCTGGCCTGGGGGCATTCTCGGTTGCATGCCTCTTATTCAATCGACTGATAGGCTCAGGAGTGTTCAACAGCGGCTCCGTCATCTTTTACAACACACAGAGCATCGGTGCATCGCTCTTGATCTGGCTTTACGGCGTGGTCATGGCGCTATCCGGGATCATTTTGTACATCGAGCTTGGCTTGACCGTTCCGAGATGGCAGCTGAGAGACGGAACCAAGATCTCGACACCTCGCAGCGGCGCGGAACTTGTCTACGTAAATGGCACCGAGATTAGTTCTAGCACACAAGCTGACCACTCACATAGTTCAATTACTTTCTCAAGGTTCCCAGATACCTAGCAACGTGTGTGTTTGGGGTCTCCTTCCTAGTGTTTGGAAACACGGCGACGAACTCGGTTGCTTTCGCGGTGGCGGCGCTCCAAGCTGCCGGAGCAACGGCGACGGCAAACAAAATCGTGGGACTTGCTATTGCTGCCAACACCTTCTCGTGTCTTTTGCATAGCATGTCCCGGAAATGGGGCATTCGACTGAACAACTTGCTGGGGTCTCTCAAACTCCTGATGTTGGTCGTGATGATCATCTTCGGCCTCGTATTTTTGGACAGGCGCGTCTCAGACGCCAATTTTAGTAGCGAGACGTCTTTTTCCAAGACACCCAAGACGCCAACAGGTGTGTACCGATACGCGGAGGCTTTGATTTACGTCATCTTCCCGTTTGGCGGTTTCCATCAAGCGAACTATGTGAGCGAATTTGGTTATGTGCCCAACCAAGGAGGCTCCCGCTGACCTGAACGAACAGGTCCTTGCCGAAATCAAGAACCCTCGCAGGAACTTTGCGTGGACGTCGAGCCTCGGCGTTGGCTTGCTTTGCATACTATTCATGACAGTCAACGTGCTTTATGTCAGTCCCCCCAATCCTGTATTGAGTAACCATGGACTCACCGTAATGACAGGCCGCCATTATTCCGAAGGAAATACTCTTTAAACCTGGCCAGGACATCCCCCTTGAATTCTTCATGCGCACCATCGGACGCGTCGCCTCCGAACCCAGACATGTTCGAGCGGCCTGCGGTGCCCTCAGGGCGCTGTCGGCAATCGGCAACGTGATCGTCTTCACGTTTACCGCGGCCCGCGTCAAGCAGGAAGTGGCCAAGGAGGGCATTTTTCCCTTCTCGCTGTACCTGGCCTCAAGTTACGAGTTCTCTCTCCGCCACGGCTTCCGGCGCCTGCCGGCCCACAAAGCCGGCCACCATTTGTATACGCAGAAAGCCCCTGCCGCCGCTGTCGCGTTGCATTGGATCATCACAACCCTCCTCATCCTTGCGGCTGTGCTGGGGACCGCAGCAGCCGAGACAGCGACGGAGGGCATCTTCAGCCATCTACCGGGCTATTCCCTTCTGCTGATGGCCTACGTGTACGGTCTCGACATCATCTGGTTCGCGGTCATCGGCGTGGGCATGTTGTGGCTGCGCCTTTGGCCGGGGAGCAAGTGGCGGTACAAATCACCCGTACCGCACGTGCTCGGGGTGGCTGCGGCGGTGGTGTTTACTGCGACCAATGTATTCCCACTGATCGCCATCTGGGTGCCGGATCCAATGGAGCCGTTCATGGTGCGATCGAGTGGTAAGGTGCCGTGGTTTTCGAGCCAGACGATGACGTTGGCAATCTTGGGTGCGGCAGGGGCCTACTGGCTTGGATTCAGGTTCTACCTGTGGCACCGGCGGACGAAGTATGGCGAGATGTTGAAAGTGACGAGGGTCCCGGTGTTCAAGGGAGGCCAGGGCGGACGAGGAGGATTGGTGCTGTTGTATGAGATCATTCGGGTGCAGCGGAAGGATTGGGTTCCGGAGGAGGAGAACCAGGAGAAGCAGCCCGAGAGTGCCGAGAATAGTATTTGATGGGAGGGGGCCGAAGGGAGGGACGGGCGAGTATAACTTGGGCAAAATCGAAACCCGATTTATACCAGGGCAAGACACTGAGGTAATATCCAGGCACTCGTCAGCATTCGAACTATGCGGTGAGCTGGCCTAGTTGTGTTTTGACTTTGGTCTCTTTGCTTGTTGGCTGGGTTGTTTGACGTCAATCATCAATGGTTCAATGGGAGACTGACTACCTTCCGTACCTGGGTGAGGACCAGGGAAGGACAAGGTTGAATTGAGAAACAAACAAGCTGAAAAAATAATTTCAGGTGCTGGATATACCACCATACAACGATGGCCACGTCTAACAAATGCAAGCATCCATGGCTTTGTGCTGCACTTCAACCCTTCCACGGTTGGGTTTATGCGATAATTATTAGAAACAATGGGCGGAAGGTTCAGAATGGATTTAAGGGGATTGAACCTGAAGGCGGCTCGATGGAAGAATGGCTGGGGGCCTTGACTCTTGAGCCAATAAAAAAAGATACCCAGATGCTGTTGGTTTGTTCGGATGACTGACAGGCGAGGTTGTAGGCCTCAAGCGGGGTCCAGTGTCGTGACGCAGCCACCCGCTCTTGCCAGAAATATATTTTCGGTCCTCCCGGTCAGGCTGGGAAGGCGATATTCTTTCTCCCAATTCCATTCTTTCCAAATTACAATGCCCTAAAACACAACAGTACCCCATTTCGTTTTTTGTCGGTTTCGCTCGGCGGCGCATACACCAAACAACTTGAAACGTCCACAGCTTTGGAAGCGACTTGCCATCTTCCCTTAAACTCGACATCACGATCCACACCAGGAACGATGGCACTCTTATTAATCCTCTATGGCCTGGTATGTCACGACTCATGTTATGACCCTTCGCTGAGCTAACCTGCCAAATTTCAGATCATTCTCGCCCTGGTGGGCACTGCAATGTAAACCTCCATTACTCCTCTCTCTCTCACCCCGAGACTAACAAACACCCAGCTACGAACACGTCACCATATCCACCCTCTCCCTCCCCGTACCCCCGGCGCTCACCATCCTCACCATCCTCTTACCGCTCCTCTCTCCGCTCACAACCCTCCTGGCTCCCAGGCTCTTCAACCAACCCCGCCACACCCGCAAGCGCCTGGCCATTCCCCAGGACGACAACCACCACAACAACAACAACCACCCCCAACCCCCAAACAACCGCACCCGCAAAGGAACAACCACCCTCCTCCCCCCCCTAACGCACCTCGCCCAACTCCTCCTCACCACCATCCTCACCACCCTCTACACCTCCACCCTCGCCACCCCGACAACCACCGACTGCCTGCTCACCCACCGCTGGACCACCTTCTGGAAGTCCCACGACGCGCCCGCCATACGCGCCATCCAGGACGCGCTCTCCTGCTGCGGCTTCCGCTCCACCAAGGACATGGCCTGGCCGTTCCCGCACGGCAGCGGGAAGGGAGCCGGTGCGGGGGCGTGTGAGGCGCAGTTTGGGAGGCACGAGCCCTGTCTTCCTGGGTGGGAGGGGGCGTTGAGGAGGGCGGTTGGCGGGGAGTTGGGGGTGGTGCTTGCTGTGGGGGCGTTGCAGGTTTTGGGGGTGGTTTTGGCGAGGAGGGGTGGGTTTGGGGTCAGGATGGGGGGTGGGGGTGGGGGTGGTGAGGGGATGGGGTGGATGGCGGGGTTGGAGAGGCTGATTGCGGGTGGTGGTGGTGGTGGTAGGGAGGGTGGTGTGGAGGCGGGGAGTAGGAGGCCGTTGTTGGCTGGGCCGGAGCAGGAAGGGGAGGCGACTGGGAATGGGGGAAGGGTGGTTGAGTCGGCGTATCGGGACATTTCAGATGAGGAGACAGAGGGAGGGGATGGGGAAGGGGAAGGGGGAGCTAGGCCGCGGATAGAAGAGCGCGGTCACGGTGCGTCTAGTGAAGGCCCAAGGGTCGAGCCGGCGCATCATGACCCCTGGGCTGGCGTTCAGCGGGCTTGAAGGGCAGGAGAAGTGGCAAGAGGTGATGTGGTGACAGTGTTGTCTGGTGCATTCGGAGGGGATGGATATGGTGATCGCTGCATCTGTCCGTTTTGAAGGGCTCGGATGTGAGAGGGTGATGGAAATGAAATACGGGGATAAAGAATGCAATAATATCATCGGGGTTTGTTGAGGATCGGTTGCATTCGTTACTCGTTGTAACCGACCCATAGTCATGATATCTTGGTTTCAGGCTGCATAGCAAAGAGCTTGGTTCAAAGAGACAATCTGGGTATCCTAATTCCATTCAACTTTTAACCAATCTATTGACCACTCATCTCGGCCTCTGTTACGCCATTACCAACCGGCTTCCCGGAATTGATCGTCTGCTGCAGCGGCGGCAGCAGACTCTTGGCGGTGTGCCTTGCCTGCTGTGCGAGCACTGCGTCCATCAACACCAGGGCCGCCATGGCCTCCACGATGGGTATGGCGCGCGGCACCACGCAGGGATCGTGGCGTCCCTTGGCCGCTAGAACACCCTCAGCCGCGCCGTCGTACGTCGCAGTCCTTTGCTCCTGGCCGATGGTGGCAGGGGGCTTGAAGGCGATCCGGAAGTAGATGGGTGCGCCGTTGGAGATGCCGCCCTGGATGCCGCCGGAGTAGTTGGTCTTGGTCGTGAGCTTGGGCCGCGCGACGCCTGACTTAACGGCGCCGCTCTCGGCCACGCTCGACGGAATCTCGACGTCCGCTGTCGAGATAAAGGGGTCGTTGTGGGTCGACCCCGGCACCTCACAACCGCCGAAACCAGACCCGATCTCGAAGCCCTTGGTGGCCGGGATGCTCAGCATGGCATGCGCCAGCTTGGCCTCGAGCTTGTCGAAGCAGGGTTCACCCAGCCCGCTCGGCGCGTTGCGGATGACGCAGGTGACGGTGCCACCGATGCTGTCCTCGCGATCCCTGAAATCGGCGATGGTCGCCTCCATCTTCTTTGTGATAGCCTGGTCGGGGCAGCGAACTGGGAGGAAGCCGTCGACACCCTTGCGGTCGATGGTTTGCAAGAGGGACAGGAATTCCGGGTTTGTGCTCGGGCTGGGGTGTTCGGGCGTGGGAGGGAACAGGTGGACGTTGCCGACGGAGCTGGTGAAGGCGACAATCTCGATGCCATAGGCTAGCTTCAGGTATTTCTCGGCAATGGTACCGGCCGCGACACGACCGATGGTCTCGCGCGCGCTACTCCTCCCACCACCGCTGCTCGCCTTGACGCCGTACTTCTCGAGGTAGGTCCAGTCGGCGTGGCTGGGCCGCGGGTAGATGTCCATGGTCTTGTTGCCGTAGTCTAGGAGAGTGTCAGCGGTGGATTTTCCCCTAGGGGCGAGATCTCCTACCCTTTGGCCGCTGGTCCTCGTTCATCACCATCATGCCGATCGGTGTTCCAAGGGTAACGCCAAACTCGGTCCCGCTCTGGATCAAGACCCTGTCCTTTTCGTTGCGCGGGGTCGTAATGGCGCTTTGGCCCGGTCGGCGGCGCGTCATCTGGGGCTGGATGTCGTCCTCGGTGAGCTCCATGCCCGGTGGGCAGCCATCGACGATGCAGCCGACGGAGCGGCAATGCGACTCGCCATAGCTGCGGTAGTCAGTATTTGTGGTCCGAAGTCTGATGACGATGGGAGACTGGGAGGTCTGGGAAATCTGGAAGCTCTGGGACGTACGTGGTGACTCGGAAGTACTCGCCAAAGGTCGACATGATGAAGGTTAGGATTACAGCTAGCAAAAAAAGAAATGACGGTGTAGCTGGGGCAAGGGCCGGTCCTCTTTTCAATATTTGATCGCGCTGGTGACTCAGCGGAGAGCGGCTGGAATGCCCGGTAAGAATGTCGAATTTGATGACAGGAAAAGCTCATATCCGGAGTCAACCCCTCCATCCGCCGCCATCGGACCCCGCTGACAGGGATGAGGTGGGATGGTGGGTCGCGGCCTCGGTGGGCTTGGCAGCATGAATGGAAGCCGAGAGTGGGTCCTCAGGGTTCAGCTCCCGCTGAGCTGCACCTCAGGCTGTCAGCTCTCAAAGCTCTGACCGATCAAGCATCAAAAGAGGAACAATTTCGGCAATGCAACAAGGAGGAGGATCAATGGCGGCGTAACCAAATTCTCATGAGCCGTTTACACTCCAGGTACTCCATAAGCCGAAAATAAGCCACCAATGGCTCTCCCGGCCCACCTTAGAGCCATTCCCCGGCACTTTTCCATCTCACCTCTCAAACATCACTTCACACCTCAATCTCTATCACCAACAAAACAAACCCAAACAAGACGTTTCACCCAAAACCTCTCCCGCCCCCTCCAGATCTACCGCTCCACCTCCACAGACCCCTACCTCAACCTCTCCATCGAGCACCACCTCCTCCAACGCTCCCACCCCGACTCAACCATCCTCTTCCTCTACACCAACCGCCCCAGCGTCATCATCGGCCGCAACCAAAACCCCTGGCTCGAAGTCAACCTGCACGCCCTACGTGAGGGCCTGCCCCCGCAACCACCATCATCATCACGATCAGAAACCCCAGATGCTAACACCAACACCCCCATCGCCCTCGTCCGCCGCCGCTCCGGCGGCGGCACCGTCTTCCACGACGCCGGCAACACCAACTACTCGGTGATCTGCCCGCCGGCCGTCTTCGACCGGGACCGGCACGCCGAGATGGTGGTGCGCGCGCTGCGCGGGCTGGGCGTGGGCCGGGCCCGCGTCAACGAGCGGCACGATATCGTCGTCGACGTGTCTAGTTCCGGCGGGGGCACGTTCAAGGTGTCGGGGTCGGCGTACAAGCTCACGCGCACGCGCTCGCTGCATCATGGGACGTGTTTGTTAACGTCGGAAAACTTGGGGCGGGTGTCGAGGTTGTTGAGGTCGCCTGCGGAAGGGTTTGTGAAGGCGCGCGGGGTGGAGAGTGTGAGGAGTGCGATTCGGAATGTTGGGGTTGATGGGGAGGAGTTTGTGGATGCGGTGGAGGGGGAGTTTCGGAAGATGTATGGGAGTGAGGTTGGGAGGGGGGTGGTTGTGGGCGAGGACGAGGCGTTAACGAATGAGGAGGTCGTGAAGGGGGTGCGGGAGCTGACGTCGCCGGACTGGATCTTCGGGCAGACGCCGCAGTTTACCTTCTCGACGCATCCGACTGAGGACGATCCTCGGGAGCGCCCGGAGGTGACGCATACATTGCCGTATGGAGTGAGTGCGAGAGTGCGCCCCCTCTTTAACCTGTCTAACAGTGCTAACAACCTCAGTTCAAAACACATTTCAACATCCGCCACGGCGAGATCCAGTCTGCGGCTCTAGCTGGTCTCGAATATCACGACTTTGTCGACGAAACCAGCCAGGACGAGATCCTGAGTAATGGCCTGGTCAAGCAGCGCCTACACTACATCACAGACTGGCGAAGGACGCTCAAGCAAGCCAGCCCGGTGCCCGTTGACGTCGATGATGCGGGTGAATTCCTCAACCACATGTTTGGGATCCAGCCACCCGCCGAAAAGGGCGGCGGAGCAGTTGCCCAAGCAGTCGTGCAAACGATATCCGATACCGTCCTCGGCCAATTCCTCGACGGTAACATTATTGATCTATAATACCCCTCTCCAGCCAGCTACTACACAGACACATAGATGCATAGACACCTAGATACTTGTAATCACGCCCTCACTCGGCGCTCGGCGCGCTCATGACCCCCCTGCCAAACCACTCCGACACCGTCTTGAACCGGTCCTCACTCCTGTCCAAGTCATCCCTAAACAGCTCATGCCGCTCGGCATTCTCCTCCTGGCTCTTCTTGAGCGCGCGAATCGTGGCATTATCCCGCGCACAGACGGGGCACTCCTCGCCCTCGACACCCCCGCCCCCGCCACCCCCACCGCGCAGGCAGCGCTGGTGGAACGAGTGCTTGCACAGGAAGTGCACGGCGGGCAGCTCGAGCGAGCCCATGCACTGGGCGCAGCGCGTGGCCTGGAAGACGGCGGGCTTGGAGCCGAGGTCGGCGATCTCGGCGCGGCGCGTCTCCGTCTCGGACCGGAACTGCGCCGCCAGCCGCTTGTTCTCGGCGATCTCCCGGCGCTCGTGCTCGATGCGCTTCGAGAGGTACGGCTTGAGCATGCCCATGCTGGCCACGCTGTTTTTGGACAGCGTCTGCACGACCTGCAGCGGCGCCATCAGCCCGTCCTTGTCGATGCGTTCTAGGATGGACGCGAGCTCGTCCGGCCCGGCCTCGTCGAGGATGCGCGAGTCCGAGGTGAGGTAGGAGAGTGCGGCAGGGTAGAGTTGGGGTTCTTCGTGGCCGTATTTGCGGAGCGCTTTGATGGCGCCCCGGGTGTCTTTGGCCGAGGTGTAGGAGCGGAAGATATCGAAAAGGAGGCCGGATTGTTCTTTGACGAGGGTGGTGCCGTCGCGGAAATCGGAGAGATGCGAGAGGAGCAGGACATTGGAATTTTCGATAGGTGGTTTGGTGGTGTTGTTGATGCCGCCTTGGGGTTTGTTGTTGATCAGGGTTTTGGCCCGCTGTTCCCACTCTTCACGGTGCTGGTCGTCGCCCTTCTTCTCGTTGGATTTGTGGAGGTACATTTCGAATAATGTGGTAGAGAGGTCCGTCCGGTCAGCTTCCGAAAGGCTGTCTTCGTTGAGACATGCCTCGAGGAAGATGATGAACTCGTCGGGGTGATCGATAAACGACGAGAAGGCGGTCCGGGGTCGTGGCGGGGTGTACTCTGGTGCCGCCGCTTCTGGGTTGACTGGGAGATCACCAGCGGTTGGCCTGGCGTTGCTTTGTTGCGCTGCCACCGTGTTCGCATTCATGTACGGCAGCGGTAACAGGTTGCTGAGATTCTGCACAGCATTGGCAGCCCCGACGACAAAACCGCCGTTAGTGGCAGGTTGCGCATTTGGCACCGGGGGATCTATCCTCGGCGTGAACCTCCCGGTGTAGTAATCGATGAATAGCTGAGTGGCATCTTTGGGGCAGTTTTCGATGAGAACTCGAGCATACTTCTTGAGACAGGAGTATGCCTGGTCTTGTTAGCATCTGCATCCGGAGAGAGAACATAGGATTGACTCACTGTGTCTGGGTCCAAGTGCCAGACATAGTCTAACGCTTCGTCATACGCTTTAGAATCCTCGATGAGGATGTCCACTACCAAGTCGTGCTCCCCATGCTTCTTGGCTAGGTAGGCTGCTTGCTCATAGTAGCCACCCTGCCGGCACATGGAGATGGCCGTGTCCAAGTCGAACTTGAGGTCTCCGGGAGATTTAATGAACTTTTCCAGCTTGTCGATATCCTTGAGCTTTGCGTAGCAGTTGAGAAGGAGGGTGGTATGGTCTGACGTGGCCTTGTGGTGATCATGGAGCTGCTCGAGGTACTCGATGAGGTTGTGTATCCTTTGCGTATCGAGGAACTTTCTGATCACTTGCGACGGCTCGGTGCTGTCGATGGCCTTGATGTATTGGGTCATGGCTCCGTCGTAGTCGCCTTTCTGGTAGAGGTAGTCGCCATATTTGCGGTAGATGACGTTTTGCTGCTGCCCATCCATGCCGCATTTTTGCGCCAGTTCAACAGCCAGCGTGTAGAGGTTGCGTTGATACATCATCTCCAGCCGTTGCTGAAGCGACTTTTCGTGGTAGCGAAACACCTGATACCGGTTAGTTACCTCACCTGACACCGTAAGGGTAAACACACCTTGCCATCCTGAGTGAGCATGTACAGGTCACCCCACAGCTGGAAAATGTGTTTGACATCGGAGAGCACGGTCTCACTGTGAGCAATGATCCTGAGGTCGGGATGTATCAGCGTGAAAGTGTAGATGCTGTCGGCCGTAGCCCCCCAGAACCGCCGCCGCATCGTGTCCGCCTCCCCGGCTGGCGTAGGCGGGGATACCAAAGCGATGTAATCTTGGTAAACCGAGATCAGCTTCTTCGGGGCCTCATACGCCGTTGGCGGCCCCCTGCCGTCGAGTGTGTAGTAGTAAACCGCATCCTCTCTCCCAACGACGATATTCCCCGTCTTCTTGTCCACGACCATGCAGCCGACCCCACAACCCGTATCCTCAACCGTCTTTGGCGGTTGTCCATGTCCCTTCCCGGAAAGGACCAACTTTAGAATCCGCGATGTGGTCGCGACAAACAACGTTGTCAAGCCGGCCTCAACATGTAGCTCCACGCCCGTGATCGGCTCGTCCGACTCGTAGATGATGCGTTGTTTCGTTCCAAGGTCATGGATCAGGTCGCCGCGTATGACAGTAACGGCGCCGTTCGCGAACCCGACCGCCACCTGCGTCAAATCTTCGGTCGCCGCGAAAGCCGATATCTGCGATACCACGTCAGCAACAACCACCACTACCACCACCACACCACCACCAAAACCTACCGGAAACGGCTTCTTCCCATTATTAACCACCACCGTGCTCAAACACGTCGGAATGCCCGTCTTCTTAACCGGCTTATCCAGCGCCCAGACCTTCAACACAGGCTGACTCTCGCCACCCCCTTCCTACAACAACACCACCAACGTCAGCCACAATCCCACCCGCATTCCAACCCATCAGAGGCCTACCGCAACAGTAACCAACAAACTCGTCCCCTCCACCTGGCGCATATGGGTGATACTCGGCGCCCCACCGCCACCCCCAACCACCGCATTGATAGTAGCAGCAGCAGCAGTGGTGGGCGGGTCATAGGCACGAAAAGTGCGCACGACGGTCCAGCTGGGGCCGACGATGCGCACGACGCCGTCGAAGCTGCCGAGGATGAGGCTGTCGGAGCCCGAGCACACGGCGGCGATCTCGTTGCCCTCGAAGAAGGAGCGCGTGTTGGTGGTGGTGATGTCGGGGTCCTTGGCGGTGGTGTTGGTGGGATTGGCGTTGGTGTCGTCGGGGAGCTTGATCTGGGTTGCGTCGAAGAAGTCGAAGGACCTCCACTGGTAGAGGGGTTGTTGGGTTAGTTGGGGTGGTGGTTGGTTTGGTGGGGTTGGGAGATGGGGGATGGGGGACGAACTGTTAGCGCCATGGTCGCATCTTTGTCGCCGAACCGGCGGCGGGTTGTGGGATGTTGACGGGCGGTGTCGCAATCTCGGATGCTTCTGCTTGATGTCTCAATGAACCGAACCGGAGCCGAGTGACGATGATGGTGGAACGTGAACCTTGCTGGTTGGACGAGGTTGGAGCTCAGGTGGGCTAAATGGTCCGTGCGTCTGGTGGTTGCTGTGTCTGGCACCTGGTTCATGACCCTAACCCTACAATACGAGCGTCCGAGCGTCCATAACACAGCGCCTTCGACCACTCGGCCATTCCTTGAGTTCGGGTGTCCCGCTCGCTCGAAACAAACCCCCTAAATCCCAAAACATTATGGACCTTACCACGACACAAAGGAGGAACGGCTGCGGGATTTTCAAAATTATATTAATTATTAGAAGGCGTGTCAGACGGTTCTAACAATATCCAACCTAAAATCAAGCCGAATCCCCCGAGGCGCGCTTCAACCTCTTCAAAGCACGCAACAAGTCTCCCTTCTCTCCGGGCTCTATCCTACCTGAGCCAATTATGCTGTTTTGGCCGAGATGAACTAGGGGAACCATTGATGGCCGGCCATGAGCACACTGAAACGGAAACGCACAAGCTGCTAGCTGGTGTACAAGCCCCGAACATTGTTCTACCGTGAGGGGATCGTTGAACATGATCGCACCTGGGGATCGTTAGTTCTAGTTTGTTCCAGTAATTCAGAACAGCAACTTACTCCTGCAAGCTCTAGAGTTGATCAAGTCCATGATACCATCAGGGCAATCATGAAATCTTGCCACCCAGCCGTTGTCGCGGCCGGCGAGCACCGGTTTCGTCGTCCCACTGCTGCCTGTGTCGTGGAGCTTCCACACCTCTTTGCGGAGCAAATCGATCAGAAGCCGGGGTTCCAAGCGGCATCTTTCCACAATACTCGGTGGTAAGCTTTGGGCCTCAACTGTGACTCGGGGCAGTGGTTCGGGTGTGACTTCGTACACGACACCCCAATGTGCGAAATGCTTTCTGAATCGGGCGAGAAGCTCTCCATCCTGCTTAGAAACGTCGAAACGCAGTGGTTTGTCCAAAGGTTGGGTTTGGGCAACTAGCTGGCCCTCCGGTGTTGGGCCAGGAACGAAGTAAGCTGCGAGTAGATTCTCGACTTTGCATCTCTCATCCGCGGCGTGTTGGTCGATGAGGATAAGCAGGTGATCCGATTCCAACCTGCTTCCTGTTGAGGTTGGTGGAGGATCTGCTCCCACTTTAGTCAGGATGAATTTCTGATCCACCTGAGCCACGACGTCAGCTAGTCGTAACGATGCTTTCGAGATGCGGCCCTCAAGCGTGGCCAGCACATTTCCATTCGAATATTCCGCGGCAGTCAGGTTCCCAAGGTCTCGAGATTCGAAGTTCCCACCGCCATGATCGCAGCAGAAAGAATTGAAGGCTTGGAAGACCTGGGGTATTCGCGATTCCGTTGCCTGGATGGTAGTTTTATGCTCCTCGGCCTCGGTAGGCTTCCACCTTTTGGATCGAGAAATATCCCCCAACCGTTCGTTGCTCCCTGGTCGGGGCTGAATTGTTTTTGATACTCGGGCGCTTGGTTTGACGGCGAATCCTGTGCGGGAGTCTATAAGTGACTTGATTTTGCTGGTGGGATCAACCCAAACAACCGTATCCCTTGCACTTCCCATCCTCGTATCAACCTCTAGGTCGCACGGCGGGTTACCGGACGGATCGTTCCCTGGAGCAGTGGTAGTGTCGGCAACATCGTCGAATGGCTTTCGTAGGAGGCCGCCGGACTTATCAAATAATAGATTTTCCGGTTTGCGAGTCACTGCTAAGATGTTTTGAGCAGTCGTGGGGGAGCCCGTGGTCTTCAACCCTGGGTCCTCTTGCGTGTGAGGCTTTGTCTTCGACCAGAACATGAAGGGAGACGCCAGTTGTTTCCCGTCGGTATGGGTATTTGAGGGCGGTCGGATGTGTTTGCGCGGCTTGTGGCTAGAAGGGGATCGTCCGTCCCTTCGGCCTACTTGACCATTCCTGCGTCCTGCAGATAGGCCTGTGGGCGGCGGTGAAGGCACAACAGCTGAGTTACGTTTTGGCCGTTTCAGCCGCTCGACGGCAGCGGTAGACTTCGGGCGAAAATGGTGTTTCTTTAGGAATTCGTATGTCATCACCTGAAGGAGGTCCGCAATCAGAGCAACGTTTTGGCGCCTTTCGTCGAGCAGCTCGTCCACGCCCACCAAGCTTGCTTCTGAATCTAGCATGATCTGAAGGAAGAACATGGGCCACCGGTCAACCCCCCTCTTTGGCTTGAGCTGTTTGCTCGTAAACAGTTGGGTTTCGGAGGGATACTCGTCTTTGGGGATGGTGGCATCTTCGATCATGCCAAAATTAGAAATTTCAAACATGCGGTTGACATCGTCGTAGAATAAATTCGAGCCATGCTCGTTTAGCAAAGGCTGAATACCGAGAGCAATGAACTGCACACGTTTGGTCGCGGCTGGCTGGAGGGATACACATCCTCTAACGGAGATTCCGGATGCGGTGGCTCCAATTGGAACCCACAACTTAAGGTTCTCGCCGTTTAGTAGAGAAGCCTGCGTCAGGAGTGACGTTGTCCGCGAGGCAATACTGGGCCCCGTACTTCCGGAGGTTCGGCTTAAGCCCACATCGCTCGGTACTTGGAGGGAGACTGTTCGGCGAGCACACGAGTCCTGGGCCGACACAAAAACTTCCCCTGGCCAGGGCAGGAGGGTAGAGACGATTTTGAAGATGAGCTGGTCGAATTCCTTAGACGTCCCCGCTCGTTCCACCTCGATCGCTCTCTGCTTGACGCGGACCGGCATGGAGCCAAACAGGTCACGAACGCCAACGCGGGTCCCGCTCATGAAGGCCAACACTCTTTGCTCTGGCGGGGCGGGAAGGTTGCGCGAGATTACCCTGGAATTGTGGATGGTCAAAGAGTTATGTGTTCGGTAATCCCGGTGGTGTGATGCTACAGAGAGCAACGACAAGGCTGCCAGGGAGGACAAGAACTCCCCACGTTTCCCATGGCACTCAGGGCGAGGGGGGTATTTCGATGTGTCTACGACGACTGTCAACTCTAGTCCCATCATGCATACTAAGCATCTCTCAGCGCACTCACAGTGGAGTTGGCCTAAACCTCCACCCTGCTCAAAGCTGGCTGGGGTAATGCCACAACCATCATCTTCCACAGTGCAGTTTCCACGGCTGTAGTCGACGGAGATGTTGACTTTGGATGCGCCGGAGTCCAGCGAGTTCTGGAGCAAACCACACACTGCAGCATTCAACGATGTGATGACTGTCGAGGACTTGATCTGTGCAACCACATCCTCGGGAAGCGGCTGTATAAGCATGATGTTGGCAACGTTGACATTTCGGTCGTTTGTCAGGTGTGTGTGGCGTATTAGCAAGTCGCTGCCGAGCCGCCAAGAATGGCCGAATGCTGCATCACCGCTCACTGCAGCTCCTGAAGCAAGCTTAACAAAACAGAAGCTCGGCGCATTAAGAAAGAGCGGTTTGACCCAAGTTAATGCAAGTAAGTCGTCGAATTTGGAGCAAAAAGAGGATCTAGATGACGAGATCCCCAGAACCCGGGGACGCCCGGAGTTTTCGTTCGTTGTTGATGTGCCGGGTGGGCCTGACGTAGTAGGTGAATGCTTGTAGGTAAAAGAAAGGCTGGTCGGTCTCGGGTCGCTGCTCGTCCGATTTCTCGGTGAAGGGCCCAGATCGACAAGAGTGGGGGGTAGTGGACCCAATTCTCCTTAACACGTGCAAGCTGCCGGGGTTTCTCGTTCCAGCCGGCCAACCCAGTCATCTCGGCGCAGCTTGGCTTGCCACGACTGGGCGAGACTTCAAGCTTGCATGCCATGGGCCGCAATTCAACCCACTGACGACCGCCGCCTGAGACCAGTAATCACCAACATTCTTGCGCGACAATTGTTTCTCTGGCGCCCTCAACACCGCCACCGGCGACCGCGCCTATATTTTCCCAACGACGTGAGCTCGAGTTATTGAGCGCATTGACGTACATAACTATAACCGTCCGTTCGCGCCCAAAGCCCGACCACAAGGCAGCAATCGTCTCCTGTCCTTACACCCTGTCCTCTGTGCACAGTCGCATCCATCCGATCAGAACTCCCCGCGCTCGACACTCCGATTACACCAAAGTACGACACCGTTTTGTCATCGACCGCCGCTCCCGATCGCCGCTATCACCGAACGCTTCCAGCCCTCGGACCTCGAGGGGCGCCGTTTCCCACTGCAGTGGGCATCCATGGCCATGGCCGAAACTGCAACCCAGCCGCACGGTATATTCCACCCCGCCTCGCCTTCCTCCCATAACACCGCCTGCGTTCTCCCATTTTTGCCTTACGCATCTCTTGTAAAGAACATTTTGTCCCCAACTGTTCCTATGTGTATTTGTCCGCTCTTTCGCCGTCGCTCACCACCTTCGCCGCCCCAAAGTCATGCCGCTCCTCCAGACGTGCGCAATGATACTGACAACGTAGCAGATCAGCCGGGTCGGCTGGGTCGTCGACGACCCTTCTCTGCCTTGATGAAGAAATTGGCGAATTTGAAAGCTACGTCTTCGAGCGAGGGAGGCCGACATTCTAGCTCGAAACGAAACGGTACCAAGAAGCCTCTGAACAACCCATACCCACAGTCAGGCCATATCGCCATCGCCAGCTCTCCGCGCCATAGCCACTACTCGGAGTCCTCGGGGCCAAGCCGGCGAATGACGAGCGCGTCGTCCCTCGAACGACCCGACTCCGTACAGTTATCAAACGATGGACAGCCGCTTCCAACAACAGGCGGCCGCTCGATGGCGCCGACAATATCAACCGAACAAGGGACATGCCGCTCCATAATCGCACCTTCGCATGGAGATACGTCGGGCACAAGCCGGACAACGACTGGCCGGAGAGGAGGTGACAGCACCTTTTCTTCTCCCGCGCCGTCCGTTCGATCTCTCACGACGACCCTCACGACGATACAAACAATCGCCCCAGCCACAGGCGGTAACAACAACCAAACGACCGCAAACCAACACTACCACAACTCCAACTCGCAAGTCATCCACTTCAACCAACCCTTCCCAACCAATTCTCCCGCATCCGCGATCCCCGCCCACCTGGCCACCGGTACCCCGGGCACCTCCAACCCGAGCACCTACCACACCGCAACGGCCAACAACCTGCTCACCGACAACGCGTCCATACTCACCCTCGCGTCCTCGTCCAAGCGCCGCCGCCGCCGCTCTTTCGACACGGACGCTTCCGTACGCGCCATGGCCCCCTCCTCCCTCTGGGGCGGCAGCCGCGAGTCCCTCCCGCTCAGCGTGCTCTCCGCGACCATGGACGGGACCGTCGGCGGCCCGACCACGCCGGGCCTGCACCGCGGCGCGAGCGGTGGCATCGGCGGGATCGGGTCGAACGAGCGGACGAGTATCTACTCTGCCACGGGAATCATGGGGACGACGACGGCGGCCAGTGAGCGGAATAGCTTCTACGCGAAGCAGGGCTATGCCAGCGGGGACGGGGCCAGTGTGCGGAGCGGGCTGTTTGGCCACGGGCGGTCGGATAGTGTGGCGGGGAGCATTGGCGGTGGCCTGGCCGTGCCGACCTCGGGGACGAGCCCGTTGGCGAGCCCGAGAGAAGGGGTTGAGGAGGAGGAGAAGGAGGTTGAGCGGGAGAAGGAGGAGGCAGAGAAAGAGAAGAACTAAAGAGGCACGATTGGTGTGTGTCTGTTTGGTATGGACTAATGATGGGACGTGGGTTTCGGGTCTGGGTATACGGTGGGTGGGTCAGGGGTTTTATGTCGGTCAGGCTTTTTCTTATGGTGTTCTGGGTAACCAGCTATGGCTGACGGTTCTCAATGGTTGGGTCGGAATGGTGTTCAATGGGTACCACATGACGGCAACGACTTGAGCTCGTGCAACTGTCGAGTTTCCCTAGGCGTACACAATCTGCTTTTTTCAGTCATTACCTAGGTATACAAAGAAAGGGTACTGCGCAGGGGCGGGATTCTCCGTGATACAACGCAGACCACCTCTGGTTCCCTAACCTGCCCCTCCCCCACGCCTTGCTTGACCCAAAAGCCAGACACAATAACCCGACCACAAGCACAACCAACCCCACAGGTACAGACTCATCCACCCACCCTGCCACGACCATCTCACGTACCCACCCTGCCACAGATGTACCCTCACCCCCCTTCCCTTTTACAACGAGTACACCTCCCCTCCTCAGTCCCACTCAGTAAGGAAGCGGCGTCAAATCCAGCCCCTGCACAGCGAACTTGAACGAGTCATTCCGCGAATAACTCCCCGCAGTGTCCAGGTCCAGCCGGCCCCGGATGCAGTCGGCAAAGTCCACATCGGCGTAGATCAGCCCCGTGTCGTCTTCCCACTGCGGGCCGGCCAGCACGTCCCCGAAGGGGGAGACGATGGAGGAGCCGCCGCGGGAGGTGAATGTTGGTTTGGGGAAGTTGGTTGGTTTGATTGGGACCGGTGGGGGGTGGGTGGTTGGTTTGGTGGTGGTGGGGGAGGGTGGAGAGCAGGGGAGGGCGATCTCGTTGCCGTCGTCGTCGAGCACGGAGCGGCGTCTGACTCGGGGTTTGGAAGAGGAGGAGGTGGGCGAGGGCGGGGAGCAGGGGAGGACGATTTCGTTGCCGTCTTGGTCGAGGACGGAGAGGCGGCGGCGGCGGTGGTGCGGTTCATGCGAGAGTGGTGATGGGGTTGGTGCTGCACCGGGCAGCGCGATTTCGAAGCCTTCTTCCGTCACGCATGAGCTGCGTCGGTGATGTGGCCCCGCGCGGGCCGGGGGTAATGCATCGGGGGCGATGCCGTCGGGTTCGTCGGCTTGGTCCGGATTGGTGGGGGTTGCGGCGTGGCCGTTGGGGGCTGGTGTGTTCCGCACGCACATGTTGGAGCTGAGAACGAAGCAGCGGCCTTCCATGGCTGCCGTGCGCAGGAGGGAGAGCCAGGAGTCCCGGCCATCGGCAGTCGGGGCGAGGTAGAGGTTGATGTTCTGCGCGTACAGGGCCTGTCGCACCAGGGGCATGTAGTTCTCCCAGCAGATGGCCGCTGCGAGGTTGATGCGTACTCCGCGGATGATGGTGCTGACCGCACGGAGAGTGGCGGGCGAGCCCTGGGCCCACACGAGCCTTTCGGTTCCGGTCTGAGAGTGTCAGATGGCTGGGTGATGATGATATTGGAGATGCATGGGAACTTACTGGCATGACCTTCCGCCGCTTCCCGATGACACCTAATGTAGGACATACATAGACGACGGAGCAATACATGCTTCCCCCGGTCTTTTCGATCAGGCCGGTAACTATAAATACGCCAGTCTCAAGCGCGATCCGCTCCAACTCCTCACGAGTGCCATCACCCCGTTTGTTCGGGATATCGTTGGGATCACCTCCGGTATCCGGCCCTGGCACGGTATCACTCGGCAGTTCCCTGTTCACCCAAGCTGGTCCAGCACCTGCTCCGTCTCCTACGGTATCACCCAGATCAACGGCGCTTTGGAAGTAGCGTAAGTATTCATCGCGGCCCTCTGCAGACCGGGATCCAATGACGCAGCCAAAGTGAGTTCCCCGAGGGTAGCCCCCAATGTAAGCCTCTGGGAGCAAAAGGATGTCGATGTCCTTCGAGGCGGCCTGCCAGGCGATGTGTTCAAGCTGGGTTAGGGTTTCAGCGGTAGTAGCCTGGGTTCCAGGGGAGGCCGTACCCAGTCGGATTGTGCTTGTCGTCATGTTAATGGTATACTTATAGTTTTAGTTATGTGGTGGTCGAAAGATCATTCGATGTTCTTGTCCATTCTGTGCCCCGCATGCAATCGGGAAGGAGGGGAGGGGGGGTTCATGTAATTGACATGGGTGAATCGAGCAGTATGACGTAATGCCTCTCGACTTTCCCAAACCAGACGAAGTTGATGTTGAGTACAGCTTTCATTATTAGCATACAAGACATAACTAAGTAGTTACTCAGTTAGAAACGTAAACTACACGGGAGCTTGTTCTCCCTTCACGAATAATCTGTCAAACCCACAGTTGAAGTGCATGATCTTCAATCGCCAATTTGGCTAGTTCGATACTTTGTCGCTGAGCTTGTTAAAGGGGGAGAGGACATCCCTGCGAATTAATGTGGCTGCTGACCCAATTTCATCGGAAGCAGATAACTGTGGGCCCACTTGTGCAACCGGAAATTTGGGGGAAATCCCCAATCACCGTGCGCAACCTTAAATTCGCCGTCAATCACGGACGACCAAATTCGCGTGTTCGGACAACCCACGGTTGGGACACTCCTGGGATTGGCGATAGCTCATCCAGCAGAGCCCACGTACAGCAACGTGCTGTTGTTGCTACTAGTATGTTACATTAAGAGTCTCTACATTAATCAGCATCATGTCTCTGTTTACACAGCAACACTTTGCTCCTCCACCTCCAGCACCTGCAGCGCCTTCTGCAGCGCCTTTAGCAGCACCTCCAGTGCCAGCTCCAGCGGTCGTAGCATCACAAACGGAACATGTGTATCAACCCACACCAATACGGATTCCCGCCCCTTCAGTCGCCTCATCGGAAACTGCCCCTCCGTCCAACGTTGCCGGCACTCGAAGACGCGCTGAATCCGACGCTTCTGATGATGAGGCCACATCCGGCAGGAAGACCAAGCGCCTGCGAATTGTCCGCAGCTGTGACCAGTGCCGCCGCAAGGCTGGACGTCCAGGATGTTCCGGCTTCAAGCCATGCTTCACCTGTATTCCAACGTCCATACCTGTTCCATTTCGCCGGCTTGATCTAATCTGATCCCATCCAGGCACTCGCAGGGGCATGACCTGTACCTATGACGCACCCTACACCAGAGGAGTAGCGAGGACCCCTCCTCCACCCCCCGAGGGGGACACCGGAGAGGCCCGGAACTACTCCCAGCCACTCAACGAGAAAGGAAAAGAACACCGTGATAAGGGATGGCTTGCCCGTTCATGCGACCACTGTCGGACCCATAAGGTCTCTTGTGAAGGCAAGCTTCCGTGCGAAAGGTGCTTCAAGGAGCGCGTCGAGTGTACCTTTAAGTAGTCGGTCTTCCCCCTACCCCCTTTTGTTCCACCTAATACTCAACTACGCCCTAGTCGTGCGTATCAGAGGTTTCCTGATGCCGTGCCAGCCCCCGACAAGCACTTGGACGAGCTGTGTCACCAGCAGTTGCGGGAGAATTCCTTGAAGTAAGTTTCTGGCTCCTCGGCCGTACTTGAAATTCGACGTGCTGACCCAGGCCTAGGCGTGACCGTCAGCTAGCCCTCGAAGCGCTAAATCGCCAAACGCCAGATGCCTCTCCTTTGGACCCAGTTGTCGCACCTCTTCAGTTCTCCGTCAGGTATGCCGGAGAGGAAATGCCACCGCTCTACTTTCTCCACAAAGCCTGGCGGAAGATCGCCATCGCCCAGGCTCTCGGAATGTCCAACCAACCCGGCGCTGACCGACTCGTCCTGCTTTCTGGCGACATGCCCATTAACCCTTCTCAACCCCACCGGTTCCCCGAGTCGCGAGAGATGTGGCGTATGATGCAGGACAAGTTCGCCATTGGCTGGACCGAAACTTTCCACTTCCTCCACCGTCTTACCACGAGGCTATGGCTGGATACCGTGTACCAAAACTGGCAGGACGAGCTACCACTAGAGTCTGGGATTGGCCAGGGGAAGGCTGCCGTCGCCTTGATGACCATGGCTCTCGGGACCATGTTCAACTACAGGAAATGGCGGCCCGGGAACAAGGAGCTCAGTCGGGATTGGCTCTGGACCGTTAACAATGGCGACCATCTGTTCCTCATCGCTTTCGCCCTAACTGGCAGCGAACCGGGCCCGCCCAAGTTGGAGTCTGTGCAGGCTCGCCTCCTCCAAACGATGTATCTCCTCTGCACCTGTCGGCTCAGCCAAGCCTGTTACGTCTTCGGCAACGCCATCCAGATGCTTACCTGTCTCGGTTTCCACCGACGACGAGGCAGAAATAGGGGTCTTGGCCCCGAGATCGTTGTCAATCCAGAGTATGCAAAAGTCCAGTGCGAAAGACGAACCTTTTGGTCGGCATACATCATCGACAAGCACATGGCCATGATGACCGGTCAACCCCCGCATCTCAGCATCGACATGACCGATCAAGCACTTCCGGACTGCGTGAACGACGAGGACATGGGTCGCGCAGGCCCCTTTAGGCACCACAAGAACGACTGCTACATGGAAGCATTGGTTGAACAGACCAAGTACGCAACCTCACAGCCAACTGTACACCTTCTGGTTCGCTGACGGATGCTAGATTGATGAAACTTGTCGAGAGGATAATGCGCCAGGTTTACACGCTCGACGACGTCCTAGAACATGAGAGGCTTGAATCTGCACTGCGCCTGGGAAAGGCTGTTGATGACTGGCGAGCTCAGCTACCGTCCCTCATGACAGCCGTCAAACCCTCGCTCCTTCATTTTACATGGCGCCGCCAGCAGATTATGCTGCAGTTGGCCCACTGCTACGCCCAAATATTAGCCTATCGGCCGTTTTTGACGGCGCCATACCCTGCAGACCGCGATAAGAGGCAAGCCACCGATTTTGCAATCCGAACTTGCATCGAGGCCGCCCGCGTCACGCTCACCATAACCGTCAATCTCGCCCGCGAGCAAGCAGAACGTGATAAAAGTCATTTCCATACGCTCCTCCACCCACACCACCTCACTTACATCGCGGCTTCGATCATCTTCCTCGTCCCCCACGTTCGGGATCGTCAGAAGTCCATGGGTGGAGGATCCCACCGCAACTACAAGCCTGAAACGGACCTTCGGCTGATCGAGCTTGCCAACAAAGCCGTAAAAGCTCTTATCCAGGGAACTAACCAATACTCACCCGCACGTAGGTGGGCCGTCATCCTCGAGGAGCTGCGGGACGAAGCGGCCCGGCAGACCCCCAAGGATAAGGACCCGAGCAACGACCCGAGCAACGACCCGAGCAACGAGCAAAACGGTGAGAACCGGGGCGGGGACCTCGACGCCCTCGACGAGCAGCTACTTGAGGATGCACTCCGCGCACATTGGGAAGCCGACATTGCTCGCGAAGCCGCCAGCGGTCGGGCTGACAACAGTGGCACCCCCACAAGCCCCGCGCCCATCCTCGTTGCACGATTATGGGACAAGTGGAAGACTACAGATTGGCTGGATCTCGATTCCGCGGTAAGTGATATTGAATATGCTTTGGATTCATAGCTAACTCCACCTCTAGGCCTTTGGCCCGATTTCTGCATTCGAGAAAGGCGACCTCCCCATCGCTCCCGCACCTTGATCTCCGTGCTTGCTGGCAACATGCTCCACAACATAACCTGCAACCCCTTGCAACGTACTCAACAACTATTCATCAGCTTGAGCCTTTGGGCTGTTCTCCAGCCCTACCCGCGATCTTGTTCACCTCGCCCCCGACCGTTTGAGCCCGGCCCACGATGCCGCCCACATCGAGCCCTCTTAGCAACCGTTCCGCGACCCCTCCGTCACTGTTGAGGTATCGCTCGAGCGAGTATGACGTGTCCCCTGAGGGTTGGCTATGCCCGAGTTAGTCGCTCCACGTCTGACATTTCGGAAACGGGCCTTCTTACTCTTCGCCCGAGAGCTGAAGTGTCCTGTCGATCTCCTGTGACATTATGCCTTTGTCAAGATATGGTGCTGGTAAGGGCAGTGCAAGTCCCGTAGGCTTTTTCTCTCGGTTTGGTACTATCGAGTTGGTGCTGGTGGTGTTATTGATCCATCGTCAAAACCAAGCCGTCTAACGGCGTCTTTTATCCTTCATCCACTACTAGACAGGTCCGACGCCAACGGCCACATCGTGGAGTTTCGCCATTGAGCATTCGGCAACCCGAAACGAGTCAGAGCTGCCAGTGTTCTCAATGCCTGACTGGTCCATATTGTCTGAGGGCGAGGCAGCGGTTCCAGGAAGCCGGTTCGGGAGTGGCAACGGCGTTAGACTCCTGGTGAAGTCTTCAGACTTCGCGATTGAGCTGCTTCGCCAACCTCAATATCGTCTTTTCGGTCAGTCACAAGGGTCTCATGGGAGTCCAGTATTGTGGCGTCGCTTCTGCCTTGGGTGGTATATGCAGGACTCAGCTGTCCGTCGGATGGGACCATTGAGGTCTCCGGTCTTTTTGGCCCAACACGGTTCCTTCTCTGCTTCGAGCACCACCTTTCGGCCCAAGTTTCGAATTACCGAGCAAGGACCGACATACGATGGGCATGCGAGTCATCGGAGGGTCAACTTGACAGGACACAACTGCTCGGAACGTCGCCATTGTTGCCTTCTCCGCCGAATAGGCATCGCCTCGCCTCCTTTTCCCCGCTCAGCCTTATCTGCGGGACTAATGTAACGAGCTGCGAACGATGATCCCGCAATTGAGCACTTGCATCTCGCGCTAGCATCTCGCGCAATGCCACCGTGACTGCATATAGCCAAGGCAGTGACCCCCGTGCTTTCCCCTCTTGGGCGCTGTGCTGCGTGTCATCGGTACAATCGGCCAATGCGTGCTCGGCCTCGTGTGCTCACCCGTCCCGACGCATGCGCCCCGGCGCGGGGATCGGCTATTGGAGAATGGCTGTGGTCACTCGGGATCCTGAGGACGGGTGTGTCACAGAAGTCCCGAGACGTCCGCTGAGCTTGATCTCCGCATTTGCGCAAACGGAAGTGGATATATAGCCCCTCCACGATATCAAGAGCCGCCGAAACATGATTTCTCCCTGGTCTTCTTCTATATCTGCCCAGGTCATCGTCCCACCCGTGCTGTCACTCCCATCCACTTCTCTTACCTTACTAGCACCCAACCTCCGTCTTCGGCCATCTCCACCCCCTCTCGGAAACACTCGCCTCCTGGCAGCCTTCTCATCTCACCCCCACCTCGAGTCACCTGCCTCATCCCCAACGCCCAGCCAGTGCTCCTCGCAGTACCACAACACACTCTCATCAAAGCTCACAATCACTACCATCTCAACACCCTGGATCTCATGTCTCAAGGTCAAGGCTTCCCCCTCTGACCAACTTCCCCCCGGATCGAACCCCTCCTCTTTCCGGTTCAGCCCAGTCGGTCCATGGCATCCCGCAGCTCAGGCACCCCGCCACCATCACACCACTCGGCTACCACGACCAACCGTGAAAGCTTCTTGAGCCGCAAGAAGAAGGAAATCGTGGATCGATCTATGGATCTCTTTCAAACGTCCTTAAATAAATGTCTTGATAACTCGGCTTCTTCTGCGTCCGCTGCCGCGGGTGCGGCGGCGGTGGCTCCCAAGCGGAGGGTGAAGAGGGGTAGAGAGGACGATGTCGACGAGAGTAACCGAAGTGTGGCGGGCGGGGATAAGGTGAAGAAGAAGAAGTTTAACCCCAAGGAGGGAAACGGGAAGACATTTGCGTGCCCTTTCTGCAAACACGATCCGGCCAAGTACAAGAAGACGAAGACTTGCTGCGGGCCGGGGTGGGAGGATGTTCACCGTGTCAAGTAGGTTTTGTCTTGTGCACTTAGTTTTAATTGGTTTATACTGACAATACGCGCAGGGAACATGTCTACCGCCGACACTCGCTCAAGAACTTTTGCCCTCGATGCTTTGATCACTTTGACAAGCCCGAGTTGCTCAAGAACCACCAGCGGGCTGACGTCCCTTGCAAGCTGCGAGAGAAGTCGTCAGACGCCATCACCGAGGAGCAGGAGAAGCAGCTCCGCACCAGGGCCAAGCCCCATGCCTCGGAAGAAGACAAGTGGAAAGAGATGTACCGGGCCATCTTCCCCGGCGAGAAGGTCCCCTCGCCATGTATGCCACCCCCCAACCTCCCTAACTCACCACTTGCCAACACTAACTCCCTCCCGCCAGACTACGACTCCGAAAACGACGCCGCCTCCAAGGCCGCCAAGAGCCAGTTCCAAAACCTAGACGAGTGCAAAGAATACCTCCGCCGCGAGCTGCCCCGCGTAGTGCGCACCGCCATGGAACAATACGTCAACAAGCTCTTCGAAGACATCCAAGAGAAAGCCAACCAAAAAACCGCCGAAATCATCCGCGACGTCGAGACCACCATGCTCCGCACCTTCCAGTTCCAAGCCGAGATCTCCACCACCACCACCACCGCCACCACCACCAACCCCGACACCCTCCTCCCCCACGGCGGCGGCGGCGGCGGCGTTGGATCCGCCAGCAGCAGCCGGCCTAGCACGCCCCCCAGCCCGAGCCCCGGAGCCGTGGAGATCCCCAAGGTGACGCAGCTGCTGGACGGCCTGCGGGAGGACCCTGTGTACAACGAGCTGTGCAACTCGCTGCAGTATGGGGTTGTGGACCAGGTGCTGTCGGGCGGCGGGCTGGAGTATGGGTGTGATACGTTCAGCATGGACTCGGCTTACTACTCGCTGTCGGAGCATGGGTCGTTGGGGGTTGGTGGGGGGTTTGATTTTATGGGGAGGTTGGAGTGAGTGATGGGGTGGGTGTGGTGTGTGGTGGTGGTTTGGTGGTTTGGGTGGGTGGTTGGTTGTAGGATTGGGGTGTATGGAATACGTTCTTTGGTGGGTTTTGGGTACTTTTTTCTTTTATGTTTTCTTGCGCGTTTGTTGGTTTTATGGGGTTATGGATGAGGTCACAGATTGATAGCTGGGAAGGGGCATAGCGTTTTTAAGAAGTCGGTTTTTGGGGACATTACCAAGGGGCTTTGGTTGCAGACAGTCTTTTGCTTAATATCACAAACGTCACATTATCACTTGCATCGGGTTGCTTGGTGTTGCTTGGTGTGCAAACAGGGACTATCGCATCTTGCTCCCTCGTCGATGACTGGGCCCCTTTTCATTTTCCTAAATATCCTTTCATTCCTTAGGCATCCTCTTTGCTTGATTTATGGGCCGTTCATTTTATTTCTGCCGACCTCATGATATCCTCTAACCAACCACACACACATCTTTAGGAATCGATCGGTGAAAGTGCCATTCCCTACTGGCCCAGCTTGCAGCGGGATATGCATGCTTTGCATGGCAGCCGCCGAAGCCGACTGCATTGTATCGGCGATGTCGTGCTTGCGCAGCGTGGTATCGCAGCGATGACTTGCGTGGGAGGGGGTCTAGATTGATGCAGGTGTCGTCAGCTGTTGTAGTTTGCGCATTTGCGCAAATAGAAGAAGGCCTCTCTGCATCCATGTTTCACAACAGTTCCATGTTTCAATCTTGTATCCTAATTACTTGTTATGGTCTCTCGTCATAGTCCAAATGGTGTCACCATGAAACAGAGCCAACAACAAGTCTCTCCATCACCACGAGCCAGAGCCTTTCCAAGACCCCAACACACCCCTCCCCATCTCATCCTCACAATCCGTTCCCTCAACCCAATCCATCTCCAACCGCCACGCATCCTCCCCCACCGCCCCCGTCTTCTCAACATCACACCCGCGGTGACCCCATTTCTCCGCAAACACCTCCCTCCCCGTCTCAATCATCATCCTCACCCCCCTCTCAAACCCGTCCGCATCCCGATAAAACGGCTCACCCTGCCCGCCCCTCTGCCGCACCTGCCACGTATTCCGCATCCCATTCCCCTGCGCATACTTCTCCCTCTGCATCCACTCCCCCAACGCCACCAACTCCTCCCACCGCTCCACATACCCGGGCCCGCCCAGCTCCTCCCCCTCCCCCTCCCCCTCCTCCTCCTCCTCGTCCCCCGCCAGCCGCGCCACGCTGCCCTCCAGCCGCAACAGCGCCCCCAGGTCCGCCATCACCTCGCCCACGTCCAGCACCAGCCCGATCGTGCTCTGCGTCTGGGCCAGCCCCGCCCACCGCGCCCGCAGGTAGGCGTCGCAGTCGGACGCGTAGAAGGGGATGTGCGTGTCCCACCCGCCGAGGGAGAGGACCGCGTCGCGGTTGACGAGCGTCAGGTGGTCGTAGGCGAAGAAGTGGTGCGCCCATGACGGCTGCGTCGTCCTGGGGTTGTTGTTGTTGGTGGTGTTGTGGTGGGCGGGGCCGCTGGTGAGGTGGCGGAGGGTGGTTACCGCGTTGGTGTACAGGTTGTTGGTCTCGCCTGTGGCGGTGATGTTGGGCTCGAGGGAGAAGACGAGCAGGTCTTGGTGCGACCAGAAGAAGTAAGGGTATTGCCGTTCGAGGGCTGTCCTGTTGGGGGGTTAGTTTGGCGGAGTTGGGGTTGGAAGGGGGAGGGTTATGGGCGGGGCTTCTTACCAGAGGTAGAAGTTCTGGAGTTGGGAGAACGTGAGGAGGGTTGGTGTCTGTCGGGGGTGGTTAGTTGGTGGCTAGTTTGTGGCTGGGTTTGGGGATAAAGAGGGGAGAGTGAGTAGTGGACATACCACGATGACGCCAACCCCTAACATGGCCAGTTGGGTGTGGTTCAGGTAGAAGGGGTTCTGCAGTGTCAACTTCCCGTCCCGGTTGGCGTACATGACGCCCGTGTTTTCGACGACATAGATGTCCTCCGCCGGCCAGCCCGCCGCGATGTAGCTCACGACGCACTGGAGCAGCTGCGGCCAGTTGCGTGTGAAGCCGACAAACAAGGGCGTCTGTTCCGGGTAGTGCTCTTGCGGTGGGCGGTTGATGCTTGGTGCGACAAGAACATCCCGAGTCGGTCGCGGGTTCTTGGACAACACTGGGAACGGGTCAATGGCAGGATAGACGGGTGCCGCGGCGGGCTTGTACACCTTCTCCCGGTAGACGGCGACCGGCGGTTCCCATCCAGAGATGTCCCAGTCACTGATCGGGGGCGGCAATTGATTGTGGTTGGGCTCTTGTGTCGGGCTCTCCGAGTACGCGGGAGATCTCTGTCGGATGGAAAACAAGCTGATCCGTAGATACAAGCGCAGGAGAAGGGCCACGAGAGCCAGCAATAGCAGCCGGTACCGCGACCGGATCAGTCGGTGCATCATGACGCCGGTCAAGAGAATAACACAACGTTAAACTGATGACCGCCCCTTGAATGGAGAAAACAAGCGGGAGTAGAAACGAATTGAAGTGATTGCTTCCGGTATGCATCATGTGGTAGGAGTCATCCTGCATCAGCGGTCGGACCGTTTGCCATCCACCGTGTGGCGAGGACCTCGGCTCGATAGCGAGCTGGTCCTTCTATCGTATGGCCCGATTGTGACGCAGAGGAGGCTCTTGCGCATCACCTCACAGGCTTATGCCGGTCTTCGATTTGAGACTATCCCTGACAGATCACGGACATTGTAGGCATATCACGGCCGGAGCACATCGCGACATCATCAACTCGGTGGAGTTTTACAGAATTCCATTGCCCGTGCTCTTCCACGGTTTCTTCGCGCCCGAGCCAATAAGCACGGAAGTGCGGCACGTCTCTATCCTATCCACCTCCCCCAAGTATAAGACTCGACTCTTCTCCCCGATCTACTGTACAAACAAAAATATACAGAACCCAGCGGGCCCCTGAGCAGGTAACGACAGCTCGAATCAAAACTATTAGACAGAACAAAAACAGATATAATGCAAGGGAATTATGAGCGTAAACGGGTGCGTACATAGCAGGAAGACAAGCAAATAGAAGCAGAAACGAAGCGAAAAGAACAGAAAAAGTTGGCAAGTGCCAAAGCGGCCAGGCGTCCATCCACGATCCCGAAGCCAGCCAAGGGGGTATGTAACGCAAGGTCACAAAGAGACCTGAAAGTGTAGACGCAAAAGTGAATACAACAAAATAAATGCCGACAACAGCAGGCGTCCATCCATCCATCCATCCACCCACCCTCCTGCCCGATCCCTCCATGTGTACACGGGTATATGGAACTGGTATATCCAGAGCCCAAACAGAAAATGAGAAGTATAAAAAAAGACGCAATAACAGGTTGCATCGCAACCCGAGAAGATATTAGAACATCCACAAAGGAAATGCACGATGACGCCAGGGTGGTGTCCGTCCGTCCGTCCGTCCGTCCGTCCGGCCACTCGGACCACCAACCCAACACCTCCAACAAAACAACGACTCACTCACTCACACAACTCACTCCTCATCCACCCCCCCCAACCCCCCGCTCCTCTCCCGACTACTCTTCTTCCCCAACCTCAAAATACTCAACCTCTTCCGCACGCTCCCCACCCCATGCCCCATAATCGACGAATGCGCGGGAGCCGCCGCCGCCACCTGCGGCGCCATCGTCTCATACACCTGTGCCTGGTATCCATTCTTCTCTCCCACACCACCACCCACACCACCCATACCAACACCACCGTTATGCACGGCAGTAGTAGCAGGCGAGGATACCTCCGACCCGCCCGGGCTGAGATCAGGCAGGTGGGACTGCGAGGGCTGCGAGCGGGCATAGTAAGGCCCGGCGCCGGAGCCGTTGGTGTGCGCGCCGCCGCCGCCACGTTCTCTTGACGATGCCGTCCCGGCCTCGCTGGTGGTGGTTACCTGCGGGAGGGTGCGGAAGAAGGAGCGGCGGTTATTGCTTGGGGGGGTTTCCTTGGTTGTGGAGGAGGTGGTGCTCTTGGCTGTGTTTGTGGTTGCGGAGGGGGCGGGTTGTTCGGATTCTTCTTGGATGGGGGCGTGGTCGCCGTTGGTTTCCCGCGGCGGTTGTTGTTGGTCCTTTTTGCGGCCGCCGAGGAAGCTGAGGCGGGGACCGCGGCCGGGGCGGAGGGGGACGGGTTGGACGACGGTGGCTTCTTCTGTTACGGCGCCGTTGGGGACGGTCGAGGTGGATTTGGTTGGGGCGTGGTGAGCGGTGCCGTTGAGTGCCGAGGGCGGCGAGCGCGGCCAGGTGGGGGATGGGGTGGTGGTCTCGCGGACGGGTTGGACGGGGGTGAAGATTGCGATTTCGGGCGCGTAGGTCGATTCGAAGTCTGCATGTCCGTTAGTGACGACCATTGATGGGATGGGTGGCTAAGGGGGCACTTACACCGCTGCAGATCCTCCACATGCCGCGTGAGGATCTCGTTCCCGCTCTTCGTAAACGTCGCCAGACACCTCTTAAGCATAATCGCGTGATCCACCAGCGCCATCTTGATGGCATTCTCCTGGGGATCAAACTCTGGCACCCCAAGCTCCGCATCAAACTCCCTCGGCGACGGGGTCCGCGACATCCCGGGGATGAGATCGCGATAGGCCACGACGCTGCTCTCCGAGTTGCGATTCACACTGATGCTAACAGCATCTACCAGCAGCTGCGCGCTCTCGTCCCCGCCCTCGCCATCCGCCACCTTCTTCTCCAGCGCCGACATATCCGCCGTCTTCCGCACAATGCGCTCGAGTGCCGTCTCCTTTGCCGACAGCCGCACCTCCTGCACGGCCACAATCTCGCTCCGCCTGAGGATCGTCGGAAACGGCTCCGCCGTGGTGTAGACAATCTTCTCGATGGAATGCTCCGCCACGGGCCCGCTGGTGTTCCGCTTGCTGCTAACCGAGAACGCCTGTGGGTGGGCCGAGATGAGATAATCGCGGATGATCTGTGGCACGCGCGCGCGCTGGAAGACGTGGTGGCCGAGGTCGCGGTGCGGGCTCAGCGTCGAGATAACCAGGAACTGGCCCTCGACGTCGTCGATGTGGTCGTTCGTGACGATGCGCGCCGACGGGTACATCTCCTGCATGCGGTCGGTGAAGCTCGAGGTACGCTCGGCGGGGGAGCCCTCGAAGACAAACTCCTTCTCGCGCACGCTGGCCGGGAAGCCGAGGCCCTTGAACATAACCTTGAAGTACTTAGGCACGAGCTTATCGCTCTTGGCGATGGTCTCGTAGATGGTCGCGATGGCGCGCTCGGTGCGGGCGAGCTTGGCGAAGTCGAACGTGTTCGTCTCGTACTGCGCCTGCAGCTCCTTGTACGCGGCCAGGGCGCTGCTCCAGGCCTCGCCGTCTTCAAAGTGCTTGATCATGTCGAAGTAGATGCGCTCCTTGCGCTCGAAGTGGGTCTGGGCAGGGAACTCGGGGTCCTGCAGAGCAGGCGTCGTCCTCAGGGGATCCCAGTCGTACACATCGGCATGCAGCCGCAGGGCCAAACCAGCCTCGGCGTGGTTCCTCGCGTCCGCCTGGAGGTTGGCCAGCTGGTGGACATAGCGGATGAAGATCTCCTCCTTTTGCATATCGCGCAGGAACTCCATCAGCCGTAGCCGGTGAATCAAGTGCGAGGCCTCGCCAGACCCATCACCACTGTGCACCGCAACCAACAAGTCCAAGAACACATCCACCGTATCCGTCAGATCTCTCAGCGCCGCAAAGAGTGCCTCATCCTTCCCCTTCGCGAGCGGCTCAAAACGCTCCAACAACTCTCCAACAAACAACTTCTGCAGAATACTCTCCGTCAGCGGCTTCGACTTGAAGTACACATCCAGACAATCAATCATCTCAGTCTGAATAACCGACAGGTCCTCACTCAGCGTCCACTCGCTAACAATCATAGTCTGCAGCACCTCAACCGCCATGCGGCGCAGGCCCTCGTGGACGCTCAGGCACAGCTCGACGATGGGGCCGACGAGCGTCGGCACGTACTGGACCTGGTAGCCGCCCATCTTGGCCAGGCTGTAGCGGGCGCGCTCCTCCAGGGTGGTGTCCCAGCCGATGGCCTCCCAGGTCCGGCGCAGGAGGTCGGCGCCGTGCTCGCGCACGTCGCCGGCGATCTTCCACACGGCGCGGCGCTTCTGCTCCGGGAAGGTCTCGAGCGCGAGCGACGGGCTGCCGACTAGGCTGAGCAGGGTGGTGAAGAAGAGCTTCCATAGCTCCGTGTTGAAGTTCTCGGCCTCGTCTGGGTGCGGGAGGAACGAGTCGAGCAGGATGCCTGCTAGGTATTGCAAGGTGCGCATGGTGGACTTGTGGTGGAAGATGTGGGCGCTGAGCCAGTCGGCGGGGAAGGTCTCGCCCTGAAGGATGCTCATGTGCACGCGCAGGCAGTTCTCAACGACCACGTGTAGGTCATCCTCGGCGAGCTCGAGCTGCATACCGGCGGGGGAGTTTGAGAGGGCCGAGAGGACGGCCGAGAGTTCGATGAGGGCTTCGTCGAAGGCGGCTTCGTCAGTGATGGAGCGCGCCGGGAAGGGGTAGGTGGTAGGGAAGAGGAGCGAGAGGCGGTCCTTTTGTTTCTTCGGCACGGCTTGGATGACGAGGTAAGATTGAATAATCTTGGGGATGTAATCGGGGATCTCGGGGCCCAGGTGTTCGATCTGGCTGGCGAGGACCGAACAGCAGAGGCGAACTTGGTCTTTCCACAGGTCTGTGACTTCGTCGACGTGGCCCCAGTGTGGTGCTATCCATCGGACGGTGTTGGCGCTCAAGGCGGAGCGTTGCTCAGGATGTGAGAAGATGTCGAGTTTGGCGTAGTTGATGATGAGCACCAGCTTGTACAACACAAGCTTGCCCTTGACGCTGGAGCAAGAATCCATAAAGTCGATAGCAATGTGCAGAATTTCCTCGGTCGTCAGCAGGCCGGTCAGCTCTGGGAGCCAGGTATGAAAATGTTGGACGGCGAGAGTCTGACTGCCGACCAGGACTGGCGCGCTACTGCGCATCATGGCATCGAGCGCTTTGAAGATGACGCGGAGGTGACGTGTGAAACCCGGATTCGAGCCCGTTATCCCGATGCCCGCCTCCTTGGCCTTTTGCTGGCCACGAGCATGTGTGATGAACTTGAGAATGTGCCTCGCAACCTTGAAAGTGGCTCGCAGCTTCCTTGCCGTCTCGTGCTCGGTAGGCTTTGACAGGAGCCGAGTGAAGGACCTGACCAAGCAGGGGGTCGCAAAGGGGTAGTTAAACCTGCTCTCGGCGTACTGGTCGACTAGCGGCGCTAGGTTAAATCGCCTGTCGTGGACGATATCTAGCACCCTGACGAGGGCGGTAAAGACGAGGTCTTCGTAGTCGTCATTGCCCGAGTATTCGCAGAGAATGCCAAATAACGCATCCAACACATCATTCAGAAGCTTAACCACCTCGATCTCAGCAACAAAAATGAACTGCTTGAGAAGCACCGGGATCCCCTCCCGGGATGAGTCCTTCCAAGCCAACAGGCCCAAGACGACCCGATCCTGCGAGAATCTTGTGCTGCAGAGGTAGGTCTCGACGCGCACCATGGCAAGCGGCCCTGTCACGTCAGTCTGGTGCTCGTCCTTGCCTCTGGCAGAGAATGGCAGGCTTAGGTAGCCACCCTTCCCCTGGGGGCCGGCCTGGGCAGCATTCGTGTGCTCATCCAACCGGTAGAGCAAGAGGCCGTGGGCCATGTCGCGGATAAATGCTTGCTGGTCCCAGAGAGGCATGTACGCCACCGCGAATGGCGGGCTCGGCGCGTCGGCGAGGTGCATCACCACGTGCCCCTGGTGGACGTCTTGCGGTGCGAGCACGAGCTTGACCGACTGCCGCCACGGCTCGCCGCGCTCGGTGACGACAGTGGTCCAGGTGCTGACGGGCTCGGCGTTGGAAGAAGGATGGATGCAGTTCTCAACACGCTCGCCGTCCGACCTGCGCACTTCGAGAGTGATCTGGAGGTTGTTCGCGTGGAAACTGCTCGGAAGCGCTGTTGGGCTCCCGCCGAACCGGGATAGCAGAGTCTGGCGGGTCAAGACGGCCTCGTCAATAGTCAGGTAAATATCGGACCTGGGCTTCGTCGGGGCGCCAGAGAAGCCCATCTTATTTGTCTTGCAGATGTTGGACAGTGCTGTGGGGGTCGCTTTGATCAGAGCATCCGCATCCGGATTGTTGAAGGCCCGGAGGTGCACCTGCAGGCGCTCGGCTCTCCTCGACTTCTCGTAGGATCCCGTCTTGCTGTCCATGATCTCGCGCAGTACTGGGTCCCAGTCCTCGCCATCTTGCCTCTCGGCTATATGCTTAGCAGACGGCGCCCAGATGCTCACGATGTGCTCGACCTCCTCCTCTTGCTTCATGACAGGGTTCAGCTTGAGCACGCCAACACCGACTGTCCTATCGGCCGTATGAGTGACCTGGCCGTCCACGGACGAGCGCCCCGTTTTGGAATTGGCGGTGCTCGGGGGCGCTCCATCCCTACTCTCGCTGCCTGCTGTAGGCGGCAATACGACTTCTTCTGGTTGCTCTGACAGCGAGTCGAGTCTGACGTTGCCCCTCGAGAATGCCGAGCGCGTGCTCTTGCCGGCCCACATCAAGCTCCTGCGCACTGATTTGTTTCCGGCGGACAACGGCGGCTTGGCGTGTTCTTTGGCAAACGGCGCTTGGGAAACGGCGCCAGACCGTGAGCTGGGCTTGGTTGCTATGACTTGTTGCGAGGCGCGGATTTTAACGACCAGGAAGAGGTCGGATTCGATCGAGGGGACGTCGCCGATCTCGGTGGCTGTCAGGTCGGCGAAGAGGGTACGCATCTGCATGTTCCGGGTCAGATGAACCAGCTGCCCACCAGCGGGCATCTCGACGATGTAGTTCTCGGACAGCGGTGTTAACGCTCCGCCCGCGGTCTTGGTAGCCAGGTACAGTACCACGGTGGTGGCTTCGGTGGATGCGCCGGCGAAACCCTTGATATCGACTAGCAGGTGGTGAAGCGCCGTTAGCTCAGCCACGGGAGTCGGTGTCTCGTCGAGCAAGCTCATGATGGACTGCAGTTTTGTCATCTCCACCACCGAGTCATCCCCAGTGAGCACCCGACCGCGCTCATGGGGGTCGCGCACAATTACTTCGGCCCCGCAAAGCTTGTTGACACGGACCAGGTCCCAGACAGTCTTTTCCCGGAGGGCGTCGTACTCCCAGTCAGTCAGGACGTCGTGGAGGAATTGTTGCCTCGCAAAGTTGAGAGTGGCGATGAGATTGGACATGGTGTCCAGCTTGGCGTACTGGCGAGACAGCAGCAGCTCGTGGAGGTTTGTTGAGTGCCATTCCCGCAGACAAGACGCGATCTCATCAATGAGCGGCTCCATGGCAGAAGTCGGAGTCTCGTCGCCAATCTTGAGCATGGGCACGGGTGCCGGCGGGCGTGGCGCATTCGGGTCGCGCTTCACAGGCACTGATAGTCGGCCAGGGGCGCCATTCGGCAAGCCCACATGCTCCCTCCAGCCTTTTGTCGGCGAGCCCCCCGCCCTGTCTCTCCTCCTCTTTCTCTCGGCATTCGTTCCCTCTATCCCACTCTTGGCCGAGTCGCCTTCCTCGAGGTGTATTGGTGACAGTTGGGGCACATCATCGCTTTCGATATCGTTGTCGTAGACCTCACCTGTTTCGCCCATCTCCTCCCGGACCTCGACACAGCTGCGCGGGAAGATGCCGCTAAAGACGCGGGCTTCGAGGGTTTGTCCCTTGACGCTCGTCAGCCCAGCCAGCAGGCTCGGCGGCGAGACCAGGTATCCACGGAGCCAATCGCCATTTGGAGTCTCTTCGAAAATGTACAGTTCGTCACCGAGTTCGAGCGGGAGGTCGGCCGCGTGCACAGCGGGGAAAGGGAAGGTCGCGACGGCGAAAGCGACCCGGGGCAGCGGTTGCCAGGGCATTGTGACCGGCCGGGTGGCATCTACGGCCTGATGTGGGATCGAATTGGATTGTGCCCTCGTGGGTATCACAAACGGGTTCGAAGGCTAATCCTGGAAGACACGGCGATTGCGAGCACCAACTGTTGGTTGAGATTGGATGCCGCTCTGTCAGGTTCGTCCGACCTTCCTTCGTCTAGTCGTCTGGACGTTTGTTTGGCGCGTCCTCAGGGCTGGTCCCCGACAAACGGCGGGTAGTGGGGAGGGTGAACGAGCGTTACGATATTGCAATCGTCGGGATTTCCACCTTCATCAGGGGCAGGCGATCTGGGTCGGCTTGGTTGCTGGGTTGTGGTGGGCCGTGTTTCTTCGCTGGCGGAAGGGTCCGCTATCGATCGTCTACCGTATTATCGGGTAGTTATCGGGGGAATTCATATGTCGAGGATGCTTGAACACAGACAGAGCTGTGAGTTGGGCGTGCAGTATTGCGCAGCCGCAATGCAGGGAACCGGCTTGTTGCCGACACGGTTCTTAAATTATTCGCGATCGGGAACGGCCGAGTCAAAGGCCAAGGAAATCCGGACAGAGAAGCCGGGGTGCCAAGCGATGGAAACGAGGGAAAATTGTTAGCAGAGAACTTGAAGAATAAACAGTGAACGGCACAGCCAGGGTCAGCACGAGCTTATCTCAGCTCTCATCACCGAGAGCTTTGCTCCCAAAGCAACCCTTTAGGTGGGAATAGAGAATGGTGGAGGAGCCCGGGTGAAGATGCAGGTGCACGCCAAGTCGCAAGTCGCTGCTTGGGTCAAAAAGTGGGAAAAGAGAGGGACCAGTTTGTGCACGGCCCTCTTCGCGCTTCGCCAATTGCAGCAATCAATCGATCAAGGAGCCCAGCGAATTGATTGCGTGCATAGTTAATGGCAATTCAGAAGCGACAGAATCAGAAAGGGAACAAAGAAAGCTCCGAGTTTTTGTTAGAAAACAAAAATGTTACCTAGTAGCTTTTACACAGTAGTCGACACCGTAACTTTTAATCGACAACTGTCGCCCGGTACCTCTTTCCAAAACCCTGGCTTGGCGTTGAGGAGACTGTTTGTTCCTTGCAGACAGTTTGTTGGAGATCTAGTTTAGGGGTAAGTGCGTCGTGTCTGCCAGGTATTCTGTACAGAGAGACCAGACATACCAGCCAATTGGGTTCATTCGCCCCGTCTCGCCCCCTTTTGGACGATCTTCAACACCATTCCAGGAACACCAATTGAGGAGCACCAATTGGACACGGACCTTTCTTTTCGATATCTGCGAGATTCTTCGACAGAAATGGCATCACCACCTCGTGTTGTCACCCGGCCGCCCAATGCAACGCCGGAGTTCCAACCGTGTCTTACACAGTAGGCGTTGATGCTCTCTTCTGTACCAAAAACCGCATTACATCCTCGCAGCCTCTTTCCGCAGCATATAACAGCGGCGCCCAGCCCTTGTTATCTCTGGGATTCCGATCCACTCCCTCGTCCAAAAACAGCTTCACTACGGCCTGATACACCTTTTTAACGGCCTATAAAAGTACCGTCCGACCCTCTTTATCCTGCTTGAGTTCGGCCTCGGCGGTATCCAGAAGCAGTTTCACCACAGCCTGATGCCCCCGTACAGCGGCCAACCCAAGCGGCGTCATACCCCAAGTATCTTTTACGTCGACTTCAACATTGCCCGTATCCAGAAGCAGTTTCACTACAGCCTGATGCCCCGCTGCAGCGGCCCGCAAAAGCGGTGTCTGACCCTCGTTATCCTTTGCGTCGACTTCAACATTGCCCGTATCCAGAAGTAGTTTCACCACGGCCTGATCCCCCCGTACAGCGGCCCACACAAACGGCGTCATACTCCAAGTATCCTTCGCGTCGACTTCAACATTACCCGTATCCAGAAGCAGTTTCACCACGGCCTGATGCCCCCCTGCAGCGGCCCACACAAACGGCGTCATACTCCAAGTATCCTTCGCGTCGACTTCAACATTACCCGTATCCAGAAGCAGTTCCACCACATCCAGATGCCCCTTCCTAGCGGCCCACGAAAGCGGCGTGTAACCGTTGTTGTTCTTCGCGTCAACTTCGGCCTGACCCGTCTCCAGAAGCAGTTTCACCACGGCTATATGCCCGTTAGAAGCGGCCCACGAAAGCGGTGTCCGACCAGCGTTATCCTTCGCGTTGACTTCAACACCGCCCGTCTCCAGAAGCAGTTTCACCACGGCTATATGCCCGTTAGAAGCGGCCCACGACAGCGGCGTCTGACCCCCGTCATCCTTCATCTCGATCTCGGCCTTACCCGTATCAAGGAGCAACCGGACGACATCCCTATTCCCACCCCTAGCGGCCCATGAAAGCGGCGTCAGACCCTGGCCATCCTTCGCGTCGATCTCGGCCTTACCCGTATCAAGGAGCAACCTGACGACATCCTCGTCGCCCCACCTCGCAGCGGACAATAGTAGCTCCTTGATAATAACATCTTCTGGGCCAACCTGGCTTCCTCTCCTGAGCAGTAGCTCCATCACCTCCTTGCGTCCGCTACAAACGGCATAAGATAATGGCGTCCCTCCAGTGTCATCCCGTGAGTCCGCCCGAGCCCCCGCTTGAATGAGCAGCTTGACGACGGCTACGTTCCCGCTCCAAACGGCATACGACAATGGCGTTCGACCATACCTATCCACCGAGTTGACTGTGGCTCCCCTTCCAAACGGTAGCCTGAGGCCTCGCATACCGATCCCCGCTTTTTTGATCAATAGCTTGACAACGGCATCAAAGCCGTTGCCTGCAGCCCAAGATAGCGCTGACCGCTGGTATGTATCATCGCGAGACTTCCAGTCGATGTCGTCCATCTTGAGCAAGCGCTTCACCGCTTTTCCCAGTCCGAAATAGGCTGCAATCATAAGGGTGGTGAATCCACGGGGGAAATCCGTGTTCACGCTTGTCCAATAGACTTTGAACCAAGTACGGCAACGCCCTGAACTCGTGTCGCAGATTCTCAGTATCGATTGGGTCATCGTGTGTTGCAACCCAATTTGCAATTCGCGGAAGTGGACGGCCCAGTACTTGGCAGAGTAGTCAAGGAAGACATGGTCCTCAATATACTGGGTTAGTGGCTCGTTTCCGTCACAGTCAAGAGGATGTGTCTCAAATTCTGCAAGAAGCAGGTGCCAGATGCAGACTTCAGCAAGAATGCGATGAGAATCCCGTGGCTGTAGCGAGTGTTTCCATTCCAGATCCTCGGGGGGCGCCACTGGGAGTATTCACCGGATCGTTCTGAACCAAGAACTCCTTCGCAGTTTGGTGAAGCAGGTAGATTCTCGAGTCTATGATGGCCACGAAGAGGCCACAGACGTCTCGTACCTTATCACGGAAACGGTCTTCGGGTTCGAGAGTGAAGTTCTCATAGGACCGGCGACCTTCTCGAAGAACCAACGCCACGTTCATCTCTCTCAGAGTCAAGGGTCGGGCTGCTGCTACCACGATATGCAGGATTTTCTTGGCCTCTTGGGGATTGCAACTCTTGGAGAGGATCCTGTCGTATGCGGCATCAACTGTTTTGGGCAGCTGGGAAGTGGCCCCGTCAACTCCGGTGCGAAGGCGGGAAGCGACCTCGACTGTTTTACCGATGGCGCTCTCGATCAAGTCCAGCGTAAGGTACACCCATAGATATGTCCTTTGACGACTCTCCATGAGCCGTTGCAGCAGGAGGTCTCGCTCGTTCTGTGCGAGCTTTAGTCGTTCGCCGATGTCCTGGACCCTGGCTCTGATGAAAATGTCGATTTCTTGGGAAATCTTTTCCCTCTCCTCGTCGCTTTCCCCACTCAAATGAATCTTTGGCAATCCGGGGATGGTTAGAGGCTGGAAACCACAGCGAATCCCATCGTAGGGCCGACTAGTGAGGAGAAACTTCAAATTACAGTCCTTCGCAGTGCTCTCGGGGCCATATAGTCGGCATAGCGCGTCGGCGAGCTGAGATCTCCCTTGACCTTCGCATTCGTCGAGCGCATCGAGAAGACAGATGATTTCGCCGGCGTTCTCATCCTTCGCGGCGCTCAGAAGGGTTTCCCAGAGTTCGCTGAATGAGTTGGTGAAATGTGCCCCGTTAATATCGAACCTGTCGAGAATTGCGTTGGACAGTAGGGCGCGCTTCCGATCGAAAAGCTGGTGCAAAATACAGCAGAGAGCGCTGACCGCACTTCTCTGGTCCTCAAAGTCGTCCTTGAAGAAGAAGTAGCACACCGTTCTGGATTCTGTAGTCGGAAGAACAGAATCGACCAGGTGTTTTGCCAAAACCGACTTTCCACATCCCGGATCTGCAGACACCCAAAGCAGCCTTGACGACTTGCTCTCTTCCCAGTCCCTGAAGAGCTCGTGAGACACGAACCAGTCACAGGTCCCCGGGACCCGGGGTGGGTTTCTGTCTTTTCGGTCTCGGTACCGTGATGTCATCAGGCACTTCAGCATCTCTATCTCCTTTGCCTTCCGGTTTGGGTCCTTCACAGGCGAGTCTGTACAATGCATTTAGCTAAGAAGTTCCATTTTCTCGACGAGGACGTTCTACGAACCAATCTGGCCGGCCACTCCTCCGCCCTGTGCGATGTTCTTCGGTCTAATCTCAGCCAGGACAGCTTTGGCGTAGGCGGCAGCCATTGCAGCAGCGTACGGTTGCCATTCCTCATTCTTATGCTCGTCCCCGTAGTCACAAACCCCACGAATGACGCCCACAGGAATGCGGTTCATCGTTCCGGCCGCCTCCATCTCAAGACCGATGACGTTGTATTTGTCTCTCAGCTCATCTCGGATCCGGGCATTCTTTACCACCTTGTCTCCCGAGCCTATAGGTCCGTACCACACCCGAGTCCGCTTGCCATCCGGCCGCCGTTCTCGTTTCGCTAAACGCTCAGTCCCGTCTTTGTTACTCTGGTAGAGCAGATCGTTCTCTTGTCCGGGGTCGACGAATGTGCCGGTGGTGTGTTCTTTGTGCTTGATACGTTCATAATGTGGCAAGAACGCTTTCGCATCATTGGGCGCCATAAGCTTGATGGCACCGATGGCCGATCTGACAACCGTTTCCGTGTTGGCCAATACATGGCCGAAGTGCAAGAGTTGAAACCCATCTTTGGCTGTCTCTTTGCCCAAGTCGTAGGCGATAAGGCCTGCACTCTCGCCCGTGGGCAGACCCACGAGAACGTCGCCTAGGCGGATATCGAGCGGCGGGCTTCGCGAGAAGTTAGGAAGGCCGGCGGCAACGCCAACCAGCAAGCCGAACCAAAGGTTTGGGAAATAGCGCTTGACCTGGCTAGCGAGGGCAGCAGCAGACCCAGTGCCGTATTCTTGACCAGCGGGCAGGGTTGCAATGATGGCGTTATGTCCGCACATTTCGCCAGCTTGGAAGACGTAGTCATCGCCGCGACCCATGGGAAACCTGCCTCGGTGTTTATGATCCAGCATATGTAGGGCAGCCCGTGCCTCGATCTCTAGCGGGGCGATCCATGCGACGGTATAGAGCTCGGGGTCCAGGTCGTCCATTGCGCAAGACAATCACGAACCGGAGACAACGAGGCGGCGTAGGTTGTTGAGGGGAAGAGGGCCGCCGTATTCGGGCGCTCGCGCTTCTTCGTAGTTCCGTCACGTAGCGCTCTTTCAATTCGACAGACGCAGGTATGACCTGGAACCCGTACATGCGGAGGGAACGAATAAATACAGCGGGTTAATAGAGCTTTAGCATCTCTTCATCTCCAACAGGAGGTGAGCTAAGCGAAGGAAAATGCGACGTCGCTTGAGGGCATCGGGAGCAAAGGAGGAAAGACAGGGGAGCAAACCCCCCTCTTCGAATGCATTGCAGCCTGACCAAAACACGGAGCTGTGATAGGCCTTTCAACGCCACTCACCGTGCTTTTGGGTGCCCGAGTCTGACCGTCCCTGGGCCAATCAATGCGGAGCACGAACGAGGGCACTGATCACTGGCAAGCAGCCGCCAACCGTGGTAGTTAGGAGGTATCGGGGCAGTCTTGCAAGACGAGGAAAAGGATGGGAGACTGGTACCGTGACTGCTGAATAGGTACCCATACCATGGTGTTGGGAGGACAGGATAGATAGGTAGGTAGGTAGGTACCTATATTGTCATGCCAGATAGGGTTAGTACCCAGTCCCTATACGCTGGAGAAGCGAAGAGCAAAGAGGAGATAGACAGATGGAAATCTTAAAAAAGCGTATAGAAGAGAAGAGAGTAAGCTGCGAGTACCATCCTATCATACCTACCTATTGTTAACATAGTCTTACTCGTGATATACCAGCGGTCCCTGCCGTTGCCGAAATTAGTAACCTATATACAACCTGGATAGGTACCTAGGTACCGCAGCGGGGCTCTGTGGTGGGCAACTACCGTACTTTTAGTGGGTTACGGTAGTTCTATAAAGTTTGACAGTTCTGAGAAGTACGGTTGCTCTCAAAAGTACGGTTGTTCTGGAAAGTACGGTTGCTGCACAGACCGCAGGGCCCAAAAAAACCGAACCACTGTACCGGGCCTTCTAAACGGCCCACTCTACCGGCCTTTATTAACTGGAGCTTCATTTGGTCTGAACATTACATTTGAAGAAAGATGGTTACGACAGGGAATTGAACACAGGAATCACGAAAAAAGGAGGAGAGCATTTTACAATTGAGCTATAGCAAGGGAATTCAATTAAGGAAAGAGGTTATTTCCTATCGTTATCAATACGATGGGAGTCTCCGGCTGAGGAAGTCGCAGGGCGGGAAGGCCAGGCACGGCGCGGCACCGGCACCTTATAGCCTTGGTTCCATTGCCATGCCAGCCCTGTTGGCATTGCCCGGCCCTGTTGGCATTGCCCGGCCCTGTTGGCATTGCCCGGCCTGTAGGCGTTGGCATTGGGCCATTTCGTGCAAGTCAATTGCGTGCAAGTCAATTGCGTGCAAGTCAATTGCGTGCAAGTCAATTGCGTGCAAGTCAATTGCGTTCAGCCTACAGGGCCATTACAGGGCTACCAGGGAGTTGGCTGTGGATTTAGCCAATTAGAACGGTAGAATTTGCGGGCCGATGTAACAACCGTACTTTTGAGAGCAACCGTACTTTGCTGAACAACCGTACTTTGCGAATCTACGGTAGTTGCCCCCTGCATTTTCCCGCTACGGTAGCCACGCGTATTACACACAGAATGGTGACCACAATGATGGTGTAGTCGTCCAGGACGAGTGCACGAGTCGTAAAGCGGACAAAAGTGCGCAAGGGCGAGATTATAATGATGGCTGCGATGAGGATGCCGCCGCTGGCTAAGAGCGCGGGCCCAGTGTCCTCGTCGGGAGGCAAGGGGGCCGGAGGACTCGGGGCAGCTTTGTCTCGTAACAGTGAGCAGTTGCGGGTCGGAGCAATTACGGCGGTCGATGAGGATTACTACGGGAAGCTGAGCAAAGTCTGCTGTATTGGCGCGAGGGAGGCTGAAGTCGCTATATTTCCCGCCCCGTACCAGAGGAAGCCAGAGGAAACCCGATGGTTAAACACGTCCGAATAAGCACTTGCCCCGATTTGGGCTGTCTGCGCTTGAAAAAACCGGTCGGGCGATGGACGAATGCAACAAGACGCTCAAATGTGCAGCTTCCAAGAGTTGCCGCTCCTATTCGATTGGCTCGACTCATGGCTTCACACTCTTGTGTCACCACATAAGCTGCAGGAATCTCAGGCGCAATGCTCGGAAAGGACACGGGGGGCCCTACCCCTTGGACCAACGGTTTGGTAAGTTGAAGTGCTCCCAGCTGCTTTATTCGTATAGTGCTGCCCAATTGGCCTCTTGCCGACTTCATTGGCGTTTCTCTCATTTTTCCTCTGCTACACGGTCAGAATGCCTGCGTCAATTACTAGGATTCTAATAAGCGCGCTGTTCTGTGTGGCTTCGGTTTCCGCCGACCCAGTCTACAACGGAGCGCCCCGGGATGCCTATGATTATGTGCGTGCTCCACCACCTGTACCTGCTGCGCCCTCAGTTAATGATAAAAAAACCAGATCGTCATTGGTGGAGGAACCGCAGGCTCGGCCCTGGCCGCCCGCTTGAGCCAAGGTCTTCGGTCGGCGAGCATTCTCCTCGTCGAGGCTGGCCCGATTGCCTTGGGAGAGGAAGGCATCAACATTCCCGGGAAAAAGGGGTCGACTCTGGGCACCATCTACGATTGGAACTTCACTACCACCAACCAGCCCGGGGCCAAGGACCGTGTCATTGGTGTTAACAGGGGGAAGGTCCTGGGCGGCTCCTCTGCCCTGAATCTGATGTCCTGGGACAGGGCCAGCATCCCCGAGTATGACGCGTGGGAAGATGTCGGAAATCCGGGATGGAACTGGCCGTCCATGATCGCAGCCATGAAGAAGGTCGAGACCTTCACACCATCTCCCCATTACGGGGAGACGGGAGTGGGCACGACGGGACCTATCAAGTCGGCCATCAATCGCTTCATCCCCGAGCATCAAGAATCATGGATCCCGACCATGAACAACCTGGGCGTTCGGCACAATTTGGAGTCCTTGGGCGGGGATCCGCTTGGGGTCATGTACCAGCCTAGCAACATCGACTCGGCCATCTGGAATAGGTCTTACGCTGCCAATGGCTATCTCCCGACGGCCGGATCCAATCTCCACGTCATTACGGACCGGCGGGTAGCCAAGATCAACCTCGAAGCACGCGACGGTTCCCAGATGGTAGCCACCGGCGTCACCCTCCAAGACGGCACCGTCATCCACGCCCGTGCAGAGGTTGTCCTTTCGGCAGGTACCATCCAGAGCCCCGGGCTCCTGGAACTGTCGGGCGTTGGTCCACGGTCCGTTCTGGAGAATGCCGGCATCGACCAAGTCATCGACCTCCCCGGCGTCGGCGAGAACCTGCAAGACCACATTCGCATCCAGGGCTCGTTCCAGCTCCAGGATAACTACACGTCGTTCGACGCTCTGCGCTACAACACAAGCTTTGCTGCCGAGCAACTTGAGCTTTGGCGATCTGGGCAATACTCAATGTACGACTACACGGGCAGCGGCTACACCTTCAGCAACTGGAGCCAGGTCGTCGGCAGCGACGCATCCGCCGCCCTAACGTCTCTCGCCGAGCAGGCCATCGGGACATCCCGCCACCCAGTCGACCAGAAGAAGCTAGACTTCCTGCGCAACCCCGCCGTACCCCAAGTCGATGTCATCTTCTCCGACGGGTACACCGGCGTCAAGGGGTACCCCCCACCGAGCACGCCGCTCTTCGGCCAGGACTTCTTCACGCTGATCGCCGGCATCATGCACCCGCTCAGCCGCGGCAGCGTGCACATCCGATCCTCCAACCTCAACGACGCCCCCCTCATCAACCCCAACTACCTCTCCAACGAGTACGACATCCAAGCCGCCGTCGCCGCCATCAAGTATGTCCGCAGGATCGCCAACACGGCCCCGCTGTCGTCGCGGTGGGTGGCCGAGTACGAGCCCGGCCTGGCGGCGGTGCCGCCCGAGACCGACGACGACAACGATGCCCAATGGCGCGATTTTGTCCTGAGCACCACGCTGTCCATCTTCCACCCCGTCGGGTCGTGCGCCATGTTGCCGCGGGACAAGGGCGGCGTGGTGGACCCGGCGTTGGTGGTCTATGGGACGACTAACCTGCGTGTTGTTGATGCTAGTGTGATGCCTATTTTGGTGTCGGGTCATATTCAGACGGCTGTGTATGGGATTGCTGAGATGGCGGCTGAGATGATGATTCGGGACGGTGGGAAGGGGAGAGGATGAGTGGGTGTGGGGGATGGGAGCTCTTGCTTGGCGGGCACTGGCACGGGGCGGTATGTCAGATCGCAGTGAACTCGGCCTGGGCTGCGGCTCTCGTGCAGACTGAACTTGAGAATAGGTAGTAGTAAGTGCAGCGGTCATGTTGTCATATACATCGGGCATTTCAGCCCAGGGCAAATATGGTGGGCCTTGAGAGGATCATGTATGTGTTCCAGTTGCTCTGGACTGGACGACAAAGTGAACGTTGCTGACCCATTCGACGCGAGAAACTGTGCTCTGCACTGGGGGTTAAAGTTTGGCTTTTAAAGTTCAAGCTATTACCTTGCGGCGTGTGCGCCATCACACAGATTACCTACCTACCTTAGGTACTTCGTCTCTCTATCATCATAAAGGTTGCGATGAATATCTCCAAGTGGCAAATCAACAGACGCGTGCGTGACTGCGTCACTCTATTGAACTCTAATCGGTATCTCTAACTAGCATTTAAGAAAAGTAATGAAGCGTAATTCCAAGATCGCAATACGGTCAGCTCCTGTCCCGCATCACATCACCACCCAAGCAGTGGCGCTTGGGGTTAAATCGCCACGCCCTTGTACCCGTGCCCGACACGGAGCCTGGGGGGCGGGCGTGATCTGTCGCTCTCGACGCTTTACGACGGAGCGGAGGTGGGAGCAGAGGCCGCCACTGACGAGCGCCGACGTTCAATGTCGTCGGCATCAAAGTATTTGGCGAGTTCGGTCTTGAGCTCGGCGGGGTTGTACCGGGGCATGATCTTGGCCATCTTGACGGGCGAGACCTTCTCGGTATAGGCGCGAGCAAAGTATAGGTCGATCTCCTCGAGGGATCGCTTGGCCGTCTCGGGGAAGAAGAGGTAGACGCAGGGGATGATGGCGGCGTTGAAGGCAGCGAACAAGATGTAACTGAACAACACAAAACGTCAGTGGGAGGGAACTCTCAACAGATGAGATGGAAGCAAACTCACGTCCTGTACTGCAGGTTGGCAAAGGCTGGAGGGGTGATCATGACGATCAAGAAGTTGCTCAGCCAGTTGGAGCAAGTCGAGAGAGCGTTGGCCTGGATACGCGTCTGGAGGTTGGTGATCTCGGCCGGGTACAGCCACGTCATGCCCAGCCAGCCGAAGGCGAAGAAGGTGTTGAAGCCGAAGAGGAATACGGTGGCAACGACACCGTAGAGGGTGCTCAGCCTGGGCGCGCCGTTGGGAAGCGTCTCACCGGTCGAGGCACTGCCGGCGAGAATAGCCATGGAAGCCATCATGCCAAAGGCACCGAAAAGCATGAGCTTGCGGCGGCCGACACGCTCAATCAGAGGCAGCGCAACAAGAGAGGCAATGAAGTACTCGGTGCCGTTGCAAGCGGCCAAGAGACGGGACAATTCGGGACCAAAGCCGAGCGAGTTCTCGAAGACGAAGGTGAGGTAGTAGGTGATGAGGTTGATGCCGCAGATCTGCTGGAAAAACTGGGCGGCGATACCGAGGCCGACGCGATGGAGATTCTGCGACACACCGCCGCTGAAGAGACGGGAGAACTTGCCGCCCCCACGCTCGACGTTGAGGGCAGTGATAATCTGCTCCATTTCCTCCTTGACAACCGTGCTGTCCTCGGGCGCGTCGAGCAGGCGGCCAATGACGTCGCGGGCCTCGTCGGTGCGGCCCTTCATGATGAGCCAACGGGGAGAGTCGGGAAGGTAGAGCAGACCGATCATGACCAAGACGGTGAAGAAGGACTGGAACATGATGGGGAAGCGCCACCTGACCTCGCCCTCGAGGAAATAGAAGCCGTAGACGACCCAGTACGAGATCATGATGCCGCCGGAAATGAGCGCGCCGGATATGGTGATGAGGAAGCCGCGGCGCTCCGGACGAGCACATTCGGATTGCCAGGTGGGAATGGTGGACGTGACCATGCCGTTGCCGATGCCGCCGACGACGCGACCGGCGACAAAGAGACCGTACTCGAAGGAAGCAGCCTGCATGACGGTGCCGATGATCATGACGAGGGAGCCCCAGAAGGTCGAAGAGCGACGACCCCATGCCTCGCCGTAGAACAGAATGAGGACAGCGCCGAGGAAGCAGCCAATCTGGTAGATGGCAACACCAGCCGCCTGGGTGTTGGCGTCGCCGTGGCAGTAGCGAAGGTCACGGGTGCCGTCTTCGTGGTAGCAGAGAGGGTTGGACCGTTCGAGGGGGGTCATCAGCCCCTGGTTTTTCTGGAAGCTGTCGAGGGTCAAGAGACCAGAGAGAACACCCTGGTCGTAGCCGAACATGAGGAAGCCGCACGAGGCGATGATTCCAATGCCCCAGTTCAGGGCCTGTCCGCGGAGACGCTTGCCACTGACCTTCCACTCGGGGAGGTCACCCATCCTGCTGCAGAAGCGGAGGAACCAGTTTTGGGGCTCGCCGATGACTGGCACGCTGGGAAGGCCGGCATGCTGGATGGTCTCGCTCTTGACGCCCGGGTTGGCGCCATCGTTGCCGGAGGTATCGCCTTCACGGCTGCTCGTCTCAGGTTTCTCAGACATTGTGGTGGTACTTGCCCTGCTTGGCGATCTTGTTCAACCGAGAGACGCGTCTTGACCGCGAAGAAGGGCCATTCAAGGTCTGCCGGCTAGGAGAGCTAAGAAAACAAGCAGAAAAAGAAGAAGTTCCAGAGAAAGAGAGGCCTCAAAGATGACGCAGGAAGGGGAATGGACCAGGCCATTGGTTTATATGACCTCCACATCCTGGTCGATCCCCCATACTCTCACCCCATCCCCCGCCATTTCAGTTTCTTTCCTCTCTCCATGCGGGCTCTCCATGCGGGCGGACGGGTATGCCGACATGGGTGGCAAACAAGACATCCCAACCGACAAGCCACGAGGTAACGATGTCGGGGAACCTCGTTTGGTTTTCGCCCAGAGTTTTGTGACGTGTGCCAATGCCAAATTTCCACTGTAACCAGGAGCGAGGAAAAGACTGGGTCGTTAGGAATCGGACCGTGGTTGGAAAAAGGTTTTGGTGGAATGTTTACGCCCCGCCAGGCAGCTGCCAGTGTCCTGGGCGGCCGGCAGTGCGGCAACCTCGGCGCGTCGGGTAGCCGCCTCGCTCGCGTTTTCCCCTGGTGTTTGCCCTGGTGCGGGAGCTGTGACATCTTGGCGCTTGCGTGCTGAGGCGGGGACCCTGGCTTGGCTGTAACGCGGCTGCTCGGGTTGGTGGGACGCTTCGGCCGGTTGGTTGGTCGGGGTCGGTTCGGGTGGGTCGGACTGGGCTGAGCGGGTACGGGATGTTGCCGCGTGGGTGGGGGGCGCAATCCCTCCATTTCATCTCTTTTTTCAGGTGTTTGAGTAAAAAGGTAGGTGAATTCAATCTTCCTACAATTGAACGGGTTATACCTACCTGGTGCCTCGTCCTCTGCGGAGCCAGCTGTCTCATCGTTTACCTCTAAACCTTGCCTAATTGGGCCTAATTACTCCGTGCAAACTTTGGAGACAGGCACTTCGTGCAATTCGAGGGATCGGGAAAGCGGCAGGTGAAGCAAGGTCTTGCATTCCCGAGATGGGGACCGGCGCCGAAAAGCTTGGGTGGATCTGAATGCGCTTCTTTACCCCTTTGGGAAACCCGAGCGGTTCTTCGGATAACCCTTTACGGTATCCCGTTCTGCCAAGAGTCAGCCTCGATTCATCCGGGTCCCACTCTCAACACCAATGTCAACGCCGCATGCGGCGCGCCGCATCTGCCGATGGAGCTGGGGTACCACAAACTTCACTTGTTAAAGTGGGTGAGTGGGATGTGGGATGCGCCAAGGTGACATGCTGCCCTTCCAAGTCGAGTTCTGGTAGAGAAATAAGACTTGAAATACGACTGAGTCGTCGCCCTGGCCTTGGCTTTGGGTGCGATAACAGGAGAGCGCTGTTCTTGTTGCTCTCTCTCGCTCTGTTTGCCTCTGTCTTTCCTTATGTTGGTGTTGGCCATTTTCCGAGGGCCGCAGCGATCATCGCTCGTTCCAGGGTTTGCCAAGCAGTGGATCTCTGCATGAGATACCAGATAGGTAGGTCGGTAACTTGAACCACCCACCACCCAAGGGAACCAACCTCCCAACCACCAACATTCGCACCCATCCATGTTGGAAGTAAATGCTGGATTCTGTGGTCAGACGAGGATTTGGTGGGCCTGTATGTCGGCCTGGATTGGCTGGTTGATATAGTCTGTGCGCCCCGGGTTTTTCCCCGGGTTTCTCTCAGGGTCTCTGACATACCCACCTCAGATTGGAGTTCTGTGGGGTTAGGAAGGTGAACTCACCTTTCTCTCCCGCCGAGAGGTCGCAGTTCATGATGACGGTGCGTCGGGTGGGTATCCCCGAGAACGCCAGCTAGCGCTCACAGGGGAGGCGGTAGTGCGACTCCTGGCTGAGGATGGTGTGGTGTTTGTCAAAGAAGGCCTGCCGCGGCTAAGGTGAGATCTCGACGCCGGTGGGCAGACGGGACGGGGCCAAGGAGCGGCACCAGGGCGGGCGTCGCGGCCACTTCGTCGGGGTGTCGGCGTCTTAAGCAGCATTACCTGGCAGCGTCAAGTGTCATTGGGACTGGAAATAACAACGATATTATAGCGCGCAACTTACTGAAGTATATTATATCACCAAGGCAGACGAAGCGACTACATGTACCTAAGCATCCGACCCACATCTAATACATCTTTCGGAAAGAAGAGACCGAAACATGCCGCGCCCCAACAGCGTCGTAACAGAGGAACCGCAAAGAAAAAATAAACAACAATACACATGGCATTGACATCATAGCCCAGCGATGCTCGTATCGTATAGATAACCCCCAACTCGGGCAGCAGGGTTATGAGCAGGTACGCCGTAGCCGTCGGGTTGCCCTTGAAGGCATTCCAAGTCACGTCTCCAGAAATCTGAAAGATTAGCGAGTAGGCTATCTAAATCCGCAACAGTGGGAAACACACGGCCACGCAAGAATAGGTAAGCAACGTTCCCTCTCGCGGGAAGGTGTCCGGGTAGCAACAAAAACACCGCGCTATATACCACTATAAGATACAAGCCGGTGAAGAAGCCGAAACTGGCTTGCGTGTATTTTATAGGAGCAAGCGGCCCCTCGTTCCTTGACTCCACCGCGAACCCAGCAATCGCTAGGCCCAAGTCCGCCAACGTTAAGGCCTAGGGGAAACCAACCATCGAGGGTGGACCGTACAGACAAGTTTGTTTCTGGATAAGAAAGGTTGTCGGTGCCAACGCGGCCCTTGACGTTGCATTGAGAGCGTCGAGCTACGGGTGTCTCCCAATGCTTGGGTGCCGGGACGGTAAGTAAAAGGCTTGAGCCTTCCTGCAGCTGGCCGTCGACCATTTCCCCCGCGCGCCCACGGCATTTTGCTTGCTACCCCCTGCTTGCGTGTAACAACTATGACGATGTGGCTTGGCGGGCAAACTCCTGGTCGATGATGGCCTGCATCGTGGACTTAGTCGCCGCGTCTGGCGAGGACGTGACCTCGTCCAGCAGGGCAATCGGACGCGCTCCCGTTGGGCAGCAGCGGTGCGTCCCGAGAGGCGGTCACAAACCCGCTCTGACGCATGATATTACGCGGCTAATATCCACCCCACCTCATTTGTGTTGCATCTCTTCGGGCGGATGTTCACTAGGTGCGGCCAGAACATCTCCAGTACCCCTTAGGGGTGGCCTCCCGCCTCACGGGGCATTACCCGCCGCCTGCCAGAGACAGGGTGTATCACCTCATCAGCCCGGTCATTGAGAACATCTTAATAACAAGCCGTACCGAGCTCACTCGCATCAAGCACATGCTAGGAGACCTGGCGACCAACGCCGCGGATCGCCTGCTCTGCGAGAGCTACGCCACCACGGCGGGGTGGTACGGCTTTCGCTTCGTTGCGGCGGTGGCCAGCAGGCAAGATGCGCGGCTTAGTGTGTGGCACGGCTCCAAGATCGTGTCCGTATTCCAGACGAAGGAGTCGCGGGAGAAGACGGTTTCAACGAGACGGGGCCTTTTGTTTACATGTAGCGTGACGATGTGAGATGTGACGCCTTGGAGTACATCACTTGGGATCCAGCATAGCGTACTACGGAGGTAAATGTCGGTGATTTACCGGTCTCTGTGTCATTAATGATTTTCTAAGACATCATTGTGAGCCGGGCCTACAGATCTGTAGACCTTCTTCTTCGACCGCATCTGTGCCTATCCCTTCTTCGCAAACAGAGAAGCAAGAACGCCAGTCTCAAAGAAATCCCGATCCTTCTCCCACGCCTTGAGAATGATGTCCCTTCCAATCGTCAACCCAGCAATGATGACCTCGGGGGGTGCCATCAAGGCACCCGACCGGGGCCGCCGTCTGTACCAGCTGATCAGCTGAACACCCGTATGGATGGCAGCCCGGAATGCCAGTTCCTCGCTCACCTCACCGTAGCCCTCAATGACGCCCTGCACGACGGGCATGACGATGTCAAGGTCGTTGAAAATCTTGCGTTCCCAAAGATCGCCAATCATCTGGCCAAAGTCGTAGGCTCGGTGGCCATACTGGGCAAACTCCCAATCGATGACGAAGAGCTTGTTGTCACCCTGGCCGGGCGCTTTCCACGGCGTGGTCGGAATGAGGACACTGTTCAAGTCAGTTTCGGAATCGCCATCGATATGATTATGAGCGACTCACTTTCCCGACCAGAAATCTCCATGGATCATGCCCCAATGCTCGTCCGCCTCTGCGAAGGGGGGCTTGTCGAACTCCTTGCCCAAGGCAGCCACCAGCGTCTCCAAGGTCTCTCTACATCCGACCAGAAGCTCCGGATAATTTTCCAACACGGGAATAATCGTATCGTAGGTGATCATGCGCTTCAGATCTCGCATGGGGCGATTCTCGCCGACCGCAGCGAGCGTGGGCACCTGCTCGGGCGCAGACGCCCAAGTGTGGTACGACCGCAACCACGAGCCCAGATGATGCCCAATGGTCAACGGGCTGGATCCCGGAAGGAGGTCGGCGGCGTTGGGCAGGAAGAAGGCGGACTTGAGATCGTCGGTACCGGGGAGGTCTTCGAGGACCTGCGTGTTGCTTTCGTGGCTGAAGAGGTAGAGGCGCGGGGTCTTGATCTTGGTGCCGTCTGCGGCCGGAGGGAACTTGAAGGACGCGACGGCGGCAAGCATGGACTCTTCGAATGTCTGTCCGGTCGGAGAGAGGGGTTAGTTAGCACCATGCGCTTAGTTACCTAATCTTTCGGAAGACCGAGATATGTTTCAATGGGGTTGGGCAGGGCAGCAATTACGCAGCGCGTGACATCTAGTGGGAAGTCCCGGTTGATGGCCACAAATTCAGTCGAGTGCTTGATGATCACCGTTGTCGCTGTGGATTCGTCCTCGGCGGGGAGAGGCTTGGCGAGGGTGCCGCGGAAGACGAAGTTGGCCGTACCGCCGTGCAGCTGGGTAATCGATGAGAGAGCATAGGGAGTCTGCGAGAGCTCCTCGACGATTCTGTCGGCGATTGCCTGCTCCTCGGTTTTGCTGAGCGGCGGCATGTTGCTGGTCGATTTCCTCACCGGTTTCGGCTTTGTGGTTGCGGGGTGAGTGTTTGCTGCCGCCTGTTTTAGTTATGTCGGGAGATTGTTTTAGTTGGGGAGATAAACAGCCGTCCAAGGGCAACCTTTCGCTGACTGCGCGGCAGGTGTAACCGTGTAAAGGTGCGACCCGACCCGGAGCTAACCACTGGCAAGACCTGGGTGCGGTGTTGGTCAGCATGACATACGGCCGGACGGTTCTCGAGCAGGTGAGTCTTATTATCTTGTACATGTGTCGTCACCGCCCAGTTCCTATCAAGTGAGAGTCAGAGAGCTAAACCCCGGCGTATAATCGCGACCTCAAAGAATGTGGCACATCAATGCCGTATTGATGACTCCAGGCCTCGACTAGCACTACTACCCAGGAGGTGGAAGTCCAACCTCATGGTGTCTAAAGCATATGGATTCAACGTGGAGCCGGTTAACTATCTCACGGAAAGAATAGGAGAGAAAAGCCCCCAATTCGGTTCTTAAGAGGCCCAGTGGAGAGTCACCTCGTACTCTATTTCTTTTAAGAGCAGCAAGTTGCTGCAAATTAACCTCATTTGGTGTATCTTAACATAGTTTGTGTTGAAGGCCGCTTTGCAAATACGAGTGTGATCTTGTCAACCTGCGGCTAGTTTATCATAGTTCTTTGAGGGCTCGCGTTGCACCGTGACCTGGCATTGTCTCACCTAGGACCTTCAATGCATTCAGCTAGTAGTCCACCGAGGTTTCTTCTGTCCTCTCAGCTTTTGTTTGTCAGGTGATGAGCAACTGGAGATGAAAATTTGATTTAGCGTTTATCGACATGATTTCTAGGACAATTTCCTCACTGCGTACTTGGTCACCTCGTCATCACCCCTCGCCATCTAAACTTCTTTCTTGTCGGGGCGGCAGACCCCCGCTTGCCTATCGTGGCCGTACGTCATAGGGTAGGTAGGTAGCTTCATAAAGTGTAGAGAGCCAGTGTTCCTGGTCCTTTGCTTCCATACCATCCCGAGACTGACCAACACAGCAGTCACCAATCTGCACATTACCAACTGCCACACCTCGCAAAGCCAACTACCTAGGTACTTTATCTATCTACTGCTCGGGGGGCCGAGTTATTCGGCCCGAGTGTCGGACCCGTGTGACAGGGAAGACCGGAACGCCAAAGCACCCTGGAGTGTCACAATAATTAAACAACCGAGCGGGGCAGCTTGAAGGCCCAACAACATAGGGTTTGACGTACCCACCTACGTACCTCAGCCCGTGTTCTTTTCGGTTTAGGTGGGGAGAATGATGACGACTCCTGGGCACCCGCGTGCCGAGAAACACGGTTACGCGTAAGTTGCTTGCATTAAAATAGAGATGTAGAGGAGGGTATACCCTCTATCTATAGGCATACAGAGAAACGCTTACACGGCTACTGGGCTCCCTTGTCTTGTGGCCTCTGCACCCATTTCAGCACCGTGGGTGGGTAACTTCCGGGTCAAGTCTGAGTCTGACGCCAACATTCTCCCATTTGATTTTCATCAGACATTTCTACCGCTATGCATAGACTAGGTAACATTAAACAGATCAGAAAAGAACAAAAGAAACCATATCCCCACATACATACATCACACCGTCCACAACAAAACCATCAAATCATATCCAGGAACCCCCCATATCCCAATCATAGCAGATCATCCATCCCAACCCATACATTCGTAGCATCGCATACCACATTCAAAACCACCCCTTCTCCTTCTCCTGGCAGCCCTTAGTCGGCTTCGCCTTCTTCTTCTGCTCCTCGACGGGCACCGACACGGTGATGCGGACCGTCTCGGTCTCGAACACGGTCTCCTCGACCGTCTGGGGCACGGCGGTGACGACGGTCGAGACGGTCTCGGTCTGGGTGACGACGCTGACGCGCACCGTCTGCGTGACCGTCTCGAACACGCGCACCGTCGTGCGCTCCGTGACGAACGGCCCCGGCAAAAAGGCAGAGGTGGATGCCTGCAGGGCGTCCGAGTCGGAGCCGTTGGGGTCGCTGTCGAGGTCGCACTTGGTTGTGGCATCCTCCTCCCCGGTTACGGCGTTGTCGAGGGCGTTGGTCTCAGCGGCGTCATCCGTAAGAGGCTGTTCAACCTCAGTCTCCAAATCCGACGACACCTCCGCCGCAGGCATTTCACCCACCAGGGTGACAGGGTACTCCGGCCCGCGTGGCGCGCACACATCGGCAGGGAGCTCGAAACTGGGAACTGGCTCCCGGGCCTCAGGCTCCGCAACCTCCTGAGCCTCCACAACATCCTCTTCCCGACTCTCCAGCACCACCTGCTGCTCGACCGCCTCTTCCACCACTGGAACCTCCTCCACAACTGTCTTTTCCTCAACCTCGACCGGCTCCTCAACCTCCTTCTCCTCGGCAGCCTCAACAACCTCAACCCCCTCCAACCCCCCAACCGCAGGCAACCTCGAACTCACCGACCCCTCTCCCACCTCTCTTACCACCTCCACCTCCCTCTCCCTCTCCCCAGCAGCACCACCACCAACACCAGCATAACCCTCCCCCTTCCCCCCCTCAAACCCCTCAAACCCCTCAACCCGATACCCCACCCCCTGCCCGAACCCGGACCCTTGCCCCACCCCCTGAACCCCCTGAACCACCGGCGCCTGCGGAACCACCTGCACCTGGTTTTCCACCCCCGCCGTCGCACCAGGCCGCTTCACCATAACGACGAGGAACACGCACAGCAGGATGATGGCGACGTTCTTGGGGTCGCGCAGCAGCACCTTGAAGGCTTGGGTCAGCAGGTCGAGGAAGCCGGCGTTCTCGTCGAGGACGATGGGGCGCGGGCGGTAGGGGTCTTGGGGGTGGTGGGTGCCGTCTGTGAGCATGGGTAGGGGGGGTGGGGGTGTGTGTTGTTGTTGGTGTTGTTGGTAATGAGGGTGTGATTGTGGTTGTTGTTGCTGTTGGGGTTGTGGTTGTTGTTGCTGTTGTTGCTGGTGGTCGGATGAGGGTGCTGGGTTGGGTGTGGTGGATGGCATGTCGCCGTAGATCTCGCGCATGCGTTCCTCGTCACGGAGGCGGCGCTCTTCGGAGGCGTCGACGCCGTAGCCGGCTGGGGTGCCGGCACGGACGAGCGTGTTGGATGCCGAGGGCTGGGGAGTAGCAGCGCGCATGGCAAGCTGCAGCGCCGAGGGTGCCGGAGAGGATGCCATGCCTCGTTGGGATTCCATCTCCGCTTCGGCGGCAAGATCAGCCTGCTGCCGGCTCGCGGCGCGCCTGTCCGGGTCTGACTTGCGCTCCGGCTCAGGGTCGGGCATCCTCTCCAGCTCAAGCTCCCGCCGCCGCTGCTCTTCCAGCTCCATCTGCAACACGGCCAGCTTCTCCAGCTCGTTCTGCACAGCCAACTCCACAATCGGCTCGACCTCAATATCAACACGCTCCATCTCCTTCCAACACGCCTCCCACGCCCCCGCCCTCATCAGCCCATTACTGGCATACACCTTAACGCGAAACACCCTCCCCGTCCCCAGATCCTCACACCGAATCTCACTACCGCACATCCCGCACCAATGTGTCTTCCCCTCAGCCCCATCCAGCCCCTCATCATCACTCTCCCCATCCTCAGGCACGTTCGCCGGGCCCACATAGTGGCCACACTCGAGAATCCGCGCCCGGCGCTTCAGCGGCAGCTCCAGCGCCTCGAGCAGGCGCTCCTCGAGCACCTCATAATCGTTCTGCGGGTGGGGCAGCAGAATGCCCCTCTCCAGGACCGTGTCACCCACACGGTCCTGCAGCTCGCGCCAGGCGTCGCGCAGCGTCTTGAGCGGGTCGCTGGGCTCGAACAGCTGCGCGGGTGCAGTAGCCCCCGCGGCGGCGGCGGCGGCCGCATCCTCCCCGGCGGTGGTGGCGGTGGCAGCCTTGGCGGGCGGCTGCAGCACCGAGTCGAGGGTGTTGAGCACGTCGCCCCAGACCCAGCGCAGCGGGAGGAGGGTGACGTGCAGCAGGACGAGGGGCGCCTCCTTGCGGGCCGACTTGAAGCGCGGCGGGGTGGAGCGGCCCTTGGGGGAGTACTGGGCGGAGACGGTGGGGCTGCCGAGGCGGGAGATGGAGGATGGCGGGCCGCCGCCGCCACCGTTGCTGCTGCGCGGCCCTTGGTGGTGGTGGTGCTTGTGCGTCGAGGACCGTGATGGCGAGCTGCCGCTGAAGACGGATGGTGTGGGGGATGCCATCTGCATGGCGCGGATCTCGGAGGGGGTGCGGAACGGCATGCGCGTCTCGCGGTGGGTGGGGATGAAGGTGAGTTTGGGGTCGTCGTACGAGGACAGGCCCGAGATGTTGGAGAAGTTGGACGCGGTGCGTGCGGAGGAGTGGTCGTGTGGCTGGCTGGAGGCGTACGAATCGCGCCGCGAGAAACTCTCCTTGGCTTGCGGGGTTTTGATGCTGGGGATGTCCGCGTCGTCGTGCTGATCAAGCGAGTAGAGGGAGCTGCGGGCGCTGCGGTCGCTGAAAACGTCATCGTCGCGCTCGTTGTGGGAGCTGCTGTCGCCAGCGTCGTCGCTAGAGATGGAACGGGAGGGAATATGGCGGGCTTGAGATTCGGAGGATTGCCGCCGGCTGTCGGGTGCATCGACGCTGAGTGTGCTTTGTCCCTCGTCGCCTAGGACGTAGGTGTCCTGTGAATCATTGCTCACAAGCGAGTTATCCAACTCATCTTCCTCTTGTGGCATGTCACCGCTCTTGCGCTTCTCGATCTTGGCGACGACGGCACGGGCGGCGGCCTGGATAAGGGCTTCGGTCCGGAGCGACGCTTTCCTATCGACAGAGCTTCGCTGACGACTGAGGTCCTCCTCGTTGACGTCTGGCTCTGCGGCCTGTGATATTGAGGCGTCGACATCCTCCGGACTGTCTTCCTCCTGTGGTGCGTCCGAAGCGTTGTTCGTCTCTTCTAAATCATCAACAGTCATTGCCTCGGCCGGCTCGTCCGAGGCAGCTGTGTGTTCTGCAACTTCTGGTGCCGGTACCTCCTCCTCTTCGGGTACTTGGTCCTCTTCTTGTGGCAGCTCGTCCTCCTGTGGCTCGGCAATGAACTCATCGACCGCGGGCTGCTCCACCGACTCGGTGTCGGCAACCTCTGTCTCCGGTTCCGGGACGTAATCTTCTGCCATAGGTTCTTCTGCCGGGTCGGTCTCGGCACCGGGTTCTTCGACTGCCTCGGCGTCGAACGTGGTATCGGCTTCGGGCTCGTCGATCTCGGGGGAGGGCTCGTCGCATTGCTCCGGCTCGGGGGCGGGTTCGTCGGCCTCCGGCTCGGGTGTGACTTCCAAGTCTGCCTCCGTGGACGATTCCGGAACCGAGGCGTCTTCGGTTCCCGGAGTTTCCTCCTCGGTGGACGTCGTCTGTGCTGCGTCCTCATCTTCTTGCTCCTCGGCCGCTGTCTCTGACTCTGTAATCTCAGGCTCAGGTTGCTCTTCAATTGGCGCCTCGTCTGCGAGTGTGACATCTGCCTCCGGTGCGGAATGTTCCTGCGCCTCTTCGGCAGCACCGCTTGTGGAGTCTTCGGCTACCCGCTCCGCATCCTCTACCGCCACTTCTGCAGCCGGTTCGTCCGGTGTGTCGGGAACAACGGCCGGGGCCTGCACCTCTTCGGACGAGGGCGGCATGGTGGCGAGGGTTTCGTCGTCCATGGGTGCGCTCAGACAAGATGGGTCGACAAAAATGTTGAAGTCCAGATCCAGGTCTGGTGTCTTCCGTGGCATCGTAAAACAAAAAGATCGGCTGCGAACAGGGCGGTGCGATCAAAGTAATTTAATATTTTATACAGGACAACGCACGCGCGTCCCCTGATATCTCGGGGCAACGGCGACAGCCAATGTGAATGCCAAACGGAACCTGGATCGGTGGAGAGGCTAAAGCAGCGATGCGCTGGCAGATGTCCGAAACGGTGCTGTGAGGCGGATTGTTTTGGCGGCGGAAAACCCGACTGGCCTGGGGGCGGTGACAGGGCCTCCGGACAGGCGGTGACGGGCCCATGATGGGCCGTGACAGTCGCTCAAGCCGCCGTTGGCCAATTGTTAGCCGAGTAAACAAAGCGTTGGCAGGACGATTGACCCCTCCTCGTTGTCTTGGCGGCCAGGGGGCTGTCAACACGGGAGACTGCCGGGGCGCCACGATGCAACCCAACGGCGCCTTCCCGATGCAGAGTCGCGTTGCAGTTCCATTTCCGATTCATGGAAGCTGCCCTCGCGCCGTTGAACGTCAATAACCAAACGTCGTCAACTTTGCCTCTCGACCTGGTCGCTCGATCAAGCTGCGCTTTGCCCCGCAATATTCGTGGTTTTTTTATTCGCCTGATACCGAATTGGGTACCCTGCTTTCCCGTGCCATATCTCCATTGTTGTTTCTTCATCCACGTGGGCTCTAATTTAAAAGGATCTTGTGTCTCTCGGAACACTTGGTGATTTGGCAGCCAGTGGAGACGAGCACTTGCACGACATAACCCGCCCCGCCTTCCTCATCATCCAAGGGGCGTCAATGGGATCGACCTCAACATTGGTGGAGCCTGGCAAAAGAGAAAAACACAATCACTCCCATCACAGCCCACCGCACGGATTGTCCCGAGTATTCGTACAGCAGATGGCTTCCTCGAACATACGCAATGACTCTGGTGATAATAACGAGGCTGTAAGTCCCTAAAAATCGTTTGTGAGAGCTTCGGGTCGCTAATAACCAGGCTGCTAGTCTTTAAGCTAAAAATATATCTTTACTTCCTTATCACCTAGAATTGAAACGCTCAAGTAATATCCCTCCGCTTTGCTTCCTCGTGTATCCTCAGTTCCCATCCAGCTGGATTGGACAACCCCCTTGAGTTGGGGTTTAGATGACCTTGCTTTACAAACGGTCAGCAACTTGCAGGGTTTCAACGACGACACTCTTAAAGTCTGCTCACAAGCTGCCGATGGCGCAACCCGGGAAGGGCGTGAAGCAGTGCGTGCCGCCCTGCAGCGCCGAGCCACTGCCCTGGCAGTTGACGTTGCAATAGGTGATGACCGAGTTCGGGGGGTTGTCAATCTCGAGGCGCTGCCAGTTCACGCCGATCGGGGCGCTGTAGCAGTTGCCCGCGCTGCCGGAGGACCTGTGTCGGACAGAAGAAGCCTTGTCAGAAGACACTATCAACTTGGGAGGAACGGGAACTTACGGGGGTCCATTGTTGGGCGGAGAGGTGCTGCCCGCCGCGGCGTCGTGGTTGCAATTGCTGTTCGCGTCTAGGTCATGGAAGTTAGGAGACGTGGCCAATGCACACAAGGACAGAAACCGGCTCACAAAATCGGAACTGGAAAGCTTCCGCCTGACCCGACGCCAGAACGGCGGTGATGATGGTGAAGAGGGTGAACTTGGCCATTGCGGTGGTGTTGAGCTGTTGGATGAAGATGCAAAGTGAGGTTTGTGGTTTCGAGTGATGGTTGATGTCTGGTATGTCATATGATCTTGTCAGGGCACGTGTCTGCCTTATTTATACACGACGACGCTCCGGAGATGTCGGGAAACGTTGACCGAACTTGATGCTTTCAGTTCATCACGCGACCTATGCAGGGTTCTAACCATCGCTTGTCTGGTGCCGGTCGCCTCGCTTGTTGAGTTGATCCTCCATAGTGGCCCTGTCAGGCGAAGACTTACAGAAGAGAGAGTGAAAAGGACCCATAATTATTTGATCTCAAGTTACACAACCGCTGGCCACAGCAATTATTGCTTACCAACGCACGTCAGCGTAGCTTCAGCGCCCGTTTTGTGTAAGGCGAGGGGGTTGAGAAACGTAATGTAATATGGGTCGTTGGGTGAGTCAAACTTCCCCCGCTGGTTGAGAGAGGAGCGGCTCGACTCTTTTGAGGCCCGAGTTGCCCACTCAATGGCGTTCACGACTCGCGTTTTAGCTAAGACCTTCTTTCGTAAAGCAGTCTCATTTCAAAACACAATTATCGTATGATGGGCGCTTCAATCAAATGAACGGCTGCCCGGAAGTACCGCTTGTTTCCCTTGAGTCAAACTTTCCCAACTGCCCGGGTAGCCCGGTACCTTTAGCTTCCATTTTCTAAGCCGCAACATGCTGGATGTCGGTTACCGAGCCAATATCCAGGAAGCTCCTTGCCCGTAAGTCTATCCAATCGGCATCGCAAAACCAGTTTGAAGAGTGTGGCGTGTCCACCTACGTTGAATAACATGCAGTTCTACAAGTGTTGGAAAAGAACCTTGCTTGCTCCATGCCTAGTTCTTGAGCTCCTTCCCTCCTGCTGGATGGCCAAGGGCCTCAGCACGTGAACCTACAATTGGATCAAAGTCACTCTGCTTCTAGCCTTCCTCACTCCGTCCTGAGGAGAAAGCCTTGCACACCTTTGTAGATTACCCACATCTGTCCTACGTCAGGAGAACTTTGCATAAATGACACCTCGGTGGGCCTGTCAATGGCGATAGTTAGCCCCTTTCCTCGTTGGGCACGGCGCGCACCGTACCTAGCCGAAGACACAAATGTCGCTTGATGGTTTAACTGGTACCTATGTTATTCCAGAGCTCCTCGGTATTAGCTCAGAATTTCTTCCGGATCTCGGCATCTCCCTCCTAAATACAAATTCACCGACACCGTTACACTGCCTAAAAAGTATTGAGCGAGTTCCACTGTTTCTTTCTAATTAGGGCCCAATCGGCCCGCACCGTCTTGGTCCAAGGTGCCAGCCATAGGTACTGAAGCATGCCGCAGCAAGGTGCCAGGCGCCTTCGCTTCTTGGTACTACCTATCTAGGTACCTAGTGGAGACAAATCAAGGAGTCGGGCTAGTAACGTAAGGTACCGTAGTTAGATCTCAAGAACCCTGATTTGGAAGTTATAGGTAAATTACGGGATAAAGGGGGAACAGGACGAAACCATTTCTCGTGTCCTTAGAATCTATCTCGGGGATACCTGTCGCACCCCTATTCCCAGGAGAACCCACGAATGGAAGGCCGAAGCACCGCTCGCCCCAACAACTACCAAATTCCCTTCCTGAGGCGGCAGCAACCACCTACCTCCCCCCTACTTCCTCCCTCTTATACTCATCAGCGGGCACACCATCATCATGCGCCCAGCACAGCCGATCCACCTCACCCCCCGGCATCACCTTAAACTCAACCTTCCAAAAGTCAGGGCCCTGGTCTACACCCACCCATCTCCCACGCCGCGACAGTTCGTTGCGCGGACAGAGCTAGGTGAAGATGTCGTCATGGTAGTGGGTGAGGCGGAACTTCTCCGACTCGAGGCCCTGCAGAGCCCAGTAGAGGTGTCCGTCCTCGACGGTGACCACGGCCTTGATTATGTGGAGGGGGGTCCCAGTACGTGCCGGCGTAGGCGTCAAGCTGTCGAGGGGAGGTGCCGTGCTTTTGGGCTTTTTGGAGTTGCGTGACGAGGTTGGGGTACCACTGGAGGTTTGTTGCTGCGGAGGTTTTGGCTGCGGCGAGATAGTCGTTGCGTTGTGGCGATGGGATCTCGAGGAGCTCTTCTAGAACCATCTGCCCAACCCAGTCTGCGACGTCGTTGAGGGCCAGGGCGTTGGAGGAGATGACGATGGCGGTCTCGGTATCCGGGAGAAGTGCGACGAACGAGAGGGCGCCCGGCATACTGCCCTGGTGGAAAATGACGAGGCGCGGTGCTATCCCCTTGCCGACGATGGGCATGCCGTTCGGCATCAGATCGGGGTTGATGCCGATTTGACCCATTCTCCCGGGGAGTTGCACGCGACCCCAGCCGAGGCCGTACGATGCCTCGTTCTTGGATGGCTGGTCCATAGGTATCTTGGCCGACATGAGCTCTGCCACTTGCTTCAGCGGTAGTCCCTCGGTGGATGTCTCCCCCGTGGAGAACTGGTGGTTGAAGGCCTGCATGAATGCTTTGTACAACTTCATCAGGTCCCAGACGCAGGATCGCATACCCGCATGGGGAGCGCCGAGCCAGTCGTCGCCGAGCTTGATGCAAGTGATGGGCGCAGAATTCCCGTTGTCGAGTGAGTTGTAGCACTTTCCAACATTGCCCAGGCCCGGCGGCGGAGTCTTGAGGTAGGTCCGCGTCATGCCCAATGGGTCAAAGATACGTGTCTGGACAAAGTCGAAGTAAGACATGTTGCTGAGTGACTCGATCACTTTGCCGGCAAGTTCATAGGCTAGGTTGCTGTAGGCGAATTGGCCACGGAACGGGAGGAGGCGCGTTTGGCTGTTGAGATATTCCATGGAGTCGTTGCCGCTAACGAGGACGTTGTTGTCGGTCCCGATGATGAGATTGTCGCCCCAAGACATGCCTGATCGGTGGCAGAGAAGATCAGCGATGGTCATTTGGTTCTGGAGAATGTCGTCTTTGATGTTGAGCGAGGGCAAGGCATCCTTGACTAGTGTGTCCCAGGTGGCCTTGTTCTCATCTACGAGTATCCCCAGCGCTGCCGAAGTGACTGCCTTGGTCAAAGAGCAGACGGGAAGAACAGTTTTGGCGTCGGGGGGCGTGTATAGCTCGGCGTAACGATTACCATAACCGGCAAAGTACACCTGGTCGCCCTGGTGCATCACACCGAGAGAGAGACCAGGTGTGCCCCCAATGCGCATCAGCTCCTTAATATTGGGGCGCAAAGCGTCGAGTCGAGATGTGAGGGTTTCCATGGTGCTGGTGGTTGATCTCGCTACAGTCGGTATCAGTGGAACATAGAGTGATATTGGGAACGGGAGCAGGAACATACCGATAATCCGTGGCGCAGCAGTCAGAGCGCGATGCAGTTCTTTCGGAACGGATGTGATGGTAATTGTAGTAAGGAGACACGCCGTCGCAGTCACAGAAAGCGTTCTCGCAGGACTTAATCGTGGTGCTACGAATGTCGGGGAGGTGGGTAACAGTGGGGAGCGACCTGGAATATATAGCTGTGTTAGGGCTTTTTCGGAGAGGGTGAATCTGTCACGGGTCAATAGGTGCCCGGCGGTGTTGGGGAAATCTTGGGAGGAAAAGGGTGAACAAAGATAGCATTTCGAGCTATTACCAGAAAAGCAGCCGTGAAACTTACAAACTACCCACGTACTTGACCCATTGACCCGGAGCGGGTTCGCAACTTCACGAGTTGGAATTTTAAGATCTTGCTCCCTGCGGAGTCTTCCACTTCTAAGGTTAGTAGATATACATCACTCAAGTATAGGTAACTACCACATATATCGAACCCCTGACACCGAACTGGCAGCAATACTACTTACTGGCTGTTCAATCTTTGCAACTGATCCCACTCTCCGCGCTAATTCACGACTCGCGTGAGAGACTCCAGCACCTGGGAAAGGGACGGCCGAGAAGGGAACCCAAGCAATAGATCATCTCCAGCAACAGGCATGTCTGCTAGCCAGCGGCATCTCGCTTCCATATACTCCTGCATTTCTCCCACGCGGCGCGTCCACAGCGTCTTAGCCGCGTCCATGGCCTCTCGCGGCGTGCACCCGTCACCCAGCTCGGCCCGCTCGTCACGGGCAACCACGAATTCCATCCGTGTGCGTATGATCCCTACTGCTGCGGTTCCCACCGCCCTCCATTCCGGCGCCCCGGCGGTGCATTGCCGGATCAGTCCCCGCAGGCCGTGGGGTGTCCCAGCAAAGTTGGGAAACTCGATGGGCGTTTCCGTCTCGTACCGCTCGTCGGTCGAGTTGCGGGTGTGGCTGACGCCTTCAAACATGCACCAGAGAAGCTTGCCGATGGCAAACACCATCGCCTTCTCCTGTCGCTCGCGCGATAGGGATTGCCAAACGCCGCGGAACCGTTGCGCTGGGGTTGAAGGGGCGGCATTGCGGTCGACTTCGCCGTCTTGGTTTCCCTTGACCGTGTTAAATATCGCTCGCGTTGTTCTTGCGGGAGATGAGAGCTCTGTGTGAGATTTTCCATCCATACGGCGTAGCAGACCTCGGGTGCTAGGAAGGTGTCCCAGTTGCCGCCTTGCTCGAAGTCTATGAGCATAACGTCGAGGCCGTCGGGCGAGATGAGGAGGTTATCGGGGTTGAGGTCCGAGTAGAAGCCGGCCGGACCGTCGCGGACATCACTCATGGCTCGCACAACCTGCGTCGCCCATCGTAGCTTTGTCTGCAGCGGCAGGTCCGGCGCCCTCTCCAGCGCAGCGGCCATCGTGCCGGATTCGTAGTATTCCAGGATGAAGCCGAGGACACGAACAGGCGGTGGAGATTCCAAATCCACATCCCGACTAGTCGTGACAATGTAGCGCGGTTTGCCAATGACATGTTGGTGTGGGGGCATCGTCAGGAGCAGTCTGAGCTCGTGGTAGATGGTGTCTGGGTCGCTCAGATTGGTCTTGAATATAAAGTGCACCCGCCCGTGCTCCCGAGGCAGTCTGATAACCGAGACATTGCCGTTCAGGTGGCGCACGTGTCGCAGCCCGCCGATGGGCACAGCGGTCGGCCATGACTCGGACGGCAGCTCCCAGAGCCCGGAGAGATGTTCCAGAGGAGCTAAGGTGTCTTCCCAACCTGAGTTGGATAAGAACCTGACCTTGGCTTTGCTGAGATCGGTGGGGAGGTTGTCGACCATGATTCTCGAGCCAAAGGGCAGTGCCCGGTATATCTCCTCGAAGTATGGTACGCTGGAAGACCATACGGAAAGGAGTTGTTCGAGGTACCGGGTAATGTCCAACCGCCGGACCGCCGCGCTGGACATATGGTGCAGTGCTGGTGAGTGAAGGGTGTGACGGAGAACGGCAGGGTGGGTGGATTGACAGGGTATCAATCAGGACATCCACACGCTTGACGGGTGCATGCGAGAGAAGAAATGTAGGCGTGACAAAGAGTTGGCGGCCCATTGCCGCACAGCCATCGATCCGCCACGACAGCTTGATCCTCGGGTTTAGAGTATCCAGTCGGTTGCGAGGATTACATGCCGACGAAGCCCAAATCAGTTCCGACCGGTTCGCGTCAGCAAGCTCATCGAGCGTTGCCTGGCATGACCTAAAGAACGGACTGCCATTTGGGTCTAGGAAGGCTCCCAACGGGGAGAGAAATGGCTCAATGCTGGCCGCAAATTCCATTGCTTTCGCTGTCGGAATCCCGGTAGGTACCTAACTTGCCGCGACCTTATCTGCTAGGTAGGTAGGTAGTCAAGGATGGCTAGAGTGTGAGGGTATGGATGAGGGTAGGTAGTTGTGGTTTATTGCTGCTAGTATGGAGGCGTTTAAGTGTCTTCAAAGAGGGAGACAAGCGGCCCCTCATTCCCATCCCATGGGATCGTAGGCGATATTAACTCACCAGGGGGGCTGAATCGGGAACCAACAAGCAGTGCATGACTGATTTGGCCAATGTGACTCACCAACAGAAATAGCAAGCAGTCGATTATAAGGAACATCCTGTGGGAATGAAAACATATGCAACCATAAACGGCATGACGCAAGACGGGAATCGTGGGTGGCTATAACAATCTACCTCGGTACCTACCTAACACTCTACAGTGGAATATTGTTGGGATGTATCCACCTTCATTCGGATCGCTACTATGCCAACCATTCAATCACTAAATAAGCTGACTAGTGAGAAGGCAAATATCGACTTCCGGTCGGTGGGCGGGCATTACTTTCCCATTGGTGTCCGTCATGGGACCGATTCCATGAAGAACCCCCCTGAATCCGGCCTCTTCGGTCTAAGACTCCGCCTCCGGCTCGACATACTCATAGCACAGGTAATTCCCCTGGATATCCAGCACATCGCCCACCGTCTTGTTGGGGCTGTTGCCGTACATGTTGAGGACGTGGCCGAGAGTCGTGGTTGTACCGGGATCACCGTCCGCGCCCGTGGGCAACCTAAAAGACAACCACATCAGTACCTTACAACATCACCACCAACCCAAGATGCAAGATGACCTTACGGGATGTGGGACGGCCGCGCGGGGAACCCTGGTATGAAATCCGGGCCGATGTTGGTCCCGTTGATGGTCGTCGTTCGCGTCGGCCGGTCCAGCGCCTGCCAGTCCCAGAAGACCTTGTCGAGCCAGGTGTGGTGCAGGTAGAAGAGCGGGTCACCGGGGCTCGAGACGCCGTTGAGCATCTGCCAGCCGTGTCAGCCCCCCCATCAAGCCGCACCACTGCAGGTGCCCTAGGTAGTAAATGGACGAAAAGAAGAAGAAGCGAGGAGAAAGAAAACAGAAAAGGTGCACTAACCTGCCCCCCAACCCCGCCGTGGCCGCCCGAGTGGGGCCGGCCCTCGATGCACGGCCACGCGGCGTCGAAGGTAGTCATGGCCAGGCAGGCGTCGACGTTGGCCTGGGCCGAGCCCGTGCTGATGCGGTCGTTGACGGCCCGGTTGATGCAGTGCTCCGTATTCTCGTAGCCCGGGCCGAGCGAGTTGGTGTAGTTGGCGAAGGGCCCCGTGGCGATGCAGCCCTCATCCCCGACGCCGTCGCCGCCGAAGCCGTGCGTCTCGTCCAGGAGCACCGAGCTGCTGAACTTGCCTGCGTCTTGTTGCTCGTACCAGTATCTGGGAAGGGGGAATGGGAGGTGTGAGTGAGCGTCATTTTGATCTTGTTTGCGCGGGTGGGAGAGGGTGGACGTACGGTTGATAACCCGTGTAGTTGCACTCGTTCCGCAGGGCGCTCTCGTGCGCGTGCATCATCATGCGGTGGAAGGGGAGGAACGCCCCCTGGGGAGCGTCAGTCGAAGGACGTTCTGGTCAAGGGCGCGACTTTGCTACTCACTACGAAATGCGTGGCATATGCCTGGAGCTGGTGGATGGCCTGCAGCTCATCGAACCTCGTCTTAGCTCCCGGCAGGTCAAGCCTCGCAGGCGTCTCCATAAGACACAGCTCAGCGTTGATGTACTCCAGTTTCTCATCGTCGCTGAAGGTGTGCCTGTCCGCATGAATCGATTATCAATCAGTCAGTGAACCCGCTCAATGGTGAAAATGTGCAGGTTATGGCTGCTCACCATGCCCTGCGTTTTCCCGGGTTAGTGCAGGCCGCAGAGGCCGAACACACCAATGCTATACAGGCAACGAGCTTTGAAATCTGAGCCATGGTGACCGTGGAAAGCTTCGGTTACGCAGGATGTTTGAGTTGGTAGTTGGAGGCTACGCAGCGGTTGAGTGCACGACGTTTGACGTAATATACCTATTCCCCGGCGCCCTGTGTCTTCATCCCCAACTCCTTCCCATCACTCAAGGAATGCGATGGAACAACAGTTGCGCTAGGACCCTGCAGTGATTACTTATTCTGCCTTCTTGGTTGGCTCCATGGTGCATGCTGACGACGCAGAGTCTCGATTCAGGTAGCTATCCCGTCTCGCCCATATTAGCTCCGTGTTGCACAGGGGTTAATTTGGCCGGCAGGAGAGACAGGCTTGGGTCTGTCTTGGCCTCAGCGACTCTCGACTAGGATTATGCACCAAGCGTGCCAATGGACAGTTCCGGTTACTTGATGACCAAACAGCATCCGCGAGCGTCTCTGGTCTTTTCTCCGCAAGCTATAAACGACTACTTTATCTGGAGACGGTTATGTGGTCGGTGATCACGATCGCCAGAGGCTACGAGTTACGACGAGGGCATGTAAATGTACCTACTTCATCCGGATCCAGACGCCGAGATGGCGGTGACCGTCTGGAACTTTAGCCGGGTTGGCGGCCATGCACCACTACCTACCCGCATTCAATTAATTTACACTTGCCGAGTCCAATCCCGTACCGCTCTTCGCTACCCGCCCACATTCCGGCTCGCCTACCCGTTTCACCTGTTGCTCGGGACACCGGAAGGGAAGGCTCGGGGCTGTCCCCGCTGCGGCTCCCTCGCTCAGCTTCACATCAGTCTGGTGAACTCTCCAGTATATCCATGACTCATCTCCTGTCATCGCTAGCTGTTCTGCCGTGCTCTGGAAAAGGTACCTACCTAGATGACACCTCCCTCAGTCAATATTATGACCACGCACTGGAAAGTAGCTTGTCTGTGGTTTCGAATCGAGGCTCTAGGTGTATCGGGGTGTGATATGAGAGGTGGAAGATGGGCGACGGAATGTACCGGTCCTCCAAGATCAACCTATTCAGGCTCTACAAGTTATGGACGGCGGCTTATAAATTAGCTACCTTCCTTAGATACTTCACTAGCATGAACCTTGGACCAGTTTCTGCCATTCCAGACCATCCCAAAGCAAGTCTAAAGCAAGTCCAAAGCCAAACAAATCTTAACTTCCAGATTGAATGTTCCTCAATATCCATGGATAATGAAGCGTCGAATCGAGAGCTTTTTATAGGCATGGTGAAGATCACTGGTGACGGTCTCGAATATCCTCTGGGGGCAAAACTCCCGAATAATGGCACAGCATAGCGAAGTCAAGATGCGACGGATTTCATAAAATACACGATAAAAAACAAAATTCACGGCTCGGTCGAGCGCCAACAAAACCCCACGTCACCCACTGCGCCTACCAGCGGCCGGCCCCGGCCCCAGCACGGCCACCGGCCCCTCTGCCCCTACGGCTGCCCCCCTGACCACCACGGCCGCCACGCGCGCCGGCGCCGCCAGCCCCAGCACTCGCCTCCCTAGGAGGCTGATCCGGCTCGGTCCCGGGGCCGAAGTACTCGACAACTCGGCCTGTCAATCAGCAATGTCAGTCACATAGCTCCGGACGGAACAAAAGCGCCAGAGCAAGATGATGCTGGGACAACTGGGAAGGTAAAAAGTGACTTACGATTGTCCTTGAAATACTGCATGAACTTGCGATATGCAGTCCTGTTCAGCAGCAAATGCTGGCCCTCGTCGGACCTCACCGCCTCCTCGACCCTGTCCTTGGTGTCCCTAGCGCTGTTGATATCGCCAACGACGAACAGGGCGCCGACGTGCCTGGTGGTGGCGACGCAGATCCGGTGCGAGTCCGCCACGAAGAGCGGTCCCGTGGTGCGGTCCACGACCAGGGCGAGAACGACGACCAGCGCCTCCCGACCCTGGGACGAGTCGGTGGTGCTGACCGCCACGTCGCAGCCAGCGGCCTGCAGGGCCATTTCGAGCCGCTTCAGGTTGGCCCGATACGGCGTAATGACGACGATATCGCTGGTCGTCACACCGAGACCGACAAGGCCCCGAACGAGCTTGACAACGAGCCCGTTCTGGCCCTCGTTGTACCGTGATACCATGGCCTTGTCCACCTCACAGCGCGAGCCGTGGCAGTGGAAGAACAGGGGCAAAATCGTACCGGCGGGCGAGGCGCTCGCGTTGTACTCCATCGTCACCCATGTCTCGATCTTTGTGGCCATGGGATGATGCCCGAGGGCCGTAGTCTCGCCGTACTCGAACAGACCCTTGATGTCCGGGTAAATGATGGACTGCGCGAGATCGAACGAGCCCTTGACGACGCGGTACTGCGTCGTCAGGATGAAGCACGGCCAGCCGGAGCGGCGGAGCTTCTCGAGCACCGAGATCTTGCTCTGGTTCGAGTACACGTTGACGATCCTGCCCTGGCGCTTCTCACCGTGCGTCATGACCGTCGGCGCTAGCTGCCGCTCGTCACCGGCTAGCACACAGGGGCGGCATCCGGGGCCCCACACCAGAAGCGCGTCGGCCACGTGCATGGCTCCAGCCTCGTCGAGGACCACTCCTTTAGCTAGGTCCCTGTTATATAGCCTGTAGGGGGGCTGGCCGGCGAGGTGGGGAGTGGAGCAGACCGCATTGGACCTCATGATAATTTGTACCATGACCTCTTCGGCGATCTCGCACGGGGACCTCGTGTCCGAGGTGCCGTCTCGCTGTCCCCGGAAACCTGAGTCAAGTTTGCCCTCCAGCCAGAGACGCAGGGTACCGTAATGGGCTTTCCCCAGGAACTCCTTGCGGAGATCGTGCAGTTGCTCCGGGTCTATTTCGGCCAGCTTGTAGCCTGGCGCCCCGACCACCTTGAGCAGCCACTCGCAGACCGACAAGCGGAGATTCCATCGGGCGGTGACGAACGGGTCCGCCACTTTGCTCAAGTCAAATCGGAGAGCAATCTTCTCGAAGGCGTCGAGGTCTTTATTTATCCTGTAGCCGCGGACGACGAGGGGGGCACGACAGTTCGAACCGAGCTCCTTGGCGGCCTTGACGCCGAGGTCGAAGAGGCGCTCGGCAAAGTTGCTCGTCGCGACGTGGGTGGGCGCCGCGCAGTAAAGCGACCCAACAGCCTGCATCAGCAAGAAGGAGACGTAGCTGCTCATCTGGGTCTTTCCGGAGCCGGCAAACCCAATGAGCGGGATGACCCCGAGGCGATTGACCTTCATGTACTCGCAGAAGCGCTCGAACGTAGCCTCGCCGATGCCGTCCCTGACGATGGCCCAAAGCCGGTTCTTGGTGTTGCCGGTGTCGATGTTGACCTTTTTCAGTGAGTGCTGGCCGTGGACAAGTTTCATGCCCTGCGGGGCGTTCGTGATGGAGTCGACCTCGGCGTCATCGCCAGTAAGGTTCGTAGGCGGGGCAGGAGAATGCAACAATGTGTTGAACCCTGACCCGGCAAGCAAATCATTCTTGATGAGGTTCGCGATTTGCTGCTCGTAAGCCTTGGCCGCCACCTTGACGTCGGTCGCCGGGGCGTATTCTTCCCAGAGAGGGTTAACGGCATTGACGCGGGCTTTCGCAACGTCCTCGCCATCTTCGAACTTGAGATAAAAGTCGCTCTACGACTTGTTGACCTCGTTGTACGTGTCGAAGGCGACAATGTCGCGCCTGGCAACCCTGTTTCCGGGGTTATTGGGACCAAGCGGGCGGCGGATCTCCATAGCGAAGTCGCACCCAGTCTCCTTCCAAGGGTCCGCGGAAATCTGCCGGGCTCTCCAGAAATCAGTGTCCTTGGCTTTGTCTACCGGCGGCGGCGCAAAGGCTAGGCCAAATCGGGCATCTCCCTTCAGGAGGCGGGCCAGCGTGTTTCCGAACTTTCCCTTCTGCCTCGATGTTAGCTGACAGAGTTCGAGCGGCTCGACGACGTCACTTACGTCGAGATGGTGCCAGACGAGAACACGGAATTCCTTGGTATTGTCCGGCGCGACCTTCAGAAACGCGCACTCGACCCTTTCCTTGCGAATGGCCATGACGTCCTTCATGAAGTGGTAGGCGTCCTGCACGACGCCATGGGCAATAGCCACCGCATAGTCTTGGTGACGATGGAACTTGTAACTCGGTTGGTACGGTGTGTCCCTAGCGAATTCCTTGAGCTCAACCTCGAACCGAGCAGGGTTCCACTCTCTGTGAGCTTGTTAGCAAGGACGACTGGTGAAGAGCAGGGCGTATTACTCACCCGTTGGTATACGGATACGGGGTCTCGAACCGCGGCGGGAAAACTGTCCTCAACTGGTTGTTGATAGCGGGGAGCCTGGTGGAGAAATTCGGGATAATGACCTCGAATGCCCTCTGGAAACAAAACTCCCGAAGGCTCACGGCGTCGTCAATCTTCGCGTCCTTGTCGAAGATCGCCTGGTCCGCAGGACTCACGCAGACCGTGGGCATGCCGTAGTTCTCGACGTATGCCTTCTCGTTGGCCTTTAATGTGAACCGCAAGACCGACAGGGTGTCGTTCTTATCGCTGGTACGGGGGGGCAGTCTGGCAAGGTCCTCCGGCGACAAGACCCTTCCAGAGCTCACGAACGTTCCGGCTTTCAGTTGGATGGTGATGGAACGTTCTTTCAGGGGTTTACCGTGACAGTCGCTGAAGCTGACGTAATCGAGGTTCTGGAGGACCGGGAAAATGATCCTCAGGCCAACGTGAGGACCATGCATGGCTAAATCGTTGACGTAGAAGCGCGTCTGGTGGTTGCCCGGGTAGCCGACCTTCATGCCGCCGATGACAGAGACTTCGTCGCTGGAGCTGTTGTCCTCGGCAAAGGCCAACCCACCCTTCTTGTTAAAAACAAAGGCGCAGTCCCGAAGACGGCGAGTAGCCTTGGTGGTAGCGCCGGTGGATGACATTTTGATACTGGAGACCTGTTAGTAGGTGAGAGACTTGATGCTTGGGAGGCTGACCACTTACGTTGTGGCCGAAGCCGAAAAAAGGGACAGCCGCCAGAGGCGGGCTGACTGCGGGGGGCGCGGGGGGGGGGGGGGGGGGGGGCGGAACTGGCCGCGGGGGAGGGGGGAGCGAGGGGGGAACGAGGCTGGCCGCGGGGAAGGGGGAACGAGACTGGCCGAAGCCAAAAAAGAGGTAGCCGCCAGAGGCGGACTAACCGACAAGAGAAAAATCGAGACCGACAATGCTGCACATTCAACCGTCAGCTACTGCTATCAGCAGCGACTTGTAGTTATTTCAATCACTTACCGACGACGCTCAAAACGAAGCGCGGGCAAAAACGATGGTCTTGTCGGGGCAGGTGGTTGGGTGGAGAATATGGTGTTGAGAAAGAATGGAGTTGAGCGATCGCCGATTTCTGGTTGACAAACCAGTATGAGAGGAAAGTCCAAAAAGGGAAGGTGGGGCTTTTCTTTCCTTTTGGATTCTTCTGATTTTGTGCTGAGATGCGGACCATGACACGTGATTTCCCCCAGACAAACCTCCAACCCTGGCGCGGGCGCCTTTCTCAATCAGATAGATCAATTTAATTGAGTTCAATCAACAATATAGTCAAATTTATTAAGCTAGGAGCGGCTGAATCGGTTAGAAAAGCAATAACATTTAAATCTAGCGTATCCTCTCTCTTTCCACCGATGTGCCGCTAACTAGTCTCCTCTGCCGTCGGTGCCTCTTGGTACCAGCTCGTTCTCGTGTCTTGTCTAGGGTTAGGGCTGTAACGGTAACTGTCGTTGCGAATTTGACCAGAGCTACATAGAATAAACTCAACCTAAGCCTAACTAAACTTCTGAAAGATTTGAGCGAATTTCGAATGTGTGTATATATGGGCGCATTTACGAAGGTTGAGTTCAAAAGTGAATACCCTGTTACGCCAAGCTCAGGTTCATGCCAACGTGCGAAGTGACTGCACTGTCGTGTTTATACTGTATTAGTTTTAGCTCACTTTCAGGCGGTTACAGAAGGTCCTTGCTACCCGGGGCGCATTGTAAATTGCATTCAAGCAATCTCGATAATCCGATTACGATTCAAAATATATAAGAGTACTACTGTTTAAACACGCTAAGTTAGTGTATTTAAATTAAATAGAATAAACGCGATCTCACAATGCTGAGAGAGGCTGAGAGAGTCTGAGACTAGGAGGGTTGGCTACAGTGGCTGCAGTGGCCGGCGCGGGGGGCTTTGGCGCCTCTGACAGTTGGAAGGCTGGCTCTACGGGGATTGAGCTATCGGCTTGGCATACTGTATGCCAAGTAGGGGCTTGGCGCAACAGGGTATTCACTTTTGAACTCAACCTTCGTACAGATTACATGTGCGCATTGAATTGAGCAAGGGAGGCTTGGGAGGCGCGCCCGCCAGGGTTGGGGTTTTGTATGGGGAAAATCATGTGTTCGAGTCCCGTATGTCGAAACCATCCGAGTACTTCGTACGATGAGTCCCACGGCACGCTCTATCTATTTTAGTGATTGGCATACATACAGGTCATCCGAACCGGACAGTGAACGCCTCGATTATGTGCTGTTGGCGCGGTCTGCCGGCTGTGCAAAAACCTGCGCCTGGAAATGATCTGTCGATCCCAGTGCTCGAGTGGCATTCTTGGTGGCTTGGTTGACTTGCACGACTTGGAATGCCTCTTTTCGCTTTGCCGGCTTTTGCCCCTTCAACCCTAACCCGGTGAGCTCGGAGTCCAGATGATTCCATTTCTCCTGCAGATCTGCGGAGCTTTGATAGGGGCACAGCCACAGTTACCCCAGCCAAAATCTCCCGATGAGTGCCACAGCAAGTCGACACCGCCACGATTCGTCTCCCCTTCTTTGAGCAACAACAAGGCCAGCGACTGCGTACCTCATCCCCAAGCTACGACGCGAATTGGCATCGCGCAGACGGGCAAGTGACTGATGTTCTTGAATCGCAAGCTCCCGTTCTCACCAATCTCTCTACTGTGTACGTTCGGGCGAGACCGCTGTGTACCTCATCCCCATTTAGAACAAATTGAGATGCAAGGCCAAGAAGCTCTTGTCGCAACCCATAATTAGAGTGGGATGCACATGGATCAATGGGGTGGTGGGATGGGCGAGATGGGCACCCTCTGGCCAAAAAAAGCCGAAAGCAAGAAATCGGGAAATATAAGCCAAATAAAAGAAAGAAGGTAAAAGGAAGTGAATGGAGTAAATACAGTTTCTTTGGGCTTCAGGATGACTTTCGTTTTGTTCCTACAGTCGAGGGCTCGAAGTTTCCATAGTCGACATTCGCGCTTAGAGTTCGGCTTTTCTTGTCCATAAGGTGCCAGCGAGTTGACACCGCCACAATTCATTTCTCGCCTTCTTTGCGCAACAGGGATGGGCTGGCAGAGCTCCGAGACGAACAACAAAACAACTCGATCAACGGCGACACTGATCATGACACGCCCCATCTAGCTGAGGCAACGAATGTGGGCGGGCGGAGGGAAAGCTATTCTACAAGTATGTACAGGTAGGCTCCGCTGCTTCGGAGAATGGTGGCATGAACCGCAACGGACTGGCGGGGAACTCGTGAAACAATAGGGCTGGCGGGTGCACAACACACAAACGGCTTCCTTGGTCGGCCTTCGGGCGGATGGGCGAGATGGGCTGTCGGCGAGCAGTTGGTTTTGTCGAAATCCCGGCCCATCTGATTGCGAATCTCAGGCTGCACAGCCCCGGAACCCGGAAAGCTGATTCCTTGGCGAGAAATGGAGTATCCCTGTCAGCTCTGGCCCAGAAGTCGACGTTCCCAAGTTTTGGTCGAGAATTCTCTCCGTGAGCGAGGGGTCCATGGGTGGACGAGCGGCGCCGTTCATGAAACAACCTCACGGGCTCCCGGACCACTCATGTATTTTGGTGATACAGAATGGATCCAGCGCAGAGCCGATCTGCAATCTCTCGTGAAGAGCTGGAACCACCGCAGCGGAGATCGCTGTCGGCGCATTCCAGGAGCTGCTTCCACGGACCAAACAAAGGACCCATCGGAGGCGGCAAATGCCGACTCACCGACTCGCTGACACGCCCCCCTTCTTGACACATCCCTTGCACCACCACAATCCCCGAGCCCCCATGGCTGATTCTTTGTGGACGACCCGAGTTCCTCCCAATGGTTACCAGCGACAGTTGGTTAATCTGGAGTTCGGTCGTGGTGGAAACGCGGCAATTCGACCAGCACATCGTTCGAGGTGGAGGTTCCACCCGTTTGAGTGGTTCCCGGCGTCCCTCACGGTATGTGGAGCCCCGCTCCGGCCGATACATCGGTCAAACAGTAAATGTCGAACAATGTGCATTCATTACCTACCTACCCTATGCTCCAAACCACAGCTTGAACATCGTCCGCCTACCTGGCAAGCTGAGAGACAATCTCACAACTGTTTGTCCCAGTTGTGATGCGGAGTTATCGAAGCGCCCGCTCCAGGTTTCATCCCTTTTTGTATCATCCCAGACATCCAGACCGCAAACGCCGAGGGAGGCAGTGCAAGCCGAAGGAGCCAACAGGGTCTTCCCGCTTCCATGGCCGCGCAAGACTGTCCGTGACTTCCGGTTGCCCTCTGCAATCGCCTCGCACTCGCCTGGCTCCCGCATTGCGGTTCTGCCCAGTTGTGCAATCCCATCTGAACTGTGTCAAGTCATTTAACTATTAGTTAACAGAACTGCCTCGAGACTGCATCGTCGTCAAGTCGGGGCAAGGCGCCTCGCGTTATCTCCGCAGCCAGGCAGCAGCTTTTGTCAGAGCTGCCGGACGACTTTCCCTCCGCCCTTGGGCCGCAGTGAACAAGGTGAACGAAGGACGGTGGCTCGGCCGAAGCCATCGCTCAGACACGGAATTTGGGTACTTGGGGTGCACTGCCATTTTGCGCCAGGGACAAAGTACCCGAAGGCTCGGGGTTTGCTCCAACCCATTGCGCCGTGTGGCCGTTGGACAGGCTATTTTGCCGAGCCGTCGCCTGATTTGTCTGACGGCTTCTGGGTTTTGTGGGGTCTCTCGACCAGATTGGCTGATCGGTTCCTCTCGCATTGGCTTACGCGTCCCCCTTCCCAAAGCGACAGATATCCCTGCCACGGGGATTGCCTGTTGCAACCACCGCCCGGTTTCTTGCGTTGCTCATTCAAAACTGGCGCACCTTGCCTTCCCTCCCACCCCCTCTTCCTTTTACATGTTTTGCAACTCACCACGCCCATCAAACAACCGTCTCCAACTCAGCGACGCAAACGATCTATGCTCGAGGAATTTAGCGACACCAAAACTGAGCGACAGCGATCGAGTTGGCGAGTGACCTGTTAGCGCCCGATTAGTCATTCTAGTTCCGGCCGCGGGCAACACAATGGCTGGATCCCAACAAGGCGGCGGGTTCGACCCTCTGGAATTCATGGACTTTTCGCAGTACGACAACAACAACACCAACGCTGCCAACACCGGGTTGAACTACCAGCCACCCTCCCTCTCGCCATCGACCTCGATCTCGCTCAAGTCCGAAACTCCGGAAGGGTCGTCACTGTTCCCCTCCAACCAGGGCTTCGCAGCACCCAGCCACCAGTACAACCTCTACAAGCAGCAAACAGGTCTCGTCCCGGGCGCACTGACAACTACGTTGTCGATGAACGAGCCGCAGGGGTATTTCCAAGAGTATCTCGAACTTCAACAACACGATATGCTTGCCGGGATGGGGGAGTCGGACGACGTCTTCGACTTCAACGCGCCTCTGGGTGGCGGCTTGGACACCTCCGGGATGGATCTCGGCTTCGACTCCACGGACGGGCTCTATCTCAACTCCACCATCAACCCAAGCGCCATCGGCGGCCACGAACCCGATGGGCTGACCTCTCCGCTCCCCACAACACCCGCCTTGTCCAACACTCCTGGCAGGGTGTGGCCTGGCATGCACCAGCAACAAGCGGCGCTTGCCAGGGCACAGCAGCAACAGAAGCAACAAGAGATGCAGAGGCAGCAGCAACAGCAACAACAGCTACAAAGGCAACGCGTTCAGGCTAAGCAGGCACAGAAGGCCAGGTCACCGCAAACGAGCAGCTCCATCGCCGAGCAAAACGTTCAGAACATCCTGAGCTCGATGCGCTCCGAGCCTGTGCAGTACACGCCCATCAAGAGCGTGCCGACGGCAAACTTCCCCAAGAAGCAGAAGTCCGAGGCGGAGATGGATGAGGATGAGAAGTTCCTGGCGAGCGAGGAAGGCAAGAAGCTCAGCAGCCAAGAGCGCCGCCAGCTTCGGAACAAGGTTTCGGCCCGCGCATTCCGGGGCAGGAGAAAGGGTAAGAACACCTCCGCAGTAATCACATCTCATCGCATCTCGATCCCGTACTAACTCGCCATTGCAGAATACATCGGCTGGCTCGAGGGCGAGCTCACAGACCGGCACAACGACTCGGGCCTCCTGCGGGCGCAGAACAAGGCGCTGATCGAGGAGAACGCGCGGCTGACCAGCCTCACCAAGATGCTGCTCTCGTCGGACCACTTCCGCGACCTGCTCAGCGACCTCAGCTCCAACCCGGAGAAGCTCGACGACCTGCACTCGGCCGGCGAGCCCCACGTCCAGGCCCACGCCCGCCAGCAGGCCCAGCAGGAGGCCGAGATGCAGGCCCGCCTGCAGGCCGAGAAGGACGCCAACCCCCACCTCGCCGAGCAGCAGCACCTCCGCTACCAGGAGCACTTCCGCCTCCACATGATGTCGGGCCATGCGTGAGCCCTGGCGGGGTGACTCGTGTCGGAGTGTAGACGGGCGGGTTTGTTTGGAGCGGTTGCCTGCTGTGCCTGTTTGTGGTCTGTTGCGGGAGTTGGTGGTCAGTGGTGTGGCGGCGTCGTGCTTTCGGGTTTGGGACTTGGGGTTGTGCATAGCGATATACTCTCTGATTCTTTTGTATAGCCATTTCTTACTCTTATCTGTTTATTATGATCTGCCCTACTCTGCTCAAGCGGGCGCGCACACGCGCAATTGCCTGACATACACGTCAGCTCATCTACCTACGGTCTAGAAGAATACAATTTGCTCCAATCTGTTGCCCCGTCCACCTTGCCTGCTTTGGTGATTGATCGCTATCCGTCAGCCGCCACCACAACATCGTTGTTTATCCCGTTGCGAAAATTCCCCGCATTTTGGTCGTGGAGTTTAGCAAGGAGCAAAGTTCGCTTCCTTCCCGGTCTTCAACTGGCACCTCGTGGTCAGAAAAAACCGAACTCCAGGTCAAGATATCGACAATGGAAACTTCGAGCCTCAACTAATCGAAAGCCATTTTGAAGCCCAAAGAAACTGCATTTACTCCATTTCCTTTCCTTTCCTCTTGTTTCCTTATTTAATTTACTTTTCTCGATTTAATTTTATTTGTTCTTTTTGCTTGACTTCTTGCTTTCCTTTTGAGTTCGGCTTTTTTGGCCAGAAGCTAACTGGCCGCTTTGTATGTACACATGTACCCGCGTTGATTCTCGGGAGAACACGATGCCGATATTGTTAGGTGCTCAAGGCGATTTTCTAAAGCCACGGAAACTCCCATTCTCCCGTTAGTCTCATTTGAGCTGCATACCCTCCCCTCCTTCCCTCCCTCATGTCGCTTATAATGAAGTCGATAACTCGAAAAGAAGCCGACCGCTTACAAATTCAACGTAACTGTTCACCCGTTCACTGCTTTTCATGCTGCCATGACTAAAGTCGACTAGACCCTAGGGAAACTGCGTCAGTGGCGGCAGGAGGATGTTGTGTTTGGGTGAAGCTTTGGGAATCAGTGACTACCTATTTAGACATTGGTGATATTGTTGTCGTAGCTACGTATTGTCCTCGTTCTTTCCTTTTGTTCTAGCCGTTGAGAAAAAGAATGCAAAAAGGCCGAGGCTAGTACGCTACTAGACGGGCCTAGGCAAGTGAATTATTGAGTGGCGAGAAAGCAAAGTTTTGTCTTAATCTTCAATACCTAGGTAGGTAGTCAGGCCTTGTACAGAGTCACAGGCATGCCGTTCCTGGGCTACCAGATATGTACTTGCGTTTGTATTGGTCTCTCGACTCCATGTGAATGGAAATACTAGAACAGGGAGATAAGACGAAGGCAGAAAGTCTCAGTGTGAATGGGCTTGCCCCGATATTTTGGTAACCAAGCACCTAGATATGAGGATTATCACTCATGACTTAGGTAGGCAGGTAGGTACCTACCGCGCAGCCATGCCACGATTTAAATACTCCGTAGGTAGTCTTGCCAATTCTTTTTCCATTGTTTAAACTCCTCCATCAACTACCTAATTACCGGACATCGCTCTCAATCAACAGTCATCACCTGCCTCTACTGAGCTCGTACTTGAGTCGTATCGGTCGGACACCTAATCCACACAACAATACAATACAATACAATGGCAAGTCATCCTACTTTCCATTCACTGGCACCCTCTCTGCCCGATACGCGCTGTCGCGTGCTAGCACACGCTGCCCTGCCTTAACACGCGCTGTCCCAGCCGTGGATCATCTCTGCTCCGGCTCTCCAAAGCAAACCTGCTTTCTTTCATCTGCTGTGAAGGCGAACAAGACTAACCAAGCAACATGGTGCAATCACTACAGGCGCTCAACAACAGGTTTTGGCAGGGCTTAGATCCCAAGAAGCCTGAGCGACTTTCCAAAGTTCTCGCTGCCCTCTATTGCTTCCACATCGCACCGCCGACCGACGTCTTCCACTGCGAATTTACTGTTCATCCCGCCGACCATGATCGCATTTTCGGCGCCTTTCCCGAGTTGCAGCTGCTGGAGAAACTCGTCGGCAGAGACATACCTTTCGTAAGTATTTTGCTACCTGGTACTTTGCATGCTGCAGTCCTCTCAGCAGCCCTCTCTCCGTCGCCGGAGTGACCTGGTATTTCGTTTGCTAACTGCCCCGCGAAGCACTTCGACGCAAACACAGGCAGCCTCATCACCATGGACAACACCGCCTACCACAAGCATCTCATCTTCGACTTAGCGGTCGAGATGCGCATTGGTCTGAGATCCCTCCACACCCACCCAGGCTCCGTCGGCGCACTCGCCCAGAAGGTACAGTCGTGGGATACCCGCCCTGCTGACAGCGGCACGATCCGTGATCAAAATGGCAAGCCGACAGCCAAGACTACCGGCGCCGCCTGGGCGTTTGGTGTCCCGCCAGACCGGAATGCGACCTTCCTCGTAGACTTCGCCGGCCCCCATAGCAACGCTCCAAGCAGACACGCCCAATACATCACCGCGCATGGCGCCCGAACCGTTATCTCGCTCCAGCTCAGCTTCACGACAACGGCTTGGCTCGGCGACGAGGCGAACTACAAACACATGGCCGACAACACGACCGTCTGGGTTTGGACAAAAGTCGATGGAAAGGCCGAGCCCGTCGTCGAGCGGGAGCCGCTGTCGACCCCCGGCGGGCAGATCAAGCTTTGGTTGTCGGACTTCGTCCACATGGCCGAAGGCAATGACCTCCCGAGCGAGTTTGTTCGACCTCCCTACGACGTGTAAGTTATCGTCGCCTCCTCCCCTCCGATGCCGCTGCCGCTGCCCACCGGCTGCGAGACTCAACCCGCCGCTAACGCAAACCTAGAGCGGAACGCGCCGCAAACATCACGATCCCGTACTCGGTCATGCTTGAGTCGCTCAAGAAGTCCTCGCACATTAGATGGATGCCCACTGGCGATAAGCCGCTGCCCTCCAACGACAAGGTCAACAACAAGCGGCCGACCAACAACGGCGTCCCGGGCGGCAAGCGATTCTTCTCAGTCGCCGCTCACGGCGTTCCCGGTCCCCGCAAGACGGCGGCCGGTATGGCGCTTGACCCGGCAGTCGCGGCGCGCCGTGCTTCGGCCGCCTCGGTCGGCCGCTTCTCGACACGCTTCCTGCGGGCCTTCCACAAGTGATGTCCCTCCGGCAGCATCGCGTCTTTTGCGTTGATGACCCCAGTCGGCCGCCGCTTCTTCGGCAGACTTCTTTCGGGCCTTTGGCAAGTGACGCCTCGTCGGAGCCTGTGTTGCATCGGCGGCCGGTACCGAGAAAGGAGGTGTTGGTTGACGGAGCCAGGGATGCGTGGTAGCTTGCTGTATTCTTAGAGAGATATTAGATAGAGAAGCGGGCAGCTTCCTTCACACCAATTAGCATCTTCGCCATTCTTCTTTCCTTCTTCTTCCTTCTTCTTTCCTTCTTCTTTCCTTCTTCTTTCCTTCTTCTTTCCTTCTTCTTTCCTTCTTCTTTCCTTCTTCTTTCCTTCTTCTTCCTCTTCTGCTTCCGATACGAAATGACGCGACGTCCTGCTCGAACCCGATCGCTCTCTCCTGCCGACGTCACCCGGTCCAACACGGAGCTCGATCACGACGTATACGCTCGCCGCTACTCAGCGGTACCCGTGACGACGTACTAATATTTAACTCTCCCGATGGACTCTAGAGGTGGGCGAAATTACAAGGCCTACAATAGTCCTTGAGTAAGTCTTTAGGTCCAGTAGTTTCCTAGGATATCGCTTTTGTACTCTTGAGAATTATCGGTGTATTGAAGTGGTGATACACCTGAAAGCCACACACACCGCCAACACTGTACGTGCCACACCTGTTGTGATGTCAATGTAGCATGATGGAGGAGATAGATCAAGGAACAACTTTCGATGCCGCGGATCCTATGATCGTGCTGGCAATGCACCTTGGCGAGTGGCCCTCAGGTGGTCAGAGGGCCGCGGTCACAGCTACCGCGAAAAAAGAGTCACTTCTGCAAGTGTGAAAAAGAAATAGAATTGCTTGCCCTTTAACCCCTGAGAGGAGGTTCAGAGCCTCTGACTAAATACAAGGACGCGCAATGCAGAAGAACGCAACGAAGAAACGGAAAATCGAAAATCATAGCTCCTTGATCACTAAGAGGCTGACACCCCAGTTCAACATCGGGTATTCTATCTCTAATTATAAAGAATTAATTCTACCCATAGTATTATACTATATATAAAGTTATTATATAATAGTAAGAGAATCTAATAGTCTAGTAGTTAGCATAGTATTCTTATATTTTCTAGAAGAATTAGAAATATATAAAGTTTATAGATAATAAGTATAGTTCTTACACTTATCAAATGCAAAACGAAATACCATTTAAGATAATAATCATTACTATAGCCTAGGTATTATAATATATAAAGATATTAAGTTAGAAAAAGACAAAAAGAGCTTTAGCCCCGGCGGGGATTGAACCCGCGATCATCGCATACCCATGGCCCTTGAGAAAGGGGTATAAGAGCGATATCTTAACCGCTAGACCACGGGGCTCTTTTAAACATGAGACATATTTTTTCCGGCTTTCGTACCCTGACCCTCCTGGGTTAGGCACGTGACTCCCCACATAGATAACCCCAACCCTGGCTCATACGCCCTGGCTCGTCCGCCCTCCTTTTTTCTTCAGTGAGATCTTGTTATACATTGTTGCTAAGAAAGACTGAACTCCTTAGTGTAGATGTTAACAATGGAAACTTCGAGTCCTCGACTATAGGAACAAAACGAAAGCTACCTTAAAGCGTAAACAAACTAGATTTGCTCCGTTTAACTTTCTTTTCCCGAAGGTCTTTCATTTAATTTATTTTTCTTAACTTATTTTTCTTGACATCTTTTTCTTGACATCTTTTTCTTGACTTCTTTTTCTTGACTTCTTTTTCTTGACTTGCTTTTCTTGACTTGCTTTTCTTGACTTCTTTTTATTTGTTCTTTTTACTTGATTTCTCACTTTTCTTTCGGGTTAGGCTTCTTTTGGCCAGAGGGAGATTCATCAAGTCAATCAAATTCAATTAACATAGAACACAATAAAATCTAGATTTGTAGGATCATGTTTTATTGCAGTTACATAATGAACTTGGGCGTGCCCAGTGTAGATGGATCTAGCGAAGCCTGGTTAGGGGGAGGGCGTCTTTTTTTTTTCCGTTTCCGCATTGCATTTCGTTGTAGATAAGAGCCCCGGAGATGGCTTCGTTCTCCAGTAGTTGGTCAAGCAAGCAACCAGACACAAAGATCACTAGCTTTCCCAACACGCGCGTGCGCCACGATTATAAGATGCAACAGTGCATGGGCTTCTGTGGTCTAGCGGTTAAGATATCGCTCTTATACCCCTTTCTCAAGGGCCTTGGGTATGCGATGATCGCGTCCAGCAGCACGTACGGTGCCGCGAAGAGTGTTGTGCATGGGTGCGACAGTACGGCGTCGGGAAAGGAGGCGGGGAGTAAGGGGCTCGGCGGTCAGGATGCGAAACTCGCCATGAAAGAGTGCTAGGGACGTAAACGTTAAGTATTTTGAACTGTCCGAGAAGCGGGAGGATGAGGATAGGATGCTGGCTTTTCAACCAGTTTAGAGCGGTCGAAGTACAGCAGACGTTAGGAGGTGCGTGGTAAAGGACCTGGCGCTTTAAAACGACAAATTGATAGGTGGCCTCGAGGGATGGATGATGAGGACCCGGTGCCCAGGATAAATCCGACCCGTTATAGTCGCAAACCATATAGACGCGGTCCTCAGAATGGCTAACGAGACGACCTAAGTGATCGAGCTGCACCTCTTCTATCTGGCTACTGAGCTCGTGCTGGTGCTGGTGGAGCTTTGAGTCTGTATATGCGAAGTTTCTGTGGACTGTCCTTCGAACAATACCTTGGGCGGTCTCGGCTGGTGCAGTCCAAACGAAAGGGACCTCCTTTACAGGAGGGGGGCCAACCCGAATTAGTCCATCCTTATCGATGATAGGTAGTACGATTGGCAATGGCTCAGTCTTGTCGCTGGAGGAGGGTGGATTGTCGAAAGGCTCGGCCCAGTCTTCTACCTCCCTATTCACATCCTTAGATGTCTATAGAGCATCATCTAACTGCTCCTGAGTGCGGAAAGTCGTGAGGGGCGCTACGGGGAGAGGCGCCAGGGGGTGGGCGAAGGGTACATTAACCTCTGTCCGACGCCTCTTGGTTGGATTGGTGTTGGCGGAGAGTGCGCTCAGAGGGCGACGACGGGAGTCTCCGAGGAGGAAGACTCGCCGGGGGCGATGTCTCCTGGTCGAAACCAAAGAGGATGAAGACTCGCCGGGGGCGATGTCTCCTGGTCGAACCAAAGAGGATGGGGACTCGCCAGAGGCGATGTCCCCTAGCCGAAGCTAAAAGAGGTACAGCTACCAGGTAGACTGAGCAAGGAGGCAGCGGTCACTAGTAAAGGCTGTCAACATTGAAGGGAGGGTAGGCGCGATAAATTGGTCAAATGTTATTGTCCTACGACACTACTTGAAGAGAACAAGGAGAGCTCCCGCAACACCGACACTCGCCAAACACCGTAAAAAACTTTTTCTTATCCCCCATAAGGCAAGAGCAATCGAGTATCCGGTGTCGGCTAACCACGGAGTGATGCGGTTGACTCCTCAAAGCCCACGGATGGCAGGTGCGGGTAGGAAAAGGCGAAGGAGAGCGCCTGAATGCAGACATCATGATAACGGCAAATTGATGCTTTCCAGCGTCTGGATATGATTAGGGGTTGTATAAGTCCTGGACATCAACGAGGTGGCTCTTATTAAGTGTGCTGTCGTCGTCTGCCTGTTGGCCATCTGTCAGGTCGACGTAAACGGCCTTGAGCGCGGAGGTGACCTTGGAGATGGTGGTCTTGTCCGCCGCAGGGTAGTCTGCTTTCGGCTTTCTCGTCATGTACACCTTCCGCCAGTTTACATCGTCGAGTTCAGTGGCCGCCCAAAACCCGTCTGGGCTCTCAGTCTCTATGAAGTACGATGCCAGCCCGGCCTTCTCGACATGATCTTGGATCGTCGGTGGGATGCCGACCTCGTTTTGTCTGCCGAGGAAGATGACAGCCCTCGCAATCTCGGAAGGGTACAGCCATGGCATCTTCCCGTTGTTCTTTGCCTCGATCCAGGTCTTGAATTGTCTACGCCAGGTTCCGACTTCCTTCAGTTGAGTGACAATGTCGCGCCAGAAGTAATGCTCGGCGGGCCGGATTCCGTTCGACCGGTTGAGTTGGCCCCAAGCAAGGCGCAGTATGTCGGGATCAATGTTCCCTGCGCCGTACTGCCTCACAAATGCTTCCATGATCGCGACGACATTCGCATATCGGCGCTTGAGGCCAACCTGCCATACACGGGGCCAGCCACGCGGGACGAACAACCCACACGCGGTCGGTGCTACGAGAGCCGAGCAGCCAACAGAGACGGGCGGGTAAGGGGAGTACAGCAGGGCGCATCACTCCCAAACGAGCTGTGGACAGACCACTTGACTTGAAGACCGGGGTTCGTGGCAAATTCTGCAACTCAACGGGAAAACGCCTAGATGAGAATCGTCATTTTCTTGGTGAATCCAGCCGACTGTGAACCTTGGGGCATCCTTTTGGGTTGGAGTTGAGGGAATCCCGGTGGCTCAAAAGCAAATAGGTGGCTGTCCTCCGGGACCACTTCCACCGTCCAGTAGGCGTGCTTTAGGTCGAAGCACGAGAGGGATCCAATCAGTGGGTGAGAAAGGTGTGTGTGGACGTCCTTCAGATAGGTGATGTTGATCCCTGGGAGGTTCTCTTCCACATTGCTGTAGTGGAAGGTGAGCCTTGGTTCATCCCATTCCCCCGACGTGTCCGTTTTGTCAACAAGATTGGGTTCCGCTGACCACTTCGACAGACGGCCATTGGCGGATATGGTGGAGTCAAACATCCCGCCGTCAACACCTTCCTGGATTAGCTTGTTCATCCAGTACTGGCGTCCCGGTGACCAGTGCTTCATGCGGGAGTGGTTCCAAGGTGGCGTGCCGAGTTTCAGCCTCACTCGATGGGTGATGAGGTCTGTCGGAGGGATATCAGTCGCCGAAGAGGCGCCCAGATCCCTCTAGAGGTAACAGGTTCTTTTGACATCTCGGACCAGGGCTTCCGGCACCAGTGGTCCGATCTGGACACCCAACTCCTCAAACCATCGCGTCTCTGGGGTGGTGCCGCCAGTTCCCCGCAATTTTCGGGGAAACAGTTCTTCTGAAGGGTCTGGTGGCCCACACAACCGGACAGGGACACCACTTCCTGGAGGTGAGGGAAACGACACGCACCATGGTTGTTCTCTCCCACCAGTCTGGGGGCCGACATTTGGAACAAGCTTTTCACCGGGGGTAGGGAGATGATAGGGCCGTAGTCAGGAGGGGGGGAAATAGACAGGAGGTAACAACTCAATGATAAAGATTGTTTTTGGTGCACTCTGGCAACATGCCCAGGTTGGGTTGGTAGTTTTCCGACATATCGATGCCGGAAATTGCGGCTCAGTCTTTTCGACTTGACATCCATCTCGTCATCAGAGACCGAGGAGTCATCCACGGTCTCATCGTGGCCAGAGTATTCCCCACCCTCGTCAAGTTCAGGAGTGTCAGTTGCTGTAGTGTCAAGTTCTTCCAGCTCGGTGATGTTGGCAAGGAGCCAGCCAGGCCCAAAACAATCCCGTGGGTCGGCATTAGAGAAAGGAGCGAACCCCTCAGTTTCACCACTCTCTCCAACGTCAGCCCCCCCCCAATGGATATCTTGCTCTACCGAATGTCGAAAAGAGCCCGGATTTCCCACAACCAGAGAAGGCCGAGGAGCAGCTTAATCTCCTCCCTTTCAGCAACGGCTGGCTGGACCACAGCCCAGACGTCTATGGAAATGCCTCACCAAACCCTGATAACCACAAACTCCTTGGTCTCAGTGCGTCTCCCATCTAATGTCGACAAGAAGAGATCTGTAAAGCCAAAGTCTGAAAGGGGGTGAGTCTTGAGCCTCAGCTTCGTGGCCAGTCGCCTGGAAATCATGTTGATCTCTGAGTCCTGGTCCGCTTGGGCCTTGCAGTCCAATTTGACTCGGACCCATTTGCCACCCTGTTTGAAGGGGACTGTGACGGTCAGTCGGAAAGCGTTCATTCTGTCGCGATGCATTCGAAGGAACCGCGAAAGATCGTTGGGGTCTGCGCCGGCCGTAGCCATATTGGCTTGGAATGCCGCGCCTCGAGCCTTTCCTTTTCCTTTAGATCGGGCTCCGGACGGCTCGGGCACCGTCAGGGCTGACCCGCATCAGGTCGAGGAATGACAACTCGCATCTAATCTTTCGCAAGCATCGATTCCAGTCGAAAGGCCCTTCACCTTGTCTCCCCTGATCTCTTTCAAGCCACGCTTGGGAGGGGTGTGATACTCACGAGCTTTGGATGTTTGGGCAGGTTTCTCCTCATCTCTGGGACCTGGGCTTTCAAACCGGACACGGCGACGACTTGACGACTTGACGACTTGTGGGCTTGGATACCGTCACTGTCGGACTGCAGAAGGGTAGTGACAGGGATTCGCGTTCCCGATTAGCGTCTCTTGCGCGCGGGGCCAGCGTCCGCCATCATCGCCGCCACGACCAAGTCGTCAGGGTCGGTGTCATTGCTCCCTTCGGAGTACTCCACATTCAGTTCGTCCCTAGAGGATCCATCGTCAAGGGAACAGAGTGACAAGCTCTGAGAGTCAAGCACCAAGTCATGCACCTCATCCTCTGGTTGTTCCTCGTCTCGGTATTCCTGGGGCATCTGCAGGAGGGGGGAGACGGGAAGTCGTCCGACAGGGGAGCACCCACCTCCGGAACAGTCTGAAGGCCAGCGGCAACTGATCCCCACTACGCATTCACCACTCCCTGGGTGAGGGGTGTGGTTGTCGGTGGCGTCGGTGTGGCAGACGCAGGCGTCCTAGGTCGGGGAAGGGCCACTACTGTCCGATGATAGTGTATTTCCCGGTCTGACAGGCGGGCATTGACACACGATGTGGATGTGTGGCCCAATCCTCCGCGGTGGGCAAGGAAGGTCGGACGGCCCCTTTTTGATTTGGGCAAAGGCGTCGGGGGCCGCGCTCCCCGCGTAGCCGTCGCGGTCTGAACGTGTAAGTCTATGGATCTGTCGGTGCGAATGTCTTCCACGGTACGTCCACCAGAAATGGATGGGGCCACAGACAAGCAGGTAGTAGGAGTGACTGTATCAGAAGGGGTCTGTGAGTCAACCTGTCTGGGTGTCATCCCGTCCGCACCTCCCACCCATGAATTCCACCTTCCACAATCAATCGAAGAGCCAGCCGTGCCAGCCAGCCTCTCGGCGCAAACACCCCGCTATCGACCCGGGAATTCGGCCCCGCAAACGGACCTCCACCCGGCTCCGCGTTGTGGATCTATCGGAACGGCCCGGCACAACGCGCCTTGCAAACTCCGCACTCTAATCAAGGCAGGAGGCTGTCCTATAATCCCGATCCGGCCTACAGGTTTCCCGACGGCGCGGCGAAGGAGCACCGGAAATGCCGGGGCAGAGCAATAGAATAGGAGGCGATCGGTCGGGAGGAGGTGGCTAAGCAAGGGGGTGAGGTTAGGGGGGGTGGTTAGCCTGATGGAAGCAATAGAAAAAAAGGGAGTTTGAGCGATAGTTAAGAGAGAGATAGAGTTCAATAGACTACCACCTTACCCCCGTACCACTAAACTGCACACTCGCGGCGTATACACCGTTTGTACATTGCTTGTACTCACTCACTTTGGCTTTCTACCCTTGATGTCCCTATCGGGCCCTGATAGGTACTGCTTCTTACAAGCAATGCACTTCCAGAAGTTCAGTTCGAGTAGACTTCGATGTCGAGGCCGGCGGCGGATGGAATAGCCTCCTAAGGAAGAGTACCGTCGAAACCACCCTCATCAATGTACCTCTCAATTTGTATAGGGACTTCGTGATCGACCTTCTTCTTCCGTCCACGTGTTCCAACGTAGTTTGAGTGAAAAGTTCGGAATTCGAGGGTCGAATTCTCGAATTCGCGAAGGATTCGGTGACCGGTTGCGTAGCTGACTCCGTGGTGGTGGAAAATAGTCTCCTTTGTAAAAAGCGTTCTACGGCCCAATTAGCTAGTGGAAAGAAAATTGACTATGCCCTGGACCCGGCATCTTCGAAGTGTTAGATTGGATTGGGTACGAAACTTGTTTGCACTTGAAATAATACTCTTTTGTTTAAAAAGATTGATGTTAACTGTTGTGATGAAGACTAAAGAAACTAGATTTGCTCCATTTACTTTCTTTTGCCCAAGGTCTTTCATTCCATTTATTCTTCTTGTCTTCCTTTTCTTGTCTTCTTTTTCCCGTCTTCTTTTTCTTGTCTTCTTCTTCTTGTCCCAGCCAGGGTTGGAGATATCACCACCCAGCATACGGTGAGCAATATGGATGGGTGTGAGCGTCAGGTAGTAGTTGATGACCACCCTGGCAGCTGTCCTCTTGACGGCTTCGTCATCGATGGGGCTGGATCCGGACATCCACTGAGTGGCAATGTCAGGGAGGTCTTCCCAATGCCGCAGTCCGTGGGGAAATTGTTGAAGGGAGGAAATGTATGTTGCTCTGAATGGAACCGTTAGTATAGGGAGCCGGGTACGCGGAAGCTAGGCGGATAGGGGGGTTGCAGGGCAGGGCGCGTAGGTGGGAGAATTATTGAACAGGTGAGTGTGATGGCACTGTCTGCAAACTGCCAAACCAACTGCCAAAACACAACTCTCAGATTCTAAGACCTGTCATGCACGGGGAGGGATCACAAGCTCCAGAGGAATCAGGGGGAAACGCCAATCAGCGGTTCCCTCTGTTTCGAGGAAGACTCAAGACAAGGATGTAAGAATCGCCATTACCTATGGCCTCCCAAACCGTGCCCCTCCCACAAAGACGAACATCCCAAGTCAGCAAGCACCACTACCACACCTGACTATGACCCCTACCGAGTTTTAACTCACCATCCTCGAATTCCCAACTCGTTTCCGAGAGAACAGTAAGCCACAAAAAAAGGCCTGGAGCATCAACGCTAGGAATCAGCAACGTGCAAAGACAAAAAAGCCCACAAACCAACCGATGCCGATAGCAGGTAGGTCAAGTGGGTACCTAGGTATTGGGTGCACTACCAAGTAAGCAAAGATCCAGGCAACGCTCCGACGACTTATTACAACCCGTTCCTCCTCCGGCCGCCGCTCTTGCTCCTCGCGATATGCGCCCTCATGGTCTTGCTCGTCTCGACCAGACTCCGCTTGTTCTTGGCCCTGGCCTTGCCGATGGTCATCAGGAAATTCTTCTTGCGGGCCTTCTCCTTGTTGGTCGTGCTCTTGCCCTCGGCGTCCTTCTTGGCGCGGCGGATGGCCTGGGTCGACTTGTGCTCCTCGCGACCCGGCTTGCCCTCGCGCGCCAGCGCCACCCGCTCCTCCTTGGTCGTCTTCTTGCCCAGCTGCGCCGGCAGCTCGATGTCGTCGACCGTGAGCCCGTCCTCGATGTGCTTGTCGATGAGCTCCTTCTTGCGCTTCGACGTGCGGCCGAGCGCCTTGTCGATCTTGGCCTCGCGGCGGAGCTCCTCGAGCTTGGCGAGGTCGGCGGGGGTGAGGATGGAGGTCGTGGCGAGCTTGGAGATGCGGTTGAGCTCAGCCTCTGCGGCGCCCGCTTCGGTGGAGGTGTCGACAAGCTCGGGGGCTTCGTCGGCGTCGCCTTCTTTCCGGCGCTTCTTTTTGGCTGGCTCGTCGTCGTCCGAGTCGCTGCTGACGTCGATCCAACCGCCGGACGACTCGCTGTCGGTGGAGCCGACCTCCCACTCGTCCGAATTGAAGCCGTCATCATCCTCATCGTTGTCCTTCTTCCCGGCATCCCCATCTTCCAAGGCCTGTTCCTCCTGTTTCTTTTTCTTCTGCTCTTCTTTGTACTGCTCGAGCAGCTCGATACCCTCGATGCCACCCCTCTCTTCCTCTCCGAACTGTCGCTGCTTGACGGCCCCCGACCGCAGCCCCATGGTAGCTTGCTTGCCACGGTACTTCTTCTGCAACAATTCGGGGTACACCTCGCGGTACAGGGACTGCAGGCCCTTTGCCGCCATTACCACGCCCTTGTCTTTGCTCCTCTGGTACAGAACTAGATCCTGCAAGAGAGTCTCGGTCATGCAGAGGGGCTGCCGAAGGGCCACCTCCCGGATGGCGTTAATACCAGCGGAACACACCTCGGCGGCAGACGCTTCCGAGACAAACTCATTCGCGATCTTGACCACTAGCGGCTCAATAACATCCGGAGGCACCAGGTTGTGTGTTGCCTGGGCCAGCGACGCCAGGAATGATGTGACACTCAGTTGCTTAGGCGTCAGATACCGGACGAACCACGAGTAGAGCGAAATAATGGTGAGCTTGTGCAACCCGACAAGGCGAGTCACCAGCTGCAGGATCAGCAGCTTGTTCTCGAGCGAGAACTTGTTTTTGGTATTCTGGAGGTGCTTCTGGAACAACTTCTCGGCGAACCCTTGGGGATCGTGAATGAGATGGAGGGCTGAAAAGTTTAGGGGGTGTGGTGCATGCTTTTTGCGGTCGTGCCTATTCTGGGTTAATGATAGGCATGGGAGATAGAGGAGGATGCAACCTACTTCTTGATCTTGTCGACTGCCCTCTCGTACGCCTTTTGGCGCTTCTTGGTCTTCTTGTTGATGGTCCCCTGGTGCTTCACCTTCTTGATGTCGACATCCTCGTCGCTCGACTCATCTTCAAGCTCCTCCCGCTCCTTGTCTCCGCCCAAGAAGAACCTCACACCGCCGATGACAACCTTTTCGTTATCGCTCAGACACGCCTCCTTCATAACGTCACACGGCTTCGCGTCAGTCCAGATCTGGCGGCGCCACAGCTCGCGGGTGATGCGCGTCGCCCACATGCCCTTGGTCGAGGTGCGGTCTGAGGTGACGAGGTTGTGGAGCACGGTTTGGATGGTCCGGTTGAGGCGGTGGTTCGTCGTCTTGGAGTTTGACTCTCTCAAGTCACTGATGATCTTGGTGTACAACAGCGACCGGAGGGTTTTGCTCGGGGTCGAGATGAGGATCGGGAAGAGGGTCGTCAGTAGGCTGGCCGAGTCAATTACATCCTTCCTCCGCAGCAGCACCAAACTGCCCACCACCTTCTCTCGCAATTCCTTATCGAGGGTCGCATGGTGTTGGTTGAGGAGTTCCTTGAGGTGGCCGGGATACGGGGCGGCGAGCTCGGGGTAGAGGTCTGCGACGTGGGCTACCAGATCAACGAGATCGTGGAACTTCTTGATATCTTCGCTCGAGACAGTCGAGGGTGAAGAGATGAAGATCTGGCGTTGCGCATCGTAGGCAAGCCACTGGTCGTGGAATTCTTGGGCGTAGGATCTGCCGCTTTCAGTCAGCGGTTGTTGCGAATGCGCAAGACAGACAATGATTGGGGACAAACCTGGGATCTCTCCGAATCTTGTACTGCAAATTGACCAGGTCAGCCTCAACCTTTTCGAGCGCTGCGACCTTTCTTTTGACCATCTTGTCGGTTGTGGGGTGGTTATCGGATTCTTCCACAGCCTGTCCTCGACCGAGATTTTTCCTGTCCTTCCCGACGCAAGCTCGTTATCGTTATCGCTACTTTTTAGTGGGGCCCTCGGCGCTGCGGGGCTACACAGCGCCTAAATGCCAAGTCTCCCACCTGCCCACATGTATCTCCACCAGAGACGGTAAAGGTTTACACCGTGACTCCCTCCACTTTCATGTCAACACCCTCCGAATAAGGATAAGGATGGCACTGTCAAATATTCCACGAAGGGGCTTGCCTTCCAGATCACAACCTAGCATGACCCGACCCCCCCCCCCCCCCCGGGCCTGAAATTGTGCAACATGGTCAATGTATCAAGTACCTCTGTACCTAACTCGGATTGAGATGCCCACCAACACCGGCTTCTCGAGTCTGTGGTAGATGGTGCGCTTGCGGTGCATGGTCAGGTACCGAGGTATCTAGGGCAAGATTGTATGATTCCGTGATCCGAGCATTCTGCGGGTGTACTGAGCGGGCTTGATTCCGGGTTGATCCCGTGGCCCCGTCAAGCGCAGTTCCGCGGAGCCCTGGGCATGGTTGTTCCATAATATCACGCTCATGCCCAAGTGAAGTTCTAAAGGTAGATCCCAACGTTGTCGCTTAGGCGTCTGTTGTAGGGTATAACCGATGGACAGGGGGAAAGGCCATCGAGTCATTATTGTTCGGTTATCAGCTTTTAGAGGAAAATCGTTACGAGTCAAGTTGATTTAACCCCAAAAGGTTGGTTAGAGGTAGGTGGCTCGGGTTTTGCAGGGTGGTGACTGGAGGGAGGGGTGGGGCTGGATTTATGGTATGGGTGTTAGAGGTAGTTACTGACTGGGGAGTTGGGAGGTGTAGGTAGTATTGCTACCTAATGGATGGCTGCAGCTGTTAGTAGGGAGGGGATGTTTTTTGGAAGTGAAACGAATAGGTTCTGGCTGCATGGGTTCGCGAGGTGCTTGCCCAACCGGGAGGTTTGATACTCTGGAAGGACCCTACCGCCCGAATGGATGGATAAATTGGTGTTCCGGAGTCGGGTATTGTGTATGTACATATATCTTCTTCAGGTTTGAATATACACGCTAGTCTTCCGCGGCTAGAAGGTCGTGATTAGAAGCGGCGTTGTCTTACTGTCCCTTTCTTTACCAACGTCACATTAAGGGCCGCAAGCTCTGGGAGTGTGTCGCGCTCAATCCCGACCGAAGATGCCGAGGGGACTTTTTGGTCCCGTTTAACGGGTTTGGTGACGTTTATGCCTGGTTCCCCTCAACCACGGAGACCACGAGCGTCAACGAGGTCGTATGGGATGTTCCCCTGAGGATATGACGTACCGCCGATGGAACGCTATATCCGGAACAGTCCCATATTGCAAGCTTCCCAGCACCTGGTTTGGCTGCCGTACGGTTACACTAACCAGTCTGGGTTTCATCAAGACCTGAGAGCGTTTTCCCAGCAACCCGTTACCCCAGATCCGGTTGCCGACGTTCTCTGCCGACGTGCATTGGTTCCGGGGATTGGCAGCAGGAACCAATTTATGCTACGCAGATAAGCTCCGATCTTAGGCCTGTTGCGCGGCTCAACCGCACACGAGGTTGCGTCCTGTAATTTACCCGCCTTAGCGGAGCATCGGCTTCGGGGCCGACGCCGAAAGGGGAAGTAGTCCAGAACAACTCCGTGCTTTCTTGGCCTTCTGGCCTGATCCTGACTTGCCGATCTGCTTGCCATGGTTCAAGGATTGTCGGTAGTGGAAAAGTGAAAGCAGAGGAGACGGGGCGGAGACGCAAACGGCATGGGCGTCCATGTGAAATTGGAGTATATATCGCCGACCGAGCATAGCCTTCGCCGTTCATCCTTGGCTCGTTAAGTTGTTTTTAGCAGCCTCCTCAACCAAACCTGTATCATCACCACCATGTTTCTTCGGACGTTCCTTGGGCTCGCCGCTGCGGCGGCAACGGGCCTCGGCGCCTCGCTGCAGCAGGTGAGCAGCTTCGGCGACAACCCGACTAACATCCAGATGTTCATCTACGTCCCGGACAATGTGGCCGCCAACCCGGCCGTCATCGTCGCGGTAAGCAAACGCCGCACCCGTCCCACACCCACATCCACACCCACACCCGCGCTGCGCCGTGCTGACAAGCGCAATGCGCCGGACAGCTCCACCCCTGCGGCGGCACCGGCCAGCAGTGGTTCAGCGGGACGCAGCTCCCCTCGCACGCCGACCAAAATGGCTTCATCCTGGTGTACCCCAGCACGCCGCACATGAGCAACTGCTGGGACGTGCAGAACCCGGACAGCCTGACGCACGGCCAGGGCGGCGACGCCCTCGGCATCATCAGCATGGTCAACTACACGCTCGACACGTACAGCGGCGACCGCGAGCGCGTCTACGTCATGGGCTTCTCCTCCGGCGGCATGATGACCAACGTCATGGCCGGCTCCTACCCGGACGTCTTCGCCGCCGGCGCCGCCTACTCGGGCGTCGCTTTCGGTTGCTTCCAAGGTGAGTCTCCAATCCCGCGCGGCGGAGTGAAAACGGCGCAGTTGAGACGATGGTGTGCATATGGGGTCTTTGCCATCCCGATGATGCACAGCGGCACAGCAGCCCCCCTCCCCACCCCCAACCCACCTCCCCCTCATGTTCCCACATCATTGAAATAAATCGGCGGGTTTCCCGTTGCGGACTGGAAATAGAAGCATGCTGACTCTTCCCTCCCCCCACCACCAGGCGCCCCGTCGGCCACACCCATGAGCCCGAACCAGACGTGCGCGCAGGGCATGCAGAAGGCGCCCGGGGAGTGGGGCAACCTGGTGCGGAACGCGTACCCCGGCTACACCGGCCGCCGCCCGCGCATGCAGATCACCCACGGCCTGGCCGACAACCTGGTGCTGCCGACCTGCGGGGAGGAGGCCCTGAAGCAGTGGTCCGATGTTCTGGGGGTTGAGTTTACTCGTGACGTGGCGGGCGTGCCGTCGAGTGGCTGGACCCAGAAGATCTATGGCGGTGATGGTGTGCAGCTGCAGGGCTTCCTTGGTCAGGGGGTTGGTCACTCGCCGTCGGTTGACGAGGAGCAGTTGCTGAACTGGTTCGGTATCACGGGCGGGGGTGAGAACGGTGGTGGTGGCGACAACGGGGGTGGTGATAATGGCGGTGGTGACAACGGCGGTGGTGAAACTGGCGGCGGTACCGTCGCGCTGTGGGGGCAGTGCGGTGGCAACGGGTACAGCGGCCCCACTGGCTGTGCTGAGGGTACCTGCAAGGTGCTGAATGAGTGGTATAGCCAGTGCACGCCTTGAGTGTTTGCGGATGTCGGATGCTCATCAGATGGCGCGGAGAACGTTAGCTTCTTGTATATGTTTCCCCTTTTGGCCCCGCGCTGAGAGCTCTTGGACGAAACAGGTATCATCGGGCCGTAACTTCTCATTCCGGAGTGATTATGACAAACTCCCTGTAGGATGGCCTCCTCAACCAAAGACTCTTATGGATGAGACAACCTGGTTAGGTGTGATGTCTTATTATGGCTTTCGGGCCGGAAATACTCGTCAGTCTGGCATCGAACAAATTTTCTATCTTCTCCCCGCTGGGCTATTTTGTGGGTTGATTGTTTTATCTCCTTAGACTAAGCAGGGCTAGCTCTATGTTTCCAGGGTGGACACGTAATTAGAGCTGTCTGCAAGGCAACGAGGAAGTATTCATTCATACTATGAACTCCGACTCTACTCATGTCCTCGAGCAGTCGTCAAAGGCATGGTACAAGCCTATCAATCCTGCGCTCAACAGGACCTTACCCACCCCAAAGTCTCTGCGGCAAAGGCCAAGGAGGTGTCGTTCAGTTAGCAGTTTCAACGCTCTTGCATCCCGGTCCTCTTCTCCCGCTACCGCAGGAGACGCAAGTAGGCTCGACGATGTACCAAGGATTCTTACATGGCTAGAACATAAAACGGCTCCCGCACGAGCTCGACAATGAGATGTCATGTTGAATTCGGGCCCTGTAACCACCGATTGGTATCTAGGTAGGCAGAAAAAGACCAACTCCGAATGCGGGTATTGACCGAACTTCAACCGTGGAACGAAACGAGAGTCATCTAACAATATAAGGAGATTTCCGATACGCGACTTGGGTTCCCCTTGCTTTAACTACTTGCTTCCGCCTAGCAATCCGACAAGACTGCTATGGACGAAGTTCCATGCCGCCGTAGGTTTGATGCCCGTCAAAGAGCTGAAGATGTATATCACTGCTTGGGAAGCTACTTACGATAATGGTTACCAACTTAGAGCAAGCACTACAGCAGTAATAGCCCGGGCCAGTGTTAAAGCAGTTAGGGTGATATAAGTCCGGGGTTACCGTTGCTTCGTTACATCTTGGATTTTGTATTCACACGGGGCACTATTATGCTTAGCCGGTCAAGGAAGAATGAAACGGGGAGACTATAAGGTAGCGGAGTGTTTCTGTGAAGACATGAAACACTACCTCTTTCTTCTCTGGTTGGGGAACCTTATCGAAGCGAATCTCCAACTAGGCCCACCATAGCCAATGATGGGGTTATTTCGGCGTCGTAGGACTACTAGTATATTCGGAGCTTCAAGTTGCGGATGCTGTTCGAAACGTCTACAATCTCGCAACCGCTCAGAAGTTGAGGTGCGACGTCTGGACGAGGCGTTTGCAACACCAGCCCTAGCGACGTTGCTAAGAAGAACGAGGTCCGATGAGCCGACTTACGGGATTTCAGGATAAGAAGTCTACCGATAAATACCCTACCTAGGTAGGTAGGAAGATAGGTAGATACAGGTATCTAGGCGAACAGGGGTTTATATGTTTCAACCCGAACATTAGCCAATGGGTTTTCGCTTCTCTTAACAAGGCACTAATGGAATATAGCTAGGTACCTCGGTAGGTGATGATGGAGCTCAGCACGACTTCAACCTGCCTTATAGGTGGCGCTAGCAGCCCTGAACACGCGACCAAGGGCCGCGTTCAACTGTAACTGCGATCATCGAGGAGTCACGGTGCCGTTGTGCCAGGTACTGGCGAGTGGAGCCAAAATGGTAGCGAGCCCGTATATGCCGGAGTGAGGGGGTCATCGACCTACCTACCTACCTACCTAGGGTACCTAGGTTATGTTGCTAACCTCCCATGTTAGGGAACGGCCCGGGAATTGTGACGCTGACAAGAATCAAATTGGACCGGAAAACAGGCAGCGATGGTGAGTGGGCCTCGCGGCCGGTAATAGCATCCGTTCTAGCAGAGCAAGTACGGCACAGTAAATATTTTTGAAACAGGCCACGCGAGTTGACTGGAACTCTGACAGCATGAAGGTTACATAGAGATGTTTTTCAAAGGATCGATTGCCAAAATGAAGTCGCCGATTTGAATTTATAAGCAGCGTCCACCAAAACAATATTAATCAATTGCCATGGCAAGATAAGGTACTTGCGTCCTCTTGAGGCAGTTGATGGTGGTCGGTTGGTCAAACGCGCATTGGCATGCCTCACTCGAGGGGTCGAGGCCTTCAGATCGGTGTAAACGATGGCACCAATCGGAGTAAGCTGCACGAACCCGAATGCTTGACCAAACATGTCGGCATCGGTACCGATGGGCAGTGGGAAGACGAAACCACCCTCCATTAGAGTGCACCAGCACAAACGCCACATTGGCGCTTGGTTCCGAGGTTGCCGTTGCTACCCTGTGCCCTTTATTGTCGATCATGAGGGGTTTGATGACTACGTACAGCACGAAACAATAGGAAGGATTGTTTGAGCTTTCCTTGGGAGGCAAGGGTTTCGGGCCTGGAGTTTGTGTTGCTGAACATGATCGAGTCGTTAACCTGTTCTGGTATGAACCGTTTCGTTGAATACTGGCTTCAACGTTAGACGAAATTTGGACGCGGCTACCTGCTCCGTAAATGGCAATCATGAGGTCGGGTGCTCGCAGAAGGGAAACTGGAGGGACTGGGATGGGGGGTTAAGTTCTGTCGCTGCGTGCGTGGGCACTTGCCATGATGGGCTGGATTTTGTTTGCCGGCCAAGTGGCGCCTGCCTTGCTGCGTGCAGGTGCCTCGTCCAAGCTGCCCGCCCAACAGCCCACTCCCAGGAAGGGACGACCATGGAGGAGCTCAACCACCCATGTTCCCGTCCCTTCGCTCCAGCATGCACCGCATCGGAAGGGCATCTAACGGCACCCGATTCTGCAGGCAAGAAAAAAAAGAAAGGAAGCCAGCCCCCGGACTGTCGGATGCTGCCCTGCGCGTGCGGCGTGCCCCCGCTCGTTCCGTTCAGTTGCAGACGCACACCGCCTCGACACATGATCTGAATTCAATGAGGAAGTCCCATGTGGTAATTATTTTGTGTTTGTTGGTTGTTGATCCCTTGATCGGCGGACTGCCCGAGCAATCACTCACAAATACGCACAGCCTGGGACCAAACCGACACTCCGATCGCGGCCGCTGTTGACTGCCGACCGAGATTCTCCCACATTCGCCGGCCTCGAGTGGCCAATAAGGTGTTCCATGTTCCCTCTCGTCTTTGTCCCGGCATGACGCGGCTCGCTCGAATATGCCAGCCAGCAGCCAGCGGCACCACGTCCCATCGATTGCTCGCTTAGTTTGAGGGAGCATTGGAGGAAGAATTCAAAGGCAACACTGCGACAGCCTCGTCCATGGCATTCATCCGGCCCTGACGGGGCAGATGTGGAGGTCGACGGCCTCGCCGAGTCGGCCGCAGGTTGTGGAGAATTGGCCCTCGGTCATTCCGCTCCTGTCCTTGGTTCGCCGACCAAACCCCAACCCAAGCAGGACCCAGGCTTACCAGAGATGATGCAAAGTTGCAAACAAACCCACCACCGCGCATCGGACACAACATAATTCGCTCTCCCCAGAATGCAACACCACGGCGTATGCGTGGAAGCCTTCTGGAAGGAAATTGTTCATGCGCGCCAAGACGACACTTGTCAAATCCCGCCATCTTCCCCAGCCGCCCGCCTGCTTGCCGCTGTGGTTGCCCAGCCTGCCAGGCGTGCGAACCAGATCCCTGGTTCCGGCCCCCGGGGGCGATCTGCACTCAACCGTGGTATGGAAGCCGATGAGTGTGGCCGGCAGGCAGGCGGGGCCTTTTTCTCGCTCCCGCATGTGCCGCCGCCAGAAATGTCAGAACATTGAAGCCCGGAAAACCTTAGCTTGACCACGCTGGACCATGCATGCGACACACCTCCCTCAGTCCCCCCGCACTGGCCACATGGCTCATGGGGGCGGCGCGACGCGCTTATTGGTTCGTGGGAGCTGCGCGGGCCAATGTTTCACTTGAAAGCACGCGTCTCTGCGGGCCTGATGCGGACAGTGGGGGACAGCATTTGGGCGGCACAGTGGCTCTTGAGGCGTCTGCGCCGCCCTCTCCATGCAGGGGCGTCGCGTTGCGGCACCACCCACCAGTGAAATATGCATGGAAGCTGCACAGAAGCCTTCCTTGCATGCGACTTTTTATACTTATGGTGGTACCTGTGCCACCCATATCCCACCGACCGAAACAGAAGTACATCGCCATCAGCACTAGCTGTCCATCGTCCTCCGCCAACACCCCATGTCCACTCCGGTCACCGCCAAGCCCGCCTTAACGCCAGCGTGCTGATTTCCTCGAAGCTTTCTGGAGCCGCTTCCCAGATGCATCATGGAAAACAGGGGTGCGGCCTGTGCTCGATACATAGTCTCGGGCTTTCTGCACATTCCATGGCGGAATAAACTCACGGAATTGCCCGTTGGCAAACACGGATGACGGGTCGTTCCCGAGCCTGCCTGGATACTATGCCTACCAACGTTGTGACTCGACTCCGCCCTGGGCAGCATGAGGTCGTCTATCTTGATGCCGTATATGGAGCCCGTGGCGGCATCGATGGCTATCACGATATGCCGCCCTCGCTACACTCCCGCCAGTCATCCTTTACCACCTCCTCGACCCCTAGCTCGGTCGAAATGGCTTCGCCGCCGGCCTCAACCAGTGCCGGACCGACCCCCTCGGGCTCCAGGATAGGGCGGCCACCACAGTGGACGGTGTCTCGATCTCGAAAGCTGGCCCGGCTCTACCTCTACTCCACGCTATCCATCGAGAAGATCATTAAGGTGCTTGAGGACGATGGCTTCAACCCGAGGTGTGGGCGTTCGCTCGGTGGGGTTCAAGGAAACCCGAGGCTGACGTGTTACTAGAAAGAACTCTGCGCAGAAAACCATCCATAAGATGCTTGACAATGACCCCCGGTACCTTCGGCCTGAATCACGCGCCGAGATGGGTAAACGCATCAACAGCCTTAACACGTCACCCACGCGGCGGAAGAAGAAAGGGGCCAAGGACCAGCGCATCGCCGCAAGACATGGCTTCAGAGAGGTGAACTTTGCTTCGATGACTTTTGTACAACCACGCTAACCTTTCTTCGTTCGTAGGAAGAAGTCATGCTTTCCAACTCGGCAGTGACTTCGCCGTCTGGACTCAGCGTCAAAGCCGAAGACCCGCTCGCGTTCGACTATTCTGCCTCTCCTGACGGCTCCAACCTTGGAAACTTCAAATTTCCACCCAAGGCCCGCGATACAACGGGGACAGACAGCGAAGCGCACTCAGCTGGAGTGCAAAACATAAAGCGAAGAGTTTCCGAGTGCTCATCACATTTTGCCTTGCAACTATCGTCATTGATTAAAGAGTTCACTATTTCGATTTGCTCAGATGGCCAGTCTTCTGGACGCCGCCCCTCGGCAGCGCCCAGCGAAGGGTCAGACCCTGGGGAGTCTCCGGACTCGGAGACTGTTCCGGAACCCTACGAGTCTTTTCCCGATCCAGGATTTGCCCTTCCGGGAGACTTTCTCTCGGCCCACACCCGGAGCTGCGCCGACTTCCCGGGCCAACGCCATGGAGCGGGTGATTGTTGGTGTTCGATCGCCAAGGAAACCGCCGAGGACGAGCACTCATGGGTGCTCCCGGGGGGTGAACTCAGCGAGAGGACACTGCGTGTTCTCCACCAGCCTTCACCAGGCGACGCTAGCCTGCGAGACAGTTGTGGGAACACACCGTTGCACTTGTTTGCAGCCTTGGAAGGAACCCAGGATATACTCGTCAGGATGGTTACCAACTGCGAGGCAGGCCGTTTGACAGCGGTCAACACCGCCCGCCAAACATTTCTCCACGTTTTGAACCTCGATTGGTTTGTGGATCTTTCCAGCCATTCTTCCCCATTAGCGCGGCTTCTGGCGCATGTTCAAAATGTCTGTCCCGGTCTGGTTTACGAATCCGACGTCTACGGCCGAACTTTCTTTCACCGCGCCCACTCACTCATCAGGGACCCGGCACTCCTCACTAGCCTCATCTCTCTCTTCGACCCCATGCTCGCCTCTCGCCGCGATGCATTCGGATTCAACCCCGTCCCCGAGACCGACCCAGCTAACCAAAGCCCATACATCCCACCCCGACGGACCGGCAGCCTCTCTCCGCAAGTCGAGGACCTCGCCCGTGCCAGCCCAGGCAGTCGCCCTAACTCCTCTGCCTCCGAAGGCTCCTTCCTAGCTTACCACGCCCGCCTCGTCCAGGTAATCCAATCCTCCTACAACAACCCCACTCTCGAGGACACCGACGGCCGCAACGGCCTGCATTGCCTCGCAGAAGCAATCCTCAACCAACAAGCCATGGATCGCCACGTGCGTTCCTCCTCCTGCTCTTCAACCGGCAGCCGCCCACATCTCAAGCGAAAACTCGACGCATCAACAAAAGACACATCAACTTCCTCAACCGCCACCACCACCCCACTCGGAACCCCCAGTGCAGGCAATACTGCAACCGGCTTCGCCGAGGGCACGCTGCCAACGCGGCTCCGGCACCTGCACTCGCTGCTGCACCCGTCGGTCTCGGTCTCGGTCAACCACTACGACCGGCGCGGGTACACGCCGCTCATGGCCTTTGTCGAGCACGTGTCGGACGACCAGGACGATAAAGCCCGCACCCTGCAGGCCATCCTGGAGACGCTGGTGCGCGCGGGCGCCGCCGTCGAGGCCCGCAACCGCCGCGGCGAGACCGCGCTGCTCATGGCCGCGCGCCTCGGCCGTAAAGTGGCACTTGCGACGCTGTTGGAGTGTGGGGCGAATGTGCATGCGAGGGATGTTGATGGGCGGGGGGTGCTGGAGGTGTTGGATGCTGAGGTCCGCGGGGACAGGGCAAGGAAGGAGGTCGGCTTGTATGCGCGGTTGGAGGCGTGTCGGGTGCTGTTGACGGGGCGGAGGGAATGGGGGGCGGTGTATGCTAGTGTTGCGGGCGGTGGGGGTGGGGGCAGGGTTGGGGAGGGGGCGGTAATGAGGGAGTGGAGGGTGAGAGGGTGAGAGCGGGGTTAAGAAGTTGGGATGGATCAATCATGGTTGGGATGTAACATATACACTGACTAGAATGGGAGGTCGCTTAGATCGATTGTACATATACTTGGTTTAGACTGGGTGAGACATGTGGTAATATGATATCATTCGCCGAGGTCCTTGGGAGTTCGAGTGCACCGTTCTGGGTTACACTACTTGGTCCATGGAAGGGAAACGCTTCCTGTCGCACCGAGCTGTCAATGGAGATCCTTGGATAGACACCAAGTCGGGGTTCTTTCAGATGCTCCTCGGCACTAACATTGAGCTCTGAGACGATTATGAGCCGTCGCTCTCGAAATGTACTGGCAACTGTTACAGTCAAGGGGTCGTGAGCTTCCCGTTAACGCCCCGCTATCGGGGTTCTTCCCCCTGAAAACCATCAGACGATCGAAGTTCACCGTCAGTCCAGGGTATCCCAGCCGTCTCATACAATCTCGGACATTTCCACGCGACAAGGACCCTGACATATCGAACCCTGACATCTTCGGACTCGGAGATCTCATCCGACCCCATCATCCTCTTCCACCCATTGGCAAATCCGCCCCCAGTGAATGCCCAGCCCACCAAGCCCGATCAAACGTTAACCCCGACGATCCCGATGCCACTCACCAACCCCTGTCATCCACCCGGCCGAGCCGGCTCAGCCCTCCAATTCGCCAAATTCGCCAATACGACCCTCCAGCCATGCATCCGCCTCGGGCGCCCGTTGGCCGCCTTAGCCGATCCCCCTTGGCCGCGCTCCACGCCCAAAAACTCAAATTCAACCTTCATCTTATCCTTACCCATCCTCACCCCCTTTTTCCCGCCGATTTCCTACAACACCACCTAGGTGCCCAACCGCTCACGAAGTAATCACCTCCTATCAACCCATCCCCATGTAACAACCGACAAACCCCCCTTTCATAGAGAGAGAGGAGAAAGAGAAGGAAGAGAGAGAGAAAGAAAGAGAGAAGAATGTCAGCCCCACGCCGGCACTGCTTCCCCTGGGCCAGCCGCATCACCACCACCATCACCACCCCCATGACCACCGCCACCACCGCAATCACCGCCATCATCGACCCCGCCGTAGCAACAACCGCCGCCGCCGCATTATGTGCCGTCGCGACGCACCGGCTCGGGGTCGGTGCCAGCCCGTCGGCCCATATCCGCTCGGAGCTGGTGTGCTGGGCGCTGCTGCGGCTGTTGGTCGCGGGCCTGCGGCGGTGGGGGTCGCGCCGTGGTGGTGATCGTGGTGAGGTGGGTGAGGGGTGGGAGTTGGTGGATGGGGGTGAGAGTGCGGGTGAGGGTGGGAGTGAAGGTGGGAGTCGGAGTCCAAGCGCCAGGGCGGCGTCCGGGTGGTCGGTGAGCGTGGTGGCGCTGGCGCTGGCGGTGGTGAGTGGGTTTGCGGCGGAGGTGGGGGTGTTGGTGCTTTTTGTAAGTACTTTCTACCTATATATGCAGTATCCTTTTGAGCTATGGTGGTGATGGTTTTCTGACTGTTTAGCCGGTATTGACGCCGCTGGTGTTGGTGGCGGATAGAAAGCTTCGGCCCGAGATACAGGCATCCGAGTCGAGGTTCGCAGCTCTTGCCAACAGCGTGTGGGGGACGGCATTGGTCGCATTGGTTGCGGTTTCTGCTGCGGTGAGAGGGAGCTCTTTGGAAACGCTACTGCTGATTATCCCGCTTGTGGCGTTGCTGGTCGTTTACGTTGCTTTGATACCCAGGACCGTCGACGGTCCTCGTTTACTGCCTTATATCCCCGACCTCGAGGAGGCTATCCCAGTCATTTCCACCAGAGTTTGGGTTCTCTTTTTAGGGATGTTGGGAATCCAGGTGTATATGTTCGGGATACACAGCATTGAGCTTGGTTTCACACCGTATTTGCTGGGTCTAGTCAAGGCTGGTTTCTGGTACTTTGCGATACAAACAGTCGGTTCCCCACCTGTACTACTACCTACCTCTGCAGCCCCGGATACTTACATGCCGCAGGCTCGTCACACCTCGTGGTGCACTGTAACTGCAATAGGGACGTTCGGTCTGGTAGCCAGTCGCGATCCCTGGGTTCAAATATCCGAACTGGAGGCGTTGTCGCCAGTCATTGCCTCCATCCTCGTCCTCGCCCAAATCATCCTCATGGTTCCAAAGCGCTTGAACGGCAGGCTGATACTGTGGACTCTGTTCCTCGTCTCTGTCGGACCGTATCTGGCCAACGTTGTCGCCATTCAAAGAGCAAACTACTCAGCAGTCCATGCCGCGGAGCATCCAGTTGAGGTTTTGATGCGCGTCGCCAAGGCCGAGTTTGACCAACTCCTAGAGCGGCAATCGAAGACTTATACGGCCGCAGTCAAGGAATACCAGCGCCGGTACGGGGTAGAACCGCCACCGGGATTCAAAGAATGGTACGAATATGCGGTCGATAATCAATCACCCATCATTGACGAGTTCGATATGATTTATGAATCCGTCTCGCCGTTTTGGAGAATCAGCGGCAAGGAAGTGGTACAAATCATGAACGCCGCTCACCAAACGCCAGACATTGACCTATGGCTGTGCTCCTTTTCGGGTGCCACCGCAGAAACCCGCTGTGAGCACCCGACACGATACTCGGACAGACATACTGGGGATATGTTCAACAAGCTGTTAGGAGACATCAAGGGACTGATCCCAGACGCCAAGTTCCTGGTGAATCACCTCGACGAACCGAGGGTTTTGATTTCGCCAGGGGCAGATTCAAGCAACCCCTTTTCGGTAATCGACTTATCCGAACAACCAACCTGGAAAGCAATCACCAAGTTCTGCCCCTCTAAGCCGCAAGAAGGCCACGAAAACCCCCTCGAGACCCTAGGCCTCCCCTTCGTCACCAACCTCACCACCACCCTCGACCTCTGCAACCACCCCGAATACGCACACATGCACGGCCTCTTCCAAGCCCCGCCCTCCTTCAAGCTCATCGAGGGTCTCGTCCCCGTCCTCTCGACCGGCGCGCCCTCCACCATGTCCGACATCCTCCTCCCCTCCCCAGCCTACATCGTCGAGCCCCAATTCCACTACAACCCCACCTCCGACCCCCCCTGGCCCGCCAAGTCCAACCACCTCTACTGGGCGGGCTCCACGACCGGCGCCGTGGCCTCCGACTCCCCTCCCAACAACTGGCAGACCTTCCACCGCCAGCGCTTCCTCACCCTCGCCCAGAACCTCGCCCCCTCCAACCACCACCCCCACACCTACCTCCACCAAACCCGGGGGGCCACGACTCAAAAACTCACCACCGCCCAATCCACCTTCCTCAACCCGCGCCACTACGCCGTCGCGCCCACCCGCATCTTCCAATGCACCACCCCGCTCCCCTGCCGCCAGCAACAGACCCATTTCCGCCGCCTTCCCTGGCAGGCGAGCGACGCGGCGCTGGGGGCCAAGCTAGCCTTTGACCTGGACGGCAACGGCATCTCGGGGCGGTTTTATAAATTGCTGGCGTCGCGCTCGCTGGTGCTCAAGCAGACGGTGTTAAGGGAGTGGCATGATGAGCGGTTGAGGCCGTGGGTGCATTATGTGCCGGTGAGTTTGGGGATGGGGGAGGTGCCGGAGGTGGTGGAGTGGTTTTTGGGGAGTGGGAGGGGCGGGGAGAGGGCGAGGGAGTTGGGGGAGGCGGGGAGGGAGTGGTTTGGCAGGGCGATGAGGGAGGTGGATGTGAGGGTGTATTTGTGGCGGTTGGTGTTGGAGTTGGCGAGGGTGGGGGATCAGGGGAGGGGGGTGTTGAAGGGGTGATTGGTTGTTGGTGGGGGCGTTGGGGGAACATAGTATGTGTGGGAGGGGAAGGGACTTGGGACGGGAATGGATAGTCTGCATCAACAAAATGTATATATATATAAGGAATGTAATAAGCACCTGAGAGACCTCTATTGAGCCACGCATCATCATCAAGACCGAGCCAATGTCTTGATGTCCCGGCGGCTAGGCCCTTCCTATACCTTTCCTAACCCTCTCCTCATCCCACCTCGATAAAGGGGGCCAAGTCTATACCGATCGATGAAGGGAAAAAAAAAAAGAATTTGAGGTCGTTATCCTGACCTCGGAAAAGCAACAAAAGCAATAAGAGATACAGCCCGTCTTGACATGTGAGACTTGGGTTTTAGAATTGTAACTGGTAGAGACTGTCGAAAAATGAAGAAGCCAAGATACCGTGACCAGAGAGAAATACTAGGAGAGAAATGCACATGTTACGCTACACCATGGATGGGTCGGGTGGTTCAGTGTGTCTCATGGCCCAGCGTTAGCCATGTCGACGCGGTGTGCGTGGATCTCCAATTAAAGTTGAAGGCCACGCTGCTGATGACATCGTGCCGTCGATTCTGGGAGACATCATGCGCAAATACGGTGCCCACATCGATGGGCAAGGCTCAGCATGGGAACGCTCCAGTTCAGGGGCTGGTACCAAAAGCGGCGTTGAAAGTCTCGACAGCGCTAGCTGCTCTAGTTGTGTAGAAATGGACGCGGGAACTCGGGTGAGGGTGGGATGGATTATCGGGGATTCGACCGTAGATGGTGCCGGCGTTATAGGTGTCTTGTCCGTTGAAGCGGTCGATGTTGTACGTGTAAGTGGCGGCGCCCCTATGGTTGTTGGAAGCAGAGCTGGAGCCAGAATCGGTCGAGCCCACCGGCGTAGCAGATGCCGAACATGGCACGGTCCTGGAACCAGGGTGATGAGCAACAAAAGAAGCGGGTGACGAAAGACAAAACGCGAAGAACTTGGGAGACGTTGAAAGGGTTGTTGTATTAGGGAGCTGGGGGCCGACTCACCAATCTCTAGGAGTAGAGTCAAGATGCGGGTTGGGTCTCGACATGACGAGGCGATTGGGACTCCTGGGAGTAAAACCCAAGACTGGAGAGTAGAGTATAGGGCTGCGGGAGTGGAAGGCAAGAACGGGATTGGCTGCGAGTGGAAGGGAATACGTGAACTCGATACTCCAAAGACTGGACAGTCAAGTAAAATAGAGTTGGAAGCAGGATGGAGGCCATGGTCGTTTATATATATGTTGTGTGATGGAGGGAGGAACTGGCAGCACCGAGGGGTGGGCGGCATCCAGGTGCCAAATTTAGTAGACCCACGCCCGGGACTAACTACTGTGTAAGAGCTTGGAGACCCCTGTTTGTGCAAAGGCACGCAACTCCGCCAAGCTTTGGCTTGGCTCCTCCGACTTGAAGAAGTGTTTCGAATCGGGAGCATTCCCACTCACACTCGCGGGGCGCTAGTATGTGGGGCGTGGCAGGGGTACTTCCCGTTGTTGTGTCGAACTTCTCGAATGGAAAGGACGAAAGTCGGCCATCGGCAAGTTGGACAGATGGACTTGTTGCCTCGATTTGATTCGCGCCCCTGCCACACGACCCAATTTGGCGAAACTCTTCAGCTTCTCCCTCCCATGGATGGGCCTTGTTGATTCGTCGGCCACATGAAGGCACACCACGCAGCCAAGCGGCACAGAAAGCCGCGCCAAAATCTCTAATTGGTAATGCTGCAACTTCAAATTGTGTACACTTGTGCGCTTGATAGGAAAGGTCATAGAGTCTGAGTCGTGCGAATCGAACGGCAACCACATGGTCCACATCGCAGGAACGCAGATGCCGGCCGATGGGCTTGAAACTTTGCGATGGTACCATTTATCGAACGGCGCACTCACCGAACCAGCCAGGATGGCCATGAGTCCTCAATTTCACACAGGGCCCGAGAAGCCCGCTCGGCGTTTCAAGACGGGACGGAACTAGGTGGCCTCCCAGTAAAAGGAGCATTTGAATCCGCGGATCGGCAAAAGATGTGCGGTGGGAAGAGGAACATGATATTGGCATGAAGCGGATGGAGGCGCGCGAGCCTCCGGAGTTACCCGCTTACTCTGTGACCCCTACACCCAAGCTTTGAAGCTTGAAGTTGGGTGCAGGGATCACATCGCAGATCCACCTCCCTTGGTCTTGACAAATCAAACCGTGAAGGAAATACTACCTATGTATAATGTACATACAGAACTCTCTCCATCCATCCCGAACACTTCAGTTTTCACTCCCTATCGGGGGGCCGGCCAATACCAGATGATACACAGGAGTCAGATGGGTGCCGAATCCTGACATGTCTCAATTCGGAAAGGGCATCCGGCGATCACGGCCCAGCACTTCGTCACAGGCCGCAACGACGACGGCAGCCCTGGCCTCGTAAGATGGGATATAGGCGTCCGGGAGAGGGCGGCGGCACCCGCGGTTCGATGCTCGGCTGTACAGCGTGCCGTCGTCACACTGGGCTTGTTTGAGGAATCGATCGAGGTTGGCACTCGAGGTGTGGACCGTGGCTGAAGGGGGAGAGGTAGGGGAGGCGGACGAGCCCGTATTGTTTGTCGTGGAAGGGGCCCTATTCATTGAGAATAATGGAAGGTTAGCGGAAAAGATCGGGCGTCCCTGTGACCATGGCTTTCAATCTTGGTGGAGGGCGAACTAACGCGTCACGGTCTTGCTCCTCTTGCAGGGCGATGGGAGTGTTGGGGTTTGGGCTTGACATATTCCGGAAGCTGGGGGGGGAGTGTGGGAAAGTAGAAAGAAGACGACAAAACAAGTCGACCAACATTGAAATCAAGACGATGAGTTGGGTGGCTATGGGGTTGGGTACGGTCTAAATACATTTTTTTCACCCGGCGGTCAGTGGTCAGACATGACCTCCCTCACCCTTTGCATGCGAATGTCTATGTTCTGGTCCTGGAAAGCGGGAGGGGGGGGTATGCTGATCCCCTGCAGCCCTGCTCTTGTTCCCCCGAACCCAGGCGAACCAGGACGGCTTCTTGCTGGTGCTGAACATCGGAACGTGTTTTCTGACCAATCACAATGGCCCGGATTGTGTTGCCGAAATGGGGAAAGGAGTCCAGCACTCCAGCCAAAGCTTGGACCATCAAGACTCGATGGAATGGAGCAATTCCCGGCCCTGTCAACTGTGTAAACCCCTGTAAAGCCACCGCGCCACGCACTCGCCACATGCAGTGTTGGACAAAATGTGTGGTAGCTTGTGGCTTGAGGTTCCGGTGCAAAGCCCTGGTTGCTGGTCAGGTCTAAACCTCTTTTGTAAGAACCATCATGGAACGGACTGCTTGCCATTGGGTACCTTGGTGCCGAGTCTGGAGCGCCAATCCACGATACCCCCTGAAGTCCAGAGGAATACAGATTACTCCCAAGTTCTATCATGACAAGCACCTCAGCACAGGTGAGTGGTGACGGCCCTAGTTAGGGAAAGGTGCTCTGGATCAACCATCCCCCTTTAGGAAGGGCAAACACCGCACGACGGGGCTGTCTCGCTCGCCTTTGGCTTCGCGCTGTTGCGGCTCAGGCACCGTTGCGATCACTCACCTCGTCAACGGCCCGGCCAATTAATGCCGCAGCCCAGGAGCTCCAGAAGGCCAGAGCGAATCATTGTGAGTCTTGTCCCTAATTAGTCAGCTGGCGACGTTCGCGACGTTAATTGGTTTGGCGTCGAGAAGGGAACGAGGACCAGCAAGCCGAAGCGACAAATGCACTGGCAGGTCACAGTCGCGACGATTGGAGCAGAGGGGCGCGGGTTTGGTCAGGGGGACAAGCTCCCTCTGTTTTATGTTTTGATTTTCAACCTTTTTTTTGTCGTTTTAATGTGGAGAAAAAAAGAGAAGTGCCGGACAAGCCGCCGTAATCTGAGCCCACGAAACTCTCACCGCGCCGTTGAATCCAAACAGTGCCGTTTTGTCTATTCCTCCCAAGACAACAGCCCATTCAATGCCAAGTACCCCCATATTGAAGAGAAAAGGAAATACAAGCGGCTCCCATCTTCCTTCTGCGGTTTCCGTTGGGCAACACCAATCATCATCTTACCCCAACTCTCGCTCGTTCCCTCTCGACTTGGCGATCCCGCACGGACCGGGAATGTCCCTGCACGGAGCAAAGCTTGGCATCTTTTGGGTACCGTACCCATGGCAGCTCTGATTGGTACTGTGTCGAGAGGGAGCCGTGGGGGGGAGGGGCGGGGGCTCTTCAAGGTCGAATACGATTGGCTGATGGTGCCCTCAGACCGGGTGAACAGGCTCCGACGATGTTTCATCTCGCACTGTCAAGATTGGGCGAGAGTGTGATTGGTTGTCCAATTCAAGGTTTCTGAAATCCGAAATCCGACTCTCAATTGAGGCGGGACGGGCCGGGGGAAAGTCACGATTCCAATACTGCATCAAAAGCCGCGATGATGACAATGGCCCTGGCCTCGTACGACGAAACCCGGGTCTCCGGGAGAGGCTGTTGTTCATGGTCCGACACCCGGCCGTGCAGTGTACCGTCATCAAACTTGTCTTGGCCGACGAAACGGTCCAAGTTGTAGGAGTTCACAGTGGTAGAAGCGCCAGAGCCCGTCTCTCTGCAGCGTCCGAGTGTGGGAGTGGAATCTGGGGAGCCCGAGCTGTTTGCCATGGATAGGGGTCTGTTCAGCAGAAGTGATAGGTACCTAGTTGAGGATTTGTTAGTGGACAAGAATAAGATCGCGCATCTCTGCAACCAGGGACTTTGCTTGATGGTACTAACAGGTCTCGCTCGTGTGTGGCAGGGGAAGTCCCGGGCTGAGAGTTCGTCGTCATGAGGCCGTCCTTCTGAGGTCCCAACAAGCCACCAGACAGGCGCGGTGCACCTCACTGAGGAATGAATTGTAAATCGCTTCGATGAATCTTAGGATCCGCGGAAAATTGGGAGAGCCAACGTCGAGGCGGCAAACAGAGAGGGAAAGAAGCTAGAACAACATAAGTACGAGCCAACAGATGTGTTTCTCGACCTGCTTAGGTATGAAACTGTGCAGGGTCGGGATCTATCTACTTATAAAATATTAAAAGCGAGCGGTTCGTCGTGTGTGCCAAGCAAAGCCAATGGAGCCCCCGACGATTCGGGTTGAACCGAGGGCTGAAGTCCAAAAAAGTGGGGAATGGGCTGTCGCCTCGGTTTGGTGCGCGAACTTTGCAAGGCAATGGTCAAAGCAGAGCCGCAAACCAGCGTTCAAGGTTTTTGGCCGCCCCCGAGCCATGAATCTCCCCCGTAACCTCGGAAACTCTCACCGGACGTTTGAAACTCAAAAGACTTGGGGTCATTGTAAATAAGGTACAGGTACTTATCCGACCAATAGCGCTGAGGGTGGTCGACTTGCGCCTCACAAATTCGTTGGTACCATGATACTTGAAGGTAACGTAGGCAGGTAGGGAGTACCTAGACAAAGAAAAGGAAGACATAGGAACCAAAGTGAGATGATGTTTCAAACCCACCAAAATGATATTTTTATATATAGTTAAGCTCGAGCCTCACTCGAAGTTTTTGAAGGGGTTTTATTCCAGAGTTCCTAAAATGCGAGGGACATGAATCTCTATTACCTACCTACTCGAGAACCCTCGAGCCCGGCGGGGAAGCCGAGAAGAACGGCGTGAGGGGGTGTGGAGGGGTACCCGAAAGATCCCGCTCTGCGGCTCAGCTGTGCGGTTCGCGGCCCATGATCTGTGCTCTTTCTCCGCATTTGCCTTGGGCCGCGGCTGCCTTGTCGTTGCCTGCAAAACCAGCACAGGGATACTATTGAAAAGAGCGACGTGCTCGCCTTTTCGTCGTTCTTTTCGTCGTTCTTTTCCTCTCACACACTCCCGACAAGACAGATCGGAGGGTATCAACCTTGTCGTTTGAACGACGTCGCAATTGCAATTGCACCTTACAATGTCAATTTGTCACACAACCAGTTCTCCCCCATCGTTCACCAAGGAGACAGGTTCTGGGCTTTTTTCCAGACTCAGTACCTACGTCAATCCGTTTACTCATACCCATTCTCATTCATCACCCCTCCGGTCTACCTACTCGACGACCCCTAAACCCTCGGCAAGGACAACTCGCTCTCCAAGATGAGGGAGAGTATTCCTTACCTGCAATGGCCCTCTGGAGCGTTGAGAAGGTCGCTGGGCGTCGATGGGCCGGCAGCAGCCTTATAATGGCTGGTCGCTGTTTTCGGCTACCCTCCATGATGCCGTGATTGCCGCCCCATCGGCATGGGGTCGTAATCCAAGTCGCCAGGATTACGCCTCTTTCCCAAGCGCGTTAGTCCGTCCTGCCGCTTTCCTCTTGCGCCTGAAGCAAGCAAGCATCTCGCTTCACACGGACCTACCTTTATCAACGCCTGCGCGACCGGCAGCCCGGAGGACCCTCCAACAAACCCTCCCGCTCCTCGTCCCGGCCCAACCCCTCCTACACCTCTCTAACACCTCCGCCCTCGCATTTTCATCCAGCCACCAAAGCAGACCCCATTACTGCATCTCAGTCAGCTCGCCCATCAGCCCCGGCGCCGAGAAGGTGGCGAGCCCGACGCGGCCGTCGCAGCGCTCCGACCGACCGGACCAGTCGCTTCGCCGCCCTCGACGGGCAGGTCGAGGATGGAATTGGGCGCGTAGAAGCCCGCGATGCGCCCACATCCGCTTCAGGTGTGGGCCGTCGCGGAGCTGCGTGCGCAGGTCCTCGGCCCTGGGTACGATGTCGCCTGCCTTGGTAGATGTGGTACTGGGTTGGTGGTGGTTGGTGCGTGGTTTAGAGGGCTGAGAGAGAGAGAGAGAAAGAGAGATAGTTACGCACCGGCTGGATATTGAAATCCCCCGGCGCATCGACGAGCTGCGACATGGTGTCGAGCGTGTTGCCGACCCCGTTCAGCAGCGCTGATGGATTCCGGACGGCCACGCCAGCTTTGTACAGCCGTCGGGTGCCCCGCCGTGTCACCTAGGTGGTCTCATTGGTGTAGTTTATGTGGGTGTGGATGTAGATATGCTTGCCGGCCTGGCGCGCGCGGGGGTTCAGCCCGATGACCGTCTCCGTCCACCCGTCGTTGGGTTCGATCAGCCGGCTCGGCGATACCCCCCCCCCAGTCCCTTGCTGGCGAATCGAAAAGCGGCAGTAGAGTGGGCGGATTTCGCTGGCGCAGATGGCCAGTATGAGCGCGTCGCCGGTTGGCAGAGGCAAGAACGAACCGAGAAAGAGTGCACGGTCGGGGTATTGGTGGACCAAGCTGTCCACGGGAGAGTACTTGTCTTCGTGCATCGGGTCGAGCACGGCCATCGAATGATTGATCCTGAGCGGCGAAGAGGCCGGGATGAACTGCCGTCTGATCGAGTCGTTTAACGGATCTGACTAGTTCATGACGCTGAGGATGTGAGGCGATAGCTGAATGGCTATGGGGACCTTCTTGATTCCCTCTGTCACTCGTTCGAGAGAGTCCCTGAAGTCCTCGCGTGTGGTAATGTTTGTGATTTGAAGCCTGTTGTATATCTCTCTGCGGGGTGGGGGGGGGGGGGGGGGGGGGGGGGGGTCGTAGCTAGCAGAACTGAGAAGAGGAAATCGAGGAGGGCTGACGCTCTTGGACTGTATTGCTCATCTATCACCTATGCATACGGCATTCAAGCTCTGTATAGGCACTGTTTTCCTTTTAGGGAGAGTGGCTCTTGTGGGCTTCATATCATGAGGAGAGCTCCCAGCATGCATCTCCATCCTTGACCTTAGGGTCCGCTCGCCGGCCTTCCAGAGGAATACTTCCAAGTTCCATCACGGCAAGCACCTCAGTCTGGAGTGACGACCGCAGTCGGGGAATGGAACCTGAGATTGACCATTCCCCTTTGCCCGGGTCCCGTAACCCTAGCCTCGCACTAAGCGACAGCCTTCCTGGCTTTTGACTTCACGCCTTGTGGCTCAAGTTCTGTGTGACCACTCGCGGTGAGGTGTCAACGGCCTGCCCAATCAACGCCATACGTCGGCGAGGCGAGTGGTCCTCACCGGTCAGGGACACGCTCACAATCAGAGGCAGAAAGACTGACGGTTTGGTCGAAGAGCCAAGCTCCTCTTTTTTTTTCTTTTTTTTCTTTTTATCCTTTTTTTGTTGTTTAGTTGGGATAGGAAAAGAAGTTGAAACAATTGAAACCACCAAAGGTTGACCGCCTTACCTGCCCACTGTTCAATGCCTGCAGCCCTCACGGCCTCCTTGGATCCAAAGAGTGCCCCGCCATACCTGCTGCTCCAAAAACCGCGATTAATTGGACACCAGGTGAGGTAGCACCACACCCCATCAATCTCTCCCGCACTGTACAGAAAGGGAAAGAAACCTACCTCGTGAACTTGTTTTGGCTCACACAACCCCCGGGCCCCACTCCCCGCCCCCCCATCTTGGCTCTGTGTCCCCACGTTCATAGCAGGGATGCGCCAGGTGTGCCGGGTACGGTACCATGCCTTTTCCTTGGATTCGTGGCTGGGCGGCGAGGGAGCCATTCATTGAGCAGAAGTTGGATGTGGTTCGGGTTAGCCAAGGACATCAGCGGGACAGGACCCCACATCGTCACTTTGGCTCTTGTTGCGGGACTCAAGGGGGTGTGGGCGAGTCCGGTGATGGGCCAGAGCCTGATTGGTCGCCGTGGGCTTGAGGCCTCTTAATCCGGAAGGGCTTCTTCACAGCACCACGGCCCAATGCGGCATCGCAAGCTGCAATGGCGGCCGCGGCTCTGGCCTCGTAGAACGGGACGTAGCTCTCTGGAAGAGGGTGATGGGATGCGCGGCCTGCCATCCGGACGTGGGGCGCGCCGTCTGCATATTCGTTCTCTTTGAGGAAACGGTCCAAGCTGTAAGTGTTCATGGTTGTTGAAGCGCGAGAGCCCGCATCGTCGTGGAAACGCCCGATCGTGACATTGGAGGTTGAAGTGCCCGCGTGGTTTACTGTAAAGGAAGGCGCTCTATGAGGAAGCGATGGCTGAGTATTAGCGGGAAAAATCGCCAAGTTTTGTCACCCGAGTTGAAAGAATGGACTCACGGGTCTTGCTCGCGAGGGGCGGTTATGTTAGGGTTAGGGTTTAACATCGTCTGAGAGGAACTTGACGACATGGCAAGTAAAATCAAATTTGGATGCTGAATGAGAAGGTTGGAATGGTGATGGTGATGGGGAGTTGCGTCTACGGTAGAGTCAAGTTCCAAGCGACACTTTATAGCTACATGTATTCTGTACCTCTAGTGTTTCAAGAAATCGTTTGGCTGAATCCCGGCGAATGAAGCATGAAACATGAAACGTACGATGTCGAAGAGTCAAGTCTGGCACGCACCACGAGGGCCATCGGTGGCAGAGGCGGCACAGGTGGCATGGCCCGGCAGTGATGCGGGGTGTGAGCGATGAGCGACGTGGGCGACGCGGGTGGCAGCTCAATGATGGGCCATTTTCAAGGTGAGGCGTCGAATCATGATCAAGTACATAAGGTAACCAGCCAAATCACGCCAAGAATTGATTGATTTGCACCAGCTGTCAAACTCGGAAATGCACCCTCGTGCATGTATGCACTCTGTATTAATAGCCGTCCAAGTACCATGACGCTCACGATACAAGTTGGAAAGGGTAGCTCTCGCTCCAACTTGATGCGTTATGGGGTTAAATCTCAAAGTAGCCTTAACTCGATTACCTATTTGGCATTTGCATTCAGTACAGATTGAGGTATGAACACCGTACTTGCCCCTGCAATTGCATCACTATACCGAGTGTTATTGTAGGACACAAGATCGTGTGCAATTTACAACCTCGAAGACACTCCTCGAATGCTGTGGCTGGTACTCTGCGGCTCTGCAAGTATCTGCAATGTAGGTATGCAAGTTTGCTAACTTCACTACCACGAAGTCCGCATCAACCGATGATGGCGTGCTGTGCGGGGGTGAGCCTAAAGACTGATTTTAATCTTGTGACTCTGCGAGGTTCAAGGCGTCCTGCACAGCCCAGAATATCTCGAGCAACCATGAGTTTCAAGCGGGTGCGAGTAGCCCGTAGGCGCTTCGGGCGCGAAATCGAATCGGCAGCGTACCGAATTTTAGCTCGTCCGTTGCCTAACTTTGCTTTTTCTCCCGCTGGTTCGCGGCCATTTCAGGCAGTCACACTTGGTCCGCCAAATCTTCGTTTCGGTTTTCTTCTGTGCTGGACCCTCCAGAGAAGCCTGCGGCTTTCCGCCTGCCAACGTCATCGTTTGCCTTTATTTGCCGACCAAACAGATATTCTTAGAAACCACGCCATGTTCCCAACCACTCCGTCGCCCGCTGCACGACTGCCTTCCTTCTTAGTTTATTTCCCCCAGATGTTTCTTTATTTATTATCATGGTTCGCAACCCGTTGGTGTCTTGAGACCTGACAAGACCCCGATAACAGGAACAACACACCTGAGAGTTGTCGGTATTCGCGCGTGACTGGTAGGTAGACCAGGAGCTCACTGCCCGTATACCTTGACGGGACGGAACACTGCATGTTCAATCCGTGACTTTGGTCGCCTCCGTCGCCGCCCACGCGATTGGCAGCCCGAAATCTCCTCCTCCCACCCCGCCCGCCAACCCCACCCACACCTGGGCGAGACATTCTCCCTCGCATCCTCATCCAACGACAACAAGTCAACAACAGATCCCAATCCTGCATTTTCGCCACCTCACCCTTGAGCCTGGGTGCGCACAAGGCGGCCGAGAGCCCCGGGCCGCGGCCGTAGCTCTCGACCGACCGCGCCAGCCGCTTGCCGCCCTCCCCGGGGAGGTCCAGTAGTATGAGGTCGGTATGTAAAAGTCCGCGATACGCCCGCTGATGTGTGCTTAGGTCTTCGGCGCCCGGGTTGCGACTGACCGTTTGGACGGGGAGAGGAGAAAGAGAGAGAAGAGAGAGACAAGAGGGTAGGAATACGGCAGTCACTTACCGGCTAGATGTTCGTGTTCACCAAAGTAGGAACGAGATCAGTTGTTATAGCGATTGTAATACCTTATTCACCCCATTAAACAGCGCAGACTGGTTCCTTACGGCCACCCCCGCCTCATACAGCCGCTGCTTACCCGGTACGGGGGGTTGGGAGCTGAAGGGTTGCGGCTCAGAAAATAATAAGTTGGGGAAGTTTGACTCACCCGATGCCAGTGAGCTACCTGCCTAGGTATCTTGCGTTTCTCGGCCCCCCGCTTGCGCCGGTAAGTGGCCGCCCCGGCGTATCACCTAGGAGATCTCATTTACATGGTTAATGTGGGTACGGATGCCAACTTGGCGGGCGTGGCGGTTCAGCCCGATGATTGTCTCCATCCAGTTATCGTTTGGGTCGATCAGCCGGTTGGAAGAAACGAAACAGCGAACCGAGAAACAGGGCGCGGTCAGGATAACGGTAGGTGATCTCGTATCGCCACACATACTCGGACTACTAAACTACCTACATAGTGATATCTTTCAATGGCCCCAGCAGACGGCAACTCACCCCGATACCCTGTGCTCGCCGCTGAACATCGATCACTCGGAGCTACTGGTATCCAGCTACCTAACAATATGCTGTGGTACGAGCGGAGTCTCGTAGCGACGCCCACCAACGCGCCATTCGTCGCTGGGGAATTTATCAACTCGTCAACTAGATATCTTCTAATATGCGTTTTTTCTTAGGGCCTGTCTCGACGATACGATGGGGTACTAGTGAGATACCGGCAGCGGGATATCTGTCGTCAGATCGAATACTATTCGGAAGTCTTGGAGATTTGAAGTCCGGCTTGACCAATAATTAGGTACTTGATAATATGTCCGTGTACCCGCGGGAGAGAGATTCATTGGTAGACGTGAGGAATCACAAATCGGTGATTGGGCTCCCATCCGACCAAGCGGAAAGGCAAGCGCTGACGCCATCAATCTCCCAGCATGCCAAATGCGAAGGTAGTGAGTGGCAACATAAGTCCCCGCCGTCGTACCGGAGCCTTGCTGTGATGTTTTCTTTTCCGAACGTCGTGGTAACTAACATGACCGCGATGTTTAGTGAGACTGCAACGCGACCTCCGCCGGAAGATAGGTACCTAACTGACCCCTAGATCCGGTTGATAATACCAGCGCCCGTCGGTCGTCGCCCAGGATTAAAAAGTATTGGCCACCTAGGTAGTGTGGTCCTCAACCCCTATCGCCATCGATTCCAGCACCCATCTATGAAGACACAGTCTTCCAATTCAACTCAACAACACTGCGGAAGAACGACGCGGACGTCGTCCCATATCCAGGGCGCGAACAACAACACTCTCCCAGGGGTCGACCTCGTCACCCGGCAATCCCTCCGTTGCACAAGTTCATTGCCTATACGCTGTAGCATTCAACCGTTAGCGCGCGCGGCGGGTCAGGCCAGGATCTGACCATCGTCTTCCGGGACCCCCACAGCGCCGAGGCTCTTACGACGCGCTGGACGTGTGTAAGTGCACCAGCTTCGGGGCCAACTTCACGGTGTATATCCCGCTTGTGGTGTTTGTGGATTACCATGAGCTAGACTGGTTGACAGTTGAGGGGTTTTGGAACATGTCCTTCGGTAGAGGTTGGGTTGGAGGATGTCACGGAGATGTTGAGGAGTTAGAGCGCCGAGTGAAAACAATGGGAGGGGGCGTTAGTTGGCTGGAACTCGGGGTGCGGGAGAACCTCGAGTCGAGTAAGAGAGGGGTCGTCAGCCGGCATGCGAGGTAAGGTACCCGACCTAACCGGAGATTATTCATATCCACAACCTAATCCTTCATAGTGTCAGACTGGGAACCAATAAAGACCGCATCAGCATTCCCCACTTTTGGACAACCATGGTACTACCACTACCCCTTTCCCTTAGAGATTGCCTGCAGATGTTGTGGTACACCAGTACTACCACCAAATTTAGCAAGTTCCCCGCGTATCCCATATCCCGTCTGCCACCTCTTGGCTTCACCTGTCCCATGCTTTAGGCGGGCCGGCAAATATCTGCTCACGCTCGACCGCGGTGATTGGGGTTACCTGGAGCGGGATGGCCATGGCTGGTAGTTGATATAAAGTCCCTTCAGGACTGGCCACAAAGATTATGGTGCCAAGTCGTCTCGGCAGTCACTCAGATCACTTACAGTATTATCATACCAACACGCCAACCACACCACAAGACCCAACACCATGTTGGCAAACACCAATTCACGCCACCTCGTAGGGCTGTTCCTTGCAGCCCTGGCCAGTCAGGCCGGTGCCGAGGATGGTGGATCCTGGAAACCGGACAAGCCGATCATGCTCCGCCAGTCCGGGGGCTTTACCATCGGCGGCAAGATCATCCCGAACCCACGGAATCCCAACATGACCCTTTCATGTGACCACGGCTACGTCGAGTACTTCACGCCATGGAAACCCCGCAAGGCGAGCATCGTTATGTGGCACAGCTCGGGCACCCAGAGCTTCCAAAACCGCTGGGACGGTGGCGAGGGCTTCAAAGACAAGTTCCTGCGCCGCGATTACCCCGTCTACCTCTGGGACGGACCACGCGTTGGACGTGCCAACTGGGCTTGCGATGCAACCACCTACGAGCCAAACTACAGAGACCAGGGCAATTTTGTGGCGTGGAACTTTGGCCCGCGGTTCGACGAGTGGTGGCCGGACGTGCAGTTCCCGACGTCGAATGAGTACGCCTGGCAGCAGGCCACGAGCTCCCGGTACGTCGAGTACGACTCGGAGTTCAGCTACAATCTGGAGACGGATGCCGCCGCCATCGCCGCCGACTCGGGCAAGCTCGGCAAGGACATCGTCTTCCTCGGCAACTCGGCGAGCGGCCTGCGCGCCCAGCTGACGGCCGTCAAGAGCAACACCACGAATATCAAGGGTATTGTCTGCTACGAGGGCTACGGCTACATTTTTCCCGACAATGCCGGCATCGAACCAGGGCCCGGGCTCAACGCCTTTGGCCCGGTCGTGGTCCCGCTTGAGGATTTCAAGAAGCTGGCCAAGGTCCCGTCGATCCAGTTCTTGTGGGGAGATCATCGGGACGAGAGCTTTGTGTTCCTCAACCAGTCGAGGCAGGCGGCGGAGTTGATCAACAAGTACGGCGGAAATGCCCAGGTGATCAAGTTGGGAGAGGATCTGGGTTGGAAGGGGACCACCCACATCGCCTTTGCGGATATGCACAACGACAAGGTTGCCGATCTCTTGGACGACTTTTTGCATAAGGCCAAGCTATCCCGTTATCAGTAGGAGGGTGGAGGTCCATTTGTTCTTCTTCGATTTTTTATTTGATCGAAACTATTTCGCAGGACAAAACTGGGTGTGAAAACTGTCTTCTTCAGAACCAGAAATGGAGAGATGGTAGATAGGATAGCCACAGTGACCAAAACAGAAATTTTCAGAGCCACAAAGAATTAACGAAAGCGACTACTCCTGCATAGCCTCCTCATACACACTCGGATCAACAAACTGCTCCAGCTCGGCCCTCGTCAACGGCTTCCGCCCGTCCACCTCGGCAAGATACTGGTCCTCCCTCTCCAAGTAATCCACCAGATCCTTTCCCAAGCTCCCCGGGCCCCAGACATGATCCTCCCACACATTCCTCAACACCGGCTCCTCCACATCAACCGTCTTTCCAACAAAGTCAACCACCTCCTGCCCCTGCTCCCGAAAAACATCATACGACTTGTTCAACGCCCTCACAAAACTCACAATCCTCCCCCTCGTAACCGGATCCTTCAACTTCTCCTCCGTCGAATACAAACTATACACCTCCCGATACACACTCGCATTCTTAAACGTCACCGCCTCCTCCTCCCCCAAAGCCTGCACCCCCAACTCCACCGCCGTCTCCCACACCCCAAACGCATCAATCCCGCCCGCCACCAACTCGGCCGGAAAACTCCCCTCCCCGCACGGCGCGCGCATGCACGTATAAATCCCGCCCCCGACCAGCTCATAATCCCTCCCCGCCTGCAGCCCCGCCGTTCCCAGCAATTGCACCGCAAACACCTCGGCCGACGTGCCCCGAATCGTGCCGACGCGCTTGCCGCGCAGGTCGGCCAGCGTGGCGATCCCCGCGGAGCGCCGGGCGACCATGCGGTAGGTGACCTCGACGAGGATGCCGATGAGCCGGTAGTTGCGGTGGTCCACGAAGTTCTTGAGGCCTTGGGTCTCGGCGTTGGCGGCCAGGTCGATGCTGCCGTCGTCGTCGTCGAGGTTGGCTACGCCGCCGGTGATGATGGTGACGGGGTCCGGGGAGGTGGAGGGGGGGGTGGTAGAAATTGGCGGCGGCGTGCGGGAGGGGGGTGTGTTCGATCCATTGTTGGATGCAGGCGATTTTGAGGGCGTGGGTTGTTGGGAGGGGGAGGGTGGCCAGGAGGGTGAGGGGGCGGAGGATGTGCATTGTGCTGGTGGTGGTGGTTGGTGGTGTTGTGTTGGTTGTGGTTGCGGGTTGTGGAGGTTGAAGTTAAAGGGGGGGATGAGATGGACTACAGTGCAGTGCCCTGAACAGACAAGACAAGCCACTTGCGGACTTGACCCTCTGCCCGTTATATCCCTAATTGAGCCCACGGGGAAACATGACCTGCACTAGCTCAGGGTCCTTTTACACGGCAAGGCCCGCGTAGATTCCCCGGGACGCTGTGTAACGCAACCAATCTCCAGCGGGCGCTGGGATGTTACCGCACGCTTACCCCCTCCCGCGTCCGAGACCTATCGGGATTGAAGCGTGTATGCACCGGGTTGCCGGTATTCTCAACCCCCTCATTCCTTCCTGTCGAATATAGGCTACTGCACCGGCAGTGCCTCCCGTGTTGTAGACTGGAGGGCTGATGGCTGATGCTTGTTTACACGTGCATTTCCTCGGAGGTCCTGAGGCGGGGGTGGATGGCCCAATCACTTAGTCGTTTATGAGGAGACGATTGTCTGGTCTCTGATTTGTGCGAATAACAACTGAAGTTGAATGGTATGCTGCAAGGGGTTATGAGAGTGGTACGGAAATAGGCTGTCGTCTTAAGTTGTCAGCGACAAATGTCTGAGGCCTCGAGACGAATTGTGAACACGAGAATGGACGGCCCCCCTTTTAATATATTCCCCTCAGTGTGCTTCCCTCAGTGTGATGCCGTTCCATGCTGTATCAAACCAACTCCGCCTACGCAATCGACGGATCCGTGAGAGAGAACCCTGTTTAGGCAAGCTACAATCTCATTCGTTGAGTCTCGTCTTCAACACTGAAACTGATGGTCCATGGGTTACCTAGGTAGGTAATACATCTTAGTAGTCTCACCGCCGGCTCAACGAAAGTAGCATGTTGGTCGCGAACCGGCTCCTGTGTTTTTCGTTTGGGCGCCGAGCTACATACGCCGTTCCTTGACAGATCGAGCACCAACTTCATTCGGATACCACCGCTAGCAAAATTCAAATTGAGGTGAACGACAAGGAGTGAATGCCAAGCGCCAGCCAACACTGAGGCACTCGGGGTGGCCTTACAGGGGGTGTCAACGACGCCTAGCAACCAGCTTGATGTTTGGACGAGCCACACGTACTTCTCATCGTGGACCTCTGCCTGAGCGAGAGGTTTCAATTGAACCCAGTTATGATAATTCGTTACTGGGAGAGGTTTGCCTTCCACGCGTCTGTGACCAGGGGGATAGCTGTCAAAGGGTAAGCCGCCCTTTGATACCTTTGGGCACGCTTCCAGTTGCCTGATCCGGAAACCAACCACACCATTCCCACGAAGTTATTTCCTCTTGCGACGTTGATGTTGATCAAACCTCGGCAAAGAGCCCCAGTCCCCACCCAAGAAAGCGACGCAAGGTAAATCAACTACCTAATCGGGTTATGGATCCTGGGATCATGCACCGGCCCGGAGTAACCATAAGGGAGGCTGACATCGTCCATAAGGCGCCGGTCCCGCTTCTGGTATAAGCCGGTTCTAATTTTGTACGGGGCCAATTTCCCACACTTATACATCAGCCTCGAATATCCACACGACAAGAGAGCAATGGAACACCACCACCACTCTCTTTTCCCAGTCTGTCATTTCCGGCTTCGACACAAACGAACACGATGCTCCTCCTGAACTTCGCCACCATCGTGGCCGCAGCGGTTTCGCTGGTCTCGGCCGCGGTGCCCAACTCGCCCCGGTTCGACCTCACCAAGCCATCCTACGATCTCTTCCGCAGCAAGCCGCTCCACGACGACACGGTGCAGCAGGGGTTCGCCTTCGACAACAAGAACCGGCGGCTGTTCGTGTCGCAGCGGCGCAACGGCGCCAGCGCCGCCTCGGGCGACCTCACCATCACGCAGCTCGACTTCAAGGGCAAGAAGCTCGGGCACATGTACCTCAAGGGCTTCGGGCACGGCGTGTCGTTCGGCGCGCAGGGCGTGGGGTCGGCGACGTACCTGTGGACCGAGGTGGACGCCAACAGCAAGGGGTACGGCAAGCGGCTGGCGCGCTTCAAGTTCGTCAACGGCGCGACGCGGACCAAGTCCTCGAGCAGCCTGCAAAAGTTCGCGCCCGTCGCCGCCGGCAAGGAGCACACCTGCGCAGTCGACACGGTCAACAACCGACTAGTCGTCCGCTACCACACCAGCGCGGGCAAGCGCATCGCGGTCTTCGACCTGGCCGCCGCGACCAAGGGCGACTTCTCCAACCCGCTCGCCGACTTCAAGCAGCCGCTGCCCAAGACCAAGGCCAAGAACTTCCAGGGCTACACCGCCTACGGCCGCTACCTGTACCTGCTGTGGGGCGACTCGTACGACGTCAGCAAGGAGCTCAACTCGCAGGTCGCCACCGTCGACATGAACACGGGCAAGGTCGTCCAGGGCCCCGTCATCACCCGCGCCGGCTCGACGCTGTCCTTCCGCGAGGCCGAGGGCATGGCTATTTACAAGACTGCTGCGGGACAGGTGCGGCTGTTCTTGGGGTTCGCGTCGGGCAAGCCGGGCGATCGGAGGTCGAACCTGTTTTACAAGAACGCATTGGTGTAAGGGGGCGGGAGATACCGGATGCGGGTGTTAGATAATACCGTTAAATATGTATGGAGGTACTCGATAATACTGTTAGACAAGTATGGAGAAATAATTAGGAAAAGGGGCCCGAGGTTCCTGCTGCACCGGCGCTGGTGGCTCCCCCCCCGTGCTCCCCGTCATCTGTGCTCGAGTCGTGGTTGTGCGGCCCAAGTATCCGAAATCGAAGAGCATGAAGGAACGGCCTGGTTGCATTGGCCAAAGCCGCCCGGTCCCTGTGTTCAAATTAATGTCTGTCACCTTCGAAGAGGCAAAACTGCCGGTGCCGATCCGTAACAACTAAGGACACACCGATGGGTGACAATCAATGAGCCCAACCGAGGCAACTTGGCCAGAATCCCAACCGAACATCGATTACGAGCACGTACGTACCTCGCACAGGTTTGTAATCCATCTTTCTGCATGCAGACGGCGCTTAAACTGCCCGGCCATCCCAGTCTGCAACGTGCCATGAGGCTGGGGTGCATGATGCATCCCTTCGGCTCATCGTAGTGCGAGGTAGGGAGGCAGGGAGGTGACTCAGCAGAGTTTGCAGAGTTTGTAGCCACGTTATTGGTACTCCGAGTAAATTGAGAGGGCCGACCGTTTAGTCATGCCCAACCCGGAGCCCTGCCCGGAGCGGACTTGCTTAGCAATGAGAGCTGACAGACTTCAGAGCCTTGTCACGGGAATGTAACGTTTTTGCCACCCACGGCGCACGGAGCTGGCGCGGCATTTCGGCGGCAGCATCCAGACACGGTCATTTAGCGCTCGGAGGTGTTTCGCTTTTGGGTTGTGCTGTGCCGCGGTAGGGCGAGCCTGACGAAAAGGCTCGAACCTGAGCCAGTCACGTGAATATCATGTGACTGTCGGCCAGCGGCGGGTGTTGCGCGGACAGGTCACATGACTCAGAGATTCTTTTGGAGACACAAGGCCCCGAGCCCCTGCCAGGGCCCTTGGGTTGGTGGTGTCGCCGCAACAGTGCAGTCGACAAGGGGGAACTACGAGATCGAGGTACCTCGACCCCCCCCCGTTATGTGGGTTCGAAGCAAGCCTCACACCCTCAACGGTCGAAGGAACTCGCTTCATAATGTTGGACCCTGGAGCCTACCCATTCTTCCAAACGGCTGGAGCAGGTATTCCTCGGCGGATGTACAGACAAACTTCGTACCGTGTACATAATGAGCGCGGGAGTATGCATGGGCGTGGTTGCATCAGTACATATGAGCGGAGCGTCGCATTGGTGCCGCGGCGGAGGAATTCTTGCCTTCGGTCGGTCCCCACGGGCGGCTCGTGAGGGTTCTTCAGCCCGGTGAGAGGGGCGAGCGGTGTGGGCGGCTTCGTTGGGGGACTTGGAGACGACGCCATTGTATGTACATTTTGTAAAGACACGTATAAAACGGTAAAACGGGGCCGTGGTCCGCACGTGTGCGCCTGAATCAAATCATCGTCCGTCCCAAAACCGGCAACCCCGTGCTGAAGATAACGTTATCGCCGGCATGCATTGTAGGTACCTACCTTACGCCGCGAAAGATTGGGCCTCGAGTTCGTCCTCCGTCGGGCGGTTAAGCCCGCGCGGACTTTAACTGCCAAGCACCCCCGGCGGCCGACAATTCAACAAGCGCGACAAGCGCGACAGGCGAGCAGGTAGGGTGGCACTGGCTGGGAAGGATTGCGTACTAGTTTTTAGGCTGTCGCCTTGTCTCGCAAGGAGACTCGGCTCGGCGGAGATTGACGTTCTTGGAGGAGTGGCGAACTTGTCATGCGGCACTGCCTGGTCCCAGCACCCCAGCTGCCAAGTAGCGCAAGGGTCTTCCTCTCCCGACCACCGACAAGGTTTTGTCAATCCTGACTCCCTGCTCATGCGAGAAATCAACCTTGTGCCGATCGAAACTCGGACATCAAACGCAGCAACGCGAAGGGCAACACCATCTACTCCAACTCCGATTCAATTCAAGTATGTACGGGAATGGAATTTTTTGCCTCTTCTACACCATCATGCCAAGATGGGCTTCCGTGAGCCCTTCTTCTCTCAGCAGATTGATCAATGCATGCACCCGGCAGCGGGGCCGTCGCTGCTCAACCAAAACGCCAGCCAACCAGACACCAGGCCCGCCATCATTCCCAAAATTACCCTTTCTCCTGCCACTGGTCTGCACCACCTTTTTTCGTGAGAACTCGACCCATGCAACCAACCGTCCGCTTTGCCCGGTGCGATCCGCCTGCGGCCCGCTTGTGTCAGGAACCGAAAAGAGGTCGTCGCTGGTATGGTGCCGCCCAAAAACGAGTGAATGCGAATAATTATCCAAAAGAAAAATGCAGAGACCCTCTCTTTATCATGCCGCTCCGGAAACAGCATCGTCCGTATCATATTATCGTCGTGATTTCTTTTTCGCCCAAAGGTGTCGAGACTGGGTTCTCGGCTTTCATTATTAAAGCTTCGGGTTCATCACCGGAGCTGCTGGCCAAGCTGATCGGCCGTTTGCTGGGCACGGGCCGTGTAAAACGCGATGCGGCTGCTGGCAAGGTCGACGGCTTGTGGCTGGTTGGCGACAAGCCGCCCATACAGTGAGCCGTCTTCCCCTGCGGGCTGGGCTACGTAATACGCCAACTGATATGAAGGCTCGCGGTATTGGTTCGATGTTGCGCTGTCGTTTGAGCCGGCGGCCGATGCGTAACTGTGGTCGGAGGACGGTGGGGTGAAGACAGGAGCGCCGGAACTGTTTAAACAGGGTTAGGGTTGAAATGAGCACTCCTTGCCTTGAAGCCCTTGACACCAACCCGCCAACAAAAACAGCCGGATCCGTGAAAAAGGGGAGGGGCAAGGAAAGAAGACGGGAGTGTATCAAATAAGACACACCTTGAGGTGCCATCAGAAGGCGGCGCACCGTTAGAAGACGAGGCCATTGTGTTGGTCGTGTTCGCTGAGCAAAGTGTAGGACGGTGGCAACGAATGCGAGACCGAGAAGACGGCCCACGTCGATTCGGCAACTGAATTCTTCTGGATAAAGGTTGAGCTAAAGCTCGAAATAATAACGAGAAGAGGCAATACTGTGCACAAGGTTCGTACATATACTGAAAGAAAGGCGAGGGATGTCGAACGGAAAGCTAGGGGCCTCGGGCGGGTAGAGCTCTCTTTAAAATACTAAAAGTTTGAGAAAGCCTCCATGCACCGGGGGGGTATTGACCTGAGGCGTGGTACGCGGTCACAGAACCCTCGGCACTGAACTCCTTGGCAGCCGCAGGTCAGGCAGCCTAAGTGATGAACGGCATCTCGACAAGGATGAAAATGACAGTACTAGGTTGGTACCGTACCTGGAGGTGTGTCCTTCCGCCGCCTCCATTCCAAGTGCGCAGCAGCGCAGGGTGGATCTAGAGAGTCGGCTTTCCGGGCGAGGACTGCTGGCGGGGCAGGGATGCGAGAAGGGGGCGCGATCGGCCAACCCAATGGGTCACCCACCGACGCACTGGCCCGTTCAACGGAGGGGGATCCTCGCTCCCGTCTGTCCAAAAAAAACCGATCCACAAACCGACTTTCAGTGGGTCCACCTGCAAGTCCCCTTCACGAACACATCAGTCCCAAACAAGCTGTAGGGAGACCACTTAAAGACATAAACAAACTATACTACAAAAGCGAATAGAGCCACAGTCATAGATCCTACTGCACCTCTTTCTATTGAATTTGGGTTTGATTTGGCCGAGAAGGATCGCACCAAGCTAGCTCTCTGTACTTTTGGTGTCTCGGTTTGGCAGAGCGAGGGGCCCCAGTACAGAGTACCCCTGTCGGCCCACCTGTCTTTGAAGTTTAATCGGGAAATGCACCTTCGCCGACGGGCTTTGAAGTTACCTGGGTACGAAGATACCTCGTTCGTGGTCATGAGCTTTTGATCCAAAGCGTGAACCTCAAGAATTAGGAAGCTTTGCAAACAAGCAGCCTTAGATGCCTACACAAATTAGAACCGCAAATTCTATCGTCTAGTTCTACTGTCAACATCCGACAATCAAGAGTACTACGAATAACTCCATGTCACTAATGGAGGTGGGGTGCAATGAAGGGGCCCAATCGGGCGGGTCTGGTTCGAGAGGTCGGGAAGCTGGCGCGCTGGATGGGAACGGATGGCACAGATCGCCGCGGCACAGTGCAGAAATATGCGATTCCGCACTGAGCCCGAGCTTCTCTCAGCCAAAACCTCGGAGGCCACCTCATCCCGAAATAGGTAGTCGCATCCGCGAAACGAAACGCCATGGACAGTCTCATCAAATACACAGTACCTAGGCCTGTTGTCGCCTGCGGGTGGGCACCTGGCTGTCTCCCGAGTCACTGGAAAGCGCGCACAATACCCCCTTAGACCAGCTTGATAGGTGAATACGGTTTTGCGCCGCATCGCGCATCGCTCCGGTAACCCAGACGTTGGAGTCTTCGCTCCGCCAGTCGACCGGCCCCTCGTCTGTTACACAAGACAAGACAGGAGCCTGCGACCCGGGCGCCAATCATATCGGTCAATTTCCAGGGCAGCCACTTCAACGTGCAGCTTTTCGCCACCGCGGGGCAATCCTCTCGCACTGCAAGATGAAACAAAACGACGAAATATCTCGCGTAAGCAGGGGAGGTGCGTGGAAGGTTCCCACGCCCGGCCCAACCCCGACAAATTAGGACCGAGGCGAAGGTTGACCGACCCAAATTACACATTATTCACGGCCGACCGCATCTGTAAACTTCTAAATGGTGGAAGGAGAAGGAAAAAGCGGTCAGATAAAAGCGACCGAGGGAGGTGCGGCCTCGTTGGCACAGTGTTTCCACTTACGGACCCGGCTCGAGAGGCGGGACGGAGCGAGAGCGGGTCTGCCTCTTCGGATATGGAGCGGGGCGATAAACTTTCGTGACAAGACCGCCCGGGCTGCCCTTGAGGACAAGCTCAATCGTGATTTTAACAGCCTACCTAGGCTTACACCGGGGTATGAAGGCATCCGCGCATGTTAACCTAAGTGCGCGTGGAGGCGGCGCAGCGCTGGGTTGAATGAGTGTACACGACAGAATCAGCGCCGTCTCGTCCGATCGCCGAGTGCGCCGTGCCAGGGTCCAAGGCCTGCCAGGGTCCAAGGCCGGTCAGGGACCCAAGGTCCCGCGATGAACTTTTCGAGCAACGGTGCCCGCGCCTCGCACTGTCCGTTTCTAAACACCCGCATGCGAGTCTACAGATTAGTCAGTGTAGGTTGGCAACTTAGGTTGGTGTCCGCCATGCCGCCGTTTCCTGCATCAGTTAAGCAGCCGAGGGTTTAACCAAGGTCGGCGGCTCGGAGCCACAGCGGGCAAACACGTCACCGGAAAACGGGTAGGTCGGGACCATACAGGAGCAGGCGGGCGCACGAGTCCGCCTGGCAAACGCGAGGGGCGACAGCAAATGCTTTTTCCTTTTTTTTCACGATCTACACTAATGTTGTGTACACAGTCATGCGCAGGCTGGTTGACCTGGCCGGCCGTTGGTACCGCCAATGGGCTGCCGGATGACATGACGGATTGAACAAGAGACAGGCGGCTTCAAAGGCGCGAAGCCAAGACATCCACTTATGCAAGGGTGCGCGCAGGCCCGCTGATGCGGGTGGGCGATGCGATTTGTTTGATCCATCCATGGGCAGATGGTGGCCCAGCCCTGCCATCGCGTCATTCCGTAACAGGTGAAGTCCGCTCAATGGGGCCTGCGGGGGCGGGGCGCAGGGGACCCGTCATCAGCGGGGCAGCAGGGCTTGAAGAAGAGTTTTTGACGCTGTCGTCACGGACACGGCTTTCGCAATCGTCACGCTCACCGAGGATACAGCGGGTCCAATGGTAGCGTGGCATGAAACAATGTGTTTCAATTTCCTGTCAAGTCTCCCGTTGGCTGACAGCCACCGCAACGCCGAATAAAAGGGGAAGAAAAAAAAAAGAACCGGAAGGACCTTACAGAGGCCGCCGGCAAACCACTCGTCAACACGATCCACTTTTCTCTGAACACTGAGTGGAACTGAATCAACCTGGAAACAGCACCTGAACATCAAGCAAGGCTACGAAATTTTGATCGAAAATCTGATCAATTCCCCTGCGGCGACGCCACGATCGTGCCGCTTTCCGCAAGACATCCGGCTGCTGTGCGCCAAAGAATGATGCCCAATCCACAAGAAAAACCGATGGTTTCTGGCAAAACGGGTCGTCTCAGCCATTGAACTCGTTGCAGCTGGCAATTGGCGAACATCTTCCCGTTCCCGTGCCCGCCGCCGCGGACACAAATCGTCGATCTCTCGCTTAACCCGGCTTGCGAAGCCATTCTCTGAGTATGTATGTATGGAGGTAACTTGAAGAGTGCAGCGACCCCCGTACTGCCGAGACGGTCATCCTGAGAGTGAGCGATCCCTGTACGGCAGCACTGCCAGCTGGTCATTTTGAGAGTGAGCGACCCCATGTATGGCAGGACTGTCATTCTGAGAATGCAGCGACCCCTGTACTGCCGAGACGGCCATGTCGGAGACATCCATCGACGGAGCCTGGTCGTGTTCTAGAGCGCTATCTGAGATGGCGGCCCGTAAAGCCCAGCCCGGATCTGCAATCACGGGCATGTCTGCCTTGCACAGCGCGTGGCCTGAAACACGCCTCATCTCCTTGTTGACGATGGGCGCAAGGAGACGGATATATGTGGTGGCTCAGGATTGGTGATTGAATCCAGAACCTCCTCTCTCACCACACCTTACCCAGTTACCGACACACCCCGGTCCCACGCCCGTTGTTGCGCAACCATCTGATAAATTCGGGTGCCGAAGTGGGTTAGGGAGCGATCTGGCGCGGGTTGGTGGCCGTTACGGGCTCGCCAATCCAAGGCCTGCCACCATGGATCCGTGACCTCTGCGACGTAACTGGAAGTGCTTTGCACATACACTATTCGTAAGGCCGACCCCCTTTGTTTTGTTTCGTCATCCTCCTTGGGCCGAATGATGTCACAGGCCGGGAGCAAAACAGAGGACCTGGCCTAGACCCCCAAAGACCCCTCCGATTGCCGTGATCCGTGCTGCAGGGCATCCTCGCCCACTGCTCGTTCCCCACCTGCCCTGGCGATCTGGAGCCCCGCCGCCAAGCAGGAAGGCTTGACAGATCCTTTTTTTGTCGGTTTCACGGTCACGACTCCCAGTTCAGGCCAACTACAATTCCCTTTCGAGTCCTCCCGATGCCTTGAATTACGGATTACGCGGCTCATTGTCGGCCAGGAGTAGCAAGGCAGCCAAACGTCGGCAGAAAGCTGCAGCACCTTGAAGGTCTAGATCGCCGCCATGAAGAGCACTGCGCATGGATGAAGATCCCTTCTGCATTTCAAGAGTCGAGAAGCCCCAACAAAACCTTTCCCACAACACTGGCGTCACCTCAGGTACACATAATTTCGAATTTTAACGAATACACGAAGTTCAAACGCTGTCTACTCAGGAGGACAGGGCTAGCTCAGCGATCGTCTAGCTTGGCATCCACGGGAAACGTTGAGGTTCGAGTTCCTCAACCCGCGTGTCAGGTCTTAACAAGCGGAGAGCGCCATTGTTCCAATCTCCGCGACGCATATTTCGGCTGCTTACGCAGATTGTTAGAGTGTAATAATTACATGATTACAAGGCACAGGCACGAGCATCTGTCATCAAATCGCCTCAGCTGGCATTGTTCAATGCGGTCCAGCCCGCCGGGCACCCGATGTCAAGTCCGGACACCCTGCCGATCCCCGCCTTTCGCGTTTCAGTCATGGATGCGCCTCTGTACGTACCTACCCAAGTACATGTACGGCCAACCCAAAAAGGAAATCCGGTAACAGCAGTGTTCCTGGCATCTTGCAAGTTTTGGCGATGCCTGCAGGCCCCCCTTCATCCTTCCGGAAGATGGGTAGTCTAGACCCCATTGCCCGGTCGCCGCGTCGGCCGAATTGCCCGCCGTCGAAATCAGGAATACCTGGCAGCCAAAACCCCCGCAGATCCAGCACGCAGCGGGGCAGATCCATCCAAGCCACAACACAGGGGGTCACATTATCTCCAAGTCCCGGCCTACACTAAAACGGTACGGGGGCTCTCGGTCGCATACCTCGGCACACCGGCGATATTCGAAGGCCGGTCACACTGCATATCCGTCCTCAGCGCCCTCGACAGCAGGGCTGAGGGTTACGTATTCCGTATTCTCCGAGGGAAGAGGGTGTGGGGGCGCTTGGCTCTACGCACAGGAGGCGCCTGATCGCGCGGGTGGTACCCTGAGGACGGGGCCTCGGTTGTGTAACGGTGCAGACGGTTGATTGTGTAACGCTGGCGCTTCTGCAGTGGTTCGCCCCTTGCTTTTCGGAGTCTCGGGATCTTTCTCCAAGTCAGCACTGGCCAGGCAAGCTGCTGCGGGTTTAAATCGGGATAATTGCTTGTGTCCGCGCTGATGCTGGTTTGTGTTGGTGAGAGCACCAAAAACAACGAGTTAAAACATGCGAAAAGAGAAATGTACCAGAGAGTCTGCGAAGGTTCGGAAGGGGACGAAACTCAAAAAGAACAAACTTGAGGTCCTGCCCGGACTCGAACCGGGGTTGCCGGAATCAGAATCCGGAGTGATAACCGCTACACTACAGAACCGTGGCAACATTCATCCGGGTTTCGCGTTTCGGGGCTTATCAGTGAAGTGCAAGCTGCCGCGCAAATTGAGTAAGTTCTGCTCCAAGCCACCTCTCTAAGCCAGTGCAGTGTTTTATTCAGTTGCTATGTACTATGAGCCGGCACCATGTGAACATCGCCGAAGTGGACGAGAACGGCCAGCCGCAGGTGAGGTTGGCGCTTTCTGTGAGCTATCATATCCGTCGACATCCTGGAACTGAATGCAGTATCGTTGGCGCAAAGAAAACGTACAGTCTAAATTCCGTGGATATCTGTTTATCTCATAAATCGCCACTTAACCCCCCGATGGGTGACCAACAACACCCATCCCTGACGTTAACCGCCCCACGTCAAAACCGGGGCCGTTGGCAGTCGACGGCAACGCCAACCGCACCGGCGGGGATGGACGCGGGTGGTTCCTATCCCAGTCCTCCCGCCTCTGGGCCTCGGCTCTCTGCTCTGCCGCCTTCAGAGCGTCCGGCAGCGATGCTATCCGCAGCTGCATACGGTTCCGCCGCGCCTCTTCTGCCTCCCATAGCTCTTCCCAGGATTGGTGTTGTCGTAATGGGATGGCGGCGTTGTTGTTGTTGTTGCTGTTGTCGAGAGGTGGAGGGTTTGGTGGTCGGTGCCGCCTCCAGCGAAACCAGGACTCCTTTTTTGTGCTGCGTATGAAGAGGAGGTAGTCGCCTAGGGATATCTTGCCGCCGATGGCCGGGATATGGAGTGGGGGAAGGGGGGTGGGGGTCGGTTCGACAGAAAAGAGGTGTTTGAACCGCGAGAAGACGTGGTGGTCGAAGATGAAGTCGCTGCTAAGGATGATGTCGCAAGGCAGGTCTTCAACAACGTGGAGGTCGCAGATGAAGACAGTCTTGTCTCTCGCTGCCTTGCTTCCCCGCTCTTTGCCCATAAGTTCCGTGAGCCCGCGGTCGTACTCTAGGTACTGGTCTAAGTCGAGTTCCCGCGGTGACGACATTAGCGGTGTGTCGAACTCGAGCTCGGCGTCCAGGACCATGCCGTCGGTGCGAATAAACGAACCGTCGGCCAGCTGGACTTGTTGTCGGTGTTTTCTCCCGCGGCGGATCTTGAGGTTGTTGCGGCGGGCAAAGTTTCCAGAGACGAGCATCAGGTCGGATCCGGTGTCGGGGAACGCCGATGCGTGGGAACCGTTGACGGCGCAGCGGATGCGGTCTTTCGGCGACTCGTCCAGCAGGAAGAAACGGCCTCCCTTTTGCACACAGGGACGGAACCGTTTCACGATGCGGTGGCAGAAGTCGGTCAGCGTCTTCGTCTGCTCGAGGAACTCCCTGCCAAGCACCATGTCAAACGCACACTTTTTGAGTACGCGGAAGTGCCGGGTGTAGATCTGGCTCTCGTTCTGGAACTTGAAGTGGCCGACCACGACACCCGCACTCTCGACGACTCTCCCACCAGGGAGCTTTATTGAGATCTCGTCCGCCGCCTTGACCTCCATCCCGTGCTCGCGGGCAAAACCATCAGAAATGGCATCGATCGAGGAGCCATAATCCGGCACCGCTTTAATGGGGATATCGTTGACTGTCCCCGGAACCTCTCTGTGACGTAGACCATGTAGGCTGGGAATGTAACGCTGCTTGACCTTCTCTCGAGTGTCTAGGTCTGGATTGGGCATGCTCTCCCTGGATGGTGTCCATTGATCACGGCTGAGTTTGTTGGCGGGGTCGGCTTGCGAGCTCTGATTGATTAAGTCGAACTCGATGCATTTCCTCTCCACTTCGAGGAGGCCGTCGTAGATGGCCTTTATTTCGGCATGTAGCCGCTTTTGGGCCATGGCACTTGTCTCGGACTGCTCGATAATCTCGGTTGCATCATCGTCATCGCTGCGCAACCGGTTCCTTCTCTGCAATCTTTCTGGGGGATCGTTAAGGCCGTCGAAGCTCTCGAGGTTGCTGTCAAGCAGGGCGGGCGTGCGCGGTTCGCTGGGGCCGACCAGCGTACCAGCCCCGTCGAAGCCGAACCCCCCGTACCACGACGCCAGGTCTTCGAGCTCGTCAAGCTCCTCGTCCGACGGACGCGGGTAGTCGGTCGGCTCGCTGAAGAAGTCGCCCGCGCCGCCGAGGATGGCCATCTGAAACGCCGTCCAATCGAGCGTGTCATTGACGGCCGTGGCCAATTTCTTAATTGGCAGATCGGATTTGGCCAGGCGGATCGGGCCGTGTCGAATGCCCGGCATGGTCAGGGCGCAGGGGATGCTGTCGAGGTAAATGTAGTCATCCGTGTTTGACTTGCTGGCGGACCCGAGCGGCGGTGCCGGGAAGCCTGCAGGAAGACCATAAACCTGTCTACGATTTCTTGGATTAGGTTCTTTCCTCTGTTTTTGGAGAGAGACGTATCCCTTTCCGATAATCGCGGAGTTCGCACATCATGCAGTGAGGTATCATTTTTGGCTCAAGTCAAGAGCTGACCACATCTGCCAGTGCGCCCCCGGTTGGGGATCGGGATTGTTGTAATAAGCGCAGCCGTCGACTTGTTGTTTCTGGTGTGGTGTAGGCTCTCATCCGGGAGGGTGGTGGACCTGGAGACTCGCGAGGCTCTCAGTCTCCTCCTGTCTCTTTTGGGTTTGCCTTCTGGGGCTTCACAGGCTTACCGAGAGCTGGAGATTGGCGAATCAGGTCCGAACACGCCATCTCATTGCGCCCGCCGCAGGCAGGTGAATGGCTGGCGAGATTCGAAGATGCCTGCGCTAAGGTAGCCCGTGGTGCGCGGCGCCGCAACCCGCATGCTCCGCCACGCATTCTTGATCACATCCATTTTGTGTTGTCGAAACTTGACTTTCCGCCCTGAGTATTGCCCTGAATATCGCATCCGGCGCGCCATTTCTAGCGACATTCTAGCTACTAGTGCCATCACGCTTCCCGCCTGACCTAGCTCGCTCGTGAGCACAACTGGCATTCCAGATTTTGACATTCAACAGCCACTCCTACACAACCCTGACTTTGACGCTGTGTAGCCCACGACGTCGGAGATCGCCTAGCAGTGCGCCTTGGCTGATGCGGTATTAACAACGCTTCCTGCGCCCTGTGCATGAACCCGCCGCCCCTCTTTGTAGCCCCGTTCCTTGCACTACCGGCAGCAAGGCAGGCATCCCACCGAGCACCTGGTATTCCATCCGGGTCGCCGCCCTTACCATCCTCGGACAGAGCCGTGTGCGCCTGGCCTCCTGACTGTTTAAGACCGCCAACCCGCCCCACACACCACACCCGAAACTGATGAAAGCCACAAGCCAGGATTCGAGCCACATAGCGCAAGGATATTGTGCCGCTGAGGAGAAGCCACTCCCTCTCCCTTGTAGATAGACGGGTACTATCTGTAGGTAATGGTAATTCATGGACGTCGAGATCATGGCCAGTGGCAGAACTGGCTTCCCCCTCTTGGCACAGCGAATCTCGCTGAGCCCCGACTACGAGTCGTTCATCTTCCGCAAGTTCGACCGCCTGAGTGCCCGCAACCTGCTGCACCTCGAGGGCAAGCTGGCCTACCTGGAGCATAAGCTCGATCAAGCCGATGAACAAGCGGCGTTACCTACTGCCGACAACGAGGCTCGCCGCTCGGTTCGCGCATGGGAGGCTTTCGAGGAGAACGCCGCAAACCCAGACCGGCCCGAGCATATGCACATGAAGCTCGCCGAGCAGGTCCACGAAACGCTCAAGGAATACCGTAAGCTGCATTCCATACGTACCTATACTACTTAAACAGCCCCTCACTCATTAGAACAGAAGAAACCTTGCTCCGGCAAAGCCAAATAGCGGCTCTCGAAGCGCCAAAGAATCGGGCGTTTGACGTCGCACACAACCAATTTTACGAGGACATCAACGACGAATTTGGCCACACCAAGCGACAGCGGCCTCTCCTCGCTGGCCTTGCCGAGTGTCGACTAGAGGAAGGTAACCGCCGCGACCTGGTGGCAGTACGACGGCCAGCCGACAAGGATCTTCTTTCCCGGTTCCTGCAAGACCATTGGATATTCAAGGTCTGACCACCTCAACGCACCCTCGGATTCTGGTTGTGGGATTTCATACATTTTTCTAACCAGGACCACTTATAGACAACAAAGGTAACAAACGAGATTGAGCACATCAAGGAAAATCACGTTGCTTGGGTAGCAGCCGGAATCAGCACCTTGGTCGCTGCCATCCTGCTGCTCGGAGCCATTGTGGTACTGCGTCTTTTGAAGGAGGAAAAGGCACAACTGGGAGTCATCGCCACGCTCACAGTTTTATTTGCCGTTAGCGTCGGGATCCTCACAAACGCACGACGGGCCGAGATATTTGCAGCAACGGCAGCTTATACTGCGGTTCTTGTTGTGTTCGTATCGTCGAATTCAGAGAGCTGTACGTGCATTCCGGGAGGTTAAGGGGCAAGAGGTGGTAGAGGTCAATACTATTATCATTAGGTAGCTCGACTTGGTGTCGTCCAGTCCGGTGGCTCTACTAAGAAGTAATCGGCTGTCCCTTTCTCCAAGACACGCCGTACCTTTCCAATACCCAAGTTAGGGGAATCCCGAGGAAAATAATAGACGCGTAAATTGCAAAGCATCCCGCTGGGCCCACATTCTCGACCATTGGCTGTAAGATGGCTACCGCTCCGCCGGCACTGAGGCAACGAACCAGATTGCTGGCTGCCTGGGCAGTGGCGGATCGGTCCATGTTGAGATCTGTTAGGAGGGTTCCGCAGAGCTAGTCGTTGTCAATAAAGGTCCTAGAACCCCGGGTATGGGGCCGACTTACAACGAATAGAGCAGCCGTTGTGGTCCCCGTCAGCAGCTGCATTACCAACATGACGGCAATGTGCTGGGAGTTGTCAGTTCTTGTTTTCAAGGGTTCGTCTCAAGGTTGTTCACCCACCCATCGGAATTTGAGAGTTAAGCCGTAGCCGATAAGCCCTACAACCGTAATCGCACTCAAAAGGTACGCGCCTCTGAGCCTCGTCTTTTCGAGGGGGAAGTCAGGGGACTTTCTGTCGTACTGCCCCCCGTGTTCCTTCGACAGGCGGTCGACGGTACGGCGGTAGTTCCAGTCAATAAACTTGCCTAATATCCGATCAGTTTAATACTTTGACCATATGCGCGGGATGGAGCAATGACTCAACCCACCAGCAAGGTACGACCCAACCCCGCCCCCTACCCCTGAAGGGAGGTATATCAATCCCGCTTGAACGTAGTTCAGCCCATACAATTCGACGCACTGCGCATCAAGCGATGTCTGTAGCGCTGCCTTAACCGCGTAGTTGATGGTCGTAATGAGAATGACGAGCAGAGACCCTTTGTTTGCTAGCACCGGCAAGCAAGCTAAAGGATTTGGAAACTGGAGCCTTCGTTTCCGTGGCGCTCCCTCTTCGGTCTCCTTCTTCTCGCCCACTACTGCCACCTCGCTATCCTTTGTTTTTCTCGTCTTCCGGATCAGCGAAAAGAATGTTTGGTAGATGAACCCCTTCGGCTTGATACTCCCGTTTCCCACGATCTTTCGCTGGGTTTCAGGGAAGAACAGCAGCATGAGAACAAAGTGCGATCCGGTAAATATGACGAGGAACCAGAATATCGAACGCCAGCCGAACCCCTGCGTCAAACCACCCCCGATGACCGGCCCCAAGCTCGTGGCGAAATCGGTCCTGCCGTTGTCAGTTGCACAGCCTTCCAAGAGAAAAAAAGGCTCAAACACCACCTACATCAGTAACAACACACCCACAAACGAACCCCGTTCATCAATGGTCGCAATATCAGCAATAACCCCATACGCAGCGCCGTACATCCCTGTAACACCAAATCAGCCCTGATCAACAACAATCACCCCCCTATCCCATCCCAGCCCACCCCCACCCACCCCCTTAAACATAAAAAGAAAGAAAAAACAACCTACCCGACGAACCCGCACTCTGCACCATCCTTAGCACCAACAACGCCTCATACCTCCTCTGCACCGCAATCCCCACATTCGCCCCCACCATCAGCGCGAACATCAGCACATAAACCGGCCGCCGCCCCCCGCGATCCGCCATGTCGCCCATGAACGCCGGCGCCACCCCTGCCACGACCAGGTAGGACGTGATGGTCAGCTGCACCAGCATGAGGGACACGTTGAGGTCCTCGGCGATGCGGGTGAGGGCCGGGTAGTAGATGTAGGAGGACAGGGTGGAGAAGAGGGCGGCGAGGGAGGCGGCGAAGGCGATGAGGTTTTTTTGGAGGGGGGTGTGGATTGAGAAGGGCGGTTCATCTTCGGGTTGTGAGGGGGGTTGGTTGTTGGGGTTGAGTGAGGCATTGTGCTGGTTGGGGGATTCTTTCTCTTGGGAGAGGGTGGATGGGGATGAGGTGGCGGTGGTGGTGGTGGTTTCGTTTGGGGAGGGTGTTGCGGGTGATATTGTTAGGGATGGCGGTTGTTGGTGTTGTTGGTTTTCGGTGGCGGTGGGGAGGTCGGGGGTGGAGGACAGCGATGATGGGTCGGAGGGTCCTTCACTGGTTGAGGGGCGGGACCTGAGGACTGAGGTCCCGAGAGATGCCCTGGATGACATCTTGGGCGGCGATGTAAACCCTCCTTGGGAGGCGATGGTGAGGAAGTCTGCTCACCAAACAATACAGCCACCGAGGACACGGATGTTTAAACAGCATAGGCCAAGGAACTAAACATTTGATTTTCCCTCGACTGAAACATTACGGGGATTCTGCGATTATCACTGGACCAGTTGGCCTGAAATGCAGGCCAACTTTCCCACAAAGCTCAGCTAGTTGGGGGCCGGACCACCAGTTGGAGCGGCACATGCGGCATCTGCCGGGACATGGGCAAGCGGTGTGAGGGTTGCGAGACGAATCACACGGCTGACCCAGTTGACAATCTGGGAGAGCTGCATGATCTGCACCAACGCCTGCATGGCGAGCGCGTTGCGTGGGGGCTTCGGAGGGGCTTACCGAACCCGAGCCGCTTTCAGGAAGTGCAGAATCGGGTACGCACCCCTCTTGCGCCTTGATGCATGATCCGGGTTACGCAGCTTTTACGGCCCGAACAATTAGTGCTGGATCGTGGCAAAAATAAGATTCAACGGGCCGTTGCATGAACCAGCATAGGGCTGCTGGCGAATTGTTGTAACACGACCTGTGACATGATAGGGGGAAATAACCATTTTGAAAATAGTTTGCCTTTAAATTAGATATACTCCATCCGGTCACCCTTGAACACCTCGTCGCTTTAGGCACTTGAAGCACGACTGAGCGCCAGCCACCAAGAAAACAAATCTACAGCCGGAACTGCACTGGGGCAGCCTGCTCCTCTTGTACCCGCTCCACCAAGAGGCGCATGTTGCTCACGAAACTGAGAGATGTTAGCAGCGATCTCGGCCGGTTTACAGTTGGAAGACTCCTACATCTCCCGCAGCTTTGGGTCGTGGGGGTACAGAATGGACAGCAAGATCTGGCCCCTGAGCATGTAAAGGGTGTTCCGGCTGTCAGCGTCTTCCTCGGGCTCCGAAATCGGAACGCGCCTCCAGTACTCTTTCAGGTACGGTTTGCCGAGCGGGTATCTCGGGTTGCGAAAAACGCCGAGGTCGACTGTGCAACATGTGGTCAGTTGGTTAACATAGAAGGGAAATCTCGGCAAGCGCACCTTCGTTATGAGCCCACATGGCACAGGCATCATAGACGCACGCCGTCTCGCCGTCGCTCTTGTACTTGACATTTCCCGGCCAGAGGTCGGCATGGATCAAGCACGGCTTTACCGAACGGCCGTCGCTCTCGAGTGGACGCAAGTATCGAGGCAATACCTTGTCGAAGAATAGCGGACGCAGCCGGTCAAGCTCCTCGTGTGGTTCCCCATCGTGGGCAGCATCTTCCTTATCGAGGAAGTCCTTCATCTGCCTCGTCCAAAACTCCTCCCAGCTCGCCGACCAGGTGTTGTCCTGCTCGAGGTCGCCGAAGCGCGTGTTGACGGGAAATCCGAAATTGCCTGTTGGCGACTTGCCCATGCTACGACTGTGAAGCGCGGCAATAGCGGCCATGTAGGAATCCTCACGGGGAATGTCGTCCTCGATCATGTCGATAAATTCGGCGAGGAAGAAATACTTTTCCTGCTGAGACTTGTAGGTACCCGTGGCGACTGGACGCGGAACATGCTCAGGAATGAACTCGTAGGCAGCAGACTCGGACCTCCAAGCCGATTCCACGCATCCTCGGCCACTCTCGCCCGATCCTTCCTTTTCAAAAAAGACCTGGGAGCTGCCATCCGGCATCTTCACCTCGATACGGTAGGTGTTGCAGTAGTCGCTCATCCCTGACGGCTTGACCGAAACCACCTCGCCGCCTTCTGGGAGGGCTTCGTTCGGACCAAGGTCAGCGGTTCGCACAACTACCTAGGTAGGGAGTTACCAGAGCAGACATACCGGCAAGGAGGTTCTCGTCAAGCTTCAGGTTCTCCTCTACATCTCTCGCGTCGGTGGCCATGGTGGATCAGAGTTCGGCGTCCTACCTGGTCCAGTTCGGTCTGGTGTAAAACCGAAGGAACAGATCAAGTAAGTTCTCAGGTGACCCCCAGGACATTTAAGCGGGGAGGAGGGGGGGCCAAGTGCTCCTTGTGCCCGTTGGGGTGGCACAGCAAAGCATGCCGCATGTTTCTGTGCCGTCTGCGTCTGAGCTGTTGGGTCTAAGACACTTGGGGGCTTTGGGGGCCTGGTTGGGACGATGGCCAATTGAAGAGGTTGTTTCGGGGAATCAGCCCGCCCTGGTCGCAGGCTGCTGCAAGCTGGACTCGGTGGTCACCTGCATCGACCTTGGCCGTTGGTTTCAAGTCGCCCAATCAACCGCAAGTCCGCAGCCATTATGCAATGTCGAAAAGCGTGATATTGGTCATGATTAATGAACGAACTTTGTGTGTCCTTGTCAATTCGAAGTTGAGGAGTTTTGGGTCGCGGCCTCACTATTCCGCCATTCTCGAGGAGCAGCTCCGGGGCATTCGTGCAGTGGTTTTGTTTCAGTTTTCTAAATTCTAATTACGCCCCGAGGCACGGAGGCAGGCACCACCACACGCGAGCGCTTTCCAATCTCGAAGTTTTCAAGCACACACGAAGAAATTTCCCCACCAAAACCTCGAAACCGAAACCCCCATCAATCCCGATTCTAGGTCCAAAGCTAACCGCCAAATATAAACAATTATTACCCCGATTGTTCTCTGCAATGATTGACTGGAAATCAGCGAATCAACTTACCATCTCATCTCGTTTCTCCACACTGTCGTACACAAACACCCGAGAGGAAATGGACCCGTATTATGGCACAGGTCAGCGGGCAGTCCGCCCCGCCCGGCACAGCTGCACTCGAGGCCCGGGTCACGACCAGGCCGCCGTTTCAAGACGCAATGGTGATGCATCTTAACTCATTGTGACCATGTCGCCGTACGCAGGGGCTGGTACAGACTCAGCAAACGAGGTGTCCACCCTCCAACCGCAACAGACGACATAGCCCCGAACCATGGCCAAGCGGACTTCAGACTTCCCGCACCGAGACGGCCTCAAACACCAAATCTCGCCATGTATCGACCACAAGATGCCACTTGCACCGGCTACCTCGGCCTTGCTCGTCAGCCCGCCACCATGTAGAGCCTTGACTCCCCACATCCCGTTTCCATCTGTTCTCCTTTTTCGCCGACTTCATCTTTCTGAAAGTCATACCTCAACTGACATTGCTGTCCCGAAAATCCCAAACACATCTGCTTCGTCCCGGGAAACACAGTTCGCTGGTTGGTAAAGACCTACCTACCTACCTATCCCATGATTGTCCTCTCTTAGTACCGCGACAGCCCCACCTTTTGATTGCCCAGCACTAGACGAGTAGCACCAGGGGGTAACATGTCGATTCGAGTGGGCAAATCTCTCTTACCTTGAGTGTAGACTTCATCTAACATGAAAATGCAGTCGTCGGCGACATGGGACCCATCAGACAGGGCCAGACTGGGAGCCCCTACCCTCATGGTACCGGCGGATCAGGACCGTCAACCATCCCCGAGCAGTCTCCGCGGCAGATTGCAGAGCCTCAGGCGAGCAACATCGCCAGCTCGTTCCAAGGCGTCCCAGTCCCCGGAAGGTGTGAAAGGGGCGCTAGGGCTAACGCTTTTACATGAGCCTTCAGAGCCACGCGTGGATTTCATTTTTGTATGTCCCTCACTGGCACCTCTTCAGGGCACAACTGACCATTCCCTCCTAGGTCCATGGCTTAAACGGAGGCTCGAGGAGGTCGTGGAGTGCCTCATCGGACCCATCCACCTTTTGGCCGAAAGAATGGCTGCCGTCCGAGGCCGGCTTCCGGCACGTTCGCATCCACAGCTTCGGTTACGATTCAGATTGGACAAAATCGCAACAAAGCACCTTGACGATGCACGATTACGGTCAGGCTTTGCTGGCAGATTTGTATAACTCACCGAACCTGAAGAAAAATGGGAATGTGAGTAGCCGCCAGATGCGCCATCCCCTAACGAATGGTTATGCTAACGTTGTTCTAGACTCCTATCGTGCTTGTTGCCCACAGCATGGGTGGGTTGGTGGTCAAAAAGGTATGTGCATGATACCTGCGTAACCACCTAGAGATCGTCTAACCTGTGACAGGCGTACCTCCTTGCGAGAAGAGACCCGATTTACGCGGATATTGCAAGCAGAATTCACAGCCTATACTTCCTTGGGACTCCACATCGGGGTGCCGACTCAAGCGCCTTCGTGACCACCTTAATCTCCATGTCCATAGGCTCTGGGTCAAAGGCTTTTGTCAAAGAGCTAATACCAGGATCAGGAACTCTCCAGGTACGTATGCCCCCCATTTCACCAAGTCCCGCGTCAACCGCTGACGGACCAGGCCATCAATGATGAATTCCGACACGTTTGCAACGACGTTGGGCTCTGGTCCTTCTTTGAGGGGATCCCAACTTCTACCGGTCCGGCAAACACTATGATTGTTGAGAAGGATTCAGCTATTATGGGTAAGCCTTACGACTTTATAAAGCTGTCGACTATGCTAACCGCTGGCCAGGACTTCCCGGCGAACATACCCAATACTTGCAAGCGAATCACCGCCGCCTTGTCAAATTCGATTCTGTCGATGATCCGAATTACAACATTCTACTTCGCTGCTTCAACACGACGATTGAGGAAATAGAAAAGAGCTGTAAGTCCAAAAGTTACAGCAGTCCAGGTCACGTCTAACAGCTGTAGACACCGCAGATAAATTCGAAAGCCACCGAGCCCAGATGAAGCAAATCGCCCAAGCCTTCGATGTAGCAGAACGCCCGGACGGCGACTTCATTAGAATGCTTGATAAGCTACACCTGGGATCCTGCGAGTGGCTAACCTCCCATGGTGCCTTTCACGACTGGCTTGAGTGCGACCTCATGGACACCAACGCTTCAATCAAAGCCATCACTTCCGGCCCGCCAAAGAAAACACCCCGGTTCCTGTGGCTCAACGGCCCCCCCGGTTCCGGTAAGTCGGTGGCTTCCGGGCACGTTATTAGGTATCTCGAGTCCTTCAACCTTGATTGCGCCTACTTTTTCTTCAAAAACAATGAGAAACCTAGCCTCACGCAGTTTCTCTTATCCATGGCGCTACAGATGGCAGAGTCCAACTTTCAGGTTCGGCACACCTTCCTGGCCATGATGGAAGAGGGCGAGACCATCGACAGCCACAGCGACCATATAATGGTTTGGAACAACATCTTCTTGGGGCGTATCTTCAAGATGGCCCTCTCGCAGCCACAGTACTGGGTCATCGACGCCCTGGATGAGTGCCAAGCGCGGCTTTTGACCACGCTTATGTCGATGTTTTCGAGGATCGAACCGAATGTCCCACTGAGAATTTTCATTACTAGCCGCCCCAACGGCCATGTCGAGCGTTTACTAAACCAGGAGAGGATCATGAGAGTAGAAATGCACACCGGCCAGGCCGAGTCGCTCCGAGACATTGACGCGTTTGTCAGATCGCGGCTGTCGCCTACCATTATCCAGGACTTTAACGAGGAGGAGGGCGATCTGGTGGCGGAGATTATCGAAAAGTCGAACGGCATCTTCCTCTGGGCCTCCCTGATCATGACGCGCCTAGATGAAGCCCACAGCATCGAAGCCATGCGCAAGACCCTTGACCAGGTTCCCACCGAGATGAGCGGCATGTACAGCGGCATTCTGCAAACTATTGTCGAATCGCCCAACGCCGACCTTGCCCACTGCGTCCTAAAATGGGTCGTATGTGCACGGAAGCCCCTGACGACTGAAGAGTTGAGGGAGGTGGTGCGCCTGGATATCAACCAAACCTTGCGCACTGCCGATAGATTCTCTCAGATTTGCGGCAATCTCATCACGGTTGACAACGGCTTCGTGCAGGTCATGCACCAAACTGTCAAAGAGTTCCTGACCGGCGAGCAATCCGACTATTACATCCCCCGCTCATGGTCCCACGCGCGCATCGCTGAGCTCTGTCTACAACATCTTAACGGACGCAACTTCAATCCTCCTCGCACCCGCCGCGGCCCAGCCGCCTCCTCAAAAGCTGACCCCAACAGCAGCGCAGCCGTGTTCGACGACTACGCCGCCACGAACTTCTCCTACCACTTAGCCCATTGCTCCCCCTCCGAGTCCACCCTCCAACTCCTCCCTCTCCTCGGTACTTTCGTTTCGTCCAACGTTCTCACCTGGATCGAGCGTGCAGCCAAAACAGGCCGCCTCTCCCTGCTGACCCGTACCATCCAGAACCTCAAAGCGTACCTCTCCCGCCAAGTGACAACCTCATCCCCCTTAGACTCTGATTACCAGCTCACATCCCGCTTCGTCGACGACCTCGTCCGGCTATCGGCCATCTACGGCCCGAACCTGGTCAACACCCCCTCCACCATCTACTCGCTCATCCCTCTCCTCTGCCCAAAGTCCAGCATCATCCACTGGAAGTTCGCGCGGCAATTCAAGCAGAAGGTACTCTGCACCTTCAACAACGACTGGGACGAGCGCCTGTCGTCCTTCACCTTCTCGTCGCGCGTCATGTCCATCGCCTGCGCCGACCAGTTCTTCGCCATCGGCCTCGCCGACGGCGCCATCAAGGTGTACCGGCAGAGCACCTTTGAGCTGCTCAACACCATCCACCACGGCGAGCCCGTGCGCCGGCTCGCTAACGGTAACATCACCGGGGTGCTGGTCTCGGGCGGGCTCAAGTCGCTCAAGGTCTGGGGCCCCAGGCAGGCGCTGCTGTGGGAGACGGTCGTGCCGGAGCAGCCGCTCTCGTTCCGGTTTAGCCCCGATGATGCGAAGCTGTACGTGCCGTTGAGGAATGGGGAGGTGTATGTGTTCCGGGCGAAGAATGGGGCGCGGATGGACGCGCTGGAGATTGTGGAGGAGGAGACGTCTGATTCGGACTCGGATGGCGGGCTGGAGCGCCAGCAGCAGCAGAAGAGGACTGTGCCGGTGCTGGTCAGGATCAGTCCGATGCTGGGGATTGCCGCCATTGCGTATCGCAGCTCGCATCTGAGGTTGTCGTATTATGAGAGTGATGAGAGGGTTGAGCCGTTCGAGAAAGAGGGGTATGAGGATGGTGGCCTGCCGCCGCAGGTGCTCGATGTTGCGTTCAATGAGAACGCGGAGCAGAATCTGATGGCCGTGGCGTACCAGGATGGAGATCTGGTAACGCTCGATCCGTGGACGCTGCAGCAGAAGCATGCGTATCACCTGAACGCGCACACGCTGGCGGCGTCTCCAGACGGGCATACCCTGGCCGCGGGAGACAGCGAGTGTGTCATCTCGCTGTTTGCCTTTGACGGGCTGCGGCTGTTGTGTCGGATCCAGTCGCTCGAGGAGCGCATCATGGGCATCGTGTTTGCCTCAAACAGTCTGCGTTTCTTTGACCTCAGGGGTAATACCTGCAACGTCTGGGAGCCGGCGGTGCTCATCAAGAAGAACTTGGCGGACGACAGCTCGAGTGAGGAGGCTGACGACTACCTGATGCCCGCGTCGAACTTGGTATGCACGCGAAGCTTTGAGGGTAACAAGGCCATCACGATCATGACGCAGGCGGGTGACTCTAATTTCGTGTTTTGCGGGCGCGAGGAGGGCTCCATCACGGTGCACGACATCAGCTCGGGCAAGGTGTTGACCGAGTTCCAGTTCCATGCCCGCATGGTGGACATTCGTCATCTCGAGTGGAACGCAAAGGGCAAGGTGCTCTTCAGCGTGGATGCTTCGCGGCGGTGCATCGCTACGCGGTTGACGCTGCCATCGTCCACGACTGCCACGACAGCCGTGCAAAAGCAGCAGCAGCAACTCCAGCTCCGGAAATTCGAGCACATTCTCGACTTCCGCGCCTCAGACGCGGTCCTACAGGCATTCATCAATCCCGACGCGTCCGCCTTCCTCATCTCCACCCAATCCGGTGAGGAAGTCCACGTCCCCGGCGAGACAAACTGCACCATACAATCAACCCACTCTCAAAACACAGCGCGCTGGCTGCCGCACCCGACCGACCCGACCCGCCTCCTCCTCTTCGAGCACGAAAGCGAAGTCCTCCACGTCTTCCGCTGGGAGGACCTCGCCCGCGAAACACCAGAGCAGGGCATCACAATCGACCTGCCCCCCGAACTCGCCTCAACACCCGTCAGTTTAACGGACGAATGGCACTCACGCCCAGGCATGGCGACCCTCGTCCAAACCACCACAATCCCCAACTCCTCCCAAACCGGGTTCCTCACCCTCGACCTATCCAACCTCGACCCCGCCACCACCACCAAGCTACAAGTCACCTGCACTTCGCGCCAGCTGCTGGCCGACATCAAATCCGTCCTGGGCATCTGCCGGTCCAACCTGTTCTTCATGAGCGGGCGCGGGTGGGTGTGCTCGATAAGTCTCAAGAACCTGGCCGCGAGCAAGTCGTACGCACGGCACTTTTTTATCCCATCGGTGTGGCAGACCGGCGGGGAGCCCATCGCGCGGGTGGTGTCCAAGACGACGGTGGCGATGGCGTATCGGGATGAGGTGGCGGTGCTGCAGGGGTTTTTGGAGTTTGAACATAAGACTGTGTTTGGGGAGGCGGATGGGGAAGGGGGAGAGGGGGAGAAGGCGGTGGTGCCTGTTATTAGGACTTCGTAGGGCAGTTGGGGAAGGGAAGTAGGGGGATGGGTGGTGAATGGGTCGAGGTTTCTTCTTTTTTCTATATTTTTCGTTATTCCTCTAAAGCCGGGCGGCATCGGTGTTTTTGAAATTGACAAAATGGGGATGGTGATAACGGTTAGGTTAGCCCTTTTTCTTTCGGGATGTGATAGATGGCATGTTATTTCAGGATTTCCGAGCCACGTTGATCATGGCCACGGCATCACATCATACTTTGATGAAGCGAGTAGAGGTAACTTTATTCAGTTTCAACCTTCAGCCATCCCGCGCGCTGTCGGTCCCGTCGGCACTACTCCCTGCTCCTTCGCTCTCCTCCTCCTCCTCCTCTTCTTCTTCCTCTTCCTCTTCTTCCTCTTCGGCCTCGTCGCCGTCCAAGAGAGCTTCAGGAACATCGCCGTCACCAGCCAACTCTACCGGTTTGCCCTTGTCATTTGCCTCAGGCTGGTCTCCTACTGTCTCCTCCTTTCCCCTAAGTTCAAATTCATGTTCCGCGCCGTTTGGGTGAACTTTGTGCCGCGACAGATAGCAACTAAAGCAGAAGGCCGCGGAGCACATGTTATCCAGACATCCGTAATATGAACCGTGAAGACTCTGCTTAGCGGTTAGCTCAGTTCAGCCTTTAATTACTTGAGTAAAAGGCTCTCCCGCTCATCGAGCTCGTTCTGCGCAAACATGGCTACATTCCTGCATAAGGGAAACCCTTACCAATAAACAATGATCGCAGAAGCCGGGGCTATCCGGGAGACCTCGCTTGCCGCGGCGAGACTCCCAGTCCCTGTCCAAGATTGTCAGCTCTGCACTATTTGTTTGCATGCGGGCCCATACCACTCGCGCTCTTCGTCGCTCATGTTCGCCCGGTCTTCATCTGTGGGAATCAAGAGCTCAGCGACGTCCTCGTCCAGGCTGTGGTATGCTGCGAGCGCCAGAGGCGTCCAGCTTCGGTCCACGCCCTGACCGCGCACCACACGTTGCCCCCCGTTATCAAGGAGTTCCTTGATAATGGCCTTCCTGTCGCCCTTTTCAACCCCCCATAATTCCGAAACCCGCAACGCCCAGAGCAGCGGTGTCCACCCATGGGCGTCTTTTTGATTCTGTATGTTCCATTCATGTCAGCCATCTGTAACGCCTCCAGGGAGGGAGGGATGGGACTGGGGACGACCTACCACAAAGTTGGGCCGTTCGCTCAGCACAAACCGGACGAGATCCAATCGCCCGCTAAGCACGGCCATGTGCAACGCATTGCGGTTCAAGATATCGACCGCATCCAGGTTAGCCCCTTTATCGAGAAGCAGTTCGACATGCTCCCGCGTGCGGTAGAGGGCAAAGTGGAGCGGGGTGCGATCGACGTGATCTCTAACGTCAACGACGGCGCCGTGGCGAAGGAGCAGGCGCATTGTGTCGGGCGTCGACGTGAGGCAGGCCAGGTGCAACGCACCACCCCAGAAGGGGCTGGCCAGGTTGACATTTGCCTTAGTTTCCTCGACAAGGAACCTGACGATAGCCTGCTTGTCATCCGTCTCCTCCGTCCGCTGCAGGGCCGCCTGTAGAGATGTGCCCGAGACCCGGCGTTCACTCTGGTCGACCTCGGCGGGATCCGCCCTGGCGTACAGCAGCTTGACAATATCCAGCGTGCCCCAGCGGCACGCCACTTGAAGAGGACTGCCGTAGAAGCCGCCGCCCTTGGTGACAAGGGCGCCGCACTCCTCGACGAGGTACCGCACAGCTTCCCAGTTGGAACGCTGTATAGCTCCGGTGAGCGGCGTTTCCCGACTCTTGTCGGTTGCTTCTATATCGCCGCCGCATGTAACTAGCATCTCGATAATGTCAACGCTCGTATTCTGCGATATGTAGTGGAGCGCCGCGCGGCCGTTCCGGTCTTCCTTATTCGGGTCCATTCGGTACGGGTAATTTAGCAGCCGCTCGAGCAACTTCGGATTGGGCCACCAGACCTGACTATACAAGACCATATTCCTATCCCGTAGATAGGAAGGGTCCGGGCAATACGGTATCAGCTTCTCCACCATCTGGGGCTCATGTCTTATGAACGCCTCCTCTAGGCTAGCCTCGAGGGTTTGGCGGCTAGGATTCCCCTTCAACAACTCGTCGACGACTTTGCTGTTTTGCCACCGTACGGCAAAGGCGAGGGCTGGCAATGACGAGTTGTCCTCGGTGAGCTTGTTAACGTCAGCGTGCTTCGCAACCAGCATGCGCGTGATGTCAGCATTGTCGTAGCACGCGTGGAGGGGATACCAATCGTTGTCCCCCTTGGCGTTGACGTCTACCTGGGCCGCGATAAGAGTCTCGACCACCTTGACCGAGCCAGAATAGGCTGCTGCGAATAGCGGTGTCCGGAGATCAGGACCTCTGCTCGCAATATCGGCTCCTTTCTCGACGAGGTAACGGATGCAAGAAACCCCCTTGTCACTCCGACCTAGCGCCGCCCAGAACGCCTTGGTCGCGGCAGATGTCAAAGCCTCGGTCGTTGCCCATGGCGATTTCGCCCCGTTCTCGAAGACCAACTTGACAACTCTGAGCACCCTACCTTTACCGGCCTCTTCCATCCATTCCGCAAAAACAGACGCGAATTCATCTTCACGGAGTCTATCCTTGGCCGCCCGAGTGAGGAGGTCCACGAGGTCATAGGAGTGTTTCCATTTCCAATTCCCGATCGCATCTTTGACGGCCTCGCCGTACTCTTGACAGCCGATAATATGTCGTGGTAAGTAATCCACCATGTCGGCGGTGCCATCGCCCTCGGTTGGTCCGGGAGCCGTGTCGTCCACGGAGCCGTCAGATGCCAACGTTAGCTTGCGCTTGATATCAGCGAGCGCGCTCTGGATAGGCTTTCGCCGGCCATACCGGCCGGACTCCTTGATGACCCAACGGTACAACGCGATGGCTTCGGAATCCCGTAGCTGCTGTGGGATCGTGGATGCTACCAGGGAGCTGAGAATATCCAGTCGTCTCAGCTTCACAGCCAGTTTAATCGGCATCGGGCTCGCTTCATCCTGTCTAAGTTCTGCAAGAACACTAGGCTCCCCTTCACGGATCAATAGATCCACCACACCGACGAAGCCTCGCTGGCAGGCATAGCTCAATGCAGACAACCCATTCGACGTGTCGACAGCTGTCCCTCTAGAACGCCCGAGAATACCGAGCAAGTCTTTGATGGCTGCCGTACGGCCGAGAGATGCGGCTCGGGCAAGCAGATTGCCCATGTCTCTGATCTTCTCGGGGTATTGACGTGCCATGCCGAAGATCTCAGTAAACGTATCCGCATCGTCGCTTTCCAGCGCAGCCAGGATCAGCTGGTCGAGCGTCTCGCCCTCCGGCGGGAGGCTTTCCATGAGTTTCATGTCCTTGGCCATCTGGATGTTGCCTTGTCCAGCAGCTGCCACCAAAGCGGCAAAGCAGGCAGCCTCGAGCCCAGGTGTCCCAAGCTTCTGGTGTTTTGCCATCGTGCAGGCCAACAGGTTCTGGGCTCCATGCTCTGCAAAGATGGCGAGACTCGATAGAGCGTCCGCCGCTAGCGTTGTGTCCGACTGTTGGCTTGCCGGGGGTGGTGACAATGCCTGGTACAGGACGGTCCACTGCCGAAACGCGTTCTCGTCAGCCATGAAGCGCTTGCAGGCCTCTGTTTCAAACACTGGTTCCTCGGCGGCAAGCATGGCATGCCGGAGCCAGTATTTTACCGCATAGGACAAGAGGTTGTCCCGGCCCTCGAATGGCGTGTGCCAGCTTCCCAGTTCTGAAGTGCGATGTTCCCTCAGGCGATGTGTTGAGGTGCACGTCAGGTAGTTCAAGCAGGACTCGGCAAGGCGTTTGTGTATCACGGGCTCTGACGGTAGCTGAAACCAGCCTCCAAGCACACCGTACCGCGACGTCTTAAGGTACTTTCGAAGGCCGGGATGCGCGAGCCGGACCTCTTGATGCTGTACCAACAGTACCCCATGGCCGTCTCTCTCCACAATTTCCTTCTCAACCATACCCTCGGGCTGCTCCAGGTCATCCAGATCCGAGAACTCTGAGAGGGTGAGCGGCCGAAATGTGAACAAGATGTATCCCAGGGCGCGGGTCAACCAGGGTCTGGTCGGGGAAGGCACTGAGGCGAGAATGGATTGGAATATCCTCTCTGGCGTCGCCCGTACGAGCTCACTCAGGGAGGCGCTCAACTCGCCCTCTTCTGGGGGTTGCAAATGTCCGATCCTCAACCAGTTGGTGACCAACTGCCATAATTTCGCGTCATCTGCGCAAGATTGCCCCATCAGGACCAGCGTGTCGATGCAGCTGTGCAGCTGGGGCTTGCCCTGGACCAAGGTGAGGACATCTGTGAAGACGGGCGTGGGTGAAATGCGCCCGTACTGCTTTTCCTCGGGCCTGCTGTCTTGCTCGTTGTTCATTCCCCCTTCCCCCTTAGCAGCACTGTGCTTCTCGCTTGAGGGCACCGCCCCGAACGATGAGGCCCACGCGGGTCGAGATATCCTGACGGGTCCCGACTGGGGAGTGAGGGATTCAGGATCTGCACTGGTGATCACCACCTTGAGGTTGAGATCGCAGTCCGTTATGCTCTCTAGAAGTGCGCGAAATAGCCAGCTGCCGTTCCGAATCGTGTCATCCAAATTTCCCAGCACAATCACATATGAACCTTTGCTCCCCACTGCTTTTCTCATGGCTAGAAACTCGGTTAGAATGTCAATAAAGGCCGCATATAGATCTCCAATGCGTAAACTACGGCATATATCGAGGCACTTCAAACCGTCATCCAGGGCGGTCGTCGCCGCGGGAGTGCGACACCGATAGCCAAACTCGATCAGACACGTGAAGAGCATCGCCTCCGCGGAATCATACCGGCAATCGGTTGGGTCGAATATGAAAGCCATGCCTATCCCGGCCAGGTCGTTGAGCGGGTCTCCCCAAGTTTCCACGACCAAACTGTACAGGCGCGCTGCTGTCTCGGCCGGGGTCTCGCCGGGGCTGTGGACGAGCCAAAGGTCGGCCTCATCGTCCGTCATCCACCGTTGAACATCCGCACGAGCAAGGGCCCACTGCGGGTCATCTTTGGTCATGGACGGGTCCAACATGGTCCCTAGAGGGTACCGCGGGGGCGTCCATCCGAGTAATCTGCGCCGGTGCGTGGAAAGATGCCAGGCTACCAGGTTTAACAGAGCATCGTCAGCGACCGAGGTATCGGGCGTACAGGAAAGAACGTACCCCTGGATACGGAATCAGGTACAGGGAAATCTATGAGCAAATCACGGTGGCCTGTTTCGCGAGCCGCGACCCTCTCCATATGTAGCGGCAGGTTCGTGGATGTAACGAGCGGATGGAAGACCTAAGCAGGTAGCAAGTCAAGGATATGATTATTAGCGAGGTCGACTTGGATCAAGACAGAGACAAACGTTTGGTCGATGCGGGTAATACTTAAACCTACCCTTTCTCTGCGGTCCGGATGCGACGAGACGACGCTGATCATAAAGACTATTGCTGGCAGCCTTGTTTCCGCAAATCCGTCGTTCGTTTCAAGAACCCATTCCGCCAGAGGTCCGGCCAACCGCCATGCATCAGAGAAGATTGTCCCATCATGAGACATCAGAATCTCAGCACATCCGGCCTGGATCTCCAACTTGGGACCGCTATGAGGACAGCCGAGGAGCATCTTGCTAGTTTGTAAGCACTTGTTTCAGTCTACATGATGGAGAGAATACCGGCTTGAACTGACCAGTGTGTGGATCGACATGTAAATATCTTCGTACTTTTTCTGCTGTGACAAGATGGCGGCCTACCACTGCTAGTCAGCCGCGGTGCTGTCCGATGGCCCTCATCTTCGGGGCCAGGCAAGATAAGTAGGTAGTAGGTACCTAGGAGATCACCTACCCTTTTGATCAGGGAGCCCCCAATGTCATGGCCGATAAACGAAATGGCGATACGCTGAAAGGCAGCCACAGAATTAGCATCCCGTGGGCTTATTCAGGACCAAAGCCACTACCACCAAGGTACCTTACCTTCGAGTCTTCCGTTCTTAGCTCTAGCAGGGAGTCGAGAAACTTCGTGGCCTCGTAGCTTGCGCCGCTGCGCGTGAGGACCCCACCGTTGAAGGCAAAGACATCATAACGGTAGAGTGAGAGCCGGGAATTGACGGGAAAAGAGGATAGCCGGTTTTGCCATCCAACGTCGGTCCAGCTGCGATCCTGACTACCGTAGAGTCCGTGGACGACAACAATGCTGGTTGATAGGCAGTGAGCCTCGATTCAAGCATCAGGTGCCATCTTTTGTCAGGGGCTTACTCGAGGAGAGCAGCAGGATCCCCATCCGTGCTCAGGGGGTTCAACGTCTCGAGGCCAAAAGAAGCCATATTCGCGTGGAAGAGCGCTGCTCGGGGAATGCACAGTGAGAAATGTTGTAAACGACAAGGGACCGGACGGCCTGGGTGACCTTAGGAGAGGTGTTTACATGCACAGTACTTCCGCAATCGCGGGAACATACACCTCGGTCGGCGTATCGAATTCTCTCATTGTCCTACCCGCATCGCGAAGCAGCCTGGGGGTGAACAAGAGTGTAAAGGTAGGGAGGTACCCAACTCGCCTTGAACGGCTCGGTAAAGTGGACCTTCCAAGCCTGCCCTTAAAAGCGGTCATTGACCCTCCCTGCATGTATGTACATCTAAGTACCTATCTCCGTAGAGGCAGATGGTCTGAGAGGATGAGGCCCGTCTCATGCATGTCGCGCCGCGGCCCGGCGCTTCAACACTAGCTAGCCACAAATGGTACGAGTGCATGCTGGGCAGCAGCACGTCCTCGTGGCACACCAATGGAAGTTGAGGTCTGAGACAAGGCTCTGAGAAAGGGCCTCGGCAGGGGGCAGGTCATGGTGACACAGAACGAGAGACAAGGCTTTCGATTCGCTCAGACCCCATTGCTCCAATATAAAATAGGCACCCCATGCAGCCAACTGAACCAACACTGCCTACCTCTGGACCGGTCATTTCTTCTTCTCCGCATCCTGCCACACGGTGCGGAAGGTGATGTCGGTAAACTCGCGGCCGTCAAAGTCCAGCTTGCCGAGGTTGTTGACCATTTTCCTCTTCTTCTCGGCGTCAATGGTCTCCTTAACGTAGTGGTGCAGCTTATTCGTAGGCTTCTTATCCACCTTGTATAGTACCGGGTCGTCCTTGGGCCGCGATTTGAACCAGGTCTGCGCCTGGGTGAGATTATCCGGTGTGACCTCCATCGAGAAGTGCGCCTGGAAGTCGACCGCCGGCTTACGCTTGACAAGGATGCTGGCCCGTAGACTGATAGGAGCCCCCGACCTGTCCTCGGTGTTCTCCATCAGCGTCCACGTTGCAGCGTTCGGCTTCCACTGGTTGGCGCCAAGGGTCCTGATGGCACCCCTGACCGTCCCTGCGTGCGAGACCTCCCTTTCGACCACCCGCTCCCGCTTTAGCTCCCCACCCAACTCGGCTCCAAAGACCTTACCTCCAGCCTTGCCGCTGGCCCCTGAGGTAATAATCTCTTTCTGGGAAGTGGGGTAGATCCAATAGAATCCGTCCGCCGATATGCGGTCGACCACGGGGGCATCGTCCCGCCCGTCCATGGCCGAGAACTCGAGCGTTGTCTGCACTTTTTTGATGCGCCTACCCAGGTCCACCGGGTCAAAGCGGAAGTGCAGGACGATAAGGCTGCAGTGCTCCGGCTCCTCCTCCTCCCCGTCGTCATCGTCGCTGTCCTCCTCCCCGTTCTCTTGTGCGAAAGACTTGACTCTCTCCTCGTAGAGGCCATGGACAATGTCCTTGCAGACGCAACTGACAGCCACTCGTTTATTGTCGCGCTCGGTGAGCGTGCCACGCTGCCAGGGGTCTCCGGGGTTGTTCTGAGTGCGGAGATTGGACGTCTTGCTGACCACCTCGACGACAGGAATGCTGAAGGCTGGAAGATCTTCCATGCCTTGCGACCTGGATTCATTCAGCTGTTCTGCCATAGTTATGTTGCTCGTTTCCGACCTCGCGGTTGCCTCAGTGGGTGGTGTTAAGTTTGCTATGAACGATGATTGTAGGATCGTGAGGTATGTCCACCGAGGTTGAGACCAGCGAAGGATCCTGCACGGAGAGTCAAGCTTGCGCGGGGCATCCGATGCTCATTAAGTACCATGTATGGACGCTTTCAATAAAAGCACGACCCTATGAACCCAAGGATATCGAAGGCGGCTTCAATATGGATGGACCGCGGCAACGCTACCCTCCTTCGGTGGCCGGGATGGATTAACCAACGAAGGAGGTCCATGTGCATTGGTCTTGGTACCTCGGAAATACCTAAGGATCCCATTATTGGTCACAATAATTATGCAAGAAGGGGTCGAGGTCTCCCACCCCCCCTCGAGGCTGCGTGATCTGCGGCCTTGAGTCGGTGCAACCCACCAAGCCGACCCCCCCTTTTCCACCTCCCTCCCCCTTCGGCCCTTCACGCATCCATAGGCAACGCATGTAGTGCAATCCAGGCCTCTATTGTCACACTCTCTTTCACCACCCGATCCCAAAGTCCCATGCCCGGCTCGCCTTTTGTCTGTTCGCAGCACTTTTACAGCATCTGATTTTCCATCTTCGCTCTTGCCTACGAGTGCCCTGATGCCGTCAATTTCAGGTGCCGGTGCACAGTCGGTTCTAGCGACCACTGAAGCTGCGTCGACGAAACAAAAGGTTCTGATAAAAGCACGGGAACTAATGGAGGAGCGGGGGGGCGGGGAGGAGGGGAGAGAGGGAGAAGAAGGGGAGCTTGAAGAGGATGGGCTTGAGGACTACGAGGACGAGGAAGAAGATGAAGAAGAAGATGATGATGAGGAAGGAGAAGGGGACGTGGTAACAAATTGGCAGGATACGCTGGACCGGATCCGCATAACGCTGTTCTCCAAATCATACGGCAAGGAGATTGGAACCGATGAAGGCAGACGGCGTGAATTTCTACACGAGTTCAAGGCCTTCTTTTCCGCAAAGCCGCCAAATGAAAAAGGGAACATCCTCCACTCGTTAGCTTGGAATCGTACCCAAAGGCCATGGCTCTTGAAACACTTGCTGGAATTTCACAAGGAACGGATGGAAGATATGAGTGAAGGAAAACGGCCACTCACCCTCGCCATCTCGAATAAGAACGAAGGGTTCGTCAGAACCGTCCTGCGGAGCAAACACGTTCGCCGAAGCCTAGTGAATCTCCTCGGTGCAAACCGGGAGGATACTACGAACGGCATCCACCTGGCGATCAAGACGGGCCTCAGCACCGAGCTTACCGTTGAACTCATCTCGAAAGTCACGGATCAAGTCTTGAGTCGACGAGATGAAGCTGGCCTCACCCCACTCCACCTCGCGGTCGAGTACGAAAGATGTACCGAAGCACAGCTTGACGTAGTAAAGGCCCTCCTCAAGCACGGAGATTCGGCCCTAGATGTGAGAACGAAGGTGGCAAATCTGAGCGTGTACCGACATCACTTCGACACTCGACCGAAAGAACGGGACACTGGGCCTGCAGGAGCCACGTCAAGCGGGGCACCAACGCAGCGGACGACAGCGAGATGGATGCGTCGTACAACATCCGACTTGCCACAGCCTACTCCGCAACAGTTGAGCGAGGGGCAAACGCGGGGCAGCGAGACGGGACTCGACAAGAAGAAGTTGAATCAGGCCAAAGACGGTTCAAGCAACCAGGGAGATGGAGAGTTGAACGATTGTGACTCGCACGCCCCAATGCCAGTTCCGGGTGCCGACCCTCGACTACCTCACAATCCTACGCTCGCGGGCGATGGAACAGGCACCATAACAATGCTTGCTAATGGCAAAGATATAGGTTCCAGACAGCAACTGGCGAACGTAGCCCGAAGAGTTGCACCACAATCTCCTAGGTCTTCACAGGGGCACACACCCAACCTCCCTCCTGTACACCCTGCTCGCTCCATGGCAAAACAAAGTCAAGGCCCCAAGGACGGAGCCATCGTGACAAAAGTCTCGGCCGACAGGATTTCGAATGAGCTAAAGTTGCGATATCTCCGGTCCACGTTCGAGGAGCGGACCGAGGGTAAAGAGAGAACGCAGGAAACGGCAACAGAATTTCTCTACGGCGGCAGCCGAAACAGTAAGTGGCTTGTTATCTTCGTCCAGGGGCGTGATAAATTGCAAACAAAGTGGTCAAACTGTGCTGACTACTGGAGGCCTAGCAGCTAGAGAGATTTATTTCAACCTGTTGCATAGAGACGAGGGCAAGACAGAACTCCACGAAGATGCTCTGAAAGAGAAGGGCTATAAACACCTCGACTTCGATACGGCACTCCGGTTTGTCGCCGTCGGATCCCTGGTGATTAGGCCGACGGATGCCCGAGCCGACCGGGATGATGATGACCACCGTGAGTGCGGTCGGAAAGACATGGTGAAACTCTTCAAATGGTTCGTTTTGCTCAATCTCAGACGACCCGACCCCTTAACGGTGTCATGCCCTTCCTCTTACAGACGTCAAGATTGTATCTCTATGTCCCCAGCACAGTGTACAACTAGCTGACCCTACGGCGCTCTCCAGGCTTCGTAAAGATAAGGGGGTGAAGAACATCATTTATCTCCGCGTCCAGGACGACGGCCATTGCCCTCACACCGACAGGGCTATCATCACGGCGCTCAAGGACTTTGAAATTGACATTCTAGACTGGACAAAGCCCGATCTCTGTCCCAAGACAATCCAGGAAGCCTGCCCCAAGGTGCGAAAGCTGTATTTGACGTGGAGCGGCCTTAATGGCATGCTACTGGCCTGGGGGGGACGAGACGGACTGGCGAACCTAGAGAACCTTACGGACGTCTACCTTCGACAGACCAAGGTGAGGCGCAAAGTTTCTTTCTCGCCCTCTCCTCCCCTCTCTCTAGCTCTCTTGTTCTTTTTTCGTGTTTTTCGTTTGGGGAGGGGGGGGGGGTTCTTTTCAGGCCTTGAACTGGCACGGCACCCACTAACTAAACATATAGTATCTTGAGCCCACGAGTTGGACGAACAAGAAACTCGCCGACTTTGTAACGCTGCTCCAAAGTTCCATCCCGGCAAGAGAAGATCCGGAGACTAAGGTAGCCGATCAGAAAGGAGGGCGCACGATAACGGTGCACCCTCCGGAACAACCGCAAATGGCTTCCGCCAGTTTTCAAGATCCCAGCAAAGACCCCAGCCAGCAGCAGCCGGTGGACGGGGCGAAGCAAGAGCGTAGCAAAGACAGGGACGGGCATGAATGGCTCAAGATCATGGACCTTTTCACTCAGGGCATCCGCGAGCTTCACCCTAACCAGACCAAATTCGACCACCTGCCGGACGCGCTGAAGCAAGAGGTGCGCATCTGCCTCATCGACGATGGAGTAGACTTTGACGACCGCGTTGGCGTCCGCATGGAGCCGGGACGGGCTTTCGGCACCGAGTCCAACAAAGGCCTCCCTGATATAACAGTGCCCTACTACAGCTCCGCCACCAGGCACGGCACCCTCATGGCCAGGATGATCCTGAGGGTGTGCCCGAATGCCAGGATTGTGCCCTATCGGCTGGACACTAGGCTGGGCGAAGACGGTCTGATGCACCCCACGGCAAAGAGTGCCGCCGACGTGAGTCTCGCGAGCCTACCTACCACCTAACTATGTGTGTGTCTATGCGGGAGGATAAACTAACCCACGTTGCCCAACACCAGGCCCTAGAACACGCGACCGAGAGCAAAAACTTCGACATCGTCTCCATGTCGTGGTGCATCAAGCGACAGTCGGACAACACCAAGGACGTCGACCGACTCCTCGTCGCCCTCAACAAAGTAGTCAAGGACAAGCTGGTCTTCTGCTCGGGCCCCGACGTCGGCAGCATCAGCGGCGACGAGCTGCACTCGTACTACCCGGTCGGCCACGGCGACAGCGCGCCCTTCATGTTCCGCATCGGCGCCGCCAAGGCCGACGGCCAGCCGTGGCCCAAGGTGGGAGGCCTGAACGTCGTCGACTACACCCTCCCCGGCCATAAAGTGCGCGGGATATTCGACGGCGACCTGGACGCGCGGATGGCGTCGCTCGAGACGGGCTCGTCTATCGCCACGGCGCTGGCGGCGGGCCTCGCGGCGCTCATGATCCACATCGTGCGCATGGCGGCCATCCGCATGCATGAGCTGGGCCGGCAGGAGTGGGACGACGGGAACCTCGTCAATGTTGCCGCGCTCCGGGCCATCAAGTCGCGGGATAAGATGCGCGAGCTGTTCCAGGACATGACCCGGCACTCGATTGGGACCTATGTGCATGTGTGGCCGCGCTTTGGGGGGAAGGGTGAAGACCTTGAGAAGGTCGATGACGACGCTGGGGACCCTGTCGCGGCAAGGTGGAAGACCCTTACGCAGCTGGCTCGCGATATCATCTCTTCGAGGGATATGGTTCCGGATCCTGCTGGCCGGTTTTGAACGGGGACGTGCCATACTATCGGGATGTACTGTGTAATAGTTGGTTCGCATCCCTGCAGAGGACTGGATCTCGTCCAGCCAAACGGCGATGAGGGGTACCATCGCATTTATCATAGACTACGTACCTAATTAACAGCCGATTCTCACTCCCATCGACGGTTTCCTAGGCTTGAAAGTATTCACATCGTCTCATGAGGTGAAATTATTCCTTCGACACGTAAAACTCTGTCCTGCCCCCGGGATTCCCGTTGTCTGCCAAGTATTCGAATTTGTTCCTATCCACGGGAGTTCTGCCATGCTCATCGTCTGCCGTGGTGGCAACGGCGGCGCGGGATATAATACGAGCTCTACGACGGCCAATTGTCGGAACTCGATCATCAAGCCATGTTCCTCGAGCCATGCAGGCCACGCTCATGAAAGCTCACGGGGCAGCTCCTCGACCCGGGTCGGAGGGCCGACGACTTCCACATCATGTACTGCTTCGATTCCCTGCGCCGGGCGATGCTCTACCACGGCGACGCCACGCTCGAGGGGAGCTCGACGGTCTACAGGGAGGCTGGGGTGCGGTCCACCAGTGCAGGGGCGTGGTCCCGTGAAAGTCATCAAACGATGGGTGGATGGAAGGTCGGCCATACTATTTGGTATGTACTTGCTAACTTCGCTGACTCACAAGCTGAAAATCATCTGCATCATCATATCTGCCTACTACCTAGGCGTGCCCAACCTGAGAAGCTTGCTGTGCTTGTGGCTGCATAGCTCCAGGGGCGGCATTCTGCATGGTGGGAAAGCCTCCCTGCTGCTGTCCGAAGCCCTGTTGCTGTCCCCAGCCCGGCTGTCCGGGGCCCGGTTGTTGTCCGAATCCGTTCTGCTGTGCACTTTGAAAACCTTGAGGTGCCCCAAACCCACCTTGCTGCCCGAGCACCTGCTGCCCGAGCGCCTGCTGCCCAAACCCTTGCGGCTGTGCGAAGTTGTTCGGCATCGCATGGTGGTTCGAGAAACCCTGTTGCGCGAATCCAGTCTGGAAGTGGCTATTCATGGCCGACAGCCCGCCGCTGCCCTGCGCCGCGCTCGTCAGCTTCTGCCCAAACGTCAGGGCGCTCCGCTGGCCGGGCGCCTCGGGATGCACCACGGGTTTCATGTGGATCGTCTCGTCGGTCTGGTAGCGGTCGAAGCGGTAGCCATGGCGCTCGGCCTTGTCAGCGTCGGTCTGCGTCTTGATGCTCCAGATGTAATGATTGAACTCATTGGACACCTTGGAGACGCGCTCAAAGTGCTCGCGGTCGATTCGGATGCGCCCACCCGCACCTCCGCTATCGGCTTGGGCTTTGTAGCCGGCCAGCGCCACGACGCTCTGGAAGGCGTTGCGGATCTGCCGGCCGTTCCACACAGGGCCGATCTTGGAGTTGTGAGCGCTCTGGCGCTCGAAGAAATTTTCGGCATAGGCCAGGATGTCTTCCACATCCACCTCGATCAGACTGCTCCCCTTGAGCTTCTGCAGGTGCGTGTGCCAAATCTTCTTGGTGTACTTCCACTCGAGCGACGGGTAGTAGAGCGGTAGGTGGATGCGCGACTTGAAGGCCTCGTCGAAGACGCCGACACGGTTGGTGGTTAGGAAGAGGATACCCTCGTAGTACTCGAGTACTCGCAGGAAGACTGAGACGGACGGTCAGCGAAGTTGGGTGGAAGGGGGGGGGGGGGGGGGACGCATTTAGATGCAGGGAAGTGCTCACCAGAGACCATGGCGTTCCGCGCTATGTCATTCTCGTTGCGCTGGGCCAGGAAGATGTCGGCTTCGTCGAGGAGCAAGACGCAGTTCCAGAGCTGGGCGAGCTGGAAGGCTTCTTCTAGCTTCTTCTCCACCTCCCTGGGCGTGGCACCCAGGTCACCTGTGCTCGTTAGCCGGGTCGTCCAAGGCTGCCGAGATGTAAAGGTCGCTCACCGCAAGTAATAGGAAGCAATGGACGATTGTTCGCCTCCGCCGCGCACTCTACAACAGACGTTAGTGGCCTTTCGGGCGGCGGGCGGCATAGGTAACCAGGTGGGACTTGCCCGCTGTAGACGTCTTTCCGACGCCGGGCACGCCGTGCAGAAGAATGGTGACGCCCTTGCCTGAAGATGGTTAGCCACAATGGGAACCGACAGGAGGAGTAGTAGTGACAGAAAGTGAATCACCCTTGGCCCGAACGAGGTCGAAGTGTAGGTTGCGCGGGCCTTGTTTTGAAGAATGCGACTCTATCAGCGACTGAACCAAGCGCTTATGGCCGTCCGGCAGCTGGAGGTCATTCCACGGCTCCGGTCGACACGTCTTTTCCTTCAGCATCTCATCCCCATCATTGTCTCTGCCAAGCTGGAGGCAAGCTTCGCACGTTACTGTGATCAGCGGTGGCCTTGACACACTTGACTCGGGAGGAAGGGAGCCTGAACATACCCCATTTCCTGGTTCGAAAGACAAAGGCGAACACCCTCTCGGGCAGAAGCAGCAAATCCTCTTCCTCAGACGGGTTGGTGCGCTCCTTGTCCCACCGCTGGCACTTCTCCCACTCCTCATAGACGACCTGCTCCGACAGCTTGGCATCCCAGACCGTGTCGATGTCGATGCCCGTGTAGTCGCGCCGGGCGGCACTGGCCTTGAAGAGCTCGAGCTCGTTGACCCCCGGCCGCCAGCCAGGCATCTCCTGCAGCGCGCGCTCAAAGTCGACCATGACCTCACTCTCGATCCATTCTGCATAGCGCGCCGCGTTCTCGGGCACGTCGGCGTCCTTCTCATGCAGCTTGGCCCCGTTGGGGCGCAGGATCTGGTTGCGCCCGGCGTATTGCTTGTGCCGTGGCCGGGTGCAGCTGGTAAACTCGCGGCCGCGCGCCACGAGAGCCTGTCGGTCGACCAGGCCCGCCTTTTCGGCGGCCCTGATGGGCATCACGGGCAGCGACGCGATCGGCTGGCAGTCCTCGAAATAGTCGATCTGTACGCGGCAGTACGTGTGCACGTAGCGCGTGCCATCGTAGTCAAGGTGGAAACAGTCAATCACGAAGGGCTGGAACCCGCCTTGGGTGCGGTCACCACCCGGTCGTTCTGAGCCCTCGGCCCCAGTAGTCGACACGTGGGATCCGCCGGTGCGCTGGATCACCTTCCAGATCTTCTGCGGGACCTTCTTGTCGCGCATGTAGATGAGCGACCGGGCGGGAAAGACAAACCACAGATCCGAGAAGTAGACGTGGTCGACCTCGCCGATCGTGAGGCTCGGCGCGATGTAGCCGTCCATGAACGTGGTCAGGCAGCGCAGGTCCTTGATCAGCGCCGTGAGATGGACGGGTTCAAGACCCTTCGGATCGACTACCACGGGAGGCAGGTCGTCCTCGGGAGCGTTAGCTTTCCATGCGGCCTCGTGCATCTCTTCGGTGTGCCCAGGGAAGAGCCTCTGTCGGAATTGTTCCAGCGTGGCAAGTTCCTGTCGGATGTAGTCGCCTTTCTTCACCAGGAATTTGAAAGGCCTGGGAATGATGAACGGGGTCCTTCGGTACGAGCTCCAGTTGAGGGTCGTATCGTGGATGTTGTAGTCAAGGAATATGGCCAGGCGCTGGGAGCATATACGAATGCGGTCAGGAAGCTCTTCCAACGGTTGAGAGTCCCTCGGCAAGCCCACGCGCCGAAAAGGCCGCTTCTTCTCGGCGGCGGATTCCGGAACTGAGTGCTTCACGTTGTCTGGGTCAGACCCGGGCTCCTTTCGACGGTCGGAAAGGACTATCTGTTCTCTGTCGCGCCTGAAGGGGTTCAGGTCCTCGGAAGTCGGCTGCTTGCTGGGAATCTGGATGGCAACATGTTCCCTTGCTGGCGACTCCAAGCTGCTGGCCTCCTTCCACGGCACAAACGTGGGTTCAGAAGTGCAACTAAATGTCGCAACAGAGACATCCTCAATCTCCTTGGTTGGCAGAGTGCTTCGTAGACGTTCTAGTCTGCCAAGTTGGAGGACCAGATCGTTGCTGATTTCTTCCACGCCATCCTTGATGTCTTCATTTGCAGCGTCGAGTACCTCTTTCAACTTTCGTCCTGCTGAGAAGGCGGCTTCCAAGATGTCGGCAGCCACCTCGTGATCTTTGTCCATTATGCTAGACGCCGATTCTGACATGGAGGAAGGAGTTGTCTGGAAAGGCTATCTATCTGTCGTGGATTTGGAGAGTGCTGGTTGTCAATATCTGAGTCCGGAGTTCAGCAACTTATGCCAATGTCGATTGATATCAGCCACTGGGAGGACAACACCGAGAGAGACTGGCGGTCGAGGTTCACGTAGTTATAATCAGCTCAGATCTGCGCAAGCTCCTACAGGTACAGGACGTCCCGGACCCAATCGTCTGCGGAGGCGCCCGGCAGGGGAATCATTCCGTGCGGCACTCAGGTTCCAAGACCGCGCCAGTGGTGTGCCGACTCAGCCTCGCCATGTTGTGCAACCCATACCTCATGCCTGGTCTGCATCATTTCCTTTTACGAGTATTGAAATCCGGATTCCAGCGACGTGGCCCCTTTTCATTGGTTTGGGCGTGCGGCAACGCCTCCGAAGTCCCTTGATTCATTGCTGAGAAGTTGGGTTGGCATTGCCGAAGGGGTGACACCAACTTCGGTCCCTCCCTCTGTGGGCATTTCTTTCTATTGGAACCCGGGTTTGCCGAGCCTCGTCTGGGACCGGGGTGAAGAGCATACCTTATCTATCCCTGCTTTCTTTTGTGGTAACTTCGGTCATGGAGGCTTGGAGCTGAATGATCTTGGTCCCGTTCGTGGAGCCTTTGATAAAGGGTTTGTTCCCAATATTTGGCCATCGGAGATGACGGGAAAACCAGGTACTCTGAGCACAGTTACCAAGCCCCTCTTCAGCCAAAGATGGATGGTCTAAGTCTGGTATCGCAGTACCTCTCGGGCAACGAAGCTGGTAAGGTGATCAGCGCTTTAGCCAACCCGGACCCAAGCCTCATAGAGAGGGCTCGCGCGCTATATGTCACTCACAGAGGCCGGCTGCCGAGTCCCCCGGTGCCAGAGCCGCTCCAGCCCTCAGAAACGTGAGACTTGCTCCCCTTGTAGTGCCTGTGATCCGACAGCTGACAATTGAACAAGGCTTCGCGTCTTTTTCGTCGAATTCTCCACTGACATGCGGAGCTTCTTACAAAAGGCCGACGACAAAGAAGCTACCGAAGCTTTCAACTCGACTTCCTGGGATGAGCTGCAAGACGACGTCACACAGGCACTGAAGGCCCACGATGCGCACGAGAAGAGACGCCGCAACTGGCGCAACCCCCTTGAAGTCGCCGACAAGGTGGGTGGCGTTGTTGCCCGCCGCATCGAGTTCCTGCTCGAGCTGATTCCTCATGGGGAATACACCCACAGCCTCGTCGGCGGGCTAAGACTCCTGTGCAATGTGAGAAGACACGCTCCTTTCCATGCAGCAGGGACCTGGTTGACACGGCATGCCAGACTGCGAAGCGCAAGAAAGACGTGCGCGTCAAGATACTGGATGCCCTGGATAGTTTGTCGGAAACCATCTCGCACACCAAGGCCGAGATCAGGATGTACAGCCGGAACCAGGACTTGAGAGACAAATCAGAGGGTCTCTACATGGCTATACTTGACTTTGCCCGGCTTGCTGCGGCCTACCTCGATAAGTCGAGCGCCTGTGCGTCACTTCACGCTGGCATCTCTGTATGTAAATTCCTTTGCCTGAGCTGACAGCCACAGTGCAATCTTTCAAGGCCTTCCTCCAACAGGACCGGTACGGATCGAACCTCGACGGTGGCGCCGAGAAGATAAAGGAAGCATCGGTATCCTTCGAAAGATCTGTGTCGGTCTGTTTCCAGCTCCGTGTCCAGAAAATCGACAAGAACACGGAGAGCCTGTCCAAGGATTTGGAAAGCTTGAAACACCCGATCGTTGCCATCTTCGCTCTCCTCGGAGGCGTCGTCAGAGACTGGCCATGTAAGTTGGCCACCGTTGGAGGACCTATCCGCCTAGGTCATTGACAACTACCCCAGCACAGCTAGAACAACTGAAGGCCGAGATGCGAAACGCAAACGCCTTGCACACGCTTCAGCTCATGCAGCTCTCCTATAACGCTCAGCCCATGATTCCCGCCCAGCAGCTCCACCAACTTCTGTGCACGAGTTGGAAGGCCGGGGGCGCGTCGACGGTGGAGGACCTGCTCCCGACCATCCAGGCAGATCTGCAGACCGCCAAGGGTTTCGTTCCGTCGCCTCTCCACGAGAGCCAGATCGGGCTGCTGATGACCGACGGCAGCTTCGCCGACTGGCTCAAGTCTCTCTCATCCCAATTCCTCGTCATCCACGACGCCAAGGCGCTGGAGGGCGATGGCTCGCTATCCATCTCCAGCTATCTCTGCGCGCTGGTGTCCGAGATTCTGTCCGTGCCGGGGATGTTCACGCTCACCTTCTTCTGCGGCCTGCACTCGGCACACGGGAGCGTCTTGGAAGGCGGCAGCGGTCTCATGCGCAGCCTGACGCTGCAGCTACTGCGGCCGTTCGAGAATACCAGCTTCCCCGCCCAGTGCGACCCCAATCAAGTCATCCAGGGGCTCATGGTCAACGACCTCGAGACGATCTGCGGCGTCTTCACCATGCTCCTGCAGAGCATCCCGGCCGGCGCCGTCTACGTTATGGTGGACGGGGCGTTTTGGTACGGAACCGACGCGCGACAGGACGACATGAGCACCGTCATGCTGTTCCTGGATAGGCTGGTGGGAGAGGTGCAAGCGGCCTCTCGAGGCCTCGTGCTCAAGGTGCTGGTCACGAATCCCACAGCCCGGCAGCGAAGCAGCTGGGTAGTCGGCCAGGCGGTGGACATTGATCTCGAGCACCATTTCGTGGCGGGTGGACATGGCGGCGATGTGGCGCGGCTGTTGACCGCCTTGTAGATCCCATTCCACAACCACCTGACCCGGACAGGGACAACCCTTGAAGAAGAACTCCTGATGCCTCCGTAAGCTTCATTTCTCCCCTAATCTCTTGGTTCCGCTGCCGTTTGCTGTAAAACTGGATACGAAGTCCAACGGGATGGCGTGCCGGTCAAATGGTCTCCTCAGCGAAAAAGGTTTACCCGCAATGTATGGAAGTTCCTCTTCGAAACAAAAGTTGTGGGGGAACCATTGACGCTCCCTGGAGAGATAAATGCCCCTATAAGATGAAAACTGGGAACAGTATCTTGCCCTCTGCAGCACCGCATTCGATAATAGAGACCGAGTACCTCGGATGCCGTAACAACGGCATGGCGAGTCAGGGAGCTACCAAGTAGTCTGCTCGTCCATATAGGCGTCGTTCGCTGGCTTAATGATTTTGCAGTCCAATTGCTCGCGTAGGTGCCGAAAGCAGGCCTCGGAATTGGCTCGAGTAAATTAGATCAGCGAGTTCGCACCGAGGCCCGCCCTCCCCACCTTGAGCATCATGATCGCTTGCTCAATCCCTTGGCGTGGTCCTCTGGTGCTAACAATCCATCTCCATCCTCATCGCGAATACAGATCTGTACACGAGAGGTGTTCCGGAAGGCTCGATGGGTACGAACGAAATAGAACGGGCGACGCCTTCCGGCCCCCGTCGCCGGGACCGTTTGTGGTCGTTACGGAGGCGGCCATGGTCCGGCAACGCGAACGGCCGGGCGTGCTGAGTCACCAATCGATGGGGAGCGTCAAACTGGAGGCTTCGGAGTTAACGACAGACTAGTGGCAAACGATTTTTCTGGAACGACTGCTTCGCCCTGCAGACCGACTGCCCCAATTCGTGGCTATGACATGCGTGCCGGCATGGTTTTCTTTTTCTGTGTATGTTGTCGATGGGTCGGGTACCAAGTAATAAGCTTCCAGTTCGTTTCGAACCGGCACATGTCGTTCAGGTTTCAAGTTTGGAAGCTGTCCAGATGTGGAAAGGTCCCGAACACAACCCATGGCGGGACCCACAGCCGGGATCGATTCCCATGGCCATCACGTGAGCTTCCTCGGGCTTGTACGCCGATGATATGCGCCCCCCGTCACGATGTTGGCTCTGGCCACCCGTTCGCACCTCCTCGGCTACCGACAGCCGCCAGCCGCCATCAACCCCTCCTCTCCTCATTCATGGACTGATCAACACACAAAATGGCGAGGTATGCGCTGCTTTCGCGTCGACTGCTGGCCAGCCGGCCGTGTATGCGCAATGCCCGAACATTTGCGACAGCATCCGATCAGCCACAGCAGCGCGCCTCGTCCGATTACCGCGTGAAACTCGTCGAGGTCGGCCCCCGCGATGGCCTCCAAAACGAGAAGCGCGCCATCCCACTGGCAACCAAGCTCGAATTGATTGAGCGTCTGGCCAAGACGGGATTGACCACCATTGAGGCCGGTTCATTTGTCTCGCCCAAATGGGTGCCCCAGGTTTGACTCTCCTTTCCACCCCGCCTTCCATCCCAATTAACGCCGACCGAACTAACCACTCCGTCTCTCTCCAGATGGACAACTCCTCCGAAATCCTCCAACACCTCCTTCAGCACCCGCCCGCCGCGCCCAACCCACTCACCTTCTCCTTCCTCGCCCCGAACCTCAAAGGCCTCAACAACGCCTTCACCATCCTCTCCCAGCACCCCACCGCCTTCACCTCCGCGGGCGCGACCCCCACCAAGGAAAAACCCGCCCTGGAGATCGCCGTCTTCGCGTCCGCGACCGAGTCCTTCTCGCAGCGCAACCTCAACTGCGACATCGCCACCTCGCTGACCCGCTTCCGCGAGGTGATCCAGGCGGCCAAGGACGCGCAGCCGCACGCGCTGCGCGTGCGCGCCTACGTCTCCGTCGTGCTCGGCTGCCCCTTCGAGGGCTACGACGTCGACCCCCACCGCGTCGCCCACGTCGCGACCGAGCTGCTGGAGATGGGCGCCGATGAGATTGCGTTGGGGGATACCACGGGTATGGGCACGGCGCCGAGAACGAAGGAGTTGTTGAATTGTTTGGCCAAGGCCGGGGTCCGGAATGAGGATGTCGCCATGCATTTTCATGATACCTACGGCCAGGCGCTGGTCAATACGGCGGTGGCGCTGGAGCATGGGATTAGGACGTTTGATTGCAGTGTTGGGGGGCTGGGTGGGTGTCCGTACTCGCCGGGCGCGACGGGGAATGTGGCGACGGAGGATGTGGTGTATTTTATGGAGACGCTGGGGATGGATACGGGCGTCAATCTGGACGGGGTCGTGGATGTGGGAGATTGGATCACGCGCGAGATTGGGAAGGAGAATGCGAGTACTGTCGGGAAGGCCGTTCTTGGGGCCCGGAAGAGGGCCGAAGGGGATAAGGAGAAAGCGTAGGGCGTGTGGGGGTTGATACTCATTCGTTTAAACCTACCGTCTAGCCGTATAGGTGCTTGTGTGGCAAACTGAGCATATCCGTTTTGAGTCCCTCCCAGGTCAGTGAGCCTTGTTGTGATGAAGGGCCGTTCCGAGGTATTAAGCGGGTCGTAGGGCGAGATGTCAACGTGGGAGAAGGAAGCCCTTGTGTTTTCTTATCATGCTCAAAAAGGCAATGGCATTTTGGAGAGATGATATTTTACGTCGAGAACACTTGAACGTCGGATGAAAAGTCAGATTATCTCATGGATACGGGGACCAAAGCGCAATGGGCGAGCAAATTAATGTTTATTGATCGTCTTTCGCGAACGTATTGGCTACGATAAATGGAAAGCAAGTGGTAGCCTCCACATAGACCTTGACGACAGTCAGTAATCACCCACACGCCTCGACAAATGCTACTCACCTTGACCGCATCCGCGCCAACTTTGATCTTCCCCCACGAGACGGCCTCATCCGGCCGGGCCCCGGCATCGCTCCCGTCAAACTCCTGGGCCGTGTTGATGTACACGGCCGACTCGGCCCCGTTCCGCATCAGGCACGCATTTGCAATGTGGTGCTTGACCACCCCGCCGCCCAGGATGATCATGCCCGCGCGCTTTGCCCTGACGGCGATCGTGTTGATCTTTCGGATGTCCTCCACGATGTCAACCCGGAGCTGCTGCGGTGACGTCTTGAACGTGTGGAAGTACAGCATGTCCCCGAGGCTGCCGTCGGTCAGGGCGGGGCAAAACACGGGGATGTCGTTCTTGTATGCCCAGTAGTAGACGGACCGCTCGTCGTTGATCTCCTTGCCCAGGCGGTGGATGATCTTAGATGGTGTCCAGTGGAGTTCGTCCTCGGTCCCCCGGCTAGCCTCCTGCTCCTCCAGCATCTTGTCGAGGATGGGGACGACCCAGTCCTCAAAGGCGCAGTAGTTGGAGTTGGGGACGACCAAATTGCCAATCCTGTTGAGACCCTTGGAGCGCAGCTCCGCACCACGTTCACTGAAGGACGACATGTACGTGTCGCCCAGGCACTTGATGAAGTCCTCCTCAATACCGCCTGCCGTGGTCACGATGGCAGAGACATGCTTGTGCTGCACCAGGTACCGGAACACGCCCCGGAGACCAGACGAGATCATGTTGGAGGTGTAGCCTAGGAAGACGGTCGTCTTAGCCCCTGACTCGGGATCTTTCCATGCTCGCTAAACTCGGTTAGTGTGAACTGCACCGCGCCGCGGTGCTCGGCCCCGTACTGCAAACAAGCTCAACCGGTTCGTACCATTTCGTTGATGATGCGGACGGCCTCGCACATGGACGACGCCTGGAAACCCATGTGCTTCATGCCCTGGAAGAGGTCGTCGACGGTGATGGGCCGGCCTTTGAACTTGTTGAAGTCGAGTTCTTCCACTTTTTGCGCGTTCTCTGGCATCTCGACAGACTTTACCAGCACCGCATCCGTGGCAGCGCTGGGTGGTGCGTGAGAGTCCATCTCGGGGGCGCTCGGTAGGAGTGGTAAGAAGGGAGAAGGGGGGAAAGGTAGTTGTCGCTGCCAGTCAGCACCTAACACACTTGTCTAGTGGTTAGATGTAAACAAAAAATGGTGGTCAATAATGCCCTTTCCTTGCTGGTTCTGGAACTCTCTGGTGTTGTAGGGGCGACCCAGTCTAGAACATCCGGATGAACGGCAAGCCTCGTTTTGTTCGTTACGAATACTTCGTACAGATACCCCGCTTCACTTGTTCGATGACTGGTTCGGAACACTCTTCCTGCACAATTTTCAGGTTGTGGGATGTCGACACCGTCCAATGGTTGTTTCCTTTTTCGTTCCGAAGTTGTAACTCGGCCTGCCAGAAGGCGTCTAGGTAGTTTCCAGTTTATTCGCCGTTCAAAGACCTCGAAATAAAAGCTCGAAGCCAATGCCTATCCGAGGTTGAAGTCTGTTGCACTAACATTTAAATCTCTTCCTCTTTCAGCCGAGTCCACACCAATCGGACGTTTGCAACAGATGTGGAGGACTCAGCAAATCGGGTCTAGCGTGCGGCACGAAACAGCGGGTTTCTCCACAAATTTGGATCTGTGTGGCAAACGCCGCGGTGGGTCATGCACCTTCTCAGGGCTGTTTCCGACATGGAAATCGGTACGTAGGTACCTCCTTCCCTGCACGACAGGGCAACACACGAATTGGATGGAGCACTGGCCGCTTGGTGTGACAGCCGCCCTGTGTGGCCAGGAAGGCAGCGATTCGAGACCCACTCAAGGTCATCCAATCTTCAGCCAGGTTCCAGTTCGAGATGCCCCTTCTCCTCCAAAACATCAACCCGTCATCCAAATCGCGTATTTGATTCATCTGCATCTCAACACGGCCCAAACTGGTCGCCGACGTCGCTTTACCAGGGTCCCATACTAGGGGCACGACCCTTCTACATTCGAGGTAGATTTTGGGTGTTTTTAAGCCGTACTGTGCAGTTGCCACTGCAGTGTGCGCGCGGCAGCCCGACGTCCGCGCACCTCGGCCGGCGCCTTGCTGCTGACACCCGCAATTCGCCGTCATTTTGACATCCGCAACAACCTTCAATAGCAACCCTTTGCCGGTGGATTCCGAACAAGAGTCATGCGGTCGAATTGACGCGTCATAGCCGATACTTAACATACCTGAGGCTTCCTTGCACACACAATGTAGGTTGCCTCCCCTTAGCCTTCGAAAAGTTTTGCCCCTCCCTCCAACCACAAGACAAAAAGCTGGAGTTGTTTCGGCAAAGGTTTGGATTTTGCGCATGTGATCCGCTCAATCGTGCACAGTAGAGCAAACTCCACGGGACCAGCTTCCTGCGATGCTGCTAGATGACCCGTTTTCCCCCCCCAGTGGTCGAAGCTAACTGATCCGGTGATAGGTCGAGGTACCCGGGCGGCCGTTTTGACGGCGACCGTCGGTCGCGTTCACCTCGTGACCGGTCGCCATATGGGGACAGAGTGGACCGTGGGCCACAGTATCCCGATGCCGACCGCCGGCGCCCACCTCCGGATTCCCGGGGCAACCCACCGGGCTTCCCTCCTAGCCGGGACAGTTTTCGCGATTCCCTATCGGGAATCCAACCCCCTCGTGGGCCTAAAGCGCTCCTTGATCCTCCCAGCGGTCCCCGCGGCGGCGGATTTGCTGGGGACTTTCGTGGGAGGGGACGAGGCGGAGGTCGTGGCCGGCAGTGGCGCGATGACAGCCGCGATGGAGGGCGTGACCGTGAAGACTACCGAGATCGACCGCATTTTAGGGACGAGCGAAGCCGCGAACGAGAACGAGTACACGATCGGGAGCGAGAGCGGGATTGGCCGCGCGACCAACGTGACCGAGTCGACTTTCCTCGGGCGCGTAGGCCTTCCCCTCCTCCCCTACGAGCACGATCCCCGCTCCCCAGCAGAGATTTCAGGGACGTGAGGGACCCGCCCTTGGGGGTAGACGCGGAGCGCGCGCGACGGGGTTCAAGGGATGGGCCGCTTTCGGCTGGCTCCTCCAACTCGGACCCCATGTTTGCCCCGTCTCCCTTCCGTGGCAGCTTCCGCGGCGCGGGGAGAGGGGTTGGCCGAGGCCGGGGGGATTGGGACCAGAGAGGCGGTAGAGACAGGGGCAACTTTTACGATGACCGAGACCGATACCCACGAAGTCGGTCGCAGGAAAGCCGATGGGGACGGGAACCGGATGATCGGGATCGCAGGGACAGCCGCTACCCGGACATGGCCAGGGACCTTCGCGATGACCGCGAAATAAGAGAGAGGGAAAACAGGGAGCGCGAGCTCATCCGCCCGAAGCCGGACCGGGTTTCACACGAACCACCATCTGCAAAGGATGTCTCACCCCCGCCCCTCGCCCCCTCCGCGCCCGCATTTGGTTCCGTCCCGAGTCGCCAGTCTACATCGACTGATATCCAGTCGCTAACGGGGAAGCCCCCGCCGACGGGCCCGAGAGCGCTGACCGAGGAAAGGCCGGTTTCCGCCGGCCATGGGGTGGGGAATGAAAGGCCACCACCCACCGGCCCGTCCAAGCCGGCGTTATCGGACGGCGGCCCTCCCATACCTCTGGGCCCCCGCGCGCAACAAAAACAGCAGCGCTCTAGTAAGCAGTGGATTAATCCGTCACTGACTGCGAAGAAGGCACAGGTAGAGTCTCCGAAGACCGCCAGATCACAAAATTTCCCCTCGCAGCCCGCTAGGCCTAGCAGCTACTCGGCCCACACAGACTATCGGGACTTTGACAAACGCCCACGGAGCCCTGGGGCTCGGTCAGATTCCCATGCTCTAGCTGCTGAGCGATATGGCCCGCATGTCGCAACCGGGGCGAACGAGATCATGATCAAATCGGAGCGAGGTTCGCAATCTGCCAGGACGTCGGTCGATCGCGAAACTAGAACAGCGCCCAACAGTGCCGACTTGAAAATGGGAGGGATGGATACGGAACAGCCACCCCGTGAGCAGGAGGCCCGAGCGAGCGAGCAAACGACAACCCCCATTGTACCGAAACCTGGCGACATTCAGGCCCACGAGCCGAAGGAGCAAGCCCCGTCCTCCGAATCCGCGAAGAAGCCCACTATCCTCGCCGCCCCGTCCTGTCGAGTCCAGTTGCCACCGAGGGAAACATCGCCCCTTGCGTCCGACGAATCTTCCGAGTCGGATGACGACGAAGATATGGATGTCTACTTTGAGGGGGAAATATCCAAAACAGAGGCGGAACTCAAGAAGCTCAAGGACGCCGTGGACAAGGTTCCGGTCGACATCGTTAAGCGATATGCGACCGCAGTCCACGAAGCCATGCTCGTTGTGCTTAACGAGCGCATAGGGTTGGCAGACGTGGTTGGGCCCATCCCCGACAGCTTCACGTTTCCTCGACCGAAGCCTGGGACAGAGGTGGCTGACAAGGAGATGCCCGATACCGAGCCGCAAGAGCAGGGAGATCAAAGAAATGTAGTCGCACCGCGCGAGCCTTCGGCTATCCCGACCGTGGAAGCTGACGACAGCGCGGTTCACCCGCCGGAGCCTCAGCCAAAGGTCGAGGAAACGGATACAGGAGGCTTGGGGCTCCCTCCAGCACCAGCTCTTTCGGAGATGAAACCGTTGAGTGAAGATGTCGACATGCAGCATGTTGCAGCGCCGCAACCCATCACAGCTCCGGTCTTGATAAACGCCCCGCCGGCCGCCGCGGACGGTCCGGCATTCTTCCCCCATCCGTTTGGTCGGCCGGAGACTGAGCGGAGCAGTGTATCACTAGATGAGGGGAGCGAGGATAGGACCGAGGACGATGCGAGCATCTATGGGAGTATCGAAGTCGTCCGGGAGTTTTCTGCCACGCCACCTACCGAAGATCTCCCGATCTACAACATCAAGCCGTGGTTTCAGAGCCGGCGCGTCCGAAAATTGGGCGATGAACCCACTGAGTTTGGCGAGTTCTTGTATCAACACCTCAAAGGACAGACCGTGACTGCGCATCTCGCGCAGAGCGAGGAACGAAACTCGTATGCGATGAAATACGATTCGTATTTACGATTCACGCTGTCGGACGACCCGGCCGCTGTCAAGAGCCGCGACTACTTTAGTAGCTCTGGAGTGCAGCCGGGGACCACCGGTAAAGCGGCAAGCTCAGACTCCAAACCTGAAGGGGGTAGAAGAGGAGCAGGCCGTTTCTCAACCGAGCTGGACCTCGAGGCCGCGATCAAGGAGTCTATTCGTGAGCACCAGGAAAGGAAGGAGAGGGAGGAGAGGGCGCAGAAGGAGAAATACCGCACCGAGAAGGAGGCCGTCATCCCCGAAATGTTCTGGACGGACGAGGAAAAAGAGAGGGCGTCGTTCTACGACACAGCAGGACTACAGCCCCTGGAGAAGCTCGTTGCTACCTGGCAGGTCGTGCCTGGCCACGTCAACTTCACCCAGGAAGAGGCGGACAGGTTCGAAAAGGCGTACCTTGAAACCCCCAAGCAATGGGGCAGGATCTCCAAGGAAGTGGGGAATCGCGATCCCGGCACCTGCATTCTGTATTACTATGCCAAGAAGCGCGACCTGAACCTGAAGGACAAGCTTAAGAAGCAACCTAGACGGCGCAAGAAGGGCCGAGGGAAACAACGCTCCAGCGCGCTGGTGTCCGAGCTCGGCAACACGGAAAACGAGACGGAGGACGCGGCGGGCCAGGAGACGGGTGAAAATGGCGAACGCCGGCGTCCGCCTCGTCGTGCTGCTGCGCCAGTCTGGGGCAACGACGCGACCCCGAATGCAGACTCCGACGGCGCTACTCCGGCGCCTACCCCCGGGCGCCGTAGGGCCGGCACCACGGCTGACGGTAAGAACGACGGCAGTGCGGAGAAGGCGGAGGGCAAGAGGGGCGGCGGGCGCAAGCCACGCCAACCAAAGGTGGACAAGGAACCGAAGGGACCGAAACAACTGGCACAAGCCCCCGGAGGTGCACCTCTCGCAGTCCCTGGCAAGACGGGCAGGTCGCGGGCCAACTCCAAGGCACAGGGCCCCGAGTGGATGTCGCCGCAAACCCCCGTTGATCTAGCGGCCCGGATACCCCTCCCGTTCGATGTACCCCACACAGGAATGCAGCCGCCTCTGGTCCCGGTCCAGCAGGGACCATTGGCGAGCCCCGATCGAGCAGTGCCTCCGATACCGTCTACCATCTCTGAAGTCATGGCCCCGCCGTCCCTCCGTCCCGAACCGCCCCCGCCGCCCGCTTCCGTCCCCACTTTTGAGATCTCTCAGCCAGCCGGGCCAGAGCGCATCCGTACCCCCCAGCAAGCGTCCAGTTACTGGAGCGTATCGGAGACAACCGACTTTCCTGGCTTACTCCGCTCGTTCGGCACGGATTGGGTCAAAATCGCCAATCACATGCAGACCAAAACTGCAACCATGGTACGGGCCCCACCCCTAAAGTTGCAAACGCATCCCACTAACCGCCAAAATCAGGTCAAAAACTACTACGTCCGACAGACAAAAGAAGGAGGCAAGCCTGAGTGGGAGCAGCTGGCCATGGAGGCCGACGCCAAGGGCCAGAGAGGCGAAAAGCGGCCCGCGCCGCCGACGCCGACACAAGGACCACGGAAACGATACGATGTGTCGTCTACCGGACACCGGCCCCTGGCTGCCGCCGAGCCAGAGGACGCCATGCTAACAAAGGTTGAATCGCAACAAAACCAGCCGTTCTCGCGCTTCCAGGTCCCAATCGCGCAGGCCGCCCCGGTTTCGCATCCGCTTGTTCAGCCAACACCGGTTGCAATGACCACGCCCCTAACCACTACTGCAGCAGCACCGCAAGCGCCGACGAGTGGTCCGGCCGTCACCCAGACCATGTCGCCGCACATTCATCCTCTCCGGCCCCCGGGTCCCGCCTACCCGTACCCGGAGAGGGAAACGGAGGCTCCGGCACAGACCCAACAACCGGTCCGCATCTCTCAAAAGCCAGTTCCGTCGACGAGCGCCACCACTATGCCATCAAGTTCCGAACCGCCGCGCCCAGCCCAATGGGCAACAGATCCTGGCCAACCATTTTCATTGCTGTCAAAGGAGGCTCGCGGAGCACGCGACGCCCGGGAGCGGCAGAGGTTGGAACTCGTTCAGCGAGAGTCCCCTCGGCCGGTAGAGAGGGCGCCTCTGCGGATGAAACAAGAGCCAGAACCTGCGCTCCATCACCCCGAAGCATACCCGCAATTCCAACCCCCACCGCGCGGTATGTCTTCGCGGATGGAAACAACCCCCCTCGGGAGGCAGCCAGAGCCAGCTCGGACCGCCGCGCCCGTTCCGCAGTCTTATGCTCAGCCCAGTCATTCACAACCCATGCGCAGCATGCATAATGAACCTGTGCAAGCGCCCCAGATGCCTCCTGCGAACGAGAGACCTATGCAAAACATGCCGCGACAGCCGCCGGTTTCGATGCAGGAGCAGTACAGCGCGGCGCCCGTATCCGCGCCCACTGCTCCCCCACCCCCACCTCAGCAGCAACCTGCCCCAGCCCCGGCTCGCGCTCCTGAGCGCAAAGTTAACATCATGTCGTTGCTCAACGATGACGATCCCCCTCCGCCGAAGAGAGTCAGCGAAGTGTCCTCTGTTAAGCGCAGCTCGACGCCACAGCCGCTGGTCCGTCAACCAACCTCCGCGCCGCTACCACCACGCAGGGAAGTTGAGACGGGATACCCGTATGCCCGCGGCCCTGCCCAAGCGCCACAATCAGCAATCCCGCCTCTCAAGCCGTACCAAACGCAGTCGCCGCAGCCGCAGCACATGCGGGTGCCCAGTACCGGGATCACGAGCATGGACCCGGCTGCAGAGGCACAACGTGACTACTACGCGCGACATTCGTACCCAGCCCAGCAACACGCAGTGAGCGCGGCGAATTCACCACAGTCGCAACAAACGCAATACGGGCAACACGGGCAACACATTCAACAACATCCACAACAACATCCCCAGCAGGCCCAGGTGGGTTATCAAGGGCAGCAACCGTATCAGCCTTACCAGGTTAGTCAACCGCATGCTGCGTCCCCTACACCGCAGTACGCTCCACATCCGTCCATGTCGGGCAGGCGAGAGGCGCCGCCGTCTGGGCGTGAGCCGTGGCCGCCGCAGCAACAGCCAATGCATCAGCATCAGCATCAGCAACACATTCAGCAGCAGCAGCAGCAGCAGCAACAGCAGCACCATCCACACCACCAACAACACCCATCTCAGTCAGGCTGGCCGTCTCACCAAGCACCTCCGAAAACCTCGCAACCTGTGCCAGCGCCATCAGCTTGGGGTGCTCAAAATGGCGGCATCCAAACGAAACCATCTGTCAGCAGCCCACTCCCTCAGCAACAACACCATAACACCTGGCCAACCTCGGGCCCAAGCCAGCAACAGCCCCACCCTTTCAGCCTACGCGAGTCCCGCGGGCCCTCCGTCTACGAATCGCAAAGCCCCACGGTAGGTATGCCCACGCACCCACACCACCAGCACCACAACTCTCTCGGCGGCGGGCGTTACGGCCCCGGCCCGCCTCAAGACGTTGTCCGGCGGGGCGAGCAACAACCCCCCGCCCCACAACAAGCCGGTGGCAGCCAGCCGCCCTACGCACGATACACCAACACCCCTGGTCCGCAACAGCAGCAGCAGCAGCAGCAAGGGCGTGACCCAACGAGGACCTACACCCCCGTCACGGGCGGTTTCGATCCTCGCGGGCCCCCGCCCCAGGCCGCCCAGCAGCAGCAGGCCGCGTCCCAACAGCAAGCCCAGCACGCGAGCCAGGCCGCCGCGGCTCAACAGCACCACCAGCAACAACAACAATATGTTGCGCAGCAGCACCAGGAGGCGGCGATGCGCGAACAGCAGCAGCAGCAGCAGATGAGGGAGGCACAGATCAGGGAGATGCAACTGCGTGCCGGTGCGGTCGTTGGCCGCGATCCCGCTGACCAGGGCGGCCCTGTCGGTGCTGGTGGTGGCAGTGGTGGTGCTGCCGGGCTCTTGGCGAGACAGCTCCGTCCTGGACCGGAGGGCGGGCCGCCGCCGGGGCCGGGGCCGGGGCCGGGGCAGGGGGGGATGTATGACCGTGGGGGTGGGGAGGGGAGGCGGTTTTAGGTCATCTCCATCTCCAGCATATGGGCGTGGCGCGGGTTAACTGCAGCGATGCAGGCAGCAACAACGATCGACCAACAACATTTTGTGGCGCGACGGCAGCAGGACGTGGGTGGCGCTGGAGAGGGGAGGCGGTTTTAGTGGGTTGGTTCCGACTTGGTCTCCTTAGCTAGGTACTTGGCGGTTTGGTGCCGGTTTTATTATGGTGGGGTAGGGGGGTGGGGGGGTGTTGGGTGATTATGCATACGTGTTATATTGTACAATGATCCGGTGTCTGGGGTGGAGGTTGTGGGGGTGCGGATGGGTTGCGGCAGCATATCTCGGGGCAGGTGGAAAATAGGGGATTGGTGGCAAGGAAACTGGAAGCCGAGAGGTATGCGGTTGTGATCAAGACGGATGTTATGGGGTTGGCAGGTTCATCTTTTGGGCCTACACTGTTCCTGGCGTTTTGCTTTATCATCATGGCCCGAGTTCAATACATATAAATCCCATGCATCCTTTTTTGCGGCATCCCATGTTGGCTTCTCACCTCAAACCCAAAACGCCCATCTGCCTCAGCCCTTCCCGTTAATTATCACGCCTATCCAGGAGTGCTTCACCAGCTCATCCGTTGTAGGCCGGTCCACCGGGTTGATCTTCATCATGGTGGTCAGAAAGTCGGCAAAGCTATCCCTCGCCTCCTGCTCCAAACCCGGCATGTATCCTTCCGACGCCAGCGGGACCCTCCGCACCGCAGGGCCATCCTTGAGGTTCCCTTCGTCGTTAAATATCCTCTGGACAATATCCGGGTTCCCCTTATCCAGCAGCTCCTTGGGAAAGGGGCCGAACAGCTCTATCATCTCCGCCGCGTGCACCCTAGCATCGTAGCGTCCGTCGGGCGGGCCCCGGCCGTCAAACATGCGCACCGCGCGGTACACCTCGAGAATGACGGCGCCCAGGTTCCACAGGTCGGTCGACTTGTCCCAGGGCGCCTCGAGCAGCACCTCGGGGGAACGCAGCGCCACGGGCTGGATCCGCTCCGTCAGGTGCTGCGTGGCCCAGCTTGATACCCCCCAGTCGCCGAGGGCGATTTCGAGATCGGTAAACCGTGGGAGCTTGGCTTCGCCGTAGTAATAGCTGTTGAATGGGGTGGATCGGACGGGGGTGTACCGCGCTTCGGCTCTGTCCTGCTGCGGGACGGGGACTTTGGCGAGGTAGCCTGTCTCGATGCGGGAACGGTCCTGGAATCTGACGAAGATGTTGTCTGGTTTGATGTCTTCACGGCGGACTCATTAGTATTCCTCGAATATAAAACCTGGGCACCGCCACCACCACCACCACCACCACCAGCAGCGGAAAAGGCTCACCTGTGTGGATGACATTATGTTCGTGAGCATAACTCAGAGCCAGCACGAGGTGGAGGGTAAACCTGCGCATCACCGAGTACGGGACCATATCCTCTTTAAAGAAAGTGCCAAAGCTACTCAGGTTCTCTCCCATGAGCTCAAACACAAGACAGACATGGTTTCCGTTCGGCCCCTGGTGTTCAAAGTCGTCGACAAGGTGGCAAACGTATCGGTAACCCCACAAGCTCCGGTCTCCGTCACGGAGATGAGTGAGTATCTCACGCTCAAAAACGGGGTTTTTCTCGTCGTAACACTCGGCGCTCAGCACCTTGAGCGCCATGTACTTGTGTTCATCACCGTCTCTACAGCGTGGCGAGGGGTTTACGCGTAGTTAGCTTGCTAGAACCGGGGCATTGACAGACATTCAGCCCAACTCCAAAGCCATAAAGCCGTTGATCATCGGATTGCTGAGGTAGGTACTTACGGTTTTGTCAGGTCCTTGACGAGCCAGACTGTCGAGTAAACACCATATCCAACCTTGTTCATGACCTGGTATTTGCCCGCATACACCTCCCCGATGTAGACGGGGTGGAACCCGCCGGGCCGGTATTTATCTCTGCCCTCTTCGATGTCCCCGGGATCAGGCACCGTCTCGGCCTGCTCATCCTGGCCCGGGGCGGGTGGACCAGGCTCCGTCGTGGGGGGTGTCCCCTGGGTCGGGACGACAGGAGCAGGACTTTCTTCTGTTTCGGGAAGTGTCATGTCGGAGCTGGTGGCGGAAAGACGGTGGGAAAAAGTTATGGATGAGGGGGCGAGTGATGGAGGTTCTAGTTGGGTTCACTGAGCGAGCTGCATACCCAACGTTACTTGACGGATGGTGGGTGTTGGTTCGACAAAAGCAGTCAGAGAATGAAACAAACCTGGTTAGGTTGAGCCCCGCACGCATTATGGGGCATTAATTACTGCCTGTACTCAAAGGCCAGCGGTTAGGTACCTGAACTGGGTAGGTAGCAACTTGTGTCTGTTTGTCCGTCTTTCCGCCTTCTTTCCATCTTGTCGTCTTCTCATTCGTCTCTCTTTCTTCTATGCCCGGGGGGATATATCCCACCTTTTCCCTTTACGTTATCATGGGCACTGTACAGGTCATCATAGCGACCTTGTTTATGTCTCATGATACCGTGGCTTGCTAAGATATCGCAGCTAAGTTTTGTAACAGCGGGAGCTCAGCCAAGTTCTTGAATCACACCCATACCCCTAATGTTGTTGTAACTCACCACCACCTCTTTCCCTATTAATGGTACCCAATCCCTCCCTATTCGCCTGCCCCCACCTCACGATCCAGCATGCTCTAGTTTTGAGTAAACAACGTCCTCAAACTCCTTCATGGACGCCCGCACCTGGGGATCACTCGGCGGGAAGACCTGTGTGCCAACCGCACCACACACACCCGCCTCGCGGTCAATGAACTGCCAAAAGTGTTAGCACACATCCATCACGATAACAGCCGCCAACCGCACTCACCCAACACAGGTTCCACGCGCCACCCCACTGTAGGAACTTGGTCTTCCTCTTCCCCAGACCTTCGCCACTCATCGACAGCAGGCCGCCCGCGCTCCAGTCGTACTCAACCCCGCCGGGGATGTGCCCGACAGCCCAGTCCGGGTTCTGCATCAGCTCGTTCATCGCCTTCTTCTCTACCGGCCGCAGAAGCGGCTCAAACAGCCACTTGGCCGTCTCGGGCTTGAGGATCTTGCCATCGTCCATCAGGATCGAGTACAGCACCTTCATGTACGGGCCCACCCCGCCGTACAGCCCCTCACCCCCAAACCCTTCATTGTCCTCGTCGTACTCCGTCTCCTTGTGCTCCAGCTTGCCCGTCTCAGCATTCCGCTCCGCCATGCCGGCCATCTTGTCGTACACGGGTTCGTCAAACCGGCCCGGGTGGAAGGTGATGGCGCCCTTGGGAACGCCGACGCGGCTGAGCACGTTCTCATACACAAAGTCATCAAAGAACGCGCCCGTAAGCTTCTCGATCAGGCGGCCCGCCCAATCCATACTACTACCATAAACCCAGCCCTGGCCGGGCTCGAACAGCAGCGGGTACCCAAACCGCGAGTCGACCGACATGCCGCCCGACAGGGGGCTGTGGCGCAGGGGCACGGGAAGGGGCCGGCCCGTCGCCTGCGCCCACTTGGCCAGCTTCTCCTCCATCAGGATGTAGCCCGTGCCCGCGCTGTGCGTCAGCAGGTGCCGCAGCGTGATGGGCGTCTCCCGCTTCTTGTACGTCGGCTGGCCCGCCGCGTCGAACCCCGTCAGGATCGGCTGCTGCGCCAGCGTCTCCACGTACTTGGTCACGTCCTCGTCGATCTCCAGGATCTTGCCCTCCACCAGCTTCAGCAGGCAGGTGGCCGTGATGAGCTTGGTCATGGATGCCATCGTCATCATTGTTGTCGGGGTGATCGGGGGCGCGTCGGGCTCGAGCGTGGTCGGGCCGTGGGCGAACGTGTAGTCGATCTTGCCTGGCGAGGGTGTTAGCCGCCACGGTCTCACGAGAGACGGGGTCCAGTCAGTGGTAGGTATGCGTACCGGACTTGTCTCGCGCAACAAGGACCGTGGCGGGGAGGGTGCGGTCGTCGATGGCCTTCTTGAGGCGTTCCTCGAACTCGGGAGTCATGGTGGAAGGTTGTGTGTGTGGTTGTGATGTCGTGGTAGGTTTGGTGTTAGTGTGTCAGCTTCAGTGCCAGCAATGGTACGATATGTACGAGGCAGACCCAGTATTTGAGGGGACGAGAACCGTGATGAGCTGGTAAAAGGAGAAGAGGGGGTTGGGGGCCAACGGGGCCAACGACCAAAATAATATACCACAACATCCCGCCAACCCCTCCTTCCCAACGTTTGTCCCCCCTTCTGGACCAACTGCCACTGCTACGGACTTCGCTGACAAATACCGCACCTGCCCAACCATTGTAAACCCCAACGGAATCTCTTAATCCTACCGGGAAGGTTGAACCAACAGGACCGACGCAGGTTGAACCAACAGGACCGACGCAGGTCTCACCAGTCTCCAGTCCCAAGCTTACGCGCGTTATCATGCCATAATTGGACCCCGAGTGCGGGGCTCACCCGGAGATGCTACCCCGGAACCCCACCGTCGATCGGCCCGGGGAGAAAAGGAGGAGCACCAAGGCGGGCCCCTGATATTGGGGTAAGCAGGAGCAAGAACTGCTTCATCAAAACACCAAGCAGGCAGGGCGGGCAGGCAAACACCACCACCCCCTTCAAAACAAACAGACAGGCCATATCCAATATACAACCCATCAACCAGTGCATTGCTCATAACCAAAAGATACAAAAAGACTCGCTGAAACAACCCACAGCTGAAACAATAAACCAAACAGCAGCAAGCAACGCAGGCAAAAAGACAGTGGGTATAATCCTTCGACCGCGCTCCCTCCCCCCACAACGACAAACAAATAAACCCAGTGCATCACACATCAAACATAGGGCAGAGCAGCCAGCCAGCACCCCATGATCCACCACCTTCCACACCCCAGCCCAGTCCAGCCAGCCCAGCCCAGCTCAACCCAGGCCATCAACAACAGCACATAAAAATCAATCCCCCCCACCAGCCGCCCCCGCCGTGCCATTCACCAACGCCTCCCCATCCTCCTCACCCCCCTCCTCTTCAGCACCCTCCACAACCCCCTCCTCCTCACCGTCTTCCTCCCCCTCCTCCGGCATAGCCACAATCCCATTCTGCCTCTCCCACACCTCCCTGCGAATGCGATCATCCTTCGCCTTCCTCGCCCTCTCCACCTCCTCGAACCCCCCGGACTTTTTCAGCTTGCCCTCCTCGACAAACGTCGCCAGCTCCTTGGTCAACGGGTTCTCGCGGCGGCGGGCGAGCTCCTTCTGGCGCAGCTTCTCGGCGCGCTCGATGGCCTCGAGCCGGTTCTCGTGGTTGGGCTGCAGCGCGCGCACCTCGCCGAGCACGCCCTCTTTCGCGGCCGACGGGTCGACCGCCGCGGCGTTCTCGCGGATCGAGGTCAGGCCCTTGCTGAACTGCCGTGCGACGATGACGCCGCCCGGGGCGGTGGCGCCGCCGGCGTCTTTCATTTGTTCCTTGGTGGCTTGTTCGACGAGGGCGAAGGTTTCGGAGGCCTTTTCGAGGTCGTCGCGCAGGTCGACGATCAGGTCTTCGACTAGGCGCAGCTCGTCGCGGCCCTGGCAGACGTCTTCGAGTTCTTTTTCCCAGATCTTGGTCCAGATGGGTTTTTCCTGTTTCATGGACTCCTCCATCTTGCTGAGTTCTTTGGTGAGGAGGGCGATGTCGCGGGTGACGGCCTCGAGCTGGCGCGGGAGCGGGCGCACGCCGCGGTGGACCACGTCCTTGCGGAGGTCCTCGACCAGGTCTTGCAGGTCGTCTACCCGGTTGACGAGCCGGTCGCTGTCCTGGTTGAGCTGCTTGCGCCCCGTGACCACGTACGAGTGGCCCGCGTTGCCCTCCACGTCCGGGACCGCGATTTTGGTCGCCGCCACCTTGACGTTGGCGGCCTTGGCCCGGAGGGCAGACATGGAGCCTTGGACCTCGGTCTGGAAGTTGGAGTAGGTCTGTCGGAGGACGGCCAGGTCGCGGCGGAGGCTCTGGATCTCCGAGAGCTGCCCGGGGCTGAGTTTGCGCGATGCCTGTGCGGGTCCCACTGCTTGCTTGGGGGATTCCACGGGCGGCACTGCAGCGATAGTGGGCGGGGCAGCGGCCAGCCGGGCTAGATCCTTGGCCGTTTCCTGCTGCCGTTCCGACACGCTCTGCAGGGCGGCTCCTTGGTCGTCGACGTTCTGCTTCATCTCCACCATCATCTTCTTGATCGAGCCGAGGCCGTCGTCGATATGTCTTTTCACCTCGTCCAGTTGTTCCACGTTAAGCACTAGAACGGTGCGGTCCTTGATGTCGGAGAGGTCCTCTAGCTCATGACGGACCCCAGACACGGGATCCTGGATGTAGATGTCCGGCAGGTCGGCGCCGTTTTGCTGCGTGTTCCACGAGAACTTCTCGATAAAGGCGAGCTGCAACCGCCCAATCGACAGTTCCTCGTATCCCCCTGAAAGCACAAACTTCTTGACCTTGGATTTGTACTGCAGGAAAAGAGTCAAGTCTTTGGTGGCCGGCGGAGTTGCGGTGAAGGTGCTCGGTGGTTTGTCAGGGGTTACGGCCCGTGCTATCGGGAGCGCCGGCGCCGGAGCTGGCGTTGTAGGTTTCTCCTGCTCCTCAGCCTCCTCCGTCTCTACCGCCTCCAAGGCGTCGGGCGGCGGTCCGTTCAGAGTCGCACTTGGCTGGAACTTATCCTCTTCGGGGGGGGCGGGCAACTCGGCTCTTGCGGGGGGGGATTGGATTGGGAGGTCATCCGGCTCCTCCGAAACCCGGCTGGGGACTCGGACAGGAGAAGAATCGAGCGTCGCGGTCCGCGACTGGCTGGACATGTTCCGCTTGTGTCGAACAGTATCCCTCGCCTGCATTGCCCGCATCGACTCCCGCATTTCACCGCGCCCGCGGTTCGGTATCGGGGTAGTCTGAGGCGGAAGCGAGGGAAATCCTGCCTGGGCGCCTAGGTGTTTTGATATCTGGTAAGCCGAGTACCTTCGCGACGCTCGTCTTTCCAAATCGCCGCCTCTCTGCAACGCCGCCAGCGCACTCTGCTGGGATGCCTTGGGCGGCGGTGGCGGCGGCGGGAAGTTATCCAGGCTGCTCAAGTCGCTTGCCGAAGGCCCTGAGGGGATCGTCTCGTCGCCCGGGTAAGGGGGAAGCACGGGAATGTTCTGCATCGTGTTGCTAGAAAGGCTCGACTGGTCCGAATTGACAGAGCCGCGGGACTGCTCCCTCTGTAGAAAGCGCTTGGTAGGAGAGGGCGCCGCGTTGTTCCGTCCGTCATCGCGCTGGCTACCTGGTCGGTAGTTCTCCTCCAGCCCCTCGTTCAACAAAGTCGTCAGGCCGGAGCCGACACTCCCCATTGTGCTCGTACTGGTTGTCCGGGGCGGAACGGGGGGGCTAGTGGCTTCAGCACTATCGCCAGAGCCAGTGCCAGAAGGACCGCCGTCTCTCTCCCGTTGTTGTCTTTGCCTCAGCCGAGTTTGCTTCCTCTTGAGCCCGTGCAGTAAATTGATGATTATATCGCGAATTTTCGGCAGGTACTTTTCCAAACTTTCCGCGCTCGCCTCCTGGCTTAGGGTAGACTCCAAAATATTCCTCAGCAGTTCAGGGACGTTCCCAAGGTCGGATGTGTCGACGTTGATGGCGGTAAAGGCGCGGCAGGCCATGTTGAACTCGTAGCCGAGGCGGACATAGACATCGGACACCTGGGTGTCGGTAGCGTTCCCCCGCGACCATTGTGTGAGTGTCTCTAGGAGTTGTTTGGTGGCAACGAGGAGGTGTGTGACGCTCTTCTCGATCTGGGACAGCGGAACCGAGGTACTACTCCCCGCTGACTTTTTGGGCGACATTGTTAGCAATGAACCAGAGAGGGGATGAACTAATCGCAGAACACGCGGGGAGCGACAACGAAAACCCGATCAGAGAGAAAGAGAGTGAATGTGGCGGGACGCCACCGGAAGTTTGAAACCTGTGGCCCGGTGGTGCATGAAGCCGGCGGTCGAATGGGGATCTGCAAAGGGAAAAGAGAAACCGGCAATGCAGCACTCACGTTGGCCCGTCGTGTTCCATCATTCCTGCTTCCGCTTCCGCTCGCGCTTGTCGGTTGCATGGATCGCGAAGACCCCATGGAGCGAGGGGCGACAGGGCGGTTGGTGCCGACGCCGACGGCGGGTGATATGGAGCGTGGAGGAACGGCCGGAGGTGGTCCTGGCTCTCCGCCGGGTGACCGACGCTGCGAATTCCGCGACGGATTCATTTCGGTATTTCGTCCCTATATCGTCTCCCAGTGGCTTCACCCGTGCGCTAGCCGCTCTTATTCTCCTCTTCTCTGCTTCGGCTGTCTCTTGACGCCCAATCCACCCACGATGCGCGTAATTTGAATCGCTCACTCGACCGGATTATTTTGGAGGTTGGGCGGCGGCGGGGACGGATGAAACGGTTTCCCGATCGCGGGCCGGGGTTATCTCGTTGCTGCTGCGTTTTGGACCCGGGCTAGCAGGAAACTGGCGGTTCGATAGAGGAACTGACGACTGAAGGTTGCAAACTTGTGACTGCTCTTCGCCTGGGAGTGCGGAGGTTCCTCCCACTGCGCTGGGGTTGGCAATCGCAAGTCTCCACTGAGGCACCCAGCACCCGACGCCAGCTGAATCAGGCTGCGCTTCCAGGTTGGTTGGTCCAATAAAAATGTTCAAGACCGCCAGGACAAGGCTTGCGGGGCATTTGGTCTTTGGAGGGGCCGGGCGCTACAGAGAATTCGTTTGCCGCTAACGCCGAAGCCTCTGTTCGATGCAAAATTCAGAGATGGCAACCATTGGTTAATGCATTTGGTCTTTCTTATTCTCCGGGTCTCGGTTCGTGATTTCTTTGGTGTTTTCTGGCCCAGGTTGGCCCCGCTGCAGCCTCTGCATCAACCGTTAAGCTTGCGTTGCTTGTACACTTTTCGTTCGAGAACCTTCGGATCCCTGACTGCATGGGGGCTCAGGGCTCGTGTTCGGGACCTTTCCACATCTGGACAGCTTCCAAACAAACCTTAACGACATGTGCGTTTCGAAACGAACTGGAAGCTTCTTACCCGTCGACCCGTCGACAACGTAGGTCCCCACTCAAAACTCGTCGATACGCACGTCATAGCCACGAGTTGGGGCAGTCGGTCTGCAGGGCGAATGCACGCAGACCATGGCGGTCTAAACCACCAAGGGGAAAGTCCGGTGTCGAATCAGGGAACGCTTGCTGCGGGCGTGTCTTGCTCCGGGGGTGTGGGTTGTACATGTATGGACAGACATCCTCCGGCAGTCGAATCAGATTAATGGATTGAAGGCACAACCTCAACCGCACAACCATATGGTCACCCGAACTGCCATGCGGACTTCAGTTTCAGTCATTGAGTTAATTAACGTTAGTTAGTTATAGTTACTCGGACAAAACTGAGCGCAGAGAGGGTTCTGGATACGAACGCAAATTACTTCGTACCCTCCCTCACTCCGCCCAGCGGACTGAGACACCAATTTGGTGCTTTTGCTCGCAGCTTCATCTGCGTGCCGTTTGCGGTATCGACCTGACTGCTTTCCTCTTCGTTTTCTCTCCGCTGTTTCAAACCCTTGGACGTTGAAGCCGGACAGGTGACACAAATTCAGGGGCATTGGCAATCTGTCGAAGGGTCCAGGCCCTCAACCCAGGCCATCTCACCTTGCCGTCTGTCACCGCTTCGTCTATGCGGCGTTCGTTTCCGTCTATCATCCAATAATCTCGTCCGAATCCGCTTCAAGTTTCGGAGGGGCGTTGGGATCGACCACGGCATTCGCCGTGTCCTACTGTCCGTCACGGCTGGAAGCAGCGCAACCTCTTCTTTCTACGGGAACCCGCACTGCCTTTTCCGAAGACGTGAGCAAGAAATTCCCGCGCCAGGAGCAGCCATGTCTCGCCCACCGCCCATCTCCGCGATCCAGGCTCTGTCTCCCAGGTGACAAGTGCATTTGCTCGTTCGAATTTAAAGACGAGCCAGCCGCCTTCTCTTCCTTCCCTTCTCCTCTACCTCTCAACGAAACGTAACACAAGCGAGCCCTCTATCAAAGCCACCTAACTCAACTGAACCCAACCAAACCAAACCAAACCAAACCACCCAAAATGCAACTCAAATCCTCCCTCCTCCTCACGGCCCTCCTCACCGGCCTCGCCACCGCAACAACCACCACCCCAAGCGACGCCATCGCCAGCCCCACCCCCGACACCCCCTCCTCCTCCTCCTCCTCCACCCCGGCAGCGGACACCACCCCCACCGACAGCGAGACCACCACACTCGCAACCAGCATCACCAACCTCCCCTCCCTCAGCAGCAGCGGCAATGGCAGCGGCAACGGCAGCTCGCAGACGGGAGGGGGCACAACGCGCTCCAGCAGCAACGTGACCATGACTACGTCGGCCACCCCTACCTCGACGAGCGACGAGGACGAGGACGACCGCCCCAACACCAGGACCAGGACGGGCACCCGCCCGCCGAACACGCCGACGGCTATCAATGCGGCTGCTACGCCGGCTGCGGGGCCGGCGGCGTTGGGGCTGGCTGTGCTGGGGTTGGCGGCTTTTGCTGGGTTGGGGCTTTAGATGGGGGTTGGGGATTTCGGGGGGTGTGGTGTGGTGTGGTACCCGACTCCGGGCGGGGGGTGTGGGGATGGTATTCTAGGCGTGGTAGTGCGGTTGGTATGTGAGATGGGAGAGTTGGTATGGAACGAGAGGTTGGGGTTGAGGAGGGGCGGGTTGTTGGAATGAGAGGGTGGTGATGCCGTTTCTTACTTGTTGAGAGATGATGAGAACAGTAGTAATCAGTAATGGTTGAATGGTCAGCTTCGATAATGTTGAATTGTCTCGAGGTGGCGTGGCGTATTATTCACCGTGCTGTCATTGAACTAAACTGAGCCTTGTGCCATGTTCCATGACTCTCCACGTTGATGAATGAGGTCCTGAAACTTGCAATACTGTCATGCCCCGCTGCAAAAGGTGAATCCGACACTTTGGACAGTTGAGTGTCGTGTGATGCAAGCCCCATGCGTAGCTCGGCGTGGAAAGGGTGTAAAATACACCACCACACCACCACTTTGCCGTAGTTCGGCACCCTCTGGCCAAAAAAAGCCGAACTCGAAAGGAAGGCAAGAAATCAAGCAAAAGGAACTTAAAAAGAAGAGGGTAAAATAAAAGTAAATCGAGTAAATCGAGTAAATCGAGTTTCTTTGGGCTTCAAGATGACTTTCGTTATATTCCTCCAGCCGAGGACTCGAGGTTTCCATTGCCAACATCTGCACTTGGAGTTCGGCTTTTTTTGTCCATGAGGTGTTCGGTCAACGTGGCAGGTGTTCCGAAGTTTCAGCATCACCTACAAGTAGTTCCAACCTGTCTCTGTCAGGGGAACGATTAGAAGTCACCATTTGACGAGCAACGAACAAGTCGGTTTCACGGGGCACAGATGTTGATTGCCACACCCAATATCCCTACGATTTTATGTTCTGTAGTTTCTGGGCAATAAACGAGGTTATTCGTGACTAGCAACGCGATGATGATGTCGGTACGGTATCAGGTTAGTTTATGAAGATTTTGACGGAAGAGTTTCTCGTCCTCGAATACATCAATCGGATGGTGGATGCTATCGATACTGAGGTGCGAAGGTCGTCAAACTGGCGTAGGGTGGATGAATACCAATTTGCGTCATTCTCGGCTTATTGACGAATTCTGTGTCGTTGGCAAAAACGGTAGGCAAGGCCGGGAGCGGTGCCCGGGAAACAAAAGTAAATACTTCGTGGAGAAGAAGCATGAGAAGGAATAAGCAAGAGAAGGCAAATACACTTGTAAAATGCAAAAAATTGTATTTGTACTGAGAAGCTGGGAACTTTAGGTTTGATGTTGAGCAAGCCTGGGACCGGAAGTACCCTGATTGAAGGAGGTCCCTTCCTCATATTGGTAACGTGGCCCTGGCTGTGGTTGTGCTGCTGCGACTTTGCGGGTAGTAACCTAGAAGGTATTTGGATTGTCGGACTCCGTTGGTCACAGTTCGATGAACCTCTTGCCATCAAGAGCTGGACAAAGCGTTCATCGTTCTGTGATAGGAACATCTCAAACCCTCCACCGGACCCAGTCAGTCGTCGCAATTCCTCAAAAGCTCGAGCCAGGGGCAGAACAATCCACTCAAAGAAGCAAATCACGTGGGTCCGTCGGGCGATCCATGGTCCTGCCAAGATGGATTTCGCTGAAATGGGATTAGCGAGGATCAAGCTCTCCCGCAGGTCCTCCTGCCAGCGAATGCCTTGACAAGTTGGTGTTCTGGGAAGACCTTTGTGTTCTCACCAGGCGCTGTGATTCCATCAAAACCCACGAAGGAACACGGGCCTGCTTTTGGGGTCATTGGCTGGGTCATCAGGTCGTTGCATGTGAAGTTGTACACACTGACGCCCTTGGGGGGGCCGCTGGGATTTAGTTGCGCCCTGGTTCCCCTGCTGCCCTTTCTGCTGCTGCTCCTTCTTCTGCTTTCTTGTGCAACCTGGAACCACTGAACGTCCATCTGGGCTGGCCAGTCGACCTTCTTTGCCCTTCCCCGCCCAAGACAGACCGCGAGACATTCCGTTCCGCAAGAACGCCGCTCAAGTGCCCAGCGCACTTGTTACATACTTTCCTCTACATCACTCTTCCCCTCCATTTCCGACCCCTCGGAGTCGGCTTCCTCCGCGCCTCACATTAGCGCATCCCATCGACTAACCCTCCGATACTACTTCTCAACCGGGAGCATCAACCATTGCTCGGCAGGAACCGCCAACCACACGGCAAGCGGGGCCGACATCGATGCCCCTGTTGTAAACCTTGGGCCAGGAAATCAGTTGGTCGCCTGTGGCTGTAGCACCGCTGCAGTATCTTGCCGGGCATCCAGCGACCATCGTGGAAGTCGTCGAGGTTGAGCCAGGCGTCGTAACTCGGCAGCTGTCGTGACCGAGCAAGGCCTCGAGTTGCCGCAAATCGATCGGGTTGCTGCTGGTGCACACCCTCGCTCGCCGCTGCTTGCTTGCCCACGAGCACGCGCCAATCAGAGCTCTGATTCGCTCAATTCGTACAAACTCCCCTCTCTGCCGCTCCCGCCCATCTCCCGCCCGCACCCTCTTTCCCCAAAGTCTGGACAACTGCCCCGGGTGCTCAACTCAACGGCAGGGCACAGGAACTATGGAAGACCGATCGACAACCTCAAAACCCGTTGTCGCATCGCCATCGCAATCCACCACCCCGGACATCAAGTCGCCCACTGCTCGACCTCTGTACAGCAGCAAGCTCGGCGACCAGCGACCGCGAGCCCCAGAGGCAACCGCTTCGCCCCCGACTCCGAGGTGAGACACGAGACCCTTCCCACGCATCCCCAACTTTTTTGGGAGCCTTGCTGCAACCTCCCCGCCAACAAAGACATTTATTTGCCTTTTTTTTTCCCACCCCGTCAACTTCCTTTCCGCCCTTCCGCCCTATGCATTTTCCCCTTTCATCTGCAGCGTCAATCGCCCGGGTCGCCGCACTCCCACTTCCGGGACCTCGTTGTGCATATGCGCCAGAGGATCGGTGGAACAGCCCGCATTGATTGACTAACTCCCGCACAGACAGCCTCCCGTCCAGCAAAAGGCCTGGACTAACAACAAAAACCCCATCACCGGTCGGTCGCAAGTCCCTCAGAACAAGCAGTCTGTGACGAGCTCCCTCCGCGAGGTTAGTCGCTTGTCTCTTGTCTCCCTTATCTCCCCTGTCCTTCACCTCCTTTTCCTCGACCAACGGCCGTGCTTGCTTCAAGCTCCCAGCGGAGTCGGAACCTGTGCTGCGAAACTGTTTGGTCAAAGCTTAGGTCGAACCTTGCAACATCTGATACAGAGCCGAGCTGATTGGTGACGTGCGCTGACAATTTCTTTTTCCTTTGTTCATAGGGCCAGCGAGTCCGCATTGTGCTCACGTCCGGCGCCGAATTTGAGGGTACATATAACAACGGCCCCGAGCCTGCCAGCTGCCGCTTGAGCATGGTGCAGCAGAAGAAACTCCCGAATTCCGCAGATATCACGAACGGCCCCGGTAAAAGGGAGCAGCAGCAGCCCACCATGACCATCCAGCGGAAAGACATTGCGGATGCCCGCGTTGTTCCTGCCAGCAACGCCAAGAATGACAGCCGTGCTCCAAACGGTAGGCGGTGACGCACCCCTTTCCTTTGCTCTCGCTAACGGGTTATCTCCAGGCAATCGGGCTTCTTTCCGGACAGACACTGCAATCTCCAACGCGCGACTCGGCCCCGAGAGGAGCTTGAAGGCTTGGGTTCCCGATGCGGGTTACGAAGTTGATGGGTCGCTGGAGAAACCCAGCGCTGGTGGCGCCTGGGATCAATTCGCCGAGAACGAGCGCCTGTTTGGCCTGAAGACGGACTACGACGAAAATATCTACACAACCGCCATTGACAAGAGCCACCCCCAGTATAAGGAACGGTTGGCGGCTGCTGAGAGAAAGGCGCGTGAGATCGAGCGGACTCTTCCCACCACCTCGCATGTCGCCGAGGAGCGTGTGATGGACTTCGTTGGTGGCGAGGACCAAAGAGACGAGGAAGACAAGTAAGGAACACGCACCCTAGCCACGATACATGGGATTGACCCCTTCTCCAGGTACAGCGGTGTACGCCGACAGGATTTCCCGCCATTGGCGGCCCGGGACAACAAGTACACCCCGCCGGCCCGGCGTGCGCCCACCGGTCAGGCGACCGTTAAGGGTGTTCCAGTTGATCCTGCTATCATCTCGTCACAGCTTAAGAGCACCCCTACCCCGAAGCCCACGCCGACACCGAAGCCGGTTGAGTCGAAAAACCAAGGCACCGCAGAGAAGCCGGCCACCCCAGTCCCAGACAAGCCGGCAGAGTCCAAGGCGGGTGCAGCCGCAGTCGGAGGAAAGGCGCCCGAGAGCAAGGCGGAGACCACTTCGGATGCGAAGGCAGCGGAGGCCAAAGATGGCACCGCCGCCCGGCCCTCGGCCACCACTAGCCGCGGTGCATCCAAGGTTGGCGCTGTCCCCGGCGTGACCGCGAATGTGGAGCGCGACGTGCTGTCCTCGTTCCGGAACTTCGCGACCACCCAAAGGTTCATGGCCGAGAAAGTCAGGGCCACAAGGGTCAAGGCCGACAAGGAGGTCAAGCTGACGGAGCTGAAGAAATTCGCAGAGAATTTCAAGCTCTTCACCCCCGTCCCCAAGGACCTGATCTCTATCATTGCCAAGGATCCGGCCAAGCAGAAGCAGATTCAGGACAAGGCGAAGCACAACATGGACGAGCTAGCCAAACAGAAGGACGTGACCCCCCAGGAGAAGGAAGCGACGACGTCAAAGGAACCCCAGAGCAAGGGAAGCGCAGACCAATCTGGTGCCTCGACGCCTGCGGCAACGGTCGATGCCGCGCGCGGGGGCCCCCGTCCAGCTGCGCCGCCCCATTCCGGTTCGACCGGAGTCCCCGGCCGTCACCAAGGCACCCGCTCCTCGTACAACCCCCAGTCGCACTATCAGTACAACAGAAACAACCGACCGCCGCCTCATGCGGCGCCTCAAAACCAAACGACGGGCCACCTGGGACAGCGGCTTCGCAACGTGGAGCAACAGAAAATGCAGCACCCTCATATGGGCCAGCACCCGCCGCCGGACATGCGCCTTCCCCCCACCGGCCCGGCCAACAGCGTCGACCCAAGCTTCAACCGCCGCATGAATGCTGCTCCGCCGCCCTTCATGGGCCCCAAGTTGAACCCGAATAGCCACGAGTTCCGGCCTAACGCGTTTGCGCAGCCCTTCAACCCCGCCGTTCCCAGTTCAGGTTCTTCCCCTCGCTCGTCTGTGAACAACATTGCCGAGCCACCTGCCCCTCCGGCCCCCATCAAGGGCCAGCTCATCCGGCGCAAGACTAGGGCGGTGGATGTCAAGAAATGCTTCATCCTATCGCACATCGAGACCATCCAGCCGCCGCAGGGTCGGAACTGGGATGACAACGATGGCCTCAAGCCGTCTTTCGACACGCTCCCGACCTGGCGGCAGCTCCAGGAAGAGACAGAGGCGCCCGACTCGACCATGCATCTGACATACAAGCAGTATTTCGAGCGCCTGCCCCTCTCGAGCGCCGCCGTCGCCACACCCAACCCCGCCCACGTCATGCCGCAGGTTGCGCACCAACACCAGCTGCCGTTCCACTTGCAACACGGAGCCCCTAACATGGCGCCGCGCCAGTCACCACACATGCCGCCGATGCAGATGCACGCTGGCCAGCACGGTCCCGCCCCCCATGTGCCATTCAGCAACCCGGATGATCATAGGATGATGCATTCCAACTCGGCACAGTCCTTCGCGTCCCCTAGGATGGGACCGGTGCCGATGGCGTATCCTCCGGCGGTGAATCCCCAGGGGCAGATGCCGTACGGCCAGCCGGTTATGCAGCAGTACATGAACGGTCCTCAGATGAATCAGTTCCGCAGCTTCTCCCACAACCCGCAGTTTATCCCGCAGCAACCGCACCACATGGGAGGCCCCATGATGGTTCAGCAAGGTTTTATGGGTCCCAACGGCATGGTGACAGCGGGGCCGATGTACCCCGGGGCCCAACCCCATTTTATCCCCGCCGGCGCAGGTCCTCCGCAGCCTGTCCCCGGGTCTAACGGGTTCCCCAGCCCAGGCCGGCCGGCCGCGCCGATGATGGTGCACCAAGGCTCGCATCAGGGCTCGCACCAGGGCCAGCAGGCGGTGTACGGCATGAGCCCCGGGATGCCGTACCAGCAGCCGGCGTACACGCCACAGCAGCCTCAGGGCAAGTTCTCGGGCCAGCGGCCGCAGTGAGAAACTGCGAAGACGAACTGCAGAGGTCGTGCCGCGGCTTCGTCTACCTGCCTACCCGCCTACCCATGCACCTCAACGGAAGCTGTCGGGGTAACTCACTCGTTTCAAGCCTAACAAAATTGCCGTGACATGATCAACTACCTGTCAGGTGTGCTGCCATTGCCGGGCTGGCTGGGTGTCGAGGCAGTGTTGGCCAACTTGGGAGCCTCGTCGAACAGGCCGAAGCGAAATTGAAGCGGATTATCCATGCCGAGCCCCCAACGAACGGGTAGCTCTGCTTTTTTTGCGGGCAGCATTGGCGGGGAGTGAGAAGCGAGCGGTGAAGGGGATGAATGAATGATGGACAAAAAAGCGAAAGGAGAAGGGCTAGCAGACAAGCATGACAGACAGGGCGGGCTGGCTGGCTGGTAGGCGGGAGAGAGAGTGAGAGAGAAGACGATTATAACTACTAGCTTTTGCCCTCGTCCATCCAATCCCATCATCCATCCATCCATCCATCCATCCATCAATTGAGCTTTTTTATCGCACACAGACTACATCACAAATAGTTGCGGGCGATGGAGTATTGTTTTTGTTGTTGCTGTTGCCTTTGGCGAGATGATCACCAGATCATCTAAACGTACTGCTTGTCTGTCATCCTTCGGAAGGGGTGTAGGGAGGGGGGTCTGGCCTCGAGCGGCCTGACCTGGCTGGCCTGGGCAAGATTGATGAGATGAAGGAGGGAGTTGGGGTGAGGGTGGTTGATGAGATGAGATGGCCGACGGAAGGAATGAGGTGGATGACGGAAGGATTGAGATGGGTTGAAGAGGGATGAGGTGGGTTGAAGAGGGATGAGATGGTTAAAGAAAGTGCTGATGGTTGAAGAAGATGAGATGGCTGACGGAAGGAATGAGATGGGCTGAAGAAAGTGCTGATGGCTGAAGAAGATAAGATGGTTGAGAAAGGGGTTGGAGGTGATGGGAGAGGGGCTGGCTGGAATCCTCTAAGGGGGGGGCAGGAGAGGAAGGAAGAGAAAACGAAGACAAAAAAGAAGGGGATATGAGTATGAGGCAAAAGTTATCTATCCTCATGCGTCTGTCCGTCCGTTTTTATGCGATCAGTCACTGCGGCGACCACCTGGTTTTGGTAGCATGCATGGCCTGCTTGTTGCCGGGTATGGCTGGGTACCTATGCTATACCGTACCATGCTGTGCCGCCGCCTGTGGGTGGGTGCTTAACATTCTGGTGTTTTCTTCTCTTTTAGTTTGTCAAAAAAGGTAGCATGCAGCGAAACGGAATATGGAACTTGTGTTCTTTTCAGAGAGTTGAGTCTAGCTGACGGATGTGCTCCTGTTTGTGCTTGGTGTGTGTGTGGTTGGGTACCGAGTTGGTTGGGTGTGGTAGGCTGTCAGCTTCCTCCTCTGCTCACCTCACCTTTCCCATCTCACTCTGCCCTCCTCACCTTGCCCATCTCGCTCTACCCATCTTGCTCTCCCTACCTCGTTCTGTCGGTCTCAATCTGGGAAAGGGGAATTACGCCATACTGCCGCAGGGCGGTGGGTAGTGCGGGCGGCTACCGGGGAAGACGGATGGGCTTGTGAGAGCGGCCGTTGAGGGGTGCAGGAGGAGGAGGATATGTGGCACAGCGTTAGAGGATGTGTGGGTGGGGGGAGATGGGGGGAAGGAGGGGGGGTTCGATGATGTGAGATCAAGAGGGGGAGGGGCGAGATCAAGAGGGGGAAGAGGGGGCACGGCAGAAGGATCAAAGATTGTTCCTGACAACGCCACTGGGGAGGAGGGGAGCGGGATGGCCCGGGAAGCTCAACCCCTTTTTCGCGCCGCTGGGTGGCGTGAGTAGGCCACCGGCTTTCGTGGCACGTACAGTCCGACGGTAGGTAGTTGTGAGTCTCTACACAGTAGGCCTGCGAGCTCCTCGCTCCTCCACTCCGTGCCGTAGACCGCATTCATGTTGGGCATCCGGGATCGAGCTGCGTGAAAAATGTTTGCCCAGGGACAATGCTTCCATGTTGAAGATCCTCCCACGGCCAGTAAACACCACCCGCCGAACACGGCGAGACCCCCGACGCGGCCATGGGCTTTCAATGGATGCATGTTGTTCTGGAGCTTGCCACACTGCGGAACGGCGTCGTCAATCCTCCATCCAGGCTCCGGTTCATGACGAGTTCTCGGGGCATTTTGGCGCCCTCGTGTGCCTTGCGAGCTTGCATGGCACTCATGGCCATGGTGGCTGCTCATCGAACCGCCACTGTGGAATCCGAGGAGCTACAAGAACATCAGACGGTGGCGTGTCCATCCACGGCTTGTGGACATTACGGAGGGCGCCCAACTGCCGATTCATTCTAGCATCTGAGCTCCCTCTCACTACAAGGAACATACCGGTCGAGTCGTGGCAACGATGGCGTGGCTTGGGCTCCGCTGGGTTCGTCTCAACTTTCCGCCCCGAAGTGCAATACTACGACTGTATTCGCTGCTGCATCGTCGAGCCACATCTCGCTTCTCCGACCCATTCGCCCGCTTCTACTTGGCTTGATACAAGGGCATCGAGTTGAAGGACGGCAGCTGCCGCGCGCATCTCATTACCTCTCGTCGACGACTCGAATATTCACATGTTGCCGAATCCCGAATTACAATCACGTCTCCTCGGTGCATTTAATTGCAAGGAGGTATTCTAGTAGAAGACCTAACTCTCATCCAGCAGTAGGGCCGATGATATGGCATGCTGGGCGTCTCGGCTTCACGCCTCTCAATGCTGGTGCCTAGAGTGTATTCGCTGTGATGTCGTCGAAGAGGATATTGCCTCTTTCCCACCCTTGCTCTGGTGGGCTTCTTTTTTCGCATGAAGTTGAAGCCCAATCTGGAAATGAGCAGGACGGTGGCTGTGAGGTATCGGTCTCCATTCGTGGCGAGGGACGTGCGTGGGGACAGGAGGCCCTAACAGTAACGCGCGGGTTTCAGGAGGGAACTTGTTAACGTTGCATGAACAGAGAGAGGCCGAGGGAGGGGATTTGCTGCTGTGCTGCTGTCGACGGACTTGATGGCCTCGCTGGGTTGTTGCCCGGAGCTGAGGTTGGGGTTAGGGATGTTGAAGACCCCGGTCACCCGTCATCCATCGGGGAAGGTCCGTCATTCGGGAGATGTGCGGAATGGGGCAGCTGGTTTTGGAGTTTGGGATCGACTTGCACTTTGGAATTTTGGTTGGTCGTTGGCTTGTTTGGTCCGAAAGTGCTCACCACGACCTCGACTCCCTCGACTCCCTCATGTTTCCCCCATCAGACAATTGAAACCAACGGTCGACTGCATGGAAAAGGATTTGCAAACCTCCGCTCAGGGTGGTGGTCGGGCCGTTGTGGCATGGCATGCAAGGCACCCGTCGGAGGATTGGAGTTTGCCTCGCAACGTTGCTTACCTTTGTGCCTTTTCACCTGTCGGTGGGACTACCGGTATCCGCGGTGGCGAGTTGCTCGCATTTTTGTGCGAGATCCTCTTCAGAAAAGTGAAAAACAAACATGCATTTGCCCCGCTCGGCGTCGCCATTCCCGCCAGAATTGAGCAGCGTCTCGCCCACGGAGTCATGGCGGCTTCCTGCGTTCTCAACAAGAGTTGTCAAGTGGTGATTTGTGCTCTCATCGGGCACATGTGGGGAAGGAAGGATGGTGACAGGCGGGGCTTGAGAGCCCGACCCCAGGTTCAGGGGTGTCGGGTATGGAGGTTCTGTGCTGTCGAGAGATTTTCTCCGCCCCCTCGATTGCAGGCCGAAGCCGGTTTCTTGTTCGGTCTCCATCCCGTTCATCAGGTGGTTTGTTTCTCGTCTATTGCTCCTGGTTTGATTCCACAGCCGCTCAAGTTGAGATGGTGCATGAGCGCGCGGCTGTCTCGACGATCAGTCCCAAGGTTGGTGGTCGTACACTGGATCGTCTGGCGTGTCTCTGGTCGGGGTTCGCCTGACCGGGAGACCGGGCATGGCAAGGCGCTTTTTGAGGGCTTGCCCACTTTTTGTTCAGCCCACTGAGATCAAGCTGGCGGGGCAGTCGGCGGGGCTGCTGGCGGACTCGCCGCCATACGTAAGCAGCAGGGAGGGGTTAGCGCAGGTGACGGGCAAACACAGCGCTTGCATCGCGGGAAGCAAGCAAATGGGAGGCATCGACTGCTTTTTATGGCTCCGAGTCGGGTAAACTTGGCGGGAAACATTCTGCTATTTTGGCAAATGCCAAACGCTCACTCCTGCACATGTTGTCTTACTTTTTGCTCCTGTCTCTCCTATTCTGAGCGACTTACGAATAGAACGCGCAGTACAACTCCGGCAGTCTGCTGCAGTCTGCAGGCTTCTATGTGGGTGGCCCACGCAAACAGACTCCCGATTAAGGTGCGGTGAGGCCAGATCGGGTGGGCGCGTGGGTGCATCTGGAATCTCGTGGTGGTCTGACCTACCCCTGCGGCCGCCTACCTTTCTTGATCGCTGGAAGTTGAAACACAAGTGCCCAAGAGGGTGGGAGAATGTGGACGAACAACTCTTCGAGGAGTCGCTCTACCCGTCATTCGTCCGGGCTGAACCAATGGCACCGGTGGTTTCCGCCTCTGACAGGAAGGTTCCAGGCGTCGTGTTGTGGGTATACGAGTCCCACTCGGCAGTGGGCTGCCTCGATACCGTCGTATTTGGGACTTTTCGACTTGACGCAGCATCGAGCCCGTTTTACCAAGCCGAAGGGTTTTGACAATTGGAAGATGCCGTCCTCCCGTCCCATGTGCGCAGCCGCATTTGACATGGGCTCCCCCTGTGCAGACTGAGCAAACACCGGGTATCCAACTGAAGAGGCATGACAGGTCCGTTTTCCTGGTCCCGATGTGATTGATGAGCTTGGACTTCAGGTGCAAGGACCGAGGCACGAGCCTGCAGTTGCCAGTGGAATGGCCGGGCGGGGGCCACAATGGTACGGTCGACTAGGGGTCGAGGGGCTTATTCGGGGGTTCTGGCTGGGCACGACTGGGATGCTCGGTGTTTCAAGTTCATGCGCTCGGCCAGTCGGGCGGCTGCGGCCAGGTTCCCCAGGATCTTGCCCAGACCACCACTGCGCAGAGGTCCCCCCTCGAGGGCCAATCAACCCTCCGTCAGGGCCGACAAATGCGGCCAGGTACCCTCGCCCGCTCATTGGACAGCATTTTCTGCACCCCTGGCATATCGAGATCCACAGGAGCCGCTAGAAGCGGGATACCCCTGTGGTTTTTTTTTCTCTCAGGCCTCCTTCCCCTTTTTGGCTGCACGACGAATCCTGGTTGTGTGCCATTCTCGATCCGCGATTCGGCAACGACGTTGAAAAGCCCTGGCTAAGCTCCGGCAAGGGGGAGGCCAGCTGCCCCACCTCTCAAAGTGCCACTGGCAGCGAACAGCCAAAGACGAGCCAGCCAACAAGGTCGCCGTGCCTGTCGCCTGTCACACCAACGCTTTTTTGTCTCTCAGTGAGACATGTTCCCATCCAAGACCACGGGAAGCGCGACGCCCACGGCGGTCACTGGAGAGAGAGCCTCCACTGCAGCTCAAACTGAGCGCGCGGCTGCCATCACACTTGAATTATTCGTACACACATACAGGAGGCAAGTAGTTATCCGGCACAGTATACAGTAGGTACTGTATTTGGGGTGAAAATGCCGAATTGGGAAGCTGTGGAATCCTGTCAGTGTCACTCGAAGCGGAAAATATTGCCCTTGACCCATGTCGCTGTGGGCGGCCGACTTGCCACAGGCCCGCAGGATGGGCAGCAAGCGGGGGTTGATCGTGCAATTCCTGGCACCGGGAAAGAACGAGAAAGGAACGAGACGAGGCCAACCTCGAGGGCCACAAGGCCACATGTCTGGGCATCGAACATCGGACAGCCGATGGGCCACGTCGCCCCCCGTCTATCCCCCCCACCTCCTTCCGGGCTACCCCTGCCATCCCAACCGGCGTCTTACCCACAACGGGAGAGTCACTTGTGGTAGGCTTGGCTCTCTGGACGCTTGGGACGAGAGGACCCTGTTGAGCCTGTGCAGCTAGTGGGGTTCGAAACAAGCCTGCGCTGCTCGACCTATCAGCCCCTCCCACCCAATCATTAAGGGACGAACGGGGGAGAACAGAAACATCAGGATAAAGGGAGCACTCCCCGCCCTTTGTCGACGCTCTTTTTATTCTCTCCTCATCACCCACGGCATCGCGCCTCGTACTCTCCTTCAAACCAAACAGCTCCAGGCACGGGCTTCATTGTCTTTTTTTCACTTCCCATTGTTCTCGCAACAACACGGTCCCTTGGAACCACTTTCACACACAATTTTGAGCCCGGTGCTTTTCGATTGTGATTCACGCAAAACAAGCCTATTGTTCCTCAATAGCGACAAGCCAACACAGCACAAGCTTCACAACCAACACACACAAAGCCCCTTCATTCCTTCTTGAGGCTCCCGAGCAGCGCTCGATTTAAAAGAAGACAACAACTGCTGGTCCTGACAGTGACTACTTCGCTCCCTGCAACTTGCAAAACTCGCCCATCCGGCATCTTTGAGCGCGCGATCGCACAAACGAAACAACCCCTCCAAAACTCCAAAAAAGCCAATCACGACAACTTTCAAGATGTTCAACAACGGATTCACCACCGGCGCCCTTGCCCTGCTCGCTGGCAGCCAGCTTGCGGCCGCCCACATGGAGATCACCTACCCGGCTCCTTTCCGCTCCAAGTCCAACCCCAACGCCGTCAACATTGACTACACCAACACGGCGCCCCTCTCTGACTCGGGCTCGGACTACCCGTGCAAGGGCTACCACTCTGACCTCGGCACCCCTGCCGGCGCCCCCACTGCCGAGTTCGCTCCCGGCGGCAACTACAACTTCACCGTTGCTGGTGGCGCCCCCCACGGCGGCGGCTCGTGCCAGGTCAGCTTGAGCTACGACCAGGGCAAGACCTTCACCGTCATCCAGTCCATCATCGGTGGCTGCCCTCTCGCCTCCAGCTACCCCTTCACCATCCCCTCCGATGCCCCCGAGGGTGAGGCCATCTGGGCCTGGACCTGGAACAACAACATCGGCAACCGCGAGCAGTACATGAACTGCGCCGCCGTCACCATCGGCGGTGGTGGCAAGCGCGAGGTTCAGCAGCGCGCCTCTGCGGCCTTCTCCTCGCGTCCCCAGGTCTTCGTCGCCAACGTCGGCAACGGCTGCAAGACCACCGAGGGTTCTGATGTCGAGTACCCCGACCCGGGCCCGGATGTTGTCAACAACGGTGGCAGCGTCGCTCCCCCCGTCGGCAGCTGCGGCTCCACTGGCGGTGGCGCGGGTGCCGGCGCGGGTGCTGGTGAGGGTTCTGGCTCCGGCTCCGGCTCTGGCTCCGGCTCTGGTGAAGGCTCTGGCTCCGGCAACGGCAGCGGCAACCAGGGTGGCGATGCGCCGAGCTCTACCGTGCAGGCCACGGCTGCTCCCGCTCCCACCCCTTCCGACCCTCCCTCGCTCCCTGGGTATGTGTTCACTAATTCTACCGCGTCGGCGTGCTCAAGCTTACCATCTTCTACTAGTGGCGTCTTCATCACCCCTCCCGCTGCTGAGCCCACCACCCTTGTCACCCAGACTGCCGTCGCTCCTCCCGCTGCCACCGGCGGTGCTGGCTCTGGCTCTGGCTCTGGCTCTGGCTCTGGTTCGGGCTCTGGCTCCGGCTCCGGCTCCGGCAACACTGCCGGCGCGCACGCTCAGGGCACTGCCTGCACCGAAGAGGGCGCCTGGAACTGCGTCGGCGGCACCTCCTTCCAGCGCTGCGCCAGCGGTGTCTGGTCCGCCCTCCAGGCCGTCTCCGCCGGCACCGTCTGCACGGCCGGCGAGGCTGCCTCCCTCTCCATCGAGGCTATCAGCTCCAAGCGGCGCGTCCGCCGCTTCCGCGGCGCCTCGGCCAAGCTCCGCCTCACCCCCCAGGCCTAAGGGTCTCAGGGTCGACGCGCGTGCAATTTCACTTCTCTCACCGGGTGTTGGTTTACACTACGGGCTTGGGTCGCCAACTGTTTTGGGGGCGGCCCATTTTTTGCATGATTTGATTGCATCACTTCTATACCCCGTTGGCTGGTCTTCTTCTTTCTCTTCGTGGGACGGGGAAGGGGAGGCGCTGGTCGACTTTGATTGTCACTCGTTCATTGAGGCATAGGGAAGCCAAAGACTTTTTAGCCCTTCGTCAGGCGTTTGACCATTTTTTTTCTGATTTCTGCTTTTTGTTATCTGGATTGGCAAGCGGGCTGGGTGTATGTAACAGTACCATTGAGAGATCTGAGGGGCACTCGCTAGAGAAAACAGGGGATTTGGGAACTCAAATTCGGGATACACATGACATAACGTGGATGAATGATACTTTACCTTTCGGTTGACTGCGCCTTGCCACTTGACACGAGCTTCATGTGATTAGGGATGCGAGTTTATGCATTGTGTTTTGTGGAACTATTTTGGGGGCCAACCAGCTCCGTGTTTCGTTTCATGAGATGATCTTGTGTGGTTGTGTTCATCTTGCATAGGGTGATCTAACAGGACACTTCTATAGCACAGCAGGCTAATAAGTTACTTCTAGAAGCCACTGTTTCGTTTCCACACCGATCTGTCACCTGTTTGGCAAAGTTCTGGTAACAGCCGTGGCATGACATCACACGCTCACCAACACAGATGGTGTTGCTCGCCAGCCCTCGTCATCGCTCACCTGACTGCCATTGATCGAACACGATCCATGCACAACCTCGGCGGGTGTACGAGATCTCCGTTTAACAAACCAGCTCTTGTCACTCGTTCAACAGAGTAAATCGGTTTGCAGCGATCCGCTTACACCAAGCATGGCAAACGGGTTGCGCAGATACCTCTGTTCCGCGAGACAGGTTGCAACGAGGTACTTTCTGTCCTCAGTACCACCCTTCCCCATCCACTAAACATGGCAGCGGCGTAACGCAGTTGTACTTTTGCAGGTCCGCTTTGTCACTCGTGTGCTCACGTCACGAATCGTAGCTACTTTTTACACGTTCATCGGCATAAGATGAAGACGTCACGAGTGACACCATCCAGACGTGGTCATGTCATGCTTGAGCAACCAACTTGAAGGCTTTTGACTCCCAACTCCATCTAGAGCGAGCGAACGAAGCACGCACTTGAGATCTAGACACCAAATCCAACCGAAGCAACAAACGGCCGAGACCGCTCTCCCCTTTCCCCCCAACCAACAGCCATCCATCTCCCTACTGCCTCGTCGCCACAATTGCCTCCTCCAGAATCCCCAACCCCTCCCGAATCTCCTCCTCACTCATCACCAAGCTCGGCACAAACCGCAACGTATTCGTGCCCGCCGTAATAACCAACAACCCCCTCTCCCTCGCCGCCCTCACAATCCCCGCCGGGTCCTCACTCAACTGCAGCCCCAAAATCAACCCCCTCCCCCTCACCTCGCTCACCAACCCGGGGAACCTCCCCCTCAACCTCTCAAACCCCTGCCTAAACACCTCCCCCTTCCTCACCACCCCCTCCTGCAACCCCTTCTCCGCCAACCTCTCCACAATCCGCACCGCCACCCGACACGCCAGCGGATTCCCCCCAAACGTCGTCCCGTGATCCCCGACCTTGATCATCCCCGCCACCCGCGCATTCACCAGCGCGGCCCCGATGGGGAACCCGTTCCCCAGCGCCTTCGCCGTCGTCACCACATCCGGGTGGGCCTCCGCAGGCAGGTGGGCGTGCGCCCACAGCCGCCCCGTGCGCGACAGGCCGCACTGGATCTCGTCGTGGATGAGGGTGGCGCCGACGGCGCGGCAGCGCTGGGCGAGGGCGGTGAGGAAGGCGTCGGAGGCGACTTGTACGCCGCCCTCGCCCTGGATGGGCTCGACCAGCACGGCGGCGGTGGACGGGGTGATTAAAGAAGAGAGGGAGGGGATGTCGTTGAGGTCGCCGACGCGGCAGCCGGGGAGCATGGGCGCGAAGGGGGCTTGGTATTTGGGGTTGGGGGTCGCGGATAAGGCGCCCATGGTGCGGCCGTGGAAGGCGTTGCGGAAGGAGACGATCTCGTGTTTGGCGCCGGAGGGGTCGGCGGTTTTGGCGGCTTTGCGGGCGAACTTGATGGCGGCCTCGTTGGCTTCGCTGCCGGAGTTGCAGATGAATGCTGCGGTTGCGTCGTGCATGCCGCCGGAGGCGAGGGTTTGCTCGATTAGGAGCTTGGAGAGCGTGCCGGTCCAGGGGTTGTAGTAGAGGTTGGAGGCGTGCATGAGGGTTTTGGCCTGGGAGGGAGGGGGTGGTTAGTGGGTGGGTGATGTTTGGGAAGGGGAGGGGAGGGGTGGGTTACCTGCTGGGCGATCAGGGTGGAGATCTCGGGGTCGCAGTGGCCGAGCGAGTTGACGGCGATGCCGGCGGTGAAGTCGAGGTACTTCTTGTTCTCGATGTCCCAGAGGTAGGAGCCCTCGCCCTTGACGAAGACGGGCGGGGGGCGGGCGTAGGTGGCCACCATGTAGGGCGCATGCTCGCGGACGAGGGCGGCGCTGGCCGAGTCCTCTGCCGGGTCGGGGTTTGGCAGGGCAGCGTCCCTCTGGATCTGGGCGGGCGTCACAGACGAGGCGCTCGAGGTGGGTACGGTGGTGGCCTGGGAGTAGAACCGAGCTGCCGCTGGGCGGACACTGCGGGCGGCGGCGACGAGCCGCAGGGATGTGCGAAAGGCCATTATTAAGTGACTATGTATGAGACGAGAAAGCCGGTAGGCAATGGGTGGTAGTGGTTGAAGCAGGTGAGAAGGATGAAAGAGAACGAAGAGGAGGGACTCGGTCGAGGGAAGAGAGAAAAGGTAAGATTTCGGCCAGACCGCCGAAGAGGAATTAAAGCAAGTAAGCCTTCCTGAGATGTGGACGACTTATACCCTTCAATGGCGACGACTTGGCTTGTTAGTCACAGCATTGGTGTCAACAAGAGTCATGTTTCATTTCACAAAAACCTCAAAGCGATGTCGGGAGCCGGGATTTGACCCACACCACCAGGAAGTCTCTTATCGATAAGCACCCTCTGGCCAAAAAAAGGCGAACGGGAAAGAAAAGCAAGAAATCAAGCAAAAAGAACAAAACAAATAGAAAGAAATCGAGAAAAGTAAATAAAATAAAAGAAGGGGGGGTAAAAGAAAAGTAAATGGAGTAAATACAGTTTCTTTGGGTTCCAGGTCAGCGTGGCCTTTGTTTTGTTCCTACAGTCGAGGACGACTCCAAGTTTCCATTGTCGGCATCTGCGCTTGGAGTTCGGCTTTTTTTGTCCAGGGGGTGAGAAGGCACTTGGCGAGGTGCGGCGGCCCATCAAGGTTCTCGCGGCGGAGGGCAGTGAGAGCAACAAAGGGGAGGGAAACAATTTATTGTTAAATTTGTTGCCTTCTAGTTATCCCGAAAGTCAATTGGGGGGCTATCTCGTAAACAAAGATGAATGGCAATTGACTTTTACACCAACCATCACGCGCAATCGAGATGCCACAAAAAAGTCATTTCGTTTTCCAGACTCTAGCAGAATCTATGACTCAACTCAAATACAGATGACACGGAAATAAAGCAAAAAATACCCTCGCCGACTTCAACCAAATTAAGACATCGCGATAAGTCATTAGTCATGACGAGCATGCAATCCGCGGCGCCAGCAGCTCCTGGTTCAGGGCATCCCCGTCTCCCCTCGTTACGTGTTAGCAGACAGCGTGAGTCTTCCCAGTCTTGCCCTGGATCGAGTGTTTCTCCTTCTACAATCACATTGTCAGCACCACGGCTATTGTCACATAACGACAGTTCCAAGTCAGCCATAAAACCAGAAGGAAAAGGCCTTACCCGGTACTTGGGATGGTTATGCGGCGCCTTCCCGCTCGCCGTGTGGTGCTTGTGGATGAACTCCTGCTGCTTCCTGATGCTCTCGCGATCCATCTCCTCGAGCAGCTGCTGGCTGAGCTTGATGTCGGCAATCAGGGCGTCGCACCGGTTCTTGGTGAAGTCCTCGCGCACGACCACGCGCAGCATCTTGAGGTCGTTGGTGTGGGGCGCCATGGTGTAGGCCGGGACGACCCAGCCGCGCGACCGCAGGGCGTGGCCGAGCGAGAACTCGTCGTAGTTGCGGCCCTCTTGCGCCGGCAGCCGGAAGGCCACCAGCGGCAGGCCCTCGCCCGACTTCTTGGACATGATGACGAAGCCGAGCGCCTCGAGCGAGTCGGACAGGTAGTTGGCCGTGCGCGTCAGGTTGCTCATGATGGCGCGGTAGCCGTGCTTGCCGAGCCGGATGAGCTGGTAGTACTGGCCGATGACTTGGCTGGCGCCCTTGCTGAAGTTCAGCGTGAACGACGCCTGGTCGGCACCCAGGTAGTTGATGTTGAAGACGAGCTCCTTCGGGAGATACTCGGCGCTGCGCCAGACGACCCAGCCAACGCCGGGGTACACGAGGCCGTACTGTAAGGGTCAGCCAACATATGCACTGACGGTATCGCTGAGGGGCGCATGTTACCTTGTGCCCGGACACATTGATCGAGACGACGTGGTCTAGTCGGAAATCCCACTCGAGATCGGGCACAACAAACGGCGCCACGAACCCACCACTGGCCGCATCAACATGGATGGGCGTGTCGAGGCCCCTCTCTGTCAACAAATCGTTGACCGCCTTGACGTCCTCATACTCGCCCGTGTAAGTGGTGCCTAGAATGCAGCAGATGCCAATGGTGTTCTCGTCCACCAGGTTAACCGTCTCTTCGGGGTCGATGACGTAACGGTCCTCGGTGCAATAGACGAGCTTCTCTTCAATCTCGAAGTAGCGCGTCGCCTTCTCCCAGCAAACCTGCACGGCCGACGACATGACAATGTTGGGCCGGTCGGTCGGCTTGCCTTCGGCCGCCCGCTTGTTCTTCCAGCGCTTCTTCATGGCCAAGACGCCCAGCATGATAGCTTCAGAGCTACCGACACACGATGTGCCGATGGCGTCGGCATCACTGGAGCCGATGGGGGCGTTGAACAGGCGGCCGATCATGGAGACGCACCGGTTCTGGATATCGGCTGACTGGGGGTACTCCTCATAGTCGATGAAGTTCTTTGAGAAGGACTCGGCCATGAGTTTCTCAGCTTCGTCTTCCTGGGGATTGTTAGGACACAGAGCTAGAAGATACACTGCCGATCAGACCTACCATGTATGTCGTGACAAACGAAGCCAGGCTTTGTCTCGGGTTAGCCTCCCCCTGACTGGATTGGAGCGAGTGGAGGACTCACTTCAGCATGGGGTTGCCGTCCAGGCTCAGATCGTCCCTGATCATGCGGTAGGCCACGTCCTTGGGCATCTCGCCCTCGGGCATCTCATGCCGTGGCAGGTCCTGGGCGGCGAACCTCGACCCGTAGACGCTCGTGGTGAAGCTGTCGTCATCGTTGGCTAATTGGAGGTGGACCTTTTTGATGCCGTCGGCAATCTTGTTCACGTCATCCTTGGGCTGGATGGTTTGGAGGTGCACCATGTTTGCGGCTCAGGGGTCGGTAGAAGCTTTGAAGGTCACAAGTAGCGAAACTGATGAGATATCCGAAGTCAACGACCGAGGTTTTATAAACGGCAAAGCAGGTGTAAACACCTCCTTTTTCGTTTAGTTTTGTCAGCTATCGGGTGATGCAAACGCGGCACACATGCGGACGGCGCTGGATATCTCCTGATCCGGTGGTGGGGGTCTGACAGACGGGAGTCACTCTAGGAAGCAATTGGAACTTTGACGAGGAAATAAAGCTGAGGACAGGAGAGAGGAAGGAGCCATGGGACGAAGGAGGCCGCCCCGCGCCAGAGACCAGGACAAACGGAAAAGAGGGGTCAAGCTCCAGTTGGCAGGTGCAGCACAAAGCAGCTGCTTCCGCCGGAGAGTGTGCTCCCCAATCGGCTGTGCTATTGGGCAGCTGCGATGCGTTCCAGGTTCGTCCTCCATCCCTCCTCTGCCCGGTTTCTGCCCATTGGCAACCCTGTCCTCGCAGTCCCTTAGTCAGGGAGGTGCATGTCCCTGGAAGGTGGGATGCGAGAGCAAACCGGGGTTGCTTGTGTTGCTGCTTCGGCACTGCTCTCACAAAGCTTGTTTTATGCAGCCCTGTCGATCGGGCTTGGCGGATTAGTTGAGTGAGAGAGGAACGAGTAAGTTTCTTCGACGACCCCTAAGGACGATAAACAAGTTGATGACATCATCAAACGAAAACGAATATACGCCGAATCCACCCATCATTAGATCCAAGACGAACACCGAGCAATATGCAACATTCAAGCATGTTGCTCGAGGCTCTCGCCTCATGGACAAAAAAAGCCGAACTCCAAGTGCAGATGTCGGCCATAGAAACTTCGAGTCCTTGGCTGGAGGAATATAATGAAAGTTATCCTGAAGCCCAAAGAAACTCCATTTACTCCATTTCCTTTTTTTTTTTCACCGTCTTCTTTTATTCGACTTAGTTTTCTCGATATCTTTTCATTTATTCCCATGCCGAAGCCCAAAGAAACTCTATTTGCCCCATTTCCCCGTTCCTTTCACCCTCTTCTTTTATTTGACTTAGTTTTCTCGATATCTTTTCATTTATTCTTTTTGCTTGGTTTCTTACTTTTCTTTCGAGTTCGGCTTTTTTTGGCCAGAGGGTGGCTCTGTGGCTGAGCGCTGGCTAGGGGTTCCCATGACTCGAGCCCGGGGAGACAAGAGCGTTGGGTTTTGAGACACAGCGGGAGTTCTGGGTTGGGCAGCATACATCTCACACGCAACATCATGACACGATACCCCGCTAAAAAGCCGCCGCGTCCCATCGAAATTACCTACCTATGCAGAAGGGCGGCCTCGGGCTACTGGGGGGGGTAATGGGTGAGGTATGAGGGGGATTGGTACAATCGTTCGCGTTGTTGGTGAGGGTTGTACTGCACTGAACTAGCTCGCGGTGTTTGGGTGGGACATGTGCTACGGCACTCACTAGACGAGAGACGAGGGGATACAACCAAACAAAGAGGTCATGGCAACCTCTCTAGCGGCTCAAGAGGCGGCTTGCACGGTCGATAGCTTTTATTGGAAAGCTAGCCAGCCGTCGATCACCTCCGCAAAGCCCTTCGCAGCCAGCTTCCGCGCAACGGACCGCCGCCAGTCCGACTTTGTCTCCTCATTATCGTCGTTTGGAAAATCCATCCCAGACGACAGGTGGAACTTGGTCCGAACCCACTCCCTGGGAACGTAACCGGCGATCTCCCAGTCAATCACGCCTATCCCGCGAGTGTCGGGCTCGACAAGAATATTGCCGGGGCCGAGATCACAATGATAAAACACCAGATCCGCCACATCCATGCCCATACCAACACAATTCCGCCGCAGCACTTCCGGCTCAAGACACTGATCATCGTTGGCCAGATACAGCTCCATCACCTGACCCCCGTCCACACCACAAACACCACCCTCCCCCGTCCACTCAACCATCTTCTCGCACAGCCCGGCAACCCGCTCGACATAGTACTGCCGCAGCTCATCGCCCATCGCCGGCCACGCCTCCGTGAGCGTCACGCCCGGCACGCGGGAAACCACCAAATAGTACCGGCCGTCCCACTCGCCGTGGTAGAGCACGTCAGGGATGCGGCAGTCCAGCGGCTCGCTTTGCGAGTGTAGGAACTCGAGGGTCGCGTGCTCGGGTGTGACGCGCGGATGCCGCCGGTCACGGGCCTTGATGAAGGCGCCGCTGCCGGCGGCCCAGACGGCGGATTGGTCCCCCGCGGCGTACACCCTCGGTAGTATGGCTGATTGCGCGGGGTGGGGGTGGTGGTGGGAGGGGAGGGGGGAAGGGGCGTCGGAGAGGACGAAGAAGCCGCCCGAGCCGTCGGACCAGGATGCGTGATGGGGTGATTGGGGTGCCTTTGGTTGTCGGGAAAGTAGTAGTCTTTCGCCGAGCAGCCAGGTATTTTCGTCGACGGCTTGGATTGAGTCGTTGACGTGGGCTTGGGGAGACGACATATTGCAGGCGTGGGAATTAACAGAAGCTTCTGGTTGGGATCGACCGGATGCGGGGTAGGCAAGTGAGGAAAGGAATTAGGGAATTTGTGAAGGGAGGAAGAAATAACTTGAAAGAAAGAGAGCAAGGTTACTGGTTTTGAGGGCGTGTAAATCTAGTGTTGGTCGTTGGCGTGAGCGGGGGCTTGCTGCTGGGAACCGCCCAAAAAGGAGCTTGTCTGCTGTCTCTGGTTGGCTGCAGTGACCCAATCGGCCGGAACCCCTTCCCCCCTCAGGTTAATGCTGAGCGGACTGTTGGGGACACCTAGAGGCAGTGCTTAGGCTCGTGAATGGCATACTGTTTACAGGGGAGGGTGTTGTTATAAGCGAGGCGGAAACGTTGGTACCATGACAATCTCGTCTAACACCCACCTAATGTTTGTTTACCTTTTCCGCCTCATCACCAGTCTTGGCTGGTGTTTTCCGTCTGCAGAAGAAGACAAGTAGAAATAAGACGGACAAATGAGACGGTGGGAGAGTGCAGACGGAGGGGCTGAGCCTACCCAATCAACGAAGCGGCATGTGGATGTGCATATTGGGGTGGTGGGGATGACAGTTGTTTTCTCAGGTCCCATCGAGCGGGGAACAACCTAGCGTTTCTTCTCTCCGGCACCAAGTACGCTGCGGATGCTCTTCGGCGCCGTAGATTGACATCAACCACCTTCTCGAGCTATTCCGTCAGGGTGCTATCAATGCGTCTCGGTCGACGATGGCGTTTTCTCGGGAAAACCAGGCGCCGTTGACATACGATGAGATGGGAAAAGGTAGATAGATCTCTTCTCTCCATTCGGCTCTCTCTCTTTTCGTTGTAGCTATCGTTGTATTGAACTTGTCATCTCCCATTTACTTCACTTGAGCCAGGAATATAATATGTCTGGCTTAGTCTCTGTAACACTACCCCCCCAGACCCCAAACAGTCCTCGGAAGCTAACACACCTTCCCAGCCCTCGCATCCCTCGACGGCGAGATCGGGGCGAGCGACCTGCTCATGAGCGTGGCGCCGCTCCGGCTAATCTCGGTCGGGGGCTCGCTGGCGGTGCGGGTGTGCCACAACCGGGAGGCGTCGTACGACATCGACTGCATCCTGGACCCCAACATCGCGGCGGCGACCGACTACCTGGTGGAGCTGCAGCGGGCCATCTCGGCGGTGGCGGAGCAGGGCGGCTACATCGAGGACTGGCTGAACCGCGAGGTCGAGCTGTTCGTGTCCAAGGACCGCCGCATGGACCTCTTCCTCGAGTCGGTCCAGCAGGGCATCACCATCTACGAGGGCGCCAACCTCGTCATCTACGCCGGCCGCCTGAGCTGGGCCCTCGAGCGCAAGGTCCGCCGCATCGCCCACGCCCGCGACCGCCGCGGCAACAAGGACGTCGACGTCTCCGACGCCGCCGCCCTCGTCCGGCTGATGCGCCAGACCGGGGAGCCGCCCATCAGCTTCCGCTACATCCGGGAGCTCAACCTCAACGGGTTCGAGCTGCCGCCCACCGACGACGCCATCCAAGAGGTCGCCGAGCTCTACGCGGAGAAGTACGGGGAGGTGGGCATTGCGGATATGGTTTGGGATGCGGAAACGGCCAAGTGGAAATACCAGGGCCTTCAGAATGACTGGGTGTGGTGCTGAAGCGGGGGATGGGGGATGGGGAACGGGGGGGACGGAGCATGGGGATCATATCCCAAGCTGGAGGGTCGGGATTGGGCACGGTGTCACCAAGTAGCAGCACAAATTTTAACAATTTTCTGGTCGCGCGTGGCTGTCAAGGTTCGTTCGGGGCCTATCAGACGGTGTAGAACCACCCGGTCGCCATGTAAACGTTGCGGCGATGGAGCGGGCTGTCGAAATACGCGTCTTCCTCTGGGTGAATAACGAGCTTCTCCTGCAGGGGCGGCACCTTGGCCGTCCACGAAGGGCGCGTCTCGGGCACGAAGGGCGGCGGGTCGGCACCGCCGTGGCGCACGATCGGCTGGTCGGTCCGGCGCAGGCCGAGCTCGAAGCGCCAGGTGAAGGAGTCGACCAGGATGTCCGCCAGCGCCGCCATGACGGCGTACTGCTCCGGGTCCGCGCACTCGGGATCCGGCAGGTTGGCGACGGCCCACCGCGGCGACGACCGCCGCCAGAAATACTCGGTCTCGTACGTGATCATGTGTCCGTCGGCGGCGCAGAAGGCCTCGTAGAGGCGGTAGAAGGACCGCTGCGGCGTGTCGCGCGCGCGCCACAGCGGCATGGAGCGGAGGTAGATTAGGTCGCGGACGCGGCAGCGGACGCCTTCGGGGTCTGCCATGATGGCCCTCGGCGGCGGTGGGAGCACGGCGCGGAAGTCCCAGGCTGGGAAGGGCCAGAGGAGGCGCAGGACGAAGAGGTAGGCGTTGGGCTCTGGCGGGTGCTTGAGCGAGCGGGCATGGCGCAGGGCGTTACGCAGACCAAGACCGGTCTGGGTCGGCAGGAAGCGACGGCGGAACTTGATGAGAGGCCACCGGTATTTCAGAGGCAGATAGCGGAAGTTCCATAAGTAGATGCATATCTCCTTCAGCCGTTGCCAGAGCATCGCTCGTGGCGGAGAAAGGGGGTTGGCTGGGTCGAACCGTAGCCCACCGGAAGTGAAGACCCAGACAGTCTCTCTATCGGCGGTGGATGTTTCCCGCTCCTCGCTCGTCACTCTTCGCTCTTCGTTCTTTTTAAAGACGTGTTAGCGCGCACATGTCGATCTCCGGAACAAAAGAATAATAGAAAGAAAAAAGAAAAAAGAAAAAAAAACCAAATAAAATAAACCAACAATTATCACTGCAGGCGCATGTTATTTTAAGCCAAAGGCAGGCCCAGTCTGCGGTCGCCGTGACCTTCAATAAAACGTGCGTAACTATTCGGACGTGGCCGAGTCTGGCGGTGAAGTTGGGGCGTAGATGCCGGTTTGAGTTTTGTTGTCGAAAAGGGAAGACGAAGGCGGAAGGCGGCAACCTGAACGCGGAATGGACCCTCACGAGAGACCCTTGACGAAGCAATCCTAGCCCGCCATGTGACTGGTCAACGGGGCGGTCCGCCAATGCGCTGTGGCCCCTGTGACGTCACTGGCGCGAAACGGAGCAAACTGCCGTCAGCGCTAAACGGTGCATATTACCCTTGTTACGGTACCCGATTCAGGGGCACGACAAGGACGGCGGGATGAACGAAAAAGGGAGCACCAAAATAGACACCCAAGCTCCTGACCGAAAGGGGGTAGCGAGTGTACAAAGTGTACGCTCGGACTAGAGAGCAAGCATACTTGTATACCCAGTCACACAGGGGCAGCCCCCCCTTTTCTAGTCCGTCAGTGACACAAGAACCCCCCCCCCTCTAGCCAGTAGGCAGGTCAAGCAAGGAAGCACAAGTCACCAAACAGATGGACTACACCCAAGTCGCACAACGATCAACCTAGTCCGGGCACACGCCCAATCACACAAACACGGCACCACACACAGCTTGACGGAGCAACACCCGCGAGTCGAAACTCTTGTCTTGTATTGCCAATGACCCGACATCCCAGCCGACATGCCCCAAGGCCTCAAAGCAAAGCATCCATCGACCCACGCCGTCTGTCTATACGTAACAGCCGTCTCCGCTGCCGCGGCACCACCACCTTCCACAAGGCAAGGTCCAGTAGCACAGTCGTCCCACCCGACTAGACATGAAAAAAGAAGAATACACAAACAAGGCTTTTTTATTTTGCTCTCCGAGTCCCCGACCGAACCCATAACCCCCGAAATCAGATAGCCTCCACCCCCGCCCACCGCCGGCCGTTACCCTGTTGGTTTGTCTCCGTAGAGAGTGAGTGACAAGAAAAGGAAGAAGAAAAAAATGGATATTAAACTGAGAACCGAAGGAAACATGAACATTGTGCCGCCCTTCTCGGAGAAGAGGGGGTATATAGTATAGGGATGGTATCAAAGTAATGCAACGGAGCCGCCTGTCCTGTTCCTCTGGCGCCGCAGGAGGAAGGGAATGATGTGTACGCTTTATGCGTGTCAGAGAGAGGGAGTGTCTGTGTGGGTGGCGCGGGTGTTGAAGGGCTGAAAGATTGGTGCGGTGTGTTTACCGGTGGAGGGCGGTTGTCGGGTTGTCTGTCGTGATCGTGTGTTTATGCATGGATATATATCGGAGGCCTTGGAATCTCCGGTCGAGGGGTTGAAATGGCATATGCGGCTTCGTATGTCTCGTGGCTGGGGTGGCGGGCGATGGTTCGAACCGGCCGTGACCGCAGCCGTGTTGTCGAGGTGCCGTTCGTGGAGGTAGTCGTGGTATCGTCATGCTATCCCCGCCTTTGATTCTCTTCTCCTCGTGTGTTCTCCCCTCTCCTAGCTCGATTCCGTCCTATCCACCAAACCACCCTCTCACGCCCGCGTAGCCTCCACCACCAACCATCAACAACATGACCCACCAACCTCCCAAGACAGCCTGCCAAGCACTTAAATGATGTTCGCAATGCTGATTCGCTCCTCGTTCTTGCTCTTTCCGCTCGCCGTCGGGCTCCCCGTCCCGCACGCCTGGCTCGGTCGCGGCCCGGGTGCCACCATCGGCGGCAGGGTCGCCATCTCTACCCGCGCATCGTGCCCGCCCATCTCCATTTTGATTCCCCTCTCCTGCTGCGGTTGGTGATGGTGCTGGTGCTGGTGGTGCGGTGCCAAGACAGGCGGGAGTGGTGGCGGTGCCGGGGCAGAAGTATTCCATGCCTGGTGCTGTTGATGGTGTTGTTGGTGTTGTTGGTGGTGGTGTTGATGTTGGTGTTGATGATGGGATTGGTGCTGCTGCGGATGAGGGTGTGGGTGTGGGTGCTGATGCTGATGCTGGTGCTGAGGTTTCGTGCTCGGTGCTGCCGACGTTGGTGTTGTCACTGCTATCTCGCCGGTCGCGAACCTCCTCAACGAGCTCTCCAGCCTCTCCCAGCCCTCCACCCCTTGTCCCCAATCCCACCTCTCCTCACTCGTCAGGCTAGACCGTGCTTCGGCTCCGAACAGGCCGGGCTTCCCAGACACGGTTACCGGTGCTGGCACTTCGCGTTCGCTGCTGCCCGCCCAGACCCATGCCGTTTCCATCCCCGCCTGCAGGTCAGCGCTCACGTATGCGAGCAGCTCTTCGTCGCGCAAAAGGGCCTCGTTGACCGCTGCCTGGGAAGGTCGCTGGGGCGGCGGCGGGCCGTATGGCGACGGAGGGTGGGTGGGCGAGGGGGCCTGCGAGAGGTACGTGACGATCTCGGCCCGTCGGGAGGCTAGGGCAGAGACGAAGAAGTCGAGGTACCGGCCGCAGGGCACGGCCACATCGCGGTGGTCGTTGATGGCGGCCAGGACACGGATGCACTCGAATGCTTGTTCGAAGCAGCCCGTGAGGAGCAGGAAGAGGGTACAACGGAAGGTATGGGTCGTAAGAAGGGCGGTGGCGCCTTGGGCAATCATACGGATCGGCGTACGTGCGAGGAGGGCCGCAGTATCGAGCGCCGTGTGCATGCATTGCTCGGTCGCTGCTAAACGGACGTCGGGGGGACATGACGGAAGGAGATTGTGCCGATGGAGGAGAAGCCGGGCGTGGAGAAGGTAGATCAAGGGGTTTGTGAACGAGGGCATGAGGGACACGCTGCTCGTGGGCTGGCAGGCCGGCGGGAACGCGCGTCGGCACGAGATGAAATGCTGATCGAAGGTCGCGAGCCGGGTGGGTGCGATGACGGGTGAGGAGAGCGCCCTGCTCAACGCCGTGTACGAACGCACAACGTTGACGACGGCGAGTAGGGAATGCGTGAGCCCTTCGGCGCCGTCCGGGAGCCTCTGGCCGCGGTCCGACAAGTGATGATCGTCGACGGCTGCTGGCAGGGACACATCGCAGTCCGAGTCGTCGATGAGCATGGGTCTCCCGAGTTCGATTGCTAGGCTCCGGTCGAGAATATAGATCGTCCACCACGTTCGCCTGCGCATCTCGGCCTCGACGAAAGATGCCGTCCCCGGCTCGGTGTAGAGGCCCAGGTCCTGGGCTACCCTGACCGCACGTCCCAACCAGCTACACGCCGCCGACTTCAGGTTCAGCTCGTTCAAGGCCATGGTGACCAGCACCAGCGCGCGTGCGTCGTCCAGTTCATATTCGTCGCTCCACGGGTCGATCAGTGTCCGTGTCGTTTCGAGTAGCTGGGTGGCCGAGTATGCACGGTTCTGGTCGTTTTCTGCCATGAAGAGTCGGCCGACCGTCAAGACAGCGAAGAAGACGGACATGAAGGCCTGAGACGCGCGTAGCGGGTTCCCGGGCCGGTACAGGCCGTCGACCGTCTGCGTCAACGTGTTCCAGTGCAAGATGGGGGTTACCGAATGTATCGACGTGTAATAGGACCGCATCAGCTCGTCAGTGGTCCGTCGTGGCGGCAGGAGCTGCTGGAAGTCTCGCAGTTCGGGCGCCGCAGATTGTCGATACGGGGCCGGGGGCTTCCATATTCCCCGCGCGTAGCTCCTTAGGTTCGATCTCGCCCTGGCAAGGTCGTGGACGCCCGCCGGCCTCTTCTTTCGCTTGGGTTGCTGGCCGATCTCGGGTAGCTGGAGCGGCAGCTGCTCGACGCCGTCTATGTCCATCTCGAATTGGCGGCCGTCGCGTTCCTGTAGCATGCGGCGGAGGCTGTGGTTCTCACGCCGGATCCGCTCCATCTGCTTCTCGAGATCCTGCACCTGCTTGATGGACGACATACGGCGATTGGTCTCCTTGGTGAACTGGCACTTGACGCCCCGGCTCGAACATTCGGAACAGCTGGTGGTCTCGGTTGCGTCGCACTTGACCTTCCTCTCACGACACGCGTCGCAGCTGGGGTCCTTCCTCCGTTGCCGGTAAGCTCGCTTCTGTGCCTGGGAACTGCTGTTGTTGGACGGTAGGTTGGCATGAAGCGCCCGAGGTGTGCCGGCTACCGACTCCCCCGATGGTAGAGACTCCCGTTCCATCATGGACGAGGTGGACGTGAGGGGCGTATAGGCCTGGAAAGAGTTCGGGGGATGGTTGTGGACCGAAGGGAGGGGCTGTGGGATTCCTATGGTGTGCAGCGGCGCCTGGTTCGATCTTGCGCTCGGGGTGGCGCTGCTCACACTCGGCCTCATAGGGCCGCCTAGGTACTGCTCGGCCGGTTTGGGTGAAGGGGCTGAGGGGGCGAGGGATGAGTTGTAGGGCCGCACTGAGGCGTTGGGAGATCGAGGATACGGGTTATGCGTCGCAGACGCCATGGTGCCGGCTTGCTTTTAAGAGGCCTATTTCCGGAAACCCGAGTCGGAACCCGTCTCCACAGACTCTCCGATAGGATGCACGCTGGGGAGTTGCCGGTCAAGGAAACATGCAGACGGGAAATATGTTGGGGGGGTGGGGGAAGGGGATGAAGGAGTTGATGAGGCAACTTTAAAGGTGAGCCTGACCTGCCCTGCTCCTCGCTTGTTTTTCTCTCCACACCCTGGTCTCTCAATCCACACAGAGGTGTGTACTGTGAAATAAGAGTGTGGAGGAGGACCCCTTGTTAGGGAGACTGAACCTTGGACCACCAAGCTCCACAAACTCCACGCTCATACACACGGCCAACCCACAGAAACGCAGAGGAGACAAGCTTTCGAAGCTACCGTAAACGGACGCAGGCTCTTACTTGGCTGAGTGGTTGGCAACACCCCGCAAGTCGCTGCAAGTGAGTGTTTTCGGTGATTTGTGCAGCAGCCAGTGATGATGAAGGCGGCGGCGGCGGCGGCGGCGGCGGCAGGAAGCAGCACGAAGCAGCAGGAGCACTCGCAGCTTCTCAAAAAGCGATGATGGTGAGTCTTGTTTGGAGCATAGTCCAGTCGCTCTGTGTTCGAAAAGTCCCGGGGTAGTATTGTGCGGTGTTGCAACGCCGTGCAACCCCAATGCCGCTCTGATCCGCGACCCGTCTGCCCTCGTCCTTGTCCCGCAGTCTCAGGGAGCAGCAGCAATATTTGTCGGCAGCTGAGCCGTTTGGTAGCGGGGCAGCCGCAATACAACCATGTGCTATAAGGCGGCCCTATTAGTAGCACCCGTGGGGAGCCGGCATGGGGACCCTAAGGAGCATGCGGTCTGGGAGGTGTGCGTTTGGGCTGGGGCGCGTCGGCAAAACCGAGCGCGGCAGGCGTATTTCCTGTGTAGAGCGGCTTCAACGGGGGATGCTCGGGCAGACGCGCTGGGGCAGAACGGAGCTGGCTAAGGCGGGACAATCCACCCAGTCGGCACACACGGAGCCCGCAGCCGCCAGTCGGAAACGACGAAAATGTTGGCGGGGGGGTGGTGGTGGGAGGGCAGAAGGATGGTGGAGGCCACAGAGGCAGCGGCAACGCGGCGAGACTGGCGAGAGAGGAAAGGTGAGGTGCTGCGCGCTTACACCCGTCTCCTAGTGGCGGGGGAAACACGGGGACATGCAGCAGCAAATGGCGGGCGCGGGTTGAGCGACGTGAACAGGAGGAAGCGAGGACATTTGCCGTCGAGAAGCGTGGTTTGAAGCGGCGGAAAAGAGGGCAACAACCACACGCGCCAGGAGGTCAACGAGCCTGTCTGTGCCCGTCAGTGCCTGTCTCCATCGGTGGAGACAGTTGTGCCGCTAATCTCATCATCCATGCCCGTTGCGCGCTTCCCATGTCTGGGGTGTTCCTGTAATCTACGAAATAACGTGGAAGGAGAGTTACCGGTAATCGGTTTCTTACCGGTCCGGGGCGCAGAGGCTGACCGGGGTGGGTGGGCAGGCCCGCAGCAGCGCAGCAGACTGTGTTTTGCATACAGTGCCCGAGGGTCGCCAGCGTCCTCCATGCAACTGTGTAGACATAATCACCCAGTTGTGCCCGGGTTCCGCCAGCCTGAGCTCAGGGCTCGCGTGGGCAGACGATGACGGTGTGGGCGGGGAATGTGTCTCTGTCTCTTGACTGGCTCGTGGCGGTGATGTCCATCCCTCCGAAAGCCTCCCCTGGCATGAGACCTCGGCCGCAGAAGACGGGAATGTGGCTTGGAAGGGCATTTACCGCCCAGGTTCGGTCAGGCGCGTTTTCGAGCCGACATTGTGGATTCCAAGTCCTGGCACAATCACCACGGACCCCGGACCCTGCTCCAAGGGCCCCCGGTCCGCCAAGTGACGATTCGGCTGCGATGGCCGCACGACACCGTCATCAACTGCGTCCGAAAAGCCGTGTGGTCCGACCAGGGGAGACAACCATGAAATTCAGCGCCAGCACACCTCGCCTCCCACACAGCCACCCTCGGGCCACCATCCGTAACCTCTCGTCGCTCGTTCACACTTCCTTTTACACTACACTGTGTAAGTCGAAGTCTTGCCAGCAGCTGAGGGTATGAGTTGAACAGCTTCCGCAATCACTAACCCCCGGCTCCTTTTTCCCGATTTGGTCGGGAGAGCCAGGTTCTCTCTCCCGCGGCTCGCTCGCTAACTTGGCCATCTCATTCGATCCCGCTGTTGCCGGCCTTTGGCTGTCTTGTGGGAACTTCCCGGTTGTGCTGACGAGGATTCGTCACAGCTACGCGGCGCCGAAACGAGACCGCTCCGCACTCCTCGTTTCTTGTTGGTGGGCAATGGCCCAATGAGCGAGTTGGCTAGTCTCAAAGACAACGGAGCTACCTGGTTAGTTCTTGAGCCTCCAGCTGCGGATTCGCAGCCAGCCAATAACCATCAACGACCGCTGTGTGTTCAGCAGCATCGTCTTTCGTGCCCTGCCAAGACGGCGAGCCGGAAAGCTTGGAGAATGGCAGTGACCGGGCTTGCTCGGAAGCCGGAAGACGAGGCGCTTGTTTCTTTTCCTGCGAGCGGGAAAACTTTACAGAGATGACGTTACTCTGAACGAGCAAGTTTGCTGAATCTATGCGCTCACGGGGGTAATCCAGAGACTGAAATCCTGCTTAGCCGGGGGACAGCATGGGACCCGTTCGGTGATTTCAGCGACAATGGCACGAGTGGTCAACATCGCCAAGGCCGTACTCGTCTGTCCATTCATAACTATCCACTCCAGCGGGACGTTTCTTGCGTCGCGATGTTGGCCGGAGACCGGGTTAGCAACCGAGGTCCCATGAGAGGTTGGAATCAGATTGGTCGGGAATGGGTCGCGCCACCATCGCCGTGCTGTGCCGGTACTGTATGTACTGTGTATGCAGTCGCCTCTCATTTGATGGGCTGTGACAGGGTCGGTTAAGCTCCGAGGAAGGGATGACAGCTGAAACGGGTCAGAAATCAAAAAGCGGGATTGATGCGGGACTGTGGGGTGTCATTTAAATGTCCCGTCACCATCCGGAGTCCGGCTCGTCAAAGGAAGACACCCAATTGATGGGATCTTGTGGGTGCAATCTGCACTGGGCGGGTGTGGCTCCGTGGGCGTGGACAGAGTCGCATCCTTGGCCCGCGAAACACCAAAGACCAAAAGACACACTCGGCCACTCAGCCAACCGTATCCGTTGCTTGTTGTTTGTTGTCAGTCCCTCGAGTCGACATTGCGACTCTGGACTCGGATGGAGCCAATACACAGGAGTCGTCTTAACCTGGGTGCATCCTGCAAAGGTCGGACGCGGGTCGACGAATTCGCTAGGATGGTTGCAGTCTCTGCGAAGGATCCATCCTCGTCAGTTCCGCGAACGAAGCATCGACTGTATGGAGTAACTGGTAGTTAATACGAATGAACCACTGCACCAACTTCCTACTCGACTGGGTCGACCGAGTTGAGGGACCCCGAATGCCGAGATCCAGCGAGAGATGGGGTAGTATGTCGTCTTCATGGATGAGGCCGTCTCTCTCGGCTACCTTTCGTCCGGAATCATCACAAGTCAAAGCCGAGGAGCGCGTTCAAAAACAAGCTCATAGAAACCGTTTCTGGAGTTTTTTTGGTTTTCGGGTTCGCGAATTGGTGCGCAGGGTGGAGACGAAGGGCAGAACGTTTTCCATCATACAATTGCTTGGCAAAGAAGAAATGGCTGGACCCTTGATCCATGCCAACCATGCGCCGGGGCCGGGCGCAGACCAACCGGCACCCGACAGGCGACGCCATGGAAGCGGGCCAGTGGGGAGGGCAGGGCTCGCTCTCGGCAAGAGGTGTCAGGTTGTCACTGACCACTTCCTCGACCGTTTCAAGGTGACCAATGCACGAGCAATGACAGCATCATTTAGTTTCGGGACAGTTTTCCGGGCAATTTCTGGACAACGAACACTATAAATATGAAGATCTCGTTAAGGGAGAAGCTCCTACCTTAATTATGGAAATTAAGGTACCTTATATATGTAGGTACACCAGGTAATTATCTGGTTCCGAGTTCCTGGTTCAAGGTTACTATGCCCTGTATAGGACAATGTGACCACTTATTCTGACAACCGTGACATTTCATCAACGTTCTTGGTGAGTTCGGTGACTCTGTGCTGTTCGCACTGTACTCGGTAAGTCATCCGTCTTTTTTGTTTTTTTTGTCACGGCGGGTTCCATGCTGCTGCTCCATGCAAGTCGGCAGGCTCACAGCACTGCGGCGGCCCAGGCGGTTCAGTTCAAATTGATGCCTGCAGCAACGGCCGGCGAAGGGCTCAGAGGACCTGGAGGAGGATGGAAACGGCAGGAGCAACTGTGAGATTTTGCTCATCAAAGGAATTTTCAGAAGGCGCCATGCAAGTGACACCCATTTCAGCCTAGACTGCCCCACCAGGTCAAAGACCTCCCCTGTCCCGGGAAGGTGCAGCTCACAGCGCGCAACACTAGTATACCTGGACACGGCAGGAACAATCTCCTCCATGCCTCTGTGGAAGATGCCGATGGAAGAGTCTGCAGTTGCGACCCGATGAACCTAACCTGGAAAGTCCATTTGAACAGACACCGAATGGTTAACCGTTGAAGAGGCCTGGGCCTTCTTGGCGCGAACAAGAGTCCTTCCGTTTGGCTCACGCGAGTGCACGCCGACTTCAACACAACACAGAAAACCGAACGATTCGAGGACAACAGACTGTTTAATACTTATTTACCTAGGTACCGAGGCAAGTTGTGCATACTCCGACCGTCTCTCTGTATTCTTACACCCACTTCACCACCACATCATGCGGATACCCCCTCAACGATGCGGCTCCGATGCGGGACGCCGTCGCACGGAAATGACCTTGACCGAGCAGCGTCGGCGACTGTGCCCAATCTCCCAATTCCTCTGCGGTGCAATCCACAAGTGTTGTTTCACGGCTTGAACAGAAAGGCCATGATCTGCGGTCCACGCCGTTGGGGCCGAACCAACTCACCGGCTTCAAATCACAGATGAGGCAGGGAACCGCGCTCCCCCCACCATCTCTCCAGGGAATGTCCTGCCGAGAAGGAAGCCATGCCATATGGCGGTTGCACGAGTGCCCTCGGCGTTCCGAACAAACCACGCCATGCACGCCAGGCGGACAAATGATTCGAAACGGGGCCCTTCAAGGCAGCCAAGATCCTCCCAGGTTCGGGCGAATGTTGCCCGGTGCAGATCAGCAGCTTCAAACGACGGCCGTGAGACATGGCTTCGAAGAGCCTAAGAGGTAAGCAGTCAGGGGAGGAACCGCTGCAGCATCCCGAACCAGAACTGTCTCCGCGAGCCACGAGCCACGAGCCACGGGAAGGGGCCGATTCAGGATGCGAACCGGATAGTAGAGCGATGCTCCGAAATACTTTGCAACCGGCGGAAACCGTACGGCGAGTTTAAGCTCAAACCCAGAGAGACGTTTGTGCTGTACCGTTTTCTTTCCCTCTTGCCCAAAGAGCAGTCGCCGCAGCCGCCAAAACAGCCCTCCGGGTCTAACCTACCTATGCGCGGTCCTTTGCTTCCTCCGATGGCGCACCAGAACCTGTCCCTTCTCGTGTAACACACACCTCGTGAGACATGCTCAACGGGCGTATCCAGAGGGCGGCCACACACGACCGTTGTTTGAGAGGAGTGAGGCGGGCCGGCGTTGGGGTTGATGTCCAAAGTTGCGGAACCGCGGCCCAGCAATTCGTCACGACGGACTCTTCGGTTCTTTCCGCTCCGCGCCTCCTCTGCCAAACACGTAACGCTCTTCGTATCGCATTCTCCACGCATCGGGCGGCAGGCAGAGCCTGTTGGCGACCGAGCCATCGATATTATGCAGTGCAACCCCCGAGACGGTCGATGGAGCGGCAGACGGAGAAGCATGCCGAGCGATGGATCCCGAGATCCTTCATTCGCAACGGGCACTGTGCTTATCCTGTGGGTCTCGGAAGCCCCCGATCAGGAGCGGGCCCCCGGCAGCCCACGGGGAAGCGAGACACGGCTCCATGGCGGACTGAATCCCGTCCGAGTATGTACAGTGTGCCTAAAAAAGAAAAAGCCAAGTATGAAATACCGAGTGCTCCCTCCAGTTTCCAGCCATTCTATTTTGCACGATGAAAGGAGAAATAAAAAAGGAAGAAGGGACGAAAACAGCAGCCGATGAGGAAGGTCTTCGTTCACACAAATCTCGTCTGGGCTAGCGACTCTCGTTGGAGTGGAGGCCGCACCTTCATCATCGATGTTGGGCCTTACGGTGCAGCGCAGGATTTCTCGCTGGACAAACGTCCCAGGTTACTTCGTAAGGCCGCAACTCGGCCGTCACATGCCTTTAACGTCAAGGAAGCCGAGGGAAATGAGTGGAGGAAAGAGAAAGACGGTGGTTTCTTTTGTTTGAGACCTCCCGTGCCCCTCAACAGGAAGGGAATGCCGTGAAGCCGTATTCGGTTCCGGGCGGCGACGTTGGTGGTTCGACGAGACCATGGAACTCGCCGCTTGTTCACCAAAACGGAGAAGAAAGCGTCCCCTCCCCAGTCTCCACTCGTTACCAAGAGCAGCACCCTGTCGGGTGGCTTCCGAAACTCTTGGTGCCGATCTCAACGTTATTCTGCTGGTTGGCCGCCGCCATGGGATAAAAGAAGCAAATGCAAGGCTGGGTAGCTGGCGGAGATCGCAGCCTGTTCCACGTGTGTTCGGATGCCGCCTTGTCGGTCGGCACTCTGCTCGTTTCCCTTCACCTTTTCGAGACAATGGATGTCGCAGACGAGCCGGCAGCTGACCTGGATGACTCGCCGTTGCTGCAGGACACGGCCAATTCCCAACGGCACGGAGACGACAACGCAGCCGAGCCCAGTACCGCGTTTTTCCGCTCGCCTTTTTGATGCGCGCCCTCGCCAATGGACAACAGCACAAGACCAAGCGCAAGAGGCGACGCCCCGGCCAATGATCGAGATGCAGGACCCGCGATCAGCGAGATCCGTGGATCCAAGATGGCCCCCCGGCGGCCCTGCCGTGTTCGCCCCCCAGATGCAGATAAGCGCTAGCCCCCCTTCGGGAATCCCTTCGCCGCCGTCCTTCCGAACTAGCGAGAAAAAACGCCTGATGGTGGCAGCAAAAAGGGGGACGCCGCCCTGGCTGACTGGCCAACTTTTCTCCGCGCCGGGCACCCATCCCCCAGTCGGGCAGCTTGCTGCAACCGCTCCACTTCCCACAGAGACACTCGTCGCTCGGCCCGGCAGCTACCGCCAGCAAAGCGCAAGGGGCAGGTGACGAGATGGAGAACCGCACAGTTGTCTCGTATGGTATCGGTATTACCGTATGGTACCGTACGGAGACCCGGAGACGACTCCGGCCCTTGCAGCTGGTTCCGTTTCCCCAGATTAGTGCCTGATGCTCCGTGGGATCTGTGCCCAGGGGGTTTCTCAAGCAGGGGCTAACAACCGCCCGAGAGAAAACGAGGGTCATCCCGCCGACAACGCGTGAACGAACCACCCTGCAATTTCGCTCATGGAAGGGTTTTCTTTTTCGTCATGGAACAATCTTCAGTTATTGGAGGGGTTCCCCAGGGATATTGCTGCGCGCCCGCGGCGCTGCCCATTGTTCTGTGCAGCTTCGAGACGGCGAAATGCTACCCCGTAATATCACTTCCTCGCCGCCTCCTGGCAGCTGTGGTGTGCTGTGCCGTTTCAGCTGCTGCTGCTGCTGCCATGTGTTTTCGCCACGGCAAGTCCGAAAGGAAATGGAAAAAAGCAAAAACAATGGGTTACACTGAACAAGCAGCAGCTGAACCCCCCAAAACCCGAGTGGGACCAACAGCCTCTTCCCCCCTCTCAAGGAGAGAGACAATTCGACGCGAGATGTGAGACATATCGCGCCTCTCCCGATCCGAGGACCGCCCCTCTTCGGGCCGGCATTCTGCCCCCCCATCTCGGAAAACAAACAAGATAACTACTGCATGTCTGAGACATTGAGACATTATCGTGTCGCCACGGCGGGCCACGGGCTGGAGCTCTGTACGGTATTTGGCCGTTGCACAGATGGGTCAGCCGTTGGCAGCAGGCAACAGGCAGGCCGTCTGGTGTGTGTCCACATGCACCGGGCGGCTAACTCACTACTAGTTGGCACCTATCCTCATTCGTGCTCCCCGATGGAACGTGCTGCGTTGGGCTGGGCTGTGCAAAGCTGGATGGATGGGCACACGCGAGAATGGTCGGTCCGTCGTACGGGGTACAGGTTGGCTGCAAACGCAACATCGCTGTTGAACGTTGTGCGGGTGGTGGGACGAGGAGATATATTCTCCGTGTGGGTTTGTGCACTCGTGACGTGGTTGGTGTGTGCTTGTGTCTCGCTGGGGAGTGTGGTGAAAGGCCCGCGCATGGCTTGCGTTGTGCCCGTGGGACGGGGACGGGTGGGAATGTTTGCCACGGGATAGAGAGGAGACGGATGTGCTTGTTCGGGATGGGTGATGGTCGAGTCGGGCAGTGGTTTGGGGCTTTGGTGAGGTTTTGAGACGGTTGAGAGCTGGTGTCCGAACAGACGCAGCTCAGGGGTAAGTATCAACGCAAGTATCAACGAGCCATCAGACCAGACCGGACCGGCAACGAAAAATTGAACACGAGCGGCGACGTGACTATCAGACGAATACCTCATTTGCAACTTTGACTTCTAACACTCGGAATCGTATCGGTCAGCTTCATCAGACTATAAAGCAGTTGCAACCTCGAGGCTGAACCTCAACAACCCGCGCTCACCAGCGCTCACCTGCGTCATGTGCCCTACCGATGACGAAAACAATGACCACCATATCTGATAAGTTTAGTTTCACGCACCGGATAACGCTGTCTTTATCAGAATTCATCATCGACCCCCCTTCGCTCAGGCATAACAGCGCTGACTGGGGTAGTTCAGGGGCTGCTAGCAGCAGAAGACACGACGACCCTCGCAAAACGATCACTCTAATAAAGGCGGGCGACGCGCAGCCTGAGGGGCAACCGAGCAACTCCTATATTTTGGGAGTTTACAAATACTGCGTCCCTCTTGAGGTGGAAGGTCAAAAGAACATTTGGGGGGTCATCCACCGGCAAGTGGTTGGTATGTCCAACGCTCCATACCGTAACCCTTCCGCATCGTCTCGAGGCCACCGTTTCTACCGAGATGCAGGGTTCCGTGGTGGAAGCGTCCGACTAGATCGATCAGCTGGTCTGAATTAGCGCCGACTACCGGTGGTACATGAAACCCAGGCCCCTATGGCTTTTCTTCAGGAAGCTGATCTCCGTCTTCAAGATACCAACGTCCCGATATCACGCTCTGTCTCCGTTATAGATGCTAGCCAACTCGCACGATGTTTGTCTGCAAACAACAGCCAAGCTCTCACACCGGAGCTTGTGTATTCTACGGTATGGCATGCAGAGACAGGTGGCAGTCCCCATCCCCAACAGGTCAGCCCAGGAGAGTGAATGCCGGCCGTGTGGCTTGAGGGAGGCGGTTCTTGCTACACGGCTCGTATACTGCAATCCACAAGCGCTCCAATGAGGCATGTGACCAACCTAATAATAGGTATCCTGTGCTCTCTACCGTTGGATCTCGACTCTGGATATGCACTGCTGATTCAGGTCCTAGTCGGCATTGCGCTACGGAGGTTCATCACTGCTTGATACAAACATGTCACGATATCAACCTCTTCTGGCAAAATCATTCAAGTATAGCCGAATCAGGACCCAAAAGAGCGTTTGATCGGCACTTGCTACAGGTCCCGGCTCATAGACGACAATGATGTCTCGGGGATGCAAGAGGACGCCGATGCTAGGAACAGACAAAGTCTGGGGCCGTGGTTCGATATTGCATCAGTCTTGGATGTCAAAACAAACCACATCCGGAAATACGGGAAGAAACGCAATGTAAGTTGGACTCTGGACGGCTGGCTATCTAGGGGCCGTCTCGGTCCCGGCCCCTTATTGATATGGGTTGTCCTTCTGCTAAGTCACATCAAATATCTCCGGTCAGGTCTTGGCAGCGCTGGCAATCACGAACCTATGTTGGATCTGTGGTTCTGGGGAACTGCCTCAATCCGACGCGGGGGATCAGCAGAGAGCGGTCCGGCACATGGGACCGAACCGTACAAGCAGTGTCACGAAGGTCTAGAAGACCGTTACACGAGACCGAGGTATTGGATGGCAGATGCAGACCCGGCGAAGACGGTCGCTTCCATATGTCTTGGCTGGGCGGTCGTTGGTATTAGAGTATAACAGCCGCATTCCAACAAGCGGAGGGCTATATTAGACCGCTGCCGGAGCAGCATCCGAACATACAAGGCCGCGAGGGCGATCGGGGATTTTCCACCAACGGGCGTCAAGCGATATATTTCCCTGCAGGTCAAGCATGGAGCCTCCACGAGCTTAGCATGGCTGTGGCGGTATGGGGATCCCCTCGGATGCCGGCGGCCACAAGAATGGCCGAACCCAGAGAGCACCCGGTGGCCCGGTCAAGATTGACGATTCCATAACTCGGTCCCATCTGCAGGACTCCGGGCGGGAGGCTGCTCTTATACGCTGCACGAGATATACTCGGTCTCACGTATATGCAAGGGTGCGAGGGATCGGGTGTACGGCAGGCGCGGTACTGTGTGGTATGCTGTCGTTGGCGGAGATCTCCACGGCGTCGATCGGGCGCATCCGAAGTCCGGCTCAGCTCATCGGCGAGTAACCCGATTTGGTGTACTTGGCAGTGTCATCTCGGCATCCCGTAACTCCTCGGGAGATGTTTCTCGGGATGTGTTCCGGCGTGAAGCTACCCCTAACCCCTGAATCCGTACACGGTACTTCGTAGACAGACGTGACAGACTCCAACGAAGAGAGTTGATTTGGATTCTGAGCAACTTACCTTTACACAGTGGTAGTAATCCAACAATCCCGATCCAAACCGGCACTAGAGTCCTGTCACCTTTGTAAGCGAGCCACTTCCCGCCCCCCGCAAAATGGGCCCTCGGCATCCACCCCGGATCGGAACGGGTGGCCTCGGGTGAGGGACCGAACGAGATCCACAGCGGGACAAACTCAGTACCTTACCAACGGCGCACTGCGGGGGTTTTCGGCAAGCCACTGCCGTAATAAACGCAACCCCATTTTCCCCAATCCTTCCGTCGATCTTTCCATCATCAGCAAGCCCGCCATGCAATCCCGCGCCGGCAAAACCGAAAACACGACAGCGGATTGGTCCGCCTGGGCCTCCGTGCCGTGGTCCCCCGTGTACCGTCCGGAGACGGAGTCGGAGTCGGCGACGGAGCCCGGCGCCAGTCCCGGGGTCGAGGTCGGGGTCGGGGATTCCCCCAACAACAACAACACCAACACCCCAATCGGTTGGCTCAAATCCGGAATCCCCTACCTCCCCCAAGAAGACGCCGTCGCCCTCCAAACCCTCGACGTCTGGATCCCCGCCAACACCAGCAGCAGCAGCAGCACCACGACGACCACCACCACCACCCCAAACCAATCCTCCCCGCCTCCCAACCCCCCCAACAAAACCTGGATCGTCTACATCCACGGCGGCGCCTGGCGCGACCCGGCCATCACCTCGACCTCCTTCACCGCGGCCGCCACCAACCTGCTCCTGCGGGCGGCCGGAACCACCAACGCCGACTCAACCTTAAGCCTGTCCGAGTCTGGCCTCGCGGGGCTCGTCTCGCTCAACTACCGCCTCTCGCCGCACCCGTCCCACCCGCCGTCCACGCCCGCCGACAAGCTGTCGCGGAGCGCCCGGCATCCGGAACACGTTGCTGACGTGCGGGCTGCGCTGGCGTTTTTGGGACGGCTGGGGATTTTGGGAGGGGGAGTGGCCGGGGAGATGGGGGCCGCAGAGGTGGGTGTGAATGGGAAGGAGGGGTCTGGGGGCGGGAATTGGGTGTTGGCCGGCCACTCGTGCGGCGCGACGCTGGCGTTTCAGGCGGTTATGCACCCGAGGCGGTGGGGGTTGGCTTCTAGGGGTGAGGTTGCTAGTCCTGGTGAGGGTTTGCCTAAGCCGGCGGTGCTGGTGGGGTTCAACGGGCTGTATGACCTCGCTGGGTTTATTGCCGCGCCGCCTGAGGGGTTTGGGCATCTGAGGGAGGGGTATAGAGAGTTTGTTGAGGGGGCGTTTGGTGCTGACGAAGGGGTGTGGAAGAATGTTTGTCCTGCCACTGTGGAGGGGAATTGGGTTGGGGAGTGGATTGGGGATGGGCATGCGGACGGGGAGGGGCCTGGGAAGACGGTTGTGCTGGTGCAGAGTCGTGAGGATACGCTCGTGCCGTGGGACCAGCTGGAGGCGATGCGGGCGCGGTTGGCGGACGAGGGAAGGGTGGGTGTGAAGGTGATGGAGGCCACGGGTAAGCACGATGACGTTTGGCGGGAGGGGGGCAGGATGGCCGAGGTTCTGTGGAATACTCTTAGGGGCATGTGATGAAGGGAGACGATGAGGGGTTCGTCCAAGGGGTTCAACGGCTCGGTAGCCTTTAGGGGGATGCGCATGAACCAGAGAAAGGCAAGCGAGAGGCCAGGTGTTCGCTCCAGCTCAGCTACAAGACCATATCTCTAGACCTAGGAGTATCCAATAGACGGGCTAGTGACTGTCTCCTCATGCGCAACATAAGAAAGCCACATAATTCACCCATCTTACTTTCGCTAAAGCACTTGATCCAAGCCGTGTTGGTTCCAGACCTCCGAGGAGTCATGGAGTCAATACACAATGCATCCATATTTATGTTGTCACAACAGGCATAGTTCGCGGCGAGAAGGATGACCCAATACCAGCGGCCGACTTTCCCAATATAGATCTGTCTTCAGCTACCATTGGCCAGACCAGTCTTAGTGTCGGCTGGCCGCCCCATCACCATTCAGCTTCCTTCACCACCACGCCGTTGCCAAGCCTCCGCTTTGTGGCCCTCACCTCTCCATGTAACCTCTACAACACCTTGCCGGGTCAGCATTCCACCCGTCGGGCCGCGGCTCTTCAACACCGTCACAGAACCAACAACAAAGCGAAGAAGACAGATATGATAGCATCGGTGATGAAGTCCTATATAATGGCCCCCTCACTGGGCGTCCACCATCCGTCCAGGTCACCATCAACATCCCCAACCAAGCCTCCCTCTCAGCCAGCCAACAGCCAACAGTCAGCCAGCAACCCCACCGCCTTGAACCAACCCAACCAACCCAACCCAACTGCCCCAAACCCCTCTCAAGATGCATCCCACCCACCTCCTCCTCGCCCTCGCCACGGCCGCGGCCGCCATGCCCCTGAGCAGCAGCCTGCCCCGCGACAACCAGATGCCATCCCCGCCGGCGGTGGACAACGGGCCGCAGGACAACGGACCGCAGGCCGTCGCGCGGCGCGACAACCAGATGCCATCGCCCCCCGTCTTTGACGACCCCGACGTCGCAGACCTGGATGCCCCGGAGGAGGAGGAGGAGGATGACGATGATGATGATGATGATAACGGCAACGAGGTCGCTCGGCGCGACAACGCCATGCCGGCGCCCCCCGTCTTTGACGACCCCGACGTCGTCGACGACGACGACTCGCTGGAGGATGAGGACAACGGGCCCCAGGCCGTCGCGCGGCGCGATAGCCACATGCCCGGCCTCCCTGTCTTTGACGACCCCGACGTTGTCAACGATGACAACACCGATGACGCCGACGTCGTAGACGTTGTAGACGCCCCGGAGGAGGACGATGATGACGACAACGACCTCGAGAAGCGCGAGAACCCCATGCCCGGCCCCCAGTCCTTTGATGCCGGCGGTGACGGTGGAGACGATGCCGAGGATGTCGACACAGACGGCGCGCAGGAGGATGATGACCAGGTCACGCAGCGGGACAACGGCATGCCGGCGCCACCTATCGAGACTGATGATAGGGAGTACTGAGGTAGTTCTCGAGGTGGGGCATTTGGGGTGGGGGGGGGGGGGTAACTTGAGGTTGGATAGCTGTGAGGGGAAGGGGAGATTGCATGTACTTTTCGTTGGTATGACTTATTTACCGGGTGATGCAAAGGGGTGTGTGGAGGTCCGGGTATCTAGGTAGTCAGATCGATAGGAACGGCGAGGTCATCCACGTACCTAGGCCTACCTCTCTCGGGGTAATCCGGTTCACACCACACATGAAAGCACAGCCCACACCCCGCTGTCAGAAGAATGCTCGTTAATGTACTACCCGCCGGTGTACCCTTATCCGAGTACCCAGCTCCGTAAGTTATGTACATCCGTAACTCTATTTCCATACCCTGCACAGGCCCCCCACCCTCCGAGGTATGTATCGTTTGTTCACTCCGGGTCATCCTGCAGCCCCGTCAACCCCCCGGCCAGCCCATGCATCCTCCTCCCGAGCAGATCCTCCGTACTCGCCAGCTTGACCAAGCTTTTATCATCGCCCATCTTTGTCCTCGCACGTCTCCCAGGCTTCTTGTTGCGGTAGACATCACGGCCGTTGCCGGGACCGAGCCGAGGGGCTTGATAAGGACTGGCATCGGCATCCCTATCCTCGCTGCCAACGGGGGATTGGTCGTGCCCATTAGAAAGCCCATTTGGCTTCCGGACGCTATTGTGCGCCCCCTTTGCCCCCTCTCCTCTTTCTCCCTTCCCGTCCCCATCCTCATTCGCATGAGTTGCCGCCGTCTCTTTGATACTTTTCGCCTTCAACCTCGTCATGCTCATCATCTCCAACGGCTGATCCTCATCCCCGCTCGACTCGCGTCTAAAATGATGCCTCCCATCCGCATTACTCTGTTCCTCCACACTTGCACTCCCGTTTCCACCCTCAAAAGCCCTCTCCATCTGCCGCCCCCGTTCCTCCCACAAACCCTCCCCTTCCTTCCTCTCCGCATCGGCAAACAATTCCTCTGCCCACCCCGCCGACTGGTCGATCAGCTTCCACGCGGGGGGATATACGCTGGGAAACTGCAGGAATCCGTGGCTGATGCCCGGGATCAGGGCGACTTCGGCAACCGCCTTCTCGTCGAACCCTTCCGTCAGCGCATCGCTATCCTGGTACTCTAGGCGCTGCCCGCCGCTGGCCATCGCCGCAGCTTTTACCCTGCGCAGGCGACCAGCGAAGATGATGGTGTCGTCCACCAGCGGATCGCGCTCGCCGGTGAGGAAGTAGGTCTTGGGGAAGCGGGAGAGGAGGACGTCAGGGGCGAGGATGGGTGACAGGAGGTAGTCTTGGGAGAAGTCGGGACGGTTGTGCGGGCCGACGTAGAGGATGATCATGGCCCGCATCATTTCAGGGGTGAGAACGCGGTCGTTGAAGTAGGAGATCATAGAGGACGTGGCGAGGCGGGTGCGCATGGGTTCCGGGCGGTGGGAAGCGCCCGGTTGGGTGCTAGGGGTGGGTGGTGTGGCGGTGGTTGCCGCGGGGGAAGCGGGGGCTGGCGGGCCCTGGTGCACATTGCTCCAAGTGGTTGGACCCAGGTTGGCGTACTCGGGCGCTGGGTCGCGAACGTGTGTAGGCGATATGACCGCGGTGCCCTGCTGATCCTCGATCTCAGCGCTGGAGCGAGATTTAGAGCGGGGATTGGACGATGGCGTGGCGTCGTCTTCGTCGTCCGACCCATGAGGCGTGCCGACCAGGTCGTTATACTGCGACCTTTTGCGCTGGACGATGCGCTTATTGGTCCCGCGCATGCGGCGATCCTTGATCAGTGCCATCTGCTCGTCTGACATCCAACTACCGATGTTCATGTCGAGTGCTGGGTAGAATAGAATCAGGCCGTCTGGGACAGGGAGGTCCGTCTGTCCCTGGAAGCGGCGGACGGGCGACGAGCCGCTCTCGATAATCATCAGCGTCGTAGAGGTTGCTAGCGTCCCGCCGGCGCTGTCACCCGTGATGACGACTTTAGGAATCTCGTCCCCGGATAAGCCAATACACTGGCCGCGGCTCTTGATGATGGTGGTGTAAACATCGTAGCACTCGTTAAGCGCATACGGATACGGATATTCGGGCGCCTTCTTGTAATCCAAACTCAACACTGGCAAGCCCGTCTTCCCAGCCCACGCGAACAGCTTGTCGTCGTTGCACCTGGGATTCATGGCTACAAAACCACCCCCAGGGATATCCAAAATGATACGGTTGTGCTTCTTCAACTTGGACAATGGCCCGTCAAAATAAAGCCATGCCGAGACCGGTTCCTTGTAGTCGCTTGCGGCAGGGCGCGGGATACGGACCTGCCGTGGCGGCCACTTGGTAAACTGCGGGCTGACAAGCTTCTGCAGAAAACGTAGGTAGGGTGATTGACTGCCCTTGTTCCAGCTGACGCGCATATGCTCGACCGTGATGTTGCCGCGCACCTTGCGCACCTTCTCGTCGGCCTGCTCTGCGGCGATCATGTAGAATACGGAAAAGGCGATGCTCGCGAGGTCACGCAGGGTCTTGTTGCTGATCTTCATGGCGGTCCAAAAACCGGCGTCGAGGGCTGTGAGAACCCAGGTGGCGCGGAAGTAGGTGGCGTCGTACATATTGCTCAGGGGATCGGGGCTCGCGAGGCCGACGAGGGTACTGAAGTTGCGGGCGCCGTAGAGGTAAATCATGGTGATGACGACGGTCTGCCATGCTGTGAGATATTTGGATAGTAATTGCGACATCCAGCGCAGCACAGGAGGTCCATGTTTGTTGCCCCTGTTCCGTGTAAGTGTTAGCCAAGTCACCATCGAGGGAAGGGGATTCGATCGGTAACCCACCTAGCCAGGTACGCAGACCAAAAGGCCACCACGGCGAGAACCTGCAGTCGACGCGACTTGACAGATGGCCGTCCCAATACATGGTCGATCATCTTGACGCCCGGCCTTGACGGCTAGTCCACAACCGCTCCCCGGTATGTGAAGATTGCCGTCCGGTTGACCCGGGTTACCCGGTGCTGATGATATTTTCGTAGCAGGAAGAATGTAAGATGTACTTTAGATGATCTTGTGATAGGTTTCGTGTTGACAAACAGGCAAACAGGCAGGCAGGCAGGCTGTGCCGCGCCGCGAGAAGGAGCAAACCAGGAAAAGAGGATTGCCGTTGCTGACGGAAAAGTAGGGGAATCGGCCAGCTCAAGATGCGGTGCCGTTGACAGACAAAGAAACAAGAAAACTATGGAACCCGAGTTCAGCAACAATTGAAGTCTGATGTTAATCCGGCGAGTCGGGCGAGTTTGGCCACATGGCACAAAGTCTCGACTGTTCTGCCCCGTGTGTACCGGGATGGCACACTGGACCCCGAAAATACTCTGTAGCAGGCACGAATCATGGCGTCACGGGGGCATCTCAGCAAGTGCCAGTGTCTGACATGTGAAGACAATGGATGGAACTCCAACGACTAGGATAGGGCCAACTGGAAGGAACAGCGCCGGTCAGGAGCGTGGGGTTGTGGAGACCCCGCCGTGGGGCGCTTCAGGCGAAAGTGAACCCGCACCTGAACTTCCTCCACTGAATCCCCTCCACCGTCCATCCGACTCGATCGACATAGGATGCCGCGGAACTCGACAGTAACTCGTTGGTAATAAAGTTAGGTAGTTACAGGACAGAAGAAACGGCATGATTAACTATTGAGCTCCGAAAACCCGGCGTTTGTTAACTAGGTAGGTAATTCTACGCTTCCCGTCGGGTAGAGGCGGTCGGGGAATCGGAGAAGTCATAATTGCAGACTGCTGCCGGATGCGGGACGATCCTTGTGGCTGCCGAATCCCGAGACTTCCTGTCAGAGGACCCCCAACACCCCAACTCGAAGGGGAAGAGTGGCACGGTGGCTTGTGATTCAAGATGCAGAAAGCATGTGTCAGGCTCGCGCTGGGCTGCGGCTTGTTTGGTTGCTCATCGCGCGAGCAAAGTCTCGGGCCGTGACACTAAGTTTGCTCGAACAAACGCGTCGACCAGCAATAAAACATTCCTAGGTAGTTAAAACTCGCTAAGGTTTGAGCCAACTTATCACGAAGTCCTTCACTGATTTCAATCCACACGCAGATAGATAACTATTCGGAAGCTGAAGGCAACGTGGACGATGGTTTCCCAACATCCTGCGCGACCTGCAAAACTCTTCTCCATGGCTCGACCAGCGCCGGGCACACAGCGAAAAGAATCCATTTCTGGAGTGAAGACAGCAAAAATTACGACCGGAACGGCCCCGAAGGACAATTCATAACGGCTAGCACCACGATGTGCAATGCAGGCTCTCCGTCATACGGCGCGGTTTTCATGATCTCCGCGCAGTCAATCAAGGTAAGTATGAAGAAAGAAAAGGAAAAGAAGAGAGCAAGAATTGGGGACAGGCGACGAGAATTTATAGGCTGACAGGTTGGTCTGTGCACGTCTGCAATTGCAGAAAATGCAGAGGGCCACAGAGTGGCCCGAGCATCGCTGCTGCATGGTCGAGGGTTAGGGCTACCGACCTGCGGTTCATGAAGCGTTCAGTTCCTTTTATGACCATCTCGTCACAGCTTCAAATGGCAGGCGGCTTGATTGAACATCACAGCGAATTGACAGCATGGATTTTTCAGCAGAAATATCCAATTCTTTTTACTTTGACCATGTCTATGACGCAGCGCCGCCGCGAATCAATTGAAGCAGTCGCGAGCGTCGGAAAAGTTCATCATCATAATAATCATCAATCATGGCCCCGATCTGAGGCATCCGTCATTCATAGGGTTGGGTAAGTTTCTAGATGAGGTACATGGTCCCAGCCGCCTCCCCACGGTCAAAGAAGCAGCCAATTCCGACTCAATTCCCCAGCCGCAACCCAGCCTTGCTCAGTACGCGGCGACGACCACCGTGTCGACATGCCGGCCGCCCCCAACGGGATCCATGAGTCCCCTCACCCCGAAGACCCGAACCCAACCCACCGTGCCAAACCTCACTACGACAGACACCGCTCAGATATCCTCGCAGTAATCAATCGTCGTCGTAACGGTAACCGTCGGCGCGGGCGCGGTGGTGACGGAGCCGGTGACGCCGAAGCACGAGCAGGCCGAGACGAACTCGGCCGCGTCGGCGCAGTTCTCGGCGAACTCGGGGATCGCGGTCGGCACCACCGTCTCCTGGCGCGCGTTGAGCTGGGCCGCGCGCTTGGCCGGGGTCGGGGTCGGCAGGTCCTCCTCGTCGACTGTTACCGTGACGGTGCTGTTGCGAGGGGAAGGGGTGGGTTAGTTTTTGAACTGCGTTGGTTTTTTCTCTCCGGTGGGGAGGCATTGGGGGTGTGGTGGTGGTTGGGGGGGAAGACTCACGAAGCGGCCGGGGTGACGGTGGTGAGCAGGAAGCTCGCGCAGCTCGAGGAGCGCTCCGTCAGCGGGAGGAGGCCGGGCCGGGTGCCAGTGACGGCACGGTTGCAGTTGTTGCCGGCGCAGTGGCGGGGCTCGACAACGGCGGCGGCCGCGAGGGCGACGAAGGACAGGGCAGCGACGAACTTCATGTTGGCGGTTGGGATGGGTGTCTAGGAAGGCGTCGTTGGTCCGGTTGTTTACTTTTCACAGGGGCGAGGAGGTGCTGGGAGGTGGACGGACTGCTGCAGGCCGGCGTCGGTTCCATCTTATACCCCCAGCTACCTGTCTGCCCAGGCGTGGCGGTGGCATCGAGCCATTGACTGTCCCGGGAACGGCTGGCTGCGCCGATGGCTCCGCAGCAGGGGAAGCGCGGGCACAGACGCACCGGGCAGCTCGGATGGCCAGCGACGAGGCCAGGAACACGCATGTGCATCGTTGGTTGTGAGCCCAGAACAACGCAGTGTGACGCTGAGGCTGGGCCAACCTGGGAGCTAACCCGATTTTCCACCGGAGGAATACGCCTCGTGGTGCGGAACGATCCTTTGAATGGTGGCTGCTGGGTACCTCGGCCGCCATTACCCAGTAGGCCTAGGCTGGGTGGGCTTGCAGATAAGTAACCTGCCTCGATAGGGCAGGTCTCTCAAGTAAGACATCGTCAACGCAGGTTGAAGCGGCCATGATGATCTCGAGCCATGTGGTCGGGAACCTCCCCGGCGATCATTGGTATCCCAAAACCTCTGCGTGCCTGCCGATCAGGAAGAGCTGAGTGCTGCAGCTTGCCATCGCCCTTCTCTCAATTAATTCCCCTGCAGTGCCTGCGTCTGCCAGGCGGCAGGGGCCCCTGCGGGGTAAGTGGTGCATTTGCGGTTCGATGCGACTCTGGATGAAGAAATATTGCTTACGAAGTCCACGTAAACCCCGCTAACTAATCGGGACCGGTCTACACTAGTTCACGGGTGAATGTCAAAGAATCCGCCGGGGACGGTGAAGGGGAAGGGAAGGACGAACCCGGCCCCGTCACCGCCAACAGAACTGAGCATTGTTCCTGACTTCGAGAGAGCGGTGGCGTACATGTTTACTGACGCAAAGCTCACTTCTCAGCCACCACGGCAAGCATTTATCTCATCACGGGGAACCATTTTGACGGGGCTCGGCTGAATTACATCTGATTGTGAGGTAAGCCCATTCTCCTCTTCCCTTTTGGCGAAGACTTGAACGCAGGTAGCGAGCGGAAACCGGCAACATTTCGCCGTCTCCAGCGGGCTGCAACCAACCTCTCGCGGTGAATTAACCGCAGCCAAGAAACGGCAAGACGCGCCTGGATAAAGTGCTCGGAGGACTTTGCAGGCGATGAGCCACTGTTGGTGACGACCGACCGCCTAAAATAGGGCCTTTGTCCGGAAAACCGGGTTGGCCCTTCGAGATCCGACCGTGTCAACAATATCGGAGATATATCCTAGATAGTTTTAGGGACGTGAGGCGAAAAGACGGGTCTAGACATCAGGACTCTTCGCAGGGCTTGTTTATGATAAAACGGCCTCGGGGGCGAAGACGGAATGGGTGCTGTGTGAGGGCTGCCCTCGCCATCGTATTGTGCTCCATAACCGGGCTCTCAACATGGGAGCCACAAATGGGAAAAAAGTACCGTCACGGACCAAAAGACTCCAGTTCCTCACGTATGCCTACAGATCCAATCCATCCTCCATATTTTGAATGAGAATGATGGAAAACCGGGTAAACCTGCCAAGGAAAGCAACCGTGTCCAAGATAAAGACAGTCGACCAGGCAGCTCGTGTGTATCTCGAAGCTGGTCAAGATGGGTATCCAATGTTGAGCAAAATACTAGGAAAAAGTAGGGAACAGAAGAGCCAAAAAAGAATAAAAGGAGTAGAAAGTAGAAACATGGACATGAAAAACCACACCAAAAGAATCTGTAATCATAAGCCATAAACCACCAAACCACCAAAACCCAAAACCCCAAACACCAACCCAACCCATCACCAACCCTCTTACCCCCTCCCTGCCTGCGACCCTTGCGGCCCTTGTGGCGGCGACCCCTGTCCCCCCTCAGCACCAAACTGCCCGCCCATCCCCTCCAGCCCCGCCGCCGTCTGGCCCGCCTGCTGATCGCGCCGGCCGTAGTACCCATGGATCTCAGCGCCCTCGTCCAGCGGCTCCAGCCCCGCGTCCGCCTGGCCCATGCCCATGCCCATGCCCTGGCCCAGACCGGGGCTCGTTACACCATCGCTCCGCCGCCGCACATGCCCGCGCGGCGCGCCGATGCTGGTGTTGCTGCTGGAGCGGCTCCTCACGCCGCCGGAATGTGGCGGCACCGCGGGTCCCGGTGTTGTTGTTGTTGTTGGCGCACCGGCGCCGGGTAGCTCGACGAAGCCGCCGGATCCGTCCAGCTCGGGGATGCCGCCGCCGGTGCCGGTGCCCGCCGTGCCCGCCGTGGGAGGGAAGTAGGGGCTGCCGAGGCCGCCGTTGTCGCTGCCGTCGGCGGACAGCTCGCTGGCGTTGCTCTGCTGCCGCCAGTGGGTGTAGGCGTAGCCGCGGCGCTGCGTGGTGCTGGCGCTGTCGGTGCTGCCGCGGATGCGCGCCGCCTGCATGGGCTGTTGCTGTAGCGAGGCGGCGGCCGGGTTGTGCGCGGCGTGTTGTTGTCCGGGCACGACGTCGAAGTAGCCGCCGCTGAAGTCCGGGCTCGCGTGCCGGGAGCGGTCGTCCGGGAATATGTTGGGTGACGGGGTGAAGCCGGCCGAGTCGGCGCGGCCGCGCGAGCTGGCCGCTCCTCCTGGCTGGGGGGTTGCTGAGGTGCTGTTGTTGTTGGTGGCGGTGGTGGATGGTGGCACCATCAGGGGGTCGACGCTCATGTCGTCCATGTCGGAGTGCAGTTGGCGGCCGTAGTGCTCCTTCTGCGCCTGTGATTGTGATTGTGATTTCTTGCCGCTAGATGAGCCACGCTTGGATTCCATAATGTCTTCGACGTGTTTTAGTCGGCGGATGATAAGGAACGCTGCGACTACCACCACAATCAACAGAACAACCACGCCGCCGATGATGCCTCCGATCGCGCCGCCGCTCAGACCACCATCGGATTCGCTGGATGGCGTACTTGCTGGGAACTTGGGGACGCTGGTCGGCATGAATTTGAGGGCCGCGCCTGTGTCCTCGACGGTCTCGCTGGGAATCGTCGGGGTGATGACTGTCTCGGTTGTCTGAATTTCGGTCACAACTTCCGTGCCAGATGTCGTCGTGGTGGTTTGCGTCAAAGTTGTGGTCACCGGCTCTGTCGAATAACACGAGATACCCGGGCCACAACCCAAGCCGTTCCTGCAACATCCATCCGAACCTGGGCAGAGGAAGTAATCGCTCGGGCACTCCAAGTTCGTAAAAGTTATGCCGGGAGAAGGGCGACATTCAAAGCCCTCCTCGCATGTAGAACCGAGTGGACAGCAACCGGCTAGATTCATTCCCGTTGTGTTAGGTCTTGCTGCCAAATCTCAACGCCGTAGAACACTTACGTTCTCCGTTGACGGGGTTGCACGCGAAGAACCCTACCCTCCCGCAGGCTGTTGTAGGCCCGGCCGTTGTCGCGATGCATGAATCTGGCCCGCAGGCATAGCGAGAAGGACAGCAGCCGCCGTTCAGCGCCGCGGCGCAAGAGGTATATTCGGCCGGGCAAGCTCCCTCATCTCGGCGCGCCGGATGCGCCGTCACCTGCGCTTTCGCAACCCTATGCACATCCTTCCATTCCCTTCCCACATGCGACGCCGATGTATTTCCCCCCCAAAGCGCGAAGATGAGGACAACGGCGCACGACGAACAGGACCAGATGCTGCGCATGGCGGCCGCGCTCGCTGACGGACTCGGGGCGCGCTATCGGATCGGCGCTTATCAGATCAACCGGGGCCGGGCAATTGGATGAACAGGGTTCTCGGACGGGAATGCGCAGGGGGAAGGGCGGCGCGGACGGGATGCGCCTCGTATGTATACCGGCGCAAGGACGGGGGCCGGTCGTTGTTGTGTCGCCGGGTGGTCTCTCGTTTAGGTTTTGGGGCGTTTTCTCGAACGCGACCAAATCGAGCAGGCAGCGCCTTTTGTTTTTGCTGAGGGGGGAGGGGGCTGAGCTTGCTGGGCGCCACTTGGGGGGGTGTGATGGGAGCAAAGTTCGCTGCTTTGGGTGGTAGTTCAGCGTCGGTGGGGTCTTCCACACCAAAACCACGCCGAGTCCAGAGGTAGGGCTGAGACTGGAATCGGGAAGGTCTTCCCCCTCCACTTGCGTGGGCCAAATTGATTGGGATTGTGGGTTGGGCTGACCATGAAGATACCAGGCAGCCAGGTACCGACCAGTTATGAGCACACTTCACGGAACGGGGACGAATAGGCGGAAGGCCGCGAGCCCAGATTCCCGGGAATCCCCCCATTGCCAGATGCTCCTTCGCTTGATAGGGCGGGCGAAGGGGGTTCTGTTGGGTGGCCACTTTTTACTGCAGACGTTTGCAGCGACTCGCAGGACGAAGTGATCCCACTTCCCACGTCTGACGGGGTATCTCACTGCCTGGTCCCTCGAGGTTGGATTCGTGGCGTCGGGCCCGAACGAGAGGTTGTGTCCCAGTCAGCAATGTGGTGATTGGCCTATCCGCGAGGTCGTCATCGCAGGACGCACCGAATGACGGGCCCCTCAGCTTCAAAGACTGCCGCCCGGGAACTCTGTGGCCGCAAGCAAGGTGCTGCTGATCCCCCCGAGAAGCAGCGGGCTGCGTTGGTGAGGGTGGGTGAGGCCACCAATGACAGCGTTACATAGTCTGCGAGCGAGCAGCCAACTGCAGCGGGACAATCCCGGAGCGGCAGAGTTGACGATGAAGGAGGGGCGGGGCAGCGGTCCAAAGAGTATCCGATGGCGCATCTGGGTAACCATTCTCGCAGAAATAGAGGTCCTATAATTGGACATCATGAGAACAGCACGGCAGTAGCTGACGAGGCTTACTTTTTGGTGTTGATTAATTAAGCTTTCACGCCCTCACTTACCGACGCCGGACTGCTCGGCGGAAACGAGTCATTCGATGAAGACCTGTGGTTGACGTTGTCGAGCTGTCTGGTCCAAACCCTGGTCCTCGGCCTGGAGACACCTAACCCGGGCGGGCTTAGGCGGGATCAATGGGTGGTGCAAGAAAGAGGCACTGAACTCATGGGAGTGGGTTTGCTGAGATCGATCTCCTCTTGCATCGCACCACGCGGTCACTAGCGGGGAGAGCATGGTGGCGCCATCGTCTGTACATATATGCATCTCGTCACAGCGCCAAAATGTCTCATGTTCGCATGCTCGCCGTTGAGTCCCAGATTTGAGCAAGGATGGGATGGTTCGAAATGGGGCGGCACTGGCGGGGACCAAACACGTTTGTGGGTGGAAGCAAAGAGAACCTGAAAGCTGGGGAAATCCGGGGAAAAGGGATTATCCGCCTTTGCAGGCCCCGCCGTCCGCCAACTGCAAGCAGTTGGGAAACCCTGGCTGGCGGCCCGAACAACTCGCATTCACCCACACAATTCCATTTCCAGGTTGAGCTTGGCTCTTCGTTTACCGCTTAAAATGCCGGATCACGAGGACTCATTCTCAATGCTCCAAGCAGGCGCTGCAGGCCTCGGAGGATGCGACGAAGCGAACACGATTCATGTGACGGCCATTCCTCGCAACAGGACGACAGGGTACGGGTATGCACAGACAATGCGGAGCTGCAACGGACCTCCCCGCCATCGCAACAGGAAGGCCAAAAATGCTGTGTCTCCATGCCACCGAGGCCGCCCCCCTCAACATCGCCGTCCCTCGGCGCAATATCCGGCTCAATCGAGTTCAATTCATCGTCCCACGAGATGGCTGTTCCTGGATCCCAAAAGCCTGGTCACGGGACGGCCGTTATTCGCAAGATCTTCCCGTTTAGAAGCGGATCGTGCGCGTTGCCGGTCGAAACCCCTGGGAAACCCGGGGAGCCTGGGCTTCGTACCTTACCCAGCAATTCCCCGACAGTGGAGCAGCCGCCCTGATTTTGGCTTTGGCATCAATCAAACAACTTTTTGGGCGATCGCTTCTGGCCATCGAGATCCAGACTAAAGCGTTGAGCGGTCCGGCAGATGGCCCGACACCATCGAAGCTTTTGCATGAATGCGACACTAGAGGAATGCCTCTGCATAGGCGATATGGATGCACTTCGGGTACCAGCCCAGGGGCAAGGGCTGATTTGCTATCTGGGGTAACAAATGACAGACACAACCGAGCCCCTTTCACCTCCTCGTGAGCCCGAGCTCAGGGCCTCATCCCTGAAAAGGCCGTCATAATCCGGAGTTCCAGGCACGCGTTGCCCAGAAGAGACCGGAGACAGTCCCCGATCCCCATCCCCCCCCGCACACCTTCTCCGCAGCCCTCACCTTGCCGAGCTTCCAGATGCAATCCCGATTGGTCATCCCCGTGAACGGCAGGAGGAGAACCTGGAAGCAGCATGTGGATCGTTCATCTCGACTCGACCCCATCCGACCATTGCCCCGGAACCCTGAACCGACGTCAAACTCTCCAACATTGTCATGTGTAAACCTGCCCGTCGTCACCGTTGTCCGACTATGTAGCCTGCTTCCTCTTCCCAATCGACAAGTGATGATTCCAAAGTTGGCTTTGTGGCGCCAGAGATTGTCATTCGTTTTAACCTTCGCCTCGTCCCGGCAGCGCGTCCCGACAGCGTCTACACACATCCGAGCCGGCCTTCCCTCTCCAAGCTTTCGAAAGGACCAGCAATCGCCACCGGCTGCCGTCACAACGTGGTATGGGTGATTGCAGTGACTTATAAGCCTGCTGGGTCATCGCATCTTCGTCTCCAATGGCGGAAATAGGAAACAGAGGGCAGGCGTTGTCCATTGAGAAGCACGACCTCAAGGATCAAGCCCGGAAATACTACTGGAAGGTGAACAACTCTTCAGCAGACACGAAAATGTTGCTGTATACAAGACTTGCGCCCCCTAAACAGCCCAAGAGGCGATCAAGAGGCGGTACGTATTTGAAGTGGTCTCTTAAAAGCCCGCATAGATCCATCTTGGGGTTCTAGTATCTCGACACCAAAAGAAGGTACTAACCTCACCGTCCCGTCACATAGGCTGTACATTTTGGTACGTGAAACTCTAGCCATTTCTGTCGTGATCCATCTTCTCCATACCTAGTGACCCCCCACTCTAACCGCCATGAAGTAAGGAAAAGGTTTGTTCAGAGCAGCCCTACCGCAGAGTCATCAACCTAGCTTCGAGGCTTCGAGCTGACAGGAAACATAGAAGAAGAAATGCGACGAGAAGCGGCCAAAATGCAGCCGCTGCGATGAACAGGGCTCTGAGTGCGCCTACGAAGCCGTAAAACCGCGCCAGCGAAGGCGTCGTGACTCGGCGGCGCCTGGAAGCCCTTCTGGCCTGCATTTGATGACCCGAAGATTGTCGCAAGCCAGCCACTACAGCCACGAGTCGGACTTTTATGGACACGATGATGGGGCTTTTGGAAGCATATTCGCATACTCCCTCGATGACCCCGTCATCGTGAGCCCATCAGACAGCACTTTCGAGGGCTACTCTTTGTCCTCCCTCGCACCGAGCAAATATCTGGACGGCCACAGGGAAGATGCCCCGGATGACAGTCAAGCCACTACTAGCACTGCGGTGGTCCCAAGGTCGAAGTCCTTGCACCCAGACTTGGCCATGATCGCACCCTGCCCCGTCGCCTCTCCGCTCCGAGAGTTCTTCTCGCCAACCTTCTCGGAATTCTCGGACAAGCAAAATCGACGGGCACTCGTGGACCACTTTTGCAACGTCCTATCGCATCTGATCGTCTTCCGCGAGGAGTCGGGCAACCCCTTCCAGCAGCTGGTGTTGCCACTTACCCGCGGGAACTCCCCAGTAACGTACGCCATCTTTGCACTAGCCTGCGCGCACCTGGAATATCGGGGCGTGGAGAATGCAGAAAAATCGCTCTATTTTCACAATATGGCCATCCGGGGCGTTGCGGAGTTGATTCATCACAGCAGTGAGGTCAGCAGAAACGAGATATTGGCAGCTATCATGCTGCTAGTGTACTACGAATGCGTGAGTCTTCCGATATAACGTGACAGCTGGGTTAGGGGTTGACAGTGACGCAGCTTGTCCAAAAAGGCCAGTCCAACATCGTAGCTGGCCACCTCAAAGGGGCGCTCACCATAATGGGTACCGCCGCGGACCCGGCAGATTCGACGAGCATCTTCTTAGAGCGCGTATGTTAGCCCTCACCTGTCTAGGTGTCCATGACTCGTAGAGGCCAACCTCAAGCTCACATGACACAGGCATTTCGCTTCTACGACGTGATCACGGCACTCTCCAACGGCACACCGCCGCTCTCAGCAACGCCCACGCCCGGATGTCTCCAACCGCTCCCTCCACTTGGCGCACCCTCCCTCTCGCCGCTATGCAATGTGGACACGCTCCTCGGCATGGCCACGACCCTGTGGCCCATTATTCACCGCCTCGCCGGCCTACGGGCCCTCAAAACCGAGCTCGAAAATGCCGTCCACACAAACGGGAATCCCTCAAAAACCGCCGTTCTTCGCACCGAGTTTGAGTCCACGGCCCAAGCCATCGAAACGGCCCTCCTCCAATGGCAGCCCCAGCTCCCGCCCGACTTTATGCCCGACCCCGAGCCGGACGCCGACGCCGACACCGAGACCACCGCCGGTACCACCACAGACACCACAGTACCAACGACAGAAGTACCAACGATAGCAGCGATAGATCCCCACCTCGCTCCGCATCCCTCCCCCCACCCCGGACCCGCCGACGCCGACGCCGACGCCGAAGCCGAGACCGAGGCCGAGACCGACGATATCAACGATGCCGACGTCCCCACCTCCAACGCCAGCAACAACACCACCACCGACAACACCAGCAGCAACCCCAACAACAACAACGACCCCAACAACAGCACGGCCTCCGCCCAAGACCAATCACGCATCTCCTCCATCCACCACAACGCCCTCGCCTACCGGCACGCGGCGCTCGTCTACCTGTACCGCACGGTCCTCTCGCACCCGCGCACCCACCCCTCAGTACAAACACACGCCCACCTCGCCCTGTCGCACTGCGTCTCGACCGTCTGCCACCGCGGGCCCATGTCGGCGCTCCTCTGGCCGCTGTTCGTGCCCGCCTGCGAGGCCGTCACGCCCCGTGACCGCGCCCTCGCCGAGCGCGCTTTTGTCGAGATCGATCGGCGCCAGGGGATGCGGAATATTGAGCGGGCGAGGGGGATTTTGGGGGAGGTTTGGCGGCGGGCGGATGGGGAGATGGATGGTGCTGCTGTCGGTGGTGGTGGTGAGGGGGGTGGGGATGGAGGGGTTGGTGCTGCTGATGTGGGTGGCGGGGAGAGTGGGGAGGAGTTGTGGAGGCGGGTGTGTCGGGAGATGGGGGTTAGCATCGTTTTTGGGTGAGGTGTACACAATGATGGATGGAAGGGGGGTTGTTTTGGGGGACTGTGGGCACGGCTGGGCGGTTGTGCGTTGGTGGTATCGCGATGGCTCCCGAGAATACGAATGTCGACGCCAGTGGAGAAATGTCAGGGAACGGGCGTCAGGTAAACAAGATACAAAATGTGTTTTCGGCCGGGGTAATGGGATTGGTATGAGGGTTGATAGTATGAGGGTTGATAGTTGTTCGGTCCACATCCGGCAGCAGGTTGGTGAAACGGGGGACCGGTCCGTCCCGGGGAATGTGGCGCAAGCCTGAGACTCAACTCAAGCGGTCGTTAAGGCGCCCGGGGGAGTGCGTGGCATAGGGAAGGGGGATTGTTTTACTGGCGCAGGCAGTGGGGGCAGACGGGGGAGAAAAAGGGAGTTCAGTTGTTACAAAACTACGTATATATGTATGTATTCGGTATAAACGTACAGGATCTGTTGTGTTCGAGAATACTATTATTTTGTTCAAACACGGGCTTTGCCCTCCAAACCATTTTGTGTTTGGTTAGAGACTGTTTACTTTCGTGTTTTCGCATCATCAGGGTGAGAGAGAGAGGGCCCGGTATCGTGAATCGGGCCGGAAGGCCGCTTGGTTGAGCTAATCCGGGAGAAAATGGCTTGTGTAATTTGCCTACCCCGATACTCAAAGCGCCATGTTCAGCCAGCCGACAATACTGATAAGGAATATACCAGCCGCAGCCATCTCATCCTTTGAAGTGACTGTACGTGCACCGTGGGATATCCAAAACCAACTTTGCAAGTGCCTGTGTGAGGAGTAGATGTGAAATGGGAACACGTTCTACCACCAATGGCCGGTTACAGCACCGGAGTCATGTGAGTTTACGGGAGGATGTGTCGTGTACCCTTTGGTTCTGGTTAATAGGGCTCCCAGTTGTATCACATTAGGCCCTGAGATACACGAAGGTAGCGTGTTTAGGGTGTCTGCGAGCCCGACGAAGTCGAGCCGCCGTCGAGCCGCCTCACGTGGTGGCGAGGAGGAGTGGGCTTTGAGCAGATCGCTGCAGGGTCTTGCTTGCTGAAACGTGCATGTGGGACTCTGCTGGTCAGTTTCCCTTTAGGCTATTTTAGATTCGGAAGTTGGGTCTTGAGATGAACCCCCACGACGACGACAACAACCAGCTCGAGAATGGGAAAGAGAAACAAAAGTACACAGAAGTTGGATGTGGCCTTGGAAGGATCGACGATGGTGGACGGATTCGATTCGAGCGGCCTACTGTGTGTTGAACTGAGGTGCTGAGCGTGGCCGTCTTTTCCGGTCTGCTCGTCTTTCGAGGGTTGGTTGGGGTCGTCATTGGTTCCGCAAGTCGAGCGCGGAGTCGAACGCCGCACATATGACCCCATCATGCATTCGAGTAATGTTGCTGACTGGACAGCTGTCGGTCGCAATCAAGCTTCTTGAGGTTTGACTAATCTTACATAAAGTACATATGTCGTCGCTTTGGCACTTTGGCAAGGGATACCTCAGCGCCGGGTCGTCCTGATGGAGAACCGAGAGCCTCGAACGCGGGGTCATCCACAGGATTGACAAGCCCGATTCTGGGGTTCTGCCATGGCATCGGCCCACTCCCAACGTCGCTTATCCGGGTCATGTCACGGGGGGGGGCTCGGCGGAGTCTAGGGAGTGTCATCTGTGAAAGCTTGGAGACGGCGCTTGTGAAACTGCGAATGAGAAGGTTGGAATAATTAGTTCATCATGAGATCACTGTAAACGGCCATGTCCGGCCACTTGCGATCAAGCCTGCGTGCAACGGGCCTGTCCGGCTGAGCCGCCCACTGCCGCCCACAGCCGCCCCAGTTCTGGGAGAAATTCGTTGAAGCTGAAAAAAGGTGGACTGAGTGAAAGCGATTTGGAACAAAAAAGTCAGCCGTTTCCAAGGACAAAACGGTTGGTTGGGATGAAGCAGGCCCGACTCGGCCGGGTCGGGACGCTGGGTTCCCTTCCGTGCGGGAAAACGATGGAGCGCTAAACTGTTTTAGGCAACAAGAGAAGCTGCAACCTGCCTGCAGCAGTGTTCCGATATGCTAGGAGTATAAGCTCCGGATGTGCCGCTTTTCCCCGCTACTTTTCTTCATTTATTTCTCATTTTTCTTCAGTTTCCTTCAGAAGATTGAATATTGGGGCTCGAACATCAAAACGGTCGACTTCAAGTAAAACGGTCTTCAATGGGGAAAGTGGATTTGAGCCCCTGGGTGTGGGGCCACCGTGTCACAGGCATCTCACCCTCTGGCACCATCGGATGAGACGTTGCCGGATTTGATCATATTGTTGGAGAAAAGGGTAGAGTAGGGCAAGAGAAGAACGGCATGTGCCTCGCCTTGTCATGAATGTGGCGGAACAAGTCACTTTTGGAGAAGCCGTCCTGCAACAGCGATTGGCATGGAAGCTTTGGCAAGTTGCATGATGGCCAATGGACCCGCTTGCAAAAGGGAGACGAAACCGTCCCCGTTCTCGCCCCCCTGCCCTCTCTGTACAGTGCACCGGGACGGACAGATGACAAGGCGACATGGCCGGCTTCTTGCAACCAGAGGACTTTACATGTTGCAGGAGGGCGCACCGGCGCACACAGCCAAGCACTTCACCTTCCATTCAACTAGCACTTTCAATTTTGCTCGGCGCTGTGACTGAGGAACCTGGGTGGGCCTGGGATGACGGGAAAGAGGGGTCATTGAAGACTGGAAGGAGATAGCCTAGCCCATGCTCGGGAAACAAGCAGGAACGATGATGGAAGCTACCGTCATGGATCGAGCAGGAACGATGAACCAAGATAGGTAGGTACCTGCCGTAAGCTTGCATTGTCCGAAAGCACGGCTCGACCGACCGGCAGCACACATCTCCCCCTGATATTGATCTGTTCGTCAGCTATTGGGTTTTTTGGTGGTTTTTTTGGGCCACTATCATTCGCTCACCCGTTCTCCTCGCTTGCCCGGGGAGCCCAACCGTTGCAAGGCATCGTGAAAGCTGCCGGCACCTCTCATTTTTGCCCGGGGCTCTTTCCGTGTTCTGTTCCGCTCTTCTCCCCGCCCCCCATGCCTCAATTTCTCTGGCTTCTCTCGCTTTCCCCCCTTTCCCCCTCAAAATCCCAAGCCTGAGGATTTCAGACTTCTTTTTATCGCGCCATTTGGTGCGCTACCCGTGCTCTATTAGCCACATTCACGGGCAAGGCACGCCAACTCCGAAAGATAATTCCAGCCAACTGGGCACATGACGTGAAGAAAACAGCACAGAAGCTCCGCAAAGGATCGCTGATCCTCAACCGCCACAAGTTGCCCACCGCATTGGCCGGCCTCAACACCTACTACCTCTCTCCTCCCAGTCGGCAAACCGAGATGACTTCCTCCCAGGCTCTCTACTTGCTATCTGCTTTATGATCATGCTGTGCGTCTGCTGATCGTCACGACTAAGCTCCGAGGCCTTGGGACCGCTTCCTCACACTGCAGCAGTGCCAAGCCCACGTTCATTATTCTTATCCTTTCCACCCTTTCCACACCAAATCCCGACCTCTTTTTCAGTCGATTCCTGCTCAAGCCGGAGCGCGGGTATCCCGCCACCTAGGACTCACCTCACTCGAGTCCGCCCTAGCGCCCTAGCCGGCTCACCATGGTTTTGCTATGAGGAGCGCCCGACATGAACACCCCGATCAACGGAGCCGTGCCGCCGCCGCCGAAGCAAATCCGCTTTGTGAATAACCAGGGCCAGCCCCCGTCTAAGCGACGGAGGATCAATGCAGCGTATGTATCTCTCCATCTGCTTATGTCCTTAAAGGCCTTTCTCGTCTCCCATTTCCCGTACCCGCCCCCGGCGTTGCTCCGGCTACCCCGGCCACCCCGGCATCCCCCATGGCCCAGTGCGCACCGCTGTCAAGTCCCGGCAATGGACGGGTCTCCATGCCAGATTGAGACAGGATTCTAAGAGTGCACAGATGCTTGACATGCCGCAAGAGGAAAACGAGATGTGCGGGTGAGAAGCCGGATTGCTCGACCTGCAAGAAGAATGGGCACGTGTGTCTAGGGTACACGGATCTCGTGGACAGGAAGAGGGGGGACCCTGGATATGATGAGTTTGTGGTACTGAAAAGTGAGCCGGCGGACACGCCCAATCTGAACAATGGCGCCGGCGGCGCATTTCTGGAGGAGGAGGATGACGACGACGAGCGGGAACGACGGCGTTGGATGAACAAGGCTATGCCGCGAACGGCAGGGTTCGTCGACCAGGACGCCGTGTCGAGGAGCGATTCACGCTCGAGCACGACGGTCATAGCAACTCGCCTCCACGAGCCCAACAACGACTGGGACCGAGATAGCAAAACGCCGGGTTCCGCCAATATCATCAGGCATTCCAACGTGCCTCGGAACGGCTCTTACTCGGAGGACAGCCGAAGCACAAACAACCGGTCGCCCGTCCAGTTGGAACGCCACCGCGTGCCGTACTTTCGATATTTCGGCCCCACCGCCATCGTCCCTGGCTTCAAGCAAATGGTGGTGAATGTGTATCGCGACAACAGACGAAAGAGCCGGGGCAGCTCGTTCTCGACCACCTCGCCGGGGTCGCTGTTTGGCCCCGGTATCCACCACAGCCATACTTTGCATCATGAGACCGCCGTGGACGCGCTGGAAGATTTGCCCATTTACGACGTGAACAGCTCCGGCCCAGTCCATTCCTTGATCATCTCCCTCGTCGATACTTTCTTTCTCCATCTTGGCTGCAACTACCGTTTCTTGCGAAAGGATCGATTCCTGCTCATGCTAAAGGAGAAACGGATCGAGCCTATCCTGGTCGACGCCGTGTGTGCCCTGGCCGCCCGTTTCTCCGAACTGCCCATCTTCACGAACAACGACGGGAAGCTGAAACGGTCCGAATACGGCCATGTGTTCGCCCAGCGAGCAAAGGCTGCAATCGTCGACACCTTCCCTTGCCCCTCGGTTGCTGCTGTTCAGGCTTGCCTGTTGGTGGCGTACGAGGGGTTTGGTGCCGATCAGGATAGCGCGCTGTGGATGTATCTCGGCATTGCCATCAGGATGGCCGTTGATCTTGGGCTCCAGAAGATGGAAGGCGTCAAGTATCAAGGCGAGCGCGACCCCTGGTACACGAGATGCTGGAGTCGCAAGGACCCCGACGGTACGGATGGCATCGACAACAACCATAACGACGAGGAGACCCTAAGCCCGGATGAGCAGCAGGAAGTGGAACAGGAGCGCATCGACACATTCTGGTCCGTCTTCGTTTTGGACCGCGTCATCTCTTCGGGCACAGGTAGGCCTGTGACTTTCCGCGACGACGATTACGAGCTGTCGCTCCCGCCACCGACGGTTGACCCCATTTCGAACTGGCCCGACCCGTTTCCTCCTTTCATCGAGATCATCCACCTGTACGGCCGCGCGTCGGACGTCCTCAACAACATCCGGAATGCCAACGATCTCACCGAAGAGAAGATGCAAAAGCTCAAGATCATGGAGAGGGACCTCACGGCGATCTACCAAAAGCAGGACCAGCGCCTTCACTTCAATGCCGTCAACTTCCGCGAATATGTGAATGCAAATCAAGGGACCACCTTCATCCTGCTGCATTTCTGGTTCCATGCGTTGGTCATCATCCTTCATCAGCCCACCTTGCTCACGCCATTCCATAATCTGAGCCCAACCCAACTGTTGGCGAACAGCCCAGAGCTGCCAAATAGTCGCGAGCTGTCCATGTCAAGCGCCAAAACAATTGCCGATATCCTGGCATTCGCCGAGTTGATCGACCCCAAGAGCTTGATTGGCAACCCGTTCACGTCGCAGCCCATATATATTGCCGCATGCGCTTTTCTCATGGAGTCGGTCGCGAACACCTCGCAAAACCCGTCGCGGGAGGCTTCATTAACCCCAGACCTCAAAGCCGATCAATTCAGGTCGCCCGCTGGAAGATTCAGCTCGACTCACGACACCCGCCCTCTGAAACATTCGCTCCTTGCGTCTGCCGCCAACCAAAACTACCAGCGCTGTCACAAGTCCCTTCAGCAACTAGAACAATACTGGGGCGGTGCCGGCTACATCCTCACGGCTTTAGACCAGAAGTCAAAGGGCATCTGGGATTGTGAGATACTCACCAATGAGGAATACGAAGCCATGAAACTGGCGCGGCGAGGTCCGCTGGGCCGCTTGTCCAGATTCGAGCATCCTGCCTCGCCAAATGTTCCGCCTATCGCATACTCGCTTACTGGCACCACGAACTCGCCCAACTCTAACCTCACTGTCCTCTTCCAAGGTAACCTCGGCGCGCAGCCCGGGGCCTCTGCCTCCGCCTCCACCACCTCCCTCCCACCACAGCCGTCATCTGTCCCAGTATCCGCGGCGACTCCCCCTGGTAACATGATTTACGACCCCATCCGGCAGAGTCTCCCAGAAACGCCCCCGGCGTTCCCACCGGCATATCTGCAACCCAACGTTTCCTCCGTACGCTACCAGTCCCATTCATCCAAGGCGCACCGGCTTTCTCAGTCGCCAGCAATCGGCAAGTCGATGTTGAAGTTCGAGTCACCATCCCCCGGCGACCTGGACCAGGGCAGCCCGCACCACGAAATCAAGGCGCCTTTGTATGGGTCGCGGCCCAGCCACGGCCCACTGCATCATTCGTCGTACAACTACTCCGCGCCGATGCACACAGCGTACGACGCTATGGGGCATGAGCGCTCGCCCTCCAGCACGCCAACAGAATCAGGAATGGGTCAGTCACATGCGTCACACAGCCATAGCCACCACGCCCATGGTCATAACCACGGCCACGACAGTGGTGTCGATCATCACCATCACAACACGTACGAGGCAGACTTTGCACAGAGTGGCTTGGTGTCCGGCTCGTACTCGTACATGGGTTTGAATCCTATTCATGATACCATCACGTTCAACAGCCAGGAGGTCAACTTTGACATGCTTGGGCTACAAAGCGAAATGATGCCGCCGTGGCTAGAGATCCTACCGGGAGATGTCTTGGGCGGATTATTTGAGGGAGGTATGATGGGGGCGAATCAGCATATGGAGTAGCCCCCTGCGCCCTTGTTCGAATTTACTAGGATGGGAAGGTGTGGCTAGTCCGATTCCTCAGTTGGACATCGGGCTAAAATCTGGGCATCATGTTTCCGGCTACATTTAATAGCACTTTTTGTTTTGCAACAACTTATCATGATTTATCCCCCCCTTTTTCTATTTCCTATGTTCCCTCTCGAAAGCTTGCGAGGAGCCTCTTTGCTTGCTTAGCACACCCACCCCTGCACTGTTTGAGCGGCCGAGGCGAGCGGCACATTACGGGGTCTTTAATGACTTACCATCTAGACAATAGGAGTCGGATCATGCATGGTGCGGGACGTGGGAAAGGAAGGAGAGCAGGCTATGGGATGAATCTGGCGTCTTTTCCGTTTTCCCTATACCACGCACGTTTCGGACGCACATGGGAGATATGGCGGTACCTGGCGTATGGAAAGACATGGGGAAGGACGACAAACGAAGAATTGGGAAATAGGTACGGATGGGCTGGCCTTTTGAGTTTATTTTTGCTTTTTGCACATGATTCTTTTGACTTTTTGGTGTTTTAGCGAGCAAGCGTGGGACTTATTTAGGTAAAGGCATTCAATACCACCAATGCATGCGAATCTGTTGTCTCCTGGTATTAGGCATATCATGAATCCGAGTGAAAGAAAACACGACCGACCAGTGATTGTCGGAAGGAGTTGGAGTGTCTAGGCGCCAGTGACATGACAATGAGATCAAATAGCGTGTCACGCGAGAGAGGCGAGGTGATACAAACATACTAACATGAAATAGGAAGCTATGTACATGACTTTATCGAAGCCAAATATATACATACAGATAAATATATACGATGTGAAACCCTTCCACCAACGCAATGCAAGGAGTTCCTCCTCTATCACGCAGAAATCCCCTTTCCTCACTGACACCGACACCAAGACCAAAGAAAACAAGCCGACACCCTGTCTCTCTCTAAATAATCATGACACGGTCGTTATTATCCCCCCTCCGCCCCCCTCCGCCCCCCTCCCCCCCCCCCCCAAAAAAAGAAAAACACTGACCTGCTGCTCTCTCCCGCCGGGCTCTCTCTCTCTCAAAGCTGCGCCTGCGTCTCCCCCAACTTCTTCGTGCAAAACGCGCCAAAGTACTGGTTCAGCGCATCCACCGTCGCCGCGCCCTCCTCGAGCGCGACCACAACGCCGACATAGCCGTCGGGGCGGACAACAACAACGCCACCACGTTCCTGGTCCAGGCCCATCTTGGCGTGGGCGCAGGCGGCGGCGTCGGGCGCGCGGCGGTCCCAGCGGTCGTCGGCGTAGACGTGGTCGCGGTAGCGGGCGAGCAGCGGCGGCAGGTCGCGCGAGATCTCGACGTCGGGCCGCGGGGCGGCGAAGATGGTGGCGACGGTGAAGAAGAGCGAGTGCGGGTTGTGGCGCTCGTGGTGGCTGATGTGGTTGAGGTTTGGGCGGGCGTAGGCGGTGTAGAAGGAGTTCTTCTTGGCCATGTTGGCGGCGAGGTCGCGGAGGGCCTGGGCGGTCGCGGAGGGCTTGCCGGCGAAGATGAAGAGGCGGAAGGAGCCGTTGAGGGGGATTTCTTGTTCCAGGTGGACTACGTTGGCGTCGACGACGCGGGTCACGTCGGCGTTCATGAAGAGGCGGCCGGGCACGAGCTTGGTGGTCTTGGGGTGCACGACGTGGGACTGGGCCGGGTGCGAGGGGGACCAGTTGAGGGCGTTGGCCTTGTAGAAGACGCCGTAGCCGCTGGTGAACTCGCAGGACTCTTTGAAGGTGTTGATAAACTCGTTCCCTGACTGGCCGCCGTTGCTGGCTTGGGCGGAGGCTGCGGCAACTTCTACCGCGGCGGGCGGGCGCTGCGAGAAGAGCTTGGCGTACTTGTTGTCGAAAGAAAGCAGGGTCTCAGCGACGTTCTTGCGCTCAGGTTCGTACGTCTCCAGCAGGCTACGGTTGGCGAAACCAGCCTCGACAGCGTGAATCTTCCAAGCCAGATTCTGTGCATCCAGGAAGGCGGTGTTCATACCCTGGCCGGCCTTGGGCTGTTCACAGGGTTAGCTCGTTTTTCTTCTAGCCTGGCTGTACTACCCGGATAACTCACGCTGTGGGTGTGGCAAGCATCGCCACCAAGGAACACGCGGTGGTCTAGGGTGTACTTGTCGGAAATGCCCTGGCCGATGGGGTACACCGAGTACCACTCTACCCTCTCCCACTGGATCGAGTAGGGCTGCAGAATCCGTTTCGCGGACGCCTGGACTTCCTCGGCGGTCGCAGTCTTCCGGGGGTTGAAGTCGGGGTCGGTGGAGGAGGCGATCTGGATGTAGAGGCGGACCATGTTGTTCTCGCGGGGAATAACCATGATGGAGCCGTGTTCGGAATGGATTGTGCATTTCATCTATTCTAAATTAGCATGGCGAGCTACTCCGTCACAGCGAAAAGTTGACGTACCTTGATATCGGGAAAGTCTGTCTCGACAACGCCATCCATCACACCCCACACATACGCGATGGGGTCCTTGTGCTTGATGCCGATTTTCAACTGGTCACGGATAAATGACCGCGCGCCCTCGCCGCCGAACAGGTACTTCGCCTTGACCGTTTCCTTCGAGGTGCCATCGACGTGCTCCAGATCGACAGTGACGGGGTACTCGGGGTCCTCTTTCTCGTTGGAAGTGAAGCCCTTGATGGTCCACGGCCGCTGGATCTTGACGTCGTTCTTCTCAAGGTCACCGATAAACACACGTTCGATGAGGCCCTGGTGAAGAAGTGTGGTGAAGGGATATCTGGCGTCGATAAAGCTGGGGCAGCTGGCCCAGGTGCCGGTCCGAACGATGCCCTTGCCGGCGGTTGGCGGGTCCCAGAAGGCGACCTCGTAGACACGGGCAGGTTTATGGGCCATGATAGCGGACTTGAGCCCCATATTCCGGAGTAGGTCGAGCGAGCGAGGCTGGATTCCGTCGGCTCGGCCCGTGGGTGTGGGTTCTGCCCTGTTGTCGATGTGCTTGATCTTGTACCCCCATCTTGCCAGGCAGGTCGACAACATCAAGCCGACAGGGCCGGCGCCAACAATGACTACCAAGTCCTGTCAGTATTCTGAATTGCGCTTGAGGCAACCCGTATCAGCTTACCGATGTCATAGTGACTAGGACTAGGATGCCTATCCGTTTGGGCGGCCATGGTTTACTGGGTATCTCTGAAGGACGGGATGCGAAACAAACGATAGAAAGAACAGGGACACGGGTATCTAGAGGGAAAGGATAAAGTTCGGGTGGTAAACCGAAGAAGAACAGGCTGATTAAACCCCGGACAACTTTGGGGGGGGGGGGATGTCGGAAGGTATTTGAGCACAACGGTTCACAGCTCTCCGGGATCCGGGTTATAATCCGAACGCCGGTCCAGAACTACGGAGATAGCACGAGAGGCGCGATCAAATCACATCGCCAGGTGATGAGACGCGGTTGGGATGAGCACGCCTTGGAAGCGCGGCAAGCAGTTCGGGAAGACCCAGATGGGAGCTTGACTCGGGGTGAGGAAGAAAGCGAGGGCGAAGGGGGAAGGAAGGCCAACTCGGGCCAGTGACGAGCGATCATGTGTGGCCCGGCAAGGCGGGCGGCTGAAGGCGAAGGAGAAGAAAGCCACGGGTTCCCCCTGGTACCCTTTCGGTCTCGCGACATCTTATCCCTGTGTGGGGTTCCTGGCAGGCTGGGCATTGTTTTTCGGGCAGCGGGGCGGCGTTGTGACGCTGTCCATCCAACTTCCTTCTCCAGCGAGATTCGCCATGAGAGCTGTGGCTGGCTGGCGCGAGGGGTGAGGGGCGTCGTCGGGACTTAAACACGGGAATGAGCAGCGGGGCCGTTGTGGGGTTACCACGGCTGGGATAATCGGGAAAGGAAAAACGGGCCAACGCCGGTTTCGACTCGGCTTCTTCCAGAGTTTGGGGTTCCACCAGCGGACCGACAGATGGCCACCACAAACCCGGCCGGGCTGCCGTCGCTCGCGCGAGCCGATGCGATTGGGCCGGTTCTCCCACCGGTCTGCTGTGTGGTCACGTAGTGTATGTGACCGCGTCCTCACTAGCGAGCTAGCGCAGACGTGACAGCCTATCTGCCACTCCGCCGAGTCCGCCAAACGGTGCACCTGATGGGGGAGGCATTGGGAAGGGCGAGGGTGGGATCGCTGGTACCAACGATCCATCAAACGATCGCCCCTTCTGCGCGTCGCCGTTACCCGAAAGCCGTGGCAAGAGCCGCATGGTAACAAACAGCGGCTAGGCCTTTCGGGCACCCACAGCATATCCCCGCGTGCCGTCAATGTCGAACTTGGCAAGGGCGAACTGACAGGGGTCGTGGGGAGGTCGAAGTCGCGGTGTGCTCACTGGAAAGCTCACAGTCGCTTGCACATCGGCTTCCTGTACGGCCGAAGTAACGCTTGTCTTCCTTATCTGGCGCTCTGGCTCCCGTCATCCGCTGCCGTCCCACAATCCCCATGGTGACGAACATGACGCCGACGCCCCGCCCCCTGCCGTCGACGAGTCCGTTGTCGTCTACCCTGTGAAGCTGCCCGTCGTCAACTGGAAATTTTGGGTCTGCAATTTTCGACTGGTGTCGTTAGACTCGACGGACAAGCCAGGCTGGCGAGACTGGGGTTGGAAGCCGTGGTCGGTTATGGTGTGGGGGGACGACTGCTGGCAACCCGAGGATCGCGGTCATTCGTGGACGGGCTCTCAATGCTGCCACCGGAACACTTCGACGTCTCCTCTAACGATAGGAGGCATCCGATCATCTTGATGGACCTTTAATTGTCCTGTTGGCCTCAAATCTCAGCTGCAGTACCGAAGAAGAGAGGGTCGAAGGATGGCCGCCATTAGCTGGAACGGGAACTCGGACTCGACACCAACATAATTAATGTTGCATACCTAGGTAGGCACCAGGTATGGTTGAATGACGGTTCGGGGGCTCACCAGTTTATTCTCGGTGGTTTATTCCCGAGTACCATCATGTGGTGCGTGAAGTTAGGGCAGTGATGCCTGGGTGGTCATGGTCGTTCCTTCTCCTTTGTGGTGCCACCGCCCGGTTAGTTAGGTAAGGCACCTAACTGAATCTTCCATCAAAGGCAGCATGGGCTCCATGTTACTATAATGAAGTGAAAAGATGAATCAGATGCTAACATGCTCACCAGAAATGTCCAAAATGGGATGGTGATATCACCGTGGTTGCCCTTTTTGCACTGCACACCAATCCTCTTCGCAACCTCGTTTTAATGACAATTCAACTTCAACACTCTCTAACCTCACGAACACCATGTTCACCGTGATCACTCCCATCATGTCACGGTGGCCATTGAGAGCTTTCCTCACCAACGTGGCCGGTCAGTGCAGTAATAGCGGAGAACAAGGGCGCAGAAGCCCTCGCGATCCCATCTTCATGTGGCCTGACCCACGACACCATTGCCTGGGAACTCTCTCAATGCGAAATTATCACTCTCCTCTGCGCACACCTAACCCGCCAAATCTTCCTTCTCTTTACACTCTCTGAAAAACACCCGTCGTGGGTCACAAGAGCACTGCTCGACCCGCTCCTCGGTTGAACAACGCGTCTCTGTTTCTTCATTCGTGCCTTGCCTTCATTCATACCTGAGAAGCATTAGACCTCGAGAGCAGTTTACCGTCCAGCGGTAGCGGAAAAGAATAACATGGATGACGATCAGCGGCAATCTACCCATGAGATAGGCCTTGCGAGGCGACTGATCCTATCGCCAGCGAGGCCGGAGATGGTGACGCTAGGCACTTCATCGCGAGAAGGCAGTGTTTCACCACTGGAATCCATCAAGGAAGAAGCCGACCACGACGCCGACAATGATGCCGATAACAGCAGGGAGCCCTTCGAGGAAGTTGAGGGCAAGTCCATTCTCGCCTCCTGCATTGCCTCACCCATCCTTGATTCTAATCTCGAGCGCGCCATTAGGCTACTTGATGCAGATGGGAACCGGCAACACCCCAAGCTCGAGTGTACAGACGCGCAATCCCGGGCCGCGCGTGGTCTTCAAGGATGACGACGACAATTGGTCTTCATTTTCGAACCCAGAGTGCTTGCATGAACGCCCTTGCGGCCACAAGGCGGGTCCCCGCGTCCTGTTCAAACCCGACGGGGTCGGATCGGACGAGAAGGTCTTCGAGTCCCCGAACGGCCCGATAGGTACGCAGACACCGTTCCCTGGAACGACAATTTCCTGCTCCCCAAACCCAAATCCCGATTCTCTATGTAGTCGGGCCGGCGAGGACATGGGGCACCGGACGAACACTGGCCTCCCGAGCCAAATTGGGCCGTTCTTCCTCCAATCGAAGTCAAGTGGAAGCTCCGTTGCCGAGGGCCGTGAGTATCGTTTGCCCTCGCTCTAGCTCTGTCATTCCTATTTATCCACACACACAATAGCTACCTCGTACCGAATCGACCCCATTGCTGACTGGGACAATAGCTGTGACCACGGACACCGAATTAACGCCCACCCCCGTTACAGGTGGGAACAAGACACTGCGAACTCTCCGTAAGTTGCAATCTCCCTTCCCAATACTCTCCCAAGTCCCTTCTCAACCAGTTCCGCCGGCAGAAAAAGATTACTACGCGTCCCGCACAGCAAACTGGGTGGTGAATCTCCCCCCCGAAGCTGCCACCGTCCCTGGCCACATCATACCTCTCGCTGTAAGTCTTCCTTCCCAACACGCCGCACTTTCCCCCACCTTATTTTAACCTTTTCGCGGTCAGACTTTTGAAAACAAACCCCCCGCCAACCCCGACCACCCCGACGATATGGGCACTTCGCATCTGAAAGACTCGGCAATCCGAGGCAACTTCATCCCTCTTTCCAAATCTCTCAAGGAATCTTCGCCCTCGACTCGACACGAACAGGGGCCCCGCGGCGTTTACCTACAGCTTAGCTTGACCGACTCGCAGATGGACAAATTGACAGCCGTGTAAGTGTTTACATTTTCGCTACTTGTTCCGAGCTTCTACTCATTTTTCTCAGCTTATCCACGGACGACGACATTGTACCGCCCCTCCCCCGGGGCAGGGTTAGAAGCGACGAACAGAACATCGAGAACATGAATAGAGCAAGCAACGAGAATACGGCGCCGAGGGTGCGGTCTCGGTCGCCGGAGAAGACGTACCAACCGACCACTACGCCTTCTCGGGCGCGCTCTCGCTCGCCTGTCAAGTTCCTTACCAAAACCCCCGAGAGCCAGCGTACTATCCAGGGCGCCCAGGCCCATGCCAGAAGCGCGTCGCCCAGCAAGTCACAAGAGACTCGCTTTGGCCGGAATACCACAATGACCCAGACTACACCGACTCGGTCTGGCGGACGCGGAGTTCGGAGTGCGCCTGCGCCAATCGACACGGATCTTGCACGAGCTCACGCTAGAATGGCCGCCCTTCGAATTGGCAAACAGCCAACGGTCGTCGTTCATAACCCGCCGGAGAGGTCTTCTTCACCTGTCCGTCAGCCTACCCAGCTCCTCACGGCCGACGATTCTTCCTCGTACTACTCCCAGGATTCGTGCGGAGAGCGCCACCCTTCCTACATCAGCCCCCTCCATATCCAAAAAGACGGCGAACCCAGGCATATCAGCATTCTGCAAGAATACACCGATAAGAAGAACTCGGCCCGCGGTTCGGATAAAGGTTCAGAGGTGTCTGAGCAGCAACGGGTGACGCCGGACCAACTATCGAGCGGCCCGGACATGGCTTACACCCCGTTGGCTCCCTTCCTCCCGCAGGGTGCGCCGACCATCCGGAAAGCCTCCAAGACTCTAATCGGCGAGGGCGGCTGGCTCGAGAACACGTCGAAGCCCGAACAGGCTGGGTCCCCTACCCGAGGTGTTGGTTTCCTCGGAAACCTCGTCAAGAAGGCAAAGGGGATGGTAAGTAACCTCCCAACTATCTGCTAATCTAGTCCTAACCACCCCGCAGATCGAATCCAACCAGGACAACCGCGCCCAGCGCAAGTCACGGGAATCCGACAACAACAACAAGAGCCGCCCTACCTCGCGCCAGCTCGCCATCTCGCTCAGCCCCCGCGAGCAGAGCCTCCTCTACTGCGAGCTCGAGTTCGCCCTGGCCACGGCGCTCAACGACTACATCACGGCGCAGCTCACGGCGGGCCGGCTCGAGGCCGACCGCCTGCGCAAGGTGGCCGAGGACTGGCAGCGCAAGGGCCGGCCCAAGGTGGTCGGGTTCCGCTACGACCTGGAGACGCAGCTGGACCTGGTGCGCACCCACGTCCACGACTTCAAGTTCTACTCGCGCGCCGCCGCCACCACGGCCATCCTCGGCATCATCGACACCGCCAAGTCCAACGCCCGCGTCTTGCGCCTCCGCACCTTTTGCCAGCCCGATACCGTTATTGCTAAGCAGCTGCTCGACTCCCAGGGCCTGTTCAACATCCTCGGCTGCCCGGAGGACCAGCAGATCAAGCTGGCTGAGATCATTGCTTTTTTCAAGGCCGCCATCGAGAGGCGTCGACTCTGCGCGCTGCGGGAGAAGCAGCAGCAGCAGCAGCAGCAGCAGCAGCAGCAGGGTGACTACTCTGGCGTTGGTAACCACTCTGGCGTCGGTGTGGCTCCGGCGGCTGGTGCTACCTCGCCGTTGCGCAATAGCCGGAGCCCAAGGCAGTCCGATGGCTGGTGGGGGACTACTGCTGCGGCGGCTGCTACGACTGGGCAGCTGAGGGGCACCAACGCGCAGGGCGCCGGCAGGATGGATCCTGCTGGGTATGATACACCGGAGGAGTAACGCCTGACCGGTATGATGGTCGGGTTTTGCTGGAGCGGTACAGTGACGAAATCTCTTCTTTCTCACTTTCCTTTTCTGTCGCCTCTCCCCTTTTTGTCTCTCTCCCTTTCGGTTCCTTCGGCGACTACATCAGGTACAAGGCTACTTGAAAGTTCTGCTTCAGCGTTGTCAGTTCCGAACATTTCAGTCCGGGCAGCAGCTTCGTCATATCGGGGCTCCTTCTCACGTCTCAAAAAAGGGCTTGGCCAAGGGCACAAGGCCGGAAGATTCTACAGTCTACAAGGAGGGTCATAGTTGGCGCTCTTTTCTAATTTCTCGATGGGAGCATTCATCGTATTTTCAGCCGTGCGCGGGATAGTTCCTGGCGTTTTTCACGATTTGGCGGAAATGGACGATACCCTCTAGGTTGCATTTCTGAGGTGGGTGTTGCGGTATGGAGGTCGGGGACTCATTGGTGTTGGCGTCTTGTTTGATGTGTAGGTATGGAGATATTGTTGTGTAATTCTAATATATATAATGAAAAAGAGGACATATTCTCACATTTGGCTGAGACTGCGTGGTTTATCATCGTTCGTGAATGGTTTTAACTGTCAAAAGTGTTCGCGCCATTTTACACACGAATGGGATAACTTTCTAGACATAACAATTTCATTCATGCCACACCGTGCACCTCCCCAGATCGTAAAAGAGATAAAGCTCATACATCAGTCATTGCAAGTCGTTATCCTCATGCCAATGCTGTGACCCACCAAAGAAAAGAAAGAAAGAACAACAACAATCTCAGTACCGCCCCACCCCGATCAATACCTCCCCCCGCCTCAACACCTCTCCTCAGTACCGCCTCCCGCCCTCATCCCTATACCTCCCCTCATCCCTATACCTCCCCTCATCCCTATACCTCCCCCCCTCACCCCCATACCTCTCACCCACATACCTCCCCTCCTCCCTATCCCCCTCCCTCCCCCTCTCCCTCCCCCTCTCCCCCTCCCTCGCCCCCTCAATCCGCCTCTCAATCGCATTCGCCCCCAACCCCCCCACCGCCGCCCCCACCACCGTCGAGATCAAATGCTTATGCTTCCCACCACCACCACCACCCTCCCCACTCCGCCCCCGCTCATGACTATGCCTACCCCCATGTCCATGCCCATGGTTGCCATACCCATGGTTGCCATACCCATGCCCGTGAGAGTGAGAGTGCCCATGGGAATGGGAGTGCTTACCCTCCTCGCGCCCCGCAACAGCCTCACTCGCCTCCCTCGCCGCCAACCCACCGACAATCGCGCCCAGCACGCCGACGCCAAGGCCAGAGGTGGACGGGGTGAAGGTGTTGGAGAGGAGGGAGTGGGCTTTGTGCAGCGGGGACCGGGACTTTGAATGTGAATTGCTGCGACCGTGGCGGTGGTGGTGGTCACGGTGCCGGCGGTCACGACGGTCGCGGGGGGCGAGGTGGCGGTCGTCGGCGGAGGAATAGCCACCGTCGGAGTCGGTGGGGTAGGAGAAGCCGGGGGAGGAGGAGGAGGAGCGGGAGCGGTGATGGCGGGGTGTGTGGTGGCCTCGGTCACGGTTCCGGTCCCGGTCGCGGGCGCGGCGGCGGTGGGTGAGGATGGTGGAGTCGGTGGGCATGGTGGTGGGGGTGTCGTCCGTTGTGCTGGTGGTCGTGTAGGTGGTGTCTCTAGGTCCGGCTGAGTGGGAGCGGTGCGGGCTGGGACCGGCGCCGCCGGAGGCTACTGGCGGGTAGAAGGGGGTGTGTGGCTCGTATTCGAAGCGTGGGTGGCGGTCATCGATTGGGGAGGGGTCGCGGACGGGCCGGGGCCCCGGGGTGGGGGAGCGCCGGCGGGGAGAGCGGTAGTGCTGGCGTGGGACGTAGTCGTCGGAATCGGAGTCGGAGTGGAAGCGCGGCATGTTGGGCGGTTTGGTGGTGTTGTTGCGATGTTGAGAGGTGAGAAGGGTTGATGGTTGTTGGGGTGGTTGATATAAGGCCCAGAAACCCGGCTCTTAACTCCCTCCCTGATGCGCTCAGAACGAGGATGAGCCTGACGGCCGGAACTACCGACGGGGAGACGTCGGGTCAAGTCCTGTGAGAGGGTACACAGACGCAACTAACCGCCGTGGAAGTTGCCTCGTTTTGTGAAGAGGCGACGCAACGAGGCTCGAGAGCAACGGTTCGTAAGGCGGCAAGAACAATGCTGTGCGCTCTCACACTCGCCTCGGGCTGATGCCTTGAAGTGATATATCAGATTTGCGAGAACGAGGCTCTGGTGAAGGTTCGGGCTTCAGTTCCACTCGCCACGTTGTCGACGAAGAGGATGAAATTAGTTTTGATGAGGATTGGCCGGGATACCCAAGTTTAATTGTAAAACAGACTCTCACAATGAACTTATTTCAGGTCCCCGGGGCTGACGTGGATGCCATGGGATGAACGGGCGTTCAAGTTGATAGTGGGTGGCGATGATGTCACCGGCCAAGCACCGAATGTGACAGGTAGCATCCTCCAGCCTGCTGTCCCATATTAAACTGTATGTATGCCTCTCCAAACTTTGCCCGAAAGGATTGGTGATCAGCATCTGACAGGCATCACCGTTTCACAGGCGCCTCCACTGCGGACCAATGTTGGAGTGGGTGAGTGGGTTGCCATGAGAGGCCGTCACGGCCGTTTGAGCCTTGCGGACGATACTCGCGCCATTGGTTGAACACGAGGTGAAGGTTTGACAAAATTAGCATTAGATACTAGACAATAACGATCAATACGCTTTTCCCGACACCTCCCAGCCCCCCGCGCCCTTTTTCTACTCCGAGAAACCCAAGACTGCAGCAGTGACCCACTGGCTTAATACGTCAAAACGTAGGGAAGATCCGTCGCGTCCTCGGCGCCAGCCAGGCGAATGACCGAGCCGGCTCCCCCGGACCGCGAGCTCCGCGAGCTGGAGCTGGACGACTGGGTCATCGGGTAGGGGTGCCTGGTGTGTGAAAAGCTCTCCGAGCTAGACTTCCTCGAGAAACCGGTATGCCGGCTCTTGGGCGTCGTGGGAGCGGTGCGGTACTGCCATGTATTTGCCGACGAGTTGCGCAGCCCAAGTCCCGGCCGGCGCCGTCTCGAGCCGTCCGTGCTGGAGCTCGACCGACGATCCAGGCCGCCACCGTCTCTGGCACCGGACATGATGAACATCCCCCGAGAGGTCCCGTTGCTCGACGGGCTTGTGCCGCGCGGCGCATCGTTGTCGATGTCGCTTTCCGAGGGGGCGGGGCCGGACGAGCCGTCGTCTTCGTATCTCGCCAGCGCGGCGGGGCTGAGAGGGTACATGTGGCGTAGGACCTCGGAAAAGAGGTGCATCAGGCTGCGGAACCGGTCGTTGGACAACGGGCGCCCGGAGTAGCGGGCTGCTTCGTACTTCTCGAGAAATTCGCCCGTCAGGGGCAGCGGTGCGAGGACGGCCAATTCGGTGAGGTAGGCGAGATACTCGCGTAACCCCATGAACTCCGGTTTCTGGAGAAGGGCGACTGCATCTGGGTCCGGTGCCGGTGGCTCCGAGTGGGATTCCGGATCTGGGGGGGCAAGGGTGATCGCCTTCGCCTCGATGAGGTTAGGCAGCTCCGTGACGACGGTGTCGTACTGCAGGCTGGGAAGGTCGTGCGACAAGGGCGATCCCCAGCCTGGATGTTCAATCTCGCCCCAGACCGGCTTGGGTTGTGAGGGCTTGGTGGCTTTTGCCTCCCTGGGTGCCGCGGGGCCCCTGGGCGGAGCGCTCTTCTTGGATTCGGCAATTGACGGCCCAGGTGCAGCAGAATTGGCAGACGCCTGCCTATTTCCTCCACTACCAGCGGCGGGCCCTGATCCGAGCACCACAAGTGGCACCCGCGGCCTGGCGTCGTATGCGATCGCGGCGCTCCTGGCGAGCCCCTCGACGATCATCTGGCGCACGTCGGACGGGACGTCGCCCTTCTCGATAGGAACCCATCCTTTCGGTATAGACGCAAGCACGGAGCGACTGATATAGAGGCGGGAGGCGTAGATGAAGGCGACGACCAGGATGGTCACGACGTAGCAAATGAGGACGACGAGGATGTCGTAGTTTCGATGGAGCTGTACGCCCTGCTGGATGAGATCGATCGGAGTGACGACGAGGAAGGCAAATAGGACGAGGTAGAGAAAGTAGTAGAGGAAGTTGTAGACGATGAGGAAGAGGAGCGACGCGGCTGACATGGTGGTCGAAGTCATGCCTCATGCCCGGATGGTTAAGGTTCGGTCGTGCGACGATTCCAAGGACCGAGGTCCACGATGCGCTGAGACGCGAGTCGTGCAGCAATTGGGGACTGATGCTCGGTCATGGCTGCGCCGAACTTGGGCTGAGCATTGGTGAGGAAGCTGCAGATGCCTTGGGTTATTAGTCTTGCGACATTGCCGCGTGGGCTTTGGGAGTGAGCTGGTGGAGAATAAAAGAGATGACGGACCTTGAAAGCGGCGTCGCGATATTGAAGATGCCAAGATGAAATGATAGGGTTAGGGTTATGTAAGCCCGCGACTCGTATATTTATCCCTTTTTTTCTCTTTATATTTCTAGGTAGGTACCTAGATTAAGGTTCGTTGGGAACGGAATGTATAAAACCAGAACACGTTCAGCAAAACACAAAATCATTATCCATTTCCAAATGTTAATACACCAGCCATACTCCCAAATACCCCCAATCCGTCTATGATACACCCCAGCATCCACCCCCTTTCCTCAAGCACCACAATCAACTCGCACCCCTTCCAACCTCCCTCATCTCCCCATCCGCCCCCACCATCCCAGCCGCCTCCCTCGCCATCCTCATATCCGCCAAACTCAACCTCAAATCCCTCGCGTACGGCCCGAACGCATCCACCAGCCTCCCCAGCGCATCCCGCAGCGCGGCCAGCACCTCCTCCACCTCGGGGCACGTCCTCTCCCCACCGACATCGGTCCAGTGGGCGGCCAGGGCATCGCCAAACCCCTCCAGTTTCTTGGTCACAGCCGTCAGCGCGCGGATGACGGCAGCGACATCCCGCTGCACGTGGCCGTACTTGTCCTCGCGCAGCGAGTGGACGGCGAGGCCGGACAGGGCATATGCCGTGTTGACGTACAGGCTGGGCTCGCCGTAGGGGGCGCCCAGCACGGCGTGGGCGAGGCGCCGCCGGTAGTGCTGCCGGAAGGGCCAGCCGGCGGGCGAGCGCAGCACGCGCAGGGCGGCGTCCTTGAAGAGCCCCTGCGTGTCCTCGGATCCGGTGGCTTCTTTTTGGGCCTTGAGGAGCTGCTGCTTGGCGGACTCGACGACCCGCTTCGCGGCCGGGGAGAGCTGCGAGCCTTGGCCTGGTGCTAGCGTCGCTTGGTTGACGGCCTTTTCGACCTGGTTGCGGAGGCCCTTGCGCTGGGGGATGGGTTGGAAGATGGCTTCGTCCCGTGGGGCTTCGGTAGTACGGGCCTTTTGCTGTTCTTTTTGTAGTTGTTCAGGGGTTTTATCAGTGGCGGAAGCGGGGGCCGCGGGCGGCGCGATGTAGGTGTCCATGCTGGTTTCCATGGCTTTGATGGTGTCGAGGCAGATTTTGTAGACTTGTGACCACATGGGCCCGTCCTTCCGCTCGATGTCTTCGTAGATGGACTTGCGGCGGTCGGCGAAATCGCGGGCGATGAACGCCAGTTCCCACATGGCGAAACACTAGTTTTGTCAGTCGGCTGAAAACAAATGCGATGTGGGCGCGACCCACCTTGATAGAAAGCTTCTTATTCTTTAACCCATTAAGGAGACTGCCGTTCGGGTCCTTCGACTCTGACGTCAACGGCTTCCCGTTCTTTAGCGGGTGCTTAACCAGGAAGAGCGAGAAAGCCGTGTTGGCGGCGGTCCAGGCGAACATGAGAACTAGGCCCACGAGGAAGCAGCGAAACAGAGCAGGGAGGGAGTAGGGCAGCGAGACCGGGAGCATGTTGCTTCGAGGCAGACTGTAGATGGGCCGGAGGAAAACCAGGGTTGTCTTCCAGACCGCGCCGCGCACCGTCAGCGGGTAGAGGATGACGCTGAGAATCATGCCAATTATCGAGTGATTGAGCGTGTATATCAGCATCGCAGGGAGCTGGTCCCTAAATAGGCGCACCTGGTGTGACACATCCCCTTCCTCGGGCTTCCCGTTCCCATTCTGTGGCCTCGCCACCCCGAGAGACAGCCGGTCGACATCCCTGAAGAGGTGTTGCAGTGCCTGGTAAGCCCCAAGCAGCACCAAGTGGGATATGAGGAAGAGTGGCTTCTCGTTCAGCCTCGCCCTGTCAGCGGTGAAGTACGTGATGAACTCGAGCCCCGACGTGTCCGACAGCGACCAGAGGTAGATGAAGCTGAAGATGGACGCAGACAGCGTATAGGTAAGAATTGTCTCTGCGGTCTCTAGCTTAGGCGCATAGCGGAAGAAGGTGTGGACGCCCGAGTCGGATGTGCGTAGCCCGGGGTGGTATTGTGAGATTCGGAGGATGATGACTATGATGCCGCAGAAGAAAAGGGAGACGGCGCGAAAACCGGTAGGACCTAAGGGGAACCAAGACCAAAACCCTGTGTTCTGGAGTTAGGAATTGAAACTATTTTGAGCTTCAGCGCGAAGGGGGAAAGGGAGTTGAACGTACAAGAGTTCCAATTCGCCAAGAACAGCGCCTGGAGGTATGCGATGGCCAACACGAACAAGCTCGCTGTCGCAAAGCGCCGTTGCAGCGCGGGCTGTAGGAAATCCTTATAAGGAGATCTCCTGACTGTTGCTGGCGCCATCCTCGCTACGCATCGTCGGGTCGCTTGCTGCTTGGTGGTGGCGGATCACAGCTGCGAAGTGAGAGTCGGTTTGTAAATAAAAAAGCTGTCTTTGGAGCCCACCAGGCGAGACCCAGCAGTTGCAATGGGAGACGCGAAGCAGCAACCGAAAGGTCCAGGGTTCAGGGTCCCACCCAAGTTAAGCTTTCTGATTGGCCAGCTGCCCCATTACGTCGGTGTGGGGCGTTCCGTCACAGGACTCCAGGCGACCAACCTCGCAACAGCGACCAAGAACCTATCTTGAGTCTTATCTACCTAGGCGACCATCAACCACCAAATCACAATTAAAAGCAATCGCGGTCCCGTCGCATCGCTCGCTATTCCGTTTTGCTATTTTACTGCGCCGTCAATCACTTCAAACCACCCAACACAGACTCCGCCACCGTCACCATGTCGTTCGATCAGCTCTCGTCGCTCGAGGCGGGGCGCCAACGCGGAAGCCCCGGCTATTCCGACGACCCCGACTTCCAGCGCCTCTCGCAAGACCTGATGAACAAGCTATTCAAGCTCAACGGCAATAACCAGCGGCTAAGCGGAGAAGTCGGGCACCTGGGGACACGGCGCGACACTCCACGAGTGCGGGAACGGGTGCACGAGTTGATCGAGGAGTCGCGCACGACGTTCAAGGACGTTGGCGAGGGAGTCAAGAAGGCCCAGGCATGGGAGGATGTTACAGTACGCCCCCCCTCTGTTTTTATCATAGAATGCCGTTTCACCGCAGCTAACGTCTGTCCGACAGCCAACACAAAAGTACATGCAACAAAAGCTCTCGCGCGAGTTCCAATCCTCCCTCTCCGAGTTCCAAGCCCTCCAGCGACAAGCGCTCGAGAAGCAAAAAGCCTCCGTCTCCGCCGCCCGCGCAGCCGTCGACCACGAAGACGAAGCCGGCGGCGCCGGGGCGGGCGGCGGTGGCCCCCCGAGCCCGCAACTCCTGCAGCAGCAGGAACTGGCGCGGCTGGCGCCGCAGGACGAGGTGGACTTCCAGGAGGCGCTGATCATCGAGCGCGAGGAGGAGATCCGCAACATCGAGCAGGGCGTGGGCGACCTCAACGTGCTGTTCCAGCAGGTGGCGCAGATCGTGACCGAGCAGGGCGAGGTGCTCGACACCATCGAGCGCAACGTCGAGGTCGTGCGCGACGACACCCACGGCGCCGACCGCGAGCTGCGGAGCGCCGCGAGGTACCAGAAGAACGCCCGCAGCAAGGCGTGTTGCTTGCTGGTCATCTTGACCATCATTCTGACCATCATCTTGTTGGCCGTGTTTCTGGGGTGATGGTGGCGGGTAGATAGATGTCTGTTGGGATGATGGCACTGGTTTTCAGATGGGCGTGCAAGCAGGTGGGCGGTGTAATTGGTATCATTTTATTGTACAGGGAGGCGTTTGGAGTCGGCCTCATCGGCTATGTCTGTCGTTCTTTTTTGTACAGTCCGAATCAACGTTTTTCGTCTGGCTTCGTCTTGTCATCCCGCGTCGGCATGACAAGAGGCATCCCTTCCCTCGTGGCTGGGCGGACATTCTGGGGCAGCGGCATTAATTTGGAGATGACGGTGGTATACAACTTGGTCAATGTTGCCGAGGTGATCCAATAGAGATGGAGTGCGGCCGGTAGGTTGATGGTGAGAGGGCCGATGGCCAGGGCCACTACGAACAGCGCCCTTTGCATCCGCAGGCGCCACTTGGTGTTGCCGGTCCAGGTTTCCGGCGGGGTCTCGAGACCCAAGAGCTGCCTCCACGCCATTTGCGTTCTGGGCACCACGTTCAACAAGAGCATGGCCGAAAGCACGAACGGCAGGACGTGGAGCGGGTCCGCCACCGTCAAGTCGGGGAACCATAGACAGCCCTCCGTAGCCATAGATGGTTCTGCGACGTAAGTCGGCAGCGCCCCCAGAATCCCCTCCTGCCCCGTAGCCGGCGAAACCACATCCACACCCACCACCGGCGCCGTCGCCGTCGCCCCCGGAACCGGCACCTGCCCGGCCACCCCCCCAGCAGCAGCACCCTCCCCAACCGCCTTCCCCGCATCCGGCCCATAAATCAGCGCCCCCAACACGCCCTTCGGCCCGCCACACATCCTCCTCAACCCCTCAATCCCCACCACCCACACGGGGAACACCATCAGCGCCGGCGCCCAGTCCTTCCACCCCTGCACCTCCCACCGCCGCGCCCTCAGCTTCCCCTCCCGCTGCACCGCCACTTTCACCATCTCCTGCAGCTGCGCGCCCCTGGGCCTGGAACCACCACCCCGCGCGGCCGCCGCGACATCGGCGTGCGCCCGAGCCACCGACGCCATCCCCAGCGGGAAGAGCCTCACCCGCCGCGCGAGGACCCGCCGCGAGTAGATGGTCGTCGGCACGCGCGTGAGCAGGCCGAGGGTGAGGGCGAAGAGCGGGATGCTGACGTACCAGGGCGTGCCGGTGGTGCTGTGGATGGTGGTGAGCAGGGTCTGGGAGGCGGAGAGGAGGGTGTGGGAGGCGGTGGTGGCGGTGTCGATGAGGGGTTGGAGGGAGAAGGGGCGGTGGTGGGGTTGGTGTTGGAAGGGAAGGTTGCGGTGGGGGAGGGTTGGTCTTTTTGTGGTGGTGCCGGTGTTGTTGTTGTAAGTGAGAGTGAGAGGTCGGAGGAAGGAGGAGTAGCATCTTCGTGATATCGGGGAAGGTGTTGATATTTGAAGAGGAAGACGGGCATGACCAACCCGGAGTTGGGCTACTGCCCTCATGATGGAGGCTGCCATTGTTTGAATCGATTGAGTTAGTATCGACTCATTTGGCGCCGTCCATATATGTTGGTTTGAGATGAGTTCTGAACTTTTGAGCTCTCAATTTCCAAAATCCGATGCACCACTCAAGGCTCAGTGCAGCTCGATGCCGAGACTGGACCTTTTTGCTTGGCATACGCGACTCACCTCCAGGCCCACGTGGGGAGTGGGTCATGCTGTTGCTGCTGCTGCAGGCAAGCGGCGTGGGGCCATTATCGGTCCCATGGCTTTGACCAGCTGTCCAACACAATTAACATCTGATCAACCTTGAACCTTTCTTTTTCTTCGAGTCCGGGAATGGACCACAGTCCCTCGTTATTGTTCGCTTTTATTCTCTCCTATAACAGCTCCTTCAATGCAGCTTCTGCTACCGAGACGCCATCGAAACCCCCTATAACGAACGACCGAACGACCGAACGCATCTCTCTTTCAAAGCAGTACCTACCTGCCTACCTACTCCCTACCTACCCACCCGCACATGGCCGACACCTGCGCCGGGGACGGCGCTACAACTTGTTCGCCTCCGAACAACTTCTTCTCAATGGAAAACCGATTCTTTAAATACGCCATCCTCCAGATCCTGTTCCTGGCACCGCTAGCAACCTTTTTCTTCTATCCCCTAATATGGCGGACAACCGGCTCCCTCCTCGGCTGGTACCTGCGCAAGAAGACCGACGGACGCCGATGCCATATACTCGAGCTCGTAGAGGCCGACGAGAAGGAATACCGCGAGAGCAGGAGTAACAGCACCAGCAAGAGTGGCGGGGAATCCGGGGAGGACGGTGAATGGGAGAAGGTGGACGCTTACACAATCGGGACGTCTAAGAACGGCGATAAGGGCGACCGCGATGAAGATTGGGATGGCATCGTGGGCTTCTTCCACCCGTTCTGGTGAGTGAGGGAGCTATTCCACCTCTTCCGCGGCTAGAGATTCTAACCAAGCAAGTAATGCCGGCGGCGGCGGAGAGAGGGTCCTCTGGGCCGCTATCCGAGCAACCCAGCAACGCTGGCCCAGGGCCAAGTGCGTCGTTTACACAGGTGACCATGGCGTATCCAAAGACGCCATCCTCTCCCGGGTGAAGGTAAGCCTACCAGCACAATCCTCCCTCCCCTTTCCCACCCCACACACGCCTCCCACTAACCCACCTACAATAGAACCGCTTCAACATCCACCTCCACCCTCCGACTGTCAACTTCCTCTACCTCTCAACCCGCCACTGGGTCCTCGCCTCCACCTGGCCGCGCTTCACCCTCGCCGGCCAATCCCTCGGCTCGCTCGTCCTCGCCTGGGACGCCTTCTCACTCCTAGTCCCCGACATCTTCGTCGACACGATGGGCTACGCCTTCGCGCTGGGGCTATCCAAGTTCCTGTTCGGCAGCGCCGTGCCCACGGGCGCCTACGTGCACTACCCGACCATCTCGACCGACATGCTCGACTCGCTCAAACCGGCGGCAGGCGGCGGCGGCGGCGGCGCGGCCCCGCAGGGCGTCAACGCGGGGCAGGGGGCCGGGCTACGCGGCAAGCTCAAGCAGGCCTACTGGCGCCTCTTCGCGCGCGTCTACTCGCGCGTGGGCGCCTCCGCCGACGTCGTCATGACCAACTCGACCTGGACGCAGGGCCACATCCAGCGGCTGTGGGGCCCGCTGCGCAAGAGCCGGGCGGCGGCAGGTGCCGACATCGCCGTGGTGTACCCGCCCGTCGCCGTCAGCGAGCTGGAGCACGAGGTCGAGGTCAGCCGGCCGAGCGAGGCGGGGCGCGAGAAGGTGCTGCTGTACATTGCGCAGTTCCGCCCGGAGAAGAACCACCAGCTGATCCTGCAGTCGTTCGCCGACTTCCTCAAGAAGGGCGGCGACGCCGCCCGCGACGCGAAGTTGGTGCTTGTTGGTAGTGTGCGCGATGACCAGGACTCCAAGCGCGTGTACCAGCTGCGCCTGCTCGTCAATGAGCTGCAGATCCGCGACCGTGTCGAGTTTCATTTGGATGCGTCGTGGCCCGAGATCCTGGACTGGCTGCGCCGCTCATCGGTGGGTGTCAATGGTATGTGGAACGAGCACTTTGGTATTGGGGTCGTTGAGTACCAGGCTGCGGGGTTGGTGGCTGTGGTGCACGATAGTGGTGGACCCAAGGTTGATATTGTCGTGGATATCGAGGGGGAGCCGACTGGTAAGTCTGCAGTTTCATCGTTTGTGCGGGGCGGGAGTTGTTGCTGACGTTGATGATAGGTTTCCATGCGACGACCACGGCTGAGTTCGCCGACGGTTTCGAGAAGGCTTTGAGCCTGTCGGACCCGTACGCCGTTCGTCAGCGGGCGAGGCAGTCGGCCAAGAGGTTCACCGAGGAGGAGTTTGCGAGGCGCTGGACGGAGCAGATGGAGAAGCTGGTGACGACGAGGATGGGGAAGGAGAGGGCGTGATGTGGTCGCTGGTTCTCGTTCCCTTCTCTGCGTTCCTTAGAATAGAACATGGATACCCCTTTCCTATCATCAGAGTTAGGAGCAGGTGTTCGGTTTGCATGGCATGGTTTTGGTTAGTCTCGGGGACGATCATTTCACACTTGCCTCCAGGTTTTTGTCTTAGATCATCAACCTTCGGAAAGAGGCCTGTCTATTATCTGTAGGTAATAACACCCCCACCAACCTCTCTACGCATCAACGCGGTTCAGAACAGCCACGCCCTCAACATGCCCCGTCTGCGGGAAGAAATCAAACCCGCGAATACTCTCAATCTCGTACCTCGCCCCCTCCTTCCCCTCCGCACCACCCTCCGCCTGAACCCCATCCACCGCGCCCCTCACCAACACCCCCACATCCCGCGCCTGCGTATGCACATTACAGCTCACATACACCACACGGCGCGGCGCGAAGCGCAGCAGCTGGCGCAGGAAGCTGGCGTCGCAGCCCTTGCGCGGCGGGTCCAGCACGACGACCGTCTCGTCCGGGTCGTACGCGTCCACGCTCTGGAACAGCGCCGGCGCGTCCGCCGCCAGGAACCGGCACTGGGACTCCGCCAGCCCGTTCAGCGCGGCGTTGCGCCGCGCGAAGGTGATGGACTTGTCCGCGATGTCGATCCCGATGCTGCCGCCGGGGAAGAGGGCCGACTGCGTGATGGTGAAGAGCCCCGAGCCGGAGTAGGCGTCGATGAGGTATTTGATGGGTTTTGTTGTTGCTGTGGTGGTGGTGGTGGTGGTGGCGGGGGGGAGGATGTGCTCGCGGATGTAGGCTGTGAAGGGGGGCAGGATGGAGTTGTTGTTTTGGAAGAAGGAGCCGGCTGGGTTGGTGAAGACGAAGTCGTCGATGTACTCGGTCGAGGTGGCGTTCTGGTCCGTGATGCACGTCTTGAAATCGGTGTGCGTGTCGCTTTCGACGCGCACCGCGGTGGCGGGGGTCCCTTCCGGAACCTCGGGCGTGTCGGTGGGGGAGGACTTGGGCACGCGCTTGGTGCTCTCGCGGAGGAGAATGGTTGCGCCCTTGGTGTAGTTGCCGTACTCGACGGCCATGCGGGCGCGCTCGTCCGTGATCCCCTTGCGCACGGCCTCGGTCGCGATGGGGCAGTCCTCAATGTCCAGCACCTTGCGGGTGGCCTTTGGTGTGAAGCCGACTGGCGGCATTGACTCGTGGCACTTTTTGGGCCCTCGCCTAGAATTGCCTGGGGGCCCGTCAAAGTGAGGCGTCAGCTTGGTGCGGTAGCCGTACTGCAGCGGGCTGCCGATGGTGTCGAGTACCTCAGGGACCAGCTCGGGCGACAGTTGGGAGAAATTGCGGTACGCCTTAACAACGATGTTCTTCTTTATCCTGAGCTGCTCATCGTAGTCGAGCATCTGGAACTGACACCCGGAGCACTTGGCAAAATACTGGCACTGGATCCGGCTGTCGTCGCGCAGAGCGGACGGCTTGACAACCGAGATGAAGTCGGCGGCTGAGTACCCTTCGTCGTGGTTATGGCGGTACACCTTGACCTTCACCGTGTCCCCGGGTACAGAGAACGGCACGGCGTAGATGTGGTCAGACCCCTTTTGCTTTGCCAGACCGTCTCCAGTTGATGACAACTCAACGACCTCAACTTCGATCTCGCTGCCTTGAGCCGGCAAAGGCACCTCCTCGGCGGCGGCATCATTCTCAATCCCATCCTCGGCCCCGTCGGATATCTTGTGCGAAGCCAACAGCGCCTGCACATCAGCCAGCAGCACTTCCTCGTGAGATCCTTCCTGAACGGGCTTCTGCTTCCTCCTGTGCTTCGCCCCTCTGCGGTTATGGTTACCCTGGAAGGACCGCTTGCCGTGTTGTTTTTGACCGGTGGTGTGAGCGGCCTGGGGCGTAACGCCGGCGTCTATCGTGGTTTGGCTGGTGGCCATAGTGAAGTTGCTTCGTAACCAAAAACAGGTTGTGAATGATTGGCTGCGAAGAAGAAAAGGTGTAAAAGTGGAAGGAGGTCTTGAGAAAACTCTGATGGCGCTGAGTCGCATTGAAATATTGATGTTCACCTTTTGACATCAAATCACACTCAAAATCCACTAAATTCAGTTCTCCTGTAAGGCGGGACTGTGGGGGTAAACTAGTGAAAGTCGTTGATGAAACTATCAATTTTCGCCTCATCAATTGAAGTTTGAAAGACTTCTTGCAGGGTGTATGTGCACGGACCACACGGACCAACCTCCACACACACCCCTGAACCAAGTACTCGAGAAGAAAGGAGGAAAGAGGGAGAACAAATACCTAGAAGGGTATGTATGTGCCAATGAACCGAATTCAGAGCTGTTGAACAAAGCGAGGCTGTTACGCTACAAAGTCCATCAAGTAGATCATACTATGAGGCTATTTCTCTACACCTCCCAGAGCTCCCCCTGACCAAAGAAAGTAAACCCAAACAATGCCATTGCCGATGCTATACAATATCCATTCACACCCAACATCCGTTCGTAAATCGGGGGTATCATAACCGTCATACAATGCAGTCCCACCTAGGTAATGCCCACATCCAACTCTCCCGTCTCCTCCAGCCCATCCCTTACCCAAGTAGCACCTGCTCGTACTGCTCGGGGTCCAAATGCTCACACAACGTCCCCTGGAGCGCAGCCCTGCTCTTCGCAATAGCCGGAAGCACCCCCTCAATCTGGCCCAGGTTACTCTTCATGCTCTCCATGTGACTGCCAATCTGCTGCGACAGCGCCAGCAGTTCTTCCTCTTGCAGGTCCTACAACACCGTTAGCAGGCACTCAAACCCGGGCAATAACTCTCGAAAGCCACCAGCAACAAAAACGCACCTTGAAAACCCCACCCCCCTCCCTCGCCGTCCCCTTCGCAGCCACAACCTCCAACCCCCCCTCCAAATACCCTTCCCCCGCCTCCCTCCCACGGACACCCACCCCCACCCCACCAGCAAGAACATGCTCCCTGCCCCTCTCCCGCCCCTCCCTCCACCTCCTGGCCTGCGCCCTAGCATTGCCCTCGAGCCGCCTCAGGCCCTCATACTCGCGCTCCAGCGCCCTCTCCTCACGCTCCTTCTCCGCGCGCAGCAGCGCCACGCTATGCAGCAGCGGATCGAGCGCCCGCTCCATCCCAGCAATAGCGTCCACCGTGCGCTCGAAATCCAGCTCCACCTCATGCCCACCCCCACCATGCCCACCCCCACCACCCCCACCCCCAACCCCAGCATCAACCCGCTTCGGCCTGCCCCGCGCGCGCGGCGCTGCCACCGACGGCGGCGGGAAGGGCATGCCCTTGACGAGCTTGGCGTGCAGGCGGGCGGAGAAGGTGCGCAGGATGGAGGCGGCCTGCGCGTGGCGCTGGTCGCGCTCGCGCAGCCGGTGCAGCACGGGGCGGGCGCTGTCTGCGAGGAGCGCCGAGACGGCTGTTATGGAGGGCGTGGAGAGGGGCGTCCATTTGGAGGCGATGGTGGCGCGCGGGATTTGGCGGGTGAGGGTTGTGAGGTGGCGGTATTTTTCGGGGGGGTTCGGGGCCGCGGCGGTGGTTGTGGCGGGTTGTGGTTGCGGAGGGGGTGATGGTTCGGGTTCGGGGGCAGGGCGGCGGTTGGGGGGTTTCTTGGAGGGTTTGGGGGGGTTGGCTGGGGGTCGCTCGGCGGCTTGGTTGGGTGACTCGGTCTCTCCGTTGGAGGCGCGAGGGGGACGGCCACGTCCCCTTTTCTTCTCTTGTTTGTCCGCCTGGGGAGGGGATGGTTGGTTTTGTGCTCTAGAGACGGACATTTCCGCTAGGGATGGGCGCCCACGCCTCCGCTTCTCGGGGACTGGCGCTGGTTGATTCTCACCGGCAGCCTCTGGTGACACGGGGTTGTCGTCTGCAGGCTTCCTTCGTCTTCGGCGGCCGGAAGTATCCTCTTCTATTCGGTCTTCTTCCACTGGTTGTTCATTTCGGCGTGCCGGCTTCCGTCCTGGTTTGCCCTTGGTCTTCTCTGCTTGTCCATCTCCAACTTCAGGTTCCTGCGGCGGCGATCGCGCAGGGCTGTCGTCGGATTGGCGGTTCTTTCTCCCTCGACGAGTTGTTGGCTTCTCTGTGGGTTGCTCCTCCGGGTCCGCGACTGACGGACGGGACTGTTTACTCCCCTCGCCCTCTTCCGGGCCTTCTTCTATCTCCTCAGCTTCGGCTGCCCGCCTCCTCTTGCGTGGCCGGGACTCCACGGGGATTTCTTCCTCCGGTTCGGGATCACGGGTTTTCGGCGGCCGCCCCCTCTTCTTCGGGGCCACGTTCGGGGTTCCGGTCTGGTCGGCTTCGGCTGCGGGGTGTTGTTCATTTTGTGTTCCAGGATCGATACTCTTGCGCGGTCGCCCTCGTTTCCTCGGGGCGGCTTGAGATTCTGCCTCAATTGCGTTGCCGGTTGATTCTCCAGTCGCGCCATCCCTCTGTTCGCGTGCCAACGCGCTTGAAGCTCCCGGGGGTCGACCGCGCTTTCGTTTCTGATTCGGTTCGCTCGGTGCCTTTATGATGGTCAGTTTACCCAGTCATGGGCGCTAAGTGGTGATGTTCTACGTACCATTACGATAAAATCTAGACCGCGGTCACCAAAAAAAAGTCCATTCGTAATGTTTCGCTGGACGTCAAGGGGTTGGTATTGATTTGATGTTGAGCCACATCTGTTCATTCACCATCAAGTCCCACTGTGGCTGGCAGCTCGGCAACGCGTTCGATGATTTTACGAGCTTGTGACGCGACGAGTCCGGACCCCAGAGTTCCCCACCTTGTCTTTCCGAACGCTTGACTAACCCAAACGGGCGAAACCAGAGCCCTGGTCGACCTCGAAGTCAACAAGGGGAACACGGACCTGGCCACGCTAACTTCCCAGGGTTACAATCGAAAGGAATACATAATTTCAGAGAGAATCTTCGTGAACCCTTTTTCTTTCCTTCCGATGCGCTGATCTTGCGACAAGAGAGTCTGCATACAAATCTGTAATCTGTACATACAATCCTCAACTTCTGAGAGGTTTACTCGTTCAGGCACCCACGCTAAAACCCCCTCTTTACATCATCCTACCGGCATTAACGACCTCCCTAATAGGCGACACCTCTCCTCACCTTGCCCCGTTTCCCCAATCTCCAATCCGCATTTCCCCGGTCAACACAACCTTCGCCAAAACATCTTCCATCAAACCTTCATCTATTCATCTGGAAAATGCGCTTCTCCACAACCGCCCTGCTGGCGCTGCCGGTGCTCGCATCGGCCGCCGAGAGCCCATTCGAGCAGTACAAGGCCAAGTTCCAAAATTTCATCAGCAACTTCGGCGCGGCGGCTCCCAGCGCCGAGAAGGCCGACGCACCAGCGGCCGCCGTCACCAGCGCGTCCACGGGCAAGGCCAAGACGAAGAAGGTGGTAGAACCTAAGAAAATCTCGACACTCACACTTGAGAACTGGAAGGACACGTTGTTCGAGCCTGTCCAGCCCGACGCGACAAACCCGGAGGAGTGGCTCGTGCTGCTGACGGGGCGGAACAAGACTTGCTTCGGTGCGCTCTCTCCCCTCTTATTTTCACCGCTTCTTCTTCTTGCAGGCTGAACTAACCACTCACGCCCGTTTTCCAGGCCGATGCGACCGAGTCGAGTCCGCCTTCGCCGAGTCGGCGCTCGATTTCGCGGCGCTGCCGGCGTCGCAACGGTCGCCGCACCTCGCGTCGCTCAACTGCGAGGACCAGCCGGTGCTGTGCAACAGCTGGTCGGCCGGCACGGGCGGGCTGTGGCTCTTTGAGATGCTCCCGCCCCCGGCCGCCATCGAGGTCCTGACCAAGCGCGTCAACCTGACCACCGTCACGCCCCAGGCCATCGTCGACGCGTACACCAACACCGAGCGCGGCGACTCCGAGACCGGCTGGAGGCCCATCGCCCAGGACGGCTACTTCCACCCCTTCGAGGGCAAGTTCGCCAAGCTGGGCGCCGCCGTGCCCATCGGCTACGTGCTCTGGGCGCTGAACGCCATCCCGTCGTGGGGTATGATGCTCATTGTGTCGTTCCTGAGCAGGGCCATGATGTGAGTTGTTGTTCTTCCGTATTCGAGATTGTTGTTGTATGTATAGCACAGTATACTGACGGGTTTTTAAAGGAACCGCCGCATGGATGGTATGGGCGGTGGCCAGCCGGCTGCCGGTGCTCCTGCCGCCGCTGCACCGCGTGCTGCTGCTCCCGGAGACGGCCGCTCTTGAAAGGCTTGACACTTGAAACGGGTTACGCGGTTATTTTTGAGTAGGGCTTTTTCCATGATAGTACTGTAATTACTGGGTGGGCTGCCTTTCCGTGCTGGCTCGGTTGGTAGACATTGTGGGCTGGGGTGGATGGATGGGTGTCCGTTTCATTGTTTTTCAAGTCAGGGGCAGGTCACGGGACATATAACCGTTTGAATAAAGTCAACTCTTTGTCCTACAAATTTCTTCCAGGTTGCCTAAACCGTCGAGCACCTGTTCCGGCAACTGGCTGTTAGCCAGGCGGCCGTAGCGCAAGTCGCTCATGGCACCGAGAGTCTGCCGGACAGAGGCCAGGAGAGATGCTTCCTCCTCCTCAAGGAGCTGCAGCTCGGCCTCGATCCCACCAATGGCGCCCTCCATGTCGGGGAGAATCGAGGCAAGTGTGTGTTTTGCGTGCTGTGGCTCTGACCAGTTCCCCAGCTGTGGGGCAATCAATCAACACATGTCACCATCTCCACGGAATTGTCGTCGAGACTTACCATCCTCTCAATCTCTACCTCCTCGTCTTGCTCTTGTTCCTCCGCCTCCCTCTTTGACCTGATCACGGCTCGCCGCATGGCCTTGCCATGCTTGGCCTCTTGCTCAACCTGTTGGGCGACATCATCCACGACTGCATTTCTCTGGCTCTGTAGATCGCGATAAAGAGTGCGAATTCTAGGAGATGATTGCAATTGCCGCGGGAATAAGGCGATGAACTCCTGCAGCGAGATAATGGCAGGGAGTTGTGCTGGGACGAGCAGGTAGTTGCGGAGGATAATTTGTTCTGTTGGGGCCATGTTGCCAAACTTGATTGTCAAATAGTACCAAATCACATTAGGTTACTGCAAGCCCGGGCGAATGGTGCGCGGCTTGGTTGGTGTTTCCTCTTGCTGTCAGCTTCAATGCTTGTTGAACGAGGCGGCAGTGGCTGGGCAAAGAAGCGAGAAGCAGGCGCGTGTAACTCGGGGCCATCGCGTGTTCAGCTGATCCGTGCACTTTCACTCCCTGTTGTTGCAGACGTCTCCTCCTCCATCATGCTCACTCTCATCCGCCCCCTTTCAACGGATTCGCTTTAATCCATCGACACCGGCCTAACTTGAACTGAAAATTATTTAATTCTTCGTGACGGGTGCTATCGTGTGGAATTGGAACCAATCCGATATCTCTATTCGGTACATAGGGACCGCTCCAGTCAATTTCTTCTTCAACCTCAAATCATAACCGGGAAGGAACTCAACACTCAGAGCTTTGGCCGCCTTCGTCGATCTCCAACCCGGCCAAATTCCGTATTGCATTACCCATTTATAAATACTGCTGATTCTCAATCTTTCCTATCGCCTTTTCCATATCGGCTTTTCCCTATCACCCTCTAAAATTTCATCCAAATCCTCGCAACAATCCTTCATCAACAACACTCGGCCATCATTCACTATGGCCCCCCAGAAACAGCAGCTGCCGCCCTTTCAGAAGGACGAGCGCGTCCTCTGTTTCCACATGGAGATGCTCTACGAAGCGAAGATTCTCGATGTTATGTCTGGCGAGAACGGCGAGGGCTGGCTGTACAAGATCCACTACAAGGGCTGGAAGAGCAGTTGGGACGATTGGGTGCCCCAGGACCGTGTGCGCAAGTTCACCGACGAGAACAAGGATTTGGCCTCCCAGCTTCTAGCGCAGTATAAAATGCTCCAGTCCGGCAAAGGGGCCAAACAAACGGCCAAGAAGGGAGGAGCTGCCGCCCGGACGGCAAACGGTTCCGACATGAGTTCCGCCCGAGGAAGTGAAGAGCGAACCGCTGCCACCACGACCAGCGGCCGCGGCCCACGAAGGGCCAGGGACTACGAGCTTGAGCAGGTACGTCATTGTGCTTGAGGTGTTGTTATCGTCGTTGTCTTCTTTTTCTGTTGGTCTTGGCGTTTCTTCATGCATTATCATTGCGCTTGGGCACCGGCATTGTCAAAGCTTCTTCTACGTGCGAGTGCACGTATTGTTCCCTCGACATGAATAGAATCATCTTGGCAGATGACGATGTTTCTGGAGGATACATGGCCACCCTCCCCCGCCCCGAAGGCGGCCAACAACCTATTGGAGAAATCCCGAACAAGAACAACCCCGGCTCGAAATTGTCCTGAGGAGGACCCTGTCGTTCGCTACACAGCAAAGAATTGGAACGACCGAAGGACGACAGCTGTCGCTTAATTAGGTAGTGGTGGCAACCACGGTTAGTGGTGACAACCACGGTCAGTGGTGACAAACATGGGAGACGTCTGGACCGCCGCCACATTCGAACCAAGCACGGTCACAACCGTTCTCGGAGCAAGCACAGCGACTTATGATTCACCGACGGGCCACACTAGTTCTCTCGGATCCCCCCGGTGGATTCCGACTCACCAGAATCTGTGTGAATTCGGGTTGTTTACACGGCAGCCTCCTTTCCCGCCACCCTGGCTCCCCTCCTTTTCTCCTCCTTTCCTGGCCGCCACAAACCGACCACCAAAGCAAATATTCGACCACACAACATCGTCTCCCTGTTGTACCTCCCCTATCCCATCGACCTTTTGCTCGATTTTGAGTACTTGATTAGAAATTCATCGCAATCGTCTTCATTTTCTTCGTCTTGCTACAATGAAGCAACCTCGCGATACCCCCACAAACGACCGTCCCCGCCGCAGCGGTCGGAACACGCACAACAAACCCAGCGGCATTCAAAAGCATGGCATCATTCAAAGGCATGGCGAAATTCTGAAGCCCATTGATCCGAATTCGATCGACTTTCAAAAGTCCAACAACATTCAGGTGCCGACGGACATCAAGAAGCCCAAGAAGATTCAGAAGGTCAGCAATATTCAGAAACCTACCGACATTCGGAAGCCTGCGAGTAATACCCAAGACCAGATCACCATCTTTCAGAAGACTGGAGATGGCATCAAACGCGTAACACTCATTACACCCCCGAAACGTGCGCAGGATGCAGAGAACTCCCAGCCAACTCCGCCATCAATCGAGGAGGCTACCTGGATTGAGCCGCCACTCGACCCGGACAACCTACTCGAGCTTCCAACTAAGAAAACCGCGAAGTACCTTGACGCCAGGGGCAGGAAGAAGTTCGACGACCGCTATGTCCAGAAGCCGCAGACGCCCCCGTGGCCCGGCGAGGACCACCCGAAAATCAAGGCAGCAGAACGGAACGGGACCTGCACGAGGATGCTCCGCTCGTACTACCGAAATTTTGGCCCAAAAGTCAACCTTCCACTGGCCGGAACGTCCAAAGAACCGCCATACCCGGATTATCCAACCAACTGACCAGAGCATCCCCGGTCATCCGGCTAACGGAGAAAGTACCGCCTCCTTTCGCGATAATCGCTGGGTAGGAGTGAGCACTGCGGTGGTTTACGATGAAGGACAAGCCTTTTCTTGGGTCCTTTTTCGTTCTCTTTGTTTCCTTCTTTGACCATGCCGGTTGCCCCGAGTCCGAGTGGACAAGGTTTTATTTGTACATTATGTTTTTGTTTTAGCGACCGATTAACAGCGTAATGTTAATAAGTTATAGGAGGACAATTTCCATCACCGGCCCTCGATTAAGATACCTGTGCCAGATCATCTCAAGTCGATGCTCGTCGATGATTGGGAAAACGTCACTAAAAACGGGCAACTTGTTCCGCTTCCGCATGCCCACCCTGTCAGCGAGATCTTGAATGACTATCTCGCCTACGAGACACCCAACCGGCAGGAAGGTAGCGCCTCGCGAGACCTCCTAGAGGAGGCAATGGCCGGTCTCCGCGAGTACTTCGACAAGTCGCTCGGCCGTATCCTTCTGTACCGGTGAGCTTTGCTCCCCCTTCTCCCTCCCGATCTACCGCTAATGGCAATCATTGCAGTTTCGAGCGCGTGCAATACCACGAGATGAACAAGCTGTGGAACCAAGCAGACGGCAAAAACAAGAGTGCCGTTGATACTTATGGCGCAGAGCACCTGTCGCGTCTCCTGGGTATGACGACTCCCCCTCCCTCTTTCGACACGCAGCCCAAGACTAACGGCCGGTGGCAGTCTCCCTGCCCGAGCTCATCGCGCAGACGAATATGGACCAGCAGTCCGTCAACCGTCTCCGCGAAGAGCTTATGAAGTTCATCAATTGGTTCTCCCGACACGGCATCAAGTACTTTGCCAGCCAGTACGAGACTCCGGGTGCCGGTTACGCACAGCAGGTGGACAGTGCCTAGTCAGCCAACCCGGTTTGGCGGCCCTCGTTGTGGCTGCCGAAGCCCAAGCGAGAACATTCTTGCTAGAACACGGGCCACGCCAGCTGACTTTTGAAGGACCGCTGGATCTGGGGTTGACGCCGATGTGCCTTGATTCTTTGGGACGAAGGTTACCGGCAGGATGAAGGACCGCGGCTTTTCTAGTGTTTTGTAGAGTAACTTTCTTTTCTTTGCTTTTTGGAGCGGTAATATATTAACACTCTTTTTGACAAGCTTGATAACTTAATGAGGGGTGTAGATGTCTACTGAATGCCGTCTAGGTTTGACCTTCTCTCTATCCCCTGACTCTGGGAGTGGTGACCTCTAGAAGTGCTGCCGGACGCTAAGGAATAACCACATGTCCGGGTGGGTGGTGTGGCTCCTGACGATTGACGCTCTACCAATTTGGCCGCGGTTGTGATGTGTTCGTGAATAGTTTTGTCATACATTAATCTACACGAGTCCAGCAGTCACGCCTCCCATCTGCCAACCCCACTACCCCATCCCCTGACCAGATCGGCTTGCTTTCCTCCCGAGGTCTGGTCGTCATAGCCAAACCATCCCCTCCCTCCAACAACACCCCGCCCCTTTTTATTTATTTTTACCCCCTTAAAAACAAAACAACACCTCATAACCGCACCTCCCCCTCCTCCCCACCACCCACCTGCTGCCCCCCTTCCTGTCCCTGCTGAAACGCCCCCCTCGCGCTCTCCACCCAAAACCCGGGCTCCGGCCGGCGCTCGACGTAGACCTCGCGGCGCGTCAGCGGCCGGTCGACCTCGTCGACCCGCACCAGCTCCTTCACCTTCATGATCATGCCGGCGAACTGGGCGCTGACCGGGTGGAAGACCAGCTGGCCGCGGCGGTGCAGGCCCAGCGCGGCCAGCACGCCGCGCGTGCGCTTGGGCAGCCCGATCGCGGAGCGGTGGAGGGTGATGCGGAAGTAGGACATTTTTCTTGTTCTTTTTTTGGTTTCTTGTTTGGTTTCTTGAAGGGGGGTTGGGTTGTGGAGTTGTTGGTGGGCTGGGTTTATTCGTCGTGCCCTGCCTAGGGTGATAGGTGGACGGAGTCTCGGGAGGGTGGAATGGACGGCGCAACGGGAGGATGTCGTCGTCGTAGAGGTAGGTACCAGGCAGGTGTCAGGTCGGTCGGTCCCCTGCACGACAATTGCATCACATTAGCAACCTCTCAACGGGCAAGTCTGCACGCACATCACGCCCAAATAAGCCAGCAACTCACCTAAGCCAATACTCAATCCTAAATCAACTGTAACCGTTCCAATCCGAGTCCCAGCGGACAGCTCTCTCGTAGTGGTGGTGGGGTGCGGAGCTCCTTCAACTCGAGACGACGTTGGGAAAATGTCCGAAGTTTCCCAATTCGGCCCGGCGGACCACCGAGTGCTGCAGGTGCACGCTCCACGCGACTCGGAGATCTTGAATATTTTGCCCTGTCAGCCCGCTCCCCGAACCAAAATGTGGGCCCTCCGCTTATCAGTTTATCGGCACGCCTGCCCCTCCATGCCCGCCAATCTGGCTCCCACAGTGCTCCCCTACCTAATCCAACCTCCCGACACGGCGCCCGTTCCGTGACCCTTAGGTAATCGGCGATGATGCGTTTTGTGCATACCAGCTGTTTAGGTTAGGTTGGGCTTCGAAAAGAAAACCGGAAAAAGATTAAGCCATGAATTATGTCCTCGGTGGTAAACGACCTCGGCCAGCGAAGGCGTGCGAGCTGCGAGAATGCGTCCCGCTTACATACGACACCTTCAAGTCAACACCATGGCGTTCAGTGATACCTACACAGTACCTAACTCAACACCCGCAGAGCATCGGACAACAAAAGTTCAGTCAACTGATTAAAATTTCTAGAACTAATCCGGGCTTGTACTACTCCACGAGCCGAGCCACCGAGGGTCCTGCTGGCGCTCCGCGAGAGGAAATCATGTCACATCCCATGTTGAAGAGCCCGTCCCAAATCCCGTAGAAAACGGTGCATCTAGCTTCATCTAAAAATAACCGCCCCTTACATCTGCACCTCCACGCGACCCTCGGTGCCCGGCGGGCCCGCCTGCTGCAGGCTCGGCAGGATGTACGTGATGTCATCCCACGGGTGGCGGTACAGACCGGTGCGCAGCCGCTTCTGATCGAGGTAGTGGGCAATCAGACCAATGCTGCGGCCGAGAACGAACAGACCGTTGAGCACACCCATGCTAAGGTAGTCCTCGGCCTCCTCGTTGCTGAAGGCGCCGCAGTTGCGCATTAGGTCGACGAAGCAAACGGCAATGCAGCCGTCCACGTTCAGGATCAGGTTGTCCTTCTTTGACGTTGTCACAGACTCGACCGCCAGCGCGAAGTCGAGCATCTTGCAGCTGGGGAACTTGGCCTTGACGTACTCCTTGACGAGCTCCACACGCAGATCCGGGTTGTTCCGCGACTTGACGCGGTGTCCAATACCCGGGATGAGCTTGTTTTGCTTGCGCATTGTGTCGACGAGCTCACGCGGGCTGAGGCCCTTATCGAAAGCCTTGGTGAATTCCTCAGCAGCGCCGTCCAGCGCGCCACCGAATCGCGAACCGATAGTAAGCAGACCGCTCACAAGCGCCGAGATAAGGTCCTTGCCGGCACGGGTGGTAATGATGGTGTTCATGGCACCGGACACGGCCGGGCCGTGGTCGGCGGTGAGCATGAGCACCATCTCGAGGAACTTAGACGCATAATCGGGCAGACGGCGGCGGAACCACAGCAGAGACATGACGCCACCAATACCGATGTCCTCCCTAAACACGTCCGAGATGGGCATGCCGGCGTAGAGAAGCTCCTGGCCACGGTCGTCTGAGATGGTGGAAATAAAGGCAGCCGGCTTACGGATAAGACCGAGCTCCTGCGCCCACGAGTAGTCGATGGGAATCTTGGGGACGACAGGCTCGGCCTGGGGCTTGATGGTGCCCTGCGCCACCAGCTTGTCGTAGACAGACTTGAGGAGCGCCGGCATGTCCTCGAATGTGCTGGGAACATGGAAACCAGCGTCCCGCATGCTCTGGTTCTTCATGGCTGCCGTCTCGAGCTGCGAGTTGGCGAACGAGCCAGCGTGACCGAACTGGACCTCGGTCTTGAACATGCTCGCGCAGGTACCAATGGCCCATGCCACGATGGGCTTGTTGATGATGCCCTGCTTAACGGCCTCAATCACCTTGTACTCCTCAACACCACCGACTTCGCCAAGCAGCACGAGGATCTTGCAGTCAGGGTCGGCCTGGTAGCGCAGCAGATGGTCGATGAAGGTGGTACCGGGGTACCGATCACCACCGATCGCCACACCCTCGTAGACGCCGTCTGTCGTCTGCGAGATGATGTTGTTCAACTCGTTGGACATGCCACCTGACTTGGAGACGTAGCCGACAGAGCCCTTGCGGTAAAGCTTGGAAGCAACGATGTTGTCCATCATACCACCAGTGTTACCAATCTTGAAGCTGCCGGGCTTGATGCCACCAACGGTGGCAGGGCCAATGATTGTGACACCCTTCTTCTGCGCAACATGCGCGATCTCACGGGCACGCTGTAGGACTAGTGGTCAGCAACTTGTATAAACGCCGAGTATGACAATGAGGGATGGCTTACACGCTCCGGGACACCCTCGGCAATAATGGCGATGGTCTTAATTTGGGGGTTCTCCATGAGTTCCATGGTCGAGCTGTAGACACTACGGGACGAAGCGAAGTTGACAACCACATCAACATCGGGGTGCTTGGCCATCGCCTTCTCGACTTGCTGGTACACGGGGAGCAGCGTCTCGCTGGTGCCCCAGTACATCTTGCTGACGAATTGGCCGCCGAATGTGTAGATAATACCAGCGACCGACGGTGTCGTCCGCTTGCAGATGAAGTCGAAGTCGAGCATGCCCTGCACGGCACGCGGCTGCAGGCCGTAGACGAAGCATCTTGTCTTGTCGTTGAACAGCGCGTGGGCGGGGAGCGGGCTCAGCGGGCGGCTGGGCGCAGCGAACCGGCGGATGTTGTCGTTAGCAGACAGGCCGCCGGTCGGCTTAAGGCTGTTAGCACTGCTGCTGGGAGCTGCCATTGTGATGTGTGTTTTCGACTCGAGACTCGTCCGTGTTTGTCTGGGTCTGGGAAAAGGGAAAGAGGGCGACGAGGTTTTGCGTGAGCCTGAGTCGGGGCGAGGGGAGAATGATGGGGGGTTCGCGGAAATGCGAGGGCAGGCGGGGAGCAATTTTGGGGCAGAGGTTTTTGTCGGTCCCTTTTCGTCTCTCGTCGGGAAGCACCACACTCGGGGTAGGCGCAAGAGCTCCGCAGCTGTCGAATTTAGTGAAGGTGCCCTGGCGAGAACCGGGAAGTCGAGCCCTCCTGCTCTGGAATCCCCAAGAATTGTTGCACGCCGTTCATTGGATGAGGACCAGGTCAACGGTCCAACAAATGGTGGCAGCTCCCCAACTCTTTTGGACCCATGTCCGATCGCCTAACGGACTTGCACCAGATCAGGCATGGCCTGCTGGTTTCTGCCATATCGCTGGCAGAAGGTGGGGTCCCGGAGGCACTTGGCACCCGAAGTACCAGTACATCCGCCGCCATGCCGTCCGATGCCCCTCCGATACCCAAAAATTTGCGAAAGTTGGGAGGGGCAGAGGGGCAGAGGGGCTTTTTCCCGACACGGCAGGATTGCTGACCGGGTTGCCCGGTAACGAACTGGTATTCGATGTCTCTTACGACGAATGCCCAGTTCAAACACGATAGGAAACAATTTGTTTTGACACCCGGAACTGGGACAGAAGGAAAGAGGCGGGGCATTGACGGCTATCGCGGGGCAATTACCGTCGTCCGGCGACCCTGGCCCGGCGGCCGGCCGTCGGGCGCCGGAGGGCCGAATACAACGAGAGGTTCGGCGCGCCCGAGTTGGGCACACGAGAGGAAGGCGCCCGACTGACGCGCAGTAAACTTTCGGGATGACCTCGCAGGAGTGGAGACTCGTAAAAAAGCAACGAGCAGCTTCCAATACTCCCATCCCGAACCCCTTCACAGCCGCGGACAGGCCCGGGCTATATCCCGATGGTGCACCGCGGCCGGACGACCCCCAACTCCGTCCGCCCACAAAGCCAATGCCACACTTGTCGGCCAGGTAGTAGGCACAATTGCAGAACATTGATGGCGAATGATGACCAACCCGAGTCCCAAAAGCAAGCGGAAATGACTTGAAATGAAGCTGAGTCGGGCATCACCAAAGGGGAAACGACTACCTGCGCTGGCATCGGGTATCTTTGCTGGCCAAGATGCAGGAGCGGGGTAGAATCGAGGGGTCAGGAAGGTGCCAGGTGGTCGGGGGTCGTGTCCTTCGATCTCATTCTGGGTACCAGTACCTCGGAATGCTGACCGCCCCAAGCACAATGCCCCGCTTGAGGAACCCCAATGGTTTTGGGCAGGCGGGCACCACTGGTACCTGGACTTTTTTTCTGGCCGACCCCCCCAACCCGTGAGATGGTGCGGCCCCCCTGTGCAAGCTATTGCCCTGAGTGTTCTGCCCGAGCCCAGATTCGGAGTCGGTCCTCATCTTTTTCCCAAGGGAGCTGCATCTCGAGACCAATCCTCGCCCTCACCCACTTCCTCTTCCTCCCTCACTTCACTTGCTGCGAATTCCCCCCGCGTACCCGCGTCCACTTTCCAGCAATCCCATCCCTTGAGACTTCCCATCCAGGTAAATTGCCCCTCACTTGAGGTCGGAACATCATCGCCATCTCAGCTTGATTCTCCCAATCTCCGTACTCGGCTGCCCGCGAACTCGCGTGCACCGCCGGAAAACTGTTGGAGGACCACGCTGACGGTCTCTCGAGTAGAAATAGCCAACTCGGCAAGGACTGAAGAGAAGAACAAGGCTGCACACTTACCAGCAAGATGTCCGCGAAGAGCATCACCGAAGCCGATGGCAAGGCCATCATCAACTACCACCTCACCCGTGCTCCGGTGATCAAGCCCAGCACGCTCCCGCCCCCGACCAAGCACAACGCGCCCCCCAGGCTCGCATCGCTCCACTTCCCCGAGGATAAGGACGTCAACGCCGTGCTGGACCAGGCCGAGATCACATACCCGTGGCTGCTACACCAGGGCGCCAAGTTCGTCGCCAAGCCAGATCAGCTCATCAAGCGCCGTGGCAAGAGCGGCCTACTTGCTCTCAACAAGACCTGGCCTGAGGCGAAGGCGTGGGTTGCTGAGCGCGCCGGCAAGGCGCAGAAGGTTGAGCACACAGAGGGCATTCTCCGCCAATTCCTGGTCGAGCCCTTCGTACCGCACCCTGACGGCACCGAGTACTACATCAACGTGAGTTGCGCCCTTTCTGGTGAAATCGTTGAAGGGCATGCATGGCTAACGCCTTATAGATCAACTCCGTTCGCGATGTAAGTAAACGATTTCAGTTCAGCCCGTTCTTGGCGGCAGGCGGGGTTTGATTTGCGAAATAACCCCCACTTGCAAGTGCAAGCACATAATTGGGGACGGTATAAAAGATCGCATACCAAAAAGCGTGGAAGGTGAGGGTGGTGTGGGAGGAAAATGCAAGATACGCATGATCTGGCGGGTGTTTCTGAGGCTTTATACTCGGAAATCCCTGTGCAGACGGGAGCAATTCTGGACGGGGGTTTTCAACATCCCGCGTGGAAAATGCTGCCGAGCCGTTACGGACGAACGGAGGCTAAACCGCATTGTGATGTGGACCAACCGGCCCACAGACCCGGAAATGCATAACACCTCCGAACTTACAGAACAATGCTAACAATTGTCTCAGGGCGACTGGATCCTCTTCACCCACGAGGGTGGTGTTGATGTCGGCGATGTCGACGCGAAGGCCGAGAAGCTTCTCATCCCCGTCGACCTCACACAATACCCCTCAAACGAGGAGATCGCTTCCACTCTCCTGAGCAAGGTCCCGAAGGGCGTCCACAACGTCCTAGTTGACTTCAGTTAGTCTCCTCAAAAGCCTCTCATTACACGTGTGGCCGCTAACGGTCATCACCTTTGCACAGTCACCCGCCTCTATGCCGTATACGTTGACTGCCAGTTCACATACCTTGAGATCAACCCTCTGGTTGTGATTCCGAACGAGGATGCCACTTCTGCGTCAGTCCACTTCCTCGATCTGGCAGCCAAGCTGGATCAAACAGCAGACTTCGAGTGCGGTGTAAAGTGGGCTATTGCGAGGTCCCCGGCTGCTCTGGGCATCACCGCCCCGACCAGCACCAACGGCACCATCAACATTGATGCCGGCCCGCCGATTGAGTTCCCCGCTCCCTTCGGCCGTGAGCTTACGAAGGAGGAGGCTTACATTGCCGAGCTCGATGCTAAGACCGGCGCGTCGCTCAAGTTGACCGTCCTGAACCCCAACGGCAGGATCTGGACCCTGGTTGCTGGTGGTGGTGCCTCGGTCGTGTACGCCGATGCCATCGCCTCGGCGGGCTTCGCTGACGAGCTGGCCAACTACGGCGAGTACTCCGGTGCCCCCACTGAGTCCCAGACATACCACTATGCGCGGACTGTGCTCGACCTGATGCTCCGGGCGCCAATGAGCCCCAAGGGCAAGGTTCTGTTCATCGGTGGTGGTATTGCCAACTTCACCAACGTCGCGAGCACATTCAAGGGCGTCATCAAGGCGCTCCGCGAGTATTCCAACACGCTCAACGAGCACAACGTTCAGATTTGGGTGCGCCGTGCCGGCCCCAACTACCAAGAGGGTCTCAAGAACATGAAGGCGGCGACGCAGGAGCTGGGCCTCAACGCCAAGATCTTTGGCCCCGAGATGCACGTCAGCGGCATCGTGCCCCTGGCTCTTGTGCCCGGCAAGTGGGAGGAGAGCAAGGCGGAGGAGTTCAAGGCCTAAGGGGTGGTGTTGTCTGGGGGTGTAGAACTGACATTATTCACCTGGCCGTCTGATTATATACGGCGCATTTTACCCACGGGAAGAGAGATTCCCAATAGAAAATATAATACAGCAGTTCAGATGCCTGCCATGCCGCCGTTTCAAGTTTGATGTTCTGCTTTGACCGATTCGTGGGGGGAAAAGAGGCAGAAAAACAAGATATTCCTGCCGTCTTCAACGGCGGACGCGAGGGAGAACAATGCCGAACCGCAAAGGGGCAACCGAGATTGCGATCGATGATCCCGTGCGTGCCTTCCACCGAGGCCATCTATGATCTACATATCTGCCCAAGCAGGTCACGGTCCAACCAAACCCCCCGATATGACCTCGCACTCAGGGTACTCATTCCTGTCGCAGACGGCTCGGATGGGTTGTTTTGACCATTCTGGAAAGATCAACACGTGAGATGTACGGAAGAGTTCGAAGTAAAGCGGTGCAACATTCCTCTTTGCCGCACCGAAAGGGATATTACGAGTTGGGTAGTTACCAAAAACATGCCGAGAATTTTATTCCGCAACGACCAATGTCTTCTCACAAAGACGCTGCATCACTCTCCCCATTATATACAATATACAACCACACAAGTAGGTAGGCGGGCAGGCAAGCCCCGTGGGGCATACGAAGAACAAGCGCAACAAATGGTATCATATCATAAATGATCATGATGACAGAAACCGCGTGTCAAAAAGCCAGAAACAGCAACAGCAACAGCAACGCACAAAACACAATGCGCAATACAAACAACACGCTTCCCCGTCAGCAGCACCTGTCTCCGTTCCCAGCGGAATATATACAACCCCCAACATTAAGATAGGCAGTTAGCTAATAACTCTCACCATCTCTCACCCCCACCCCGTTTACCCATCACCGCTGCTGCGAATGCAGCAACTAAGCTAAGCAAGCATGCTTTGGCTCGCTTAGAGGGCAGCCAGGACGGCAAAGGCGCCGAGAACGGCAGCGGGCAGGACGGCAGCGGCAGTGCCGGCAGCAGCGTTGCCGCTGGTGCTGGGGCTGGGCTCTTCGGTGTCGGTGCTATCGGTGATAGCATCGGACGTCTGCGTGCCCTCCGTGGTGGTGCTGGAGTCGGTGTTGGAGCCGGGGCCTGGTGGGGAAGATGTTAGTAAGCTGAGGTTGTTTAGACAGTTAACACAAAGAGAGGGGGGCATACTGTTAATGTCGTCATCGGCCAGCGGCTTGACGGCAAGGTTGGTGATGGTGGAGCCGTCGGGGTTCTTGACGGTGTACTTGACCTTCCAGTCGGTGATCTTGACGAGCTGGCCCTTGGGAGCGGGCTTGACGCCGTTGTCGATGATCTCCTGGGCTCCGGGGGGCAGGACGGGGAGGGTGAAGTTGGAGTTGAAGCCATCGGTGGTGATGAGCTTGGAGCTGCAGACGGGGGGCTTGGCGTTGGAGGTCGAGGCAGGCTTCTGGCCCTGGATCTCGGCAAAGTCAAGCTTGCTGTACTGCTCCTTGAGGGAAACGAAGTCGCTCATGAGCTTGGCAGAGCCGTCCTCCTTCATGTCGACCAGGCCGTAGTTGTTGGGCTCCTGGGTGTACTCGTAGACGACGCCACCCGAGAAGACACCGGACATCTTCGTGCTGTAGATGGTGCCGACCTCGGTGAAGACACGCGGGGAAGGAGTGTTGCAGCCGTACTCGGAGAAGAAAATAGGCACATTAGCGCCCTTGAGGCCGGAGACCAGCTCGTCGTACCCGGCCTTCTCGAAGCTGCTCGTGCTGCACCAGCTGTAGCTGTTGAGGGCGAAGATATCGCCCATGCTCATATCGCCTTCGTCACCCTCGAGAGAGCACTGGAAGTAGTTGTACGTGTCGAACAGGATGGAACGGACATCGGCGGCGGAGTAGCCGACCGGGATGGGACGCTCAACGTGCTTCTTGACATAGTTCTTGACGTCGCGAGTGACGGCGCGCATGTAGGGGGGAACAGTGGCGCCAGTGTCCTCGTTGTTGAGGACCTCGTTGCCAGAGAAGAAGGCCAGGGTGTTGGGGTAGTCCTTGAAGGCCTCAACGACGGCAAAGGTGCGGTTCAGGTAGGCAGCATAGTACGACTCCCAGGGATTCCAGCTCGTTAGGGAGTCGCCGACCAGGGGCGAGTTAACGTCGAGCATCATGTACATGCCGGCGGCGTTGAAAATGCTGGCGCACTTGTCGTGGTTCACGTCGGGGTTCACATTGTAAACGCGGATGGCGTTGACGCCAAGGACCTGCAGCAGGGCGGCATCACGCATGCAGATATCCGGGTCGCTCAGAGGGTCACGGCCGGTTTCCTTGTCGTAGCCTGCAGAGCCCCCCGGCTGGTAGGCGACACCAACAATCTGGAAACGGTTGCCGGTCTTGGGGTTGATGAAGTTCTGTCCGTCGACCTCCAGCGGCTGCACGGCAGCGGCGAGGGTCGCGCCAAGCGCGACGAGCGCCGTGTGAACCTGCATGAGATATTAGCATCACGATCGAACAAGTCGCAGCACGCATCGGTGGTATGGTGACACATACAAGCATGGTTAAATCGGGTACGATCTAGCAGTATCGAAGACTGAGGGCAAAGTGCAGATTTTGGAGGCGTTGGTTGAAGTCGAAAATAGGGAATCGGGCGGCGGCAGGAAAATGCGCAAATTAAAGAAACTGAAAGTTGATGTCAAAGGAGCGACAAGAATTCGGAAGGAAAGGCGCAAGGCGACTCTTTCCTCAAGTCCAACGAGAGCGAGTGTTCAAAGGATTAAAACGAGAAACGGGCTTGATGGGAAAAAAGAGGATTTCAAGAAGGGAGAGCTCACTCATCAGCCTGCCAGGAACACGAAGGGCGAAGGGGCGGTCGTCGAGGGAGGTCCCAAAACAAGCCTAGCGGCGCTGCTCGTTCTTGGATACCCCAGAATCGACCAACATGCCTGTTCTGATTGGCGGCACATACCAGGGGAAATTGACCCCCAAAGGCCCCACATCCTCTTTCCGTCGGTGTTCCTGAAGGGCTCTAAACCCGGTTTAGTTAAGCGTGCCCAACCGAGAAGCCGAACCGGTGGGTATTTTCAGTTGGACGAGTGGATGTTTGTTAGCGGTGACAGCGAGATACGAGGTGAATGTGAGCATTACGGAGTATTGGCACTCAAATTCTTCAATACGACAAGGCGGAAAAAGAAGTCAGACACTCAGCAACCGCTCAGCAACCAACAGTGGCACGGCTAGCACGGCAGGTCTGCGTCTCATCGCGTGCCAACGAGGAGCAAACCGTTGGCGGCGCGGGCGGCCGTTTGCCCCGCACTGCGTTGATCGTCAGGGTCTGAGATGAAAGACGGATCAAACTGAGGGAGGAATTATTACCTCATTCGGCAGACAAGCGCCAAGTAATTGAGACTAGCCTCTCAAACACTACTATGTGGAGCTCCGTGTTTCGATTTTAACGCCGTCTCAGAGCAGCAAGGCTCGCAAGGCTCGGGAGTGGCTTTTACAAGCAGGTTCACGTACGTCACACAAAATTCCGGGCTTGGGGGGAAAGGTGGGGGTCGAAAGGAGAAGTCAAGTCGCAGAAGTAAAGCACCGACCTGGCTGCGACTACAAATATCTCGGACATGCGCAACAAAAAAATGCGCCGCGCGAAGAGGCAAACATAAATAATCTGTACATCCCGCGAGGGAAAAAGGAGAACAGTCTATCAGGTGTGAGCGCCCAGACTGGCCCAAATTCAATATTAACGACTTTCGAGATGAGTTGTCATTTTATCTGTTCCATCTTGAGATGAACTGTTTCGGCGTTTTGAGGTTCAAAGGTGGCAGCGCAGATGGTGGCGCAAGTCATTGGAGTTGCCAGTAGCGGCCCCGTGATGGCGACTACCCAAGATGACAAAGCAGGCAACGTCTCGAACATTCGCTAAACTCGGAGACAAGAACGCACCTTACAAATGAACAGGCAACAACTGAGGTCGTAACTCTCTCATTTTAATTTCTTAACTGTAACTCTCAGGCTCATGCCATAACCGATTTACTCAAACGTAATACCTAGCCGCTTCTAAATCTCAAAAAACCTATTGTAAATGACACCAAGGCGTTGACACGCAAATCATCACCACGCCGAATATAGGAGTCGCAACTCATTGCACTCAGTTTACATCAAGATTCTACGGCAGTTCATCGAGCGAGGGGGGAACTCTGCCCTAGAAAATCTAGCCCCGCCTCATCCAGCCCAAGTCTGTTCGGCATGGCTTCCACAGACCAAGAGAAAGACTCGCAACGAGACTCTTTAAGTCTCGAGGCCGACGAGAACTCGGTCGAGATTACCATCAAATTCCCTCCTGAAAAGCACACCCAAAAATGGGTTTTCTCCCCAGCCGACACCTTCGAGCACCTCCTTCTCACCCTCTCCCTCGAGTTCCCCTCCTACGACTGGTCCAAAGCCAAAGCCCTCCTTGAGAAGCGCCAAACCGGGCTCAAGTCCATCTACACCCCCTCGGACGACTCGGCCCTCCCCCTCTCCACCCTCAACAACACCACCCTCCGCCTCCTCGCCCCGCAGACCTCCGCCCTCAGCACCCTCCAAGACCAGCGCGCCGCCGCCGAGACCTGGCAAGCCAAGCGGGCCCTCGCTCGCGCGCGGTACGGCCGCCTACCCGCCGCACAAAAACGCACCGCCGACGACACCAACCACACCTTCCACGCACTGCGCGCCCTGCCACACCTCCCCAACTCCGCACGCAGCCTCGCCTTCCTGGAACGGCTCAAATCCGACCCCGGCATCCGCACCGCAATGCGCAAGCACCAATTCTCCGTCGGCCTGCTCACCGAGATGGACCCGGCGAGCGCCACCTCCGCCTCGCACGAGGGCGTGACCCGCATCCTGGGCCTCAACCGCAACCGCGGCGAGGTGGTGGAGCTGCGCCTGCGCACCGACGCCTACGACGGCTGGCGCGACTACCGCGTCATCCGCAAGACCCTGTGCCACGAGCTCGCCCACAACGTGCACTCGGACCACGATGCGGATTTCTGGGCGCTGTGTCGCCAGATTGAGAGGGAGGTGGATCGTGCCGATTGGACGCATGGCGGGCAGACGGTCGGTGGGGAGGAGTATGCGCCTGAGAGGGGGGAGGAGGATGAATTGGGGGAGGGGATGGTTATGGACCATGGTGGGTGGGAGGGGGGCACGTATGTGCTTGGTGGTGGGGGTGGTGGTGCGGAGGGGCTGAGCGCGAGGGAGGTCAGGGCGCGCGCGGCGGAGGCGAGGTGGTCGAGTTTGGAGAGGGCGACGAGGCGGGATGGGGAGGGGGGTGGTGAGGGGGGTGGGAGGGAGGAGGAAGGGTGAGACTGGGTTGTCAGTTGGTGTGTACGGTTGGGTCTTCGGGGATACATACCACGGTTGGGGCTTTGGTTTATTAGCGTTTGATATGGAGCGTTGCGAGCAAGCCATTTGCAATCAGACGGAGGCTGACTCCCACACTGGGTCGACATTTCTTTGAGAAGAACGTTCAAGTTCACTGTCTGCGAGCACCCGGCTATAGAGTTCTTTCATTTTTGCCCTCGAAACCCCGTAGGGTTGACAGTCGGGGGATCTAGCTTGTCTTGTACCACTCTAACTGAATGACATGTCAAGACATGTCAAGACATGTCAAGGAGGGCGAATTACCTAGTAGCAAAACAACCACTCACCATCTTAACCACTTTCATACGTCTCTACGGAAGATTGTTGTTTCCCGACCATCCTAAACGACGCCCAAAATGGACACATGGTTAATAGCGAAACCCGAGTTTGGATTACCTCCCCCAAATTACCCCTGAAACTTCTCAAGTCTCAGCCCAAGCTCGAACGCTGCGCATATATGGCAACAATATCCGCCTAATTCCTCGGTCCACGCTGGGAAGGTTATTGCAAGCAAGCAAACTCACACATCCACTTCACAGCAACACACCCAGCAACACGGAAGACAGATCAAACGTAGGCATATTCGATTCACTGCCTATCCCACCCCCCGCCCACGACTGGCTGGTATCGCCACCACGCGCAGCAAATTCTAAGCATCTAACAACCCCGCGAATGCCAAAACCCTCCAGGGCCACCACGAGCCGCGCATCCATCCCATTCAACCAAGCGCATGCATGCCACCCAACCACCCACCCCACCGGGGAAAAAGAGCGAGCGAGAGCCATATCCAGCCCACCTCAACCCAACCCAGCCCTATCCGGTCCGGTCCAGTCCAGAAACGCCTATCCACCGCCCTAGACCGCCTGTCTGTCTTTGTGTGCCCCAACCTTGTAGTAGCAGAAGTAGTAGTGTATAAAAAAAAAGAGAGTAAAAGAGAGATAAGGAAAGAAAGGAGGGAATGAATGGGAACGAACCCCCGCGCCGTCGCCGCCGGAATGTGCGCATGTGATGTGATATGGGTACAAAACAAAAAAAAAGAGAAGGACAGAAACGACAACCCGCAGGCAAAGGGGGTTGCCGTATCCATCGCGTCCACGCCGCCGCGCCTCCACCCGCGCGCAAGCGAGCGAGATTAAGTATTATAGCAAGCAAGCAAGCAAGCAAGCAAGCAAGCAAGCAAGCAAGCAAGCAAGCAAGCAGCCCAGTCGGCCGCCGCGCCTCTCCCCTCCGCCGTCACAACGACTCAGGCTCCTCACAAACAGGCCCTCCGCCAATACTCCCCCCCGAATCGGAAGCATTGGACCCCTCCCCAGCCGTGCGCGGGCGCTCCCTCGCCGCCAGGGAATCCTTCTCCTCCTCGCTCAGCCGCAGACGGAGCTTCTCGTCCAGCATGCTGACCAGCCGCTCGCTGTACTGATCCAGCAGCCCGCTCAGCACCGTCTCACTGACCTCTTTCCCCCCCCCACCATTACCACCACCATGACTCCCACCACCGCCACCACCGCCACCGCCGCCACCCCCATGACTCCCACCCCCCGTTTCACCCCGCCTATCCCCATGCCTATTACCACCATTCCCATTCCCACTCCCCGTGCGACTTCTTATGGCGCGCTCCCCCAGCGCAGCCGCCGTCAGGCGGAGCTCGGCATCCAGCTGCGCCAGCACGTCCCCGTGGATGGAGTCGGCCGAGGCCAGCTTCCTGCGGTAGGCGCGCAGCTGGCGACAGGTCTGTTCGGTCGCCATGCTGAGGGTGCCGAAGCCATATCCATTTCCGCCACCGTTACCGCCGCCGCTACCGCCACCGCCACTGCCGCCTCCACCGCCGCTGCCGCGCTGGTTGGAGCTGGAGTTCTTGCGCGACTTGGCTGCGGATAGGGGGGTGGCGCCTAGCGCGGGGAGGGACGGGCGGCGGAACATTTTGGAGCGGGCCTTGGGGCTTTCGGGTGGGGGACTGTCGTCGGAGCAGCGGGAGTTGGCTCCGGAGGAGGGGCGGCGGGACGGGGTGCGGGCGTGGGTGTCGTCTATTATGATCATGCCGGTGGTGTTTGTGGGGGAGGTCGTTTGCTTTTCGGGGGTGTTGTTGTTATTGTTGTTGGGGGTTCGGAGAGATGAAAAGGGGAGTTGGAATTTGGCGGGGCGGCGGTGCGATGGGCGCGGCGACGTACGGCGTGGTGTGCTTCCGCTTGGGGGCCCGGCGGCCGAGGATGGGCGTTGGAATTCGGCTAGTTCGGCTTTGGAAAGAACGCGCCGTAATGGCGGGCGTGTAGAGGCCGGCTGGGGAGTCTTTTCCGGCGAGGGGGAGCGGCTTTGGGATCCGTTGGAGGAGTCGTCGAAGTCGAGGGCCCAGACCATGATTGTGCCGTCCTCGCCCACGCTGACGACCTTGCGACCGGATTCTTCGGTATCGATGAGTACGGCGCCGTTGATGGCTTCGGTATGGCCCCATTCGCGGTCCATGAAGCACCCTGCTTGGGTATCGTAGACTCGCACGGATTTGTCCGTGTTGGAGATACCGAGGAGGAACGGGGGGTCACTGGACCCCGGCTGGCTGTGGGTCAGCGACTCCAGCACGACCGAGTCAAGCCCGGCTTCGTCGTTGCACTTGAATGAGCCGAGGACCCGCCCGTTGCCGAAGTCGTACTGGCATACGGAGCGATCCAACAGAGACACAAACACCGCCTTCTCGTCGGTCGTCACGGCCATTGACGACGGGGATGCCTTCAAGGAGATCGATTTGAACGGGATGGCTGCCATGACGTCGGGCTCGCCCTCTTTGCTCACCAGTTCGTGGATCTGGAGCGTCCGGTCGAGGGAGCACGTTAGGACCTTGTCCTCATTTGGTATAAGCACTTGGACTACCTTGGCGCTGAACTCCAGCGTCTGGAAGTGCTCAAATACCCCCGCGGACGTGCGGTGGAACAGCTGGACGGTCCGGTCCCGCCCACACGAGGCTACGAGGAATCTCGATTTGCCCTCGTGGACGGTGATGTCCTGGCAGTTGGAAGAGTGTGCCTTTGTTTCCAGCAGACACTCTCCGGTGGAAACCTCGACGATCCGGAGAACGCCCAACTTGTCTCCGGCGATGAAGAGGGCTCCGTCGTTCGTAGCTCTCACCGCGACGACTTGATTTGCCGGGCCTGACTCGGCGCTTGTATCCACCTGTTCAATTGGTATGTCAAAGGTCGACTTTATGATGCCGCCTAAGTTCCAAATGGTCACCCTGCCGAGTCCGGACCATGTGAAGAAACTGGCATCGAGGGTGTTGGACGCGGACAACGGCTGTACCCCAACAATTGGGTCGCCGAGGCCCGGAATAGGAATGTGTGATTTATCGTCTATGGGGTTGCCGGGCGTGTGGTCTGCACTCCAGATATCGATCGATCGCCTGGTGTCGATCGTGACGAGGTTCTCTGCCAGAAATCCCATGGCTACGAGGCCGGCCGCCATCTCTGAACTGCGAATGGTCGGTTCAGAGATGCCGTTTAATATATCCTCGAGGCTGATGATGGCAATCTGACCATCCTTTCCGCCGATATGGATATCTTCTCCTCGGCGGGAGACGCAAGTGACGCCGAAATCGACCTCTGCAACCTTGGAGAGTTTCATCTGCTTGTTGGTATCATCGAGCAAGCAGACACAGCCCGTTTCGGAGCAAATGATGGCCTTTTCGTCTGATATCGGGAACGCGCAGGAGAATGTTTCGTCCAGCATCGACCCGAGGAGGATGTTTCTGCCCGGCAACGGCTTCTGGGCCGGGAGCGGAGGGGGAGCCGCTCCTTCGTTGGAGAACTTCGTCTTGACGGGCGTGGTATCCAGCCCTTCCTCAACCCTCCACACCTTGACATGGCGGACACCGAGGGTGATGACGTTGTTGCCCATCCACACCATCTCCTTCACGGACGAGGTGCACCTGTTCTGTTGAAACAGCTTCACGGCGCCGGTCCGGGAGTCGACCTTCCACAAATAGAGGAAACCGTCGTTTGCTGCGCCTAGCGATGCTAGGTACTTGGTATCGGAAGACCAAGCCACGGCCTTGACGCCGAAGGTGTGTTCGCTGATAGACACCAGGGGCACGTCGGAGGAGGCATCTTGTAGGTTGAACAAGAGCACCCGCGGGGCGTAACCCGTCTCGCCCACGGCTAGGTACCGTCCATCTCGGCTGAGGGCCAGGCAGGTCGCAGCCTTGATCCGTTCGCGGCTCGTCCAGGTCTTGGAGGTGGGCGAGTCGGGCCACTCGGCATAGAGGGAGTCTCTGGGGGAAGAAGCAGCGGCTCTATTTCTGCTATCGTTGGCTTTTGGTGTCGAGATGGGCGTCGACGAAGTGTTTGTGGTGGGGGAGACGTTAAGGAGGGGGACGGCCGTGGGGCGTGCCCGGTAGAAGCGCTGCGCATAGTGCTCGCCAGAGACATCCACCACAACCACGGCGCCTCCGGCGATGTATGCGAAGGACGAGTGGACGGTGTCGAAGCCGGTGGGCGAGGCGCAGGTGGTGCCGACCACGCGCTGCAGGGAGAGGCAGGACTCGTAGAGGGGTCGGGGTCGGAGAGAAGACCGGGAGGGGCGTGAGATGAACGGAGAGTTGGACGGTGTGGGCTTAGTCCGGTTTGAGGGAGTGGATGCCATCGCTCTTCGCCATGGACTGACTGATCAGGAAAACCCAAAAAGCGGGGACGGGGACTGAATCGGAGCAGCTGAACGAGAGCGTCGGAGCATGTAATCGGCGGGGGAAAGAGTCGGTGTGTGGCGGTGACGAGGTAGGTAGGTAGTTAACTAGAAACTAGAGGCAGAAGGAGCGCAGCGAAGGAAAGAATCGAGTCCGGAATGTGTGTGTCTCGCGCGAAGCTGTCCAAAGGAATGATGGAGGCAGAACGGCGGTTTGAAAGCTACAGGCACAGATGCACAGAATCAGCATCTGCGGGTCAGAGGGCGCCCGATGCATGGTCGTGCAGGAAGACCTGCCATGGGTGCCAGAATGACGCCGTTGGGCACAGAAACTGGAGCTTACAGTGACATGAAGATCGTGCAGCGAGACAAAGTCAATTGCCCCGGCGCCGACGTCGATTAGGGCCTAAGTGAGGTGCACGACATTTGCGTGGAGGCGTCGCGAAAACGCCGTAAGATCTAGGATGGTGAAGAAAAAAACACCAACCCTGGCGGCCAGCTGCGATCTCTGGCAAGCCTCGTCCCAAGCCTTTTGTTGGGCCCTTGCTCTCTCTGCTGGGCCTGTGTTGTGGGTTCAGGCTGGTTGTGCAGGGGAGAGCTTTGTGGGAGAAAATATGGCCCGTGCGTCCACCCAGCCGGATTGGTGCCAGCTTCTTTCCCATTTGGGACGACTATCAGTGGGGCTGGCGGTTTTGTTTCGATGTTTACTGGTTCCGAGAGGATCTCTTCCAAAAGGAAAGGGCAGAAGAAAGGAAGATCCGGACAACTCCCACCACCTGGTCCGTCAGTACCACAGTGTATCCCACAGTCTCCGGCAGAAATTCAGCTGGGAATACAAACCCCCAACCTCGCAGCGGCCCATTGTGGGAAAAGGAGCTGACTCCACGATGTCCATCTCCCACACTTTGTGATGGGCCGCGAGGTTGCATTAGCGCGGGCCGTGCCTGCAGCCAGCGAGATGACACCCCCTAGTAGCCGAGGGGGGGCATGCCGCTCGAGTCCCGGACAAGGAACCAGTCACTCGGGATCGCAGCGAGGGGTTCAGACCATCTCGACAAGTTTTTCTCGGAGTTTCCTTACTGAAAAGAGATATCTTATCGGAGGATCACAAAGAGACAGAAGGACCGACAAACTCCGAGCGACGATACAGTGGATGGTTGCCTTGGTGATTTGTCAAATTGACTGAGGGCGGCCATTCTCGGCAAAATTCGCCGAGACATGGCGACCACAGGAGGTACCCCCGAAGCGCCTTCTCATAACATCCCCGTCTAATGGTACAATAATACAGTATTAACACGCTGCCGTCAGGGCCGTAGTTGAGTTTGCGTTCGTCGTATGCCATACTCCGCACACCCCTCGTCTTTTGCCGACCGGTCATCCCCTCATATACCCCCCCATAAACCCCCTCTTCGCAAGCCTCCGCTGCGCCTCGGCGCGAGCGTTCTTGTCCTTGTGGTTCGGCCCCCTCGGCTTATTCCAGATGGGGTCGCGGACGATACCCTCGGCGCGCCACTTCCTGGGCGGCTTCTTGCCCAGCGCCGCCCACTGCGTCCAGACCTTCTTGCCGCGGTTGAACCACCGCTCCTGCCGCTCGGCCTCCTTCTCGGGGTCCGCCGTCCAGTTCGACCTGAGGATCCTGCGGATCGCCTCGGGCGACACCTCGAACTTTTGCGCCAGCACCTCGGTCGTGTACTCGTCGGGGAACTGCTTGTGCAGCATCCGGATGCCCCCCAGCGCGTCGGGCGACAGCTTCTTGCGCGGGTTCCAGCCTTCTGGGAACTTCTTTTCCAGTGCCGACTTCTGGACCATCCAGGTTTCTTTGGTATTGGGTTTAGCCCAGTCGCCACTACCGGCGTTCGATTTTGGCCTGGACCGCCTCGTTTCTCGCTCGGTGCCCCCCGCTGGTTTGTATCGCTGTCCACGGCCGCCGGAGTCGCCACCATTAGACCGATATGTACGAGGCCGTGTTGTTGGTCTGGTATGAGCGTTCGGGGATGGAGATCCGAAAGAATAGCCGGCTGACGGTTCGGATGTGTGCGAGTTCGCTGCTCGGTTGTTGTGGCGGCTCGCCCGTCCACCTCCTCTTTCGAAGGACTGCGTGGCCTCCGCGGCGCCGCTCCTCACGCATGATGTGTGCAAGGTCCGCGATGCGGTGGCAAGTATGGAGCCTGTCCGCTGAGCGTATGTCCGGTTGGGTTGAGTCGAGAGAGCTCTGTACTGGGTGGCACGTGGCGCTGTAGTACGGACAGGGACGTGGATTTGGACGACGCTCCTGACAAAAATCCTCAATGCCGCTGTCCGGCAGGAGCAATCCATCGTATAAAAAACCAAAGCAAAATATGTTGGTTGAGGTTGGTAAGTCAGTCGTTGGAAAAGCGAAACGAGGTGTTCCCGTCTCTGAAAATTTCCAGGACCCTGGTCGCCGCGCTCACTGGGTTTGGAGACAGCGAGTGGAGCCCATGTCCCGGGCCGCTTCTGACACAGACCCACCCAACCGTGCCGTTCCCACGGGCCAAACCATCGATTCGAGGTGTCACCAACTGCAACCCAGTGTGCGAATTCACTCACTGACCTCACGGGGTCGATCTCGTCTGCTAATTCTAAATATGTGGCTATCCTCTCGATTATGGTCGAAACCCCGAAATAATAAAACCTAGTCCTCCACACAAGACACTAATTCTACGTTCCCTACCAAGTACTCATACTGCGTAGCGCTACAACGAGCCCATTCTACATACTATACCACACGGTGCCGTGCCCCCTTTGGCAACATCGAAGCCGGGCGCCCAAGAGAGGCCGACGGGCTTTTCGGTTTTTTAGGGAGAGCGAACACGGCCGTTGAGGTGGGCTAGGCGGGGTAACGAGATGAGAACGTGGCTGGTGATATGATTTCTCTTGTTGCCTAGGCAGTCCGAGAGGCAGAATCTTGCCGGGGCGGCGTTGGCGGTCACAAAGGCAGTCTCGGTATGCGTCATGTGGCTGAGGGTTACAAAACGTGAATCGATGTTGTTACAGAACCTGCGGTGATCTACGGAGTGGGTGTGGTTCGGGTTCTCTGTCGATCTGGCCCTTCTGTGGGGTCGTCGTGACTTCGAAATCCGAGGGAGGAGGTGAAACGTCAACAGCCTAAACGTCGCATTGCTCGACTCTCCATTCGACTGTTCATGGGGATACGAGACAGATAGGGGGGCCGGATTGTATCACTTTGCGGTCTTCTTAGGTGAAGGTGTGCTGCAACTCTTTTATTGCGAAAAGCAAATCGAGCTACCTAATCTGCCCCAACCCGTTGTACAATGCACCATGACAATGTTTTTTGACCGCGTGACTCCGAAACTGCCCGACAAATACAGCAACACTAGTCTGCGACAATGCCTCCCGTCGCACACACCATGAGACCCCAACGCCAGCCATCTGTTCTCCGAACCCCAAGCCCAATGTCTTATGATACCCAACCATGGCAATAGCCAGGCACAACCGAAAGGAAACCGAATGATGAGAAATAAAACAAGAATAGAACCGAGAAAGAATGCAACCGTGTTCCCTATCCGATGTTTAAGCATCATGCATCAACTCGACCGGCGGCCGGGTGGTATTTGCCATGATCGGCCTGTTCGCCGGCGGCGCGATCGGGCTCATCTCCTCGGGCTCGTCCGTCATGTCATGAATAATAACACACGGAAGGTCCGGGCTCGCACCCATCTCCGGGTTCGGCTGGAAGACCAGGGTAGAGCTGCGGCTCCGCTGAGGGCCCCTGCTGCCGCTCTCGACCGGCGACACGGGCGATCCCATCACCACATTGCCCGCGGCGTCGGAGCCGTTGGGGTTGTTGTGGTGCCTCAGCCGGGCCAGAGCGTCGGCGAGATCGTCGGCGTGCACCATCTTGTTGGGCGCGTCCTCCATCGTCTGCTCCCATCCGTGCGGCGGGCTCGGCGGGGGCGAGATGAAGAAGAGCTTGCCGGCGTCGGGCAACGCAAGCTTGTGGGGTTGTGTCGTGAGCGGTGTTGGCTGGCCAAAGTACACACGGCAGCGGTCGCCCATAATGGCCTCGCCGTCCCAAATCTGGCGCACTGCGATAGCGTCCTCGTCATTGTAGAAGGAAACGATGATGCGGCTGAGGGACTTCAGCGGGGAAAAGGCATGGATGCGGGCTTTTTGCTCGATCAGGTCACGGATCTGTTGAAGGTTGTCCGGAGCGAAAATGTCGCGCGATTGGAGGTTGGTGAAGATCAGCGTGTTGCAAGGCGGTGTTGGCTTGATCAGCGGGGGGAGGTTGGCGAGGTCAAGGGTTAGCGTCGACTTGCGCGAGCGGGTGCTGCTGCCGGTCGAGGAGCGCGTGGGCGAGGGCGGGAGTTGTGGTGACAATTGTTGCTGTTCCTGTGCCTGCTGTGCTGCGCGGAAAGGCAGATCCTGTTGCAGTTGTTGCTCCATTGTGGTAGATGTGCGAACGAGCTGGTCGAATTGGTAGAGGGTGATGATGTAGTGATGTGATGTGCGTGGAGATCGATAGCCCCGCTAGCGGATGTGTTGGGTGATACCGCTGTTGTATTTGACGAGTTTAAATATCGAAGGCCTCTTTATCGACGTTCAGGTTGCGTCTTTGAGTGTTCAGGGTTTTGTTGGGGTCGGCAGTGTTGGGATGCAGACAATGGAACAAACGGAAGGAGTCCGGTGCGGCGGGATGGATTTATAAGTTGGAGAGTGTTCTGCAGCGCTGGATGCATGCAGCAACCCCCCGGGTCGATCACGGGCCGTTTGGACAAGCCGCAATGCCGCCGCTGGTTGGATGAGGAGGCGGAGTTCGTTGCTGAGACTGAGACCAGCACTGACCAGCTTCGGCTCCCCGTAAAAAGCGTGGCTTCGACCGAAAAGTTTGCGCGTTCAAGTCGCCTCCTAATTTGCAAAGCCTCTTTCCTTCCTTTTTGTCCCTGGATGTCTGGCCAACAAGCGGTTGGCTGTGAGATTCTCGATCGTGAAATTCCCAGCGCTTGTTGCCACTGGACTCGAACAACGACAGCCAAGACCCTCGAGAGGGTTGCGAGTGGACCGCTGAACTGATGCAAGGGTGGATCTCCCGGCAAAATGTCCGTTTGCGACGCTCACAGAATGGGCGCCCTCCCGGAGCATGATTGGGCGCCCGCTCTCCGCGACTTGCACAGCCTCAATTGACCGATCGTTGGGACAGAGCATGAGGATCAGGGTCTCCATCCGTCGCCAACTGGTGACCCGTCTCAACCTCGCATTCCTGTAACGGCCTCCGCCCAAAACCGCAGTGAGGCTCTCGGGCGAGACTGGAAACTGGGGTCCAGAATTACGGATCGTGTTTGTCACTGCCATCCCGAGTACGCCCTCTCAACAGAATACCCTCTCGAGCCTCTTCAGGCGAACAGGGCACTTTTGTCTTCTCTCGGTGTCCACTTGTTATGGCACTGCTCAGCCTTCCACGCCGCCACCAATTTAACGGGTCAGACACGGCGAAGCGGCAGAATTCAAAGGAGCTCAAGGTAAAGAGAGGATCAAAGACCTGCCGTATTCGGGTTCAGACAAAAAAAAAAAGAAATCCCTTTTAGACGGGGACGGAGAGTTACGGACCGACATCACACCTGCCTCTTACAATGTGTTGCCGATGCAATGTACCTCCCTAACGAAGTACGCCAAGGAAGGTCGACGGAAGGAACCAAAGACAATAAACGCACTTTCACCTGCAGCACGTGTGTACTAAAAAGAAATAAGGTAATTGATGGGCGAGTCTAACGACGGATAAGCTCGGAGCTCCATGATAGTCAGCAGCAACGAAAACGTGGCAGGGAGGCACAGCAGATGTTGAACTCGTGGCACCGAAAGCAACGCCATCATCAGTCTTGGCGGCTGGCAAATTACCCTGCAATGCTCGCCGAATCTGTGGAATCAGCCAGCCCACGAGGCAATCTTCTTCCTGACCGGGCCTTCTGTCTCACGAAGTAGGTGTCCGTTATGATGCCCGGCAGTGCCAACAAACCCACTAGCCCTCTGCGCCGCCTTCTCACCGCAACGGCCATCACAACACCAAAAGGAACGATCATCCGCCCGTCAAAAATCTGCCAAGGAAGCCCATCTGATATCCCGACGTGACTGCTCGTAAGAGGCTGACCTGCTTGTCATCCCAAACCCGGACCCCTCACTCGCGGCTCCACAACTTTTGCACTGCCCTCGAGTCTATCGAAGAGGAGGTGAGCGACCCCAGAGCAAGGGTCCGATATCATACATCGCCATCTATCCATGTCTACCTATCGTTCCGCGTACAATATAATACAGCCCCCAACGTGCGCCGGCAAGATGCCTTCCGGTGACCAAGCGCGCACGATAGCCAGGTTTTCGAGGGGAGAGGAGGGGAAGGAGGAGATCCCCTCATCAGCGTCTCACCGGGCGTGGCTGAGCAGACGGACAGCCAGTCGTCGCGGGACGGACCAGATCTCACATACTTCCTGTTCCGGTATACGGTCGGCAGGCCGTCCGTCCACGACAATGCCACCTCCTGTCGACTCCAGAGCGGTCGCAGCGGTGAGAAGACGGAACGGCCGGAACGAACCAACCATGACAACCATGCGTGACAACTCGTCGTGAGAACCAGGCGTTGCAACCGTTGTCCACAGACTTACCACCACCCCATCAACTACCTAATCTCGACTCCCAAGCGCTTCACCAGCCCCTTCATCACCCTCCCATGCATCTCATTCGTCGCCCTGTTCGTCAACGTCCTCTCCAAGCTCCGATAATTGATCCTATAACACATACTCCGGCGGCCCGTCTTGGGATGCGTGAACTCATCCGCCAGACTCACATCCTCCACACAATCCCCCGCCACATCCCTCACCACCTCCATCAAATCATTCTCATGCCACCCAACCCCCTCACCACCCTCACCATTCTCACCACCACCGCCCCCACCGCCCAACCAAAACGACACGTCCTTATAACAAGCCGGGTACTTGCTAAACGGCACGAACGGCCTCAACCCTACCAACCCAGCATCCTCCAGCCCGCGGAACTGCGCCAGGAACCGCTCGTCGCGCGACCAGAACAGCCGGATGTCGGGCACGCCGAACAGCACCATGGCGATGCGCTCCAGCCCGATCCCGAACGCCCACCCGACCTGGCCCGGCCGCCCCGCGTTGGCGTGCAGCGCCTGCTGCGACACCCCGCACCCGAGCACTTCCAGCCAGGAGCCCTGGTAGAAGACCTCGAGTTCCCAGGAGGGGGATGTGAAGGGGAAGTAGGCTTCTACCCAGCGGACGCGGAGTGGTTCGTCGTCAGAGGAGGGAGTGGTGGGGTCGGAGGTTGAGGTGGTTGAGGCAGGGGTGGTGGCGGCGGCGGCGGTTTTGGCGCGCGTGAAGATCTCGTTGACCATGAGCTCGAGGGAGCGCTTGAGGTGGGCGGCCACGGCGGCGGCCTCGGCCGGGGTGTGGTGCTCCGCCTGGAGGGGGTTGCGGTCCGGGTGGAAGGGCGGGTTGGGGTCCTCGACCTTCATGTTGTGCTTGGGCAGGCGGTCGAGGTCCTCGAGCACGGCGGCGGCGAGGTCGCCGTTGGGGACCTTGGCGCGGTCCCACACCCGGGCGCCCTCCATCTGGTGGAAGACCGGGTAGTGGCTGCGGTCGACCTCGTCGCGCCGGTACACGTCCGCGCTGAGCAGGTACCCGCCGCTCGCGCTCGCCCGGAAGAGCTCCGCCTCGTGCGCGCTTGTGTGGGTCCGTAGGAGGGTGTCCTTGTTGATGTAGTATGTGTCGCTGCGGGCGCGGCCGGGGTGGTCCGGCGGGAAGCCCAGCGAGTCGAAGTTCTCGTATGTCGAGACGACCGGCTCGAACTCATTGTAGTACTTGTAAGTCGGTGCAGGGAAAACGGATTCGATGATCTTCCGCGTAATAGCCACCGGGTGGTCTTTTTGGAGGTGTAGCTTTCGCGAGACCAGCGAGAGAACGGTGGACGAGACATTGAACCAGGAATCGGTCGTATATTTCTGACCGTTGATCTCGACGGTCTTTGGGTTCGTCGTCACATTTACAGGCGAAGGTGCACCATCTTTGCACCACGACTCTATCAGCAAAACTGATCCACTTGAGGGAGGTGTGTGTATATGCTTCTCGTTCTAACCTGAAGAGTAGGCTGCCCGCCAGCACCGTGATGACACACTAGTCAACGGATGGCTTCGTCGAACAAGCAGCGCGATGCTAGACCGGCTACCGACGCGAGGCCAAAGGGCGCTCGCAATCCCCCGTGCTCCGACCATGCTGAAGTTCGGCTTGCGGCTCCTGGAGGCCTGATGGCGGGGATCAGGATCGCTCTCGAAAGCTCGGTTGAAGTCACTCCGGGAGGCAGCTCGAAAAAGTTGAGTGGGTCGTTCCTCGCCAAGGGCCGGGGTCGAGCAGCTGTTTCATTTGCTGCGCCTCCGATGTTTTGATTGGTCAATGGCTCCCAGTCCAAAAGGTTCTCAAGACCCAGGGTGAGGGTTGCCTCCCGAAACCGAGACTCGGCGCAGGAGAGACAGACACATGGGCCATGGCCGATCACAAATCTCGACGAAGACAGACGGTTTTGGTTGTCCCAAACTGTTACTTTCTTTCCTATCTTACGCTAAGCGACTTACTTGCTCAGGGGCTCGCCGTCCTTGATCTTCTGGAGACCATACTTCTCCAGGCGGATGGCCTGGATGGCGATAAAGCCAGTGGTGTCCATGGGCGCGAAGGTGTCGAGCGAGTCCATGGAAGCATCTTCCTCCGAGTACAGGTTGCTGGCGTCGCTCTTGCGGCCCAGGACGTAAGCGCCGCCCTTGTACACCGACATGCGGACCTCGCCGGTCACGTTCTTCTGAGAGAAGATGATCGAGTTCTCGAGGAACTCGCGCTCGGGGCTGAAGTACATGCCGTTGTAGAGGGCGTGCGACCACTCAATGGTGACGAACTGGTCACGCAGCTTACGGACCTTGGAGTCCATCACCAGACCCTCGAGGTCGATGTGGGCGAGGCGGCTATGGAAGGTTAGTCCTCTGTCCAAGCTCTCCAAAGTGTTCGGGCTACTTACGCAATCGTCAGGCCCGGGGTGTCGTAGCAACCGCGGCTCTTGAGGCCAATAAAGCGGTTCTCCACAATATCGACTCTGCCCACGCCGTTGTCGTGGCCGATCTTGTTGAGGAGCTTGAATAGCTCAAGCGATCCTGTGACCTCGCCCTCCGGGGTCACAACCTTGGTGGGAATGCCCTTCTCGAAGTGGATGGTGAAGTTATACGGCTTGTCGGGGGCATCAATGGGGTCGACAGTGCGGGTCCAGAGCTCCTTGGGCGGAGTGTGGTCGGGGTCCTCGAGGACGCCGGCTTCGTACGAGCAGTGGACCAAGTTGTCGTCCATGCTCCAGGGAGCCTTGGGAGTCGAAGAGACGGGGATGTTGTTCTCGGCGGCGAACTTGAGAAGGTCGGCACGGCCCCTGTTGAAAAGCAATCAGCGTCCGATCTCAGAGTATTTGTTAGTGCCTGGAGGACTTACTGGAACTTCTGGATGAACTCGGGCATCCTCCACGGGGCGATGGTCTTGATAGAGGGGTCGCAGGCCTTGTAGGCCAGCTCGAAACGGACCTGGTCATTGCCCTTGCCAGTGCAGCCGTGGCTGAGGTAGTCACACTTGTACTGCTGCGCGGCGCGGACCTGAGCCCGGGCAATGATGGGGCGGGCCAGAGAGGTACCCAGGAGGTAGCGGTCCTCGTAAATGGCGTTGCACTGGATGGCGCGGAACACAATCTCGTCGACAAACTCTTGCTGCAGGTCCTCGATGATCATGCGCTCAGCACCGAGGGCAAGAGCCTTCTTCTCAACCTCGGCCCAGTCCTCCTCCTGGCCGCAATTGGCAAGGAAGCACACGACGCTGTAACCCTATTGATACCATGTCAATATCAAAAACCGAATCGGTGGTAACACCGCAGGCAGGTAGCTCTCACCTCAAGGATAAGCCATTTCAAAATGGTGGAGGTGTCGAGACCTGTAGGCCATCGGATCAGCGTGGGCCCAAATCGTTGCTGTGGCTTCGTTGGGCAGATTGGGTTGAGAAGGGAGGCAAGATATGGTGCAGCTGTGTGCCACAACACAACCACGACGAAGTGCAGAAAGGAATAGCTCAATTATTGCTGTTCCATATGCAAAAGGGAGTAGTAGAGAAAGGAGCTGTAAATTTCAAAGTAAAGAAACCATACCTCCGGAGTAGGCGCTGTTGACAAGGTGAGTCAGTCGTTTGCATCTTTCCAGACCGGGTCGTGAAGGTGCTTTGGCGGGGTAAACGAAGTGACTTACAGACAAACGCGACCCTTGGACATGGTGAAGGATCTAGGTTTCAAGGTCGAGATACTGCAAAAGTGGAACGGGACGATGCAATGTGAACGGGAAATTCAGAACTGAAAGCAACAGAGGAAGAGGAGAAGAGGCTTTAGCTTTTCCCTTTCTGAATGATGGAGGTCGGCAGGTATCGGCCTCCAGCTTGCCCCACGTTCTGGATGACTCGAACCCTTGATTGACCCCAGCCAGGGCGGTCAACAAATTTTTTGTTCTTTCGGGCTGGGTCCTTGCCCGCCCCGAAAATAACTGGAGTGAGCGCCGGTCCCGCTGGGAAGCGGAGAGACCCCTGACCCCTGGATCTGGGCACGTCTCGCCAAGCTCAAAACTGACGTAGCCAGAACGCACGGTCCAGCTCGAAAAGAAAAACCCTTAGTTTTTGCCGTGGCTACCGAACCAACTCCGATAACATATCTTACTTTATCTTCACCATGAGTTCGTTGAGTTTTGTTGTTGCAGTCAGCGTTGTTTCAATATCATAAGAACTGCCATTCGCTTGCTTGTGATAGCTAGCCATTCATTTTTGGAATTATTTGGCTTTTTGCCTCCCACAACTAACTAAGAAGCGGAATGCTTCTATAACCGCGCGTTTTCTGCATGGATACCGATATCGCAGGCCACAATGCAGTCAGCCAAGAGTGAAGGACGCCCCGCGGCGGCGACCTCGATCACGACAATGGAGAAGAGGGATGGGGATAAGGCGGTCGTATCTTCGCCGGCGAAGCCTCGGCCGATACATTATCCCTTCTGGTTTGGTGGCAGCGCGAGTAGTATGGCCGCCTGCGTAACACATCCCCTAGACCTAGGTAAGCGCCCCAGCGAGCAAGTACACATGGAGTTTAAAGTGCAAATACTAACCCAGCCTCCTAGTCAAAGTAAGAACCCCCAATCCCGCTCCCACCCAATGACAATTGACCAACCCACTCCTAGGTGCGCCTCCAAACCCGGACCGGCGACATGCCCAAGTCGATGAGCGGCACCTTCGTGCACATCATCAAACACAACGGCATCCGCGGCCTCTACAACGGCCTGTCAGCCTCCCTGCTCCGGCAGCTCACCTACTCCACCACTCGGTTCGGCATCTACGAGGAGATGAAGAACCGGTTCAGCTCCAAAAAGACCGACCCCACCACGGGCAAGCCCAAGCCACCGTCCCTGCCCCTCCTGATCGCCATGGCCTCCACATCGGGCTTCATCGGCGGGATCGCGGGCAACGCGGCCGACGTGCTCAACGTGCGGATGCAGCACGACGCGGCGCTGCCGGCGGGCCAGCGGCGCAACTACGCGCACGCGGGCGACGGCCTGGTGCGCATGGTGCGCGAGGAGGGCGCCGCCAGCCTGTTCCGCGGCGTGTGGCCCAACAGCGCGCGCGCGGCGGCCATGACGGCCAGCCAGCTGGCCAGCTACGACGTCTTCAAGCGCACCCTGCTGCGCCTGACCCCGATGCAGGACAACCTGGCCACCCACTTCAGCGCCTCCTTCCTCGCCGGCGTCGTCGCCGCCACCGTCACCAGCCCGATCGACGTCATCAAGACCCGCGTCATGTCGGCCACCGGCGGCGACGTGGGCGTGGTGGGTGTGCTGCGCGAGGTGTATGCCAAGGAGGGCATGCGGTGGATGTTCAAGGGCTGGGTGCCGAGTTTCCTGAGACTGGGACCGTGAGTTCTTCTGCCTTTTCGTTTCTCTCGCCATCTGTTCAATCTTGGAGTATTGTTGCTAACGTAATATGTGCCTTGCAGCCAAACGATCTGTACATTTCTCTTTTTAGAGTCTCACCGCAAGGTTTATAGAAAGATCAACGGCATAGAGGGGCCGGTATGAGGCCGAGCCACGAGCGGCTTGGCCCACGGCGGGGTGACATGCGATACAGTTGGATAGACTAATGTCGACAAGCATCGAGTGCGTACATAGCGCGACACATTGCCGTGGACCGGCAACCATAGAGGCAGGGTGGGCGTTTGATGTGTTTCTAGAGAGGGGGCAGAGATGCGTTTGCAGGACGGGCGTTGGACAAAGCCCCTAGCTCGTTGCCTCACCTGTGTATTTTTCTTGTCCTTTTCCTTTTCCTCAATACCCGTGATGATGGTAGATTAGAGCGCCTGTAGGGTAGAGCAATTTCCGTCCGAAATGTCAAACGGACGTGTTGTAAAATATACAAATTCCCAAAATTCCCACCTCTTTCCCGTTCCCTCGAGCTCGGGTTGATATGCAAACCGAAATACCGCCGCGGGGAGATCGATGTTGTGGCGGGGGGAGAAATGCAGCCACGGCTCAAGCTAACTAATTATGCGAATAATCATGAGAATCCAACCATGCGTATATAACTATGCGAACATAACCATCGCGCCGTCGTCGCATTGTACAATGTTCATCGATAATCTGGCAAGTGGATGAGGGATCCAGCCGATGGAGGGATTCCTCACAAAGTTTGCCTCACGGTAGAGGCTTATTGTCTCTGGTAGACTTTCGTTTGGGCGCGATAATGATAAAACATATAGCTATCCTCGATAGACGAAAGGGGTAGCCTAGGACGCCCACATGCGCCGTGTCGACACCGAGGATTATGTTGTTCCGGTTAGGGCTGGGGGGGTTCTTTTGGTGAAGAGGGGGCACAGAATGTGATGAGTTGTGCCAAGAAACAAAAAGTGACTCAAAAGATCGACCGAGGCGAAACAGAAGAAAACGGGAGAAGTTGGGAGAATACCGACTCTTGCTTGGCTGGGAAACTTGGGTGGATGTGTCAAATGTTGGACCTACCCTATTCACTGTATTATCACATAGACGGCTAGGTGGACAAAAATCGCCGCCAACCATTCCCAACATTTGCATTAGTAGCGTAATCTTTGTGTGTCCGAGGCTCTATATACCCGTCCAAGAGCGACCCGTCATCTCTAACCCTTTTTTTCCGCATTCCATATGCTAAGCAGGTATGAACCGACATCATGAGAGGAGCATTATACATCTGAGACCATAAAACAAAAACGCCCGGCCGCCCTGGTCCCATGATATATGTGGCACGTGCGAATAAATCCAACAGCGGTAGTAGTACAGGGGAGAAACAGCCTCCCGGAGAGTAAGTTTGGTGTAGGTAGGGGACGTCGCTTATTTGTTCTTGACGACGCCAACCTTGGCGGGGCGGAGGATGCGGCCGTTGAGCTTGAAGCCCTTCTCCTGAGTGTGGAAGACGGTGTTGTGGTCCATGTGCTGCATGGGGGTCATGAAGGTGGCCTCGTGCTCGTTGGGGTTGAACACCTCGCCGTCGGGGTCGAAGCGCTCGAGGCCGTGCTTCTTGAGCGTCGATAGCAGGATGTTCTCGGTCATCTTGAGGCCGTCGTATAGGTTGACTAGATCCTGGGTGTGCTCCGTCTTGGCCTCGGGCTTCAGCTTCTCCTGGGGCACCATGCTCAGCGCCCGGTCGAAGTTATCGACCGACTCAACAAGGTCCTTGGCGAACTTCTGGATGGCAAAGTCCCGCGCGGCCTTCATGTCACGCTGTGTCCTGTCCTGCAGGTTGCGGAAGTCGGCCACGGAGCGAAGGTAGCGGTCCTGGGAAGCTGCCGCATTAGCATGGGAATCGCCGGCATGCGGGGGTAGAATAGATAAGCTTACCTTGAGGTCGCGGACCTCGGCATCCTTGGCCTCTAATTGCTTTTTTAGAGCGGCTTCGGGGCCCTCGGCCTCACCGTTCGCCTTTTCCTCCTCTCCCTCCTTTTTTGCGGCCTCTGTTTCGGAGCTGTACCATCGTGTCCTCGCAACGGCGAGTGGTGTCTGGTTGTAATAGGATTGGGCAATCGTAATGGTTTGCCTCTGGGTGCCGAGTCTGGCAGTGGAGCGGAGAGCTCTGGAGGTGGCCGAGAAGGTTTGTCGGAACATGGTTGTGAATGTGGTGGAAATCTGCTGCTCCTGAAAATCAAAGCACTGTCACTCAATGTTCAAACTTAAAGTCGCGTGTTGCTCAAGAAATTTTATGGGGGCGATGTTGCTGGCTTGGCTCCCATGCCCTTTGGCCGAGCTCCCGGTCCCGGTCTCAGTTGCAGGCGGATCATTGACGGGCCGCCACAATTACAATGGATCCATATGTTGAGGCAGAGGCTGAAGCTCCTGTGGCGCTAACTGACTCGTTTGCGGGTGTTCTCGCTACATTCACCCCACCAAAATCGAGCCGTGCTCGTTGCACACCATGTGATAAGATTCGTCGCGCTTTGTTCCCAGGCTGGACATTGGCATTTCTGCCACCGCCCGCCCTGAGCTTCACGAGTCCGCGTTCGCAAATACCGAAACTTGCAACACCCTTCTCACCAGTTCGCTCCTCGCATTCTTGTATCTTGCACCCCACATTCAAAAGCGCGACGTTTCAGACATCTACAATTGCCAACATGGATTACGACCCAATGGTGATGGACGACGCCGAGGCGCTGGGCCCGGTAGTCAAGATTTCCCAAGTATGTCTTTGTTGTCGCAACAGTGACTACGTCCCCGTTTCTGTTCTCGGGGGGGACGATATGATCTAAACGAGTCGCGAAACCCAGGCAGACTCGGTTCGTGTCAAGTTTGAGCTCTCGAATGCGGATATCGCCTTCGCAAACTCCCTCCGTCGCGTTATGCTCGGCGAGATCCCCACCATCGCGATCGACCTCGTGGAAATCGAAGACAATAGTTCCGTGCTAGCCGACGAGTTTATCGCCCACCGCCTCGGCCTGATCCCGCTAAATGCTGACGGCGTTGAGGCATTGCTATACGCGAGGGATTGCGACTGCGACGGTTGCTGCGAGCACTGCAGCGTCAGGCTCACCCTTCACGCCAAATGCACTGGGGACGAAAACATGCATGTATTCGCTCGAGACTTGGTACCCACGGGCGACCGAGTCAATCAAGTTCTCGGCACGCCTGTCGTCTCAGATTCCGAGGGACTCGGCCCCCTCATCCTAAAGCTTCGGCCGGGTCAGGAAGTTAAGCTCCAGTGCATCGCAAAGAAGGGCATCGCGAAGGAGCACGCGAAGTGGGCGCCGTCGGCGGCTATCGGATTCGAGTACGACCCTCACAACAAGCTTCGCCACACCGATTTCTGGTACGAGACGGACGCTAAGACGGAATGGTGAGCTTCATCCTCCTCCCCATAAATGATATATCACACATGCTGACTTGCACAATATAGGCCCCCAAGCGAGTACGCCTCGTGGGAGGAACCCCCACAGGAGGGTGAGCCGTTCGACTACGATGCCGTTCCGAACCGATTTTACTACAACGTCGAGAGCGCCGGCAATCTCCCGCCCGACACGATCGTCAGCGAGGGCATCAAGGTCATTCAGCAGAAGCTTGCCGGGCTCATTCACGAGCTTGCCGATGAGGGCGGAGACGGGATGAACGGCGACTACAACGGCCCCCGCAGTCCAGAGTACGGGACTGGCGCCGACGGGTTTGGCGGTGGGTACACGACGCCGTTTGGGAACGGCGGCAACCAGAGCTCTTGGGGCGGGGCTGGCGGGGCCGGCGGGACGACGCCGTATGGGGCGACACCTTATGGTGCTGGTCAGAGCAGCTGGTCGTGAGCGGCTCAGGGCTCTGCGGCCGGCGCACTACTGCCTTGAGCCGCCAGCCGTTTATCCGCGGCATCTTCGGCTGCCCTTGGCCACTGCAGATTGCAACAGCCCAGCTCGAGCTCGTGTACGCGACGGGCTTTTATTTGTTGCGATGCCAACCCAGTCCCAGGCCACCCGTCTGCCGCCTACTGGCAACATAAGACGTACAGAAACTGGACTTGGATGTGCGGTCGTTGCGGCCAGCGGGGAAGCTTGTTTTGGCCTCGAACTTCTTTCGCTTATAGAACGTTCGAGGCCAGTTACGAAACCGCCGTTATGACCAAGGGACAACTTAGGACTTGGGCGAGAGGGGAGGGACCATTGGTTTAAAAAAGCTTGCTGCGTTACCTTCGATATTCTTGATGGGCTGTCACAAGGCCCCTATATAGCGGAGACAGCCAGTAACGTATTGACTTATAGGCGAAGCAGGGGGGAGTTAAAGAAAACAAGAAGAGTATGGAGGTTAGAGAATGTGGGTGTAGTTGATAATCGGGAATGGGGGCGCGAACGGGTTGCCTGGCGTAGAAGACTACTTAATACCAATTTAAAATCGATTTCGCCCGCTTCTCAAAGCTTCTCACCAGAGCTACCCTAGTTAAATGTGTGTGTAAGCGGCTCTATGGGCTGCTGGGCGAGTCCAACCCATGTTCTTGCTCGAAAACCCCACGGCACCCGTATACCCTCCTAAGCCTTCTTCGGCCGTCCCCTACCCTTAGGCGCAGCCTTCCCCTTCGCCTTCGACGGCTTACTGCCACCACCATCCTCCTCGTCATCATCACCCGCAGCCTTGGCCGTCTTCTTGGTAGCCTTCTTCCCGCCCTTGGCCTTGGGCTGCTTGATGTACTTGTCCTTCTTGAGGTCGAGCTCCTCCTCGTCATCGACATCAGCGGGCTCGGCCACATCGTTCTCATCCTCTTCCTCGAGAGCCTCCTCCAAGTCGGGCATATCCTTGTCCGCCTTCTTCGCGGCCACGGCCACGTCCATGTTGCTGGCCTTCATGAACGGCACAGGATGCGACGCCGCGTTGTACCTGACGGCAAGGTTAGTCATGTTACAGCGGTCAGAAGCAGGTATATGAGGGACTTACAGCCTGGTGAAGGTCGACTTGGTCTGCGTATCAAGCTTGATCAAGTCCTCCGACTGGTACCCCACACCGAGTTCCTTGATACTATCAAAGTCCTCCCTGGTGAGGTAGTAGCTGTCCATCAGATCGATGACGTCCGCAACGGCCTCCTTGCCCTCAACCTCCAGCCGCTTGACCAGCTGGTGCCAGAGCACAGGCAGATACTGTTGGCGAATCTCGTTATGATCGCCCGACGTCTTGAGCCGCATGTGGGACTGGATTTCGCGAACGAAGCGACCGAGCTTTCCGGTCTTGCTGTTGTTGCCGAGCCATGATGTAAAGGCGGTCTGCCCAGTGAACATGCCGGCAATGAAGCTCGATGGCCTGACAGTGCTGAAGACTGCGTGTGTGGGCATCAGACTCCAGTGTTGCTGCGGACCGTGGATCATGCGGTCGACAAGATCTCCGTCACTGATGCTTTCAGCTGCCTGGTCAACAAGCTCGAGGTACTTGAGATTTTGCATCCTGGCATTGTAGTTTTTCCCTGTTAGTGCCGCCGGTTTCGACCGTAGGTAGTTTTCTTGAATCATCAAGAAGCTGAACTCGTGGTCGTGGAAGTAGAGCTCAATCTTGTCGTTCAACGTCGCCTTGCTTGCCTGGCCAAAAAGACCCCCTCCAATCATCTTCTGGCAGATGTCCCAAGGTTTTAGGACGACGTGCTTCTCCCAAGCCTTGGTCATCGCCTTGCTTTGGTCAAAGTCCATCGTTGTCTGGTCTAGCTTGGCCGTGGATAACATGTTGATGATTTGGCGAATGTCCTTGCCACTACCCTCGATGAGCGCGTTGACAACCTGGGGCGGCATCTTGAGGCCTTCTCTATGACAAATGGTCATGATCCGGGACCGGATCTGGTCGACGGTTGGGCGTTGGAATTTGATATCAAAGGCGACGTGGTCGAAGGGTTTCATCTTGGGCAACCTGCGCTCGTTGCAGATCAGGATAAGAGGCACCTCGGTCTTCTTGCAAAATTTGGCAAGGGCACCGACGCCGCCGCGATCACCGGCGGACATACCATCAACCTCGTCCATGACGACGACAATCTTCTTCTTGCCAGCATCGACTTTCTTGCCGTCGCCTGCGAAGTAGCCCATCAGTGACGTGTTGTTGAGCACATCGCTAACGCCATTCTCGACAAGTTTCTTGCTGCGTGTGTCGCTAGCGTTGCTCTCGAGGACGTCGTATCCTGCGAGCTTGGCCGCGAGGTGAGCGGCGGTCGTCTTGCCAATTCCTGGTGGCCCAGAGATAATGATGGCCCGGTACCCGCCCATGCCATCTGCACCCCTCTTCTGAAAGTCGTACTTGCGGTGGACCGGCCATTTGTCAAGCCAGCCCTGAATGCGCTCGACGTTCGCTTTGTTGCCGCAGATTTGGCTGAGTTGTGTGGGGGCATACTTGGTTGTCCACAACTGGGACAAGACCTGAGTCGGCGCAGGAGCAGGGGCTCCGCGCGCCACAGCGGCTTTCTTCGCAGCCTTGTCAGCTTCGGCCTTGCGGGCTTGTTCTTCCTTCTCCATCCGGACTGCTTCGTCTCGAATCTTTTTCTCTTCTGCTTCCTGCTTTTGCTTGGCCTTCTCGGCGCCCTTGCCACCACCGCCGTGAGCAGGCATCGTCTTGATGAGGTAGAATAGGCCTTCCTCATCAATCGTTTTGATCCCGTGTTCCTTGATTTTTCGGAGCTTGCTGGGGCCGGCATCATCGCCCAGGACAACGAAATCCGTCTTGCTGCTCGGCGCGCCTGTGACCTTGCCACCATACCGCTTGACGAGCGCTTGTCCCTCTTCGCGGCTGATGGTTTTGAGTAGGCCGGTGAAGACAAAACTTTTACCCATCAGACAGTCGTCTTCGCCATCAGGGATATCGACAGCGCCGGCCATTGGTGGCGCACCGGCATTTCCACCCCCTGCATTCGCCTTCCGCCAATCGAACTTCGCGTTCGGGTCGGGTGCCGGAGCGTCAGGTGCTTGAACTGTGGGAACATTGTCGAGAATGTCCTTAATGTCGTCAGCCTCGGGCTCGGGCTCTTTTTTAGCCCTTGGAGCGCGGGGTTTGGCCGGGGCAGCCTTCTTCGCAGGCTTGATATCCTCCTCGTCCTCCTCGCTATCCGAAGTTGGGGTTTTGCGTTTCCTGACCGGCCCCTTCTTGGCGACAGCTTTCGGGGTCGGTGCAACTTCGTCGTCGGATTCGGCCTTGACAGGCTTACCAGCACGAGAAGCTACTCGTTTGGGCTTGGGGAGAAACTCTTCCTCGCTGTCTTCTTCGACATACTCGTCGTTTTTCCGTTTGTTGCCGCCCTTCACACCCGCCGCGAAGATGTCATCCCCGGCATCCTCATCATCGTCCAAAAACGCATCGTCATCGTCCCGGTCGTGCTTCTTGTAAGCGGTAATGGACTTCTTCTTGGTGTTGTTCTGCGCTGGTTTGGCTGGTTCGGGTGCCGGCTTCGGTGGTGCTGGTTTGGTTCGGGGGCTCACGCGGACTTCGGCGCCAGGGGCCAGACGGGTCTTGGATAGAGGCTTTGGGGTAGTTGTCGTCGTATCTGGTTTCGGTTTGGACGACGCAAAGTATTTGGCGGCAGTAGTTTCCTCGCCCTCCACCTCGGTGCGGGCTCTGGTTATGGGTCAGCAACGAAACATGTGCCGCAACCCGGTCAACTCAACTCACGTTGCCTTCTTACGAGGAGTGGTCCTGGTTGGCTTCTTGGTCCTGCAGTGTCTGTTAGACATTGGCAACCCTGCGTAGCACTACTGTATGCACCTACTCGACAACTTCTTCCTCGTCGCTATCCTCAATGACCTTGCGCCCTTCTAAAACCAATTAGAAGACTGAATCATGTAGAAAGGCATAGTTGAGCACACGTACTACCTCGAGACTTTTTTGTCTCTTCCTCCTTCTTGGCTGCAGGCTTCGGTGGGGGAGGACCGTTTTTGGAACTGAAGAAGTTGCGAATGTCCGGCATGGCGGCGATGTGGGAGACAGTCGTCCTTGTTACTTTGTATAATTTGAAGTTGAAAAATCACTGAAGGGGTTGAGTGCAAAAGCACATTTATGCACCCTTCCTGGCTTTGATTCGTGTTGTCGTTGGAGTCTAGGCAGGTGACGGAAGCCTGGATGATGGAGCCTTAACAAAACGTGAGACTTGGGGTCGCAAACGCGCTGTAATTAAAAGGGCGACGCGGTTGAGCTTAACTCTTGGCGGAGGTCGCGCTCGGGCGTGACATGCTTGAGTTACTCTTTAGGTGGATATCGCTGTATCCGTGTTTAACCTTGAACAGCTGTCCCGCAGTTTCTCCGGTGCGCTTCTTGGGGTCTTTTTTCGGCGCTGGAATCACGCCCAGCCAAAACCATCAAGGCCGATTAGCCCAGCCAATTCGACCGCTATGAGGCCAAACGCTTCATCGGGGCTCCTAGGTGCCTTTCAGGCACTGAGGATATCGCCCGCAACGCCGCTCCGAGCTTCCCTCCCCTCGGCGACCATTCTTCGACCCTCGGTGCCCGTTGCATCCGCCCTTACTTCTCAGCATGGCAGGCTATTTTCCGCGACGGCGATCCAGGCAGGATCATGGCTGGAACCAAACCTGCTGAGAAAGAATAAGATGATGAAGGGCCGACCCAGAGTGCCGACGGGCGGGTCAACAAAGGGTACCACAGTGGTCTGGGGCGATTACGGCTTGCGCATGTGCGACCACCACCGCAGAATTAGTGCCAAACATCTCAAGATGGCCGAGGACACCATCAAGCAGCGGTTGCGTGGGCAGAAATATCGGCTGTACAAGAGGGTTGCTTGCAACGTTGGTGTGTTTGTCAGCGGAAACGAGGTATGTCTATGGAGTGCGCTGCGGAGCCCGGCAATTCGCTAACTAGCTGGTGTAAAGATGAGAATGGGTAAAGGAAAGGGTTCTTTCGACCACTGGGCCGCGAGAATTGCCATCAACCAAGTCCTTTTCGAGATCAGGGGAATTCTGCACGAGCAGGTTATCCGGGATGCCTTCCGGCTTGCGGGGAACAAGCTACCAGGTACTAAATTACCCGACGGGCAATTCGTTTGCAGCTTCTAACCGTTATCCAGGGCAATACGAGTTCGTTAAGAAGGGAGATCCGGCTGTCGTTGGAATTACGAAGCTGGATGGTGTCACTCTGGACGAATTGAGACAGCCATGGAAGAAGCTCCCGGCAGAGGTGGCTACGCCCCCACCGTCGACGCCGGAGACTTCTCCCTCAACACCCCCTCCTTCATAACCAGCGGGCCGTGCCTTTTTTCGTTGTATAATATGTAGACTAACACAACTGTCCATGTATCGTAGAGTTCATGAGTTCCAGTCGGTGACCAGAGCTAGAGCTCTATTCTTTTTTCCCTCGGTTGCGTGTGTTAGGACATGCCTAACAATGTGCGGTTTATCTTATTAATGAGGGGACTTGGCTTTGGCCGAGGTGACGAGGTTTCCGTCACATTTTAGCGAGATGTGCTGCTTGTTACTCCTTCTATGAACCTCGGGAAATACCCGCTCACCATGTACATTTTTCAATGTATCAGTTTTACATTTGAAGAAGGCATCCTGTTGTTCGATCTGTTAGTGTGGTCCAGTTGCTGGATGGAAGTTCACCCCAGCCTGAGTTGGCCCGTGCACCCCTGCGCCCGCTTAATTGATTTTTGGCGACTCCTGCACGGCGCGTCTCCCAGACGCGTCTTCCTTAAGCCCGCTCTCACCTGCTGAACCAATCCAACAATCTTCTGACAACAACGACTACACAATGGCGCTCATTGTTGACAAGCACCGGCCCAGATCCCTGGATGCGCTCACATACCATGAGGAGCTCTCCGAACGATTGCGCTCTCTAGTACGACCAATCCATCCACCTGCAAAAACTCGCTGCTAACCATTTTGTAGGCGCAAAGCGGCGACTTCCCCCACCTTCTCGTGTACGGCCCATCCGGTGCAGGCAAGAAGACAAGAATTGTCGCAACATTAAAAGAGCTATTCGGACCTGGTGTTGAAAAGATCAAGATCGATGCGCGTGTCTTCCAGACGAGCAGCAACCGCAAACTCGAGTTCAACATTGTCGCCTCGATCTACCACCTCGAAATCACACCCTCCGATGTTGGCAGCTACGACCGAGTTGTCGTTCAGGACTTGCTCAAGGAGGTTGCGCAGACACAGCAGGTCGACCAGTCAGCGAGGCAGAAGTTCAAGGTGGTGGTGATCAACGAGGCCGACCACCTTAGCAGAGATGCTCAGGCGGCGCTGCGTCGGACAATGGAGAAGTACTCGCCCAACTTACGGCTCATCCTCCTCGCCAATTCTACCGCGAACATCATCGCGCCTATTCGGTCACGTACCCTGCTTGTTCGGGTCGCGGCCCCGACACAGGATGAGATCAGTGATGTGCTGGCTGTGTCAGCAAAGAAGGAAGGGTGGCCGGTGGTGAAGGGTCTACATCAAAGAATTGCCAACGAGAGCGGGCGGAACCTGCGCAAGGCGCTCCTCATGTTTGAGGCGGTACACGCCCAGAAGTAAGTCACAGTTGATGTTCTGGCAATGGTAAAACACGGGTATACTAACCCCCTTGTGCGTGCTGCAGCGAGAAAGTTACAGACACCACACCAATACCGCCCCCAGATTGGGAAGCGCTCATCGGCCAAATCGCCAAGGAGATCATGGAGGAGCACACACCAGCCCGGATCCTTCAGGTCCGGTCCAAGCTTTACGATCTGTTGACACACTGTATCCCCGCGACTACGATCCTAAGGACGCTCACCTTCAAGCTGATTCCGCTTATTGACGATGCTCTCAAAGCGGATGTCATCAAATGGGCGGCCTTCTTTGAGCACAGGATCCGAACGGGCACAAAGGTGATTTTCCATCTCGAGGCGTTTGTGGCCAAGTTCATGAGGATATTTGAAATGTATTTGATGAGCATGGATATGTGAGGGGGGCCAGACGACGAGAACAGGGTTGGGCGTTATGGGTGGGTGCTAGGAGTTGAGTAGAACGGCATGTTTACGATACATCCCAATTGCTACCGACAGCCATGACTTTTGTGACTGCCTCAGCCTTGGGGGATGCCGAACCTCAGCTCAGCCAGAGATATGCCTCCTACCACACACACGGGACATACCACCCACCTTGAAATATACCCTAACCCTGGACCGAGCCAGAGCCACCTGGCGATTCCCGTGCTTTTGATTCGCCAACGGCTCTCTGTGGGTCGTTTCTTACAGCTGCATCAAACTGCCGTGCCGTTGGAAGGCGCGACCGTGTCCCCAACAAGCAAGGCCAGCTATTGTTGGAAACTTGACTCGGAAGCTTCGAATTCCATGACCGACCAACGACGAATCCCGCCCGACCCAACAATCGCAACCGCCGAATAAAGCTCCAAGCTGGCTACCTAATAGCCAATCCGACAGCTGCTCTGCTGCGGCAGCTCGACACTGCGATCCCGAAGCTATCGAGTACACTTTGCGCCTGGGGGCGAACCGCGACAGATAGCGCTTCAAGATGGTGCTCAACCTCTTCCGCATCGCCGGTACGGATACCGCAAGAGGATGATAAGGAGAGGGAATAGAGGGCTGACGTGTGGTTTTAATAGGGGATTTCTCCCATCTGGCGTCAATCTTTATCCTGCTGCACAAGATCATCCAGCTCAAGGTGCGCATTGCCGTTGTCGCCTTGCGACCCTCCAAGGGATGCTAACACCCAGTCGCGCAGAGCTGCTCCGGCATCTCGTTCAAGTCGCAAGTCCTGTACCTCATCGTCTACATCACAAGATACCTTGGTATGCCCCTCCCCCTCCCGGAATTCAATCGCAAATCGCAACGGAGCCAAGCAACTAACCACAATGACCCCTCCCCCGCAGACCTCCCATGGACACACTCACCCTACAACTTCATCTTCAAAGTCCTCTTCATCTCCTCCCAGCTCTACACCATCTACCTGATGGCGCGGGAGTACAAGCCGACCAACGACGCCAACCTGGACACCTTCCGAGTCGAATACCTTCTCGGCTTCGCAACGGCGCTTGCACTACTCTTCCCCGTGCGGTACACGGTGCTCGAGGTGTTCTGGGCCTTCTCGATCTGGCTGGAGAGCGTGGCGATCCTGCCGCAGCTGTTCATGCTGCAGCGCACCGGCGAGGCCGAGGCCATCACCGCCCACTACCTGTTCGCCCTCGGCGCCTACCGCGCCCTCTACATCCCCAACTGGATCTACCGCTACATGACCGAGACCACCCACAAGATCGATACCGTCGCCGTCGTGGCCGGTGTCCTGCAGACGCTGCTGTACAGCGATTTCTTTTGGATCTACTACACCAAGGTCATGAAGGGCGAGAAGTTTAAGCTGCCTGTGTAAGGCGGTGGCCGTGGGATTGGAGGATAAGGGAAGGGGGGCTAGGGTCTTTTGAGAATCAAAACGCTAAGTGCAAGCCCCCAAGCCCTCACCTGGTCTCCGTTGTGTCTGGTGGTGTGGTATGGGTGGGGGTGACATGCGATGAATGACACGGATGGATGGGCGGGACAAGGTTATAATTACGACAAGCTGGGTTGGCGGCGAATTGGGCCAGCCCGTCCGGTCCGGGCGGACGGTTTTCCGATGTTGGGGGGATGGAAAAGACGGACATGCATGTCTGGCGTTCGGAGATGTTGGCTGGTTATTATCCCGTCGCACTTGGAGGCGGCGGCTATGGGCTCGGATATTGTGTTTGATCCGTCTTTGGTGTACATAGAGAACAGTGCTTGTAAAAATTGGGAGTGCGCCTGTTATTTCAGGGGCTGGTGCCCTTCGGAATTGGAGTGAGTTGGGTATTCCGTCCTCACTGTCCAGCGACGGTTTCAACTCGACGGCTGGGCAAGCCAAGAAAGGGGTCGTCCATTCGACCCATACTACAATTCCCTCGGCGGGAGAAATAGCTGCCGATTAGTATGTATCTGGCGCCATCGCCCCCAAGTCGCCGCCAACACTGGTAACGAGCATCCATCTGAGACGCATCGACCAGAAGCAGAACCCGGAAACCGTTTTTCTGGGTTTGTCGACGAAAAGCGGGAAAGACAGCACCCAGCATGAAGTCGCCCGTTTGAGGTCAAGCGAGCATAAGCACCCCCGCGCCCATCCGTCTCATGTACCCCGGTACTCCCTCGATTCGGCCGACCCCGGGCATCCGTGCGCTCCCGGCGCCGCCTGGCTCCGGCGCGATCTGCACCAGGCTCCGGGGTGTTGACAAGGCTTGGCTGTGAGGCTCTCAACGGTTATTGCTTTTCTCGTGGTGTTTTATCTGCTCGACGCCTGGCGGGATGCCGGGCCGGGGTCTTCTTGATGGCTGCTCCTGTGGACAGCGCTGGCAGGGACATACTGTCGTGATGGTCAGCCAGTATCAAGGCATGATATGATGGCGTGGGGGGGAGTACCGTCTCTCGTTCACGCTGGTTTCCCCCCCCTTCCCCCTCGATGATCTGCCACTGCTCGGTTGCGAGTTTGTTTCCATGTCTCTGGATCCTCGGATCCTGTGGATGACGAGTAGGGAGAAAGCCATGCAAACATTTCTCTCTTTTACCCTCCCGCTGCCCTCCTCTGTTTGTTTCTTTCCTCTCCCTCTCTCTCTTTTCTCCCGTTTTGGCTAATTCCCATTCCCTCCCTTCCCTCCCTTCCCACACACGTCAGTCCTTCTGGCTGAAAGGATGATCGCCAGGCCCGCCGTCGTTCGTGTTACTCTCCTTCGATTCTGCCGCCGGCGGTAATAGTCAGTTGTTTGGTTATTGGCTTCTTTTATGATCTCTCGCCCGCCATGGCCAGGAAGCCGTTATTATTCCCGCGTCTTTCGCTTCTCTTCTTAATATGCTCGAGCTGTGCTTGGGTTGGTAATGGGGCGGCATACGAGCCGGTTTTGGTGCCAGCACCACCATTTAATGGGAGGGGGGTTGTTGTTGGAGGGGCGGGAGGAGCCGAGCCGGTATGGAGGAGGGCAGCCGGCGAGGTGGATGTCCCACGTCCCCGGTCCCCGCCTGCAGAGCCGGCCCACGCCGTACGGGACGGGTGTCAGGCCATGATCACGCCGCCTCCATCACTATTAGCCCGGCAAGACCAAGGGCAAATTCAGGCGCTCAGCAACCAGCTGGAGCAGGTCAGCGGCCAGTTCCGATCGGTCAGCCAGGCGAGCCAACAAGTGAGCCAGTCCAGCCAGCAGCTCAGCCAGTCGCTACAGCAGGCCACCCAACGGCTCAGCCAGACGGAGCAGCAGCTGGCAAGCGCCCGCCTGCAGCAGGGTAACGCGGAATCCGCCTCGCGATCCATGTCGCAAGCCTCGGCGGAGGCGTCACGTCGGGGAGACGAGGCAAGAGCCAGCGCAGACCGCGCCATCTCGCAGGCGATCCGTTCGGCATCGCAGAGCGCCAACCGTGCCCTGTCCGAGAACATGGCGAGCGTGACTAGCTCGATGGGCGCCAGCTTCTCGAGTGCTCTCCGATTGGCTAGCCAGAGCGCAGCGGATGCGTCCAGGTCGGCGGCAAGCGTGGCACAGAAAGCAGAAGCCGATGCCACGGCTTTGCGGGTAGGTCTTCTACAACTGTACCTAAGATATGAATGACTGGGCATGAAGTGACTAACAAAACCCCAGGACCAAGCCAACACACAAATCCAACAAGCTCAGGGGGCCGCGCTTTCCGTGACGCAAACCGCCTTAGCAGTAGTAGGCGGCATCATCGGCTCATCGCTGCTCACGGGCGTTGTGTTCGTGCTCGTCCTCCGCCGGAAGCGAAACAAGCGCCGCCGACTCGGCGGCGGCGGCGGCGGCGGCGGCGAGGGCATCAGTGGACCCATCGGCTACCCCCAACTCACAGGCACCTCCAACAAAGCCTACTCAGTCTCCTCCGCCAAAAAGGGCTACGCCGCCAGCGACGTCGACAGCCGCAGCAGCACCTACAGCACCGACGACAACGGCTTCCACTTCCCCGCCGACATCAAGAAACCACCAACCGCAGCAACGACCATCCCAAGAAAAGGGGTAACCCCCAGCGGTGTCGGCTACGCAGTCAGCTACTACGGCCCGCGCAAATCCACCACCATCACATCCACCACCACCACCACCGGGGCCCAAAACCCGCCCCCCAAATTCCAGCTCGGCAATCCACCCCCACCAAGGGCAACAACCCAAACTGCAACACAACCCGCCGCAACAACAGCGTCGTCAGCAGGAGGCGGCAAATTCAGCCTCTTCCCCAGCCCCAAGCCCGCCAATCCCGTCTCGCCACCGGCAGCCGCGGCAGCGGGGGCGGCGGCAGGGAACAGGACTTCGAATGGGAGTGTGCCGCCGAGTCTGGACCGGTGGTTGAGGGACGGGACGGATGTGAGTCCGTTTGCGACGCTGAAGGGGTAGTATAGTGTAGTAGTGATAAGGGTTGGGAGGGGGGGGTGGGGTATACGGGGTGGGTGCAATGGTGGTGTTGGTGGGATGTTCGTTATGGGGATGGGCGGTTGAACGTTGATGGTTGTTGGGTAATTGGTCGGGGTGGGTGGTCTGGGCTTTGGGGGATGGCCTTGAGAGAAAGGGAAGTGGGAGGCTGTGTGTCGTGTTTTGTTATATACCCCTTTTCGTTTCACGTATCGGTCGTGATATTATTATAGATAGTAATGATATTTGGGTTAGTAGTGTCGATGAGACTTGCTTAAGATTTAAGTTTGACAAAGCAAAGTGCCTACGCACCCAGCCAGCCGCTCCCAGGCAGCACCCCCGGAGACCGGTCCGCCCCCATCGGCATTGCTGCCGTGATGAGAGGGGGCGGCCCATCGTTCTCGCCCTATGTTCAGTAGCAGCGATAGCAACACACCTCGTTTAAAGGTACCGTCTCCGTAGCACAGGTAACCGCCAACGCCACAGAACAAATACTTCTTCGAAGCCGGCGACAGCCTCAAACTGGCCCGTACGTGTTGGCAGAGCGCAACCCGCACGGACGGCCTGCCGCGTGGACCTGTAAGGACTTTCGGTGTCGATACCCGGTCGAGCCTCGGCTCTTGCGACGCTAATCGGTGACGCTCAGACATAACTAGCTTCGGTGAGCCTCAGATCACTGGACGTTGACAAACGTGCGAAGGCGTCGTGATGGGGCATGCCAACCAGCACCGCCGACCAACGCCTGCTCCCACCGCCACCACCCACCCCCCATCGCTGAACCCCAACCTCTCGGCGCAAGACCCGCCCTTCTCGCCCCTGTATATCCTTGGATCCCCTTCTGGTTGTAAACAGGAGTCCTTGTCATGGCTTGTGGACCAGCTACCACACAGCTGTAACTAATGAAATATCTCTAGGATAAGGGCCTTGGTATCCCCTTTGTTTTCGCTGTCTTGGTTAATAGACATGGAGTCTGTCGCCATTTTTACTACCTCTAGGTAGAATGTTATAATAATACCGCGTCTATAACCGGCTGTTAAGTCTGCGAAGTCCTTGGTAGTTAATATGTCCGCCTCGAACCGGCGTAGACTAGTTAGCTTTAGGTACCTACTCTCAATAGACAGTTGATTTCCGAAAACTTTGTCGGCACCTCCGAGCCACCAGACTAGACAACACACATCGATACACTCCATTCAAGCCCGGCATCTACTCTACCACCATCCACTACTCACACAGGCAACCCCTCATCCATCGCCTCGTCCCTCTCCAGCCTCTCCAACCCATTACACGCCGCGCCATACACCTTCAGCGGCACCGCCACCTCAAAGCTCTCACACATCAGATTCTCCACGCCCACCAGCACCAGCCCACCCCGATCATCCCTCGAGATCTCCTCCAGCAGCGGATGCGTCTGCTGCTGCTGCTGCGCCTTGGCCTCCCTCTCCCGCCGCCTCTCCCCCTCCAACATGCCCTCTCCCTCAGCAGCAGCACGGTCCCCCTCCCCATCCCCACCATCCTCACCACCTTCCCCACCTTCCTCATAAAGCACCTGCGACGACAGCGGCGACGGCGCCGGCGCCGCCGCCTGCACCGGCACGACAAACTCCAACCTAACCTTCCACTCCAGGCCAACACCACTCGTAACAAACTCCGGCGTAGCCGCGACGGGGATAGCAGCGGCAAACACCCAGCGGCGGGCGTAGAGCGCCGCCTCGCTCGCACTGCCCCAGACCTTGCGGGTGACGCGGTTGACGCTGGCCTCGGAGCGCAGGGCCAGGCTGGGGTCGACCTTCTCGGCGGTCTCGAGCGCGGCGTGGACGGCGTAGCACTGCACCTCGGCGCCCTGGAAGTCGACGACGCACGTGACCGTCTCGCCGAGCCGGTAGGCCGGCCGCGTGAGCATGACGACGCCCACGCGGCGGCCGTTGCGCGCGATCTCGAAGCGGTTCGGGGATTGGTTGTGGTTGGGCCCGCCGCCGCTGCCGCCGCCGGCGAAGTTGGAGCGGAGGATCGCGAGGTCGATTGCTTCTTTGGCGGTGGGTGGTGGGACGAAGGGGTGGTGGTCTGAGACTGACATGATCGAGGGCCGGCGGGAGGAGGTCGGGGAGTGGGGGGTTAGGGGGGCGCTCGGGCTTAGGAGACCGCTGGCTTGGTTGGGATTGTGTTGCGGGCGAGAGAGGAGGTCGTCTACGTAGGTGAGGAAAGAGGCCATTGTGGAGGCTGACGATGATGGTGTGGGTGTTGATTTGCCGTTTGTTTTTTGTTGTGTGGCGGTGACGGATTGGACACGGGCCTGGTCCCGCATGAGGATGTATGGAGACATTAGGTCGTGGCCCAGTATCTCGCCGTGGCTGTTGACGCTCCCTAGTACCCGGAAAGGGACGTCCACGGACTTGACCCGCTGCTCCTTGGAGCCGCCGGGCCGTTGGGTGCCTATGACAAGGCTGTATGATATCTTCATTGCCTTCCCGCGATGTGTCGGCGGTAGCCCCTTAGGCAGCTTGAAGGTGTACTCGTACGCCTTGCTCTCGCCAGGGGCTAGCTGTAGATCGACGAATAAGATGGACTGCGGCGTAGAGAGTAGGGGCACCGCTTTCGAGTTGGCAATCCCGCGCATTTCCTTGATGCTGCTAAGCTCACCACCGCCCAATAGCTCGCCAATGGAGCTCGTGATATTGCCCCATCCAAACCCGCGCAGCAACCCACTGTCGCGCTTTGGCGTCTCCAACCCCACGACACCGCCGCCCTGGCCACCAACGACGGCTTTCCGTTTCACCGCCTCGAACGGCCCGATATTAATCAGTGACCCGTCGAGGGTAAAAGATCCTTGGATCTGAGCATAGCCCATCATTAGCGTTTCGGGCAGTCTCGCCGCGCTCGCTGCTAGGCCCGAGGTTCTCCTGTTATGCGGCGGACGGACTTGCGACCGCGGGGGCGGCTGCGTTACATATTCCGAGGCCAATGTTTCGGATGAGTTGTTGCTGAGCGAGTAAAACTCGCCGCTACTCCTCGGCGTCCCGGCTATGCTCATCGTTGACAGCACCCTCGCCGTCGGCGCCACCCCTTGTTCGTTTATCGTCGGAACCAGCTCTCTCGTCCTTATGGGTAGCCCACTCGATGTCGGGCTCGTTGGGTCTTCGTCCGCAAGCCCCCCTACGGTCCCTGGCGTCGTTGGCGAGGGCGACATGGGGAACTTGAACTCGGTGAGTGGGTTTGGTGATACGGGCGATCGGCGGAGGAACTCGGGTCTCGGGGTATCGGGTGCTGTCGCGGTGCCCGGTCGGCGGCCATTAATGCTGCGTTCGGGCGGGTACGATGCGTGGAAAAGGGGCGAGGACTGGGAACTGGACACCTTCGGATGAGTAGCTAGAAAGACGAACGTCAGCATGCCTTCCATTCTCCCCCTTTATAACGCCCAAACCAAAACTCACCCGAACGCGGCCCATTCAAAAACCCACCACGGGGCAATATCTGCAAACTCGACGCCCTCGCATGCCCCCTCGACCGCGGCGGCTTAGGCGACGACGACGCACCAGTCTGCCCATCATCGACCGTGCTCAGCGAGCCAATCGAGACAATCGAAACCGATCTCTTGTGCCTATGCCCATGCCCACTCCCCCTCCCACCATCACCTACACCAGCACCATCCCCAACACTCCCACTCCCACCCCCATTCCTCTGCGCCCGCGAACCACCACCACCACCACCCCCAACCCCAACCCCAGCCCCAGCACCCGGCGCCGGCGACCACGTCACAGACCCTGCCCTCGCCCTCGACGCCGCCGACGGCACCGAAAGCGACAGACTGGAGCGATGGCCGCGCGCACTCGGCGGGGGCGGCGCCAAGCTGCTGCTGCTGCTGCTGCCGCCACCGCCCGAGGAGGAAGTGTGTTGTTTGGCGCGGGCGCCGGGGTGCAGGGGCGAGGGCTGGCGCGGGCCGCGGGAGGAATTGGGCGGGAAGTGGTGGGTGGCTGCGGCGGAGGAGGGTTTTAGGGTTGTTGTTGATGTTGAGGTTGTGGTGGTGGTAGTGGTGGTGGAGGTTGTTGGGGTGGGTAGGCGGGCGACATTCTTGAAGGTGATGGTGCACTTGAGCTCTTCGCCGGCGAAGACGACTTGCTCGTGCCAGTGGACGAAGACGCGGATGTTGCTCGTGTTGTGGTGACTGGCGGGGGTTGTGTGGGTATGGGTGGTGGTGGTGCTGTTGAAAGTATTGCTGGGGCCGTCGAGCGGCATGGTTGTGAAGTTGGGTGATTCCTCCGGTTTGGGGGCGGGTTTGAATGTCGGGGAGCGGAAACAGGGGATCGGGGTTTGGTGTTATAGTCCCTCAAGAAGGAAGGAATTGGTCGCCGGGTTCGTCAGGGCACTCGGTTTAGCATTGCTGATACGTAGCATCTCGCGGCGGAGCGATGCACGGTGTAAAAAGTGTCGAATCCGAGACGAAACGCGGTTCGTGTCCGCAGAGTCGTTGCTTTCTTTCACTGGCAGTTGAGGTTCGGCGGTCGTCAGCGCTGTGGGCCGCGATCGCCCAGATCCTGGCCGCCATGAGCTCACTGGACAGGGGGGCAACGTTAGTCAGGGGATCTTGGCACTCAACACCCTAACCCTGATTCCAGGTTCACCCCCTTTTTGTCTTGTATGCTTGTGCACATGTACCTGCTTGTATCAACTCAGGCTAACGATTGCCGCAAAGATGCCTGGCATTGCCGGCCCTATACTCTATCATCAGATACTACCTGTATCAGCGAGACGTCTAGATAGTCCTACCGTGATCTATCCCTTCCCCCCTCATCACTCTCTCCCCTTTCCCCCTCAATCACTCCCACCCTCCACCACCACCACCCCCTCCCCCTTCCTCCCCCTCAACACCCCACACGCCCCCTCGGCCGCCCTGGTCCTAGCCTCCTCCCGACTCGCCGCCCCCTCCGCCCTCCCCAAAACCACCCCACCCACGGCCACCTCACACCTAAACACCCTCTCCCCCTCAGCCACCCCCTCCCCGACCTGCGCCTCGACCACATACTCCACCTTATCACTCACCGCCAGCACACCCAACTCCTCCTTCGGATGCATCAGATGCACCCCATCACTCACAAGCCGACACATAAGCGGGAGGATACCCAGCCGATCAACAACCGCCTCGCAGGCGGCCAGGTCGCCCGAGTCGACCCACACGGCGCCGAGCAGGCTCTCGAAGACGTCCGAGTAGAACTTCTGCGCCTGCAGCCGGCAGAGCAGCGACCACGGGTAGCTGGCGCCGCGCCACAGCGCCTCGAGGATCTCGTCGCGCATGGCGGCGTGGTGGAGCGCGGTCGCGCGCTGGATGAGACCCATGTCCGGGGAGGCGTGGCGCAGGAAGGTCCAGAGGGGGAGGGTTGTTTTGGAGGGGGTTAGGTGCACGTCGGGTTTGTTGTTGTTGGTGGTGGTGGTGGTGTTGGTGGAGGTGGTGTTGGTGCCGCCGTCTTCGTCGTCGTTGTTGTTGTTGTTGTTGTTGTTGTTGTTGTCCGTTGTGACGGTGACCTCGACGCAGTCTTCGGTGATGGCCCACTCCATGACCAGGAAGCCGAGGATGTCGGCGTTGACGAGGGCCGAGCGGAGGAGGTGGAGGGCCGAGTTTTCGAGTGGCGCGGGGTGGGAAATGGCAAAGAGCTTGTTGACGACGACGTAGTCTAGGATAGCGTCGCCAAGGAACTCGAGGCGGTCGAGCGAGGCGCGGATGCCGGGCCCGTTGCAGGACGGATGTGTCATGGCTTCGACGAGGAGTGCCTTTTTGGTGAAGTTGTACCCGATCAGTGACTCTAGCTGACGCATGGTCCTAGGGAGAGATTCGCCGTCCGGTGCCTCGTTGTATAGAATTTCTCGGCCGTCCTCGATGCTGCTCCACTCAACCTCGGGGAGGAACAGGGACATGCAGGCGAGGGCGTTGGGGATGCCGCCGCTTACGAAGGAGGTGCCGATCAGAGCCTCGACCACATCGGCGATGATCTTAGTCGAGAGCCTCCTTGTTTCGGTTGCGGACGGCGGGTTCTCGAGAAGGTCCTCGACGTACGTCGGTCGCCATTTGTGAAGGCTGAAGGCTTTGTGGATAATGTACCGGTCCAGGCCAAAGTCGACGGCGGCACGGAACAGCCTCGAGTTTGACACAATCTTGTCTTTCAAGGGCGACAAACACCCCTCCGGAAATTTCAGGTCTGCCGGTATGTCAGCTCAGGGCGGGCGCGCAGACGAGGTCGGAACTTACACTTGGCTGAACAATTAATAGTTGTACAGAACTTGAGGATCGAATCTCCGAGGAACTCTATCCGCTCGTAGTCAGTCGGGCCTCTAGCCGCGCTGGCGGTGATCGCGGTGACAACAAGTGACAAGTCTGTGATGCCCGTTTGTTCTAAGCGGGACTCCAGAAGGTCCTTGGCCACAAGATGAGTCTCGAGCGCATGAGTGATGGCGGGGACCATCATGCCAATATGAGCATAGATCGCCGGCACACTATCAACTCGGACTTGATCCGCAGGCAGAACCCTCGGGTAGGGCTTGCTACTTGGGTTCGGTGCTGCGTTCTGATGCAGCGGCCGGAAGGCGCCCGATTTCTTGGGCCATCCTTTAACGGCCACGTATGCGCTATCTTCGGGGGCGTCTTCAAAACCCCGGTAAGGCTTCCCTATTAGCTCCGCCGCAGGTTTGGTGGGAATCCAGCCCAAGTAGAAGTAAGGGTGGTTCTGATTGGTAAGATCCCGGACCAGATAAGTAGAGGACTTCTTGCTCATCAGTTCGGCGCTCATCACCTCGGAGGCCATATCCTCAAGGCGTACGTTGCGGTCCAGGCAAGTAAACCGAACAGGAAGCCGTTTCTCCGCAACCTGCCATCTGTGCCCGAAGGCCATGGAAAACAAGGTAGACGTGTGATCGGCCTGGCTCTCGACTGTCACGCTTGACATGGGCGTATCGGAGTCCATCCTGATGAGCCACGATGATGTATGACTCCAGTATAAATTGAATGGCTCCATGGTAGGGATCGTCACGGGGAGTGCTAGCTCAAGCTCGGCACGAGCTGACTCGTCGTGCCTCGAGACCGTCACCCTCCTTCGAGAAACTGGTACACCGTCTTGCCACGCTTGGGCCACTAGCGGCCAAGGGTTGAACTGCTCCCTGACCGTGGCTAGGCCAGCGCGCTGCTCAACATCCTTTAACAAGTCGGTCTCTCTGATGGGCAGCAGGTTGCGGTTTACCAGCCCAACCTCGTACAGCTTGGCGTATGCCTGGAATGCGGCATCTTTGCAAGCATTCGCCTCCGAGGTCCAGGCTTGGAGACTCTCGAAGCATCGCAGTTCGGGAGCAAGTGAGACTGGTAGATGGACAGTGGCCTTCCGCAGGCCAGGCTGGTGGGCATCAATCGGGTTCCCCACTATGTCGTGGACGACGTAAAATGGACTCCAGTCGACAAACTTGCGCGTCGAGAGGGTGGCGCAGAAGTGTTCGAGGTGTGACTTGGCATCGAGAATGGTGATCTGAGCGCCCGTCTCCTGGGATCTCAGGACGGGGTAATCCAAGTCTTCAATGTTTTCGATTTCCTCGAGCCGCTTGTTCTCGCGCATGTCGTCTTCATACTTGCGTTTCATCTCCTTCTCCAGGTCTTGCCATCCCTGTGACGAGCCGTCTGATTCATCCTCGACGAGGAGATACAGCTGAGACTCAGACATTCGTGCTCGACCCCGGCGCTGGATGAAGGATTTGAGGTTGTCCGGTTTGTCAAAACAGATGACGAGGTTGCACGCTGGCACGTCAATTCCCTCTTCGAGCACGCTTGTTGCCACCAGGAGGTTCGTCGTCCCTCTCCGAAACGCCAGAAGCGAGAGCAAGTATTCCTTTTGGCTCAAGTCCAAGAAGTCCTGTCTTCTCCCGGGTACTCTCGAGGTGCCTACCATGGAGCCCACTCGGTAGCGGTGCGAGGTTTTGGGGTGGACGGTGAGGATGTGTGACAAGACGGCGACAGTCGCCCTCTCCTTGACAAAAACGATCCCAAACGGCTTTCCTTGATGGGACCCGAGAGCGTCGAGCAAAGCTTGCACCTTGGGCGAGAGAGCTGTCGGGATCTCAGCGGGCGGCTGAGCGTCCACCTTTAGGAACGCTTCGACAAGATATTTCCGTTCTTGTTCTGCAAGATTGTCGTTGGAATGGCTGGGGGTTGCTGGGTCTTTGGTAAAGGCAGAAATGACCCTATGGATATAGTAATCCGCAGCCCAGGGGCCACATGACTTGCAGATATCCAAGGCTCCTCTACAGAAGGACTCCATCTGCGATCTGCAGTATGTCTGCTTGGTTAAGAGAACCTTCTTGAGCCTTGCCCGACTCCGTGGTGTATTGTCGGTCAACAAATGCCGGACGTATGGATCCTGTCGCATGTCGAGCTCTAGGTAGGCGCTTTTCAGTCTCGCCATGGTCGGGGTGGGCGCAGCGTCGGCCTCGGAGTCGAGCATGGCTCCGTACGCAGTGGCCTTCATCTCGGGACGATTGACTTGGGCCATGAGCTCGTCTCGGTGTTTGCTCGGCGTCTTACAGACGGCATCCAAGGTCTGCTCAAGGACTTCCAGGTCGCCTAGGTTAGATCTCATGAGAGGACTCGCTGTGAGGCCCAGGATGTGGGGAACAGCGAGCCCTTTCGCCTTGCTGGGGACATAGTGCTCCTTCATGAGCCTTGCGATCGGATTCCTTCCCTTGGAGTTGTGGGCTAATAGCGTCAGACATGGCAATAGTCGGCTAGAGTAGGAATTGCCCACCTTCGTCTATTACAACAAGCCCAAGAGAAGAAAGTGGGATGAGAGCGTGGGCTACAGCGTCGAACAAAATCTGATAGGTTGAGACGACGATGCGGGTGTTGAGGAGGACGGCATCCCAGACGCCAGGCATAGTCGACCACGCATCCACGCTGTCGGACCCAAGGATCAGTTTGGACTGGACTCCTGGAATTTGAGCTCGAATTGCCTCGAATTGCTGTTCGGCCAGGGATACTGTTGGGGCCAAGAACCAAGCAATCTGGATAGGTAGGTGGGTAGTTGTTAACTCAGATTCGGCGGCATTCATAATAAGTGAGCTTGGACTGACCTTGTCGCTCTGTTCCATCTCTATTTTAATTCGAAGGATGGCACTTGCCTGCCTATCAGTACGATTCTATTAGGTAGTGCTTGCTACCACTTACACCTGGGTCTTTCCACTTCCAGTGTCCATCTTGAAGAGATATGTTAGCGAAATGGCCGAGTCTCTGTTTCCGAGGGGCAAAGCATACCGCGACAATGATGTTCTGCTTCAGGCTCTCCTCGAGCATCTCGAGTTGATAGGCCCTCGCAGTCATGGTCACTACCACTGGGGGTTCGTCGTCTGGGGTGGTGCTGCGAGGGCTATCTCTGGGTTCCGAGCGGACATCGTCCGAGACGTTGCTGCCGTCAGACGACAGGACGGTGTCCGATTCATTAATAGGCTTATGGAAGGGCTCATCGTCCGGCTCCGAGGAGCTCGAGCTGCCGTGGTCGGAGGCCATGGTCGTCATCCGGCCAAGAATGCCTTAGGTGCTACCCGGGTATCTTCAAGGCCACGAGGCAGTTGCGCGGCTAGATTCTGTATAGGTTAGCTGGGAGGAGTCAAGGCTGACCATAGGTACCTACCTGGGTAGGTAAGGTAGGTAGTTCTTGGCTGACTATGACGCGGCAGATACTCCCGACTCTGGTGATGACCGGGGTTCACTTAGCGGGGGTGTCTCCCGCTCGGAGTACTTACACAACAAGTACCACAAAATGAGCGGTCAAACCGGTCAAACAATGCAAAAGTAGGTACATACACCGGCCCAAGACATTTCAGCCTACTTTTTTTTGGTTGATTTTTCACAAACGTTGCTCTTTTCCTCACCAAGTAGAGGACGCAGTGGTGCTGGTGGCCTGATTTTAAGTTGGGTCGAGATGATGCTTGTAATGTGAGGCCCACCATTGCTTGGGACTACCTGGAGGAATGTCTCGAAGCTACCTCCGTACCACGAAACCGGATGAGATGAATTTTTTTTTTAGAGCCTTGCCCAAACTCTTCGTCTCAACTCAGATGTTTGTCAACTGTACATACCTAGTTAGACCCGCTGTGGTGAAAATTTGCGAGCTGTGTGTAACCGCGAGTAACGCATCTCGAGGAGTTGGTCTGCCTCGATTCTGCCCAAAAGGGTAATCACCACGGCTCCCGGGGCAGCGCCGCCGACTTTCGGCTGAGATTGCGGGCTTCGGCGTGGTATCAAACGGCAGTTGAATGCATCTTCCCGGGTTCTGGTGCGGCATTCCGTCGAATGCGGGGCCATTTTAGGTTGGACTCGTGGGACTCGTCATCTTCTCCTCGTTGTCCCCAGCTGCACCTGCCTTTTCAGGCGCTTCTACCACGGACCAGATCGTTCTTGAATCTTTTCGACCTTGACACTTTGCCCACTTGGGCAAAGACCCCAACAACTATGGTGTTGTACGCAACCGGGTTTAATGCCTGGAACCAATTGCAATTCGAAACTCCTGGTGTCGACGAGCCCGATGACATCTCGTCCTTCACTTGCGTGTTGCAAGGGGACGATGATGACTGCATTCGCCCTTTTTTCTCATACACTCGAGGTGAGTGAGTCATAACTGCATGTATGATGGGGAATTGGAGACAACCATCACCAAGTCAGCGGCGGCTGATCGTGACCTATGGGATGGGCATCTAGTAAATCTCAAAAATGGTGCATATCGAGTAGCTGGCATGGTACCAAAAAGCCACGAGAGATTACGCACAGCTGATGACTCCGAACGGATCTACACAAATTTCGTCGAAGCATCCAACGGTGTCGTAGTAGGTAACGTAGCGACCATTTACCCATCAACGACCAGGGTCCAGTATCACTTACACCAAGCAACCTTGATCGCCACCAGCCCATGACGGCAAGGACACCTTCAACCAATACCCCTCCATCAACGCCCTGCTCTCCAACAACGACCAACCTCACCGCTTTTCCGACTTCCCCAACATAACCCAGCTGGTTGCCTACGAAGCCGGCTTCGCGGCCCTCTCATCAACGGGCAACGTCTGGACATGGGGTGACGAGCGGTACACGGCCTGCCTGGGCAGAGAGCCAACCGCTTCCAGGTATGGACATGGACATCCATACTCACGTCACACTCAACCCACCTACCCCCCCAGCACCCCACAGACACTAATATCACCACGCGGGCACCAGCCCCGCAGAAAGGCCCGGCCTCGTCAGCGACCTGGACGACCTGCCCACCGGGCCCATCACCAAGATCGCGGCAGGCGGTTACGTTCTGGCCGCACTGACGGCGGGGAACGACCTCTACTGCTGGGGCCACGCGGGGCGTTCCACCATGCTGGACGATCTCTCAGACGACCCGAATCCCGTGGTGATCGACGACAAGGACATCCTCGACGTCGCGGTAGGGGAAAGCCACATGCTCGTGCTGACCACCGACGCGGAGGTGTACGTGGTTGGCGACAACACGAACGGGCAGCTCGGTTTGCCGGGGACAGACTCCACCACAAGCTGGACGCGCATCGACTTGGCCTCCGTACTCGGCGCGGGGGAGACCGTCACGGGTGTGGTAGCGGGGCCGAGGAACTCGTTCTTGATCGCCCAGCGACAGTCCGGAGAATGCCAGTGAAAAATAAGCCTAGCTCCGGGTTGTTCTCTTCTCTCTATCACGTTTTCGTGACCCTGTCGTCTAGTGTACAGTGAAGGTTTGTCCCCGCAGAGAAAGGACCCCGGAAACCGATCCTCATCATTTCATCCACCCATCCCGTCAGAACGCCATGCTCCAAATCATAGATTCGTAAGGTAGTCCTCGATCTCCTGCGGCGTGAGCTTCCGGAAGCGGGGGCCTACCGCCCCCTCCACGCCCTCTACGCCGAGGAGATGGTCTGCGGGGGCGCCGACGATGCCTAGGTCATGTCAGAACTAACGATTTCTCTCGGGGGAACTATGACGCAAAGGTCAAACTTACCGATCTCGATCGTCTCCCCGTTCATCTCTCCCTCAATCGTCTCCTTGAGCGTCAGCAGCGCGATGTGTACCGCATCCTCCAGCTCCAACCCCTCAGTGTACCTCTTCTCGAGGAACGTCTTCGCCGTGGTGGCGCTCTTGCCGATGGCAGTGGCCTTCCACGGGAAATAACTCCCGCTAGGGTCGACCTGGTACAGCATGGGCCCGCCCTTGAGGATGCCGCCGGTCTTATCGCTCAGCTTGCTACCCTCCCCCTCCTCCTCGCCCTGCCCCGCACCCACACCCGCGCCGGCCGCCGCCTGCTTGGCCAGCTTGGCCTTCTCGAGCTCCTCCTCCGGCAGGACGCCCTCGTCCCAGCCGGCGACCAGCAGGCTGACGCCGTAGGGCCGCACGCCGCCGGACTGGGTGGCCTCCTGCATGACGCGCGCCACGTCCTGCACCAGGATCCGCGTCGGCGGGTACTCGTTGTAGATGCGCTTGTACCCCGTGTGCGACACCTTGCGCGCCCGGTCCACCAGCACCCGGTAGTCGGGCCCCATGCCGCTGTACACCATGCCGATGTTGGGCGTGATGAGGCTGATCTTGGCGAGCGAGGAGGGGTCGGCGAGCGGGGAGGACGACTTCTTTTCCGTGGCGAGGACGATGCCGTTGGTGGCTGTTTCGGATTCAAATCACAATGTCAGTGGGTGGTGGTGTTTGGTTGCGCGCTGAAGGGGGGGGGAATAGGTAGATTGGGGAGGGGTCCCGGGCGAGGTCATTGAGGTGGGGGAGGGGGGACGGACCCTTGATGCCCAGGGCTGTTACGCCTTGGTTGACCGCGTTGAGCGCATACTCTGTGCGGCTGTTAGAAACGACATTCGTTATGCTAGCTGGAAGCTATTGCAAGCGTCGGAGCGGGAAAGTGGGCGACCGACCGATCTGAACCAGCTTGCCGCTGTCGGGTTGTTAGCATCACCATTTACACTGTAGCCTGGGGTGGTTAGCTTACCTGGGCGAGAATGTTGTGAGAGAGAATGAGTATCTGTCCGCCATGATGCCGGTCTGGAAGGCTCAAGATGGGTTGCAGGTTGATAATCGTACGTTGTCTTGCTGTACTTCTCGAGTTGGCGTTGCAAGTCAAGGCTGCTGTTGTTCGCAACCAGCAACCAGGCACAGCGTTGTTGCGCGTCGATGGCCAGGCCTCAGCGCTGAGAGAGCTTGGGCCAACCCGCTGATTGATGGAGCTGCTGATTCGCCCAGTCGCCGATGTGGTGGGGGTGTGTCCCGCCAGGCTGACCCGCTCCCAGGTCTAACCGCAAAGAGGAAGCGGGCTTGAAACTGAAAAAGCTGTCAGTTTTTTGAAACTCTTTTTCATTTCCAAACCTCAGCCTGTCACCGTTTGGCTTTGTGATGAAACCGACCCAAGCCCGTTCTTTATTGACGGATGTGCTATAATTGGGAGGCTCAAGGAGGTAAGGCTTAGCGGGAGGCTCATTGCGCAGGAACGCTCGACCTTGCGCACAGAGAGCAGTTTGACCAAACCAGCTGGCGCGGCCTGACACCTGTCATATTCGGTGACTTTCCAAGCTCCCAAGCTTAATCCTATATTCGATGGCTCATTTCCGCGCCAAGTGAAGCATTTCACTTACCTCACTACTTACTTAAACCCCAGACATATAACACCCACAGCACTCCGATTTCACAATGGCCTCTTCATCGTTCGAACCGCGGTGGGACTGGTCCTCTACAATGGACAAACCGGATGGCAATGACACGGCCGACGCGCCGACGCCTCCCACAGCAGAGGAGCCCGGCCAGGCATCCGGGGCTGCCGGCACCTCGGACACTCCAGCACCGGATCCAACTCCCACACCAAAGCAACGGCGCTACCTTCCGCGGACCTGCCGCATCTGCCTCGAGGTGGTCAATCCCACGACCGAGATTGACGAGTCGTTCGCAGGCCGGGTCTTCTCCAACAAAACCCGCGTGCGCTACGTCTCGGAGGACCCGGAGCTCGGCCGCCTCATCAGCCCTTGCACATGCAAAGGCTCGCAGAGGTATGTCCACGAAGGGTGCCTGCAGGCCTGGAGGAACGCATCCCCTCTCTCGGACCGGAACTTCTGGCGGTGCCCGACCTGTCATTTCGAGTACCGCCTCCAACGCCTACGATGGGGCCGTTGGCTCTCGAGCCGGCTCCTTCGGGTCAACCTGACCCTCTTCATCCTGGTGGCTACCATCTTCCTTCTGGGGTTTATCGCCGATCCGATCCTTGGTTTCTGGGATGATCCGTTTGGTAGCATCGTCGGGAGTCTTATGGACATCGAGTTTGAGGAGCCGATACTGGCGGATGATGGGCCGAGCACCTGGGGCGGTCACTTTCTAAGAGGGTTTCTTTCTCTGGGAATTCTGGGGTTTTTGAAGACCATGTTCTTCATGTCACCGTTCAATTGGATCAACCTACGGTTTGGAGGCGCGGCTCGTCGGAGACGGGGCGCCGGGAGGGACAGAATGGAGCAGATCAACTGGGGTCTTGTTGTTATTGGAGTGCTGACGTTCTTGGGGGTGAGTACCTTTTCTCAGCTTTCTCGATGGTGTTGATGGTGTACTGACAGTGCTAAAGGCAACGTGGAAGTTCGTCAATCATCTTATGGCCAAGACCCTTGAGAATGCCAGGGACCGGGTCGTCGACGTCCAGGAGGACGAGCCGGACGAAGACGAAGTGGATGATGATGTTGTACCTGATGCCGCACCTGATGACACGGCGCCCGACGCGGCGACCGACGAGTCGAGAAAGGATAAGTAGTATGTAATTTTGGGCAGCGTGTACTGATAGCATTATTCTTCTTCAACGGCGATAGATATTCCAACCTCGCAATGCCGCCGAGTGTCCCCTCCCCTACGTTGCCCTACTGCACACTCTTAAGTTGCCACAGCTGCGCCTCCGTGCCGTTGCAACTAGTCTGTGTGCAGAGATGAAGCTTCGCTGCCGCCCTGAGAACGGGGCGTCTTGTCCCGTTCTCGCCGTGGTCAGGCGCGAATGCGTGAACCCGTGCCTACAATCGGGGGCTTCTCGGAGTTCCCCGAATTTATCTCTGCTTCCTCGGCGTTTCTTGCCACTTTTAGAAGGGTTGCTGCGAGGCTGGGTTAATACATGTATGTTTTTGGTGAGGGAGTGCTACAACTTGAACTATGGTTGTTTCTGATAGCAAATTATACACTTTGATCACCCTCGACATTAGTTCGGTTTTGGAAGGGACCGGATTCAACCTGACTTAGGTGGCAATGTCGAGCCGGGTCAGTCGATCGAGTTCGGACGAAAGCTCCGAGTGATGTAGAAGTTCCGCATCTTCAATTCCGTCGAATCCCCTAGTAGCCTTGCGGTAAAAGGAGGAGCTTGACGCCACCCAGCCTAATGAGACGTTGGCCCGGCTTTCCACCAGGAGGTCGTGGGTTCAACGGGTGCTGATGTAGCAAAAACAGCGTCAGGGTTTTCGTAGCCGACTACCGCCTTGGTACTCCCAACCAATGGAGCTAGTCGGTGAGCTTTTTGGAATTGTTTTTTCTTTCTTTAGAAAGAATAACTACCTTCATTCTTTTCTTGTTGCTCTTTTTGTTCGTCCAGTCTGATGAAGCTATTCACAACCATGACTGATTGTTGGCTAGGGTTAGGGGTAGTGCAGCAGCAAGTGAGCAGGCATTACGATAAGCCAATCGCCAACCCCAATATCCCGGCACCCATCCACATCCCCTGCCAGAAGTTCTGTTATCGCATTTGGAACTCCGGAAGGCCACCGGTTTTCGTGATGGTTTCCCCTTGGCAACCTCAAAGTCCAGTCTCTCTCTGCTTGGCGTTTGAGGTAGCCCGAAGGCAATCTGCTGGACGAACCCACTCAAACTCACCAATGTCCTGATTTCAACTTTTGTGCGACCGGACTGCGAGCGCTTCAAGTCATCCCTGACAAGAAAACCACGGCGCCTGGGCATCTCTCGATCCTCAACATCGTCTCCTCAGAAATTGAGAGAGCACCCGCCACGCCCTTTGCTCAACATTCAGTAACTTCCGCGAATAATCCTACACGAAACGCCACATTCTCTACCTCGAGTGTTTCGACGGCTTTCGACGGCGCCCCCGACGACGTAACGACACGCAGCATCCCGCATCTGGCGCTTCCACGAACAGACGGATCGATCCCCGTCGCATTGGTCTCGATCTCGGCCTAGGGACCACTCCCCGGGCCTCCCGTCGCCCGCGATGCATTTCGCACTCCCCCCACGAAAAACGTCGCAGCCTCCGCCCTACCTCCCGCGCACATCACGATTGCCCGGCCTGCGGAGGACGCGCCTCAAGGTCATTGCGCTTGGCGGGCTCTTCTTCCTCGCCCTCCTATACTTCGCCACCCGACCGAGTAGCCGATATGCGGCGGTGCGAGCACCAAAGGGCGACCCGCCCGTGGTGCTGGTGACGGTGTTGGATGCGAGCAAGTATAGCGGGGTGTATCTGGAGACGGTGAAGCAGAATAGGCTGAAGTATGCCGAGAAGCACGGTATGCTAGCCACCGGGAGATAATGGATGGATGAACACGCGGTCTGACGGGCAACATAGGCTACAAAACCCTCCTCGCAAGGATCGGCGACTACGACCTAGGCGGCTCGCCCTTCTCCTGGATGGCCATTTTCGCCATGCGCGACGCGCTGACCAAATACCCAGACTGCCACTACGTCTGGTTCCTCGATGCGAGCAGCTTTATCATGAACCCGAAGCTGAAGATAGAGGACCACGTTATGCAGCCGGCCAAGTTGGACGAGCTGATGAAGAAGGACTATCCCGTGGTTCCGCCGGACAGTATCATTAAGACGTTCAGCCATTTGAAAGGGCAGGACGTGGACTTTGTGATCACGCAGGACAAGGACGGGCTGTCGTCGGCTAGCTACATCGTGCGCAACGGCGACTGGGCGCGCTTCTTTCTCGAGACGTGGTTCAGCCCGCTTTATCGGAGCTACGATTTCCAGAAGGCAGAGACGCATGCTTTGGTGCGTCCCCAACAAACAAAACGCTGCCCCTTTTGTAATATGCACGTTTATGCTAACCTTGTGTGCCTGTAGGAACACATGGTGCAGTGGCACCCGACCATCCTCTCCCGCATGGCCATCGTTGACCAGCGCCTCATCAACTCCTACGTCAAGGGCGGCAAGGATGAAGAGTACAAGGACGGGGATCTGGTCATCAGATTCCCCGAGTGTACAGCCACCGGGCCGCAGGCGTGCGAGAAAGAGTCTCAGGTGTTTGCGCAGGCGTGGCGGAGGGTGTTTGCCAGCACATGATGGCTCGAACTTGGTGGATGATAGCTTTGGCGTCGGCAACAATACTACGGCCAAATTATCTCCGGCTAGAGAGATTGTTGGCATCAGATGCTAGCTATCCTCCTTATCTGCTTCCTTGAGGCCTTGGGATATTGCACCTCGAGGCGTTTGGTTTTGGGTTTGGCTTTTGGCAGAACCTTAATATTGTGCTGGCGGTTATGTGCCGACGGAAATACGTACCTGTGGGCGGACACGGCATAGCAGTTGCTGTTTGGTGAGGAGACTTCAAAGAGAGCTGCCATACCTTCAAGCCTTCAAACCATGGAGGGGTGAGTAGCCATGTGGTATCCCACGTTCATGAGACCCACGAAAAGACAGGATGGGAGGCAGTTGTATAATGTATTCGTATTAGCATGTTTAGATTTGCTGAGAGCATATCTGATCAACCTTACTCCCCCGTGTCGCACTCAGAGACTCAACATCTAGGTAATATCGTTGGGAAAGTTGCCACATACTTGTATGCATCCCCAGCCGCCAGGATGTAAGAATTACGTCTACAAATTAGGGATCCATGTCTTTAAGGTGTCGGCTCTCCGAGATCATTGTGTCCGATGAGGTCACACCGGGGACGGGAATACCACATTTGCACCCGTCTCCGTGCCTATCAATGAGGGGATACGAGTCCCTCACCCGGCTTTATTTGCCCTTGCGCCTCTAGCGACGACGCAAGGGTGCATTGGGGCAAAGAACCTTCCATAACGAGGCCCAGCAAAGGTGATTTTCAAGGCATGTGAAGATTCCAAGGTTGCAGAACCGCATTAGCGGTTGCCAAGCTATGCATTTAGGGCGTATTCAGCCCTCAAAGCGGGAGCCGCGGGGGACCGGCTTTGGGGGGTGCATGGGTCTAAAAAGGCCGGGGTCTGCTGCCCGCGGCAGGCCCTGTTCGGTCAATGATCCCCCAAGCAGGGCGAAGAGCCGAGCTCCAAATCACAAATCAGACGCCGTTCATTGCCCTGTTCGTCCCGCGATACCCGAATTCTCCTTAACATGCCCTGTTGTTAACCTTGACGGCCTCAGTGTCGGATTTCCCAAACACCACGACCTAAGGTTCACGGTGTTTTGCTACTGCAAATATGTCAGGAACAAAACGCTTACCCGTTAGCCTGCGAGAGGGCTTCAACAATGTCCGGAAATCACAAGCGGGTAAAAACCCGTTGACGATGCTCAACTTGGACCTGTCAGTGGCTCAGTTCCCCGTTCCCCTTCTGTCTCTTGCTTGCGCCGCATGCTTCCCGTCCCTCCATCCTCCACTTGGCGCAGCGACAACAACCTCCCTCCTTATGTTATCCCAAGCAGTATAAGTCAATTGCTCGAATGACCAACCACTAACACCAGTCCCATCTCAGAGTCCGCAACATCATATTTTTCCTCTTCCTCTTTCGATGGACCCGTCGCATACTATGGAAGCTCAAGGGCCGCGGCCTGCTGGGCACGGTGGTCGAGGTGTATACCGAGGTTCGCCGCGTGCTGTACGGGTGGTTCCTTCGGATGCCGGGCGTGCGAACCCAGGTGCGCAAGCAGGTCGACGAAGCCCTCACCAAACTGCAGTCTAAACTGGTCCCCACCAACGCGACACGCTACCTGACGCTGCCCAAGGAGGGCTGGGCCGAGGACGCCGTGCGCAAGGAGCTCGAGACCCTCGCCAACATGGACCACACGCGCTGGGAGGACGGCTACGTCTCGGGCGCCGTCTACCACGGCGAGGACGACCTGCTGAAGCTGCAGACGGAGGCGTACGGCAAGTTCACCGTGGCGAACCCGATCCATCCGGATGTGTTCCCCGGTGTGCGGAAGATGGAGGCCGAGGTGGTGGCCATGGTGCTGAGCCTGTTCAACGCGCCGCGAGGCGCTGCGGGCGTGAGCACGAGCGGTGGCACCGAGAGTATCCTGATGGCTTGCCTGAGCGCGAGGCAGAAGGCTTATGTTGAGCGGGGCATCACCGAGCCGGAGATGTAAACAACACCCCCGCCCCCTTTGACGCTTGACTTTGACGCTCTTCCTAACATACTCCCAGGATCTTGCCCGACACGGCACACACGGCCTTCCGCAAGGCGGGTGAATACTTCAAGATCAAAATCCACCTCGTTGCGTGCCCGGCCCCAAGCTACCAGGTCGACGTCCGGCGCGTCGCCCGCCTCGTCAACAGAAACACCATCATGCTCGTCGGCTCGGCGCCCAACTTCCCGCACGGCATCATCGACGACATCTCGGCCCTCTCCAAGCTCGCCCTCAAGAAACGCCTACCCCTCCACGTCGACTGCTGCCTAGGCTCCTTCCTGGTACCCTTCCTCGAAAAAGCCGGGTTCGAGACGGTCCCCTTCGACTTCCGCCTCCGCGGGGTCACATCCATCAGCTGCGACACGCACAAGTACGGCTTCGCGCCCAAGGGCAACAGCACCGTGCTCTACCGCACCCAGGCCCTGCGCACCTACCAGTACTTCGTCGACCCGGCCTGGCCCGGCGGCGTGTACGCCTCGCCGGGCATCGCCGGCTCGCGCCCGGGCGCCCTCATCGCGGGGTGCTGGGCCAGCCTCGTCACGGTCGGCGAAGCCGGCTACCTGGCCTCGTGCACCGAAATCGTCGGCACCACCAAGAAACTGCTCGCCCACATCCAAGCCTCCCCGACCCTCTCGACAGAGCTCGAGATCCTCGGCAACCCGCTCGTCAGCGTCGTCGCCTTCCGCACGCGCGCCCTCAACGTCTACGACGTCGCCGACGCCATGTCGGCCCGCGGCTGGCACCTCAACGCCCTGCAGGACCCGCCCGCCATCCACGTCGCCGTCACGCGGCCCGTCGTGAAAGTCTGGGAGCGCCTCGCCGCCGATCTCGAGGCCGTCGTCGACGCCGAGCGCGAGAAGGAGCGCGTTCGCGCCGTGGAGGGCAAGAAGACCCGCGGCGGGCAGGATGTGGCCGGTGATGCGGCCGCGTTGTATGGGGTTGCGGGCTCGCTGCCGAATAAGAGCGTCGTGGTGGATTTGGCGAGCGGGTTTTTGGATTTGTTGTATAAGGCCTGATGGCCTGATGTGGGCGTGGGTGTTTCTCTCCTGGGGTTGGGTTGGGTTGGGTTGGGTGGGGCGGGTTGGTGGTTGCGCTGATTTTGCATGGTTGAGTAGTCGTCTGTCTGCATTGGGGGGGGAGAGAGAGAAAGGGCGGCTGTTTTGAAAGGTCTATCGCATTTGTTGCGGTTGTTGCATAGACAAGACGAGAAAGAGTAGTTACATATCGACACTTTTTTCATCACACGACATACAGGTCCCGTTCTTTGTACGTTGTGATTTGGATCTATCTCAGTCTTTACCAGTCTTACATCTTCCTCATGCTCTCATTTCCCTCCTTACTCGTCTCACCATTGCTTGGTTTGCTGACACAATCCACGTTTGGCAGTGCCAACACTCTTCTTTGTTCTACAACAGAGTTGCGGGCAGTAGCAAAGCGAGAGGCAGCCGGCCCTCCAGATCCCAATGTGTAGGTGAGGCAAAAGCCTCCCGTTCCTTCTCCGTCCCATGACAAAGCGCCAGGTCCCATGCAAGATAGATAAACGATCCAGCAATGCCGGCGCCCCTCTGTGTATGTGTGTGTATGTCCATACAGCCCCCCCATCGGCCGCTGAAAAGGGATGGGCTGGATGGGGAAAACAAATATCAAATAGCCAAAACCCCCAGTTCAAGTCGGTTCAATATCTCACAGCGGCAACGGCAACAGCAGCAGCGGTAGTAGTAGCAGGTGGTGATGAACCCTTTCAAAGCTCACTATCGCTGCCCCGAGCGGGGTAGTGCTGGTGATGGTGCTGGGGGTGCTGCGAGTCGGCGGCGGCAGATCGCGGCGGCTTAAAGATAGCCTCGACGTCACCGACCTGCCTGCGCTCGGTAATCTCGAGCGGGGCCAGGTTCTTGAGGCGCTTGCGCATCAGGTATCGCATTGGCAGCGTCAATCCTCGGGGCGATGCAGACGTACCGGTACCCCTCATGACTGCTGATTGCTATTGCAAGGGCTCCGACGAGCTTGACAGGCGGTTCAGGTGGAGGTAGACGTCCGTGCCGTAGCTGGGTATCAACATTGTCAGTACTGATGATGATGGATGAACAAGTAAAGAGAATCGACAACATACCCTTCCATGCTTATGAGCTTGAGGTCACCGCCAAAGTACCTCGCGTACAGTCGTGATATCGGCAATCCGTAGCCGAACCCGGCCATGGGTGCCTTGAAGTCGCTCTTGTCAAAGTCCGGGTCGAGGTTTGGTGTCCTGTCGACAGTGGTGTACATGTACGTCCAGACCAGCGGTATGGCACTCCGCGGGATACCGCCGCCTTCGTCTGAAACTTTTATAGTGATATCCTCCTTTCCCTCGGCCACGATCACCTTGGTGACAGGGAACTCCTGCTTGTCTTGACCGTGCGTCTCGACCACGGCGCGCAGCGAGTTCTTGAGCGTCTCGAAGAGCATGTGCGACAGGTGACCTGGCACATACATGAAGTTGAGGGTGGGATCGCACACGAGCTGGATCTTGGGTGCCTCAAACAAGCCGTAATGATCCTCGCAGACAAAGCGCGCGTTCTCGATAGCCTCCTGCGCCAGATCCTTGACGTATGTCTTTGTGCAGATGATGCCGACGTAGGAGGGATCCCGGTAGTGGCTCTGATCGGTCAGAGCAATGTGCTGGCCGATGAGCATCCGTATCCCGATGCGTGACATGTAGAAGCGGTCCAGGAATGATTGTATATTGCTGTCGATCTGCATCCGTTGTCGTTTGCGTTTGTACTCGAGGATGCCCTGTGCCATGGTGGTAACCACGCTGTCGTGCCGCCTCTTGATGCGATGCAACGCCTGGGCAAATTTCATGTTATACAATTGTAGCTCAGGCGGCCAGTCGCCCGTGTCGTCGACCATTGCGAAGTACCTCCTCGTTGCGGGGAACCTGCCCTTGGACCAGCCGTTGCCGTTGCCGTTGCCGTTCCACGAGTTGTACTGCCCCTCCTCGATGCTCGGGTTTGGTGTCGCTTCGCTCAGCCAAGATGTGTTTCTCCCGGATATCCTCGAGGGCCGCATCAATCTCTCTCGTACCTCCTTGCCGAGATCCGGCCTGGGCAATGTTGTAATTTCCTAGACCACAAAACCTTGGTGAGTCACACTTTTCCCTCCAGCGGCGGCGGGTGTAGGTGCGTACCTCGAACGATTGTGCGTACCAATCGGCCACCTTCTTCACCGAGGGCATCTCGTTGAGGCCGTCTGGTAGGGTTTCGAGCTCTTGGACACGGTGGGCGAGTCGGATGGGCAGCTCCTCGGCGAGGAACTGCGAAGCGCGGAATAGTGTCCCTTGCACGCCAACGTCAGAATAAGAGCCTGGACGTCATCGCGGCGGGTAATTGGGGTCTGCTCACCAGTTGACGGCTTCTCGCCAAACTGCACCATCTGGCGCAGGCTCACGCCGGTAGCAGGGAAGCTGGCATAGTGCCGGATGGTGTCCATCAGCCGCTCGCTTCCCTTCCAAGCCATTTTGGCGGCTTAGGCTGCGCCAATTGTACTTGGTGGATGATGATCGGGCCTTGTACCGTGCAGCATAAGTGCCGGGCGGTGTTCGAGGTTGTATCTGGCGTGTGGTGTCTTTGACTGAGCGCGGTGGCGGCTCAATGCGGCGCGGGCGTGTCGGAGGTCGAGTCGGAGTGGTGGGTGTCCACGGCTAACTAAGCCGAGGCAAGCGGACCAGGGGTGTTCTCTCCAATGACGCAACCAATGCCGGGCCTGGCAAGCAAGCAACACAACGAGATTAATTGAGCCCAGCTATGCCACGGAAAGTATGGGATCCGTGTTGAATATGGAGGTGGCCGTCTTCAATGTTGCGGGAGAGTAAGAGCGCGGGCAAGGCGGGGCAGGGGATGGTACTTTAAACATCGACCGACTTAACTTTATGTAGGTGTTGGGGTTGCTCAGGTGCGTCAGATGCTCGTGTGCGTTTTCCGGGGGTCGGCCGCTGGAGCTCGGCGCAAAGTTGTCCTGAGTGACTCGGGCGCCCCACTCCTGCTCCCCCTCGCTAGCTGCATGTGCTCAAGCCGAGCCGAATGCGTGATGGGCTTGACAGGCTTGTGGCCATTCATTCAACCGCCCTTTCTTGGCATGTGGCACCTTGAAACCCCCCCACGACTGCTGGCCATCCCGCGGGGCATGGATGCTCCTTCGGCTGCTGTCAACTTCCGCCTTGGTGGTCTTTGAAGGAACAAGGGCTGTCGAGTCTACATTTACGCAGGCAAGCAGGGTTATTCGGTCACCGCTGTGTTACGAGTCTCATGCCGACTGAAAGTTGGAATTCTTGGTCACATCCAGGTCCCTTCACAACTTAATGCTGCCCTACACCCTGCGTCCGACCAGAGGAGTCCGTCTGTAGGAGTACCGTGCCCGGTGTATACTATGCTACTGAAGCCGTACGGTGTAAGTACCTTTGATTATTTGCTCTATGTACATATGTATTGGGCATCTCTTGAGATGCAGAACCCTGCGCTTCAAGTTGAATGGTGATAACCAGTTTTCCTCTCTGACGTCATAAGGCTATCCGCCTGGCGAATTCGAAGCCGTGAAAGCCCCGTTGTTGGCAGCCCATTTGTGAGTTGCTTTCAAGACATTAATCATCCGATCAAGCGGACTCGACCCCCTTTGGTGAATCAAAGAAGCTCCTGCGAGACTAAATTTTACCCCAGATTTTTCATGCATGTGCTAGTAATATCACAGTGCGGATTGGACGTGGATGGCTCCATTTCTGCCCCCGGAGCCCCGAACCGCTCGGTCCAGTCCCGTTGTGCCGTCGGGTGGGCGGAAAAGCTCGGGCACAAAGGGTCTCTCGTCGATCAGTGCGCGGCGCAGAGGTGCATTGGCACATAGCATTACAAACCTTCCAGGTTAGGAGATAACGTAAGTGGGGCCATGAACTATTTTAGCTGCTTAACTATAACCATTCCGTATTGGACTCGAGAAATATTCAGAACAAAGTCTGAGACAACCCATCGCGCGAGAACCCGCGATGCGATGCGCTGGGAAAGCGACAAAAACGACAGGGGAAAGGGGGAAAAGGCAAGGCTGGAAAGCCCCTTGCGAGAACTTGTGGGGACTTTTGCAAAATGATTGGTTCCGAACCCCCTGAAGCAAGCGCATTGCTCAACACTCGCGGTGATTTCACCTGGACAACACACCAAGTGGGGCTCAGGTTTGACGAAGTGGATGATGTGGAAGAAGACTCGTTCGTCGTTCGAACCTTCTGTCTCGATGCATGTAATGCAATACGAATTGACGATACGGTTCCTGAAGCTCGAAGCGCATTGACGACATCCGCAACAACTGGGAATTGAGCATATTCAGCGGAAAACCAACAGGACAATTGACATGAGTCGACGAGTCTAACCGGTTTCGTTAATCTCACCGCAACTCGCTCTCACCTCACACAACTCACCTGAGCAAACGGACACATCGCAGCTCAAATGAACGACCCAGACGGGGAAGGGGGCTCAGGCGACGACTGGGAAATCACTCTCTCGCCCTCCATCTCGTCGCTTTCTTCATTTGCCCCAGAAGACTACTCCTTCCCGCTACAGCAACATCTCACAGGGCGACCCGACCCACAACGAAACCCGTCACCACGAGTATCACCCCTATTACCACCGCCATCATCACCACCACTCCAACAACAACCCCAACATCAACACCAAAATCATGAATCCCAAACCCGAAACCAAACCCACCCTCAAAACTACGACACACCCCGCCAAAAACAACGTACCCCACCCCTCATAAACCCCCGCCTCGCCCACTCCCAAATCTCCATCCCCGTCCCCAACCTTCACACCCCCCCACCCACCTCCCCTCGCCGCAAGCAAGGCACCCTACTACACCACCACCACCACCACTCCTCCTCCTCAACATCCTCCATCCCCGGCCGCCCCCGCACAAGCAGCAACATCCCCCTCCCCACAACGACAAAAACAACCACCACCACCGCCACCACCGCCGCCAACACCACCACCACCCCCAACCGCAGCAGCAGCCGCGCCAGTACCAGCACCACCAGCAACCACAGCCGAGCCGGCAGCCAAGCTAGCAGTAGAGTCGACAGCCGCGCCGGCAGCGCCCTCAGCCTGCGCCTGCACACGGGCATGGGCACGGGCGTCGGCGTCGGCCTGGGCGCGGGTCTGCCTGCCTCGCCGCTGCCGGCCGCTTCGGCTGGCACGTCGTTGTTTTGGCGCGGCGGCGGCGGTGGTGGCGGTGGCGGTGGTGGTCTGGGGCAGCGGTTCGTTTCTGGGGCTGGGTTGGGCTCGGGGGTTGGGGCTGGGTCGGGGTCGGGGTTTTCGCCTCTGCGGCCGGCGGCTGGGTTGGGGGGTGTGGTTGGGAATGGGAATGGCGTGGGGTCGGGGTCGGGGTCGGGGTCGGGAGTGGGAGAGGGTGGGGGGTCGGGACATGAGAGGATGGGGAGTGTAGGTGGTGCGGGTAGTGCGGGTAGTGAAGGGGGGCAGGATGGGGATGGGAGCAGTCCGAGTCGGAGTTTGAGTCAGAGCTGGAGTGACCTTGGGAGGGAGGCGGAAGGGGCCGAGGGGGAAAAGGAAGGGGACGAGGAGGGAGAGGGAGAGGGCGATTTCTTCGACGGGGCCGGCTCCGGCACCACCAGCCAGCGGCATAGTTGGGACAGCGTTGCGACTGTGAAGGAGGAGACTGGCCGGGTTCGCTTCTATGACCAGGAGTATGCCGACGACGGCGGAGATACGCATGTTGGAGAGGGCTCCGACGGGTACAAGGACGTCCAGGACTACGGCAGCTTCCAAGGGCGCGATGGTCCCCGCAGCAACGAGGGCTCCTGCGGATATGCGTCGTCCCCTGAACGTGTGACTTCACACAAGTATGTCGAACCTCAGGGATATGAGGGGGCGATGCAGGGCAGGCCTGAGGGCAAGGATCACCTCGGAGAACATTATCGCGAGTATGCCCCCGGCCAGTATGGGGATGAGAAGCTGGCTGGGAGCCGTACGATCAGTCTGAGTAAGGGCGACGATCTTGGGAATGGTGGAATTTACGACACGGAGATACAATCGCCCTCAAAACGGGACGGGCACCGGGGCCTGGAACGGATCATGGAGGAAACTCAAGAAACCGAAGCAGACACCCTCCCACCGGGCAGAGTCATGCTTATGGAGCGGCTGTGCGATCTAGTGCAGAGGGTATCCTCGGTGAGGGTTGGCGGCGGTTTGGAGGCGGATGTTATTGACGTCCTAAACGCCAAAGTCGACGAGATGGAGGACCTCTTGGTGCTTGCAGAGGAGACGGCCGAAGCAGAAGCTACGGCGGAAGTGGAAGCGCAAGCTGAGCCTGGAGATGGAGAGGAACCGGCGCAGCCCACAGCTGAGGAAGGGAGCGAAACAACGCCACAAGCCCAATCAACAAGGCAAGAGGAAGAACCCGAAACAGAGGACGGAGGGGAAGCGAAGGAAGAACCGTCCAGGTCCGGATCCGGGGAGGACGACAAGTCGGTCAGCGAGATGTCGCCGGCCATCCCCCCTGTGCCAACACTCCGGGTCGGGGACCAAGACATCCGCGACCTCGCCAGTCCCCTCCCATGGCTCACCTCCACCTTCAAATACTCCGAACTGTCAATATCCCCGACCCAATCGAATCCCGAGCTCGCAGCGGCCACCAACGAGGCCCTTGAGGCAGCCAAGCAGGCCGCTCAAGCCCAAGCTGACATGGCCGAGCGGGTGGCATCCGAAGCCAACCGACTAAACCGCGAGCTAGCCGAAGTCGTCAAGAACCTGCAGGCCCGTAAGGAAGAGTCCGACGTAAGAAGCCCCCCCCCCCCCCCCTCCCCCCTCCCCTCCCACTCCTCCCATCCCTAACGAAACCGCAGCACCTCCACGCGCTCCTAATCGACCGCGCCGAGGCAGCCGCCACACGGGTCCTCGATCTCGAGCAAGAGATCTGCGACCTGGAGGACGACATCCTGTCGGGCGAGTCGGAGCTGCGGCACCTGCGGCTCAAGCTGCGGGCGGTCGAGACGCTGTGGCACGAGTGCGCGCGCCCGGCGGAAGACGCCGGCGACCCGGACCTCGTGCGCAGCATCGAGAACTGGAAGGCCGACTGGGTCTGCGTGCGCGACCGCATGCTCGACCGCAAGAAGGATCGTCGGGCGCGGCGGGTGCGCCTGCACCGTGCCGGCTGCGTTATCAATTCTCTTGAGGAGCGCGAGCAGGAGACGACGACGTCCAGTCTAGGTGGGTTGTCGATGTCGGTTTCGATGCTGGGGTTGGGTGGGGGTGGTGGTGCTAGTGGTGGTGGTGGTGGTGGGAGGAGTCCGAGGAAGAGGGCCTGATCGTTTCGTGGGGACTTGCTAAACCGTAATGGGTGCCGGAGTGGCATGTGGAAGGTGTTATTAGGGGTTGGCTGTTTGCATTTTGGCGGCGGCGGCGGTTGCATAACGTCTCTCACTTTGATGATACCCAGTACAACTGGCATGGTTGCATGGTTGCATGGCCACATAGCTGGATGGCACATTAAGGAGTTGCTTACGGAATGTCAAGTGCATATGGCGTTCTTAACGATCATGAGGATGGCACATACTGGAGGGGTTGTTTGAGTTGTAGAGGTATCAAAGAATGTTGATAGGTATTGTAATAGCTTGAAAACGCCAGCCTGATGGCTTCGCTAGTACTCAAACCCAACCAGAAATCATAAAAGCAAACCTCATATTCGGATATCATCCCGTCATACCACATCGCGTTGCCCAATCCTTCCCACCACACCCAAAACCAAACGAGAAGTAGAAGTGACCTACGCCGCGGCAACCCCGTCCTTCGGCGCCACCTTCTCCCTCAGCGCGGCGTCCTTCTCCCTCGTGAACCCGACCGGCTCATCATGCGGCAGCACCGGCTTGGCCACATCCTGGCGGAAGACGTACCGGCGCCAGAAATAGACGAACTGCTTGGCGCCGTACGCGGCCTGCCGGCGCAGGGGCACGTCAAAGACGCCGTCGAGCTCCTCGAGCGTCTTCTCCTTGGTCTCGGGCACGAAGAACAGCACGAGGAAGAAGCCGACAATGTTCCAGCCGGCGTACCAGCCGAACCCGCCCTGCGGGCGGAACGCCTCCAGCATGCTGGGCCAGGTGACGGCCAGGATGAAGTTGAAGAACCACGTCGTTGCTGTCGCGAGCGACATGCCGATCGGCCGGATGTAGAGCGGGTAGGCTTCGGCTGAGTAGGTGAACGGCACGGGCCCTTCGCCCGGTGAGTAGACCACGCCGAAGAGGTAGATGCCGAGGGCGATGCAGGCGATGTGCGCGGTGGTGTCCTCGGGGATCCAGAAGGAGAAGCCGGTGAAGAACATGAAGAGGGCCATGAGGGGGAAGGTGGTCAGGAGCAGGTTGCGGCGGCCGAAGGTGTCGATGGTGTAGAAGGCGGGGAGCGCGAACAGCCAGTTGATGACGCCGAAGCCGAGGGAGGCGGCGAGGGCGGGGACGTCGCTGTAGCCGGCTTCGCGGAAGATTTCCGAGGAGAAGTAGGCAATGATGTTGACTGTTGCGGCGACGTCAGCTATCTCGTTTACTTGTATTCGGAGGGGGGCGGCAGGTCGACATACCACCGCAGAACTGCTGCATAAACATGACGATCTCGCTAGCGACCATGGCGTTGCGGTTGCGGCGGATGGTGAACAGCTCCATGACGCGGTTCTTGGAGCCGATAGACATGGCCTCCTTTTCGGTCTGGAGAAGGGTGTGGGTGTAGAATAAGTCGCGGGCGGCCTGGACCTTCTCGAAACGCAGCTGAGAGACGGCGTCGAAAGCGTCGCTGTGGCGATCCTTTGTGAGGTACCAGCGGGGAGATTCGGGGCACTTGTAAGCGAGCAGACAGACGACGATGGCAGGCAGCATGGCGGAACCCATCATCAGACGCCAGTTCAAACCAAGCTCGACACCGCTGTCAGGGACGAAGTAAAACGCCAAGTCGGCAATGTACCCAACCATAATACCGAAGGCAGTCCACATTTGCCATTGCTATGCGGTTGGTTAACATTGTAGTTGTGTTAGGGGTGGACCTAGAGAGGGGCGGTGCTTACCATGACAAGAGCACCACGGAGTTTCGGGGGCGAGCATTCAGCAGCAAACACGGGCGTGGTCGCTGACTTGGGGCCGATGCCGAATCCGAGGACGAAGCGGGCGATAAACATATGCCACCATGTGTTCGTGAAAGCTTGCCAGAAACAGGCGAGGGCGGAGATCAGGCACGAGATGAAGATGGTTCCACGGCGGCCGAAGGCCCTGTTCATGGGGTCGGTGAGCCAGCAGCCCATAACTGCGCAGCAGAGGTATGGGGCGCCGTTTACGAGACCGACGAGCCAGGTGTCCCGCTCGCTCTTGGTTCCGATGCCGAAGGCATCCTTGTAGAAGATTTGGGCGCCGTTGACGACCGTTTCGTCCATACCCTGGACGGCGGCGCAGAGAGAGCAGACTAGGAGTGTAAGCCGACGTTGTGGCTTGCTCGATGGGACTCATGACTTACTAATAACGACCCAGTAGAGCATGCTAGGGTTCGACCACTTGTGGGTAACCTCTCGCTCTAGAACTTCCCTCTCACGCTCAGTGAGCTCCGGGATTTGGTCGTATTGGGTGTTGTCTCCGGCGATCATGGCACCGAGACGGAATGCGCGCATGTCCTCGTCGCTAGTCAGCCCGGCCAATTTGGCGTAGTCTTCCCCCATGGTCCTCAGTCGCTCGGGGGTGAGGCCAGCCAGGGGGTTTGCGAGCTTCTTCGGTGCTTCCAGCCGTTCATTCTTGGTGGCATCTCGCGAGTCATCGACGCTAGTTTGTGGTGCTTGGTCGTTGTGCTCGACGTTGGTCCCGGAGACCGATGAGCTAGAACGGTCGTGTTTCTTTTCTGGTGCCATGCTGGGCAAACGGGTTACTTTCCCCGTCGGAGATAATGGTGGTGGTGTTCACGAAGTTGGGGGGAGGCAGGAATCCGAGGCCATTCGAGACTATAGGAGAAGAGTTAAAGCAAGGTCGAACAACGAACTCGTGGGGATTCCACGGTTATAACTGTCTACAACTGGATCTCGAGGACCCCCGGGTTCGGAAACGGAATCCTGCAGGTGGTCCTTGATCCAACAAATCCAACAACAGCCTTACTGTTGTTGACTGTGCTCCCATCCAATGCTACGTGGTCCCTCTGGTCTGGCACGTCTGGCTTCACTGGGGCAAACCGCCTCTCCGCCTTCCCGCCTGCAAGTGCCGTCCGGGTACAGGAACCTCACATCTCGGAAAGCGGGTCTGACTGCATTCGAGCTTCCCGAGACGGAAGCTATCGACGTCATCTCCAATTGCGAGTGGACGGCGCAAACGAGTAGTGGCCGGGGAGTGGTGTTCGGATGGCCGATGACCTGACTCGGGCGGCAAACAATGTTACGCTTCGAGGCTTCACACTTCTTGGGTGGGCCGGCGAGGCCGAACCCTCCCCGCGTTCGGGGGAAGAATGCTCCTCAATGACCTGAAGGCTCCAGATTTGTGGCATGATTTGCCCCTGTGGTATTGGATCGGCGCTGTGGTGCTCACCCAGGCTACCAGAGAGCCAGACTCCGAGAGGGTCATACCCGCATATGACGTCTTTGCTGCAGTTGGCGGTTGGGCGGTTCCAAAGCAACGAGCACCAGGGTCAATACAAGCTTTTACCAAGTTCAGCCAAGCACCAAGCACCTGCCGGGATTACCGTCTGGGGGGTGAGTCCCCGTCAGACCCTTGATTCTTCCATTCCACCACAGAATCCTTCCAGAGGGTGTGAAGGGTGTTCGTGTATGCAGGTCATCGGATTTTCTCTATGGGTTGGTGGCTCGATACCTACCTTACGCATTTTAGTCTTCCGTTCAGAAAAGATTGAGAGCAGGCACCTTTCGAATTCTTTCTTGAGCTTCGGCATGGAAAGCGCGACCACCTCCAGTTCTCGGCTATTTGATTTGGTGGAGCTTGGTGGGGTTGAATAATCAAATCCCCGTGGGAAAGTGTCAAAACTGGAGCATCTGAGCATCTGCTCGGCCCAACTTGATACAACCAAGGAAAGAACGAAACAAGGAGAAAAAAAGAATCAGTTCATGTGACATACAAAAATGGAAAAATAATGTTACTGTATACAGGAACGCCTCTAATTATGACGCAAGGCCAACCCAGGCACCAGGCACGTATCAACCGTCCAACAAAGACAAACCAACGCGACAAAACGTCAACGCATTCTTGGTCGAGAAGATACCACCGCCACCATTTCGATCCCGCGATGACTTCTCTCTTCCATTTTTCACCACCACCGGTGGCTTGCGACTCCCACCACTGCCCCTTCGCTCTGGGAACCCAGCAGCAGACGCTGACCGTCTCTCTCGGGGTCTCTCCCTCTGCTCTCTTCCACTCTCTCGTCCTCTCAGCCTAGCCTCTCTCTCTCTTACTCTCTCTCGATCCATTTCACGTTCCCTATCCCGCTCCCTGTCCCTAGGATCTCTATGCCTCTCTCTCCCCATTTCCCTCTCCCTCTCCCTCTCTCTCCCATGATCCCTCTCCCTCTCCCTAACCTCACGGCCCCCATCCCTCGAATCCCCCCTTTCCCTCCTCGCCTCCATCGCCGAATCAGACGACGACCGCGGTAGAGGCCCCCACGTATACCCTCTCTCCGCGTGGCCCCTCCCCCCACCAACCGTGACGCCGCCAGACATGGAATGCCTGCGATGAGCCGGCGGAGGGGGCGGCCGGTTGGAGGACAAGGGCGGGTGGGAAGGATGTGCAGGATGTGCGGGATTTGCGGGATGGAGAGGAGGCAGGTGAGGGAGGGGGTCGCGGCGCGCCGAGCCGTTGCTCTCGTAGGTGCGCAGGCGGCCGGCGCCGTCGCGGTAGGTGCGCTCCCTCTCCCTCTCCCGGCCGCCGTGGTCCCGATCGCGGTCGGGGCGTCGGCGGGGGTGGTCGTCGTCGTCGTCTCCTGCTTGGGAGGGGGGCGGGGACGGGATCCCTCCCGTGGGCCGGTAGCGGCTGCGAGGGCTGGGCGGGCGGGGTATGCGCCTCTCTCTGTCCGGCTCGATGGGGTTGAGCTGGATGAATTCTGGGAGCGGCTTGCCGGGTGAGCGGGGGGGTGGTTGTGTTGTGGCGTCGAGGTGGTTCTTGAGAGTACTACTTAGGAGAACTCGGGATTGACGATCGGCTCTCTCTGGCAGCAGGTGGCGGGAGATCTGTTTGGGCAGACGCTCCGGTTTGATGTCGAAGAGAGTGTCGGCGTTGATAGGTAAGGCCGCGACGACCATGGCTAACCGCTGTGATTCCTCGTTGGGGTAGGCCCGCATGGCCAGCGTCATCCATCGTGCCCAACCCGCGGGGGTCAAGCCTGGCACAGTAGGCCGGGCCTTGGGCTCAGCCGGGACGAGATAGTATTCACATCCCAGCTGTTGGTACAGCTCCGCTAGTCTAGCGGGCGGCGCACCCTGGCGGCCGCGGAAGATTTCTTCCTAACTGTCAGACACGACCTTTCTAGCAATCGGGGCAAGGACGACAAACCTGTGAAAGGAAAGGCTTCCAGCTCGAGTTTATGGTGCGAGTAGAACGCAGCCATTTTCCCCGGTGTCACTACTAACGTATTCTGCGGCATGAACTCCTCCATCTGCGACATCGGTCAGTTGACGCCCCTTCTGACCACGGAGTATGCTTACAAGGTAGTTGCCGATTCCTCTAACGACCTGTTCCCATCTCTTGGTGGGAACGTCGTCCTTGTCGAACAGCACTCCCCATTTTCTATCAATGGCACTCAGCTCCTTGGGCGGGTCTGGCACTGGTCCGAGTGGCTGTTGCGGCTGCTGCTGCTGCGGCGGCGGCGGTGGCGGCGGCGGCTGTTTATCCCATTGCACGCCAGGGGGCTGCCGAGGAAATGGCGGTGCGTTCGGTGCTTGTTGAGGAGGAAACCCGCGCGGAGCGGGGGCGAAGGGAGGGACCGGTTGAGGCCTAGGAGCAGACATATTTGAAGGTGTCATCCCAGGCGGTTGCTGCACCGGGTCCTTGATGGCATTGCCTTCATGTGGCGTGGGACTCGGCGCCTGCTTCACTACACGGCATGTCAACAACAGCATGAATCAAGCGGAAACAAGGTGCCATACACTCCTCTTTGATCATCTTCCTGATCTCGGTGAGAACATCAAGTGGTGACCCCTGCCCTGGGGGCTGGGGAGGCCCAGGAGGAGGGACCCAGTGGTTGCCCTGGGGTTTCGCATTCGCAGGTGCCACGAATTCTCTTGGTCGCCCGACGTTGGGTGTGGCCTCCTCGGGTTCATCCTCCTCCTCTTGGTCAGAACCACTGTTCGACTCGTCATCCGAGTAGCTCCCATCCGTCATGTCATCGTCTTCGGCATCATGAATAGTGGGATGAGGAGACGGTGGGAAAGGGAATGATCCTCGGTTCACCGGGAAAGGAGCAGGGGCAGGCGGCGGCGGCGGGGCAGGTCCTTGCCAAGGGACCCAGTTGGGTGTTTGCGAGGCCATAGTGTGAGTTGAACACGGAAGATGTCAACAGTACCGTTGACTTCAGGGTGCAGAAGCGGGATGCATGTGTGCAGGAAAGGGTATCGACATAACTGGGGCCGTGGAGCTGGAGAAATGAGTAGCGGAAACTGCAAGCTGCCGGCTCGAGCCAGATATACCTGTTCCTCATTCCTCACCATCTATGAGCCTCACCACCTCATCCGACAGTACCGACCTCGTCCCGGGCAACAACATCACTCAGGCGGACCACACCAAAGATCGGCGTTGTCCGCCTCGCCGTTCTTCCATCCACACTTCGATCCCCCGATCAGGGACAGGCCAAGAAAGAGGCGAAACACGAAGTGATCCATCACCTCGCCTCAGAAACCCAATTCCAACCCAATTCGGAAGCCCATCTCGTCGTCCCCGGCGCAGCACACAAAACGCGTAAGCCAATCGCAACCGCAACCGGAACCGGGAAGTCCTCACTAAACTCCCAAGAATCTACCGATACACAACACCATGCAGTACGCAACAAACATTCCACCATCCCGTCACGAATCCATTTGCCTCGAGCAAGAATCAGGGATCCAAAGTATCCGTGTGTCGCCTCTGCCGTGTCATCCCGCATCTCCCGGTAAGCGGGGCGGAAGTGGCGCACCCCTTTCCGGCCCGATGCTTGGAAAGCAACATGCGCACTGCAGCCGGGCAACGGGCTAAGGCATTAATCAAGGAGACCCGAACGCCCGGTCAACCACGCATCACACAGCCCCAAATCTACCACCCTACCCGAAGACCGAGTTCGGTTTTAGTCTACCGCGCTTTACGCAATAATTAATAACAGCCTAGCTAGTATACACGCCCGTTATATGAAACTGGCCGGGCACGCTTCGCATCAACGCGTCAGCACCCACTTACACCAGGCAAGACACGGGAGATGGTGGTGGGAATGAGAGAGGTCATCCGCACCCTCCGACCCCCTAGTCATCATCCTTCGATAGCAATTCCGGACACCACCCAACTTCCTCCGCTGCCAGGTAAGGTAGCACTCACCTCTACCGAAGCAGTGTAATACACCATCCCGGACCACACCACACTTCAGCACACCGGACCCATCAACGCTGCCACCATCGTCCTGCCGCTTGCATCCCGTCCGATCGATCAGCACATCCACATGCCCCATCCCAGCCTACCCATTCCTAGGTAGGTAAGGTAGCCACCCGATACCACGCACCACAGCCCAACGCACATCACCTCACTGCAAGGCAAGGCAAGACAACGCAAGGCAACCAACCTACATACCCCAGCACAGAGAGATCACGATACCCTCCCCACCCGGCCGTCCGCTTGCCCGCCCGCATAGTATACCCAACCCGCAGCCCGCAGCCCGCATTCCACATTCCACAACGTCCACAACCTCGGGGACGCTACCCGCGCTCCCCGGAACCCTCCCGATTCAGTCCTCCCCGGAACCCTCCCTCTCAGCCTCCCCTCCCCTCCCCACATGCCCCTTTCCTCCCTCCCCTGCCCACATGCCCCTTCCCATGCCCCTCTCCCCTTTCCCCTGCCTACGCCCGTAAGCTCCTCGGCGGCACAGGTCCCCGTAGCCAAGTGCGCCCTACCCATACGTCCCACAACACCGCCGCTGCCTCGTTTCCCGTTTAACTTGGTAGCTGCCTTGCCGCGCTTCCTTCTTCTACTGCCGGGAAGCGGGCTCGGTGAGCGAGGCGGTGCTATGCCATGCCATACCATAACCATAACCATAACCAACCTCTCCGTCAATACGACCACGGGAATGGCCACACACATCCCGGGCAACACGGTCCCGAACACGGGGGGTATAGCTCACCGGGCTGCCTAGCTTACTACCGCGCGTCTCGGTTTCTCAATACGGAATATCGGTCACTGTCAGGTGGCGGTGGTGGGACTGAGAACTTGCACGCTTATATCATGGTGGCTGGCTAGGTAGCTATCTAGCTAATTAGCCCCGACATCCTTGGGGAAATCCGGCTCTAGAGTTCTCGATGTATCTCCGACTGCCATTCCATCGTACAATTCCTTTTTATATGAACCATCTGCCTTCCAAGCATCAGTTGGCGTTCTCCCTCTGATGAGGGAGGGCCTTGCTGATGTGTAATGTGGAGGGCCATGACGCCGCCTTCCAAGCAACTCCGTGCACGAGGTGAGAAGAAAAAAGAGAAACAAAGCTAAGAGACGAGGAGCCACTGCCTCGGAGATCCTCAGTTGGCGTAAATATCGGAATCAGACCCCATGTCGAGGCCGTCCGAGTCGCCATCCGAGTAGTGATCTGAGTTGTCGCTGCCCCCATCGACCCTCTCGGCCTTCAGATAGTCCGGGAGCTGGGGCGCGTGCTTACGGGACGGCTGGTTCATGTTTTAGTATCAACCCTACTTACGGCATGCTTGGAAGGGTCACTTACCACCTTGGCCCAACCACTTTTGTTCTGCTCCACAGGCTGGCGGGGGGTAGTTGTCCCCGTGCGGGCGCTGCCTGACGCGACTGTTGGGGTCTTGACCATACGAGCATATTCCCCGTTGGGCCCCCAAGCGTTGAAGGGGACGGGCTCCCTACCGGCCGGGCGTTCAGTTGCGGTCATGTCGCTGCTGCTGGCAACCGAAATGCTGTCGGATGTACCGGTCGCCAACTGCCGAGACCAGGTCGGTCGTCCGCCCATATCGGGGATGAGCCAGTGCGGCGCTCTCGTTTGCACCTGTCCGAGATGCATGGGGTTCAAGTTGTCCGACCAGTTGCCGTATTGAACTGATTCCGTCTCGGAAATGCTCTCGGTGCCCCCAAGCGTCGACATGCGCTCTGAGCGATCGTCCTCGGTCCCGATAGAGGACTAACAATGATCAGCAAAGGATATCGAGAACCGCAGGCGAAGATGGGACATCGTTACCTCAACTTCGTTGAGGTCCACGTCATAGCTCTCAACGGCCGCGCGGTCTCTCGATGGAGGGCCGACTTCCTCAGCCGATAGCTGGGCGCCCGGAGCCGGCAGCGCCTCTCCGTTCTCCGTTCTGAGCTTCCAATCCGTGCAGTCGACGCACCACTACATGATAGGTAAGAAACACAACCAAGCGTCAGGATTCAGGCCGAAAACTCACTTGAGTTCCACTGCGAATCGTGTTCTTGCTGAAAAACTTCTTGTCCCTGACGTGATGGCAAGGGCCTTTACACTGCATCTCATGGGCGGGCTTGTTCGAGTGCTCGATGCAGCGGATTCCGGTCTTGGACGGAGTCGCATGTGCGTAGCGGGCTTCTCGGTCGTACTTGTTAAGCTGTCGGTTGGAGAAGTGCTCGCGAGTCTTCCACTCGCCCTGCTGGCAGCGCAGCCGTTCGGATGCCATGATGGAGGTTTAAATTGCGTGAATTCACTAATCGAATTCGGAGTGTCAGAGGTGAATTTGAAGGCGGGCCTACTTCTCGATTGATGTGCGATGGAGGGAAAGTGGCAGCGTGGGCGGCAACTTGACTCACGATCCATAGAGAGCACGAGCAAAAACTCGGTGCTTCAGGTCGTGCGCAAGAAGGAAAGAGGAGGCAGGGGAATGAGATAGCTAGAACGGGTTGAAAAGTTTCCCGATGGGACTTTTCCCGGAAGGAAGGCCGAGGATCGCTTGATAACGAAAATCGCCGAGGTACTTACTGGGCAGATATGATCAATTATCTCAGGCTGCTCTACCGACTCAAAATCCTATTTTGCGGGAGTTAATATGGCAGAAAAGAAGAATACCTCGCGACTCTGGCGAGGAGGTTAGACTGGGCTTGTTCTGCTGCCCGCCTCTACCTAGGTAGGTTCCGGTTGGATTTCGGCGAGTCCCCTCCTAGGTCCGGCTTTCTAGCACAGTAATTGGCGAAGAAAATACCAGTTTTGGGGCCTTCAAGTTGGGTAGGGAAGCGGAGGCAGGGAAGCGGCCCCTTCCTCTAGTGAACCTGATGTAGAGATGATTAGGTCGGGAGCCAAAACGAGATGGAAAGAACAAACTGGCGAAAAAGCCTGGAGTAGTCTGCACGGCCCAGTACCTATCGGGAAAGTGCAATCACCTAGCACTGTATTGAAACTTAAATTTGTGACTCGCATAGTAGATAAGGTAGATAAATGCACACATGTTGATGTTGAGATGCCGTGCTCAATGATAATTACCTCGACTTCAACTGTTAAGATCACAGCGAGCAATTCGAGATTATACACTATGATGAAATCGCACAAATAATTTTACAGTATTCAATAGAGAAAGATATATAATATGAAATCGATGAGGAGGGTATTAGTAGTAGAAAAGAAAGAAGGTAAACGAGGCGATACCTGACCGTTTGCCTTGAGCCCTAGCCGATGACTCAGCGCCGACGCTTTTTACACCAACCTATATAACCACATGATTGATACCTTGATCGTGCTTTTGGTCCCGTTATTGTGCCGAGAAGAAGATAATGGAATCATCGATGGTTTTGCCCCATCTTCCATTTCAGACCTCCGCGCCTCAATTTTGCCCACGTCACCGAGTTTTCCAGACAAATAGATACTAGCATGTACGTAAAGCGAGCACTTATTGATTACCATTTAGACACTTTGCTTACCAGAACACCGCCTAGGGCCCATAGGACGACTCCCAAAGCGACCCCTTTGCCATGGGAAATGGCTAAATCTTTCCAACTCCAAGTAGTAAAGAGTTGTTGCGATTGGGCATTTTCCGATATCTCTCAACCAGACAGCGCAATGACTCGGACCGTCGGCATCTACAGCATCACCATGTCTCCGGTGTTGAACGTCGTCTTGTTCGGCATAGACGAGTTGGGCCACAAGTTTCATTTCCAGGCTATACTAAAGCTCTATGACCGTCGGTTTGGCGAACGCCTTCGCATGTGTTTGGGCGAACACGTGCCCCATACAGCGGAACGCGAGCTGGCTTTCCAGTCATTTGTCCGGCGGGGGATGATGGACCGCTTTCTTCGCCGAAGGGAGGAAGTCCCCGAGGGCGAGGAAACGCAAAGACCACGCGGGAAGAAGCTTGAAGGCTCCATCAGTACCACATCCCGCCCATCTCCGCACAACGAATACCTCGACTCGGAATTCGATGCCGAATTTGAGGCTGCCGTGTGGGAGGAGTGCAAAAGAAACTTCAACTGCGAAACCCAAGCTTACGATCGGTTGAAAGACCTCCAGGGCAAGTTGATGCCGTGAATGTACGCCCATGTGCGTCTGCCGATCCCCAACGTGCCACAAGACTTGCTGGACTCTCCAGATACCGCACAGTATTTTGAAGTCAAAGGCGTCATCCTCGAACGAGTCCCTGGGTACCCTCTAAACGAGCTACCCACCTCTCCTCTAGCTCCATCAAACATGGTGCTATGGCCAGGCATTGTGCAGGCCGCCGTTGATGCCGTGCATGAGGTTGACAGTCGTGGGGTGCTCAACAATAATTGCGCGCCATACAATATTGTGGTCAACTGCCGCTCGCATACGCCCTTCATCGTCTATTTTGCGAGCTGCGACTTTAAGGAACTGCTAATTCAACGATGGAAGGATACTGGAAGAATGGATGACGATGACGATCCGGAAATTGAGTACTGGGAAGAAGTTGTGACAGCCAATAATGAGGGAGCGATTGGAGCAGCTATGACGGCGAGACTACGACGGATGAAGGGTTTAGAGTTGAAGATTCGGTATCCGAATAGCCAGAAAATACTCGAGGACACGAAGAAGAGCAAGGGAATTGAGTCGACAAAAGACAGGACCGGTAGCAGTGGGTGGAAGATAATGTACTGAACCGGAGTACTTCGTACACACCTGAATCCAGCGGCTGGTTCAGTTTCACACAGGCAACTGATTCCTACGGGCTACACAAACAAGAGAGCGAAATCTCCTGGTACTTAATTGATGGATATCTACTTGGTTATCCCCCTCCCCCCCTGACTCCCTATTTTTTGGCTTGTTGTAAAACTTGGTTGACAGTTCGCTGTTGGGACATCAATTTTCACTCTTAGAACGTGAGAGGCAACGAATAACCTACACCGGAGCCACTGCCAGCCGAGTTACCCGACGAGCTACAATCTTGAAGAAGACAAGGTTAAATCTAACGTAGCGGAAAAAAGACAGATAGCACTCCCGTACCGTGTCTGCAATTACAACTTGGCTGGAGATACCGGTGTGTGGACAGGGAATACACAAGCCAGCTTCCAGAGCACACCACTGAGACCAAGAACAACGAGCAACCCACTTTCAAAACAACGACCAGACATACTTTCGACTTCCCTGGGCCAGCCGCCCGAGAGTACGGCTGTGGCTGTGGCGGCGACGGCGGCTCAGCACCCGTCCGAGCAGGCTGAGTTCGGCGTCGAATTCCTGGATGCGGCGCCAAGGTTGTGGCAATATCTTCCATGCCGACGATCCGGTCTGTGTCTTTGACTTTGTCTCTGGTGTGTCCGTATTCAAGCATGGGGGTCTTGGCCTCCCGGAGTTGTGCTCGATACTCGGGCTCCCGAACTATCTCGATTACTTGGTACCTCACCTACCTTGATCCCCACGTGAACTTTTTGGACCAATCTATTTATTCCATTCGCTTACCAAGTTGTCTCAGTCTCAGCCGCCATCGATTGAAACCAGCGACAGAAAAATCCATGATTCCCGACCAAAAGGGACGACGCCGAACTGAGTGCCCATGGGCCCGGGCCGGGGATGGTGGTCAAAGAGCGAAGCCGAAATCAAGAGATCGACTTTTGGCTCGTTCGCTAGTGCCAGCCACGCCAGCCCCCCAGGCCAGGATTCAAGGAAACCCATCGCTTTTGATTCAGATCAGTGCAGCTGCCCGAGCTCAGCGAGCTGACAGGCTTCCCCACCTTTTGCTGACCTATTCTGGCCAACGAGAAGCGTGAGAATGCAAAGCTCAGCCTGATTACAGATTACAGGTCCCGCACACAGCCTTTCCCTCCGCCGCAGCGCATGTTTGACACGCGTCATGGCGGAATGGCGCATAAACTTCGATATGCCGTTTCCTGCAGCCAAAACAACCGCCCGGGGTCGGCAGGAAGAAGCCTCTCCGCTCGCATGAAGCTCCGGCGGCGAACGGCGGAAGGAGCTTCGCTCATCAAAAAAGCTCTTCCAGAATGCGGGGCAACGAAGCCCAACCTCGCCAACCACCGGGCCGCGAAGTGGTCCCCCCCGTCGACCGATTGCTGGGGGCCTCCTGCTCCCGAGGAAAATTACAACCGACCAGGGGTCCGCGTGCGCGCGCGACTTCAGCGATCCTCCAACTTCTTTCCCAAGTTCACGGATGGGGAATCGCTAGCTCGGCCGCGGCGGAACTTCCGGCGGTGGTGCCGAACAAGGGGGATTCCTGCCACCGGTGCCCGGGGTCTTACTCAAGGGGGCTAGGTTGGGTGGCGAGCTGCAATTTCCCATCCTCATGGAACGGTCTTGCGGTTTGTGCCTTGCCGGTTGCTGTGGAAGAAGGGTGGGATACGAACGTGGAGCGTAAAATCCGCCGTGCTGTTCGGGAATCTTGCGCCTTTGTTACGCCGAGCTGACGTCTGTACATGTGAACAGAAGACGGGAGGATGGAATCAGCAAGGGCTCGAAACCGTTGATGCTGGGGAGCTGAACGCGGCACTCGCGGCGCCGCATTTTCCAGAAGCCCGCCCGCGCAACGGCAGCGTCGTAACGGTGTTGCTATCGACAGAATTTTCATCGAAGCCATGCTCTGGTGCCACGCTGTGAGTTCAGCCTATTCACGTGAGAGTCATCCCCAGTACATACAGATTACTGTGTAGATGTGTAGTGTACACAGTGTTTACTGCTTCACGATCTTTCCACCGACTGCCAAGAGTGTTGATGAATCAGACCAGGCTTGGTGCTCAAGGGGGGTAGCCGATACCCGACTGCTAACAAACGACACCCCACCTTTGGAGTTTGATAGTTAGTGTCGAAAGTTTCCAAAACCTCGCGGCGTTGACGTGCCTCCGTGCCACAGCCCCTCACCAGCGGGAGCAGAGAATGGCCTGTGCTGCCAACGCCTCGACCAGAGCAGCGGGACCGAGTCCAAGGGAGGCACAGGTCCATCCCCGTCTGTGTCCCATCACCCCTGGTGGTTGTTCCGCATGGAGGGGCAGGCTTGACATCTACGCAGGAGGGAAGCTTGAAGAGGCTTCATGTATTCGTATGTAAGTGAGCTAGCCTTCTTGTGGATTGCACATCAAAACATTCACTGGAGGATGGAAAATTGCATCCTCGTCGCCCCGCTCTCGCGTGGCTCGTGATGTCGAAACTCATTGACATTCATTTGCAGAATCCGTCAAACATCTCGATGCTCGCCGTTCCTCAGCCATGGCGGCTTGGCGAGTTGACTCTTTTGGGATCGAAAACCGACCGTCTGCCCCCTTTCGGGCGGGGCCAGAGACGTGAAGAGGTAAATTAGCGCGAGGCATTATTGGAACACTTGCACCGTCGCGAACCCCACACACCCGGGGCCTCTCAGGGCCGTATCCGTCCCTCCGCGTCGCTCGCTCCGTCATTGATGCAACACCGTTATTAGCCCGCGTCGCAGGACGTGATGGGGTGACGAGCGCGCGCACTCTCTGAAACAGCAGCTTTTCTTAACGAGCTTGCCGCCCCATCACCTATTGCCTTTTCGCTGCGGGATCGCGTCCTTGTTTCGTCCGATGAATATGATTTCTCGCACCCCCGACCTCTCCTGTTCCAAGTCACCGGCGCGTCCGTTCCGCTCTTCGAACAAAACATGGAACCCTGCAAAAACGATGGCCGTTTTGAGACATGTGGGTCCGGCGGAGTGGCTGTCGAATGGGGCTACGATCGTGCCTCGTCGACACGAACCGAACCACTTGATGTTTTGGTGTTGCGAATAGCAGTCGATGCTACCAAGACCACTTTGCCCTTTCGACGAATCTGCATGCTGGCGAGCTGCGGCGGTGGCTCTCGTCAGATCGTTATTGGCGCACCTCCCACTCTTGCCCATTTCCCCTCAAAATAGCGGGTTTGGTAGTTTTCGCGTCCAATGGCACATGCTGAGGGCGACGGGAAGCTCGACCTTGGCGACAGCCGAGTGTCCAACGGTCAAGCGCACCGGTTACGGGTGATGGGGGATCAGCCTGCCCAGACTGTTGTGACTTTCCGCGTCACGTTGATGTCCATCAACGATGGAGGTCCGGAGCCGAGCAACCGCAAGAAAATTGCAACGACCACACTTGTTGTTGGGTCTAAAAGAGTTGCGTCGGACCGATCAGACACCAAAAAAAGGAAAAAGACGTGTGGTGTATGTACTGTGTACCGTGTAGACTTCCTATCCGCATCAGAAGCAAGTGGTCGTTTGCTTCCTTCCCGCGAGAGCGGTCCCCCAACCAAGAATTCCCCCCCTCCCCCTCCGCGGCTAGGATAAGCGGTGGGTAGGTGCCACCAGCTAGCGTGCCGGTCTGGCAGCACCCGAAGGCTCATCCAACGCGAATTCGCACTTTGATTCCCAATAAGCACTGCCGGAGTGATCTTGTCGCATCGCACTTTGCTTTTTTCATTCTCTTCAAACCCCGGCTAGACTCAATTTGCGCTCGAGAAGAGCAACACTCGACGGGCCGCTAGCGAAATTGGGTCCCCTATCGTTTTTCTCGAAGCCTACCACCCCGGCTCCAGCGATTCATGCTTGGGGAGACAGGCCCATTTCCCACAGAACGGCAGCCGCTCCTCTTTCCCCAGCGTCTCGAAACCCGACCGATGCAAAAATAGTCCACGATTCCGCCTCGCGACCCGTGAGAGGGAAGCTCGCTGCTCTTTTCTCGAATTTTGCTCGTCCTGCTCCGTTCGTTCGGCCTGCGCTGTTTCTCTTTTGCCTGCCTTCGCCTGTCTTGCAGCGAGAATAGAGCGTTTCAAAGCGCGAAACCCGCAAGATCCGACACTGTGGGACTCTGGGAACACGCTTCAGCTCCAGGCCCCGACGACACCGATACACCAACGCTTCCCCCTCCCCGTCCTCGCTCCTTATTACAGACTCGCATCGGACAAGGCCGTTTGACTGGGCATTTCCGTTCTTCTGGAAAGCCAATTTCGATCTTTCTGGCACCCGTTGCTTCGGTTCGCGCTAACTGGGCTTGCTGTTACACTCACAAGAGCTCCGTTTTCCGACGGGCCCTGGCCATCGGTCCACCCACCCGCAACGCGAAAAGATCCTGGCCTCGGTCCTCCTCCCCAAAACCCTGCCACCACCACCGACCTCCTTTTTCCACCGTTCAATCATTTCATGTCGCTCCTTTTCTGAGTCAATAACACTCGTCCACTCCTTTGATCTCGAAATCTCCAACTATTTTCACTCCTTGAATACAATCGCGACGCTTTGATCGCACGCTGCCGATCCCGACGACGGTCCTCCGAATTGTGCGACCACTACACACAACACCCCCCCGACGGCATCATCTCCTCCACAGACAGTTTCGCCTTGGTCCGCTACATCGTCGCTCTTGAATGCCCCGGTAAATAGTCCGTGGCTCTTTTGCGAAGAGCTTGCTGCTTGCAGTTCGTCCCGCCGCAGTGCGTCAGGGGTCGTTCACCTGCAGCTGCAGCATCAGTTCGAACGAAGACCTCGGGTCACGGATCACGGCCTGGGACTCGACAGCTACATATTCTTTTTTAATTCATTTTCGGCAAGATGACGGTAGCGCACGATTTGACCCGCAGGGGGTCCACTCAGGTCATCAATGGGATGGCACTCGAGGACAGGTTCGAGGTGTTGAAGGAGATTGGCGATGGCAGCTTTGGGAGCGTAGTCCTCGCCCGGGTACGGAGTGCTGGTGCAAGTGTCGCTCGCCGCGGCACAGTGGTACGTTTGTTGTGTCTCTAATGCCTGTTGAGTTTGCGCTAACGTTGTGCTACAAGATTGCCATTAAGACGATGAAGAAGACCTTTGACTCGTTTACAGCATGCATGGAATTGAGGGAGGTGGTCTTCCTTAGGACGCTGCCCGTCCACCCTCACCTAGTTCCGGCGCTCGACATTTTTCTTGATCCCTTCAGCAAGAAGCTTCATATTTGCATGGAGTACATGGAGGGGAATCTTTACCAGCTAATGAAGGCGAGGGATCACAAGTGCCTCGACAACGGCAGCGTTAAGAGCATCCTGTTCCAGATCATGCAAGGTCTTGAGCATATCCACGCCCACAGCTTCTTCCACCGAGACATCAAGCCCGAGAACATCCTCGTCTCTACCTCGGCCCATTCCGACTACACCAACTCATTCAGGCGATACTCCGCTTTGGTAACGCCCCCTTCCACGCCGCCGACTTACACCGTTAAGATCGCCGACTTCGGGTTGGCGCGCGAGACGCATTCGAAGCTACCTTACACGACCTATGTCTCGACAAGGTGGTACCGCGCACCAGAGGTGCTTCTGAGGGCCGGCGAGTACTCGGCGCCCGTCGATATTTGGGCTGTCGGTGCCATGGCTGTGGAGGTGGCGACCCTGAAGCCTCTCTTCCCCGGCGGAAACGAGGTCGACCAGGTGTGGAGGGTGTGCGAGATCATGGGAAGCCCTGCGGTCTGGACTAACAAGGCTGGTCTTCCCGTCGGTGGTGGCGAGTGGAGAGAGGGGACCCGCCTCGCCGGGAAGCTCGGCTTCTCGTTTCCCAAGATGGCGCCGCATTCGATGGACACGTTCCTGCCGACTCCGCAATGGCCTGCTTCGCTTGCTCGCTTTGTCACCTGGTGTCTGATGTGGGACCCGAAGAACCGCCCGACGTCGTCGCAAGCGATTGCCCACGAGTATTTCGCCGACGCTGTTGATCCGCTCCGGCCCAGGTCGTCGGCATCCAAGATCCTTGGACGCAAGCAATCCGATGTCAGCCGGGGAAAGGACTCCGTCACTTCAACACCGACCTCGACTAAGCCATCGTGGTTCAGGAAATCCCTGATTGGGCGGACAGAGAGCGTGGAGGCCATGTCTGTGGTTCCGCAGCCCGTGGTCAAGGAAACCGTCGCTGCCCGTCCTTCGCCCGTCATCCCGTCAGAGCCACCTGCGCCCAAGCCAAGGGCGCCGCCGCAGAAGAGGACGACTTGGGCAAATGGCCCGTCCAATGTTGCGCCAATTCACATTCTCCCGACGATTCGCCCCATTTCCCCTCTGTCCGACGCCGTTACTGCCCAAGCAAACAACCGCGCACATTACGAAAACGGGAGCAGAGTTGCGCCAGTCGACGAGAAGGGGTCCAAGAAGATTGGCCGTCAGCTGTCAGTGCAATCAAGCACGAACCACTACGCCGAGATCCACAGGCAACAAGCCGAGAGGGCGCTCAATGGAAACTCGGGCATGGTCTCGCCGACGAGCGGCTATAAGGAGAGCTTCTTTTCCCACCTGCGGAAGCGTGCGAGGAGGTTCTCTGGGAGGCATCAGACGCCCATCTCGCCAGCTTACGATGACCTCGAAGCCCAGGCTGGTTGCGGGCCGTGGGGGAGTAACAGGTCGTCTATGGTGATGGACAGCCCGCCTCCTGCGCCTGTCCCAAAAGACACTTACGATTCTTTGGACAAGAAGATGCAGGTTTCCGACGTGCCTCCCGCACCACCAGCGCATCAAGTAACTTCGAGCGGCCATCTCAAGCGTCACCACTCGTTGCCCCACCACCAGCCTAGGTCTGTCGATAACTTGATGACCACCACTCGGGTAACGGGTCCGGTATCGAGCCGCACACGGAGGTCGCACGCTGTCCACGACGTCAACCAGTACGATGCCCCGGATGAGGAGGACGAGCTTCTCGACGAGGTTCTGACCTCAACCCACCGGGCCATGAAGCGCCTGGAGAAGAATGACTCGGCACAGCATGCTGTCGCCGTTATGGGCATGGTTGACCCCTATCCGACACCCTCGCCATCCGCGAGCGGCAATGTGATGCTCTTTGGCGATGGCAAGGAGGCCATTACCCCCAAGCCTCTGAACTTCCACAAGCCGACGGCCGAGCAGAAGTGGCCCACTCCTCCATACGACGAAGGTGACTGGGCGGCTTCGGCTTCGGCGAGCATTTGGGCAGCGGGTAGCCGTTTCTAAACCGTCGAAAAAACGGTCATCTTCAGCTGCGATCCATATCGCTGTCTCTCTCACTCTCACTCTCTCTCACAAAAGTCTTGTTCCTGGCTGGGTTTCATGGGACGGTGTTGGGGCTTGAATTCGTTGTTTGGGTGGCATCATCATACACTCTCGGTCGCATCGCTCATTGTCTCGACTTACTCTTTCGGCTTTCGGATTCCTTGCGGCGGTGTCTGTCACGACGACAGACGTTCGAATTTTCCTCTCGCTCTCTCTTTTTGCGCATCATTACACCACCCACGCTTTCTGGTCGTGGCGCTTCACTTCGACGTATCGCGAATACCCTGGAGGCGGATGCTGTTGTCGCCTGCCTTGTTGAAAGTACGGATTCTAATAATCTTGTCATGGATTTCTTGTCTCGTTTCAATTCGTTCTGCCGTCGCAAATACTACAATACCCCCCTATATATAGATTGGAGGAGAAAAGGCTGGATAGGACTTTCCTTGGTCGTCACCTATCCCGCCACGGGCTGCTGCTGCTCGCTGCAGACATCATATCGGTGTTGATATTTCCTTTGTCGTTTTACAAACACCACACCACACACATTGTCAGGGTTAGTTGGGTTGGGTGATTGGGCGGAGGTTGGATGCGGAGGAGGATTTGTTGGTATTTATCGATCTTACTGTCCTTTATTATCACTCGACATATCTATCACCTCACCACGCACACAACTCACCCTACATGTCGTTTGTCATTGTGCACATACCCACTACTGCCTTCATTTCCCAGAGAGAGAACTCGGCCAGAGCGTCATCGTCAATTATCACCATCGCTGCTCCAGTCAAGTCCTCGTGTGCTGCACTATCTCTGGAGCTCTTTCGTCGTCTATTTGTCATTTTTGATCGCGCTGCCTGTAAACTTGCCTCTTTCTCCGTTCTTGTATCACCAACCGTTTTGCGAGCCTGTCTTGTTTTACCTTTTCACCGCGCTGGATACCGTGGTTAATTATTCACCAACATATCAATACAATGCAGTCAATCCGACACTTAACTCGGTTCTCATCTTTCACAATACAAATGAAGCAGTTGGCTGTCTCTTCCGCAAAACTACTTGTACATTACATACACCGCGCGGCTCGTGCGCGGTAACGAACAGAAAGAGAAAAACAAATGATCACCACAAGGTCCTCTTTCCGTCCACAGTATCCCGTATCTCCATACTATGTAACAAGCCATGCCACCAGCGCCCTTGAAGACGATCCGTTGTCTCACTTTTCAAGAGATCCTCTTGCCTATTCCAGCCATGAGGATCGAGCCCATGGAGGAGCGAAGTGGGGTTCGGGGGGCGTGCTCGTGACGCTTTGTGACTTGGGGAGCACGGCTCAGCGCAGCAGCCATGCTCGGTGGGTTATCCGAGACATGGAGACTTGGGGGACAGGGGAGACATGGTGACATGGGCGCGCGCTGGCTGAGGTTTTTTCATACGTAGTATGTATGTAACGAAAACTAGTGTAGACTACATTGCAAAATGGCCTGACTGACTGGGGGGGAAACGGTCGGGAGGGGCGCGGATCGGCTGTCACATACGCTAGTTTACTTGGTATGGAGTGTAGTGGCGAATGAAGAAGTTGTTATTGTCTGTGTGTGCGTGTGTTTTCGGGAATATTTTATGGGTGGTGTTTTTGGGGTGGGTGGCTTGGCTTGCTTTTGGGCTTGGGGGGGTTTCTTCTGCTTGTTGGACGCCACCCCCTTTTTTGTCTTCTTTTTTGTCACTTATCAGATCTTGTTGCTTTCTGTTTCTTGATTGATAGGATGGAGGTGTTTTGGGAGGCTTTTTTGGGATGCAGGTCCCGTTTTGCTTGTTGTTTGTTTGCTTTCCCTCGATAAATTTATCACTCGAGGTTTGCCTGACTCGTTGATTCCTTCCCCGCCTCCTCGACTCAAGGTCTTGAGCGAGTCATCGAGTCATCCCGTTTTAGGGTTACTGCCGATGATGCATGTTTTGCGAGACCGAGGTTGGGAGAATTGACGCGCGGCAGCATGAATGACTCCTTCCGTCCCATTCCCAGGCAAAAGTTGAGGATGCCCTCAATTCGGAATGCCGGTTCTCACGTGACTCACCAGCTTCCTGCGACTGTGTATGGAGTCCCCACTTTTCAGGCACGCCCACCGCAGGCGAACGGTCGAACCCCTGAGGCTCGAGCCAGGCTCCCAGGCCAGCCAGGCACGCGCCAGGGCACCCCGCCTTGGGGGTCGAGTCCCTGCGCGCACACACCATCCCATCATAGGCAGCAGCATTCGATACGCCAGGACTCGACGACCAGCCCGACAGCCCGCCAGGCCATTCCGCCGCATTGTTGAGCTTGCGTCACGGCATCTCGACTTCCTGCCGGCCGTTTCCTAGCCCGCCCCTGTATCAGTACAGTACGTCATTTGTTTGTTCTCGCTGTAAGGGCCACCCGCCAGCGCCCCTCGCCAGCGCCCCTCCTCGGGCACCTCAGCCCACCAAAAAGGAAGCCCCGCCATTTCATCCCATCTCATCCTGCCTCTCCTTCACGCTTCCCATAACCAAGCGCCGCCTGGGTGCGCGAGGCTGAATTGGAGGGTTGTATTTCAAGGGGATTTGTTGGTATTATATATTGTCGGCTTTGCATTTTTCCTTGTTTATCTTTTTGTGAGTTGATTGTTGGTCGTTGTTTATATACCGAGGTTGTCTCGAGTCCGTGTTTATTATCGGTGTTAAGACGATACCCGGCAACGAGCCGTCCCGCTCGTCTCTAACGCTACTAGTGCGTCGGCCAGTTTTATATCTTTTTTGTATCTTCATGCCATGAACGTATAGTACGTCGCAGGGAAGCAGAGCAGATCGATCGCCGTCACCATGAGCATCTCCCTGCCCATGCACCCGTCTCCGAGTCAGAGGAACCGCAAGAGCAGGGACTACTTCACAAACAACTCGGCAACCTCTCCAGGGACTCCAAGTGGCCCGCTGAGAGAACTAGCCTTGGAGCCGCCGTCTATCAACGACCGGCTTATCGTCGGCGTCGACTTCGGAACTACCTTTTCCGGGTGAGTGCTCCGTTCCCGCTCCCGCTCCCGCTCCACTTATACACACGTCCGTCTCATATCTCGGCCCAGAGGCTAGTCGGCTAACACAACGTCAGGGTTGCTGCTGTCTACACCGGGACACCAGACGACGTCGAAATCATCAAGACATGGCCGGGCGGCAATGGCATCACATCGGACAAGGTCCCGACCGAGATCTCGTATGACCTCCCAGCCGATGCGGCCGCCGGGACCGCCCCCACGGTAAAATGGGGCTTCCAGTTCCGGCCCGAGGAGTCACGCCTCCGATGCATCAAGCTGTTTCTTGACCGCTCGCAGAAGCTGCCTTTCTATGTTAGCCCCTTGGAGACGGCCGCCCAGCTCAAGCGGTACAACAAGACGGTCGTCGATGCCGTGAGCGACTACCTGACCCAAATATACAAACACACAATGGACACCCTCCGCCGCCGATACGGCGAGTCCTTCATGGCCTCGACCAAGGTCGACTTTGTCCTGACGTGTCCCGCCGTGTGGTCTGACGCCGCCAAGAACACGACCCTCCAAGCGGCCGAGAGAGCCGGCATGGGTTCGCAATCGCAGATTCAGATGATCAGCGAGCCCGAGGCCGCCGCTGTCTACACTCTAAAGGCCATACAACCGAATCACCTCAAGGTTGGAGACAATTTTATCGTCTGTGATGGCGGCGGCGGCACTGTCGAGTGAGAACCCCCGGATGGGCTGAGGAAAAACGCCAACGTACTGACGAATGAACAGTCTAATTGCTTACAAAATCGTCTCGTTGAAGCCGATTCGCGTGGAGGAGTCTGCGGTCGGGACAGGCGGGCTCTGTGGAAGCGCCTTTCTCAACTACCGCTTCGAGGAGCATGTGAAGAACCGCATCGGCCAGACTCGGTTTGATGAGATGAAGACGAAGAAGGGCAAGACATGGCAGATGGGGCTCCGGTACTTTGAGGAGTTTGTTAAACGCAACTTCAACGAGGACGAGCACCAGGAAGTAAACGTTCCGTAAGGGAGCCCCGACGACCTTGTGCGAACCTCTAACTGACTGTCTAGCTTCCCTGGTCTCCCCGACGACGAAGAAGCCGGCCTCGACTCGGGCTTCCTCGTCATGTCAGCAGAACAAATCAAGGACATCTTCGACCCAGTTGTCAAGGAAGTCTGCGACCTCGTCCAAGGTCAGGTAGATACCCTCCGCGCCAAGGGCGGCGTGGTCTCGGGCATCATCCTCGTCGGTGGCTTCGGCCAGAGCGATTACCTCTACCGCCGCCTCAAAAACCACTTCACCAGCGCCGCGCCGCCCCCCTACAGCAAGATACCCACCAACGCCAACGCCAACACCGACCTCAGCGAGCACCCCTCCATCGAGGTGATGCAGCCCGTCTATGCATGGACGGCCGTCGTGCGCGGCGCCGTATTACGCGGCCTCGAGGGCAACATGGTGATATCCCGCAAATCCCGCATGCACTACGGCACGTCGTACGCCACCATCTACGACGAAGCCAAGCACTCGGTCTCGGAGCGGTACTGGTCGCCTCTGTGGGAGCGCTGGATGGTTTCAGACCGAATGCAGTGGCACATTGCCAAAGTGAGCCCAACCCCCTTCCCGATCTCCACCACCACCAAACCCACCCCCCAAATACTAACCCCCCACCCAGGGCGAAGCAATATCCCCCCTCCAGCCCATCGCCTTCCACTACACGCGCAACTTCCGCTCGGGCCAGTCGCTCGCCGTGACCGACGACCTGATCGCCTGCGAGGCCGACGAGCCGCCCCGCGCCTACACCCGCGACCTCGTGCACGTCTGCACCCTCACCACCGACCTCAGCGCCGTGCCCCGCAGCCTCTTCACCCGCCTGACCACCACCCGCGGCGTCGAGTTCGACAACCTCGATTTTACGCTCGAGATGATTGTGGATAGTGCCGGGTTGGGGTTCGAGCTGAAGGTGGATGGGGTTAGGTATGGGAGGGTGGATGCGGATTTTCATTGATGGGGTGTGGGTGGTGCGGGGGGTGATGGGGTGGTTATTGGGGGTTGGATTAGGACTGAGCGAGCCAGGCGTTGTGGGGAGGCATCGAGTTAGTCAGTTAGTTGCTGGTCCTCGCCGAAGTTAACCAGTTGGATATATCTAGGAAATATTGATTCATAGGGAGACTCGGACAGTGTTTTACTGAAGCAATAAACTCTCCTCAGTCACCCTTTACTCTGCCAGCACCCCTTCAAACTCCCCATGGACTTAGTACGTGTTGACATAACAACCCCTTTTTATTCTCCCCTGCCGAATAAACAACGCTTTTTTACCTCACCCAAAATGCCTACCCTATCACCCCAAACCCACCCAGACATCACCCACTCATCACCCGGACTTCCCCTTCCCCAACAACGACAACCTCTCAAAAGCCCCCACCACAGGCGGCGTCTGCCTCGCCCGCATCGCCTCCAAGCTATCAAACAACACCCCATCCCCGCCACCAGGCCGGTACCCCTCCGCAGCCGGGTCCCTCGTCGGCTCCTCCTCCACCCCCACCGCCGCACCATCCCCAACACCACCAGCAGCAGGCCAAACCTCCCCCACCGCCTTCCGACACGCCTCCTGCACACCGGCCATCAGCTCCTCGACAGCGCGCGCCCGCTCCGCCATGCCGCGGCGCGCGAGCCCAAAGACAAGCCTCTCGACCTCGGCGGCGGCCGCGGCCACACGCTCAACCAGCCGCCGCACCGAGTTGACGAGGTACTCCTCTTCATAAACGGTGCCCTTGCGCCCGCGCGCGCGCTTCTTCTCCTCGCGCCGGCGGTTCTTGCTCGTCGCGCGCGAGACGCCGGTCCCCGCGGTGCCGACGGAGCCCGACCCCTTGTTGGTGTAGCGCGTGAACAGGCTGGCCGAGGTGCTGGCGGCGCCGCCGCCGCGGGAGGAGGCCGCGATGGAGACGTCGTCGGGGATGTTGGCGTCGGTGGTGCCGTCCGCGTTGGTGCGGTTGCCGCCGCCGAAGGGGTTTTCGCCCTCGTAGAAGGCGAGGGGGTCCTCGCGGGCTTTGAGGCGGAGTTCGGCGATGCGGGGGACTTGGGCGTGGAGCTGGGCTTTGCAGTCGGCGAGGAATTCGGTGGAGGAGGAGAGCGCCTCGGTGAGGCCCGTGTCGATGGCGGTGGGGAGGAGGTCGGCGCGGTTGTGGAGGGCCGCGAGCCGCAGGGCGTCGGCGAAGAGGTAGCCCTTGCAGAGGTGTTGGATTGCGGCGGGGACGGAGGCGAGGTAGTCGAGGTGGATTGTGGCTGCCGAGGCGTAGTCCTTGGCCTCGCGGAGGGCGTCGGCGAGGGAGGTGGCGATCTCGGAGAGTTTGGCGGGCGACAGTGGCGGGTTCTGTTGTTGCGCGGCGTAGAGGCATTCCCGCCAGCAGGTGGTTCCCGCTTTGAGGTAGCAGTCTGTTGCGTCGGTGAAGTTGTCGAGGGATTCGTACGCGAGGCCGGCTTCTTTGAAGTGGGATGTGGATTTAAGATACGCGGCAAAGAGGTCGGTGATGGCGCGGTGGTGCTGCTCCTCGTGGCGGTAGATTCCAAGGGCGTACTGGTAGAGATTGTGCGCAACGATGTAGCTCTTAACCTCTTCAAAGTCATTAAGCGCCTTTAAGTGATCCAGAGCCTTCTCCCAGTGTTCGAGCTTATCGTCGATGGTGAATTGCCTCTTTAGCGTCGGCATCTTGTGGAGTTCCTGAACGAACGGCAGGTATTCGCGGGGGTCTCGCTGGGCTTGTTGGGCCACCAGGATAGTGAGATCCAGGTTGTACAGTCCCAAAGCATGATCGTAAAGCTGGTTGACGTCGGCTAAGAAGCAGATGTGCTCGACAGCGCGCTCTGCCAAGGCACTGTCCTCTTGCATTAACTCGGCAACCACGAGCAAACCATCGTCAAGCGCAGGTGGGCTCTTGCAGACATGGGCCGTGATAATGTTTTGGAGGTTGGCCTTCCTCTGCGCACGGAGCCTTTGTAGGACGGCTTCGCAAACGATGTTTGTCTTTCCTGGCTTGACGGCGGCCTTGAAGTCGGGCGGCTGCGTACCGGGAGTCTTGGTGTCCCGATACATGGTCTGGGTAACGTCTTCCTCCCTAGCTCAAGTTAGCACACGCGGCGAAATGTCATCAAGGAACCTCTACGTACTTGAGCGACGACAGAAACAAGTCGACGTTGGCCGGATCTTTCACCTGATCAAGGAACAAGCCCACATTCTCCAAGAACTGCTCAGGCCGGTGGTCGAACAGGATGTTCATATCCACACGCTGGGTTCGGCATGTCGCAAACGCAGAGCCGTAGTCCTTCTGTTCCACTAACCTTCTAATGCCAGCTAGCACCATGGCACGCGGATAGATGGTCTCCAGGTTTCCCCGCGGCATTTGCAGGACCAAGGCCATCTTAGTAGGAATGGCGGTGACCAGCCGGCCGCCTCGCTCAATGCTCCTGCACCGTTCGTCCTTCTCGGGGTCATCCGCCGGAACGTCGAGTTCTACAAAGGTCAGAAATTGTTCCATATTGGCGAGGAAAGTCACTGACCTTGTTCCGAAGCCAAGTGAACGAACTTGACGAAATGATTGCTAGTGGTGAAGACGAGGTGGCTGTCTGTAACTAGGAACGAAGTACAATTCTTTGCAAGTTGACGCCGATTTGCATAGAGGTGCCCAACCCTCGACAATCCAAACGCAAGGGGCTCGCCGTCATGCACGACGCAGCTAACCCATGGCAGGAATGTGGGAAACTGAACGGGCAAAGGCGATTGTTCTCCGCCAGAGATCTTACTAAGCCTGCCAGACAAGTCCTGGGCTACCACACCCTCTATCGACGTAGATCCGGGTGATGTTATCGTCATGATGGGGCCTGCAACCGTTGTAAGCCATGACTTGGTACCCTCAGAGCCAAATCCGTATCGCAACAGCTCAACGTCCTCTGTCATGCACAGGACCTCAAGCTCGTTGGGCCCGGAAAAGCCGACTTGAAGCGACGACTCTTCATACAGCTGAGGTGCCGTCTTTTCAAATGTAGCCATATTTAAGAGTTTCGGGCTAGAGAGGCGGGGGCCCTTGGCCTCGAGGGCAAAGATGCTGACACCAACTCGGTGCAGAACGGCCATTGAGGTGCAGTCGGTCGAAAAGGCCACATCGATGACGGGAGACTCGACTTCGAGCTCACACATGGACATCGGGGGCGGCGGGTTACAAGTCCGGAAAGGTGTAAACTTGATGGTTTGTCCATCGACAACCGCCACGGCTCCGTGGTCGTGCGGAGCCGTTGTCGGCCCTCTGGATACTGTGAGGGCATATTCATTCACAAGAACCTTGTCTAGCAGCTGTTAGATGCCGGGATTTCGGGGAAAGGGGGTTCGGTGCGAACTTACCCGCGACCGCTGCTGCGAGCCGAAGGGGTTTCTCAGCGTGCCACGAGAAAAGGGGCTTCTGCTTTTGGGCATCGACGCTGTCTGAATGACCACAGAGTATTTCCTGTTTCAAATACCAATGGTAGTTGCCCATGGTCCAGAGCTGGATCCGGTCTTTCAATATCACAGCAAGGACCGTTGATTCGGAGTTCCATTCTAGGGCCACATGCTCGAGTACGCCAGCGTTATCAGCAGGGGCGCGGAGGGTAAACTGGCCATGCCGCAACCCGTTTCTCTCAAAGAATGCCACGTCCACGCGGTCAGGGAGGCGCTGGATACCGGCGATCAGGTTGCCCTCGGGCCGCCAGCTCAGACTCCCGTCAAGGCCATCAACAGGCTCGCTGACGCTGTCCAACTCACCGTCGCGGTTGAAGACGCGGATGACACGACGCACGCCTTCTTGGAGAAAGTTGATAGCGACATAGGCACCGTCGCCCCGCCAGCTGATGCTGCAACGGCCATCATCATTCTGGCTCAGCGTGCCCTCGTCCACCTTCTCAGGAATGGTAGGATCCCTGAGTGCTTTGGCCTTGGCACCTCTCCCCTGAAACTGCGTCTCCTTCTTGCCCCATCCGACGGAGACGTGCTTGGAGAGCTTCAGGTCGTCGGCAGACAGGACGGCCTCGGAAATGACATGCCAGCTCCGGCTCATGAACACCACCTTGGCATCGCCGGTAGCAACAACTAGCAACTCCTCATCTGGAGACCAGCGGGCCGCGGCGATAAACGGCAGAAGGGTGCCTACGATCTCGACATGGGCTTCGCCGGGAATAGCGACGCCCTCTTCGTCTTCGGTCACCGTGATGATATCACCACCAGCCATGATGACACACGTTGTCAAAGTGTCGCTGAAGTAGTGCATGCCCACGATGGCATCTGGCTCCCCATTCTCGCTCGGGCTCGAGACATCCCATGATGCGACGCTCTGTGACTGCCTATCGTTGCGGGTTTACATTTTAGTCCATGGCCTCAATAAAATATGACAAAAATAAAATAAAATGATGAGTGGAATCTTACAGTTGTGCTGGTGATGTGTGATGGTCATGTTTCGCAACCCGGAGCAGCTCGATACGGGCGTCCCCGGGCGTCGGGCCGCATGCGATAATCACCTCATCCCGGGCGACATCCCAGCAAGACGCTGAGATGGGAAGTGCAGTTGCCGAGGATGAATCCGGGATCCGGAAGACGCCGTGCCCGATGTTGCGCAGGTTCCGCATCTCGACCGGTCGAAAGGCGTGTCGGTTATGATTATGTATGTGAGTCAAAGCTGGTTGGCACCAATTATGTGGGCAGCCCAGTTCATTCTCTGAAAAAATGGCTTCTTTTTCGGGAATTGTCGGCGCTTGGTGGGGAGTTTTGGTACGAGTGGCCTGTAAGTTTCCTGTCTGAGCCGCCTGTATCCCCTTGCAGAAAATCTCGAAACCACCTGAGGGGAAGTCCCAAGTAAAGTGGCGAAAAATAGAAAATTATTGTGCAGTTTGATGGAGGGGATTCCTTGGAAGGCCCGCTAGTAAGCCGAGTTGGTGGGTTAGTAGTCACGTAATGCAAAAGTGCCAAAGTCACTCAGTGCGTGTTTCCTTTCCAAGATGTAATTGTCTCCATGTGCAGTCGAAACTGTTTGGTGGTTTAGTTAGGGATCTGTTTCATGAGTTGAGCCCCATACCCATCCCAACTTGACAGAGCTTGGGTGCACGGTGATTCCGTGGTTTAAGAGTACAGATGACGCTACCAGAAAGAAATGGCTCCCACCCGTTAAACTGTTAGTGCCGATGGGCCTTTTTTTCTGCCAAGCAGCATCGCTTGGCCGTGGTCCAGATTCCCACCCCGGTGGCGTTGTTGATCGGCCGATGAGCCAATGAGCGCACAATTTCGACAGCAAGGTTTGAGAGCTGCCGCAAGTGGAGCACGAAACTTTGCAGCTCTGGGTCCCAGGGATGCAGTGCCAAAGCGCAGCATCATTTCATTTAATCACCCATCGAAGGCCCATCCAGAGCCAACTTTACCATCAATCTCTCATCTCACTTCCAAAGTTTCAACTTCCCATCTTACACTTCCATCACGCCAAAATGGAACCAGCATTTAACCTTCAACCTCCGTCGTCGTCGCGACGAAAGAACCGAGCCGCGGCAGACCACCTCACCCTCGCACCGTTAACCACCTTTCTCCCCCGCGAAGAGTACGACACCAGCAACACCAGCTCTTCCCGCCCACACACCTCGTACATCCAAGGCCGATCCGCACCCACAACTCCCGTCATTCTCTCCCACTCACCACCTCCGCCGTACCGCCGCCCGACACGAGGCGTCTCAGTACCCTACTCACCAGCCCGGGCGGCCCTAACCAAGAGCAAATCCTCCAGCCAGCTCCCTAAGGGCAGCAGCAGTAGCAGTAGGAGGAGCCAAACCGACAGCAGCACCGGCACAACGCCCACAACAGCAGCAGCAGCAGCAGCAGCCCGCCGCCGCGAGAGCGTGATCCCAGACACCGACTTTCTGCTGCACGTGGGCGCGCTGATCGCCTCGGAGGCACGTGACGCGAAGGGGCAAGGGTGGCTGGTGACGCGGGCGAGCTCGACGACGAGCCTGCCGGAGGCGTACGCGGCGTACGTGTCCGAGGACGGCCTGACGCCGCGCGAGCGCCTGTTCCACCACCAGCAGCAGCGCTGGCAGCGCACCGCCGTGCAGAGCGCGCGCACCAGCCGCCGCGGCAGTAAGGACTACTCCGGCTCCGCCGACGCGGCCGCCTCCGCGGTGGCGGCGGCCACGGCCGCGTCCGCGTTCGCGTCGCCCGTGCATAGTCATTTCGGCAGCCATTTCGGCAGCCGCAGCCGCAGCCGCCGGCCCATGACGCCCGCCGAGGTGCGCCGTGCCGAGTTGTTGGCTTCGATGGAGGATGATCCCCAGCTGGCGGAGGACTACTTCGGTCAGGTGGCGGCGTCGAGCGAGGCGGAGACGCCGCCGCTGGCCGGGGCCAACTTTGTGGGGTTGGACATGGAGCTCGAGTTTGGCCCGCCGGAGCAGGACGAGGATGAGAAGCTGGCGGCGGACGAGGAGTATATCCGGCAACTTACGCAGAAGAAGGGGCTCCTGGTGTGGATCGTTGACAAGATGATGGGGCGGGAAGACGAGGAGGAGGAGCCTGAGGAAGAAGATTACGGGGAGGGAGATTTCGACAGTTGGGAGGATAGAGAGCGGCAGCGGCAGGCAAGGCGGTCGGCGAGCTTGAAGAGGCTCCGGGAGGCCACAGTCATACCGTTGGATTGTACCAACGACCCGCCTCCGAAAGAGGATGGCGGATTGTGGAGCGACGCTACGTGGTTACTCAGGGTGGCTGCAAATTCTTTCTTTCCATAAGAGGCTCGCTCTGGCAAGGCCGGGCGTAAGGCTGCCCGGGGCTTATCCATCAACCGTGCCGCGCCGCGTTACTACAATATCTTCATTATTAGCGGATACCCCCATCTGCTGGGCTGACTGCCCCCCCACACGGGGCTTGAGACAGCCCATAGCGGTGGACAATACTAGGAAGTTGTGTTACGTTTCAAAAGTCTCTTGCTGTCAAACGTCTTCAGACCGCCTGTTAATTCGTGATACTACGTTTCTCCCAACCCACCATCACCGTCTTACGTTTGAACCTACCAAACTTCCATTTTAGGAGTTCTAAACGTAACTCTGCATTCAGTGTCATGCACGCGGCGCCAACCGTCCCGCCCCAGAGCCGAAACAAACAAAAAAGAACGTCCCACTTTCCCATATCAACATGCATTCATGGGGTTATACCCCCCCTTCACTCACCCCACGTCATCAGGCATCCCCCCATGTCCTGCCACCCTCTGGCCAAAAAAAGCCGAACCCCGAAGGAAAATAAGAAACTAAGCAAGAAGAATTAAGCGAAAGTAATCGGGAAAAACAAATCGAAAAGAAGACATCAAGTAAAATAAAAAGTAAATTAAGCTAATTCAGCTTCTTTGTGCTTTTGGGCGGCTTTGGTTTCCTTCCTATAGTCGACATTTGGTCCACGTTTGGTCGACATCTACACTTAAAAGAGTCCTGCCTTTTTTGCCCATGGGATGTTTGCCCATCCCTTCGGGAGCAACGAAAAAGAGACAGACTCACATGCCACGGCCACAAATAGATTGGGCAGGCAGCAAGCCAAGCACACGAAGCAAGGTTAGTTCCTTTGTGACTATGTGTGATATGACAAGAGACGGTTCTGGGCCCAGGAAGACGGTGGGGAGAAGGGGATGACCACCAGTCCACCACACCAACGACTGGCGGTTGCGGGCTCGAAAAACCTGTTTTTTGGTAAGTGTCACTATGCAAGTTTTGGCGCATGCATGCTCGGCAGGCCCGTTTGTTGGGGCCTGGCCGGCTCCGGTCTGGGGACTTGAAAGTGGAAGTAGCCGCTGGTGAACGGGAGTGGTGAGAAAGCGGGACGGGGCCGCCCGCCTGCCTGGGTAGCGGTGGGAGGGAAGGGGAAGAGGGCATGGACGCCTCGTGACGATCGGTCGGGGCGCCGAAAGAAGCTGGGGATCTGGAGGGAGCGGAGAGACCTGTGTTGGTTGCTGTTGAACGTCAATGGGTATTTTTTGGGTGGTTAAGTGGCTCCAGGCACTTGATGAAACGAGCACCCCCCGCCAAAACTAGCACGGGGGAGGAACGCTTTGTATTCCCGTTCTCGGACGTCTTCAGCCCCTCGCTGACCGAGAAGCAGGCTGGCCGAAAGGGTTGGATATTTCCGCGGGATTTTGAGAACGTCCCGGGCTCGGCCGGGATGGCATGCTTATCGGGGAGGTACGTTCGAAATTCCCCGAGCCACGGTGTTTGCACGGCTACAAGAATGAGAGGGTGGTTGTCGCTCCGTTTAGGCTTTGGCTGAAAGCCTGACTCGGGTTAAAGGTAAGTACAAAGGGTCGAGATTTCGATAATTTTGATAACCTTCCCGTTCGAGCCTCGGAATGGTAGTTCGCTGGCGCACACCGGCTTTCATCCCAGTGTGAACGAGCGACGCGCGGTGACCACTCAAGCGACGTTCGGATGGCGATCAAGCGAGGACCTCGTCGTGGTGTAGTTAGGCGGGAGGGGACGCGCTTCGGGAGGATTGTCCGGCTCCGACGATTTAGCATTGCCTAGGTGCCGGGCCGGCGGTAAAGCACCCTGCAGCCCCTTGGCTGCTTCAGGGTCCACGTCTTTTGAAGATCCGACGGGGCGGCAAGACTGTCCACAAATAACTACACAGTAACGGCTGAGAACGGCTCTCCGTTTCGCTAGTCTAGCCGTTCTTGGATTTTTAAAAGCGCGTGGGAAGAACAAAATGTGGAAGGCCGCAAACCCCGCTCTCGAACATGTCTCTGCCTTTTTTGTGCGAGCCCGGCGACGTGCCGATATCCGGTCAGTCGGGGCGACGAGGCACCAACGGACGCGGCGCCTGCTCTTTCCAAGGAACCGCTCTGTCGTGCCCCCCACCGGAACATTGGCAACGTGTTCTAGAACCTTTTGGGTGATTTGAAGGCTTCTCACCGCTAAATAGGAACCGTGATAATCTTGTCGCTCTCCGAAGAGAATGGGAGCAAAAGGTTGAAGAGCTGAGGGCTGGCAGAGTAACCCTTTCCTCCCTTTGAGCGCCAGGTTTTCTGTCAGACAAGGCAGGCCTCCAGACCTCCAGACTTCAACTTTTGGTGTGGGTTCCTCGGGTCCCATGCATGCAACGTCCCAAATGGAGTGGTGCTCCCAATGACGACAGTTTGCGGAATGACGTCGGGAAACAGATGAACTTGTTGCTGCCCCACCGAAGGATGGACATTCCGAGCAATGATGGGCGAAGTTGAGACGCGGAAAGAGGTCCAGACGTCGTGGGGTTGTCTTGGCGTTGGTCTTGTCCCGCACTCGTCTAAACGAATAATTAGGCACACTCGATAACTAACGCGAAGGGAAAATGAGCTTAGCACGGGAGCACGGATACCGAGTACCAAAAGATCTCATCCTTGACCTCCGGACCTCTGAATCCGAGAATAAGGGCGCTTTGGGCCGGCAATAAAGAGATTCACCTGGAGGGATGCGTTCATGATAGCCAGATAGCATCTCCATGTAGCCGGTGTTGGGTTTGCTCGCCGAGGTGGGGCATCACTGACTCGTGGCAGGTCCCCTTCGGGATACATACCGTGCTCGTCGATCGCATAACTCTCGGTCTTCCCGGTACCGACTTAGAGCTGGGGATACCGCTGAAGATGTCCAGCGTACATGAGTGAGAGATACCCCTCGCGGTGATTATTATTACAGAGCCTGTCCGACTCCCCGAGCCCGCCCTGGACCGGCACGGCTGGCTGTGTGCAGCTAGCCGCAATTCCCGGTCGTAAATGCAGGACAACGTCAGAGGGACCGACGATCTGTTAACACACATGTACACATGTACCGTGATGGGGGCTAATCGGTCCCTGCATTTGCCCGGCTTCAAGGAGTCCGCCATTTCATTGGGGGGCCACGAGAGAAAAAAGCCTATGGCATCAAAAGGCCGGGCTGTCACACAGCTGCGTGAGTGTGTGTTCCGCGAGGGCCGGATAATTACTGTCGCAGAGCCCGAATGGCCGTTCGGTTGGTCGAGCATCGCGGAGATACCTCGCCAATGTTTGATTCCATGTATATCCGACCTTCCACCCCAACCATTTGGGACATTAAGAGGTGGCGGTCGGGTTGGGAAAGGCGTGATGGGTCGAGTTGAGGTAGGATTGATGGTCGAAGAAAGGAAGCCGAGCTTCGATTGTCGATCACCCCTAGGAGCGGGCCGTTTGGAACCCTGTGGTTGTGAAAACTGGCTAGGGCACGTGCAGGCCAGGTGCCTAATCAAATTCATAAACCGATGAGAGTGACTCGGGGAGTAAGGTATCAGGTAACCACCTCACGTAACTCACGCCGTTTCCAACCCGATCCAAAAATATTCAAGATGGAAAGTGCGGTTGCGGGGTTGAGCGAGGTACCGGTGCGGGGCAGCTGCCGGCCGGAATGTACCCGCTTTAACGATACATTCAAAAGATCATGGAGCACCAGTTGAGAGCGGAGGATGCCAACCCCTGCATTGCATGATAAGCAAGCATTTTTGGAAGATGCACAAAAAATGATATTTTGAAAGGTTACGCCTCGGGCTCTCTTAAGGAACCCTCTAGATCCACATTGATACCCAGCTCCCTTCTTCGCAGGTCGTGTTGGGATGAGAGACCCCCGTTTTTGAAGACAGCGAATCTCGTGCGGGTGGGACTTCAAGGGTCCAAGATCCCGCTCATTTACGTCACACCTCAAAACGGAATGTGACCTATTTTAGCTTACCTTACTTCCGTCTTAGCCTCGCATCCGCTCCGGCCTCGAGCTATCACACGAGCAAGGAATCGAAGTCCGAAGACTGGAGAAGAACAAGAGAATAGCATCTACTAGCTTGCCAGGTGACCGAAGAGGACAAAGACCTTTGGCATCTTGGGATCATGGGTTTTGACAACGCGCCGGGGCTTACAGATGGCGAGGTGCGTCGGGAGGACAAGGCAAAGGCCTTTTCAGGGTGATCACACCTCCTTGCTGGGTACATATTTGATAATTGAAATTGCTGCAGCTTCGGAATCCCACTTTGCTTCTCCACACATTGGTCAAACTGCCATCTGTCTTTGTGCATGATTACCCAGGTACCTCCACCAACTGAGTACCAAGTAGGCTCCGACTTGCGAAGACCATCCTGACCGACCATCCTGATCGTCCACCGACCTCCCCACCACGGTTCAACCCTCCACTTTGTCCGAATCCTTTTTTGGAGTCCCCTTCCTCTTGGAGTTAACTTTGTCCCCTCTCGGAGGCCCCTCTCCAGAACCAGCCTTGTCTGCCCCTCCCTTTCCACCCCGCCATAAAATTTCGCATCTCCATCGTCACCACCGTCACTGCTAACGTTGACGATCTGTGAGCGCCGCCTCTGTTCTGTGTCCGCCATTCTCCATCGCAAACGCGCCTCGCTTCTTCCACCCCTTCTTCAAGTGACAGGTTGGACCCCACCTCACTCCGCTCCGGGTCGCTGGCCCTTCGTTGACGCGAGAATCAGCCTCCCAGCTCCCGAGAACATCCCCACCCTTGCCACGGTTCCTTCCGGACGCCGAACGTTGGGAACGTCGCTGGTCGCGAGCTACCCGACCTCCGTTTGGAACCTCTGCTCTGCCAGTGTTCTGCGTCCGTGCTTTCCATATCGATACACGCGCTTTCCTGTAAGCCCATTTCCAGATGTCGATTTTTGCAGAGTCGCCCATCTCCCTCCCCGTACCTACCTAGGTACCTACCCCGCGGTGTCATATTCTCTCATCGGTTACGTGACCCTTTCGCGTGTATCTCTCTCTCTTGCCTACCTACCACCACCACCACCACCGGCACCTCCCCCAACACCACCATCAGCTCCTGTGCGTGCCCATCCTACGAGGTAGCACGCGACAGCGTTTCCGCTTGCGCACGGGTCCGTGTACTCCAGAAACAGCACCGGACTTGGGGCAAGCGCGGCTGCAGCCCTAGGCGGTACCCGACCTTGTTCCTGGTCACCCTCTCTGGTCAATTTCGGATCTTCCCTATCCAGTTCTGCTCCCGACCACATCGTTTTCCACCCCCTCCTACTTTGTACCCCTCCGTCACTTCTCAGGTCTCCGCTGTGCGCCGTTTTGCAACCATGGTCGAGTTCTACGATTTGGTCTGTGGTTTCGATATGAAAGATGGTGTTGGCTGCTAACCTAGAACGGCCAGGACCAGGACGACAATATGGACCAATTTGGAGATCACGTCGACAAGGAAGTCTTCTCGCAGATCCTCGAGATGGACGATAGCGAGGACGAACGCGAGTTCAGTGCGCCTCTAGTGCTCGGCTTCTTTGACCAAGCAACAGAGACGTTTGGCAAAATGGATAAGTCATTGTAAGTGTCCTCCTCTCTATGCGTGGCGTCTTTTCTTTCTGGGCTGTCTCCCATTTCCATGGTGCTGGCTTAATGGCACATTCACGACGGCCAGATCCGGCTTCTCGAGCTTCCTTTTTTTGCCGGCTCCAAGGAAAAGAGGGGAAGGACGAGAGGACCGCATTTCAGAGGAACAAACGGAGTCGGAGTCGGACTAACGATGGCTTCATATCAACAAACAGGAGCGCCAAAGACCTGAATGAACTTTCCAGCCTGGGTCACTTTCTTAAGGGTTCTTCCGCTACTCTCGGATTCAACAAGATAAGGGACAGCTGCCAGATCATCCAGCAATACGGCCACAGGATGACCGTTGACGGCAGTGCCGAACCCGACGAGACGGTCTGCCTCAAAAAGATCACCGACGCGCTCAAGACGGTCAAGGTCGACACGGAAAATTTGGAGAAGCAGATGAAGAAGTTCTTTAAGCAGGGTTAGTAATGAGGCAAACTGGGCGCGCGGTCTGCACCAACTCCGACGGTTGTAGCACCCGCCCTCGACTCTACGAGCATCCGATCAATACCCAGCCGGTAACGGGCAACAAGTGGAGCCATGACTGGTTCCCGTTAGGGCAGACCGGGTGTACAATGTCGGGGGACGGGCAGCGGCAAGCAGTTGCTTCGTGGGCAGGAGGGTAGTGCGAGGTCGGTCGGGCCATCCTTTCAAGGAGTCAAGATACCAGCGGACAGAAGGGTCCTGCCCACGAGAGATGCGGGGTATATGTGCATAAGGGGTATGAGGTATTTCACCGTTTGTAAACAGCTTTGGGGCTCTGGTCTATCAGGGTATGGCTACCCATATGTGCATCGCATCCGCCTGTCAAAGTTGGAGCTGTCTTGGGTTCAGAGTAGTCTAGATTTCTAGCTGTGGCCTCGTCCACCAATAGCGATGTTCTTATGAGCACGGGTTATATCTGTTGATTCACAATGATCCAATCTGGTGTCAATAAGGGGATGAAGGCTGTTAGCAAGTGTTTTATTTCATCACCTTACACGCCACACACAGCGGAGTGGAGCACCAACCATACTTCGTCCTTCGCTCTCTTGAACGCTATGAGCCAGAATTCTCCCCATTTCACCCAACATCACCTTAATGACCTCGCCACCAACGACTGGAGCTCATGAGCTGAAAGGCGTCATACTAACCTGTAACCACTCACACCAGTCTGAAGTTAGGTACCTAAAACGCTACCTTGAGGCTACCTCATCAACCATAGCCCCACTTCACAGCCACTCACACTGCAGTTCACCAAGCATTGCATCAACTCCAGCAATTCCAACACAAACCAAATCTTCCCACCACCCCAACCCAACAAACCATCAAACAAACCCATCAAACCCAAACAACAAAAAATGCCCCCCAAACCCTTCCCCACCCGCCCAGCAGCAACCGCCGCCGCAACAGCAACAGCAGCAGCAGCAGCAACCACAGCAGCAACACCCCCACCCCCGCGAACACCCCCAACGCACTTCCTCTGCATCCCCCTCGCCACCTCCAAACCCGCCCGCGCCCAGCTCGCCACCTCGCTGTCCGCCTTTCGCGCCGATGTGTGTGCGCCCCCGCTCGGCTTCGGCGCTGCCGGGGCTGCTGGCGGCGCTGTTGACATTCCGCCGGATGCGGTGCGGCCGGTGGGGACGCTGCATTTGACGTTGGGGGTTATGAGTTTTCCGGAGGTGGGGGTTAAGGGGGTGGAGGTGGGGGGTGGGGGTGAGGAGGTGGTTGAGGAGGGGGTTAAGGGGGGTGAAGAGGGGGGTGCTAAGGAGGGTGAAAAAGGAGAAGGGGTTGGACAGGGCGAGGGAGGTGTTGGCTGGGGTGGGGCTGGCGGGTGTTTGGAGGGCGGTGGTTGCGGAGTGGAGGGCTAGGATGGCGATACAAGGGCGGGCTGTGGAAGGGAGTGGTGGGGTTGGTGATGCGGAGGGGAAGAGGAAGGTGGTAAAGGGGGATGTAGTGCCGCCCGCAGAGGAGGCGCCCAAGATCACCCTGAGGGGCCTGGCGAGCATGCAGCCGGCCGACAGAGCGGCGGTACTCTACGCGCCTCCTGTTGACCAGTTTGGGTTGCTCCAGGCCTTCTGTGAAAGGGTGCGAGACGTGTTCAGGGACGCAGAGCTCATGGTCGACGAAGGCAGGCCGCTGCTGTTGCACGCTACGGTGGTGAATACGGTGTATGTCAAGGGTAAGGGGAGGGAGGACAGAGGAGGTAGGGGGAAGCGGGGTAGGGGAGGCAGAGGAGGTAAAGGAGGGCGGAAACGGGAGCGGTTGGTGTTCGATGCCACGGATATTATCGAACGGTATGAGGATCAGGTGTGGATAAAGGATATACCGGTCGAAAAGGTCGCGATATGTAAGATGGGAGCTAAAAAGGTGGTTGTGGACGGGGAGGAGGACGAGGCGTATGAGGTGGTGGCTGAGGTCGATTTCTAGCCTACTGCCATGGCGCTTTATCACGGCCTGGGAGTTGAACTCGAGGCATTCAACACACTTGATGTTGTCCCGGAGTTGAGTTTCGATAAACTGCTTGACCATGGCACCCTGGTAATCGAACATTCCAAGGGACGGGCAGCTCAGGGGGGCTTGCCCCACTTGGTGCCTGTAACGGCGGAACGGCCCCCTAGAGTAAGCTCGGGCCACCCCCGCATCAAATTCCACTGCTTGCTCCCTGCTTCGTAGCGCTGAATAACACTGGACGTCCCTGTGTCATACCCTGGTCACCAGATTGGACGAGGCTGAGCTGATACCTGCCACTCAGGTCGCCTGGCGTTCCACGACAAAGGCGCCGCGATTCACATTCGGCCAGGCAGCTGCAACAAAATCTTTGCCTCCCACATTGGTCAGCAATTCCTATTTAAAAACGCATATACCGCTGGCCGGTGCCATGTCGTGATGCAGTTTGCAATCCACAAATCCCTCAGAGCGATCAGATCGATCTGAAGCCCAACAACACCCCTCAGTTAGCAGAGGACACCAAGAACAGAAACAGCAACCCCCTCGCCGTCACACATGCCTCCTCGAAAAGACATGACTCCTCCCTCTAAACGCCGCCCACCCTCAGGGGCCGGGCCTAAAGGCGGCAGCACCAACGGCCCTCGCTCTCCCCCACGGCCGACTCGAACCTCCCCGAGCAACACCCGCAACACCAACACCGGCAGCAACTCTACCAACAACCCAAGCAACAGCACCTTTATCTCACCTCCGCCTCGAGCCGCCCTGAGCGGCACATCCTCCCCAGCCCCCGACAACCCTCGCAACAGCAACAACACCACCACCAAAGACAGCCCCCACCTAGCCCCAACAACAACAAGAACCGCCGGGCGCAACCGCTCCCCCTCTCCCAGCCCACTCCCTAAAACAGCAACAACAACAACAACAACAACAACAGCCACAGCGGGTACAACCACGGCGACATCAGCGGCCATCGCAACATGCCAGTCGGCGCTGCGCGAGAAGGACGTGCGCATCGCGTCGCTGGAGCGCGAGCTCGCGCTGATGGAGTCCGAGTTCCACCGCGAGCTGGACAAGCTCAGCAGCGCCGAGAGCGAGACGGCCGCCTTCTGGCAGGCCAAGTACGCCGCGCTGGAGAAGACGGTCGCCGTCATGCAGGTCGCCGCCGTGCAGGGGCAGGGGCAGGGTCAGATTCTGGGGCAGGGGCAACACCAGATTCAGGGGCAGGGGGGACACCAGATTCGGGGGCAGAGAGGGGCAAGGTGTGGGGTTGTGGAAGGTGGCGGTGGCGGTGGCGTGGAGGTGGAGGGGGAGTTGAGGGAGGCTAGGGGCGCGTGGGAACGGGTGAGGGATATGCTCGACCAGAAGGAGGACGAGGTTGCGGAGTTGAAGGCGCAGGTTCGCGGGCTGAAGGAGTGGGTCAGCGTGAGCACGCGAGCGGACGGGGAGGCGCAGACGAGTGACGAGGTCTTTGGGGAGGGCATGGCACGGTTGGGGAATGGGTTGCAGAATTGGGTGCTGGTGAACTTTAGACGGGCCAGGGTTGGTAAGTGTCTCTGCGTTCGAACGAGGTCGAGACGGGCCGGACGGGCACTGACGGCAGCAGACTTATCCGGCTCCCATGAAGATACGATATCGGAATTGGCCCGTCTGGTGCCCATGTACGAAGAGCTAGCCTCGACATCGAGAATCCATTTGCTTCAGTCGGTTGTCTCGCGGTTTCTTGTCGAGCTCGTGTTTGGCGCTTATTTTATTGGGCTTCCTACCGATGTGGCTGCGCAGATCAAACAGGTTGAGGATTTCCTCTCCTCTGGTAAGATATCCATGCAACGGATAAAAGAGAAATACTCATTTCCTCGCAGCATCGTCCCCTGAATCGGTCAACCAATGGCGCTCTCTCACCCTAACCACCATCAAAAAGGACGCCAGCGAGAAGCTCCAAACCGAAACCTCCAAGGTCGTTGAAACGGTAGTTTCCAAGGTTAACGACCTCCTTGACCCATTAACCAACACGAAATCAACAGAGGCTCGAGACCAAGGCCTACAGGCACTCGTTCACAGCGCCATTGAACTCTCTCGGCTACTTGCCGTGCAAAAAGCGGTCTTCAAGATCGAGATGCCCGAGATCCTTCCCCACCAGTGCATCGTGTTTAACGGGGAGACGATGGAAGACATTGGGGGCGAAGACGAGGACAGCCTGGCGGACAGGGAAATCTGCTGTGTCACCTTCCCGGGCATCATCAAACGGGGCGATGAGAGCGGCGGGCACTTGCAGTACCGGAACGTGATATCCAAGGCCAAGGTGCTCTGCAGTCCAGAATAGGACAGCTCAGCGGTTGGGCATCCGCACCAGCTTAGAGCCGCAACAGAGAGATTGGGGTGGTCCGGTGTCTCTTTTCTGTGACCGGGCGGCATGTGTGCCAGCGCTGATGGCTGCAAGCCCAGGGTTTGGCGGTGTCGTCTGTTCTAGACTGGTTGGGTCGCAGCATCAATGCCGTCGAATCACAAGGGCGCCCTGGAGGGAACTATGCCTCCCTCTCGGCCTTTACGGCGGGGCGGCAGGCCCGAGTTGATTGATTCTAAAGCTCGCACCGAATCGGGTTGGCTGGTTATCTCCCGGTCTGACTGGTGTGAAAGCGGAATGCTGCCGCCAGGCCCGAGGGAGGGTTACAACACAGCCTGCGGCCATAGTTAGTGAGACGCGGCCAGCGAACTGGGTCGTCATCGCAGAGCCTCCAACCTACTCCACCCGCGAAACTGGTGTGGCAGACGCAAAGGTTCGGGCCCATTTCGGCTAGTTCCTGCGGACTCTAGCATATCTCTCTCTGCACGTATCCGCGGCACGTCCTCATCCGAGCAGCATAGAGGGAGGCATGGGAATGAAGACCAAACCAGTCGAATCAACGTCATGATTGCGCGAGCGAGAGCAACCCAACTACATGGTTTGAACCTTAACCATTCCTCTCGAGCCACGACAACCGCCTGTCGATCACAGTTCCGACCGGTGTCCGCTTCGGTCGTCGAGTGGCATGCGTTGTTTTGCATGAGTATCCAGAGCCTTGTTCTCTCGGGTAACCATGTGGTCGGGAACCCCGTCTGGTTCGCTAGGAGCCGTTGGCTGCCACTATCCGCCCTCTTGTTTTAACCACCACGGCTGGCTCATCCGGTGGCTTGCATGGCGGCGTCATCCTCCGCGAGTCCGTTACTAAGCAGCCAAGTGAGGACGTCGGGCTGCGAGACATCCATCCGGTGACCGTGACGCTCTACTGTGTAGTTTGGTAACATGCACGCCAAGATAAATGGGAACAGACACCGAGGACCGAGTTCTCTCTCTAAATTAGTTCTACATGATAGGTTTCACTTTGCTCAGGTCTCTATGAGATACAGCCGGTCACTGGCCGCCAAAGACCGCCTAAATATGCCGGAAATGGATATCCCATGGACTTGCGCTAGCTGGCCGCCACTGGCTGCTGTGGCACATGAACACGATGGTGCCGGCCTCTGCGAATAAGCCGATAGACGAAACGTCAAGCCCAGCGACCATAGCGACCTTCATTCCCAGCTCTCTCGCGAAGTTCTCTCTTCTCGGTGATCGAACGGACGTCCAGAAGTTATGCCGAGAACGAGGGCCAAGTGCAGGCCCTCATTGGTAACCCCTTTGCGTCATGGGGATGGAAAATCCGAAAACCCAGGAGAGGATAGACAAGATATGAGCGACGCGATTGCAACACGACGGCCGGGCAGCCCACGCCTGGTTCGCTGATTGCGCACGACACCGCACACGTGCCGTGCGCAACCGCGGAAACCGATGGTATAACGCCTCCGCACAACTTCGACCCCGAGGCCGTCAAACAGAGTTGATCGCGCAACCTCCCACGGCGTGTCGCCTGTTGATAGGCTCCGTGCGATGACGCATTTGCGGCGCGTCCAACTTGACTCAGTCTTCGCGCATCTGCGGAGACGCCCGAATGTAGACAAACCAAGTTCGCGGGACGGGATTAAGGGGTCAGATTTGCGGTGAGAGAGCACACAACGGGTGGTTGCCATTGCAACCGCGATGCACCACTCGCGGGCACACTTGCCCCTTTCCGGGCTCAGTCGAGGTCTTGTGGGACGGCTTGGGGCGGGCCGCAGGAACGGCAGCCAGTTAGTGAACCCCGAGGCGCATGAGAAACCCCTCGGCCAAAGTTCCTTCCCTCTCGACGTGCATCAATGTCGGAAACCAGCTGGGAAGGTGCGTGCGTAGATGAGCGTGGGCGGGCGAGATCGATTGGACGGAGTCGGCAGCGGAAGGGCAGGCATCGCCGGACCCGACATCGTGGATTCAAGCCAGATGAGTGCGAAGCGCGTCAAGCGTGAGAGTGGGACAGGCCGGTCGTCGATGCAGTTCTGCGAAAGCCGTGTGTGGTTCGGTAGTGATTGCATCTATGCAGTTGGCTCGTCTAGCGTCCCCCCCGCTCCCGTGCGAACAATGGATCTTCTCATCGGGCAGCAGCAGAAAATCTCCAACAGAGGAAACCGGAGACTACCACCCCAGAACCCGACGCGTGCTGACAAGCAGGTAACGTGGGCCGATCTGAATCTTGCCTGTGTGCGGCGGAAAGAGCGAAGCGGAGGGACCAAGACGACGGGAATGGGGAAACAACGACTTACCTACCTCGCTTCAACATAAATCGACCCCGCCCCCCGACCTGGAATCCCACTGGTACTTCCAGTCAGCTTCCGATGACCCCCCGTCCCCCGCCCTTGATCCCATACTCTTGTGCCAATCTTCGGCATCACTCTCGCATGTGCCTGCACGATCGTCGCCCTCTTGCCGACGCTGCTCAGTTGCCCTGGGCATCGTGACCGACGCTGGTCGTCCTGCGAAAAGAGTTGCCGAGAATAACAACAACCCTCCCTGCCTTGTGCCACACAGTAATTGGATCGAAACATCCGCATCCTGCTCTCTTCCCTTCTTCCCTTTCCGTTTTGCTGGCTCAAAGCCAACCCTCTGAAACGCCTCTTTTTTGACCAGCTTTGGTCCAAACCTCAACTGGGTAGTGCAGCTTTGGGTCGGTGTTAGCAGGATCGGATCCCGGTCAGCACCCCCACCCCCAAGCCACCCCGCCTCACAGCGCCAGCACGGGGCGCATCCGCATCAACCAGCCGGCCAGCATACCGCACCACCATCATGGGGGCCAACTTCAACCCCGACGATATTTATCAGTTGATCAGGGACCGCCGCCTCCTAGCCGACCCATATAGCCAAGTGCCGGTTGAAAACGACGGCGATGAGCCCCACTGGCTGCCGCCACTGACAACGGGTGATCTGCTGGAAGACGCCGACGAATCCCAAGACGGCACCGACTCTGCGCGGTCCAACGGCGCTCAGTCCGACTACACCACCGCGTCGACTGTCACCTCCGAGACGTCCACAATGCGGTCCACCGCTTCTCGCTCTGACTTCAGTGGTCGATACGGCCATCGGAATACGACACATATCACGACGCCCACAGAATATCCGCACAACCCTTTGCCGTCGTTTGAGCAACAATTCCAAGCCCCCAGCGCCGCCCCGGCGCGTCCTGATCAAATCCTCTGGTGCGAGTTTTCCGGGCTCCTGAACTGCACTGCGACGTTCCGCCTTGACGAGGAACGCGAGTGGATCCAGCATCACGTCGACGACCACCTGGGCAACCGCTTCCCGCAGACGCTCATGTGCTGGTTCTGCGATTACGTCCCCTTCGTCGCCCAAGATCCCAGCAACGTTTTCGCCAACTTTGTGGACCGCATGCAGCATGTAAGAGACCATATCCTCCGTGATTACTATGCGAGTGCAAACACGCGGCGCGATCTCCACCTTGCCCAGCACTTGCACGAGCACGGTACCCTGGACGACAGGAAGTTCGAGGTCGCCATGCAGTACGAGGAATTGCCCGACGTTTACCGCCTCACCGGCGATCATTCGTTCCCGACGTCGTCATCGTCGTATCAGCAGCCACTTGGCCAGGATGGAGTGGTCGGATACCACGATCTGAGAAAAGAAGAACGCGAGCGGCGGCGCAAGCCAAGGGAAGCACAAAAGTCCAGCCGCAGACGATAAGAAGATGGGGGGGAACAAGCCGCGAACACACTTGATTTGGCAGCTCCGCGAATGCGTCACACCGTCATCGCGCTGTCAAGGTCAGTTCATATATCCGTTAGAGGGGAAAGCGGAGACATTTTGCCTGAAAGGAGGAGTGAAGGAGGAGTGGTATGCCTGGGAGGAGACGCGCTCAGAACGGCGCGTCTCCTTTTGTGGCTCATCAGGGGGGGTCGGGCCCGCCGTCGCCCCACCAACCAACGGGCCGACCCCAGACCGTCGACCCCAGATCCCAGACGCCGACATGGCTGAATCCGACGAGACAAATACTGTCCGTTGGTTAAAGCCGTCGCCGAATGGCCGGGTTCTCTTTTGTGTTGTCTCTTTCTTGGTTTTGGTTCTTGTGTCGTTGTTGGATATTTTGCTGCAAATCTCGGTCGGTTTTCAGGGGTCATTTGTTGAGGGTGTTCCGGGTTCTCATTTTATACCATTGCAGACGACGAGACGTCATTATATATTGACAGAAACGGGACCGGAACCCGAACCGCATCATTGGGACTCCATCATCCCGTTTTATTCGCCGGTTTTCTTTCGTTGGTAGTCTGCGAGGGCAAGGCTGGTAGCCTCTGTGAGGGATCTTGTCGAGTCTCGGGCTTGTCTGTTTTGCTTCGTTCTTCCGTGATGGCTGGGCTCGTTTTGGGTGACTTGGGTTGAGATTCCTTTCCTTGGAGTACTTGTTTGCTGAACGACGTTCCTTTATATAACTCGGCTCGCCGACGGAAGTCCTGAGGCTTGACGAGGGGGTTTGGATGACAGAACACCACAATGCCTAATGGCATCTGTGGGGGGGCGAAAAGAAACGACAGGACTAGTGTCTTGGGGTTATAGTCTTTGGTTATTGCTCGGCCTCTTCATGGTTTCTACCACGCATGGCTTTTGCTCCGAGTTGGGCAGGTCGAGGGGTGTCTGGCGAGAAATGATATCCCAACTCTGTCGAAGGCGTAAGCAACAAGAAGGGCTCGAATTATGGGGAAAACAGGACGCCTTTTCGCAGGACGAGATTCGGGGAGCTAAGGGGTCAAAGATAGCACATTATATACCGAAGGGAACAGTCGTTACTGAAGCCAGAGCCCTTTCGGGGGCACCCTCCCGTTGAAACAGTTGTGTCTAGGAAAGTGAAATTTCGAATGTCGTAGGTCTCGATATCAAAAAAAAACCCACAGAGGGAGTCTGGGAGGCAAGGCAAAAAAAAAATATTCGAATTCCACTGCTTCCGCGTTGACCGCCTCGTGGGGCAACAAAGAGGTAACACAAGCGGGCGTGTAAGTTGGCAAATTTGCCTTGCGTGGCGACAACCCGGAGTTACGAAGTAACGCCCGGAACCACCCTCTGTCTTTATCATACGAGCTGTGCAGACACAATCACACGAGCCAAATATGGAGGTCACTCGCCCTTCCATTGACACGACACACGACGCGTGCTGAGTGAGGCCCGCCTTGCCTCGCCTCGCCTTTTTTCGAGTTCAACAGGGGGTGGTGGGTAAGTGGTGGGTAGCAGACCCGGTCAAACCCTGCCGAGTGGTTTCGACGCCCTGTTTTTGTGTATGTGTGTCTGTGTTGTGTGTGTGTGTTAATGGTTGTATCGTGTTTGAGCCGGTGTGCCTGGACGCCGCCTTGCATTTCAGCCAGGTCGAGAACGAACCAGCCCTATCGGAGCGCTTCATTACGGTCTTCGAGTGACGAAAGGAGAAGGGGTTCGCGCGTGGCGATGCAGCGGGAGGGCGTGGAAGGTTCGGTGTGCTGGGGCTGCCTGACAGGCCTGGTAGGTCTGGTTGCTGGTTGGTTGAGGGGCGTTGGACGGCCGGCCAATGCCAATGGAGAGGTTGCAGAGGTCTGGCTGTGTTTGGTAGCGGGCACCAGCCCGTCGTGGACTTCGGTCCAGGTTGTTGCGGGATCTGGGTTCTGGGGGGTGGGGGGTTTGGTTATAAATTTCTGGTGAACATCGAATTCATCACTGGCGGGCTTGTTGTCCGTCACTTTCGCAAGGTGCCCGCGAGGTCCGCAACGAACTATGTGATATGTTATATTCCAGGTATCGCTCCTCCTAAGAGGCAGAAGACCAGTATCCGGGCGAGATCACATGTCATCAAACCCCCGTGTCCGTTGATGTGGGCCCTGAGCCCTTGAGGCATGTGTCGAAATCGGGACAGAAGTCCCATGGTATATGCTCTATATCCACACTATCGTTACACGGAATAGGAGCACAGATTGCTGTCGTGACAGCGATGTTACAACCGCCTCTCTCTCTTCCCGTGCTCCATTTCATTTGTTGCCCGGAAGGTGAAGGGATATTGGCTCGTAGGAGGGAGTCCTGCTCGGAAAGCAGCTTCGTGGCTCCGCTCATGGCCTCGGTTGCTCCCCGCCAGTCGTCCCCTGCACATCGCCCCCAAGCGACAGCTCCTCGACCGCTTTCTGCACCTTGTCCACTTCTGCCTCCGCGGGCGCAACAGCACCTTGTGACCTGGCCAACTTGTTCTTGGCAATAACCTCGCCAATCTTCTCGAGCATCTCCTCGGAGAGCTCGGGGGCGCCGCGCTCGCGGCGCTGCTCACGCATCTTGCGGTTGTACTCCTGCACGGGCAGCAGCATCTCGTCGACGCGGGCGCCCTTGCGGCGGGCCTTCTTCTCGGCCTCGCGCGCCTCGACCTCGGCGATGTACTCGGGGGTGTGGCGGGTGCGAAACTTGGAATACCGGTTGCGTAGCTCGTCGAGCACCGTCTCGGGCATGGGCGGGCGCAGGAGCGTCGGCACGAAGGTGCGCTCCTCGACCTCAAGGCGTAGCGTGTCGAACGCATGGTTTTCTCTCTGATTCGGCGCCACCTTGGGCCAGGGGATCTGTACGTTCAGGCCGGGGACCACGCGCGAGAAGAAGACCTTGCGCGTCGGCCGGTCGTGCTTGACCCGGACGGGCTTGAGCTCGCGGATTATGACGTCGCGGGTCGTACCGGTCGCCGGGTCTTCGATCGGGTGTACGAGCCGGACGGATGAGATGGGAAAGTACGACTTGACCTGCTGGATGGTCGTTTGGCCGTCCTGGAGCATGTAGGAGGGAACCTGGACGTTGGTCTGTTTCCATATGTGTGAGCGTGACGCCGGGCGTAGACATTGGGAAGGAACCTTACAAGGCCGAGGTTGCCCTCGAGCTCGACCGACATGGAAGTCTTTATGATAAGAGAAATGGTGGAAATTTGACCTTTGTAAGGGCCTTCGGTGACGACGACCCTGTCACCCCGAGCCAGACAAAGCAACTTCGACCCGCCCGCCCAAGCGCAACGGGCGTCTAGTTGCGCATCGGTGATGGGGGTTGTGAGTGTGGCCCGGTCGGTAGAGATTGCACCCCAGTAGTTGGCCAACTTGTCGGGTTTGAAGACGTCGCGTTTTGGTGCGAGAGGACCCAGCTCGAGCTCCTCGTGCCGGGCCTTGATAGCAGCCCCAAGCTCAGCACCAGCGTGTCCTCTTGTTTGGGCAGTCCCCCGAATATCGGCGCGGCGGTTGCCGCCGTCGACGATATATTTCTGGCGTTTGGTTCGCCGTGCAACATTGCGCTCAGCCATGCGCACACGGCGAAGAATTTTGTCCATGGCGCCGGCGGGGTTGTGGGAGGAGGCCGTAGTCAGGTCAATCGAGTTGCCTGGTCGGGGAGGGCCCGGGGATTTGGCGGGCGAGCGGTGTCGGTCAATATCGTCGTGTGGGGGTTCCGAAGTGAGTCCCAGGCTGTTCCGTCTCGACGATTGCCCACCATCTCGAAAAAGTTACCTTCGCAACTGATCCCAAAGCGTCCAATGGGCCCCACCCTCTTCGTCGAGGCCCGTTCTTTCGAGCGGCTGGCAGGATGTACTGACAGCTGACAGTCGGCCGAGCAGGCTCCGCTGAGAAGTCAAGCACTCCAGGTTTTTGTGCAAGGATCTCTCATGCATCTCCTCGGCCCATTCATGCACCACACTTGCATAAATCTGTAAACTTGTCCGAATGCAGGAATTGTTTGGGAAAGCAGCGGCCAACATCAACAAGAGGAACACAATCACAAGAAGAGAAGGGTCCCAATGCAATAACAAGTCCCATCACGCCCCCGAAACCCTGTGAGTTCATGGCCCACAGCCCGCGTCTCCGCAACGTTTCGCCCAATGCTCGTGATCCCGTGCCATTGGAGTTCTGGGGTTTGCAACAATTTGGCCGAGGGCGTTTTCTTGTCCCCGAAGCATGGAATTGCGGCTCTTGTGCTCACTCACGAGCTGGAACCTGGAATCCGCACCGCTGTTCCACTGGACTCTCCTGCTGGGAAAGCTCGGTCCCCTACCTAGGCAGGCCACCCGAGTCCTATGGCCTAGGACTTTGCGGGCCGCTCGTGGCCAGGACGCGGGGGCACGCGCCACAACTCCCCATCCCGGTTTTAGTGCAAAGCACATGGAGCTGCAGAAGGGAGGTCTCCAATTCCACACTTGCCCACCACTCCGACACTCAAGGGCAGGCCGTCGTTTTATAATGATGATCTGTGACGGCAGAGAGGCGAGGGCAGCTGAGCCTAACACTCTCCCATATGTAGTACCGCCGTGCTGGATCTCAGAGAATGATTCCGGAGTTCTACGAACACATATTCCGTACCAAGGGACTCTTCAAGCTCAAGGCTCTGCTCTGGGTTCTCCCGATGCCTACCTCAGCGGACGTGTCCAACAAGGGGCAAATGCTTAACGAGACCTTGTCCGGCAGGAGTCACATCTTGCGCTGCCTGCCACCGCCTGGTTACAGGACCCGAGAATGCAGTCATCCTCACGTGCCCTGAAAGCGAAGAAATCAACCGACTTTCAAGCCCGTCATCCGCAGGTCGTGAGTGAGTTACTGAATGAATGACAAGTGTTGGAAGGCTCCGCAACCCATTCAGGGGCTGCCGTATCGTTTGCTGCGGAGTTTGCCAGCCCTGGGCCAGCCTTCCTGGGCCCCGATCGACAAAGCAAGCATCAAGGGAAACTGACTGGTCCGTCCCAGTTCAGACCGGCCGCAGCCATCTGATGACGACTTCCCGTTTTCCAGCCCTTCTCTCCCGATAAGAAGCGGAAAAGAAGTCCTGCCAACTCTCCAGAAATTCTGCAAACTCTGATACCTAGAGAGCAATTGCAAAGCTTGCCTCCTCCCGGTTGCATCACCGTGCATTGCGTCTCGTTCATTACAAAAGTGCCGAAAAATAAAACACGAAAAGGGACCGATACTTGGTCCTCGTGCTGCCTCCTATCAGCGCAGACCAAGCGAACAGCACTCGAGCAAGCCCCCCGAAGCCTGACAGGGTCCTGTCCACTCAGAGCGCCCCATTCTCGGCCGCACCCACTCAACCCCTTCTTCCCGGCCATTCCCCCAGCGCACTGAGCACTGTCGCCCTTTCTCTGTCATCAATTGCAGCGACCGCTGACTTCTGGCTCTTTTCCACACCCGAGCACTTCCTCCACTTTTCACCTTTTCCATCTCTCTTGCGTTTGCTGCATCAACAAACCGGCGACCGATTCTCCCAGAGGCATCGCCTGCCGCTTTCCCTCATTCACCGCGACCCGCGACCGCCGTTGTTTCTTTCTCCGGCGACTTCCAAATCCTGCGCCTTGCTTGCAGCTCATCCTGCTGCAGCATCACCAAACCCACTCGACACCCTTCTTCATCACACAGCTCTCGTCCCCAGCAACCATGGCCGCCGAGCTGCGCAGAAAGCTGGTCATCGTCGGCGACGGTGCCTGCGGCAAGACCTGCTTGTTGATGTGAGTGCCTTTGCTCAACCTATCGACCTCGGTCGGTTGAGGACCACCTTGACGCTTGGCCGCCATCTCCTCGTGATGGACGCGTTCCCCATACTAACTCGCTTCTTCTACCAGTGTTTTCTCTAAGGGTACCTTCCCAGAGGTAAGTCGACTTCGTCCGCTTCATTTCGCGCCCTGAACAACAGTCGTTTCTGTTTGAGCCCTGCATTGCCGCAGACCGCCTCGACGTTTCGGCTCCCCTACCCCGATAGCTCCCTGCTTCGGCCAGCCTTTCCTCACCGCATCGAACCCAAACAAACCTTGCCGCTTCACTGGCTAACATGGCATGCAGGTTTACGTCCCCACTGTGTTCGAAAACTACGTTGCCGATGTCGAGGTCGATGGAAAGCACGTTGAGCTGGCGCTATGGGATACGGCTGGCCAGGAAGACTACGACCGTCTGCGGCCCCTGTCATACCCCGACTCCCACGTCATCCTAATCTGCTTTGCCGTCGACTCGCCCGACTCCCTGGATAACGTTGGCGAGAAGGTCAGTTTCGGTCCAAGCCATTCCCGATGAACGCGTCACGCGGCAGATAGTTCTCAGGTTTACTAACTCTACTCCTCTATAGTGGTGCTCTGAGGTACATCACTTCTGCCCCGATGTCCCCAAGATCCTGGTTGGCTGCAAGAAGGACCTGCGTTTCGACCAGAAGACGATCGAGGAGCTCCGCAAGACCAGCCAGCAACCCGTGACCCCTGAGCAGGTAAGCCGCATCAGAATGAGCCCCGGATGACCCGCCAAGAGGCGGCCTCCGGTTGTCCAAGATAAGGAAGCAGACACTAACGCGATACGGTAAACAGGGCACAACGGTTGCCAACAACATCAAGGCTACCAAGTACCTCGAGTGCTCGGCCAAGACCAACGAGGGTGTCCGTGAGGTGTTCGAATTCGCGACACGGGCGGCTCTCCTCAAGAAGGCCGGGAAAAAGAAGAGCAAGTGCGTCATCGCCTAAGCGTAGGGCGATTACGAATAGCCACCTTCACGGCTGTCAACCACTGTTGGCCGACCTCGACCATCTTGGCAACAGAACGCCCGTCACGATGGGGACCTTGGCCCTAGAAAGAGAGATAGAATTCCTCACACTTGTTTTCCCAGCCGGCGTGAGAAACGCCGAATGGTGAACGGCCGCGTGCTCCCGGAAAGTGGTAAGCGGGCGCCCCTGGTGAAGGACGGAGAAGCGAGAACTCGAGGTTGGCAGCTGCGAGCCGAGGAAAGGGAGGATGCAATCACGAGCATCGTGGGTAATTCTGGGGTACTGCCCACGCGGGCCCTACGTCTCGGCTGAGTTGGAGATGGCCGGCTAAGCAAATACTGGGCGGCATGCAATAATCCAACGCGTCCTCTTCCTTTTCTATCTTGTCCTTTTTTTTTCTGTCTCAGATTACTTGACGGTACCGCGGTTTTCCATCCTCGTTTTTACTAGTTAGCTATCTATTTATTCATGCTCTTTTTTTGGACCAGGCTGTGTGTGTCTCTTGTTGACGTTGAATAATTCACAGAGTCCCTTGCTGTGTTGTCTCGCTTTACATCGTCGTGTTCGTGCCTCGCCCCCAGCATGGGATGGAGAAAATAACCTGCCATTTGAACACTTACCTTCCTATTCACTGGGTTAATGGGAGCCGAGGCTTTTTCCTCTTGAGTGGAAGAGTTGTGGTCGTTGACTGTACATGTGTGGTCGCTTTACATCACGGAAGAACGATCGGTTTCATAAAGCACCGAGACAGTCACTTGGGAGAGGACGGGACTTCGGCGATCATCCTTCATTCATTGACGATGCTCCCCAAACTGACGTCAAGCCACTGCTAAAGTGCCACCCTCGCTTTCCTATACTACGAGAGAATATCTTGCGAGATGACTGAACTGCGTGAGAGAAACCAGACTGTTCATGAATCATTGCCCGGCAATCGATAGAGCTGGAAAAGACAGAGGGTATGGTATGCCTGGGCGTGATGGTTGCGCGTCGGTATTTAAACGGGGCAGCTCTGTTGGTACGGGTTAGGTGGCCGCCGACACGAACAGATAGGTAGGTAGTTACACGCCGGAATGGGAAGGCGGTAACGGGGAGGTGATATGGAGAGCACTCACGGCACCGCAGGACCCGCAGGACTTGTTCTCACCGTCAGACGCCACTCCGCACTTGGGGCAGGTGCTGTGGTGCATGTTGACTTGGTTGTGTTGTGTTGTTGGTTGGGGGTTGGCCGGTATGGGCAAGTTTTGGTTCCTGAAGTCTTCGTTGTTTGTTGCAAGATTCAAGCAGATGAAGGGTTCAACACGAGGTCCAACTTGTGGGTGGGAGAGCGGGGTCTTTTATTAACAACCTCCATCCTCCCCCCATCCCTCCTTCCCTCAACCACTCTCCCACTCAAACTCGACTCTTGCCCGTTTTGGTCTCGTACGCCCCGTTTCTGCTGCATCGGCAAGGTCGATTCGGCGGGTAGCCTGCTGCTCTGGCTGCACGAGGCGAACCACCCGCCCAACGCAACTTCCATCCACGAACAAGAAGGCTGCATCCAGGCAGCCAACCCGCCCACCTCCGCACCCCTCCATCCAATAAGTCAGCCGGTTTGCATTTGCAAATCGAAACTAACTCCCCCCGAATGACCACCCCGCGACCTTTTGACCTGGACCTACCGGCGTCACACAACCCCGATAGGACCCGCACACCGAAGAACCCCTCCTCTGAAGGTGTGTGTTGTGTGGAACGTCCCCCAGTGGGTGGAAAGCGGGGGCAGAACGATTCACGGTAGGTAACCAAACCCCCAACCAGCAGCCCACCTTGAACTCGGTGGCACCCGCGTCGTCACGGCGCCTATTCGTCGATAAGCGGATACGTCGAAGGGCGGGATCAGGCGGGGATCAGGCGGGTGGGTTAGGGTGCGGGGTGTGTAATGTGTGATGCGGGAAGCGGCGGGTTCCCCACGCCAAGTGCTCCGACGGAGCGCGAGGTCTCCCCCGTGGCCGGTTCAGAGGCAGGTGAGTGATGCGCTGGTTAGCTAAAAAGGGGTGGGTTAAAAGGCATCTTGGGAGTTAAACGACGGGAGGGGGTGGGATTAGGCAAAAGAGATGATGCAGAACAATAAACGAGTCAAAGTAGCAATGGGTTGAACGAGGCTGGATATTTAGGTATATCATTTATAAAATACACATTACTTAAAAGGCGACAATCATTTCCTTAATTTACTTGGTAGCTTTCATGTCGGTCCTTTCGCGACGCCCGGCCGACATATAAGATAGAGCCTAGCTTCCTGTGTTTATCATGAGTGAGTTGATATCACAAGGGAATAACAGGGGCGCCCAGAGCCATGAAACTACACAGGCTCGCCGGTGCCATGTGATGTGACGGGGATGATCTGGATCGCGAGCACCGCGTTTTATCAGCCTGCTTCACATCGAGAAGTCTAAGATATGATGTGTATATGAATAGTTGAGCAAGCCTGACGCCATGCTGGACCAATGCTAGGACTACGAATCAAACTCCGATCGCTTGCCCGCCCTTCTATCATGCCGCTGGTATTATGTACAATCCCAGAAAATATTAGTTAGTCTATCCATCTCAATAACACTGCCTGGTATCCCCCTCGCCTATAACTCCACAGTCAGTCGTCGCTATGTCACGAATCAAGTTCGTACGCGGTAGTCAGTAACTCACCTTTGATAATCTTCCCAATCGCCTGGAGCATGCTCATCACCATAACCGTACACCCAAACGCCGCGACTGCCCAGGCCACGTAGGTCTTCCACGAGCGCGTCGTGAGCTTGATGTAGCACAGCGGCGGCAGGATGTAGGCCATGGCGGCGGCGCTGGTGCCGCCGACGAGGTCGAACACGGTGCCCAGGTCGCACGTCAGCAGGCTCAGCACCATGGCGCTGAACACCAGGCTGGAGCTGAAGATGAGGTGCAGGTTCATGTTGAAGGGCTCGCCCGGGAAGTAGTAGTTGAACATGACCTCGCGGCAGACGAAGGCCTCGAGCGGCAGGGTGGTCAGCATGTTGAGGCCGAAGCAGAGGCGCGCGATGTTGACCATGGTGTTGTCGGCGGGGAAGTTGTTGAGCACGTTGCCCATCGTCTTGTCGCCGAAGGTGAGGAAGCCCGACAGGGCCATGAGGAGGCAGGCGACCATGGACACACCCGTCGAGATGTGGGTGACCCTGGCGAAGCGGTCGATGGTGGGCTTCTCGAGGGAGCCGTAGATCAGGAGGGAGTTGTGGTGGCAGACAAAGGCTGGATTTTGTTAGCGACAGTTCTAGGAAGCTTTAAGTGCCGTCAAAAACATACCGAACGATATCACCCCGATGGCCTGGAATATCCCGTCGTTGACCACCAACATCCGCCAGTCCTTCAGCGACCCCCTCTCCTCAGCCGGCACCATCGCGCCCTGCACCACCACCGTCACCACAATCACCGCCATGCTCACCACCGCGAGCGTACTCGCCTTGGCCAGCTACCTCCCACACCAACAATCAGCCCTCATCCCCTACCCCCTATTTCCCCACACGTAACCCAGAAAGAACCAGCGGAGGAGGAGGAGGAGGAAGAACTCACCTTCGCAATATCCCTATACAGCGCCAGCGGATAGCTAATCCCCACCGTAAACACCACAATCACAACCCTGCGATCGGCCAACAGCCCCAGCACGGGCATCTCCCTCAACCCAGGCCACACCGCCCTCAACACACTGGGAATACTATCCCCCACAATCACCCCAAACGCCACCATCCCCCCAAACGCAAACGCCCACTGCGCCACGCTGATCGCCACCAAGCCCGTCCGCCCAAAACACTTCTCCACGGTGCCCTGAAAGGAACTCGCCCCGCTCAGCTTCGAGTTCACCACGATCAGCCGGATCGTCCAGTCCACCACCACCGTCAGCACCACCAGCAGCACCGTTCCCGCCAGCAGGCCCGCCTGGCGGAAGGCGTACGGCTGCCCGATGATGCCCGCGCCGATGATGCTGTTGGCCATGTTCATGAAGGCGGACGGGAGGGAGGATTTGGGGCGGGCGCGCTCGGCGGCTAGCCAGGCTTCGGCGTCGTCGTCGCCGGGGCTGCCCGCCGTGGTGGCGACGGTTATGGAGGGTGCTTCGATGCCGGTGAGGAGGGGGACGCGCTGTTGGGTGTGGGTGCGGGTGTGGTGCTGGGTGAGTGGGCCCGCTTCGTCGTCGTCGTCGAGGGAGAAGTCGGTGTCGAAGCTCTCGCGGGCCGGGTAGATGTCGGTGTTGTGGTTGTTGTTGTTGTTGGCGGAGCCATTGCTGTGGGTGTGGGTGTGGGTGTTGTCGGCGTCGTCGACAAAGGTCGGGCGCAGGTCGAAGCGCACGCGGTTTGGGGTCCGGGGGGTGCGCGGGTTGGTGGTGCTGTCGTGGGGAGAGCCCGGGTGGACTATGAGGCCGTGGGTGCCGTCATCGTCGCCGTCTCCGTCGTCTCCGTGGTCGGGGTTGGGGGAGAGTAGGCCGGTGGCCTCTTCGTTGGTGTTTCCGGCTGCTGTGGAAGGGGAGGATGATGTTGCGCCGTGTCGGTTGTTAATGTTGGCAGCTGCTGCAGCGCCATGAGATGTGGCCCTGGCCATTCTGCTGCACTCAGGGCATTTTGCGCAGTCGCAAGCCGGGTCAGTCTCAGTCTCGGCCTCTGTGCGGGACAAGATCTTTTGGAAGTACAGATCGGTATAGCGGGTGGTTTTGTCAAACAAAGATGTCGATCTCGGCAAGAAGTTGTTAAAGTGACTTTCAGGGCAATTGCAGAACAGCGTTACAAAATGCAATCAGCCCAGACCTGAATCCCGGGCCGCCAATTAGACCCCTGTCGGGTGCTGCAGGCCGGTTCAGGGGTCGCACAGGTTGGTGAGCGCGGGCGGAATGGAACAGCTGAAACAGGCGACTCCCGGACGGATCCGGACGTCATACGAAGGAGTTACTCGTACACAGTAAGGAATGGCCAAACATGGTCGGCATACGGACAGACTCCATCTCGTAAACGACCCAAGCTGCGAAAAGAATTTTTAACTGTGTTATTTCACAGAATCTTATTATAAGATATTACAGACAAATCCACAGGTTCTCCTAATTATCCGCGAGCCATATATTTATCTGAGCCTTCAGCTCACCCTATCCGCGCCTGTCCACGCCTTTCTCCTGGGGTATCATGTTCGCAAACTCAACCGCCCGCTCGTTTGCCAGACGTGGACACGAACCATACACACACACAACTACCGTAGTCGAGTGGTAGCATTTCCACCAGCCTGATCTGTGGCTGGCTATATTTCTTTTTTTTTATCCCCCCCATGCTCGCTCCTCAAATCAAGCAGAGCAGCCAGGCTGTAAACTGAAGCGTGTCCGGTCTCATGACCTTCTCACCCGGCCATGACAACAGCGACGGCGATGCACAGAGCAAAACCATACATGCCACCCCGCAGTTGACTCCCGGCGTTGACCTCGGTGTGCGTAGCGCCCGGACCCGTCGACGTTGGGGCAGCCCCAGGCGGGCGCGACTCCTGCCCGCTAAACCCGGGCATGATGGGCTGCGCCGCGTCGTTACCCGCCGCCCCCGACGTGGCCACGGGTGCAAGAGTCGTGGCGGACGAGTCGACCTTCGTGGACGTTGGCTTGGGCTGGGGTGCCGGTTTCGCCGCGAAGCCGATACGCATCTTGTCGGCGTCGAAGACGCTATAGACGTTCTTCAGGAATGTGTCGCCGATCAGCCAGGTGCCCTTGTACACCTCGTAGCCGTAGAGGCTGGCGATGCACTTGTTCTCCCCCCTCTGCACGACCCAGTCATCAGCCGAGATCTGGTAGTCGACGCCCGAAAAGCTGAGGTGGATTGGTAGCGTCGTGTCGCACGGGACCTGGTACTCCATGTAATCTCCGTTCTGCGATGAGCTCGACCCGGGGATCAGCTTGAACAGCGCGGCTAGGTCGTCCGGCGGCGCAAAGATGAAGGATGTGCCCGTATCGATGTAGGCGAGTTTGCTTTGGAGGCCGGCTGACTTGCCGTTGAGACTCGCATCGTCCAACGTGACGGCCCATTCGCCCTTTTCCTTCTGGTCGGGTCCGATGCTGTGATATGTGATCTCGCCCTTGTATTTGGTCTTGTCGATCCCGCCGAACGTCACCTGGCCGTCATTCCCCCCGTCCGAAGCCCGGTTCATCGATATGCTCACGATGAGCGAGTCCAGCACCTTCTTCTCCCTGAGTGTCTGCAAGAACGTCCCTGTCACCGACGGGCTCGTGGCAAGACCGAGGATGCCATCAAAGGCAAAGTGCTTGAAGTCGTCCGTGGTGTAGTTGGCCAGCCCAAACGACAGATCGTGTGTAATGCCAGCAAACGTAGCCGTGTCCTGACCGACGCTCCCTGTGAGGTTCCCCGAGCCGTACTGGATCGTGAATCCCTTATTCTTTGTCCGCCACGACTTTGAAGAGCTGGGGTCAAAGGTGTCGTGTAGGTGGCAGGCATCTGACTCGCAGTCGGAGCCCATGATCCATGTGTTGGAAGCACCCGTGTCGAGCAGCATGTAGAATGGTTGCTGGGCCTCGCCCACTTGGACCCTGATGAAGTACGAATAGTCGGGGCCGTATTGATAGATACCCGCGCTGTTGGGCGCGGTCGGAGTGGCCGGCTTGGATACGGCGTATGTATTCTTCCTCTTGCTCAACTCGGACCCGGCTGCAGCTTGCGGTTTCCCGAATTTGCGAGTGAGCCGGGCGGCGGCTTCGGCTATCGGGTCAAACTTTGAGGGGTCATGAGGCTATCAAACATGTTAGCATACGCATGCGGTTGATACTAGGTGTTGGTACAACACCGGCGGAGAGTCCGGGAAGACGTACACGAGTCGGCCTATGGTAAAGGTCGACTGTAATCCCTTCGGATGTCTGATCTGACCCATCATTGGCCCTCTTCCCCCCGACACTTACATGACCGCACTCCTCATCTGGTGCGCAGTGGCCTGCCGGGACGAAGGGGAAGAAGGCGCGGGCGGTAGCAACCCATAGCGTCAGCTGCAGGAGCAGAGTTGCTACTCTGAACATGATGAAGAAGCACCACTGGGGGCCTCACCACTCCCGCACCGGTGTCAGTGCGAGGTGTGATGTGTTGCCAATGGTCCTGGGGGGGTTCGTATGCTCGGGTCACGAGCTCGAAGGTGAATGGCTGACGGTTGCTCACACCATGTGGGCAGCCAAAACCGATTCGGAAGGCCGGATGAGGCCTTGGTGCTGCCAATTGCCTGGCGGCGAGTCCCAGACTCTGGCACCGGGAGTATTAGAGTAATTAGAGATTATGAGGGCGACATTGGTAGTCCACCCAGAAAGTTGAGGCCGTTGAAGAACGAATTACCGGCAAGACAAGGAAGAAATGCGATGATGGCGGGACGTGGAATTTACACAAGAACCGAGACTGGTGAACAAAGCAATTGAAAAACGGGCGACTGGAAAGAATCGAGACAAGTGGAATCGGACGATACGAGGTATGTAAGGTATGTTATGTATAGACGAGGGGGAGAGAGAGACACGGCCTCGGGCGAGACGCTGAAGTGTATGCAAGACAGAGAGAACAACAACCAACAACGGGCTTTGATGCAATATGCAAAGTAAAATAGAAACCCTCGAGGACGGACACACCATGAACAGCCCAATGACGTTGGCCGGTGGAGGGGAGGGGGAGTAGATGTAAGGCGCGTGGAGTGAGACCGCGGAGGAGGAGAGGGAAAGGAGTGAGGCAGCGGGCGGCGGCGGATGTGGATCTGATGAACAACCGGAGCCGGGCCATCGTGGGGAGGGCAAGACAGGCCTTGGCCTGGACCTGGGGGGACGGACCTTCAGAACTTGGTGGCTGGCTGTTGGCGCGATACATGGCGTTGGCTTAGTGTTACGGTAATATCAGGAGGTAGCAAACTATCTGCGAGTCGAGGATTCCTTCCTGATCGAGACATGATGGAGCACTGGCCTGGCACTGGGCAACGGCGAGGGGACATCGTCGATTGGCGCGGTGGTTCTCAGGTTTCTGTCTTCAACGCATTCGTGCCATTGGACACAGAGAATGCGGGTGTTCTGCATGCAGCATGGCAGGCTCGGCCCAGTGTGGAGAGAAGCGGAGCGTTTCCTCAGAGTGCAACCCTCTAATCCGGTTGGGACCCCAGTTGGTGCTGATCGGCCGTTGGCAGAATGGCGCTCTGGGAATAAGAACGAGAGAAAAGAACAAGAGCCGCGTGGGTTGATGAATTCCGTGCGCGAACAAAATCCCGGTCGTCTTCTGGATCGTGGGGCCTGGTCGTTGTTTAATCTTGCAGTCGCGCCATGATTGGACGATGGTTTGACAAGCTCCCAGGTGGGGGGTTCTTCTCATCCCAATTTGTGAGCCCCGGTTTTCCGGGCTTTGCCAACGCCCGGTACCACGATTTGGCCAGACCGTGTCGGTCGCGGCAACTCCCGGCTGTGCCCGGGTAGCTCGAAGCAACACATTCGGCCAGCCGCGAGATCCTCATTTTGGAAAATGCAAACACACGAAAACCTGCCATAACCGCTGCAGACAATATGCTGTTGGCGCTCGTCGAATGCAAGACTGAGGGGCCAAGCGGGCCTGAACAGGGGCATCGGCGCTAACTCGCCCCAGACAACGATGCAACCTTGATCCCCTGTCTCGCATTGCCAAGGTCCGACTTGGGACCGTCCAAAGTTCGCCCAATCGGTTTCGGTCATCGGTGACGGGCCACACGGCGACATGTGCATATCAAGCAGGCGCGGTGCCGCTCAGCATTTCGACGCGGCAAAGACTCGATGAACGTTAATTCCAGTCAACGAGCGAGAGCTGATATCAAGGCACACGAGGCTGGCCGCCCAATGTCTGAGAGAGATCGGATCATCGAGGCTGAGCTCTGCACCCGTTTCATCTCGACTGGGAAGATGCTTCTCTCTCAAGGTAGATCTGAAGATCTTTCTCTGGCAGGCGCCAACTAGGAGCCCTCCTCACGAGACGACAAGATGGGATGTTCCATGACGACGAAGTATGGACATCGGCTGCAACGACGATGCTCAACCGACCAGTGCCGACTTGAGAGTCCCGTCGATCGGGTCCAATTTTGTGTCCATTTGGTTGCTTCCCGATGCGGACGCTCCCTCTCGGCTGAATCGTGGGCTGCAGTGTCACCCGAAATCGATATTGTCGAACGCAGGACCGTCCGTCAACTCTACGAGAAGCAAACCCCTTTCTGCGTGATCATCACGCTTTTAAGGATGTGCTCATATTATGTGTCGATTTTTGTGCAGCTCCTCACGGCCGCGGCGGTTGAGGGTTCGGACTCTGCATTCTTCATCTCGGATATTTGCTCAGTTTTTGGAGATGGGATCACGTTGGCGGCCTAAATAATGTGACGCAGAATAACAAGGGCCGCCAACGTCCCGGTACCAAGCGGTTCCTTCCATGCTCAGTCGTGGACCATTGGCGCCGAATGCTTGCATATGCGGCTGCGCCAACGGTCTTCGGACGTTGGCCTCAGCGTACGTGTTTCATGCAACGGCTTGAACTGCGATGTCATACGGCCGTGGTGGTTCTGTGTTGATATCGCATCAACCGCCTGCGATGCGTGTTTGTTGCCGGTACGCTTCGCACCAGTCCACGGCAGCACGTAGCACCGTCTGGTCTACCGTTGTTTTTGACGTCTCAAGAACGGCTGCCTGGACGGCGAGGAACTGGGAGTATTGCTCGTCACCAACCAGCCGCGAGGCTGCAAGCGTTCGCAGGAACACCCACACCGACTCATTAGCCAGCCGAAGCGAGCTGGCCAGGTGAAGAACCTCTGTGAACGTCGCGCGGCCGGACTCTGCGTTCGTGCTATTCTCGGCATTGAGGAGAAAAGAGAGAAACGACCAGCCAGATATGTCAGTGTGATGTTGAAAACACCAGCCCTGCACCGCCGCCAATGTTTCTGCTGGGTTATCTCTCCTCAAGCCCACGAGAAACCGCGCATGACACCAGGCGTAGTAATTTCGTGAGTGCCTCTCCCCTGCCACAAATACAACGTCCCTGATATCGCCAAGGATGTCCACCGGCATGTTAACCGATGTCAACGTCGTGATGAGCCAGCGGCGATGACTCCAAAGGGTGGGCGACTTGGTGTGCCTGTGCAGCCTGCTCGTTAGCAGGCTGTCGAGAAACCGCTTTTCCTTCTCCAGACTCGAGCGTGCAGCCCCGCTGCTGGATATCTCGGCTTGAATGACGCGCTTCCTCGAGTTGGCAGCCGTGAGGTACTCTGGGTCGAAGAGCAGAATCAGTCCCGTCGTTGCGAGCACTTCGTCTGCCGTCTGCGGTTTGATCCCATCAATATGCTCCCTCAGTCTTTGCCTAGCAACCATGAAAGCCTGGACAAGGCCTAGCTTCGAGATGCCGATGGCGCGCCCATCCCGAACAACGTATTGGCCTTCCTCGAGAAAGTGAGTCTTGCCCAAGATCTCGATTTCCAAAAGGCCATCATCTGGTGGTGCTAGGGCGTGCGTGATTGCCTGGTAGGCTTCTAAAGGGCTTCCCCGTTTTAGAAGGGCCGCTGTTTCCTGATCCAGAGCTCGTGACATGGTCGGAATCAAGTTGTTCTTGCCTGGAGCTCATCTCAATCAACAATTCAGGAAGGTGGGGGTTGTTCAATGAGGTGCATTGGGCGTTTTTGTTGAAGGGGGAGGTCTGGTCTACCCTAACCCTCCTACGATGACTGGCGTCTGGCAAAACCACGTTGCCGGGTGGTGTGAGCTGGCAGTTCCGTCATCACGCTCGGATGGGTTCTCGAGGAGCCCAGCAACCCAAACACACAGCAATGACAGCAACGTTCCCCTGACGCTCATCCAAGCTGTCGATCGATCTCTCTTAGTCTCTCCAAGCCGCCAACATGCCGTCGTTACTGGTCGTCGTTTTCTTGATCGAGCTGGTCGTCCAGCTTGTCAACACTATCGGCGCAACCACAATCAACAGCCTCGTGCGTGACCTCGCCTCATCTTCCCCCCTGCTATACGCGTTTGTTCGAGTCGGACGAATGCTGACCTCGACCTTCACTACAGATATGGCGCCTCTACCTCTCGATCCCAACGCCGCTCGCCAAGCAGTTCGCCGAACAGCGACAGAAGCAGAAGGAGTACCTAGCAGTTCGCCTCGAGCTCAACGCGACGAGCAGCCAGGACGAGTTTGCAAAATGGGCGAAGCTGCGGCGGCAACATGACAAGCTGCTGGATGAGCTGGAGAAGAAGAGTAAGCCCCTCTGGTGCTCCTTGAAGCAAGCTCTTGCTAAGCATGCGTATAGAATCCGCCGTCGAAGCCTCCCGTACAAAGTTCGACCGCTACCTCACGGCCGTCCGCCTAATCTCGACGCGCGGCGTACAATGGCTCATGCCGATGTGGTACGGCAAGCTGCCCATGTACTGGCTGCCCTACGGATGGTTCCCCTACTACGTCGAGTGGTTCGCCTCATTCCCGCGGGCGCCGTTGGGGAGCGTCAGCATCGTGACGTGGCAGGCAGCGTGCACGGCCATCCTGACGCTCGTTATGAATACGGTCATGGGCATATTGGCTTTCGTCGCGGCGAGGAGGCAGCCAGGGAAGCAGAAGGAAAAGCAGCCCGTCCCGGCGGCGGGAGCTGGAAACGGCGAGACCAAGAAGGAACAGTGAATACAAACAAGCACACGGGAATAATATATTAATAGATTTGAAATAATGTCTCTCAGCATTTGACGCAATGATCCTTCATCGCCGGAGCTAGAATTCTGCAACACTACGTGAGATGACTCTTGGCAGAGTACTTGGGCTCAATCTAGGCAACACATTGACTTCGTGCGACCATGGGAGGACCGCCGAAGCTTCGATAGTGCCAACGTTGTCAATAGTCACGAGCGCGAGAGGGGGGCTAAAACGGTAATGTCGTCTATTGTTTTGTCGCTAAAGACATAATACGGTAGAAAATGGCGGCAGTGTCGGTGTACTGCATTGTTCAACTTGGAATCGAAAAAGGTTGAACTGAAAATGCGAGGAATCGGGAGTCGCGGTTGACAGAAATTTATAATTTTCAACCCACACAAGGCTGAGCAAGCGCATGGCCCCACCCCTTCCAGCTTGTTGCCCCACATCAACTTTTCAGTACCCCTGTAGGTGGTAGCCTCGTCCAACACCTTGCATCTCGAACAAACGGAGAGTTGCTTCGTTCCATTCCTCGACAAACACCGCCGTCGAGGCCGCAAAACCACCGTAAAAATGGCGATACCTTGGGGGACGTAAGTATCATTAAGCAACCCACCAAAAAAGTTCCAAATCTAATCCATTCAACAGCATCAAGTCCCTCGTCATCTTCTTCGGCCCCCTCCTCCTCCCCAAAGCCATCGGCTACTACCGTCGCGTGCGCGCCGCACCACGTATCCATGGCCTCAAAGTCCGCCCTCTCCCCGCGCCCATCACCCGCGCCATCGCCATCCTCCTCGCCGTAGCCGCCGTCTTCCTCGTCCGCACCCTCCCCATCTTTTCCCCCGAAAACATCTTCCAAACCACCCAATCCCGCCTCCAAATCCCCGCCGACGTGCTCTTCAACCGCCTCTCCGCCCTACGGCCAGGCAACACCCTCACCGCAACCGACCTCGCCCTGCGCGCCAAGTTCGCCTCGCTCGAATCCCGCCTGCTCTACCTCCAGCACGGCCCGTCCGTGCTGGCCACCTGCCCCTTCTGCACCTCGGACGAGCCGCGCTCCTACCTCTACTACGCCATCCCGGACATGCTCGCACCGCACCTCTTCAACCTGCTCATAATCGCCTTCGCCACCTCCTCCCTCTTCACCAGCCAATCCCTGGCAGCCGCATCCACCAGCCGCTTCCGGTCGGCCGCCTCCCTCGCGGCCGTGGGCTTCGCCTTCCTCGACCTGTACTGGGTAGCCGCGTACAACCACACAGCCAACGCGCGAGCATTACGGCTCGGCGAGATCGACGCCTTCTTCTGGACGGCGCGGGCGGTGCGCTACGGCGCCGCCGCGCTGGTGGACGCGCTGCTCGCGCTGCTGCTGTACCTGGCGGCGACGCACCGCGCCTTCGTCACACCGCCGTCGCCGGCCGATCGGGTGGACAACGTGGCGCGCGCGCTGGGGACCATTAAAGGGGTGGTTAATGCCGCTGGGGTGGTCAAGAATACGGTGCTGCGGGATGAGGAGCTGCGGGCGCGGAGCATGTCGTATTGGGCGCATGAGGTGCGGCTGATGCGGGAGATGATGGAGGAGCGCGAGGTGGTGGAGGGGGTGAATGATGCGTTGCTGAATCGGATCGATATTCGGGGGATTGAGAGGGATGCGGAGGTTTACGCGAAGGCCGTGTTGATGCCGACGGGGGAGGTGAAGGAAGAGGTCGTTGGTTGACGGTGGATGTTTGAATATGTCTGTTCTAGCGTATTTTAGACTCGGCGTTTTCGAATTCAAGTCATTTCCAGCCTTTTACCGTGTACTTACACAGTAATCCTTAATCTTCTTGTACCTGAGGCATGACTAGTCGAATAGACAGACTTATCAACCTCATATGCGCAGCGCACTTCTGCAAACTCGCATCCACAGCAAGAAGTGAATCCATGATATGAAGCCGAGTTCAATTCTCTCAGCCACTCTCAGTTCCCCCCGAACCCGAACAGTGCTATTTATCTAGCCCGGCCGCCTCCCCGCTCGCAACGCCACTATAACTAACACCTCTTACTCTAGACACAATATCGATAGATGCAACGGGCTTTTGATCCTTCCCACAACCGCAGTCCTGCATGCCATATCTCTAACACCCTAACATCCCACCACCACCCCCCAACTCAACTATGCCCCCTCGTATCCGGCCGCCCCCCACCCGTCGTACTCGCACTCGCGACACTACCCTTCCGCGACGACGTCCCACCACCACCACCACCGCCCCCAGTCGCCTCATCAACGCTCTGCTCCAGAAAACTCGCCCACAGATCAGCGAGCGACTCCCGCGCCCCGCCGCTGCCGCTGCCCGAGGTCGCGGCGTCGGAGAGGAACTCGGTGCTGAGGGCGGGCGAGCTCGGGGTGCGGTGGAAGGGCGACGCCGGCAGGCGCAGCGTGTTGCCGCTTCCCCCCAACGCCGTGCCGCCACCGCCGCCGCCGGGTCGGGCTAGGCCGGCCTTTTCGCGCTGGTCGTCGTTCCAGCTGAGGAGGTTGGCCATGACTTGGAGGATTTGGAATTTCTTGGGGTCGGAGCGGTCGAGGGTGAGGAATTGGAGGAAGTGGTTTGTTACGAGTTGTCTGGTTGGGGTTTCGTTAGTGATGGAGGGTGGTGGGGAAGGGGGGGGATCGTAGGGGCTTGCTTACTTGTCGATTGTTTCTTCTGGTTTGGTCTTTTTGATGTATTTGAGTGCCTTCGTGAGGTGGTCGTTTAGTACGATCGCCTCGTGCCGTAGCTTGCCGATTAGTAGGTTCTTTTCCTTGACCTCCTTTTCGAACGGCGCCGTCCGCTCGAGTTCCTTTGATAGCGTCTCCTTGGCCGATTCGGCTTCGACGGCTCGTGTATCGGCCTCTTGGGAAATCTTCTTGAGCGCTTGCACCTGCTCCTCTGTGGACTCAACCATCTCGCGTAGCTCCCTCTTCCGCGTGTCTTGGAGCTCCTGGAGTGCACGCTGGAGACGCCCGACAGCCTGTGATTGCGAATCCCGGTCCGATTCGGCTCGTTCGTGCGCCTCACGCGCGGTAGCGACCTGCTCTTCCAGGTCGGATACCTTGTCGGATAGGCTCTCGCGTAGGGAGCGCTCCTCCATGGCAATGACTTCCCACTCGCCCATGGCGGCGGTTGTGGACTCGAGCTCGCCCTTGAGGTTCTGCATTTGCCGTACAATGTCGTCCTTCTCCTTGAGCCAATTTTGTTGCGACAGGTTGCTCCTGCTGCGCAAGCCGGCCAGCTCGCGTCCTTGCTCCTGCGCTTCATCCCTCAGGCGGCCTGCTTCCTCCTCGCGCTCGGCCACTGTCCTTTGTAGCTCATCGTTTTGCCTCTCAAGCTCATCGACACGGTCCTTGGTATCCTCTAGCTCAGCCTTGTCACGCTTCAGGCGGTCGCCCAGCGTCTCCTTGATTTTCTCGACGCGATTTAAGAGTGTTTGGTACTGGGTTTCGGCGTACTCCTTGGCGGCCTCGGCGTCCTCCAAGTCGGCCCGTAGTTGTGCGGTTTCTTGGGAATGCGATTCTTGTGTGCTTTCGACCTGCTTCCGCAGCTGCTCGACCTCGAGCCGCAGAGCGTCGTGGTCTTCTGACATGGCTTCTAACTTGGCGTCTTGCGCCCCTGATATTGACCCGGTTGGTGAATGCCCGTTTGCGCGAGCATGGCCGTTAGCCGCACGTCTCGAATCGTCTTCGGTGTTCTCAGTCGGTTCAGACGTCGCTGTTCCCGCCTCTCCTTCTTCCTCTGAGGTACTCGGTTCTGTCCCCGGCCGGTCTACCGCAGCGTGCGGTTCTGGTGGCGGGTTGGAGGTATTCTACACGACCGTGGTTAGACCGGGAAATAGAAGCGCACGCAGCCGATACTGGCATTGGCGAGCGAAATAGGCAGATTAACATGGGGTTTAGGCGTGCGTACCAAACCGAGAGTCTCTAGCTCTTCTGACACTTCGTCGACCGGTGCGCTCTCAACGCCATCCTTCTGTCCGGCTGTGTTTGGCTCTGGTGCGTTTGGCTCGGGTGCAGGGGAGTTCTGCGTGTTCTGCGTGCTCGGCGTGCTCGGCGTGGTGGTGGTGGTGGTAGTGGTAGTGTTGCCGACCGGGGCGTTGCCCTTGTTGCCCTTCTTCCTTTTATTTGCCTTCTTCTTGTTGTTGTTGGAGGGGGCGGCGGGGCCTGTTCATAACCACGAAGCATTATTTCTCCATTAGCGCAAATGCACATAGCGAGGAAGCCAAGGGTGGTGATGTGGCCTGGCCTGGTCTCTGCACCCGGTGCACGTCCATGCCCCTCAAGCCCACTTTGGGACGTACCTTGGGCTGCTGATTGGACAGCGTTGGTTGGCGCGGCCGAAGACGACATGGTCTCGATGCAATTGGCGGTGCTGTTGCTGGTGTCGTGGTTGGGGTGGACACAGATGCATCCAGAAGCAATGTGTGGTCCCCCGTCGTGTTTCTCGTCTCGATGGTGTTCGTTGCTTGTGGCCAAGTAAGTGGGCGTACAAAAACGTAACTAACTACAACGGATGGATGGAGGGATAGGATGGATGGGCGGACTCTCCCGCGCCGACCCGCCGCAGCCTGTTTACTGTGCTCTCGTATTCTCGGCGTCAGCTGTTCGGTTCTTGTTCCGAGTTTCCTTCAACAGTTACCTAAGGTGGGTAGCGAGGCAGTTATTCACAATGGAGATACGGAAACGGAACCCTGCTTGATTGCTGCAGGTCCAACACGCAGGCTGTGATCGGTGGCTGTAAGATACAGGTACGAATGGATAATTACGGCGAGCAGTTAGGACGGAGGGGTCTTCGGTCGTGTAAAGTAATGGATAGGTACGAATAGTTAACGTTCGGGGTCGTGTACGAATACCTCAGGTGTTCACACGAAATAATCATGTCGTTGTTTGCAGCTCGCCATCAATTAATTCCACATCAAAAACGGCGGCAGCGCGGGATCTTGCTATACAAAAAAGCATTCCAAATCAAGCACACAGCCCCAACTGTCTTGTTTCGAAACTTGGATCTCCAAGCCACCAATGTGCTCAGCACACCATGCTGACCGTCCGAACAACACTGTGTTACGTAACTAAACTCAGAAGGGTCACGGACCAACGAAGCATCAAGCCAAGCAGCCAAGGATTTTAAGCAGCAAATGCAAAGAAACCGAAGCTGGATTTTCTCTTTTCCTTTCTTCAACATATTTCTCTTCGCCCGACTTTTACATCGAATCTGCCGTTGCACCTCGCAAAATGCTGGCTTTTTCATACTAGGGCAGAAGTAGAGCAGTTGACTGCGCTTTATAATCCTGATATCTCTCGGAGCACCAGCTCTTTCCAAGAGTCTATCAGGTTCGCTTGGTGCACACATCCCAACACGTAAAACTCGGAGAGCGATTGCTCGGTCTAGAAGCGACTCTTGATTGTCCCGAGCCGCGGGTATCAGTGACAAACTGCAATACAGTGACTCCTTGCTCATGACTTTGTCTTCTTGCCCTTCTTGCCCTTCTTCTTCTGCGGGGTGGCCTCCTCGGATTTTGATTTCTTGGCCTCGACCACTTCCGCCTCGGCAACCTCCTCTTCCTCTTTGGGCTCGGCTGTCTCGGCGGCAGCAGCCTCGATGGTTTTGGGTTCCTCCTCGGTACCGTTCTCCAACAGCGGCTTAGCCTCGGCGGCCTTGAGTGCCGGGGCTTCAAAGTCATAGCCCATCTCCTTCAACTTGTCGGACCTGGCGGCCCGCCTCTTCTCCTCCTTGGAGATTTTGACCTGCCATTGAGTCTCGGACAGCGGTCGCTCGAGCTGCTTGCCGGCCATCTTGTTCCATGGGACCACCTTGAAGCGGCGATTCGCGCCCTTGAATAGGTCTGGGTGCACTTGCGCGGGCGGAACAGTCTTCGCTGAGAGAATATGCCCGAACAAGAGGTATTTGTCCATGGTGCGGGCGGCAATGTCGGCCACCTCGGCGTCGGCGAACTCAATGAAGGCCCGGTGGCGGCTGGCGCCCGTCTTCTTGTTCCGCACAACCCTGAGCCTCGTGATATCGCCGAACTGACCAAAGTACGACCGTAGCTCATGTTCGTAGAAGCCGTGAGGGATTCTCGCAAGGTACATCACGCCGGGCGTCCCGCTGCTGCTGCCGGGGGCTTTTGTCGACTTCTTCGCCTTGGGGACTTTGCCGACATCCTGTCCCTTTTTGAATGTGCTGACTTGGGCCTCCGTCTCATCCTCGTCACCACTGTCCAGAGCCTGAACAAGCGCATTGGTGTCTTCGTCAACCTCCTCCTGCTCTGCCTCGGACTGGACCTCGTCGTCCTCCTGCTCCTCCTCTGGCTCTTCTGCCTTCTTGGACTTCTCTGTGGCGGCCTTGGTCTTCGGCGACTGCTTCTCCTTCTTCAGTGCTGACTTCTTCGTGGCAGCCTTCTCCGCAGGGGCAGCGGCCTTCTTGCTGGCGACATCCTTGGCCGGCTTCTGCTTCTTCACGGCAACGGGGGAAGCATCCTCGGGAGCTAAAACCAGAAAAAGTGAGCAAAGTGACAGACTTTAACAGCAGCAACGCCTCTAACCTTTCCGCTTCTCAGCCTTGGGGGTGGTTTTCGTCGGCTTGGTCTTTTTGGCGACAGGCTCGGGCTCTGCCACAACAGCTGAAATCAATCAATTAGCATTTTTGAACACAGAGACCAGTCGTATAATTGAGTGCTTACGCTTCGACTTTCTCTTGCGTAATTCAGGGGCCATTGTGTCTGGTTGGGGGGTATGAGGTGGATTGGATGTTTGGCCTTTGTCCAGCTTCTGGGGAACTCGGGGCAGCTCCCAAGTCGCAACAATCCAGAAAATTTCAGGATTCTGCCCGATGCACCTGGGGCGGTGAGCGTACTTCTTTTTACCGCCCCACCTGCCCCCGGGCAGTGACTTCCAGGTTCCTCCTGCGTGGGCGTTGCATCCATTGAAACCGCCCACTAACACCATCTCCAGCGGTATCTCTCCACTAGACTTCAGGACAATACCGCTCAGAAGCATTGCCGAAGTGCCGACGCCTTCTATGGTTCGATAAGGTAATAAAACAACACCTCACTTTCACAGTCATTTCAACGCTTCACTCCGGCCTGGTATCACTCCGAAACCGAGCCAATGCGGGCTGATGCGGGGCATTCCAGTATCCAAGGCACCAGCAGCATCAGCACCTAGTTAGCAGCAGCTCCACGCTGGGGCCAAGCGGGACTGCAACGGTCCCCTCCCCGCCAGATGACCTGGCAACTCCAAACAGTGGATTGTCTGACTTGAATATGCAAGGCGGAGGAGAAGCGCATCGTCCGAGCTGAGCTGAGAGCAAGTGATTGGGCCCTGAAGGATCCGGTCGACGACCCCTGGCATGCTCTGCAGCTTGCAATTACGCAGTACGAAAAGAGACTGGCATTTAAAAGCGCTTTCGAGCGGCAACGCGACAGATCAGGCGGGTCATTGCGCAGCATGCTTGTCGTTCACGGGACACCGTAGTGTAGAAGTTTGTTTCATCGTCCAAGCTGTGCCTTCTGGAAGGAACCATTTCTCCATTCACTCGCTTTTTCGAAAATCAAGTCCATCCGACAAACAACCTGAGGCGACCGAGGCGACCGACTGTCTCGACCGCCATCTCATCCTCGCAAGTCTTTTAGCCCGCCAAACGCCGCCTATTGTTCATTGTTGTGCCGGCCAAGTCCTGAGCAAGTCCCGACACAGCGGATCTGACGACTGAGAGAGGCACCCGAATGCTACGCCCGTCTCATGCATATTAGACTCGGGCGCATGCGCAGCCGCATATCATGACACGCGTGTCTGTGCAACTCAGCCTCGCAGACCGCTCCACTCACCAAACGCAAAATCCGGGGATGCGCAGTTGTTGGGCGCACCCTGCTGCTAGACCGCTCAACATAGGGGAAGGGAAACGCCAAATCTAACCATCAAGTGGCCGTGTGTCAACTCGGAAGATGGAGGAACTGAAGAAGAAACGCTTCTGGGACCTGTTCAGGTCGAAGAGCTCGGCGACCAAGAACGGGAAGGGAGTATGTTGGAACCCGGAATGGTCTTTTCCCAAAGGGATGACATCATAAAATAGGCTGACCGTTTCCCTAGGAAAAAGACTCCTTGAGGACGATAAGCGATACCGATATATTCGGCAGCCGTAGTAGGAGGCCGGAGAGGCCAGAGGGGTCAGAGGGACCAGAAAGCCGGGACCCCCCGATCCGCCGCCGCAGGCCACGGCGAACCGATCCGAGCATCACCAAAGGCAAGGGCCGTGAAGACCCCCACGGCACCCCCTACGACCTCGGACCCCTGACCGAATGGCCGCCCTCGGGCATGTCGAGCAGCGAGGAGTTGAACTTGGGCCCGGCAATGCAACTCATATCCAGAGGTGTCCCAGCATTCAAGGGCCACAAGCGGCCCATACCCCATGCCTCGGATCACTACTACGCCCTGTTCGCGACCGCGGCCGGGAATCGCGGCGACGAGACGGACGCTGCGAACCAACATGACTCTATGACGCAACTCATGACACTGCGCCTTGCCGAGTCCGAGCCGGCCACCTACCCATGGGAGACGCTGGAGCAGCCCAGCTACTCGTTCTGCCTCGGCAAGCGCCCGGGCACCATAACGCTCAATCACTGGGTGAGTCTCGCGAGTGTCACACCACCTCCCATGACCCTACGAGACACGGGTGTGGAACCGCGCGAGATCGACCTCGAAAACATATTTGCACGACTCAGGGAGCTCGATCGGGGGTTAGAGGACGACGACGAGGATCTGATGTACAGGAACCTCTACAAGCGACTGCTCAAAGATCCGGACAAGTATGCGAGCCCGCACAAAACGCTCGACAAGCAGATCACGGACTTGATCATGGTTCTCTCGGGGCCGGGCTGGCTCGACTTCACCAGCGCGAAGAATCAGGTTGTCGCAAAGTTCATATTCGACACCAGCCCGACAAACAGCCAGACATATCAAAAGTTCTGCCACCAGCTGCTTCTCAGCCTCGAGCTGGAACTCCGAATCCAATCCAGACACCATATGACAGACGCGAAGGAGAAGCTACTGGCCCAGATACCCCCGACAATACAGTGGAATCTCGCACTCGCCCGCAGGTGGCACGATAATATCCGCGTCGACGAGTACGGCACCGCACCCGAGCACGTGCAACTCCGCTACAAGCTTAAGCGCCGCCAGGTCAAGATGCTCAAACGCTTTGCGCAGATGATGAAGTGGCCCAACCTCACCGACACGCTCGCCACTCTCAAACGCCGCGACGCCGACACGACCCTCGACCTGATCAGCTCGCACGCCATGGCCTTCTTCAGCGGGCTCGTCCTGCCCGGCCCAACCTTCCCCTTTCTGATCATGAACGCCCTGATCGACATCGACCCTAACAAGGCGACCGATGACCTGACGCTCTTGACCCACGCCCACCCGAGCTGCGGCTTCCAGTACCGCAACAGCTACACCTACTGGACGGCCACCTCCATCGTCGGCAAGGTCCTCGCGCCCACCTGCCGCTCGCTGGCGGGCTGGGTCGGTCCGGCCCGCCCAACCGCCGACCTAGGCCGCAACCAAATCGCGCGGATCCGTGCCCGCCGCCCGCCGTCCAACCGCGTCACCCCGGAAGACATCCGCTCCATGTCGGAGCGCTCCGACCCGCTCGGTCCGCCGGCACAGGTCTTCCCAGTCAAAGAATACGCCCTCGTAGCGCCAGACCGCGACGACGACGCCTACCTCACCGACCTAGTCCGCATCGAGCTCCTCAACCTCCGGCCATGCGGCGGCAACGGCGGCAACGACACCCGGCCCCCCTCATCCTCCAACCCCTCCTCCCCGGGCCCACCGCCCAGCACGGCCTCGTCAGCAGTAACAGGCACGCCCAAGTACCACGACGCGTCGATCCAGTTCGCCATCGACGGCGTCTCGTGGCCGCTCCGCCTCGCCTTCGACGTGTCCTTCATCTCCGCCTGGCCCTGCTCCGACGGCCCCCACCCCCTCTTCTTCGACTACGTCTACACCCCCGTCAAGGCCGACCAGCTCGTCAAGGTCCGCGACTGGAACGGCCTGTACGGCAACACCTCCCACTCCCACTCCCACTCCCATTCCCACTCCAACCCCACCCCGCCGGTCACCGCCGCTGGTGGTGGCAACACACCCAACGCGCCCAACGCGCCGGGTGGGGCACCGGGGAGCAGGGCCACGGGGGTGTCGAGCCCGAGCACGCTGAGCGGGGGCGACGAGGAGCGCGTGCTGGTGGTGGAGGCGTTTGGCGTGCCGGACAACGAGGTGCTGGCGCGCGCGTGGTGTGCGCACTGGGGGCTGAGCGCGGTGGTGGCGGATTTGGGAAGGACTTGGTATGTTTTTCTTTTTTCTTTTTTTTTTCTTTTTCCGTTGTTTTCTTTTTCCGTTGTTTTCTTTTTTTCCCCTTCCGTTGTTGGTGGTTGTGGGTGGTTTGATTTGGTTTGGTGTGGTGTGGTGCGGTTTGGTTTGGTTTGTTCGTGGGTGTGTTTTGCTAACCTGGTGATCTTTGTAGCATGGCGTGTGCGATCCGTGAGGCGTATGCTGCGACTGTGACGGTGGTGATCTTGGTGGATGATGAGCAGGATGGGCGGGAGGAGTAAGTCGGTCGGTATGGTTTTGTGGTTGGGGGATTCGTAGGAAGCGAGCGCTGGATATGGGGAGACGGCTAGGGATGTGGGTAGGGACGTGGTGCATAGCGTGTGGTAGGTGACAAGGGATTGCGTTGATTTGCTTGCTTTGTGGGTGATGGTTGCATATGATAGGGGTGATGAAGTATGCGTGCTGGTGCTACGAATAGGGATGATATCCGAGTGCTTGAGCGGAAACTTGGGCACGGGGACGCGGGAGTCACGAACAGGAGCGGCTGGCCTGGGCCGACTGATTTGGCTCTGCCTGGGTGAGTCGAGTTGGCGATGGTTTTCATGCGATGATGACAATACCCCTAGTCTTAACGATGATTTTCGTATCGATTTGGCTTTACCTAGATTGGTATTAGAATCGAGTGAATTGGGGTACTGAATAATCCCATGACGAGGATGTATTACTGCTTACACCAGAGCTCTCACGAGGTCCGTTGGTTTGTAGGTATAATCGCCGTGGCGGCGTCATGTTGGTAACCGCTCGTCACGTAAACAAGGGCGGCGCACAGCCCGACGGCTAGGGGTTCAACTGGGTATTGGTTTCATTGTGCTTCTGTTGGCAAACGAAAGGCTAGTTCATGGTTATCATGAATTATACATTATCCCGGACCGTCCAGGCCCCCTTCCCCTCAAATCCTTCCTATCCATCCTAGCGAGCGTGGGTATCTTTGAAAGAGTTGAAACGGCATAGTTAATATGTGTAAAAGAGCGCCACCCAGGGTATTTCTCTGCCTTCCGCATTCGTGTTTCGTGTGTGTTTTTATGCTTTGGATCTTGTCCACCTGGAGGAAGGAAAGGGGGAAGCGAGCTTCACCCCCTATTCCATCCAACCTTCTCTTCTTAGCATCACCCCTTGAAAAAAGAGCTATTAGCTACGCCGACCATCAAGGCCGGCTTAAACAGCGGCATTACCAGCCGGCGTGGCCGTCGCCGGACCGGGGGCGGGGGTGGGGGCGGTAGCCGGAGCGGTATGCGGCTCCTTCTCGGGGAAGGTTCCGGCGTGGGCCGGGACGCGGCCGTACTGGGTGAAGGCAATGTTGAGGCGGCCGTAGTCCCAGCGGCGGGACAGGAAGACGATGGCAAAGCCGACGCCCAACACGAGGAACAGGTCGAGGATGCCGAACCAGATGAAGCTCGGGGTGACGCCGAGGTAGTTACCACCATCGGTCAGACCCCAGGCGAGCGGGTACAGCAGCCACAGGAAGTTGACCCAGCCGATGAGCGAGAGGTAGTCGCGTCGGACGCCCACGCGGTTGGCGCTGCGCAGGCCGTGCCGCACCGTCGAGTAGAGCAGGAAGAGGTGGGCTAGGAAGCCGAAGGCGAAGAAACCCCACTTGTAGTTGGAGGGGGTGTAGGCGGCGACGAGGTAGGAGATGATCCAGACCCAGGAGAGGGCGACATTGTAGACGATGGTGGTCCAGGCGACGCCGGACAGGACGCCGAGGGCGATGATGATGATGGGGAAAGCGATCACCCAGAAGACGTACTTGGCCCAGAAGATTTGGCGGATGGCGCCGCTGCGGCCGAGCTGGTTAGCCTGGCGCACGGGGGTCCAGGCAAGATCGGATGCCATGGCATAGTAGGCGATGAGCCCGGCGAAGGTGGCAATGATAAAAAGATAGTGGAAGAAGCGCTCGCCGGCTCTGGCGCGGAACTTCAGGGCGAAGAAGCCGAGCTAGGGCAGGTTAGTATTTCACACGTCCATCCAGACCTCGGTGTATGGCTTACAAGAGAGAAGCCGAAGAGGGCGGTGACAGCAAACAGCCAGTTCGAGCCATTAGTCGACAGCTGTTGGTTCCCCGCCGGTGGGTGGGTTTCCAAGGCATCGTTACGAGGAAGTAGTGCCATTGTGGCAGTCTCTTGACTTGTTAGGAGTAGGGGGCTGTATGTTTGGGCGCGCAAGAGACGAGGGATGAAGCAGAGATACCCAAGTATCAAGGCTAGCTAATAAGTGCTGATCAGATGTATATAAAAAGGCTGCGTTTCCAAGTCAGGGAGGGGATGGACACCGTCTTATAGCCGTGTCACCCTGCCCGGCGTTTGTATGATGCCTCGATGCAACTCGGCACGCAAGGGGAACCAAGGAGGGGGACCAGGAGCGCCAGCACCTCCCCGGGAGAGCGAAGCGGCTGGAATTCCGATGGCTCCGAGCTTTGGTCCCAATCTAGCCGTGGACACCACAGCATTTCCAATGAGCTTTACCAAGCTTGAAGCATGTCCCGTGTAAGCAGGGACAAAGCAAGTTCTCGAACTAGGAAGTACCCTTCCATCCCGAGCATTCTCCTCTACAGTAGCCGGCAGATGGAACTCATAGCCCAAAACCGTCACCCGCAGCAGCCACCGGCATCACCACCCGGACAGCACCGAAAGCCGTTCCCCTCTCTGCACAGTCCCGTGTCCTACGCCCGACGACGGCCTCTTGCCAACCACGGCATCAAGTCACGACCTAGCCTGACATGTAGACGCCATGCGATGGTGGCATGCAGACCTACCTACCGCACTTACACAGGCTCGAACAAGATATCACAAGCCCCGCCCAATAACGACTGGCCCGCCCGAGATGGCACGACGTCCGGGAGCACCCCGGGCGAGCCAATGGGCCATGACGATGGCGGGCCGATGCTTGGCATACGTTGACGTGAGCGGACACCACATGACATGACGATGGCCTGGAACGGCTGGAACGGCTGCAATGAGATGAAAATGCAGAAAGCAAAGAAAACGGCTGGATCGACCGGAAAGCTCGGGAGGGGGAGGTGGGCCGGGGGTGGCGGCACATGATGATGAGTGATGATGTTGATGATGGTGATATTGGTGGTGATGAATAAGGACTCGATTTGAAAGGGGCGATTTATTTCGAAGCAGATCGAATATCACCCTTCATATCGGAAGAATGTCCGTCTTTGCCCGCTCCGGACCACTTAGACCGGAACGACGCGATCGACGGGAGGTAAGTTGACTCTTGCTTGAGCTAGACACCATTGTGTGAGTGAGCCTTGTTTGCTTGCACCACAGGGGAGAAAGCCGGTGCCCGTCCCGTCCCTCCTCATATCGATGACTGCAACATTCCGACTCACATATTGAAGCGAGCCCAGGCCGATCGCCGAGCCAAGCATCGCTAATGCCGGCACTCACTTGTCACTTACACAGTACGCCCACCAAAGGAGAGAGAGAGATGGGATGATGGCCCGCCCATTCCGTTCCATCTTTTGACTGGCTCAAAGCGGTGGTCGCGCCACTGCATGCTGTCACGCCACCTCCCTTTATTACCAAGCTCCCAAGAGACAAGATGGGAAGGGAGGGCATGAAGCTTCCAGTTAGGTAATGGCGAGGCGGCATGGCAAGCAGGGGTAGCTCCGAGCTCTCCTATTGGTACCCGGCCATAATCTCGCCCTTCCGAGTCTCCGAGTCATGTCCAGACTCGGGGCTGTTGAGAAGTGATCGGGAGAAATAGGGAAGAAGGGGATAATACTGTACAATCGGCGAAAAGAAAGCTGTAGCGAAGACAAGCTCGCATGTATGGGTACCACCAAGAAGAACAAAAAGTAAAACGAGGCAACTAGAGTATGTCTCACTCAGGTCGCGTAGCTGAGCAAGACATCGCCGTCAAAAAACAAGCTCAACGCAAGAGATGCCAAAATAGTCCCATAGACTTTTTGCCGTGCTCTCCTGCTTTCCAGTCTACCATCTTTTCGGGAAGACCAATACCAGGGGATGTCATCACACCACCTCGTGACTCGCGCGGCACCCCTCAGTGCATATCCGGGCCACCAACATCACATCACCGTGGACGCCGGTGCCCGAGACAAGAGCGATCCCGGCACGCCCGGGCGCTTCCACATCCCTTTCCTTTTTTTCCCATTGCTAAAAAATACATGTAATGTACCCGCACTGCCGTGGTTTTGTACCGTCCAAATCCGTTCCATCTGTCGTGTTGCCCGGCCGGCGAGTCCAAATCCTGCCAGCCCCTTTCCCGCCAATACACAGTAGTCAAGAGCGTGTACACAAAGTATCCATCCATTTCGTATATACGCCCAACCCACCCAACCATACCTAGCCCGCATGCCTACACTACAGCCTTGTGCTGAACCACGCCAAAAAAACAAAAAAAAAAAAAAAAAAAACCAACCGCCCGCCCTGCCCGCCACCGCCAAAAAAGCCGCGCTCACGCATATCCCCCCCCGGGCACAAACTCCAAGCGCGGGCGGTACAGCACGCCCGGGCCACAGACGCGCCTGGAGCCTCTCTACACCGTCGGCGTTTTCATCTGGGCGACGGCGGCCCTGGCGCGCTCGCGGACGCCCGAGTCGGCGTCGGCCTCGAGGCCCTGCAGCTTGGCGAGGAAGCCGAGCTGCTCGAGGGCCGAGGCGCGCTGCGTGCAGGGGGCGAGGTCGGTGTCGCTGTCGGCCCAGCACAGGTTGGCGAACAGCTGGCAGAGCGCGCGCCGCACCCCCGCGTCCTTGCTGTTGAGGTGCCCGCCGAGCAGCTTGAGGAGCTCCGTCTGCGCGATCACCAGCTGCCGGTGCGCCGGCGTGCCCGCCGCGATGTGCACGAGGATGTACGCCAGGTTCTCGACGATGCGCGCCTGCGGGTAGAGCACCAGCGCGTCGCGCCCGGTCCCGCGCGCCGATGAGGCGCGGCGGCCGACCGCGCCCACCACCCGCACCTTGAGCATGTCCGCGAGGATGGAGAAGAGGCGGTCCTGGCCCAGCTCCGTGAACAGGTAGTCGACCATCTCGAGCTGGTCGCCCGGCGAGGTGATCATGAGGAAGTTGCGGATGAACCCGAGGGCTTGTTCCCGGATGGCGAGGCGGTCGGCCCGGGCCTTGCGGGCGGGGGTTGAGCTCCGCGTCGTGGAGGGCTTCGAGTTTGGCTGCAGCTTGTCGTAGGCGCTCCGAGCTAAACACTTGCGGAGTGTGGTTTTGGGCGGCCCAGGTCCACTCGCCGTGTGCGCCGTCGTCCTCCCCGCCGAGCGTTTCCTTGTCCATATCTTCGTCGTCGTCGTCTTCGGCGGCGACCCGCCGTCCTGGCCGCGACCGGGTCCGGATTCCTTCCTCTTCAGACGCGTCGTCGCTGATGAGTTGGATGAGCCAGCCCGACCCGAGCTGATCTAAACACGGCTTCCGAATGCTAGTATCCATTTCTAGCACCAGGTGCTTGAGCGCCCATAGTGCGTTGACTTGTAGGCCGGGGTTGAGCGAGTGTGTATGTTTGCATAGCGTCTCGACCACATCGAATGAAAGCAGCGTCTGCGCCCATTAGTATCACGCCCCGGGACTAGAAATCAAGAAATGGGAGAGCTAGATACTTACCAACGCTAGAGGACTGTGGTTGGTCACCACATTGATGACCGCGGCGGAAGCAGCAATCTGAACTTCGATGTCGGGATGGCTCAACAGCTTATTGATCGGCTTTCCGACATCGTGGTCCTTCATCGTAGTCCGCACAATCTTCGGTGACCGCGCCAGCGCCCGGATAGCGTGGCATGCCGCCATAATGACGGAACTGGGGTTATGGCCATACACCGAGGACCCCCCAGCACCTCCATCTTCAGGTCCCTTTTCTGATGATGATTGCTCCCTGGGGTTCTTTGGTTTCCCGGGATTCGGGGAGAGTGATTCCACAATGTAAGATACGGCGTCTGCCTCAACGAGGGCGTCGCGATAATCGTTGCTGAGTGTGGCCATTGCCGCCACCAGTTTTAGGGCACTTTCTCGGGTGGTTATTTTGTGACCATACGCGGGTACTTGACCTGGCGGTCCGAGTCGGCAGGCAGGTGGAATATCCCCGGGCTCGCCACCTCGGTCGGGCTTGCTTGACCACTGCTGAGGGGCGGACTGCACTGGCTGAGGTTTGTAAGAATCCTTCAAAAGCTTCACGGCCATCTTGAGCACTCCGCATTTATGTACCGCCTGCTGCAGGATCTCGCTCTCCCCAACAAGCCGGGCCAGGACGTCTGGCGTCCGCTCCTGAACCGCCCAATGCTTGGCCACGTCAGGTTCGACGGTAGCGGCTTGCTGGACCGAGGCGGAGATTTCCTCATCATGCTCTTTCATCAACTGCCCCAAGAGCGGGACAATAAGCACTGCTAGCACCTGTTCTCGCTCCGGACACGCAAATCCAGCCTTGAACAGCGATGTCACTAGGGAAACAGCCATGACTCTTTCGAGGCCCTCGGTTGACCGGGCGAGATGAATAAGCCACGGTATAAGAGGGCTTTCTGGTTCATCGGCTTCCTCATCCTCGCTAGAAGTATCGGGACGGCCCACGCCCACCCCAGTAAACTTGAACGTTGACCCCTGGCTGCTGCTGCTAGCGGCAAGGTTGTCGTGGGACGAGGAAAAGCCCAGTGGCGGATAGTCGTTGAAACCTCTCGATTGAGACCTGGCCTGGGGAATGGGAACGGCGGGAAGCAGGTAGTCTATCGCTTGGGGGCTCCTGGGTCGGATGCTGCCAAACCCGCTCATCTCAAGCGCATTCCAGGCCGCCCTCGACTCTGTAGCGAGAGGCATAACTCCAGTCGAAGAGAAGACGGCCACGATGGCCGGAGAACACAGCAGCAAGTATGAGCGGAAACGCGAGTTGGCAACGATGGTGGACAGGGCCTCGAGCGTCAGAGCCAAGTTGGCACCAGGAGGTGCAGGAGCCGGAATCAGATCGGCTAGTCCATCCTTGCGCCCGGCTATTTCTGCTCCTGGGGAAACTTCCCCTCTCGCTACGACGAAGCTTGCCAGTATTGTAGCCAGCGCATCCATAACACCAGAGTCCGCCAGGGCGTTCTGGTGCGCCGGCGTCTTGCACAACCTGCTGATGAGGTACGCCACCAAACATTTCTGTTCCTGTATCACTCCATCTCTTGACCCTTGGGAAAGAATGTCGTACAAAGCGGGGAGCGAGCTAGCGGAAAATATAGCCTCTGACAAGCTTGTCGTATCATCGGCACCGGGGGTTGCAAGACGGGTGGCTTCTGCAATGTTCCTAATAGTCCGCAAGGCGGCCAAGACGAGTTGCGGGGGGTTGTTTCTCGAGGATAAAAACGGAATAATTGTCGCGACTACGTTGACGGCATGCAACGGCCCAAGAAACGCGGAGCCGCCTGGACTGTGTTAATATTGTGAACATGTCCTCGATGCCCGACCTATGTATGGCGCACTCACCATATGCAAAGCTGGCAATGAGCTGCAAAGACAACAGCCGCACGGTCACATCTTCCGAGAGCCCCTGTGGCTGCCCTATTTGACTGCGTTCCTTGCCACTCGAGCTTTTCGGCGAGGGGCCATTGTTCTGAAGAATGTTGACGAGCAACTCCAACACGCCGTTTTGTATCCACCGTTCTTTCCGCTGGGAGTGCCCGGTTATCTCGTCCCTCAACGCGCGAAGACCGGTGGCTTGTTCCGAGTAACTCCTCGCGCCCTGTATCTGTGAAAGGAGTGGTGGACTTTGGATTCTAGCCATAGTGTCGGGCTGTGCTCTGTCGCTGCTGTTGGTACGTTGTAGGGCCGAACCACTCGCTCAAAAGGAGCCGTCGATATTGATACACCGGGAAGGGAAGCTAGGCAAGTTTGCGCAGTGTAAACAATGCTCCGGTTTGATCCTTAACCGACGAACGGAGAAGCCGGATACCGTGATGGTTCGGCGTTGGCGTGTCGTGCCTCTGCTCTCGGCTGGTTCCGTATTATTATCGGTGTTCGTTCGAGGAGTTCGTATGGTTGCACTTGTTGACTGTGCGTATGTATGGCCAGGGCTGAATTAGTGTGATGCATAAGCTGGTTGCGTAGGTAAGTTGATTATCGTCGAGATGTCATTTTGATAGCATGCCGATGCCACGAGTGGAATGGTGGATGCACGACAGAGCGCCAATCACTAATCCATTGACAGGATTCAGGATCAAATGGCGAGTCTTGCTTGCCCCACCTGAGCTGCATGCTGCCGCGGGAAGGCTGCTTGGGCTCCCCGGCTTTGGTTGAACACGCAGACCGGGGTTAGGTGGTTCGACCTGGCAGTTTTTTTTTTTTTTTTTTTTTTTTTCTTCATCTGACCACGGGCATTCTCAAAAGGGGTCCCCAATTGATGCAGCGCCGGCCCAGAAGAAAATCACATAGGTAGTATGTAGTATCAAGGCCAAGACCGCAGGAGCATCCTAGGCCTGGGCACAACTACCTAACGTTACCTAAGGGAAGCATACCACGGGCAAAAGCAGGTTTTGTTTTCTGGATTGAGTTCTCTACTTTTTGAAGTTGGTCCTCTTTTTGCCCCGAGGCGGCTGAAGTGCCATTACAACTCGCACGTGGGCAGTTGCAGTTGACAGCGGTTTGGATAAAAAAGATTGGCGCAAGACTGGCCATCGAGCTTATGGACCGTGACAGACAAATTGCCATTTCCAGACACCGACTCTCGCTTTTAGGCTCGCAAGTTGACCGCTGTTCTCCAAACACATCCGCTGACTACGGATATGTTGAGCTCGAATCAATATGAGCGAAACAATTCGCCTCTTGTTGTCATCGTCATCTTGGGCCACACCAGGCCCTGGAAGGGCCACATGGTATTCGGGTCCTTGCCGTTGCTCCCCGTCGGTTGCCTTGGTCCGTTGTCACGTTATTGCCAAGCCCGCCTCGTGGCTCGAGGTCTCGGCCGTCGCCAATCATCGGGGTGCAACGCCCTCGCGCCGCCTTCATGGCTCCCGGCGACTCGGTGTCCCTCGCATCCCAACGTGATCCGTATGGTCGGTCCCTTTCGTTGGGCCCACTGGGCGGACAAGCAATTGATGGTTAAGGAACGAAATTGGGCTTCTCGCCGGTGTCCTACCACACCTTTGTACCGACCCAAAGCATTGGGGCAGGACCGAAGTCTTAGTATATAGCGATGCAGGAGCGCCCCTCGAGGCTGAATGGATTTGATCCCCATCATCGATTGTTCTTGGCTATTCAGAGACAGCGTCGCAGCAGCCTATCCGGGAGACAGCAGACAGAGACCGACACTGGACCTTGATACCACAACAGGAATCCAGTTCGCCACCTGCATTCGCCCACTGTATCCTCCTAACCTTATATCTGGCCTCGTTGCTGTGATCCCTAAAGACCGCGCGGCTTGGGGGCACTCCGATTCCACGACAGCGACCAAATTTTGTTTGCTCCTTCCCAGCGTGTTAGTGAGGTAGTTTGGGGCTAGCCTCTGCTGGTTCCGGACACCGAGCAGGCACACCGGTCAGTGCGACTTGCTTTGTGGGGAGCCCGAAGGTCGAACCTGGATTGCGGTGGGCCGGTCTCGCCAGTCGCCCCACCATCTCCGGCTGGGCTTCCGCACAAGGACTTCTCGTCAACTTCTTCCGTTGTTTTAAGCTTTTCCAGGACGGGGGATTCTGGAGGTTGGGATGATGTTGGCACGGTCTCCCGTTCCCACAACAAACCCGGCCAATGCATCGCCTCAGAGCAGCTTCCACAGCTTCCGCTATGCCCCTGCGCCCTCGCCGCGATACTCTTCTCCCCGGGTTCCGGCCGTCGCCAAATCTCGCCGGTCGTCGTCCAACTCTCCCGCGCCCGCAATAGTACCGTTCCCCGTCCCGCAGCCGAAGCGATATGTAGCCGTCGATGCTGCGACTCAGTACTCGCCCATGGAGCCTATGGACTACGCCACCGGCGCATTGCTCCCGCGAGTACCACCCACCACAACCGACCGCCATTCATCCAAGGCGCAGAAAACAATGGCCGCCTCCGATGAGCGGCCCGCCGTCGCCGTGCAGCCACCGGCGAGGCCCGCTAAACCAGTGCCCGCCGGCCCGAAGCAGCGCATCGAAGCCCCGACTCTCCCGACCTCTCCGTCCAAGCGGAGGAACTCGCAAGGGCCCGGGAGCATAAGCGCTTTAGCAACCGATCCGTTACAAAACCCCTCAATACTCGCCAAGCGGGTGAAGCCCGACACGGCGCCCCCCAAAATCCTGCCATTACGATATGAGCTCTGCGCGGTCGAGGATGTGGTAGTCCTCATTGCGCACATGCTCGGCGAACTTATCGAGACGAACGATTCGCTCGCCCTAAAATCGGGCCATTTGACTAGATTTCATTCCCGGTATGCGCCCCCTCCCCCTCCTCCCCAACAAGGCCCGTCTCCCGCGATTTCAGCCCGACACAGCCGTACTGACTTGATTTCAGAACGGCCCCGGGAATATCAGTACCAGACTACCTTCACCGCCTTGCGAAGCACGCGACCCTCACACCGCCCCTCCTACTCTCGATGGTCTACTACATCGACCGCTTGTGCGCACTATACCCCGATTTTACTATCAACACGCTTACCGTCCACCGATTTCTCATTACTGCTGCCACGGTCGCGGCGAAGGGCCTGTCGGACGCCTTCTGGAACAACTCGACATATGCCCGAGTTGGGGGAGTCAAGGTCGCCGAACTGAAAATGCTGGAGCTCGAGTTCCTGCACCGGGTCGACTGGAAGATCGTGCCCAACCCGGAAGTCCTAGTCGCGTATTACGCGGGACTTGTCGAGCGATGCCCGGGCTACTCCCTCGAGGGACCGGAAAACAGTGACAGCGACGCTATAGACGATAGCGACGAATTAGACGACGATGATATTGCCGAGGAAGGGCAAGCGGTGTCTTCAAGGAATGGGATACCGGGGACAGCACATACCCGCAGAGGGCCATCCCTTGGCAGTGCATAACCCTAAGCGCTAGAAACCCCTAGTGATTCGATTGATTGAGGCCGGCGTGGGACGCCAGGATGGTGGGATATTTTGCATGGACGAGGCGGCTTAACATGGAGATACCGAACGGCGTTTGGTTGGAATTACCTTGAAATTTGGGTCTCGAGGAGGCTTTACGACGCGAGCATTAGCAGCATGGTCATAGAGAACCTGTAGGAATACAAGTTTTCAGCTGCATCTGTACATAGCCTGGGAGAGATACGGTGACAATGACCAGAAAGATCACCCTTTTTTCGGATTACCGTTTCTCATTGTCAGACATCCTACCAGGCTAGCATGTGGTATTTTCCCAAAATTGACAACGCGGACAACGACTCTCTATCAGATAGAAAACGACCAGGACAACGGCCAGGACAATGTCGAGTTTTTGAGATTCTGTAAGTTGGTTTGTTACAACTAACTGGCCACCTACCGAAAGGTAGGTTCAGTCTGCCTGCCCTCACGAGACACGTAAGTGAGCAGTCACGCAGGGAGCCAACACACCGCCCATCTGAGTGGGACTTTTCACTTTGATGATGTAGGGAGGTAGCAATCCGGAACCGAGGTCTCGTCATTCATTCGAAGAGTCCGAGAGAGTCCGGTGCAAAAGCTCCATCTGGGTGGTGGGGCAGGTCCAGAACAAGTCGCGGGGAGATGACCCCTGTAAGAATCATGATTGCAACAAGGCCAGAATGCCAAGGCCAGCAGCAGCAACCGTCAAACCCTTGGCACACCAGCTTCTTTGGATCTGGCTTCGAGAGCTCGGCCTCATTCCGCATTCACAACCCGTCAACCACGCGTCGACGGCAACAATGAGGCTCCCAACGCTCCTATCCGCCCTCCTGGCCGGCGCCGCAACGGTCGCGCTAGCCAGCGACGAATCAACACGTACAGCAGCAATCTACATCCAACCCCTAACCGACCCGTCCACACCACCCTCCCTCCTCGCGGAGCTCGCCATCCCCGACATCGACAACGACCCATCAGCACCCAATTCCCCAGAAGACGACGACGCCCCGATCGCAGCCGAAGTGCTCTCCTACTCCGCGCCGGAACTCCCCGACGAAGACGACACAACAACAACAACCAACACCAACCTCGTGCGCATCGGCATCTACTCGCCCGCAGCCGGCGGAGGCTGGATCTCATCAACATCTGTAGCGTCAACGGCCAACTTCGCCAAGGGCTACGCGCCGCACTTTGCCGTGACGGTCGACGGCGACGGCGCCTACGTGGGCGTGGCCTGCCGCGGCGTCGCCATCGACGCCGGCGTGACCCGCGACTTCGGCCCGCAGGCTGTCGTGCTGCGCACAGCGCCCGGCTCCCAGCCCGCGCTGGGCAAGCCGGTGGTGTTGAGCCCCGAGGGGAGGAAGGTTGCGGAGGAGGGGGAGAAGAGCTTTATTCAGAAGTGAGTTTCAAGTTGCCTGGGGGTGTTCTTTCGTTCCGTTTTATGCTATGTTTGCTGGTTGTTGTTTGGATGTGTGCTAACGTGGTGGGGAATAGGTACTGGTGGGTGTTGGCGATTGGGGTGGTATTATCACTTTCCGGAGGAGGAGACGGGAAATAATAGACTTGGGGCCGTTAATGGTATCTGGCATATGGTTTCCTTTGCTATCCGTGAAAGTGTGCATGATGCGATGTGCCGAGATGGGTCTCTATCCATCCTGTTTCTTTCTTCTGTGTTCCGCCTAGTTGCAGAACTCAACGTTCCCCTCCCATTGCAGGAAACATCCTTTCTCCGTTCCTGCCGCTACCCTCCATCGCCGTCACTTCTTGGTTGCCCTTCATCGCGCACGAGCGCTCTCGCAACTTGTCTTAGCGCAACCCCTGACAGCTGGTTGCTACTGGTTACGGGCCGGTCAAGGTTAGACCCACAATTCGAAGTTCAGCTCGAACAGCGAGGCAGCTGTGGGCCAGAATTTCAGAAGGCTCGTCTAACACGGCGGCCCTCACCTTCCTTCCTCCATCCGATCGACTCTTCTTTCCTTTCCTTTCCCCGTTTCTTTCGCAACCCAATCTCGACCCCGCTTCAAATATCAGGGTCGCCTTTCCATCACCGTAACGATCAACGCCAACAACATCCAGAAACCCAGACCAACCGCAAGCATGAGCGCTCAGAACGGATCCGCCGATCCCATGGCCGCTACCAACCCCGAGAACGGCTCTGCGACCGATCTCAAGGGCAAGGGCAGAGCCCCGGCTGCTCAGGAGCCTGAGGACACCTCCATGGTTGAGGATGACGACGAAGATGACGACGAGGACGCTGAGGACCCCGAGGAGGTAAGCCGCGCACCACGAGTCGTCGCCACATGCTAGTTCAGTTGATCGCTAACAATGTTTACACAGGAGCCCGAGCCTGGTACGCGAACCGCTTGCCGACGATTTTAACGTGCCGCGACTAACCACTCTATAGCTGACGACGACAACATGGAGGAAATCGACCTCGACAACGTCATCGGCCGCCGCACTCGGGGCAAGGTCATCGACTTCGCCAAGGCTGCCGAGGAGAACCCCGCTGAGGACGAGGATGAGGACGACGACGAGGACTTCGTTGAGGAGGACAAGGACAAGATGGACGAGGATTAGGATTCTCCGGCACAGAATGTCGAGAAACCTACGACCAATTAAGATGACGACGAATGTATGAGGTTATGAATGGATATGGCCAGGCCTTTACCATGCTGGATACTTCATTGTTATTCGGCTGGTTCGAGAGTAGGCGTTAGTTATGGCCGGCCTATTAGCCTACCCAACGACAACTCGGGCCCCCTTCCTTGCTTGCCAACGTGCGTTCACAATGAACTTGGCTGCTTTCATGAGAATTCGTGGTCACGATAGTTGCGTTGGCAAGCAGAGCAGTTGCGCTCAAGAATGTTCACGACTTCAAGTTTACTTTAGCTGGTGTTGAGTGTGCGCCGCCCATTGTGGTCCCTCGGCGCTTTTTCCAAGACATGCAACCCCGGTCTGAAATGCCGCCCCCGCTAGTCGGGCGGCCCACAGCGTGCTCTTCCTTGTGTGTTGTTTTGGTTCCTCGACCGAGCCTCAAATTAAACAAGTGCAGGCAGGGGCCCGACTTTAATGATTGACAGCAAGGTTTCGAAGTGCGGATTTTCGTCACTTTCCACAGAAAACCAAACGCAGCGTTGCGTTGCCCCTGTGTATCTTGGGAGGCTTCCCGGCAATTGGCCAATCTGGATGCACCAAATTCTTGACACTTGGACAGTTGGACAAAGGCGCAGACACTTAAACTGGGCTTGTGACCGACGGAGTCCACATCACCCCGACATCGCAAAAGCTTCCGGACTTCGCTTCTTGTTCGCCGAAGTGTGTACTTGCTAGAGCACCATGGAAAGGTCGCACTTGATATAATACTATTTTTCTTCTTTTCGACACGCGTACAATATCGCGTACAATATGGCTTCAAGGTGAGTTCGTTCCCACTATTCTCGAGTTCAGGGTCCCTCGATATCGCCATCCACCCATCGCACCACATGTCATACGCGGCCGTTGGGTGTTGGCGCACGACACCACGATATCGTACCAAAACGGACACTTTCTGCACCAGCACCCGCCCATCACAACCCTGCATCCCACCACTTGCGATTATCGATATCCGAATACTTCACACGCTCGAAAGGAGGGCCACCAACAAACCGCTACCTCGCACCCCCTTTTCCCCCCATACCCGCACTCGCCAACACCACACCACCCTCCCCAAACCCACCCGGACCCTCCATCACCGAGCTACCCAGCAATAAATGCACAGCACCACTAACCAAACCCCACCGCCAACAGATTCGCCTCCTCCTCCCTCCACCAGCGCGACTCGCGCAGCGACCTCTTCAAGGGCTACACCGGCGGCGCCGCGAGCCGGACAGTAAGCGCCAGCCCCAACCGGCAGCCACAGGCACAGCAGCAGCAACAACAATATGGCAACGGCGGCGGCGGTAGCGGCTACGGGTATGGCGGGTACCAGCCGGGCGGCGCCGGTTCCGGTGGCGGGAGCGCCGGCGCCAGCGGGAGCAGCCACCTCGGCGTGGCCGGGCCGGGGTATCGTCCGGCTACGCCGAATCGGAAGTACGTTTCTCTTTGTTTGGTTGACTACTCTGGCGGTGGGGTTGGGAATGGGGCGAGAGGCTGACCGGTGGTTGCGGTGACAGGGGCCAGTACAGCGATGCGGTGCTCAACGAGCTCGAGAGCCAGAACGACGAGCAGGTGGACGGGATCTTGGGGAAGGTTAGGTTGCTGAAGGATGTGAGTTCTCCTTTCACCGCATACCCCGCGCGGGTTAAACCGCTGCTACGGCAGGACGCCGCGCTGACCTGTTGTGCAACCAGATGACGGTGGCGATTGGCGATGAGATCCGCGACTCGTCGGCCCTGGCGGAAAAGATGAACGACGGCTTCGACCAGACACGGCTGCGGCTGGGCCGGACCATGAACAGGATGATGGTCATGGCGGAGCGGACGGGTGTGGGCTGGAGGGTGTGGCTTGCGTTCTTTGCGGCGGTCATCTTCCTGTTTGTTTACGTCTGGCTGTTTTAGAGCAAGGGCGGGGAGGCCGCAAGGCTTGGTTAGAGTCGGTCGCTTTCTACGCCAGGAGGCGGGCTGCATCGGTGCCTGGAGTTTGGGAAGCATGCCTATCTTGGCTTGGTTTGTTTGGGATACGACTGCTGTCATGATGTTGCTGTACCAGCACACTCGCATGCGGACCATGGCGGGCAAGGGGGTTCGTTTGATACAGATGTTGTAATGCTGAACATGAATTTTCGTCTTCCTTCCTCAACCGTCCCAAAAGTACAATGACCACACCCAACGCCTAATAATGCTGGTATCATGGGTCCCTATAAACCGATATCCGCCCCCTTCTCCCATGCTCGGACGCTAGTAATTGCCCCTCCGCATCTGGGGACTACTCCCCATCATACTGCTGCCGTCTCTTGACAAAAGCCCACTGATGTCGAGACTCGATCTCAGCGCGCCACTCCGACGGAGGCTAGCCCTGTCGCGACGCACGCGCGCACTTCGCGCGTAACTAATATCATGGGCATCGTCCTCGCTGCCGAGCGAGGCCTCGGAGTCGGTGTGCTCGTAGCCACCACCTTCTGCCTCGGGGATGTCGCCGTCTAGGTCCGCGTCCATGTCCATGTCGTGACCAGCCCCACCCGACATTTGCCCTTGCGAGCCCATGTGCTGGTTTGCGTCTCCACGGACGAGGTCGTCTTCATCTAGCATTTGACTTCGCTCCTCCTCACTAGGCTCCTCGTCGAAATCGAAAATATCGTCAGACCGTCTCAGGTTGGCGTCACTCTGCTCCGTGATCTGGCGCATGCGCACCTCCCTCGCGTGAATGCGGGCAATCTCCTGCCGGCGCTCAATCTCACCCTCACTCAGCTCCTCCTGCTCTTCCTCGTCCTCTTCGTCATCTACCTCCTCCTCCTCCTCTTCCTCCTCTTCTTCCTCCTCCTCCTCATCATCACTCGCCCCATCATACCCAAACCCCATCCCCGCATCCTCATCGGGAATATCCGCATCCAAATCCCTCCCCCCATCCTCCTCCTCATCATCCATAACCTCATCCTCCCCCTCCAACCCCTCCACCCCACCCACACCCCCACCACCACCACCACCACCACCAACCCCACCCCCTCCCACCGCAGCCGCAGCCTCAGCCTCCGCATCAGCCAGTTCCTGCGCGAGCATCTCGCGGCGCAGCGCCTCGGCGTGCTCCTCGGCCTCGCGCCGCTCCTCGCGCATCTGGAACAGCGTCTTGGCCACGCCCACCGGCTTCAGCCACGTGCTGCCCAGGTTGCTGACCGCCCCGCGCCGCCGCTCCATCAGCTGCTCCTCCGCCTGCAGCCGCCCCAGCGCCGACCGCTCGATCCGCTGCGCCGCCGCGCCCGCCGAGTGCTGCCCGTTGCCCTGCCGGCCGGCCCCGCCGTTGCTGCCGCCGCCGCCGCCGCCGCCGCCGGGTGCTGTGGTCGGGGCCGGGGTGTTTTGGGTTGGGTTGGGGGTGGTGGTGGTGGGGGCTGTGTTTGTGGCTGGGTTGGTGCCGTCGGGTGGGCTGTGGTGGGATGGGTCGAGGTGGTAGAGGGAGGAGGGGTTGCGGCGGGAGGTGTACCAGAGGGAGTGCGACTGGGAGTTGGTTGGGGTTAATTGTGGGTTTGGACGGGTGGTGGAGGGGCGGGAGGTGCCTGTTTACTTACGTCCCGCGGGGTGAGTTCTGGGAGCATGGAGAACATGGTTGCGGTGCTTTATTCGGGATGTGGTAATTTGACGAGAGCTGCGTTCCGCAGTTTTGAGGTTTCCGGGGTCGCAAGTGCAGAGCCGCTACGAAAGAGAAAATCAGCTAGGGAATTAGCTATCAGCACCGTCGACGATCGGTGGCCATCGCGTTGGTGATCTTGCTAGTCGGCACGCTCAACGCGCACTGCGCAAGTTGCCGTCGCGTGTTCTGGAGATATCACGATACGGACCCGACTCGTTCAGCGCGAAAGCTCGTGCATGTCTCGGCATTGGAGACTTCCCCACAAAGCGGCCTTGTGAATATAGTCCGTGCGCACCTAAGCAGGGATCCACGGCCGTTGAGAACTTCCATCTATGGGTTTTGGATGGCCCGAAAGACCTCCCATGGCGAAACAACAACCTTGGCCAATAACATGGTAATTATTTGATTCATGTACATAGTGTACTACACGGTGGTCTGTCAACTGGGATCGGCTTTAACGTTGAATCTACCAGTGCTGAAGAGCGCTAAAACAGGGAGGTACCGCATATGGACTTTTTGTGTGTTCGCGTCGCAGAGCTTGACTGACCGTCAACCAAGGCAGCCTGGATTTCCCAACCAACGAAGACGAAGTCACATTCCCATGCTTCGCGGAGCCAATGTGGAAACGGGAGTTTTTGTGAGGTAATCTCGCCGTCAGCCCCTTGCAGTGTTGGAGCATTGCCCTGTCTCCGTTGACACGCACTGACACGTCGTCTTCGGACCCTGCCCTGACCTGCATCTCCCAACTTGTCGTCCTGCTGGGCGACGTGCGCATGGTCCGGGCCAGTTTTCGTGCCCACCCTTGCGAATGGATCCAGTTCGGGATTTCTCGGAGTGGACGTCTAAGACGCAGCCCCAGCACGGCGCCGACTGCGCTGGCGGGTTTTCAAGTTTACCTAATTCTCAACAAATCTTGCGGCCGATTACGTCTCCCTCCTGTTGGTGACTGGCTGGATGATGTTCAAATCTGGTGTTGTTCGATTTCTGCTGGACAGTGGCTGCACATGATCAGCCTCGGAGTCCAATGGCGAGAGATGTAGTGGAGCCGATACCGGTCTCCGTAAGAATTGCTCGGTGACGAGAAGCTGCGGGTGTGCATTCGGAACAATAAACACAAAATGAAGCCGTTTGAGCGAAAAGTGCCGAGAGCATCTGATGTTTGAAAGCCAAGCCGGGGGGATATGGACTGCGGATGTATTCGTGCAGACACCCACGAGGTCCCCCACGAATGGAAGCGGAGTGGAGTGGTCTTTCCTCCATCCACATCCCGCATTCGTGGCACGAGTTACCCGCCCAGAATCGAGGTGGCAAAAGAAGCCATGGGTCAGTTCATGAACAAGAATTTCAATTTATTATTCCATAACGTTACTGTGTTTACAGGAGCTCGGACTTGAAATTCATATGCGAATCTTCAGCCCCTGTTTGCTCGCTCGCTTGGTCAGGGTAGCGTACCCCACCAAATCCATTCGGCTGTTTCTTGTCCAGTTTCCGGCCGGGCCAGCCGTGGAGGTTCGCGATTTCATCTGTCCCCACAGCGCCACCCCGTGCTTCGATAGGCTGGGCGCTGATAAGTGGATGCAAGATAAGGTCAGCGAGGCTCGAGTATGGGACATCTGATTGGTACATCCAATTCAGAAATTCTTTTGACAACACCATTCCTCGCGGCTTGGTAATACTGTCAGCTCACAGTTGTGGAAGTCACAGCACCTTTGGCCTGGCAACCCTGTCTGCCCATTGTGAGGCACGAATTGACGAAGACTACGCGGGATGCTCCGATGCCCGCCGTTTCCTGTGACGTCGCTGGAAGTGCCCCGCGCCCGCCCCGCGTTGTCGAGGCGTTGTGGAAGTTAACTGGGCCGTGATGCGCCTCCGCGCGGGAAAAAAGACGAGTCACCTCCCAAAGAATGACAGACGAAAAACCGCCGGGGCCCTCGGTCATCCTCCCGAACAAAATACAGCCTTTCATAGACCAACATCTCGGCCCAATTTCGTAACTCTTGTGTACCACCTCATCCTCGGTGCTCGTCTGCCTCTGGGCATATACCTATGATAATACGTAAACGCAGACGCAGACTACCTAGGATTAACTTTCTTGCTCTCCCCTGATTTCTTCAAATTGCTATCGTCCATTAGGGAGAAAGACCGGGTGTTCTCGAAGCCTCCTGCCAGTCAGGTCGACGCAGGCACCGCTCTCCCCCATCCTGAGCCTGCGTCCAGCGACATCGGCTGACAGCCTTAGCAAAACGATGCATTTGATTGGATCACAGGAGCTGCGAAAAGCCGACATCCAACTTTCGACCCTGGTCGTGTAACAGGGATCCTGATGCTGGTGTCGCATGCAGCCGATGCTTGGATCTTACGCTATCCTCTTTTAGACATATGAGGTTGCAACCTAGTGTGGGGTACGTTTGTGAAGCTGGGCACTTCCATCCCCCAGGCTCATCAACAACTTTGGATAGACGTGACGACAATTTGGAGGGTTTTACCAGAACCGCAAAATCGACGGAGTTCTCTTGCAACGCCAACAATTGGATACTGTATTGTGTATGTTTCGAGTTCAAGACAATGATCCGCCCTGCCGAGATCTCTGGCTACTTCGCCTCCGACAACCCCACCATCGTTTAACAGACACAGCTTTCTTTTTTTTTTTTTGCATGTATCATGGTACTCCCGTTGTTTGTTCGCACACGGCTCTATGAGATTTCATGCACATACGGTCGATGTTTGAAACGTAAGTTTGCGATCAGAATATCAGACAACATGGGCAAACAGGCCGCGTGGCTGCATTGATTAAAGACGGCACTGGATGGAAACACAGTCCAACCGTCGGAGCAGACCGGGACCCCACGAGGTCCCTGTCCGGGCATGTGAGCTTCCATTCACTGCTTCAGCAGCCAGCGGTCTTCCATCTCTTCCCTGCATTTCACGGTTCGCCTTGGCCATTTCTTCTCCGCTCCAGTTGCCCAGCCCAATTGACGCCGAGCCAAGCATATCCAACAGGAGATCTACCCCAGTGTTCTCACATTCGCTAGGTACATAATACCTTGGGTCAGGATCAGCTGCCTCCGACTCGGTCATACATTGGTACATAAAAGAATAGTCGCCACTCTTCCCAGTTACCATTCCCCCTCCCTCCTCCCTCTTTCTTTCGCAGGACCCCATTTCATCAATCCGGCACCGACCTCGCGCTTTACCCGAGTCTGCCATCGCAAACAGCGTACGAGCGACGCTGGTCGAGAGTCGCCATCGAGTCGATTGGTAAGTGTCAGGCTGTTGAACTTCCCCCCTCCCCTCCCACAAAACACCATGTTCCCGCCAGAAGACAAAATGCGATCCGGCTGGTCCCAATGGTCCAATACCTTCGTGGGCTCCTCGAGAACAGCTTGAAGCACGAGAGACGTCGACAAATCGCCACCCCTCCATCAGTTATTCGACCATCCAGCGCGGGACGAGCCCTTGTTTTGGCCGCCTTCACTACCGTTCCGCAAATCCACGTCCCACGGCCAAGTCACAGAACAAACAAATTTCTAGCACTTGTCCCCATCTGGGCCGGGCTGCTCTCCGACTATGAGAGGAAGCACCCTACACAAGCCCGACAACGGCCCGACGCACAAGCAAGTTCACCAAAACCGCAGACGGTTTTTTTCTGCTTGGTGTTCCGGATCGGGCCAGAGCTTGCTGGATTAACATGTGCTCGGCCCGTGGGCTTGGTGGGGGTTTGGTCGCCCCCCCACTGCCCCTCCGATTCCCCGGGTCTTGGCTTCGCTTCGAACCCCTCATTCGACACGGTCGACAACCTGCCGCACTGCATCTTGCCAGATAGCCAGAAATTGTGTGGCATCGACCGACAATGGCACATTGCCACAACCGCGTTGCATATGGCACCGCGGATCTGGGCTTCGCGTCCTATCAGCGGCTCCCCTCGTCGTATGGGCGCGATAAGGCACGGAGCGACGCCTGTCGTCATCCCGCGTCGAATTTGGGGGATGTGAGTGGGCACGCCTGGAATTGGTTGGCTGCAGCTGCTCTCGCATTGCATCACAGCCTAGGTGTGATCTGCAACGCAAGGCTATCTCTCAGCAAGCCGTCAAGCTGGGCGGCGGGTGGTCTGCAGCGATGTGGATGCTACGGCTTGGCGATGATGCCGCACGCGAGCGAGCGAGCGAGAGAGTAACAGGCAATAACGACCTGGCATTTTTCACTCCATTTGTGGCAATTGCAACGCACGGGGCCTTGAGAGACCCAATGGGAAACGGTCAGAGGGGCCGAATGAAAAACCATCGTTTTCTGCCTGCGAATAGGCTCACGAGGGGGTCAAACCACAAACCACTAGATGGCCGACCCGATGGAATTATCTCGGTCGGGCCTGCCGCCCGTGGAATCCACACATGCCGGCTCTGCACACCATGATTCGACATCACATGTCCTACAACGACTGTGCTTTTCAGTCCTGGTCTTCAAGCCGCCGCATCTTTGTCTCCCCATTCAAGTGGGCTGCTTGCTTTCTGCGTCACCAAGACCACCAAAGAGGGACCACGCTTGGACTATCGAACCTTGACCCACGGGACTCGCACGTCATTATGGCCGGCGCCAAACCAGATCATATCACACCAAAACTTGACCATGTACCTTTCAGAGATTAGAGCTAACTTTCCGCCCCCGCATTCTAGATCGTCTCGCCGTTCTCATCGACATTTTAGCCACCATAACTAAAGCCAACCGAATACTCCGACATCACCTTGCAGGCATTACAAAGTAGTTTTGCCTAGCATGGGTGCCGTCAAGATTCCCGAGGATTTTGATGACCGACAACTCCAAATTGACGCTGAAAAAGAGGAATACCATCCTTATGAGTACCAGACAGAGAACAATGACTCCTGGGCGGGTGCTCTCCCGGTGAAGCAGTACGTTTCCCCGACCCCACCCCCTGTTTCTAGTCACAGATTACTCACTCCTCTAGGGGATTGTACGACCCGTCCCTCGAGAAAGATGCTTGCGGTGTCGGTTTTGCCTGGTAAGCGCTTCATGTATTGGCCCGGAAGAGCTATCGAAACTAACAGTCCGAAGCCACATCAAGGGCAAGCCTAGCCACAAGATCGTTAGCGATGGTAGGCCTTTTCCCCATCCCTAGTCGGCGAAGTGCTAACCTAACATTCACAGCGCGCAACCTCCTCTGCAACATGACCCATCGCGGTGCGGTGGGATCTGACGCACGGGATGGTGACGGCGCTGGTGTCATGACCTCTATTCCTCACAAGTTCTTCATCAAGAACTTTGAGCGAGAAGAGGGCATCAAGCTTCCACCTCTGGGCCAGTATGCTGTGGGGAACTTGTTTTTCAAGCCCGACCAGGAGACGGTGCACGAGTGCAAGCGGCAATTGGAAGATGTTGCCGAGTCCTTGGGTCTGAGGGTCCTGGGGTGGCGAGAACCCCCCGTGGATTCTTCTCTCCTTGGTCCTGCTGCCCTTTCACGGGAGCCCACCGTTCTCCAACCCTTCGTCGTACTGCAGTCCGCATATGGCCCGGGCAACGCTCCCGAGGTGACGGACCCAGAGTTGTTTGATGAGAGGCGCTTTGAGAGGCAGCTCTATGTCCTCCGAAAGCGAGCCACTCATACTGTGGGGCTTCAGAACTGGTTCTACATCTGCTCCCTTTCCAACAAGAACATTGTCTACAAGGGGCAGTTGGCGCCGGTTCAGGTCTACCAATACTACCATGATTTGGTGAATGCCGATTATGAGGCTCACTTTGCCCTCGTGCACTCGCGCTTCTCCACCAACACGTTCCCTTCTTGGGATCGTGCCCAGCCTCTACGATGGGCCGCTCACAACGGTAAGTAGTAGATCGGACCGGGCGATAAGTAGTAGGCGCTAACCATCTCGTTAGGTGAGATCAACACCCTTCGCGGCAACAAGAACTGGATGCGCGCCCGTGAAGGCGTGATGCGATCCGATATCTTTGGCGATGAGCTCGAGATGCTGTACCCCGTAGTCGAGGACGGTGGTTCCGATTCGGCTGCTTTTGACAACGTGCTGGAGCTGCTCACCATCAATGGTGTGCTCTCCCTCCCCGAGGCCGTCATGTTGATGATTCCCGAAGCCTGGCAAGGGAATGAACTGATGGATCCCAAGAAGGCTGCATTTTACGAGTGGGCTGCTTGTCAGATGGAACCCTGGGACGGCCCTGCGCTCTTCACCTTCGCTGATGGCCGTTTCTGCGGCGCCAACCTTGACCGTAACGGCCTCCGACCTTGCCGTTTCTATGTCATGGACGACGACCGCATCATCTGTGCCTCCGAGGTTGGCACCATTCCTGTCGACCCCGAGAGGGTCGTGCAGAAGGGCCGCTTACAGCCCGGGCGCATGCTCCTGGTTGACACACAAGCGGGCCGCATCATCGATGACAGTGAGCTGAAGGCCGCTGTCTCGAGCCGCCATGACTTCAGAGCTTGGCTCGACGAGAGTCTGATCACGATGCCTGCTGTTCTCGACAAGGTCTCGGAGAGCAAGGGCGTGGATCTAGCCGCGAAGCCCAGCGAGACGAAGCTCCAGGAGGACCCCATGCTCCAGGCTTTCGGTTATACGTTTGAGCAGGTGAGCTTGCTACTGGCGCCCATGGCCTCCGACGAGAAGGAGGCACTCGGTTCCATGGGCAATGATGCGCCCCTCGCATGCTTGTCGGATGCCCCCAAGCTGCTCTACGAGTACTTTAGGGAGCTGTTCGCGCAGGTCACGAACCCGCCCATCGATCCGATTCGTGAGTCCATCGTCATGTCCCTGGACTGCTATGTCGGCCCGCAAGGGAACCTCCTTGAGATGGATGCATCTCAGTGCGGCCGGCTGCTCTTGCACAGCCCCATTCTTTCCACCGAGGAGTTCAACGCCATGACGAACATGTCGACCTTTCACCCTGGCTGGACTGTCAAGACAATCGACCTAACATTCCCGAAGGCCGGCGGCGTCCAGGGCTATGTCAACCACCTCGATTACATCTGCAACGAGGCCACTGCCGCCATCGAGGCACGCGACCGCATCATTGTCCTCTCCGACCGGAACACGTCCAAGGACCGGGTTGCGGTGTCGGCCCTGCTTGCCTCCGGCATGGTCCACCACCACCTTGTCGCTAACAAGTGGCGCTCAATGGCTGCCCTCGTTGTCGAGACCGCTGAGGCCCGCGAAGTGCATCACATGTGTGTCCTGCTTGGCTACGGCGTGGACGCCATCAACCCCTACTTGGCTATCGAGTGCATCTTGAAGCTCAATCGGGAGAAGCTTATTAAGAAGAAGCTCACCGATGACGCCCTCATCCGCAACTACAAGCACTCGTGTGACGGCGGCATCCTCAAAGTCATGAGCAAGATGGGTATCTCTACCCTTGCCAGCTACAAGGGCGCTCAGATCTTCGAGGCCCTCGGCGTCGATGACAGTGTTGTCGACCGCTGCTTCCGCGGCACCGCCTCCCGAATCAAGGGCATCACATTTGAGCTCATCGCTGAAGATGCATTCCGCTTCCACGAGCGTGGTTTCCCGTCCCGCGAGACTACTGCTGTTCCTGGCCTTGCGGAATCCGGCGAGTACCACTGGCGTGACGGTGGAGAGGCGCATATCAACGACCCCAAGTCCATTGCTGCCATCCAGAATGCGGTCCGAAACAAGGACGACAAGTCGTACGAGGCCTACTCTCTGTCTGAGTATGAGCAGATCAAGTCTTGCACGCTTCGTGGCATGCTGGACTTCAAGTTCGACGACTGCACGCCCATCCCGATTGACCAGGTCGAGCCGTGGACCGAGATCGTGCGGCGCTTCTGCACCGGTGCCATGTCGTATGGTTCCATCTCGATGGAGTCCCACTCGACTCTTGCTGTCGCCATGAATCGACTTGGCGGCAAGTCCAACACTGGCGAGGGTGGTGAGGACGCCGAGCGTTCTGAACGGATGGCCAACGGCGACACCATGCGCTCGGCCATCAAGCAGGTCGCGTCTGGGCGCTTCGGCGTCACCTCCGCCTACCTCGCCGACTCGGACGAGATCCAGATCAAGATGGCGCAGGGTGCTAAGCCGGGCGAGGGTGGCGAGCTTCCTGGCCACAAGGTGTCCAAGCCGATCGCGCGGACGCGGCACTCGACCCCTGGTGTTGGCTTGATCTCCCCCCCGCCCCACCACGACATTTACTCGATCGAGGACTTGAAGCAGCTCATCTACGACCTCAAGTGCTCGAGCCCTCGATCGCGTGTGTCGGTCAAGCTGGTGTCGGAGACTGGTGTCGGCATCGTCGCGTCTGGTGTCGCCAAGGCTAAGGCGGACCACATCCTCATCTCAGGCCACGACGGCGGTACCGGTGCCTCCCGCTGGACGGGAATCAAGTACGCCGGCCTACCGTGGGAGCTGGGTCTTGCTGAGACGCACCAGACGCTAGTGCTGAACGATCTTCGTGGCCGTGTGGTCGTCCAGACGGATGGTCAGCTGCGGACGGGTCGCGATGTCGCTATCGCCTGCCTGCTCGGCGCTGAGGAATGGGGCTTTGCCACAACTCCCTTGATCGCCATGGGCTGCATTATGATGAGGAAGTGCCACCTCAATACGTGCCCTGTCGGCATTGCGACGCAAGATCCTGAGCTCCGGAAGAAGTTCACGGGCACGCCCGAGCATGTCATCAACTTCTTCTTTTACGTCGCCAACGAGCTCCGTTCTATCATGGCCAGCCTTGGTTTCCGGACGGTCAACGAGATGATTGGGCACGCCGAGGTTCTCAAGATCCGGGACGACATCAGGAGCAAGAAGACGGCCAACATTGACCTGTCACTCATCCTCACGCCCGCCCACAAGCTGCGGCCGGGTGTTGCGACGTTCAATGTCCGCAAGCAGGACCACCGCCTCTATGTCCGCCTAGACAACAAGCTTATCTCGGAAGCTGAGTTGACTCTCGACAAGGGCCTGCCGTCGCGTATCGAGTGCGACATTGTCAACACCGACCGCGCCATGGGTACTTCGCTTTCCTACCAAATCTCCAAGCGGTATGGTGAGGAAGGTTTGCCGCTGGATACCGTCCATGTTAATATCAAGGGCTCCGCTGGCCAGTCATTTGGTGCCTTCCTGGCCCCCGGTGTCACCCTGGAACTAGAGGGCGATGCCAACGATTACGTCGGAAAGGGCTTGTCTGGCGGCCGCCTCATCGTCTACCCCCCGCGGTCGGCGGTCTTCAAGGCCGAGGAGAACATCTTGATTGGCAATGTCTGCTTGTATGGAGCTACCTCCGGTACCTGTTACTTCCGCGGCGTTGCTGCGGAGCGGTTCGCTGTGCGCAACTCGGGTGCCATTGCCGTCGTCGAGGGTGTTGGTGACCACGGCTGTGAGTACATGACTGGCGGCCGCGTCGTCATTCTCGGCAGCACCGGCCGCAACTTTGCGGCTGGTATGTCCGGTGGTATCGCCTATGTCCTCGACATCGACAACGACTTCCGCTCCAAGCTCAACACCGAGATGGTTGAAGCAGGCAGCATCGAGGACCCTGAGGAGATCGCCTATGTCCGTAACCTGATCGAAGACCACCATCACTACACGGGCTCTGAACTTGCGGCCCGTATCTTGGTTGACTTCAACCGTGCTCTCCGCCGGATTGTCAAGGTCCTCCCGGTGGACTACAAGCGTGTCCTCGAGGAGGAGGCAGCCAAGGCGGCCGAGGCCAAGCGCGCCGAGTACAATCTCCCTGTGATCTCCGGTGTCGCACACAAGAAGGAGGATAAGGAGAAGGCCGCCAAGCTCCAGGATATCGAGGAGAGCGTGAGGGATGACTCCGCCGACAAGAAGAAGGCTCTTGTTCTGGATAAGACTCGTGGTTTCATGAAGTACCAGCGGAGAGGTGAGAAGTACCGCAGCACAAAGACGCGGACCAAGGATTGGGCCGAGCTATCGCAACGACTGAACGAGGACGAGCTCAAGTACCAATCTGCTCGTTGCATGGATTGCGGCGTTCCCTTCTGCCAGTCCGAGTCTGGGTGCCCCATCTCCAACATCATTCCCAAGTGGAATGAATTGGTATTCCAAAACCAATGGCGCGATGCTCTGGACCGTCTCCTGATGACAAACAACTTCCCCGAGTTCACCGGCCGCGTCTGCCCTGCTCCTTGCGAGGGCGCTTGCGTCCTCGGCATCAACGAAGACCCCGTCGGCATCAAGTCGATCGAGTGCGCTATCATTGACCGCGGCTTTGAGAAGGGCTGGATGGTTCCGAACCCGCCCAAGATTCGCACCGGCAAGACCGTTGCTGTCATTGGATCTGGCCCGGCCGGTCTTGCGGCCGCTGACCAGCTCAACAAGGCCGGCCACATGGTCACCGTCTACGAGCGCGCCGACCGCGCTGGCGGTCTGCTCATGTACGGCATCCCCAACATGAAGCTCGACAAGCGCATTGTCAAGAGGCGCACCGACTTCATGGCGGCCGAGGGCATCCAGTTCAAGACGGGCGTCACCGTGGGCGAGCACGTCCAGTTGATGGACTTGAAGGCGGACAACGACGCGGTCATCATCGCGACGGGTGCCACAGTAGCACGCGACCTCCCGATCCCAGGCCGCAACCTCGAGGGCATCCACTTCGCCATGGAGTTCCTGCACCAGAACACCAAATCGCTGCTCGACTCGGAGCTCGCCGACGGCGCGTACATTTCGGCGCGGGGCAAGCACGTGGTGGTGATCGGCGGGGGCGACACGGGCAACGACTGCATCGGCACGTCGGTGCGGCACGGCGCGGCGTCGGTCATCAACTTCGAGCTGCTCCCGCAGCCGCCGGCGGAGCGGGCCAGCGACAACCCGTGGCCGCAGTGGCCGCGCATCTACCGGGTCGACTACGGCCACAGCGAGGTGCGGCAACACATGGGCAAGGACCCGCGCGAGTTCTGCATCATGTCGCAGGACTTTGTCGACGACGGCGCCGGCCGCGTCAAGGGCATCAACACGGTCCGCGTCGAGTGGACCCGCACCCCCGCCGGCGGCTGGGAGATGCACAAGATCGACGGCTCCCAGCAGTTCTTCCCGGCTGATCTGGTCCTGTTGTCCATGGGCTTCCTCGGCCCCGAGGGCAGGGTGCTCGGCGACGAGATCGAGAAGGATGGCCGCAAGAACGTCAAGACGCCCGCTGGCGGCTATGCCACCAACGTGGAGGGCGTCTTTGCCGCGGGCGATTGCCGCAGGGGCCAGTCGTTGATTGTTTGGTGAGTTGGGCTCTGCGCTGCTCTTTCCTACTCGAATTTCCATGAGCTTGAACAAATGAATACTGACTCGGGTTTCTTTTCAGGGGCATCAACGAAGGCCGCCAGGCTGCGCGCGAGGTCGATCTCTACCTCGAGAAGTGCACCAACCTGCCCGTCACGGGCGGCATTGTGAAGCACACGGCCGAGGAGGTGTTTGCTGCTGGGGCGGGGGTAGGCGGAGTGGCGGGGGCGGTCGAGCCGGTCGCTGCTTAAGGGGGTGGGTGCATTGAGCGAGTTTGCCCGCCCAGGGGGGGAAAAGGTGAATGAACTGGATGAGATATGGATCGTTTACGAGGCATTTGTTTCCTACAAGCGCGGCTATATGATGGGCATGGCTTCATTTCATAAGGGGGGGTCTAGCATAGCTTCGTTTTTTTTCCTGCATTTAGTGATTCTGATACCATTTCACGAATGAGCCTGGTGAGGAATTGGGCAGGTGAATGTGAGTACAGTTTGAGAGGTGATTTTGATGTACTTGTCGGTTCACATAACGGCCCTCTCTCTGTCCAAGCTCAGGTTCGACGAAGATTATAACCCAAGTCTAGGTGGCACCTCATGGACAAAAAAAGCCGAACTCCAAGTGCAGATGTCGGCAATGGAAACTTCGAGTCCTCAGCTGGAGGAATATAACGAAAGTCATCCTGAAGCCCAAAGAAACTCTATTTGCTCTATTTCCTTTACTTTTACCCTCTTTTTTTCATTTGACTTAGTTTTCTCGATTTCTTTTTCATTTGTTCTTTTTGCTTGATTTCTTGATTTCCTTTCGAGTTCGGCTTTTTTTGGCCAGAGGGTGGGTGGCTACCAGCCGTGGAAAGCATGTAAATGTCCTCAATGGGTTCGGCTTCGACCTTCATGTCGATCGTATGGAAACAACGCCACGGAGAGTGAAACAAAAGCTACCCGGAAGATCTGAGAAACTAGATCTATCCGAATTTATTTTATTTTATTTTGCTTTCCTTTTCTTTCGCTCGATTTCTTTTACTTAATCTCCTTTTGCTTGATTTCTTGTTTTCCGCCGGAGTCCGCTTTTTCTCTCTCCGTCTCTCTTCTTTTCCTTCTCTTTTTCTTTCTTGGATAGCATGTATTTTAGATGAGAAGTCGTGCCATTCTTATAGCCAGCTATATCTCACAACACAAGCGAGGTTCGTTGATGTTGACCCTGGTCGTGATTCTTCCAATTCCCAACAGAACACTGACTTCGGCTGTCGGACAGTCGAACTGACTCCCTGACAATGGCACTCCCTGACAATGGCACTCCCTGACAAGCCGTCGTCGACGATGCCGCTGCTGGATGGCGTGCGCCTCAAGATGGTGGCAGCGATCAACGTCTCGGCGCCAAAGTCCAACGCGCGGTTGTTCTTGATGCTGCGCACGATCCTGGCCGCGGTGGACCGAGCGCTCGCCACGTTCGGCAGCAGGCCACTGGAGTTCTTGGAGCTCCTCAACGCCATCCCGATTCCCGTGCGCAACTCGCTCGTGATGGGGACGATCGCGTACGACTTCCACGATGGCGCCGGCGACAAACCATACGCCGGTGATTATTCGTACCAGGGAGTCTACGTGGTGGGGATCGCCGTTTACCTAACGGTGCCGCATAACTTGACGGCCGAGGCCCTTGGAAAATGCCCACAGCAGCTGAAAGCTTGTCGCTCGCTGGTGGGTTTTGTTACGGAGCACGTGGGGACATCGATTGGTCAATGGCAGCGGTGTTGCTGGTAACGAACGGGCAAGCTGCGAGGCTGCTCAATTGATACCTCACAGAGGGGTGGTACTTTGTCTCGTGGGATTGATTCGACATGATCATGGCAATATGAGAGAGGGAAAGACCTCCATGTGACGCAACCTTTTTTCGAAGTTTTCTTCAATGATTATTTAATACTCAAACCACACGCTTCTCTTCCCAACCCCTCGAAAGAAACCACCTACAAAGTAACTCTTCGTATGTACAATTATTCCTGGATCAAAACTCTGGCTGCGGATCCATTCTGCAGGGGCGACCGTGCTGTGGGGTGCACAGGCTGGCCGAGATCCGTGCCATGTGTGTGGGGCAGCCGGCGGCAATGACGAGAGGCTGGAATGCAAGCTTGCTTGCTCTTCGAGTCTCCTCCAGTTTTCTACCTTCTCACAACTTGACATCGAGAACGCCCGGCTCGTCAATTGTACGATAGTGGTGGATTTCGCGCAGGTTTAGGCGGGCATTATCTCCTTATTTATACTTGCTTAAATATTCACACCGCCAGCCAATCCACATTTTTGGTCTACACCGACAGCCCAGAGGCTTCCCGACGATGCGCTTCGGCAAGACACTCCGATTGTCGGTCTACCCGCCATGGCAGGACAAGTACATCGACTACGCGAAGCTCAAGAGCCTTCTGCGGGAGAACGAGCCCGATGATGAGGAGACGCCATGGACCGAAGAGGACGAGAACCGCTTTTGCGAAGAGATCTTCAACGTCCAGCTCGACAAGGTCGCCGAGTTTCAGGCCGAACAGGTCGAGAACCTGCGTCGCCGCATCGACAGCGCCTTTGAGAAGCTCAAGGAGCTTCCCACGGCCGAGGAGGGCAAGCCGAAGCCGGAAGCCGACCCGCAGCAGCTCAAGGATCTCGAGGCCGAGCTCGACGCCATCACGAACGAGGTCAAGGAGCTGCAAAAATACAGCAATCTCAACTACACGGGCTTCCTCAAGATTGTTAAGAAGCATGACCGGAAGCGCGGCGACCGCTACAAGATCCGCCCCATGATGATGGTCAGCCTGGCCAAGCGGCCCTTCAACTCGGAGCAAGCCTACTGGCCACTGCTCAACAAGCTGTCCCTCATGTACTTCGCCATCCGCCAGCAGCTCGAGGAGCCCGGCGCGGCCGATGCTTACCCCATCGATCCCAACAGCCAGCCCGAGACCCACAACGGGGAGAAGTACACGGCACACAAGTTCTGGGTGCACCCGGACAACCTGCTCGAGGTGAAGACGTACATCCTCCGCCGCCTGCCGGCCTTGGTGTACAGCGAGCAGTCCGCCAAGGAGGTAGACGGGCAACAGGACCCAACCATCACGTCGCTCTACTTTGACAGCCCCAAGTTCGACCTCTACCTGAAGAAGGTCGAGCGGAAGATGGAGGCGTCGTCGCTGCGGCTACGTTGGTACGGCCAGCTGAGCTCCCGCCCGGACATCTCCTTCGAGCAAAAGATCCTGCACGACAACGGCACCAGCGAGGAACGCAAGTTCGTCATCAAGGAGAAGTACATCAAGCCTTTCCTGGACGGCGAGTACAAGATGGAGAAGTCGGTGCAGAAGATGGAGAGGAAGGGACAGAAGGCCGAAGACGTCGAGGCGTTCCAATCGACAGCGGATGCCATCCAGGAGTTTGCCCGCGCGAACAAGCTTGAGCCGGCCGTAAGGGCCAATTACAAGCGGACCGCCTTCCAGAAGCCGGGCGACGACCGCGTGCGCATATCGATCGATACCGACATCGCCTTCATACGGGAAGACACGCTCGACCGCGACCGGCCGTGCCGAGACCCCAAGGAGTGGCACCGCGCTGATATCGACAACAGCAACATGACGTTTCCCTTCAACAACATCAACCAGAGCGAAGTATCGCGCTTCCCCTACGCCGTCCTCGAGATCAAATTGAGGGAGGACAACCGTGGCAAGCGCCCCGCCTGGATTCAGGACCTGACCGGCTCCCACCTGGTCCACCCCTGCCCGCGCTTCTCCAAGTTCGTCCACGGCACCGCTTCGCTTTTCGAGGACTACGTCAACCGTCTGCCCTTCTGGCTCTCCGACCTCGACACCGACATCCGCAAAGACCCGCAGGTCGCCTTCGAAGCGGAAGAATCCCGCCGCGCCCAGCGCGCCGAAAACGAACAAGTCGTGGGCAGCTTCCTCGGCACCAAGCTCGGCTCCTACAAACCCACCCGCAGCTCACCCGTGGCCCGATCCTACCTCGCCGACCGGCTCGCAGCCGAAACCCCCTCCCAGACCCCCAAGTCAGCCCGCTTTTCCCGGGGCAGCGCCGCCCAAGCCGACGAAGCGGGGGAGCCGAGCACCCTCAACAACGGCCAATCCGACAACCAACAACCCGAGTCCCAGGCCGAACGAGAGGGGCGAGCCGGCGGCGGCCTCAACTACGGCACGCTATCCTCGGTCTTCCCGGGCTTCTCGCTCTCCAAGTACTCGCGCGCCAAGCAGGCCCGCGAGGCCGCACGCCAGCAGCGCCGCGGCAGCGGCGCCACCCTCCCGCCCGGCGTCGTCGAGCCGACCGAGTGGATCAAGAACGCGGGCCCCCTGCAGATCGAGCCCAAGGTCTGGCTCGCCAACGAGCGCACCTTCCTCAAGTGGCAGCACATCTGCGTGCTGCTGGGCGGGCTGGCTGTGAGCTTGTACTCGGCCGGTGGGGGCAGCGGGAACGGGCTTGCGCAGGCGATGGGCGGGGTTTTTGTCGGTGTGGCGGTCTTTGCGGGGGCGTGGAGCTACTGGGTGGTGGTGAGGCGTCGTGATATGATTGTCCAGCGGAGTGGCAAGGATTTTGATTTCTTGCTGGGGCCGTTGGTGGTGAGTGTCGCGTTGGCGGTCGCGTTGGTGGTGAATTTTGTGTTTGCTGTGAGTACTCCCCCCGCCCCCCCCCCCTCTCTCCCTACCTATTTGTTTGTCTGGTCTTGGGGCGTGAGAATTGTGTAGTGTGCTGACGTGTTTTTGCTTGGGGCAGTACCGAAAGGCTTTTGCTGATGAGACGTTTGGTGAGGGTGCTGCTGGGGTGGGTGCGAAGGCGAGTTTGGTTGCTGAGATGGGGGATTTGCGGATATGAAGGGTCGGATCCAGGTTGAGTGTTCGTGACGGGTTTTGGTGTCATGGTGAGCTAAATAGTTTGTAGTTTGTGAGGGGTGGAGTTGGATATGGAGGTGTAAGTCTTGAGCAAGGTTGTTGAGTGTCTCTTTTTGGGGGTATCCGTGGTCAGTGGTAAGGGGTTTCACGGTTGTTGGTTTCATGGTTATACGAGTAGTCCTACGCATCAGCATGGCAGAGTGGCATTGTTGGCGATAGCATCACTGGTTGTATGAACAAGATTGGTTGCGTTGAACTTGGGATTTCCTCCATTCGGTGCGGTAATGGGGATGTGGGTGTGTTGGTATGCTATTGCTCGTGGCTGGTAAGCCAGTCGCGAAGGAACAAAGAACTTGATACTATGGAGGATACTTCATTAATGCACTCACGATAGCACTCGGCAGCATCAACAGCACCCAGGACGATAATAGAGGGATGGTGACACAGATAATAATTGCATTTAAATGACAACAGCAGACGCAGAACAACAATGAAAATGATAGCTAATCGCCGCAGCAGCAAGACTCCCAGAACTCCCAACAAGCCACAACTTATTAGCCGCAACCCCCCATCAACACCAAGACCAGCTTAGCATAGAGACGTCAAAAGGTGCTAGGAGTAGTAATAGCGTCGACTGGCTCCACCCGCAGCAGGATACCCGTTTCTGGGGTCCGGGTTAATGGCGCGGTACCTGCGGGCAGGGTCCGTTGACTGCTCGGGCGGCGGCGAGTTGACCTGTTCGGCGTCACGAAATGCCCGCGATTTACGAAGATCGGTGGTCTCGCAGCGCCCATCCCTCTCCAGGTCTCGGCGTATGACAAGAGGAGCGCTGCTCGAGGCTCGGATAGGGAATGTGAACCCTGAGGAGTTGACAGAGGAGTCAGTAAATGTTCAGCAAAAGGAGCGTCCGAGATGGAGGGCGACAAGGAAAAACCACCTACTTCCTCTGAGAAAGTCGTCTATATACGACATTGACACCCGCTGGCCTACGGCGTGGCGCTTGGGTCCGGCTTCGAACAAGTACGGCACACCCGCCTGTCGAGCTCGGAGCGGGTTGGAAGGCTCGGACCAGAATTCAACGAAGCCCCCGAGGAAGCGGCTCTCCCAGTACCTTCCCGCTTCGCCAACGTCGTGTTGGTTGTTGTACGGCTCCGCGGTGATTCTCGGAGGGGTGTTGGGCTCCCTGGTGCCAGTGATGAACCCCGTCAGGAGGTGGACCATTTCGTGGGCGATGCTGATAACCATCTGGAACTTAAACAGGTCGTAACTGTCACGAGCAACTGCCGGGGACTGGTCTTGTGCATTCCCCATGTTGTCGATGATGGCCGCGCTCAGGTAAAGCCTGCCCGCGTCGCTTGCGACGTAATCGCGCATGTCCCGGCCCCAGTCGAACTTCCAGGTCTCGGCCTCGCCCTCGACCGCTCGACTGATGTGAATAGAAGGAAAGTTTTCCCTCAAACTCCGGAGGAATGCGTCGACCCAGTCCCCCATATTGTCCCGGGAGCCTTGGTAGATATGTGGAGGACGTCGGCGGCGCGAGACACCCGTCATGCCTTCGCGTGCCTCGATGATGTCCGTTGCAACGCGCGCCAAACTGGATCTGGCTTCCCTGGTTTCGAGCAGAGAGAGCGCGAGGGGGATCATCGCGGCGACCATCCTGTATCGCCTCGAGCTCGGAGGTAGCTCCACGCCTGCTGAGTCGTCGTGGACAACAAACTCTTGAACACTGCTGGAGCTTGACATTTTGGTGATGGGCAGAAGGGTAAATATTGCGCAAGTAATCGGGGAGGAGGGGGGAGGCTCGGGGGGCTTAAGGGATGAAGGCGGTGGTTAAAGCTGATGGTAGTCTCTACTCCCTCACATCTTACAGCTACCTGCCCGATTCTTATATTGATTCCATCGTCATGGGCTGTTAACATGTTGCCAACTTCGTGCTCTGCCTTTGCCCTAGTACCCTGTCCTCGGTCTGCGTTTAGGAACGTGATACTCTCTTGACGCCCGCCCGCCGACCGCTCGCCGACCATCATGGCCTCTCTAAGGCGGCAAGTCCATGGCGGTTATTGGGCTGCCTCGCGGTTGTCTCGTTCTCGCGCGGGCTAATACCCAGACTTGGGGATATCTAAGCGCCTATAACGAACATTGCGCCCGAAGAACCTCATTTCATTGATTAGGTGGCTAGCCGCCCGTACTGGCGAACGGTCGATTTCGCGGCTAGTGGGTTTCGACTTTCGAGTTGGTTCCAATAAGCGCCGGTGGGCCGTGATCGCGGCAACCCTGTGGTCCATATGTTGGTGATGGCGATAACTGATGCACCTGATTGGTCGGGTGGAAAGAAGGGGGGTCTGGCATTTGGCATGGCACGCAAACCCCCACCACGGCCCTTGTCCCGAATATGTCCTGTACAGAGTGTCGAGCAGTCTGCACTGGGTATTGATTCTTACCTTTCCTCCCCTTCTCCTCAGTTCCTCACTATTTCTCTTGAAGCTTTGGTGCTACCGTCAGATCCTCGTCATCTCGAACCCTGCAACCATCTTCACCTTCTCATTGTCCTCGACTCACTGCACCTTTGGTTGGCAATTGAAATCATGTCGGGGCCGCCCCTGACAGCCTCCTCACCCGCAGACCAGCTCGCCGATGAAATGGCCGAGACTATTGAGACTAGGCAGCTTTCTGTTGCGGACCTTGACGGAGAGCACTACCAACTCCTCGTTCGTGCCATCGAGAGGATCCTTACCACCGAGCTTGCTGAATTCACCTACGCACAAATCATCGACGGCCTGCCTACCGGCGATGTCGCCTGCGATAGCACTGTCGCGCCATATGACGGCCACCCTATTGACCACGCCCACGAGCAGCTATGCCCGGGTATGTTGGACAAGGCGCGCGAGTTTCGTGATGGATTTCGGCCCGAGGTCCTGACCTTCGACGCGCAAGTGAGTTTGAAATTCCGCTCCTGACGACCTACATTTGGCAGGCACTGACGTATAGCGACAGACACTCCACGGATATCGCGCCTGCGCTCCGGGGTCGAGAGGGTTCAAGACGCGTTTGATTGAATTGGTTGCTGTTGCCGTCCACCAGATTGCCGCCCTCCTCTATGAACTTGATACCAGTGTCCACAAGGACGACGGCATCACTGACTGGACCCCGCCCAAATCAGATACCTTCTACCGGAAGTGGTATCCTGACGGGCCGCGGCCCACCCTATTTCACCACGCGTGGTATCTCGACTACGCCCAGTACCCGAGACAAGTCGCCGACATGGTGGGCTACTGGGCCGAAGCACGCATTCTTGGCGGGGTCGTCCTCTTCGACCGGCGCGACCCAAAGGTTTCCCGGGACGCCGACCCGGACGCCGTCTATTTCCATTCAGATAGATACGAGGTCACCTATCGAATATACCAGCTCCTTCCGGAGCAGCGGAACGCTCTACTCGACTTTCTCCTGGGTGACGAGCCCCCGTCGGGAAGCCCACTTCCCATCCTAGGCGACCAGAACAACCGCGTTCGCGTGGACCCGGAGGAGCCGATAAAAACGACGGGTATTTATCGTGACTTGTGGGAACGTAAAGACATCTCACCGGACGCAGGTGATCGGAGGGAGAGGGATGTGTGGGACGAGAGGGAGTATCCCACCATCGAAGACTTTAGGGCCGCGCGGGGTCGGGCGCGGGAGCGGGTACGGCGGATTATACGTGAGGACTAGGGATAGCTTCAATGCTGTCTAACATGGAGGCGAGGATATGGGACTGAGTCGGTCCGTGTATTGACTCTGGTTCGTCATGCCCTGTGTGCCGAGAAGTTGTAAAATTAGAATGCAGTGTTTCTGAGATGGAGTGGAGCCGGGCCAGAACCCGCTCGCCAAGGAGCTAAGCAATCGCGAAGGCGAGCCGAGGGCGATCTGCGAGGGTACGAAGTAACATGTTCAGCAATGCAGTAAACTCGAAAGATAAACAAAATATGTCAAGGCAAGATACATCGTCACAGTTGGTGTTGAGTAACTCGCTTCAAGTAAGCCGACCCGATTGGTATAAAGCTTAATACTTTCTGAAGAAGGAAATAATAGAGTTGTGAATTGCTGTCGAATTCGTTTCCCACGTTCAAACAACGGCGCGGTCTTGGCCCATCCCAGTAAAAGCAAGGCAGGAGACTGAACTGACGGTGACCTGCCAGTGCCTGCGAGACTGGACTTGAACCATCTCCATAAAAAAAACCCTCAAGTCGCCAAAATGGAAAATGGAGGTGACAACAACACAATCTAGAGTGAAGGGGATGTCGTCAGACATCCCGAGGCCAGAATTGGCACAACAAAAAGCCGTACAACCTTTGGTGCACTTGGTTGCTGGAGCGTGAGTTGTCACTGCCAAACACCCCCTCTCTCCTCCGCACCTAACCACCCCCAACCGAGTCATGCATCATCTGATCCACCACCGTTTGATAGGAGCGGAGGCTTGGTCACCTCGATCTTAACCTCTCCCCTCGATGTGTTGAAAACGCGCCTCCAATCCGACCTGTACCGGATTCCCTCCGCCAGCGGGGCGCACGCACTGCATGCCGAAGCAACGCCCGCCGTTGTCGGCCGCCTCGGCGCGCCGTTACGGCACGTTCGGGAGACGGCCCAAATCTTCGGATTGATACACCGCACCGAAGGCTGGCGCGCCTTTTTCCGAGGCCTCGGGCCAAGTCTATCGGGCATCGTCTCTGCAACGGCCGTCAAGTTCTACGTGTACGGGAACTGCAAAACCCTCGGGGCGCGCCTGCTGAACCGCCAAGAGGACGCCGCCGTCGTCCACGCCCAGGCCGCCGTCGCCGCGGGCATCGCAACATGCACCGCCACCAACCCCATCTGGCTCGTCAAGACCCGACTCCAGCTCGACGCATCACGGGCCCAGGCGGCCGGCGGCGGGGCGGCGGCGAGGCGGTACAAGAACAGCCTGGACTGCGTGCGGCAGGTCCTGCAGCAGGAAGGGGTTCGCGGGTTATACAGGGGCCTGGGCGCGAGCTACTTCGGCGCGGCCGAGACGGCCCTGAACCTCGTCATCTACGAGCAGCTCAAGTCGTTCTCTCTCGAGGCGCTGGGGGGTGCCAGGACGGAGGACGCCACCACCTGGGGCGAGGTCAAGCACTGGATCAGCACCAGCGGCGCCGCGGGGGCGGCCAAGCTGGTCGCGACGCTGGCCACATATCCCTACGAGGTACGCCTACTCTATCCACCACCCCGAGAAAACCAGAAAGCCAAACGTGGCAACTGACAAATACCCGGCGACATAGGTCATAACGACGAGGTTGCGCCAGCCGATGGAGAACGGAGCGCCCCGGTACGTCGGCCTCGTCCATTGCGTGCGCTCGATCACGGCCGGGGAGGGCTGGTCGGGGCTGTACGGCGGCCTGACGCCGCACCTGATGCGCTCCATCCCGGCCTCCATCGTCACCATGAGCGTTTACGAATTTGTTTTGCGGTGGGCTGGCGCGTGAGCTGCATGGTGGGGTGGAGGAAGGAGACAAAAGTCTCCATTTCTCCGCTCATTCTTTTTACGTTTGAGAGAGGTCGAGTAACAAGTGCTCTCTCGTGGTGGCATTCATGCATAAGACGATTAGAAGGAGCATCGAGGCAGGTGATGGTTCACGGGCAATATCATACATAGAGATGGATTGGGTAATGTAATGAATGACTTGACGAACAATCTACTCCCTGTTCAGATCATGGCCATTCCGCGACGCGAGCCACGCACGCTGGATATATCTTTCGCCCAGCTTAATTCCGGAGTCCTGGTACCTTCCACAAACAGTCTCGCTCCCTCTATGACACACTGCCTCATCAGTGGCCGCGTTCACTTAGGGGTTAAAGCGCAGCAAACCACGTCAAGGACATATCTCCCCTGTAGTCCGCCAGATGTTGTTATAAGTCATAATCATCATTGACAGCTATTCTCGCCACCACTGTTTGGCAGGTACGATACGGTACATATATAATCAAAACCACCACACAACAAGCCACCCTCTCACCCCCTCAACAACCAACACCATCTCCAAACATCAGTCTGTCTGCAGCCCCAGCGCGACCTCCCCAACACCCAGGGAGATGCCTGCCTAGGGCCGCTCCAGCACCATAAAAAAAGGCGACAAAGCCCCGCGAAAACAGGTCGTGCATCCAGAACAGTAACTTGTACATACAGCCCAGTCCCATCTTTGTACTGAGCCCATAAGCCCTGACCCCGTATGTATTTTCCCATTTCCGTGAAAAAGAGAAGCCTCGTTCCGAAACGTCGTCGTCAGATCGTCAAGTTGCGTCGTCAAACCGGGCCTTAGAGGGAAGCGAGTTGGGAGAGGTCCCAGCCCGCCCCTGGCCCGGTCGGTAGGTTATAAGAGAGCAAAGGAAAAATGACAAAGGAGAATAATAATAAACACAAAACACTACCGCCGCTGCGCCACAACCGTCCAGTGATACCGGGCTGCGGACCACAGACAGGACTTTGTCGGCTCGTAAATGTTGCCCGATGCCGACGGAGGGAGAAGAGAGACGGAAGAAGCCAGCCAACCATCTGGGGAGTTACCCCCAAACGGGGATATTCTCGACATCCTCGCCGAGCCCCGAGTCGCGGTTGACCAGCTTCCCCTTGCCGTCCTCCTCCTCCTTCTTGTCCTTGACCTCGCCCTCCACCACCACCGCCGCGGTCACGGCGGCCGCGGCCGGCGGCACGATGGCGGCCATGGCGTCGCAGAACTCGCGCGGGATCCGCGGCACGAAGGGGATGCCCTGGTTCGGGTCGGGCACCACGCTCAGCGGCTCGGGTTGCGTGTCCGTAGGGCTACCGGCGGTGTTGCCGGTGCGCTGGTTGCGCGGGTGCTGCGTGCGGAAGGCGGCGGGCGGCGGGGTGATGTTTCTGTGCATTCTAGGGGCCGGGCCTACGGTGATGGTGGCAGGCTCGGGCTGCGCGCTCGTCAGCTCCGGCTCGTCGAGCATCATGGCGTCGGGGTCTGCCTCGGCGGGGGCCGTGACTGGCGCGCGCACCGGGGAGCGTCGGCGGGTAAGGCCTAGGATGCGCCGGCGGCGGCCGTCTTTGGGCTTGGTAAGTTTGCCGTACCTGGGTGACCTGGTACCGTCCATAGAAGCCCTGACTGACGGAGGGGAGGTGATGCCGCTAAAGACGGAGGACGTTGGGGAGAGCGGGCCGGGGGCGCCGCAGGAAGTTGACGGGCGAGACCTGAGCGTGCCAGAGGTGGAGTAGTAGTTGCCTCTAGCACCCGTCAACTCCATCGATAGGCGCGAGGCTGAGTGCCGCAGCTTCTTGACGAGCTTGCGGGTAACCACCTCGGCGTCGCTAGCAAGGTCCATTGACGCGCCACGCTTGGTCCCGCGCTGTGGAGAGGACAGGATGTCCGACTTTCCCCTTGACGAGCCCCTAGGCGGCGGAGGAGGAGGCATCCGTGTGGGCGATGGGACGGGCGGAGCCGGCTTTTGTTGCGCGGCCATGTGGTCAGCGAATGACCTGCCCGATGAAACGGTAGCTCCGGGCGAAGCGGCCATATGCTCGGAGAAGGACTTCCGGCTCGGCGCCGGTGACGTTTCTGGGATAGTCATGGTTTCGGCGAAGGCCTTCCCTGCAGCGCCGCCCGTCCGCAACGGGTGTCTCCCGCCCCGGATGGCATGCGCCTCGAAGAAACCCGACGCGACCAAGTTCTTGTAACTCTCCATAACCTCTTCGCGACTGGGGTATGCTGGCCCCGGCGGTGGCGGTGGTGAAGCGGCCTTCTCCTTTTCTTCTACGCCCATGAGCCGGGCCTTCTCCTTCTCGCGGTCAATCTTCTTGTCCGCAGCGCCACCGCCAACAACGGAGTTAACAACCCTCCCGATACTCCCCGACGACTTCGACTTGCTCAGGTTTAGCTTCTCCCTCACCCCATCCCACAGCGGGGCGAGGAAGCTCGTCTTCTTGACAACCCCACCCCTCTGCTGCTGCCCAGCGGCCCCAGGAGGAGCAGGAGGAGGAGCAGAAGTTAAAGCGGCCGAGGACCTAACCCAACCGGCAGTACTCCTGGGTCTGCGCAGGGCATACCTGCTAGAGGAAGTCTCCACGCCGCCCCCTCCCCTCACGGCGGTGGCAAATCCACCCCCCTTCATACGATGCCCGTCAGCAGCACGACTCCTCGCCGCATACCCCCACTCCATACCCGCATCCTCATCCTCCCAATCCGCACCCCCACTCCCACTATCAACCACCCTCAGCGAGGGTTTCTCCACCCCCATCCCCTTCACCCCCGCCGCAACCTCCACAACCTCACCCCCCTCCACCGCCCTCCCATCCCCCTCCTTCTCCTCACCACCACTAACCCCCTCCCCATCCCCATTACCCTCCCCATCCAAATCCAAATCCCCCTCCGGATCCAAAAACCCCCTCGGCGGCGCCGCCGACACGCGATCATTCATCGACCCCTCCACAAACCTACTCTGCCCCGTCGCCGCCGCAGCCGAGTACCCCCTCGGCGACAGCGGCGGGCGGGCACTAGCAGTATCCGGATGCGCGCTGGCCGGGTACTGCTGCCGCAGCAGCTGGCGGTTTGCGTGGCGCAGGCGGGATCCGCGGTCCGGGTCGGGCGAGATGGCGCCCGCGCTTAGCGCGATGGCGCTGCTGCTGCTGGTGCCTGTGACGGCGCTGGCGCTGTGGCGGTGGTGGGTGGGCCAGGGGCTGGCGCTGGTGGTGGTGGTTATGGGAGTTGAGGTGTTGGCGGTGGTGGTGAGGTTGTGGGTTTGGATGTGCAGTGGGGGGAGGGAGGTGTGTTTTGTGTGGTGGTGTATTTGGTGTTGTTGTTGTTGTTGTTGTTGTTGGAGGCGGGTGCGGAAGGAGGTTGAGGCTGGTGAGGAAGCCATCTTGAGTGGCTGTTTTTGTGGGTGTTCGGTTCGGTGGATGGCATGTACACGATGATGTCGCGGTTTTCTCTTTTTGTTGTTGTGTGTATATTGCAATGTTTAGGAGCTGTTGAAAATGCAGCTTGCAATTCAGCAGTCCTCAAACTCCACGCGCCGTGTCGCCGGCGGTGGCGCGACGATGCGGTCGGTTGGTGGGCTTGTTGGTTGTCGAAATGGCGGTTGCGGCAACGGGGAGGAGTGATGGGCCCAGGAAACGGTTTTGTTTACTTTCCCCGGCAGGCACCCACCCAGCAACCAGCAACCGAACCCAAAACGGGCAACAACGCCCAGACAAAACCGGCGCAAATCGTCCCTTTCCAGAAGGAGGATTTGCCAAAAACAGACTCGCCACACGCTCAAACTGGCAGTGCAAGCCAAATGCACTCGTTTCAAAGTTGCGCAGATGCAAGACAAACAAAGACAAGACGCGGCAAAGAGGGAAAAGAAAGGGGGTGGGCACCCGTCTGTTATTGACATTGGCCGGCCTCCCAAATGGCCCGTCCACACCCTGCCGCCTGGCCGACCGGGCAACCACCCTCCACCGGACTTCCTTCCCACACTTTTCCCACGCAACGGCCCGCTCGCAGGAACCAGGCACAGACGGCCCAATCATTCAGCACGAAGTTCAGTTGACCCCACCAACTGCGCCGCTCCGGAACCAAGGTGAAAGGGGTTAACCACCCGAAGGCTTTTTCATGAGACGGACTCGAGATTACAAAGTACCATTGTCGGTCGGACCATGTTCGGGCCACAGACACTCAGCGCATGTGAGAACCAAATGTGAGAACTAATATTCATACCAGACCAAACAGACCAAACCTATTCAAACAAAGAAAAGCCCAAAATCACATCCTGCTCGATCCTTCCCCTTTCCTTTCCTATTCCCCGGCAATAGATCCATCAATCTTCCCTCATCCAGCCAGCCAGCCATACTCCGTAGCTCACTTGTGAAGTCGCCCCAAGTAATACCGAGCTCAATCGGAGCTTTCCCCCATGCTGTATAATGTATACGAATTGTGCAAATAGAACAAGAACAAAAAACCAGAGCGACGTCCGTCGTGTATCGAGCGAGCTATCCACAACTCAAGATAAAAAGGAAACAAAAGACCCAGCAGAGAATGTATGTCGAGTGCGACGTGACCATCCATCCCAAACAAAAAACTAGTGCCAGTGTGTCGATGCCAAAGCCGAGTTGAGAAAAGCCAGGCAGACACCCCCCCTCGTGCGGTTACCAGGAAGGGGGGCGCGCCAGCAATATGCACCACAAAAAGATCAAAGCCAGCAGCAAGCCGGCACGCAAGCAAAGCCGAGTCAAAGCCAAGTCAAGCCAACCAATCGTTGACTCATACAGGCGTTTTGGAAGAGCGCGAAACAAAAATAGGGGAAAGAGCACAAAGAAGAGAATGGGAAGCGATCAACTCCCAACACCACCAACCACCACACCAACCGAAAAACCCAGAACAGCCAACCCCAACAACGCACATACCCACCACTTCCTTCGCAGCCCCTCGACTTTTAATACGGCAACAAAGCACCATAACTCCGGCTGCCATCGGCACGCGCAAAGGCCATGGGCATCTCGTCGCGGGCAATGTCCTCCGAGGTGCCCTTGTCGCGGGCGCCGTTCTGGAAGCGCCCGCGCTCCGGCTCGTACCAGAACGACTCGTCGTGCGCCCGCTTGGTGCCGGCGTACGTCGTCGGCGGCGGCAGCGTGGCCGGGTGCACGGGGCCCTTGCCGGTGCTGGTGTTGTTGCTGTTGGTGGCGCTCTGGATGAGCGGCGCGAGCGGGGCGAGGTGGCGTGGGGTGTTGTTGTTGTTGGACGTCGGGCTCGACATGGGCACCGGGTGGCGGTTGTTGTTGCCGTCGATCCGGAGAGGCGGGAGGACCTGCGGCGGCTGCGGCGCCTGTGGTGGCAGCATGTGGGACTGCTTCGGCGTCGGCGGGTGGAAGGGCGGGGGAGGCAGCGGTGGGAGTTGTACGGGGCCGGACGGGCGGTAGTCGTGGTGGATGCTCTCACGGCGAGGCGGCGCCGGGTTGATCGGGGCATACCCGGACTGGGAAGGCGTCCGCTCTCTGCTGTGCGGCTTCGGCGCAGGCGGCGGCGGCGGTGGAGGGTATGAGGCCTGCATTTGGTAGGGAGCGGCCTGGGTGGGCGGGTACACAGGCGACGCAGGGACCGACGGCGGCTGCGCAAACGGCTGCGGCGGGGCAGCAGGGTACTGCGAGCTGGCGTTTCCACCCAGGAACCCCAGATGGCCACCAGATGGCGGGTTCTGCGCATACTGCGACGGGTAATCGGCCATCGACGGACGGCGCTGGGGGTCAGCCGAATACGGGGTGCGTTCTGTGCTCCCGCTCATCGACCGCGCGCGGGCGGCAAAGTCGTTGTTGCGGTTATCGGGCGTCGCCGTTCTCCTCCTGCGGTTGTACTCCTCCTCGGCGTTGTCGTAGTCTCCAGCACCCTTGCCATCGCGGCGCCTCATCCTCACGTCACGGCGAATGCGCACGCGACATCCCTGCTCCGCAACAACACGGCTGAGCGCCGTGCTCTCGGCCAGACCGGGGAACTTCTTAGCACTGTAAACGATGAAGTCCTGCGACTTGACCTCCATGCGGAAATCAAACGAGCCTCCCGTGGCGGGGCTCAGGCCGGTAAGAGGCGGCTGGCTCTCGACATCGCGCTCCTTGTCCTTGTCCTTGTCTTCCTTGGTCTCCTCGTACAGGTTGAAGGTCAGCTTGTACCGGCCCTCGTGCCTTACCGAGAGATCTGGGAAGAGGAAATAACCAGCCTCCTGCGGCCGGTCCAGATACGCCATGCCGGAAACGGGCATACCGGTCAGCACAGGCGGCGTGTTAGCCGAAGACGCCGAGCCGCGAGCATGGGCCATGATCCGAGCATGCTCGAGCGTGGCGAACAGGAAGAAGTTGGCATTGTAGACGAAAGTGATGTCCTTCTCCTGTGCCTGGTCCCACGTTTGGCCTTCGTAGATGCGCAGCTCCACAACGGGAGGCGGGTCAACAGGGCGACGGTCGGCGGATGCTAAATGCACGCTGTCAGAACTTGGATCGGACGAGATGAATATCGAATCCACTTACACTTCGGACCAGAGCCACAGGCTCTCGCACGCTCCGGCTGCTGGATCACCCTCATGCGGTACCATAGCCTCCGGCCGCCCTTGGTGTCTCTGGAAGTGATGGAAGCATCCATGGTGTGGCCGCCAGTTTCGAGTGCCGACATGGCGTGAGCCGCCGAGGCGAGTATCGGAGCGCCCATCTTGTGAAATATTCGATCCCAATTTAAAACGACGGAACCACCAGATTTATCCGATGTTTATCAAGTGCTAGAGGCTGCGTTAGCGATGCTGCATCTCAAACACGTGTGCGATGCACGAGTTTGATCGTGCGTTTGTCGGACCTGAGCCCGAGAATGGGGCAAAGGGCGTGGAATGACAGGATATGTGCGCAGCACTTACATCGCGATGCAGGGAATCGCCCGTCACAGCACGGATGCCTTTCGGAAGGCCGAACAAACAATTCACAATCGGCAGCCCCAGAGTCCCGAGTACCACAAGAAGCAGCGAAACAAGTCCCAATCGTGCGACGTCCCGATTACACGCTGGCGGGTGCGAGTGCGTGATTCGCTTGGCGATTCGGACGAAATGGCGGAATCGATATTTTCGGGGGACCGCGTATCGGCACGGTTTAACAAGAGGAAACCGAGAGTCGAGGGAGAAAACGACTCATCAATCGTTTGTATGACGATCGAATGTCGGTTGGAAAGGTTGTTGGTTGACCGAGAGGGGGGGCGAGCGTGTGGAGAGAGGGAGGACCCAGCGGTTCCAGAAACCAGAGTGACGGGAAAGCTGAAAAAGCACGGTCGGACCCGACGGTCTGTTATTGGGTGGGTGACAGGTTGTGGCAGCGTTGCGTGGTTCGTCTCAGCCAGTGGACCGGTATTTCCTGCCGCTGTCCGATCGTCCGGTTCGGTTTCCCAACGCTCTTCTTTTTCTTCTTCTTCTTCCTCGTTTCCTCTTCGCAACTTGTCGAGAAAGTCGCGCCGCGTTTCCTTTCGCGATGTGGAGGTCGAGGAGAGAAGGGAAGGGGTTTCGAAAGTTCGGCACGCAGGATGCAGGAGACGGGGTGAGAGAGAGAAAAGAGCAACCAAACCCGGCCCTGGCTGGGATGTGCAGAGCGAGGCAGGGGATTGGAAATGAGGGCGGGCGCAATGTCACAGCACAGCGGGTGCAGGGCAGGGCAGGTGCATCCATCTTGCAGTGGAGAGGTCGGCCGACCCCCAGTCGCGGTGATCATTCCGCCCGTCTGTGTCTGTTGCGGGGGCACAGTCAGCAGGAGGTAGTTTTTACACTGTGTGAGATGGGATTCCTCGATTTGGTCATCTCGTCCTGGCTGGCCCAACAAAACCCGGTGGGTGGGCGGCTGCGCCAGTGAGTGGCCGAGACGGATTCCCGGCCCAGCGGGAAGGGGACCTAGGCCGTGAAGAAGCACAGTGCAGCACCGCACCACACGACCGCACCCTTGGGGATAGGCTTCCTTTCCGGGACTAATGCCGTCCTCTCCGCCACTCGGGGGTCCTGCAGAGCTGCTTCCCGTTGGTCAGCCGGTGCATGGCCCCATATTTCTGATCCAGGGTTCAGGTTCTGCCGTCAGTTCTGCCCAGGCCAGGCCATGCCCCAAACGGTTTGTGCGAACCATGGAACCCCCGACCCGAGATCAAAGACGCTGGCTCGGCTGGGCCCTGACCGTTTCAATCGCCCCGCTGCAGACCCCAGAGCGACGGGACCGATCGTTTGTGCGATTGAGCTTTGTCTTTGACCCGCTTCTTGATTGTTGAAGGTTGACCGAAGGAAAGAAAAAAGAAAAATGGATGGGAAAAATGAGAATCGTTTTGGTGCGATGTTTCAACGAGGACGACGACAAAATCCGACAATGGCCACCGAGTCCTTGGACTCATCCACCCTTGCAACGCCCCCGACTCTCGGTTGGGTCAAGCCGGGCACATGGACGCAGAGTTTGGTTCAATCACACGGCGTCAGTCACGCCTAGCCAGCCACCATTCCGCAAAAACCAACCCGGCCCAGGGGCCCGTCTCAGCGTCTGCCGTGCGCGCCTGCAAACACCCGGTTGGCTGCTGGCCGAAGAACGGCCGTGGGATTCTAGGGAGCTTCTGCGCAGTATTAAAACACCTTGGCGAGAAGGTTTGCTTTCCGTCATTTGTCTCTTGCAGAAAAATACTTGGTACAGATCCGTGCTCCGTCCTGTAGTCCAGTACAGATTACTCTGTTGACATGGCTGAAAAGCTAAGTCATGCGTTGCGGGATGGTGTCCTCATGATGCCAAGGGCCGCAAAAAAAAAAAGGGAGCTCGCGGTTTGGCACGAGATCGGGGTGCTGCGTGCAGCAGGAGTCGAAGCCCGGAATCGAAGAAGCTCCGAGGTGTGCCGATCGCATCCTCCCCCCCATCCTCCCCCCCCCCCCCCCCCCCCCCAGCTCCTTTTCCGGCATAGCCGGCGCTGTTAACTCTGTCCCTAACTGTTTCCCGTTAAGCGCCCTAGCGCCTGGAATCGATCGGGTTCTTGGTGGATTGAAAGCTGCTGCAAGATCTCAAACAAGGTCGGCCGGGATTCCCGGGCCACCTTTTGTGTCCTCACAGTCGCGCACACAAAGCGACCAGCGCTCGGGGGACAGTTTTGCTCGTCATGCGCCGAGGAGCGCCGAGGGCGCTTCGTACTGCCCTTGGATCATGCCCGACCACTGAGCTTTGAGGTCGCACTTCATCCGAGCCGTGGGCATTCTATTGTTGGCGACTCTAAAAGGAGTCTCAGCTGCTGAAAGTGGTGAGAAGAAAGGCGGCCGCGGTAGCGGCAGCGGTAGCGGCACAGCCATGCTGGGGCTGAGCTGGGAGTGGGGGTTGGAGTGTAGGTAGCTTGTGGGACATAAGCTGGAGTTGCCATCTCGGGATATCCTCAGCTCTGGCGCAGCCACTGGTTTTGAAATCGTGAATCAAGCCCACTCCTGATGTTTTGAGGAACAGAACGCCGTACCACTACGACTCAACTGTACAGTAATTTACCTACCCCAAAATGGCCGGCTCGGAATCAGGTTCCGACAAGGGAGGGCAATCCAAGCGCAAGAGAATGAAGTCGCTGTTGTAAGTCGCCACACACACTCCACACGAAGAGATATCTTGGGGGGCGCAGATGCGCCTGCATAACTACCATGGCAGTAGTTGTTAACCGCCCTACTAGCAAAACGGGCTTCTCGCGCGGAAAAGACGAACTTGTCAAGGGCCGAATCGTGCTCGAGCACTCGCTCGGGCTGGGACACAAACCAAATATTGTCCCGCCGGGGGAGCCCCGCACCAACCAGCGGGCCCGGACGGTCGAGATCGGGTGGCACCCGGTGGGCGGGACGGCAGGCAAGTGGTTCGCGGAGCGGACCAAGCTCGGGGCGTGGATCACGGAGAAGGTGCACAAGTATCCGGACCCGTCGCAGCACTGGGCGGTGCTGGTGGGGGACTACTGCCACGAGCTGTGGATGGACGAGAACCTCGACATCATCTACGTGAACGGGCGGGTGGACGCGGAGGAGTGGCGGACGTTCCGGGTGGGCGAGACGCGCTTCAACGACGAGGCGCTGCGGCAGGCGGGCGAGATGGTCATCTACGCGATGCGGCAGAAGAAGGCGGCGTATAACCTCATCAGCAACAACTGCCAGAACTTTGCGCTTCTCATGCTCGACGCCATCCAGCTCGGCGCGGCGGAGCGGACCGAGTTCGCCACGACGCTCGCCGTGGTGCAGACGGCGACGGGGTCGGGCAAGGTACGCGATCTGTTCGCTGAGACGCAGTCGAATGAGCAGCAGGCGGCGCTGGAGCAGGCCGACAAGAACAATCCTATTGTGGCGTTGGCAAAGAGGTTGATGGATGAGCATACCAATAAGCTAGACAGTCACCACCAAGCTCGGTGATGGCATCCAGGGCACCCACACATGCACGACATACTAGATGAGAGAGAAAGGGAGGGTCGAGAGGATATGTGCAGGCACACTCGCACTGTGGCTGCGTGGTCCGGGGAAGTGGAATGAGCAAGCACAGTGCAAGCCCTCCAGAGCTAACGTAATAATGTTTTTTACATAAGATGACAACGACGTCGATTTTACCTTGAAGTTTCTCTAGTGACGGAAAATGCCGACCACCACTCGGCCCATGATCTCGCTTCGACAACAAAGCCATGACGTGGCTTTTCCCGCCTCCGACAATCATCGGAGCGCATCGACCCGGAACCATGCCTGTGGGTTCTTTTTATCTCGCGAGTTCCGGTCAGGCCATGCGGAGGCAAATGGTTCGATTCCGGGTCCAGATTCTTGGGCGCTTTGTTCATTGCCAGCTCCCCGGAACCTAAACCCAACCCCTCGGCACCGAAAGCCCAACAGCCGACAAGACCTAACTAGGTACATAACTATTTTTTCATCTCCAGATAACCGCTTGCAGGTCAACCTGTATTTTAGATGTTTTTGCCTCCCCCAGGTTGTGCTTTGCTGCTTTCCACCTATCGAGCCTTCCTCTCCGGGTTTTGACACGGAACCAGAAAGGTGCCCCCACCGTGTAGGACCTCCACCTACTGTGTAGGCCTCCTCTCGACTGCAGTAAATGACGGGAGTCCGAGCCCGAGTCTTGCAAACTGCACATTACAGCCCACCACCAAGCAAGCAGACCACTACCGGTGCACACCATTCAGCCTGAACCGACGGAGCAAACCTCCATGTTATTCCCATCCCGAGACCTGAGCACACCTCACGTTTACCCCCACCCATCTTCGAAACAGTATTCTGTAGACAAGGCCGATTTTCCATCGCTAAGCACCGGCAGTTTCCCGCCGCGTATGTACAGACCAGGGGATTCTCTCAACGGTCGAGAAGTCATGCCGGTGATTTATCGAAACTGCAATGTGATCTGGTCGGAAAACGTGGCATCGAAACGCACGCGCGCACGCGCACCCATCACACCACGCCGTCCCCTTTCTTTTTCTTAAATGAGAAACAGCAAATTGCCTGCGTCTGTTGCCCATCTGGACATGCGAGCGCCAACAACCGGAATCTGCATGCTGCATTGCTACCCTGTGGCTGATCTCGCTGCATCAATAATCTATTCCGAAGGTGGGGGTCAGGGGGGGGGTTGTGTTCCGCTGTACTGTGTCTGCTGGCTGGTGATGTTGGGGTACACCGGAAGAGGCGGGCACACGATACATCAGAGGCTTCCTCAAAAACAGCATGCAGCTCCATCCAGCTGGCCCTGTCGGATCCGTCCCTCGGTGCCCCTCGGTGCCCCTCGCCGACGCACAACCACGCCGTGGCCAGACACCCGACCTGCCGACTTGCTTGCGGCGCAGTTGTGTGCTGTGGGCTATGTACGAGGTAAACTCGGAGCAGCGTAACACGGCACAGGCACGGGATGATTCTGTGGTTTCCCCCGGTTTGAAGCTCCGGCATTATGTGCCGTGCTGCGTTACCACGAACCGACGAGTCATTCCAATATGGTCTGCTGGCAGCATTGCTCGTCCCGTATCTCCATGAAGGGCCCCCGATCCGATGGCATAGTACATACGTCCCCCTCCGCAAACGGAGAGATAGCCTATCAGTATCAGGGCCTGGCCGGCCGAGAGACGACCAACGGGTCCATCCCGTCACATGCCGTCGGCAATGCAAGTGGCCGCGTCTTTTTCCCGGCCAACGGCATCTTGGAAACAACCTCTTCGTGCGCACCCGTGCCGAGGACTTGGATGTGGCTTGCTGTTGCCGTAGCGTCCCGTGTTTCACACAGAGTGTTCTCCTCGACGACCCCCTGAGCCAGACAAGCCGGCACGGAGCAAAGTCTGTGTACCGAGTGTGCCCAGCTACATCTATTTATTCACGAGATAAATGCTTCCGCTCCGTGCCCAGTGCAGGGTCGTCATTTAGGCGCCTGCTTGGTAAAGAGCAGCACGCCCGTCACAAATCACTTCACCAAGGTCAAGTAAGAAACAGCTCAAATATCGCCTTTAGTGTGACAAGGAAGGTGATCAGGTTAATGACAACCTGGCCTGCATGTGCCGCACCTTGCGGGCGGGAGCCACGTTGATTCTTTACCGTATACGCAATCTACTCTGACTCGAAAGCTCACCGTCCAACCTTCGCACACTGAGCCTCCCACCCAGCCCCCCTCGTCACCAGGGCAAGAAGAAAAAGGCAAGAGGACGTACCAGCACCTCACCGAGCACCCCTTGCGGGAGATGTGCGCGTACATAACACAGCAGCCTCGCCAGGGCCTAGACGAGACGACACCCGTGAGTGCGCCGGGCGACGGAAAAGAAAACAGGCTTTCGTGTCCCCAGGCCACAGAAGACAACAAAACTACCCCCTCTCGCCCTCGCCCCTCCCCAGTACAACTATGTGCAAGTCACACAGCAATCCCAACAATTCCCAGGACCAGTGGTCTGGGGAAGGGGTTTAGCTCGCACCGCATTTACATAGCACATAGCTGGCCTTGCCCCCGGGAACGCCACACCTTGTTTTTTGATGCTCGATTTGTCGGGTGATACTACTTTAATTCGGTAGTGGTGGTGGGTGGGTGGTATTACCTTCTGCTTGTGACATCCCCACGTCGTCACCAGGCAAGCTGTGGCGGCTTTCTCCTTTTTCACATACCCTGCCGTGCATTCCTCCCTTTAGTTCCTCCTCGTAGCCGTTTTCTCATTTCTGTGTCGCCTCGTTGGGGGCGGCGGGGGTAAGGTTAGATAAGGGAGGCGGCCGAGGGAGTGGGTTATGGGATGTGAGATAGCAACTGGATAGAGAGGGAGAGATAGAAAGAAAGCACTACGTTATGGCGAGAAGTGTAAGGCTTGTTATACAGAGTGTTTGCCAGTTGACCCAACCTCAACTCCTTCTATCGACAACGAAACAGTCGGTGCAGAAATAGCAAACCGTAGATCTCGTCGATAAAAGCCCAGCGCTACTTCTGTAACGCTATCAAATAGCCTCAAAAACATTTATATACAAGAAGCCATGAATGACTAGATTCCCAAGACGACGTCGCTAACACCCCTTCCCTCCCCAAGGCAGACCCCATCCACCCAACGTCCCATCCCCATACGCGACCATTAGGAAACCCACTCGTCTGTCTAGACACGTTCAAGATACAGCAACATACCAGCCATCAAAGCACACAACCTCCAATACCCGTAACCGCCGAGTGATAGCGGCCCACCGCTCTAACCCTGCACGAGAGACACCCCTACGTCTCGTAGCGTTGGTCTGAAAAAAATAAATCGTGCATCCATCCACAAAAGGAACCCCCCCCGTATCCCTTCACACGCCGGCGCCTCTAGCTACCTTCGAGCTCGCGCCCCAGGTTTATGGAGAAAAAAAGTTTAGAGCAATACATAAGCCTCCCGCCTCCTCCTCAAACAGTAACAGAAAAAAAACACCCTACACCGCCGCAGCGGTAAGCCCCCCGGGAACGCCCGCCACATGCTACACGCCGGCAGCAGGAACAGCCAGACGTACCCCAACCTGGGCCCTCGAAACAACCGAGACCGGGATGCGGGTCGTCCCGACAAAGCCCGGCATGCCGTGGTAGGCCATGGCACCGATCATGAGGATGAGCAGTGGAATCTAGCGAGATTTGTTAGCGGATAAATATGGAAAACGCAGCGGGGGGGACATACCCAGATAAAGAACAGGTTCCGGTCCCAGCTCAACTTCTTGAGATTCTGCGCGTGTGCTCGCCGGAGCGTGTCCTGCTGCTCGCGGGTGATGGCATCCTTGCGGCCGATCTGCAAGAGTGCGGGGATCTCCTGGCCCTCCGACTCCTCGCCATTGTCCTCCACGATGGCGGCGGTAGTTTCGGCGCTTGCCGAGGCCGACGTCTCCGCCTGATCGAACAGAGTGGCGCATTTGGAGTCTGCCGCGGCGTCGACGGCTGCTTGGGCGGCGGACGATCGTTTCGTGTCTAGGTCGCCTTGGTGAGGGAAGAGCTCGTCGTAGGCTGGCGGCGGTGCCGTGGCCTTGGTGGCGAAGGGTGACAGGTATTGCCAGGTGCTCTCAGTGCCTCTGTTCGGGGCTCCGTCCTCACCCGGCCCTGGTCTGGGGCCGCCAATCATGGTCGCGAGCCGCTGCAAAACCTGGTTTTGGTACTCCGGCAGCGGGGGCATGTTGGGGATCTGGGGGAAGTTGGGCAGCTGCGCGAACTGGGGGAACTGGGGCAACTGGGGAAGTTGGGGGAGCTGCGGCAGCTGCGGCAGATATTGTAGGTGCGGCTCCATCCTCTGATGGAGCTGCTGGAACTGAGCCGCAACTTGCTCCTTGATCGCACCCATAAGAGCGCCCGTTGCATCGGTACCTCGGCGACGGGGACGAGACGGACTCCTCGTACGCGCGGGGGTGTTGACAGCGCTCTTGCGACGGATGCGAAGATCCGCCGGATCAGTAGCTCTGGTCTCCTCAGCAAGATCCGAGGAATAAGCTTCCGAGTACTCTTCTGAGCTTTCCGTCTCAGGTCCGGGTTCATCGCTCGACGTATCAGCGATTTCTTGGGATACAGCCGCCCGAATTGACTTGAAGCTCGCGACACTGTTGACGCGGCTATGCGACGAGCTGTCACTTTGCGATCGTCGATGCTGCTCGAAGCGGTGGATGATGCGCACAACCTCCCTTGACTTGGCGACATCAACAGCCGTCAGGCCTGACAAGGTCCGCAATGTCGAATCTGCCCCGTGGGCAATCAGGAGCCGGACAATCTGGGTGTGGTTGCTCATGGACGCCATGTGTAATGCCGTGTAGCCGCCGTTGTCGCGCGGGTCTGGATTCGCGCCTCGCGCCAGAAGACCAGCAACGAAACGGTGTAGACCCATCTTGCAAGCCAGATGCAGCATGGTTTGGCCCGTTATCCTCCGCCTGAGGTTGAGCCGCGGCTTCCGGGTGCTGTTGCTGAGGTCCATCAGCTCCATGAGCTTGAGGAGATGGTTCTCAAAGTTGTCCATGGCATGATTGGAAGAGCCCTCTACGCCGGACATGTCGCCACCACCCGAGGGGTAACCGTTCGAAGATTCCTTGATAATCCGGCGGGCAAATTCGGTCGGGTCCTCATATCCGCCCGTCATCTTGTTGCCGAGGATCATCAGTGCCGTGCGAAGGAGCTGCTGCTCGCTATCATCCACGTATCGGAACCACTGAGGGCCCAGGTTCAGGCCCCTGATGGTGACAGGCACCATGCCAGCCATCTCGGATGGAGGCAGCAGGCACACCAGACTTTCTGATGACCAGTACATGGTCCCCGGCGCTTGCTTGTCGCCAAACATGACCTGCATGCCAGCTTCGAATCCTTGGCCCATCAATGTGACCTCGATACCGCCAGTGACGGGCCCTTCGCCGGGGATGACCTTGAAAATAGCCCTTTGCGTCTGGGGCTGTTGGTTCCTCCCTTGGCCCGGGGTAGCGTGCGGTGCGTTCCGGGGAGCGGCGGGGGAAGTAGCCGAAGAGACAGCAGGATTATGCCGCGCTGATGAAGGTGGGCCAAACATAGACATGGCCAAGTTGGCCAGGCTAGGCGTCCTGCTCGGGTTGGGCGAAAGAAGCTGGCTATTGTTGCCGCCTGGGAGTGGGTTATTCCCGAACGGATTTGTCGATGCCTCAGACATGGTAGGGCCGGGGCCAAACAATTGCAGCTCGGCGGGTGGCGGGAACGATGGGGGAGGTGTCGGGGAAAACGACGACGATGCCGGCGTGATCATGTTCGAACCCGTAGAAGGAGGCATCCGGGGAGCGGACAAAAACGATGTATCGAGCGGCGTCATGGCCAAGTCACTAGGTATTTTTGACGTCGAGTTGTTGGCTCTCCGCCGTTTCGCTGGTCCAGTAGAGAACGAAGGGGACGCCGGGCGGGAGAGGTGTTGAGCGGTCAAAGATGGCTGAAGTTGCTCCGGCGGCACTGCCGAGATCGGCGTCGAGCTCGAAGAGCTCCTTCTCGCGGCCTGCAGGTCTAGGCTTGGGGATGACTCCAAGGAAGGCCCAGGGCCCGGAGCGACCTGCAAGGGAAGCTCTTCTCGTGGGGTGAGCAGTGTGGCCGGCACCCCGGGAGCGGGCTTGGAAACGGGATTGGGGCTTGTCGTCTTGTGATCGTCGGTGATCATGATGGATTCTGACATGGTCTGAGCGACGAGCTTGCCGAGATGGTCGGTCAGGGTGAAGATGATCTGGAACCCCTGCTTTTCGGCGTGGTGTCGACAGTAACAGGCAATCCTCATAGGCGCCTCCACCTGCCAATACCTCCGGGAACCGGTCTCGGGGTGGTTCTGCAAGGCCCACTCCTTGACCTCCTGCGTGTTGAAGACGATTACTCGCCTCGCCTCGTCCTGCCTCCAAGCCTCTTCGTCCTGTGGGTGCTTCGACTTCTTACGACCCGCACGTTTCCGTTCCCTGCCTATGCAATTCTCGCAGATTTGCACCTCGCCCCCCTCTTGCGTCTTCACCTCTTCGCCCTCCTCCTCCGACTTTGCGTTGTCTTGTTTCTTGCGCAGTCCTGCAGCTTTCTGCGCCCGCTGAAGGGCCGCCGTTCTTTGCTGCTGTACCTGCATCGCGCTCGTGCAAACAAGCATTGCGTGTAGCTCGAGAGTGTCCGGGGACGGTTGCGGTGGCGGTTTCGTCCAGAATTTGGGCTTGCTGATCGTGTGCTTGGGAAGATGAACTTTTGTGGCCCCGAGCGGGAGTTGGGGGAGCCTGAGCTTGATCGTGATCTGCGTTTCGACTCGGGATTTGGTGTTGGTGGCACCAACTTCTAACGTGTACGGTCCGGGGCCGTATGGCTGATAGTCAACAGGTAATTGTGTGGGCATGTGCGTGTTGTTGTGGAAGAACGGGCCCCCCGCGGCGAGCTGGCCCGCGTTTGGATATATGGCGTCCATGAACCCAGCCATGCTTGTCGAACCGGCGCCTGCCTCCTGTGAGCCGTGAAATTCGTACTTTACCGCCGCCGGCGGTTGGGAAGGGCGCATACACAACGGCCCTTCGGATGTCGCCTCCGGTCGCAGCCCCGGGGGTTTGAATGTGAATGGCTTCCGGCTGGTTAGCGTGCGACAAGCTGCGGTTGCCTCGCGCAGACTTACCAGGTAGCTCTCATCGCCAGACGGCGGAGAGGCCATCGTAGCGTCGGGAGATAGCGCGGTGAGAGCGGACCCGAACGGACTAGGACTGTCCATTGGGCTTTGCATCCGGGACTGCGCGGCGGTACGCCCATTTAAGAACTCGAATGTTTGCCCCCCCATAGGGAACACGCTGGCGTCGGTCCCTGGGAATGCGTCCGCCATCATGTCCCAATCCGTCTTGCCATTGGCGCCACCATCCATCCGCAAATCGCCCGCCGTTAGTTGTGTTAGGGCTGTGGTTGACGTCCGCTTCGAAGACGTCGAGTCAAATGTGGACCCGTGATGACCATTCCTAGAGCGCGAGCCCGCGCTCACAAGCCCGAGGGCTTCCGACGGGGAACCACAATCTTGCGGGGCATCCGGCATGGCGTGAAATGAATCGGCGCCGGAGCTGTGCGGGCGGTGAGGCCGGGGGCTGGCAACATCGGATTCGAGCAGGTCGGGAAGCGGACTCCCTTCATCGGAATCGATAAACTCGTTCGCGAAGTGCGACTCGTTGATGTAATGCGATATGTCGAAGTCGGACTCGCATTGTGCTGAGCCGGCCATTTTTTGTTGGGAGTGGCCGACCGACTGGGAATATTGGTGGGATTGATGCAACGCAGGCCGTGTCGGAGGCGGCGACAGAGCGAAAGGAAAATAAATGGAGGTAGAATTGACGCAGGGTCGGTTAAAGCGACTCCGGCAACTACTGCGGCATGTTTGTTATATCTGGGCTAGAATTGAATGAGAGATGGGCTGGAGAAGGTCGGGTACCGATAAAAAAGCAAAAGCTGGATGAAAAGTGCCGTTCCTTCCTCCCCGCGGTAAGGAAAATGGCGACCAAGAGGCCAAGGTAATCTCGGGTCACTTCAGAACCCAAAGGTTGAGCAGGGCCACGCAACAGGCTGTCCAGGGACTAGCGCCGGGGGTGGGTGTCCGATGCCCAGCCAGAGATGCATCATGCACTTCCTCCGACACAGCTACATTACCGTGCTTATGTAAATAACGGGGACCAATTCCCAAGCCCTACCGGCTTGGTGGGAAGCGATGCCCCTATGCACGGACACCCGCGGGTTCCTGGTCGCGCTGGTTCATCGTCCGTTGGGGCTAATTGCATATTCGGAGCGAGAACAGGCGCGCAATGCATGCCACAAACCAACCTCGGTTTCCCGCACTTGGGATTTCAATCTACAGATCTGTACTGTGTATGGATGCATGTATAATTAGACCGATACACGAACAAGCGTCACAGAATGCCAGCGATTCTGCGACGATGGCGGTGAGCTGGTTGCCCTGCGCATTCCCGCCACATCACCACCAGCCACCCAATTGCCATGAAGCCCACGCAAAACGTGATCAAGCGGTGGGTGTTTTTCTCCTTGGCCGTTGTTGAAGATCGGGCCTATTTCTTATTTAATATTGCCAGTGGCTAGCTGGCTACAGTCTTAAATTTATTTACCTCAAGAAAAAAGCACTTGGGCACTTCAAGTTCACAAACCACCATCTGATGATGCCAGGCACGAACGAGATCCATCCGATTTTATCACGAAAGGCTAGACACCGGACGGGGGAATTCGCCACGAGATTGCGGACAACGCTAAATTAGTGCATCCGTCTTGACAGCTGGAGCGGAGCATGCCTGGATGCAGTCCCAATGGCGAGTCGTGCGTGTCCAAAATGCCCACCGACAAGAGCACATCTCTCCACCAAAAGAGGGGCGAGACTTTGCTTAATCCCCCTGGATTCGGAAACATCGTCGTCGAGGAGAGAATGAGGGCGAGTCGAAAATCATATTCATTTATCTCGTTAATACTAATTCGTAAGATAATCTTCACACTTAAAACAAGTGGCCCTGGAAGTGGAAACGCATCGAAGTCTAGTTAGTCCGGTTCCGCGTCGTCATCGAGGTCTTCGACTCCTCATTGCCAACGGCGGTCCGCCCGCCCTTGGCAGGGTTATTGCCCAGAAGGACCAGGGCTGGCTGCCACCTGCGCACCAGCGGCTGACAGTTCGTCAGGAAACCGAACCGTCCGGCCAGCAGACGGCACTGAGCCCTCAACTACCACCTCTTGCCCGAGTCCCAGTATATCGGTCGAGGAGTCCTTGTTGGTGTCTAGTAGGTCATCTCGACTAGGCGCCGCTTCCACCTGCACTTCCCGGCGTCTGGGGATAATGGAGCCACCGATTCTGAAAATGGAACGCCTAGTCCCCTCTCCGGGTTGATTCCCCGACTCCCCTCCCGGTTGCTGGCGGAGGCTGAAAGAAGTAACCCTGCTACCAAGTGAGAAAGGGGTTACGCTGTCCGGGGTGTCGCTGGAGGGCGATAAGACAGAACGGGAGAGCGTCTTGGGAAGATAGAAACCCAGTTTTCCCAATGGAATGCTGAGCCCATGAACAACCTATGCACCGCATCAGCAACCGTGAATCCAAGGGGGGCAACCTTCCTTCACTTACGATACTGCAAATAGCAATAAACCACACCACCACAATCACCGCCTCGGGTAGCGCCTTGACATCCTCCCTCGCCTCACCGTTTCTATCCAGAGTATGAAGGAACTCCAGCGTGACGTAGAGGTAAAATATGGCCGACACGCCCACGGGGCCGAAGAAGCCCACGAAGACGGCCTGCCGCGCCTCCTCGATCTGCGGGATGAACTTGTGGATCGCATACACCCACGGCAGGCGGCGGAACAGCAGCACCAGCACGCCGAGGGCAACCAGCCTCCCGAGCGGCACGACCTCGTTGTGCAGGAACAGGTCCCACGGGCACACGGCGCCGTACCACATGAAGACGGACACGTTCAGCAGCATGTCGATGGTCGGCTGCAGCGAGTCGTCGAGGGTCTCGAGGCGGAACCAGTCGTCCCAGGTGAAGACGTTGCCGGCCACGAAGCAGGCGAGCACGTCGTCGCTGCCGATCATGCCGCACGTGCCGACGATGAAGAGCGCGAGCGAGACGGCAAAGACCAGGAAGCTCTCGCGGTCGACGAACCGCCGCTCCTCGGCCCAGTGCAGCAGCTCCTTGGCCACCCAGCCCACCGCCGCGCCGTACGCCACGCTCAGCAGGATGACGTACCCCCACGTCTCGCCGAACCACAGCCCCATCGCCACGCGCGCGCCGCCCTCCCCCGGCGTCGACCCCTCCCCGACGTACTTGATCAGGTACAGGCCAAAGAACAGGAACGGGTACCCCAGCCCGTCGTTGGCGCCCGACTCGGCGATGATGATCTTCTGCAGCTCCTTGGGCACGTTGTGGTCGGCAAACTTCCCCTTGACGATCACGGCGGACAGCACGGGGTCGGTCGGGGTGACGCACGAGCCGATGGCGAGGGCGTGCAGCAGCGGGATTCCGGGGACGAGGGCCCAGACCAGCAGGCTGGTGGCGAGCCACATGGCGGCCATGATGGGCCCGACGAGCAGGGCCAGCGGCCTCCACTGCTTCTGCAGGTAGCGGCTGGGCAGCTGGACGCCGGCGAGCACGAGCTGGACGCCGAGCACCAGGCGCGAGAAGGCCAGCGTGATGGCCGCGAGGTTCTCCTCGGACCCGAGCGCGTACTCGAGCGGCCGGATGAAGTTGGCCGCGCGCGGGGAGAAGGCGACGCCCGCTAGGAGGGAGATGACTTTGTTTTGAGAGAGATTATTAATTTTGGGTTTTTTCTTTTGGTCCGTGGAGAGGGCGGGTTACATACGGGCCTCGGAGAGGTAGAAGCTCTCTTTGCAGAGGTAGGAAACTAGACCGAAGAGCGACACCCATCCCCCCAGCACGCTGAGGATGATGTTGAAGTTGGTGGGTGCCAACACCGGCATCTTGACTGGCTCGCAACCAACGGTTGCAGGTCAGATTCAAATTATAGAAATCTCGGGCGTGTTGATGCCTTTATCGGGACGATTTCCCATTGGCGTTGCTTTCCGACTATCGGTGTTGAAGAAAGTACCAGTCTCAAGCCCGTGTTATTGAATCATGGGCATCGAGCAATCGCGAATGCGGCGGGTCAGCAACATAGGGCAGGGCGTTGGCAAGGCTTCTTGCCACGTTCTAAGTATATATGTAAAACTGTTCAGCCTGGACAATGGTGACCATGGGTAAGACGAGAGAGGGGTGAATGGCTGGGCAGAGGAAGTGTTTGCAGCTGGTAACCTAAAGTGTACTTGTATTGTGTAAGCGAGCGCTAAAAGCCTCAAACTGACCAAGTTTTTGACCAAGTTTCCCGGACAGTTGGGATGAGGGGACATTGGGGGGGTCACTTGAGATAAGGGGGGGCACGTGGGAGGGGATGGCCGAATCAACGACTTGCGGATTCCATCGGCGAGCTGGGGTTGACCCACACACTGTGCAGGCTGCTCGAGGCTTAGGTTGGGGCTATCGCTAGCTCGTTGGTGGTTGATCGAGTCAGAAGATGCTACGGGAGTCGTTGACACTAATACGCGGTTTAAAGTTAAAGAAAGCTCTTGCAACAGTACACAGTAAAAGCTGCCATGCCCCTCTCCACTGGTTCTCGAATCACAAGCTTTCTGGCCAAGCTCAGCCAAGACATTTTAAAGCTTAATTGTTTGTGGTTCCAGCCTGTGACATCAGTGGTTGATCGATGTCCAGGGGCTTGCGGAGGCGGGCAAGGGGAGCCGAGGATTGCCGCGTGGGGGTATCCATTGTTTTCATCTCGTTGTGAGAAGGGTCTCGTAAATAACCGTTTCCAAGATTTGTTGACGTACCTATCGATCTCACTATTGTCAAGGACCTGAATTCGGCTTCGCAAGATGCATGATATTCGCCAACGCCATCTAATCCCTACAATGCACCTCTTAACAGCCCAATAATCTGTTACATATCCGGCAACGCCAGGCTTGCGATGACTGCTTTTCTAACGCCCGCCTCGAGTATCCCCGTTGCTCAAAAGATGTTGCGCCATACTGCCAATCCGACGAGAGGACTACCTAACTCCTCCGGCTTATGCTTTGCCAACCAAAAGCAATAATGCACACGGGATCCCTAACACTATACACATCCTGCCGGGCTGGCCGAGCAGGTAGGCAGGAGACGGCGCCTAGGCATGGACCGCCCTGTCTACCCTAAGCGGTTTTAGACAGCCGCTCGACTCCCACTCCCAGGCGACCATGCTCCAGTTCAGTTCGCGGCGCCAAAACAACCCCAGCCCGCGACCACCGTCGGCGCCCTTGAGGGAGGGATGATCTCGGCCACGATCCTCGGCGCAGAGCCCGCCCGTCAACGGCATACGGTGACGAAAGACAACTTTGCCCATGCGCGAATGAAGGATGGCCATCGAGCACATAACGCATGGCTCGTGCGTGAGGTACATCTCAAGCCCGTGGCAGAGGTAGCCGTCGGGATTCGGGTGCTCCAACTCAAAGACCTTCATTTCGTCGCCGGCGATCGGGCTGTCTTGGAAGGCTTCAAATTCGAGGATGGGAGTTTGCCGAATCTGCGTCTTTCTGTTCTCGGCTCGGACGAGTTTCTGTGCCACTATGCTGATCGCGCGCATCGCCGAGTGCGCCATGGGGTTCCCGGTGCATCCGGTCTTCTCCTGATGGCACCAGCGGGAGTCGCCGGCGAGCGCAACAAGTGTTGTCTTGCCCTCATCTCGCTGAATGACGCAGGCCCCCATAGGCTCCCCATAGCCTGCGTCGTGGGATTCCTTCGCCACCTTGTGCGCGAGTGTCATCCAAATGGCGGCGTCGTCCGCTATCTCGTCCGTTTGGCGCGCGATCATGGAAGGATGCGGCCCCAGCGGGTTATTCTTTCGGTATAACGCGGGCCAGAAATGTTGTGACCACATGGCAGCCTGGACCTGCGATGTCGGGGATACCATCGGAACTGGGATGCGACGGAGAAACACATCCTCTTCCATGCCCTCCACCGAAGACAGCGCGCTGATGACCTCGTCACGGTTGAGCATATTCTCCGGGCCAACGATTATGTAGATCCAGTTCGACTTGCCCGTATGTATTTGCCGGCTTTGGGGGGATTCGTTCATGAATTGAGCTTTGAGATGAGCTGGCAGGTCCGACGGCTTGGCGCACCTGCGTAGATGAGGGACACCCTTAATGATTTCATCTGGTAGCAAGCTGCGCAGCAGGCTGAGGTATGTTAGTAAGATGAGAACGTAAACGGGCGGGAGGGGCCGTGGGGTGGACGTACAGAATGACCGGGTTCGCGGCCTTGGTCGGCGTGCGAGTGATTAGCACGTGCCCCGTTTGGTAGTCATCACGCAGCTCAAGCGTCGTCTTCAACGGTATCAAAACACCGTGCTCGACATCTTCCCGAAGAAGCTCTCGGACGATGGGATCCTGGGCGGCAAGCGATCTCTTAATAGACCTGTCGCCCTCATCCATCTTGCCGGTTCCAATACTCGGGGCCAGGCGGCCAGCTATCCGACAGCGAAATACGGGGCAGAAAACGAGTCTGTAGCCGAGAGAACCATGCGAGGACAAAGTACCGTGCCGGGAGCGGCGTAAGGAGAGTAGGAGTGCCCGGCGGTTTTGAAGGTACCAGTTGTCGCAGTGGGGGTTGTTCGAGAGTATGGAGGCCGGGGAGCGAATTAAAGAATGGAAGAATCGATCGCAGGTGGAATTAAATGAATGAACGAAGAGCGAAGGACCATAGTGGGTGCCAACCAACATGGAAGTGCAACCCAAGCGCGCGGGAAAGAACAAGCTCCGTTTATACAAAGGAAGCCAGAAGTGACAACATCTCTTTGTGCTGGCGGGTTTGGTTCCTGTTGTTGCGACAAAAAATTAGCGACTGGCAGCCCCACCTTACCGCGAGATCCTGGGACACACGCGGGATGGCAGGCGCCCTGCAGGCGGGCTTCACCTTAGCGGTCCCACCTCCTCCACAGTTGCCCTCTCACCTCAGGCTTGTTGCACGTAAGTTACCCCGCATGTACCCCTCTTGCGGCATCGGCCTCAATCCATCAGGTTCCCCAACCTGCAGAAATAACTGCACCTCAGCTTCACAACGACGCTAGGGGACCGTCGCAGGCGTCTCCACCTGCTTGGTGAATCGTGTGTCTCCGGAAGCAAGGTTAACTAAGTTTTGAGGAGGCTGAACTTTTGGGTTTCATTTTCCCCACGAGCCTTGTGCTGCAAATTGAGCTGTCGCTTGCCCCAACAAATTCCATCCTGGGGCTCCGATCTCGTCTCCGACACCAGCCCCTCACTGACCAGGGTAGTCAGCGGTGTTCAGACAAGCCTCTTTGTGATCGTCCCCGCGGCAACGTCTTTCAACACTTTTCTTTTGTCAACTTGTTTGCAGCTTCTCTGATCGACTCCTTCAACTCCCTACCTATGGATCTATAATCCGGGAAAAAAACGGCAGGGGATGCCTCTGAACAGCCGGGCGTCTGCAGGAGGGATCACCGGATTGTTTCCCGCAGACGCAGCCCGTTGACGGCAAGTGCCCATCGCCTTGGCGCCAACCCGGTCGTCGTGCCTCCGTGTGGGGGGAAGGCTGCTTGACATTTCACAGTTTGCCCAGTCGAGATGCCCCGGACTACTGTGCGATGGATGAAGTGGCTGTTCGACATGGACTTGTCGGTTTACCACCGCCTCCTGTGAGTTGGTGGCAGCATCGCTCATATCTCTTCGCCGGAGATCCGGTCTTTGTCCTTCTCGCGACATGCCCTTGAGCAACCACAAAGTTGATGACCCCAACAGATCTCCAGATACCAAGAAAAGCCAAGTCGGCGGTTTTCTGCAAGGAGAAAGGATCCGCATGAGATTCAATCTGGTAAAGTCGATTCGCAGTCCGGGCCGGGCATTCCAAAGTCCAAAAGGGCTCTTGAACTCCGATGGATGGACTGCGGCATGCAGCCCTGGAACAGCTGGCTCGGTCGAATCCCCCGAGATATTGGCCCAAACTGCACCATCAACAGCCCTGCCGTCTATTCTTCGACGAGTAGAGTTTCGGGCCGAGAAAGCAATACATGCGCTTGTCATAGTTTTTACAAATAGGTTTTTGATAACTATCATCAGGCACGAGGTGCCCAGCGATCTATAAGCGTAGTCCTCCGCAACCCTGACCATTGCTCCGACTTGTGAGTTTGGCTCGAGCTAAGAAGGAAGCACATCTTCCTCCAGAAATCGCCCAGGCCACGCACCAAACACCAAAAGACCACGATTACCAACTTTCCAGTCACAAACTCCTCGGCGGTGCCACCGGGTCCAACCCCAAGTCATCTGCTGCCATCGCCTCATCAACTTGTCTCGGCGAAGAACCCTCTCTGTCGTTCTTGGCATAAGGCGGCGCAACAATGCAGCACGGGCTTGACGGACACGACGGGCTCCAGCCCGACAAGCAACAGGCCAGTCGAGGCAGTTTGCGAGAGTCACTCCACCGTGCCCACCAGCGAGTTCGGTGCGAGTCAAGTTACGTCATCTCGTTTCCAAGTTGGACCCCCGTGCCCAGAGCCCCCGAAAGCCAAGTCTCCATCGCACCAAAATTCGCCTTTGCCTCAAACATTCGACGGAAGACTGTTGTGTGCGGACAAAAAAACGTGCAATCCGTGCAATCCGTACAATCTGTGCAATCTGTGCAACTGTCGCAAAGTGAGTAACCATTGTTTCTAATTCTGTTTTTATAACCACCGCGGCGGCGATCGATGCCGATTACAAACTCGCGTCTTTCCTCAAGCGAGACCAAAAAGGCTCGAGACCAGAGACAGCCCGCCCTGCCGGATTGCGCCAGTTTTGGTTCCTTTGCCCACCCCCCCCTCCTTCACGCGCCGTTTCTGAGACCGAATGCTCCGGGCCCGCGTTTGGTGGCATTTCGGGCATCTGATTACCCTTGCTTCTTGTTGCGTTAGCTGATTTGCTAATCCTTTTCAGCTGCACCCCGCCCCAACATCCTTGTAACCTCCCCTGCAGCCTTCTTTGGGGACTTGGGGTCCTTTTTATTCGACAAATCTCCTCTTTCGTCCATGTCACGGCATCTGCCTTCATTCCTCGACCAAACGAGTCTCCAAGTCAAAGGTCTCAATTCATCATCATCTACATTATTAAATCTCCCTTCCACCATCGACACCACGGCTGACCATACGCTTTTCGAAGACAACGCTGTCGCCCCGCCGCAGCTACAAGGCGCGTCACTGCGGAAACTTGCTATGAGCCATCGGATGGGTGCAGCGTTTTCCGGCCCTTCTTCACCTACGATCCAAGCCAACGGAGATGGCCGCAATGCGGACGCGCATCATCTCGACGCCCAATTGCCACCTCCGGTCTTGACGAATGCCCTCAAGACTTTAAAAACTTCCGATCCCGGCGTGCCCGTCCTTCCCAATGGACCCCCCACTGGACCCCCCAACGGCCTTCACTATGACTCGCCCTATTCGCACAGCATCTCCTCCACGGCACCGGCTTCACCTCGGATGTAAGTCAACCGCCCTGTGCGCTGCTGTCGGTTATGCCGGCTATGGCGGCTATGGTAGCACGACCCGCTCATCTGTGTCACCGTTGCTGACAACTACACAGCCCGCCGGTCCGACAAAACTCTGGGAGCCACACGCCGAGAGTCCGTCCGCATGCGACGACGCTCAACATCCCAGGCATGACACGCTCGAGGGCATCTCCCGACGGCCGCATCCCCGACAGAGACGTGGCTGCCAAGTTGGTCATCATCATGGTCGGCCTCCCAGCGCGGGGCAAATCCTACATCACGAAGAAGTTGCACCGCTACCTGTCCTGGCAACAGCACAATGCCAAGATCTTCAATGTGGGCAACCGCCGGCGCCTTGCCGCGGGCGTGGCCAATCCCGCAGATATGTCGCCGACTTCTACAAACAACAGGAATGATGTGCCGAGCCAGGCGGCGACGATCCTGTCAAAGGGAACACAGGGTCCCGACATTGTCCTAGACGAGCCGACGAAACTCGACCTTAACAAGGCCAAATCCAGCGAAAAAATGGACCAGTCGGCCAATTTCTTCGACCCGAAGAATGAAACTGCGGCCAAGATACGCGAGCAGGTGGCGCTTGACACGCTCGACGAGCTGCTCGCATATCTCCTCCACCAGGGTGGTGCTGTGGGAATACTGGATGCGACTAACAGCACCATTCATCGGCGAAAGCTTCTCGTAGACCACATCCAGGCGAGGGAGCCAAAGCTGGGCATTCTCTTCATCGAAAGCGTCTGCCATGACCAAAATGTCCGTGACGCAGCCCGCACTTTTCTACCCCTCGAACCCCAGCTGACACAAGACAGCTCCTCGAGGCAAATATGCGGCTCAAGCTCTTCGGGCCTGACTACAAGGACCAAGACCCGCACAAAGCCCTGGAGGATTTCAAGAAAAGAGTCAAGGCGTACGAGAGTGCGTACGAGCCGCTGGGCAAGTGGGAAGAGGACCACGACCTCCAGTACATTCAGGTTTGTCACCATGTCGATCCATAGTGGGGCGTGCGTATGCTAACGGCGTGTAGATGATTGATGTCGGGAGGAAGATCGTCCAACACCGCCTCAGAGGCTTCTTGAGCGGTGGCATTGTTTCGTACCTGACGACATTTAACCTATCGCCGAGGCAGATCTGGATCACCCGCCACGGCCAGAGTGAGGATAACAGAGTACAAAAGCTCGGCGGCAATTCGGAGCTGACGGAGCGCGGCCACTTTTACGGGCAAGCTCTGTACAACTTCGTCACGTACAAACGTAAGGAGTGGCTCATTCACCAAAAGAATAGAATTGCCTCCTCGACATTTCCGCCGAAGCCCGGCGACAACACACCGCCGTATCCGGAGCTGAACCAGGAGCTGGACGACAAGAACTTTTGCATCTGGACGTCTATGCTCAAGCGCAGCGTGGAGACCGCGGAGTACTTTGAGGCGGACGAGGACTACGACGTCAAGGCCTGGGAGATGTTGAACGAGCTGAACGCGGGCGATTTTGAGGGCATGACTTACGAAGAGATCGCCGAGCAATACCCCGACGAGTATGCGAAACGGGCCAAGGATAAGCTCCAGTACATTTATCCCGGGGTAGGGGGCGAAGGCTATCTCCAGATCATCAGCCGGCTACGGGACATGGTGCGCGAGATTGAGCGCATCACGGAACACGTGCTCATCATCGGACACCGATCGGTCTGCCGCGTCCTGATGGCATACTTTATGGATCTCACGCGAGACGACATTGCGGATCTCGACTTACCGCTCGGCATCTTGTATGCCATTGAGCCTAAGCCGTATGGCATTGAGTTCCACGCCTACCGATACAACGAGGAGACGTTCTGGTTTGACGAGATGCCCGACTACAAGCCTCAGAGAACGGTCGACAGGAACTCGTGAGCGGTCGCTGGTTCGATCCCGCCCCACACGAACATACACACACGAGCTCGGGATGGGGTGCTGTTTCATCAACACTGGCGTTGGCGGTTATCATGAAGGTCATCAGGGGCCCATTGACTTGTTTGTTTTTATTATCATGGCGCATATACAAGGGGGCGGGGGTGGGCAATTTTGATACCTAGGAACGAGAAATCCGCAATACGCGGGACATGGAGTTACAGGCAGGTGACGGGATCAAGCTTGGACAGGCTTGTGGGCAAACTGGGGTCTGCATCTTCTCGGCTCAACGGCTGGGCTCCGAGTCTCTGAAGCCGGCGCGCTGATCTTCTATTTCGTTGTCTTGCCGGGTTTCACTCTATGCAATGCTATTATGGTCGCAGCAGCGTTACTCAACGTAAAGTACCTAGTCGTCTGAGATGGCCGGCGGTGTTTTGCTTGTGACGCTTTTGGCGGGGTTTAAAGGGTCCAAACATGGCGGTTAGGTAGAGGCGTAGAGGCATTGATAGATCCTGTGTTTCTGGGGTAAATATACGAAGCAATACAACCGAAGCGTATCGGTATTGGAATGTAGCAGTCGGATTTGGACCTCTTAAGTCCACCAGCTCTGTGTCAACCCGGTTATGCGATGGGGGAAAGGGAAGGGAACGACTGCAACGAATACAGCACGAGACCGACAGAGACGGTAAATAGAGTATGTATTGACAGCTTACGACGATGGGTTGTGCTCCATGGTAAGGCGACAGACATTCTTCGTTTGCGCCACGAATAAGTTATACTTCGGGTTGCCGTCGACGATTCCCAGACAGGAAGTTTGTCACGGTGCATGTGAGTATGTGTTGATGGTATCTATAGTTGCATCATGGTATCAACTGACTCTACCCAAGCTAAAAACAAGAAGAAATATACAAGGAGATAAAAAAATCAAAGTCCAAAACACAATCCCCTTCCTCCCCCTTCCTCCCCATTCTTCCCCCTTCTTCCCCCTTAGCTTCCTCCACCCGCAGCCCCCGCCATAATCGCAATCTGCTGCGCCCTCCTCCGATCGACCTCCCTCTTCAACATAACCAAGCACGTCGTCACCACCATCAACAGCGCCATCTCCCGCTCCCCCTTCCCATCCACCCCCTCCCAAACCCCCAAATCCATCACCAACCTCCCCCCATTCCCCGCGCTGCTCGCCCCGCTCCCGGGCGTGCGCAGACCCTCCCCGCGCGCAAAGTGCGCCACCACCGTCCGCACCTCCTCCTCCCCTTTACCCTTCGACGAAGAGGACGAAACGTCCTGTGCTACCTTGACCACCCGCTCCAGCACCAACAGACTCGACACCTCCACCTCCCCCACCCCACCGCCCTCCAACCCCTTCGCCGCCGCGTGCCGCTCCCGCCGCGACGCGTACCGCCACTGGAAGCTGCCCAGGCGCGAGCGGAACGCCACGGCGCGCGTGAGCAGGCCGACCGAGGTGACGGGGAAGGCGTCCCACGCGCCGGCGTTGTCGTCATCCGTGGCAGCGTCTTTGGAGAAGAGCAGGCGGGCGCGGGTGGTGGGGTCCAGCGGGGCGGAGTGGTGGTGCGGGGAGAAGAGGCGCACGAGGGGCGGGCGGCCGGGGCCGAAGCGGTAGGTGGTGGTGGAGGCGGTGGTGCCTTCAGGGTTGGTGGTGGTGAGGTAGCAGCTGCCGGAGGAGCGCTCGGGGCGGGTGGAGGTGAATTGGGGGGTTGTGGTCCCGGCGGCGGTGGTGTAGACTGTGTCGGTGGGGTCGAGGGCGAAGACCGGGATGGGTTCGGGTTTGGGGGCGAAGGGCATGGACATCCATTGCTTGCCGGTGGTTTGGATTTGGAAGTGCACCGTGGGGTGGAAGGTGCCGGAGGAGGGGGGAGGGTTCTCCTCGTCGCCGTAGGGAGGGGGCGCGCTGAGCACGGAGGGGGAGGCGCTGTTTAGTCGGGCTAGTTCGACATCTTGTTGTTGGGGGGTGTAGCGTGGTGGGGATTGCGACTCCGCGGACGGGCGGGAAACGAAACTCTTCATTGTGTTGAGCAACAGAGGGTTGGAAGCGTGTGTTTGTTTGTTTGTTTGTTGGTGTTGGAATAGTTCAAGGTGTGTTCTGCAAAAGGCTTGGTAAAGCTTGTCTGAGTGATGTTGTGTGGGATGGATGCAATAGTAGTAAAGCATCAATCATGTCACAGGCGTCAAAGTCAGTTATATATCAACAAGACCACCAGCCCAGCACAGGCACCGCCGTCGACATGGTGTTGTCGATCGGGAGGTGCCCAATCTTGAACTTCCATTCCGCCAATCAATCCCAAAAGCGAAGTATACGGCCCCGCCCATGCGCAGTCGGGCAGTGTCCCGTTTTGCTCGGTTTCATCATTGTGCCTATTCGGGAGCGAACTTGGTAGGGGGAACAATGGCGACCTGTCGTCATCAAATGAAATGCCCCAAAAAACACCCCGGTCAAACGATCGTTGCTCAGGACTTGGCCTGCCTTTCCCGGGTCCTTGGCTTTTATCGAAGACCCACTTTCCGTTGAATGCGAAATACGGTGATGGGTCCTCGGCGGAGTCCGCAGGTGAACGTGGGTGAGGTGGTGTGGTGGGGCTGTGCAGTTGCAGCTGCTGCAGTTGCAGGCTCTCCGCGGGGCACTTTGAACCGTTCCTGACCTGACCGTTGTTCACTCGGTTGACAGGCACACAGGGCGCTCCGCCGAACTCGGACATCCGATAGGATCATTTCATCGGATAGCACACGACAGAGCAAGATGGCAGTCCTTGTGTGAGACGGGGGTTGAGAGAGTCAAGGGTTGATTGAAGAAGAGAAAATAATCTCGTCGATCGTATCCATTCTATCGAAACCCGAAGCTCTAAAAGCCCAACCACCTCGACCATTAAATATTCGAGAGATACCTAGGAAAAGAGCACAACCCAAGTCCGGCAAAATACTCCTTTAACCAACCCTCAAATCGGCTTTCCTAAAGCATCTTATATCCCTTGCCAGCTGCGCCTCGACCCACATGGGCCACTCGTTGTACAGCCGGTGTTCCGCATCGAGCTGGTTGTTGAGGTAGCGCAGCCAGCGGATGTTGCCTAAGCTGGCGCCCGCGTTGGACGAACGGCCGCCGGACATGGAGGCCGACACCTTGTGCTCCGTCTCGCAGATGGGGCCCATGATCTGCTCGAGCGCGACCCAGTGCGCGCTCAGCAACAGCGCCACCTGGTTGTTGGGGTCGACCAGCGGCTGGAACTTGGCGTGCGGCAGCATCATCCACCACCCGTAGTGCTCCGTCAGGGCGAAGTAGGCTGTGGAGGGAGGGTCAGTAAAGGGAACTCCCAAACAAATACAAAAAAGAAAAGAGAGAGAGAAAGAGGGAGACATACCCTTCCACGAACTAACCGCCAAATTCCGCGCCATCGCCGCAACCATCTCCCAATACTTACACTCCACCTCCCTCCCCTCCACGCCCTCCACCAACCCCCTCAACCCCTCGATCGCGCGGATCGCCCGCGCCGTCAGGTCGGCGTCGATCAGGCCCAGCTCGCGCATGTGCGGCTCCAGCAGCTGGGTCTGGCGGTCGCCCAGCATCTCGCCGAACAGCAGCGACGCGCCGCTGCAGTACATCTGGATCGCCACGATCATGATGCCGCGGATGAAGGTCATGAACTCGGCCATGCCGTCCTCGAGCAGCACCGACTGGAACGTGAGCGCGAAGCACGTCGCCATCAGCGCGTTGCCCTCTTCGAACATGGTGTCGTCGAAGGAGCGGCCGTTGTTGTTGTTGCTGCTGCTGCTGCTGCTGCTGTTGCTGCTGTTGTTGGGAGGGGAGGTGGTGCCGGCGGGCGAGCTGGGTGGTGGGGCGAGTGCCTTCTTGATCGCTTTGACCGCCTTGTAGCGGTGGGACATGGCTGCTTCGGCTAGGGAGGGGTCCGAGGCCGCCATGAGTTCCGAGGCGGAATACCCCAGGATGGCGTGCATTAGATACTCGTACTAGGTGGGTGTTGTTAGTCGTTGGGATTCCGGGCGGAGGGTGGGTTGGGTTGGGTTGCATATGCCTTCTCGGAGAGACATGGGATGTCGTGCGTCCACATGCTCTGGGACCCCAGCGGGTAGTGCGGGTAGCAGTTGAGGAGGAAGTGCTGGAAGAAGCGCATGTCCTGTAGGCTGAAGAGGGGCACCTGGTGTTGTGGCTGTTTGTCGTTGTTGTCAATACCGGAGAGAGGCTGCACGTGGAACTCCATGCACGTACCTGATGCACGATCGTCGGCAGCGTGGGGTACTCGCACTTGAGCCCCTGCTTCACGCAGTGCCCGCATGCAGGTCTCGTCTCTTGACACTATGGGGGGGGTGTTCGATTAGTTGGTCTTTCCCTCCACCTGCGTCCTGGATCCGAGCTTGACTCACCTTGATCCTCCGCCGCTTGCAGTTGAAGCAGCCCCTCCTGCTCTTCGTATGCCCCCGCCGCTCCAGCCGCTGCTTCGGTAGTGGCCGGTCCTCAGGGCTCCCACCGCTGCTGCCCCTAGTCGCAGTCGGGCCACCATAGCCCAGTTGACGAGCCGAGGCCGGGGGATGCTGTTGCTGCTGTCGCGGCGCGAGTGCCTGCATCTGCTGGTCCGAGAAGCTTGACGACGGCGAGGGTGTGGCGATGGGCAACCCCCCCGCGGACCCCGAGCTGTCTTCGGCGAGGTAGTCGATGTCTTGTTGGTCCTGGAGAAAGTTGGAGTAGTCAAACCCGGCGTTTTCGCCGTTGTCCAAGCTGAGGAGCGGGAGGGCTGTGGTGGGTTGGCCGTAGCCCGCCGGCATGGGCCCGGAGTTGGGGAAGGCCTGCATCCCAAAGTTGCTTCTCTTCCTTTTTACTTTCTTATTTTATGTTATTGGTTTGCGGGATAGCGGCCGTCCTCGAGGCTGTTGATCCTGATGGGTAGGTTTTCCGTCGGTGAGGTTGGCATGGAAGCACAGCAGGGGGAGGTCCCAGCTTGACATTTGACACAAAGCTCATCAACAACCTGAACCACACAGGGTCTTGTCACTTGTCGGGGTCGTGTTGATCCACACAACGTTCCATGCCAAGCAGCCCCCGCGCCCCCCTTTATTGGAAGTGGATGAGGCAGTGTCGATCAAGCTTCTCCGCGCCTCCACGAGGGCTGATGTCAAAACCCACGACTCACATTAAAGGGCTCGCAACCTCCTTTTTGAAAAAGGAAGGAAGTTTCATGAGGGATGACGTCTTCTCGCTTGAGCCCGTCGAGATATTGGCCGAATTGAGTCCGCACACCGTCTCTCGACCGCCGCGCCTCATCAACGCATCTCATCGAATCACAACTGGTCTCGTCCATTTCGGGGCTGTGGGGCTCGAGGACAAGCGAACCAGGGGAGTTCTTAAGGCCGGCCACTCAGAACCGTCGCCCACAGCGTCGCTCGGGTCATATTTCTCTCCGGCCAGCACCGAGCCCCGAGCGCCGCGTGGCCAACTGAGCCGAGCCATCAAGCGCCATCATCAGCCCTAAATGGACATCACGGGAGTCTCTTGAGAACCCCTTGATCGACGGCCACATTGCCGTTTCGCCAAGTACCGGCAGCATGGGCCGCAGTAGCTCAGCCACTCCTCCGGGACGCTTCAACAGGTGCCGCGGTGTGCGCGGTAACGGTTGCCCGGAATGCATGACATTCAATATCATCCACGCCAGAATGGGTGGCTCTCCCGTCCTGTTTTCCTTGAGGTTTTCGCCGAGACAGTATGCCGCTTTTAGGGCTGGGGTTCCGAAAAAAGACCCGAGTGAGAACATGAAGCGGCAACAGGCAGCATCGGTTACCAGCGCGAAGTGAAACCATCTCCATCACAGGCACCAAACAGGTACTAGTAATCATGCTGAAAACAAGTCGAAACCTGCCCCCTTAGAGAACGGCCAGTCTCGATTCCGAGGTTGATATTCAACCCTCGATCTTGCGCGTTTGAAACAGACTATGTCGTACCTGTCCACATCATGGACAAAAAAAAAGCCAAACTCCAAGTGCAGATGTCGACCATGGAATTGGCCTTCAAGTCCTTGACTGCACGTACGCCTAAAGCCAGAAGAAACTGGATTTACTCCATTTACTTTTCTTTTACCCCCCTTTCTTTTTATTCTTTCTTTTTACTTGATTTATTACCTTGTAGGTTCCTTTCGAGGGCTTTTTTTAGCCAGAGGGTGTGCCGTCGTCTTAGACAGGGATCCGTGTACTTTTTGCCTGAAAGGTGAAACTAACGACCTCGACTACAGATTCGGTACCTTTATACACTACAACAAACAGATCGATATCGTCTGTTAGCCCAGACCACACCAAACGAGACCAGAAACAAGACCAGAAACAACACCAGTAAGCACTATGTACCTACTTGTTGTTATTATTGTTATTTGCTATTATCGTCCGGGGCACCGGCCGCATTGCGGCGGCGCCGAATGCCCGTAGCATATATAGGCGCACTGAGCTAGACTATATACACGGGTAATACCAGTTCTCCAGCGCAGGGGGTTGCTCGCTGCCCGGCCCGTACAGTAGTTCCAGCCGGTATTAGGCCGTACGGTTCGCCTCCCCCAGTCTATATAGTAACTTGAGCCTCGTTCGGCGGTGTAGCGGTGTATAGCCGCCTATTGATCCGGGCCCTCCCCCCTCCGGTTAGGGGAGTACTCCGGGGAAGATTTAAGGTATATACTAGTCTAAGGGCTGTAGGGCCTATATATAGTATCTAGTAGGGGTCTATATAGCTGCTCTATAAAGATAGTATTAAGGGAAGAAAGGTATAATATAGAAAGAAAGGAATAATATAGAGGGAAAGGAGAAAGTTAGGTTAGTAGGGTTAAAGGTATATTATATTAAGAAATACTAAGAAATACTAAGGCTTTACTAAATAGTAGGTATTCTAGGCTATATTTTTATTACTTTTCTAGGCTTTTATAGATATTTTTATTAATTTTCTAATAAGTTAGCTAGTAAAGGGGGGCTTTCTAATAGAGGGGTCCCTTTATATTATCCGGTAATAAGCTAATATATACCGGTAATACTAGCTAGTATTTATTAACCTAGACCTATCCTTTTAATATATAGTTCTATATCCTAGACTTTATAGGTAGTAGGTTAGAAGGCCTAAGGGTATTAATAAATATATATCTCTATAGACTTAGTATATAATATTAGCTTAGTATAGGTAAGGGTATAGGTAGCCTAGTAGTAATAGTTATAATAATATAGGTATCCCTTTCTCTAGATAGGGGTTAGCTAAAAGTATAGGGGTTATATTAAGAAATGCCTAGAACTGAACTATTAGTAGTATTTAATCTTCTAAATAAACTTAAGCAAGATATTAGGGTCCTCTATTAGGTTAGTAAGGTAGAACCTTTTTTATTATATTATCTAGAGCTTCCTATACTCTCTCTATAAGTCCGGCTAAAGCTAGTTATCGAACTATACTAATATCTATAGATAGAAAACGATATATTCGGGGCTCTTATTATAACTATAGTAGTAATAAACTATCTTATATAAGGCTAGGTTATATTTATAGTAATAGTGGTATACTATAAAGTCCCTATATTTTATCTAGAGAGCTAGGAAGCGATAGAGTATAGGGTAAGAGAGGTAGGCGAGTTCTCTAGGGTATGCTAGATAGTATTATAGATTCTATAATAGGTAGTATATTAAGAGGCCCCTTTCGGTTTTAGCTTATAGTTTATCTTAGATAGCCTATAGCTATTTCCGAAGGTCTATCTTAACCCCTGAAAGGGTAGGTATACTATCTTCGTTACAGGGCTAGCTAAGGCTAGCATTAGTAAAAGTATCCACCAGTTTATTACTAGGAATCCCTATATAGCCTAGGCTCTACCTTACCTAGATACTACCTTTATAGACAGCTATAAGCTTATAGAAGGTTAGAAAGTAGTATTAGGATATTAAGGATAGCATACTCTATAAGTACTAGATAACCCCTATATTATTAAGGTATATCCAGATATAGGTATCCGGAGTAGCCACTCTCAATATATATTCGAGGGCCCTATATATGCTGAGTGCCTCTACGTTAAAGACTACCTCTATTAGGTATAGGGAGGCTAGGCCGTAGTTAATAGAGGAGGTAAGGTCTCCTACCTAGAAGATTGTAAAGCTATAGTCTAATTGTTGTTTGTCTTAGTCCTTATAGAGAGATCTGTTCGAGAATATAAGTAGGTTAGTTAGGGATAGTATTATATACTATTCTTTAAATTTAGCTGTTACTATTTCCTTATCTAACCTTTTTATAGAGTTAACCTAGTAGCCTAGTATAAAGTACTATAGGGAGATAATTGGCTAATTAAAGGCTGGAAACTCTATAAAGGTATACTATAGATATATATAGGTATAAAAGGGTTAGCTAGTATAGTATCTATAGGGAACTTAGAGGATCTTTGTCCTTTCTACTAGGGGGTGTTTATAGTTGATTATCCTAAGTTGGAATATAAAGCGGAGGTATACCTCCTTAAGTGCTAGTTTAGTGGAGGGAACCCCTATATTTCGGTAGAATACCCTATTTAGTATAGTCCTCTATACTAGGAGGGCCGCTTAGATAGTAGTATTAATAACCCTCTATATTACTTTAATATAGTAGCTAACCTAAGCTAAGATCTAAATATACCTATTATAGACCTAGCCGAATATAGGCTTTAGTTAGCTACTATACTAGTACTCTACTATATAGAGTATAGTTAGGATAACTATAGTAATTAAAGCTATATAAAGGGTATATAGAGGGCCTATTTTTAATATTAGCTAGATTTCTTAGATATTATACTACTTTGCTAGCCCTTATATACCTTTTATATATATATCTCTTAAAGGTAAGGTACCTATCGAACTAGATGCCTAGCTACTAGACTATAATCTATTATATAAACCTACCTTTAGTTATACCCGATATTATAGCTAGTTTAATCTCGAGCCCTAGCTTAACTATAACTAGGGGTTTTTTATTATTTCTTTTCTATAAGAAGTAGATTAGCTCTGTCTTATTCATTACGAAGTGGATCTTGTTTCGCTTACCTTAGCAGAGTATCGTCTCTACCACCTTACCTATATTAGTAGTATTCTAGTATAGGTCTCTATCCCGGTTAACTTATAGTAGGCCGATATTATCTATATAGCTAAACTATAGATATAGCCCTACCTTTAGAAGCTCTGCTAGGTAGAGGATATATATAATTAGGGATTATAGCAACCTCTATAGGGTACTATAGGGTACTGGGAGTTACTCCGAGAATTCCCTATCAATATAAGCTTTAACCTTCTAGTTAGAGAGAAACAATTTAACTAGGTATAAGATCCTAATATTCTAACCTTATCCCCTTATCTAGGTAAGGAGGCACCGAGGAAGAAGGGTATCGAAGGTACCCTATATATCTAGTATTACTAACGAGGCTACACCCCCTATAGATAGGGCCTATTTAATATTATAGGTTAGATAGCTTGCTAGGTCTGGTGCCGATCTGTATAGGAGAGTGCTGGTATGTTGTAGGTTGACTAGATGCCCTCTTAATACTGTAGAGGTTATATATTTAGCTAGTATTTACTCTAGGCCCTTCTCTAGGTAGGAGATTAGGGTAATTAAACGGTATAACTTTAGGTTTAAATAGTTATCTTTTCCTAGTTTAGGGATTAGAGATATCTTAGTAATCTTCTAGTCTCTCGGATAGTATTTTACTATAAGATACTTATTAAAGAGGGTTGTTATTAGACCCCTAATCATACTCTAGTAGTATTTTATTAGGTTTACCGAAGTCTTATCTACTCCTAGAGAGGTGCTTTTAACGCTAATAGTATAGGCCTCTACTTCCTCTATTAATACCGGTATTAAATAGCCTAGAAGGTAGTTCTCTTTATCTAGGCTCTATCTCTCTAATAGGTCCGACTATAGGTTATTATCTATATTAAAGTATTCTAGGAGCGCTTTAGCTATATAGTATACCTTAAGGCTAGGGTTATTAATAGTAGTACTATTAACTTTAATTAAGGGTAAATAGTATTATATAGGGGTCTTATATTAGGCTACTACCTTATATAGCTATAAGTCTATATATACTATATTAATATAGTTTATTTAGTAGAGCTGTTTTAACTTTTTAATTATTATATAGAAAGCCCTATAAGCCTCTATATAGGTATTAAGGGGCTCCCTACCGTCTAAACCGGTCCCCTATATTACCGGTAGCCTAGAGTAGGGTTATTAGATATTAGCCTCCCAGTATTTAAAGGTTATCTACTACTTCTATTCTTCCTAAACTTCTCTATAGT